TCCACAAAAGTTTAACCTCATTGATATTTTTTGAAAAAATGACATTGTCACGAAATTTCAAAAAAACGATTTTATTGTTAAAATATGGCTAAAAAGAGTTCTCCTAAACATGATCGTGGTCTTTCGAATCGACAAATCGTTCGAGATTTGGGCGCAGACCAAAAGTGATCAATAATTATCTGAAGAATCCATCAGATTGTGGTACTGCGACATGATCTGGATGTCCAACCTCCATTTCTAGCCGAGAAATAGAATTCGTGAAAATGTCATTTTTTCAAAAAAAAAATGGGTGAGGTTAAACTTTTGTGGAGCAGTGTAGTTTTTTAAAAATTGCTTTCCTGAATGTCTTCGATTTCGAAATTTAGTTCTTGTTCACCTTCAATGTCGTCCTCTTGTCTATACTCCTCCCTTTGCTGTTGCGCGTCTTCAAGTTCGTCCTCGTCATCCTGCATTTTTTCGTCGTCTTCTATGGCGAAATCAAGAATATCATAGTTTGAATCTACGTCTTCTTCATTATCCTCCCAATGTCTGAAATATAAAATCAATTTTTCCTAAATTTTTGCACTTACTCTTTCGCGAGAGCAGCAGTTAATAAAATATTGGACACTGTGTCCGGTTTCATTCGATTGCGTTTTTTGTTTCGCAAAATATCAGAACATTTTCTGAAATTATGACAAATATAATCGGTGTAATAGTTAACACTCATTTGCAAAATAAATCGGCATACATACATATTGTCGGCGTTGAGCGACTATTGAAAATTCTCAAATTAAAAAAATTTGGAACGGATTACGCATGAAAATAGGTTGAAAGCGCACATATATTCTTCATTGTTTTGGCATTTTGCCAATTTTACGTAGTAGACACCGATAATAGTTATAAAAAATTTCTAAATAACTTACGAAAAAAGTCGCTCCGCTGAGGAACTAGAAGCTGGGCAACTCAGATACACCTTTGCGAAATTTCCTAATATGGGAAAATGAGCAGATTGACCGGCCCAAAAAGAAAGCGGGTCAGATTTGGCCGATGGCCGATTTGTTGAGAGTATTGCTTTGTAATGCAATATTTCTGACTAAAATTAATATTTTACCAAAGTAGTACTCCATTATTAAAATTACTTTTATTGTTTTCTCAGAAGACCGCACCTCAAGCCTTCTTTTCAAAAATGAGTTCATTCCATCGTCCGAATCGGAATCATTTGATTGTGATGAACTTAGGTCTCTTTGAGCACTGGTTTCATGTTTTTTGATAAGAAGTTCTTCACATTTATCCCATGACGTTTCTAGATTTGGCACGAAGCTGAAGCGGGGATCCAACAACATAGCGAGCTGCAGAGCGTCATTTTCCTTATAAGATTGCGCGAATCTGTAAAGGCTTCATTTTCCCGATAGCTTAAAAAATTTAAAAAAAAACCTAAATTTCAGAATCTTTGCCATTTTTATAGCTAGCGAGGTTCCCATTTTGTCCAACTTGTATTCGAGTTTTATGAAATTTGGGATGATCTCCGATGCATACGAGTTTTCGCGCTCAAACTAAATAAATAATCAAATAAATGAATACAAATATAATTGGTTACCTTAAGAAGAACAATATAAACTGGCTCCAGAACATCGATAATCTCATCCAAAACTTTTTGCTGTGCTGCGGACAATAACAATTTTTGAAGTTGCCTTACTGCCACTAACGATTTCAAATTCTTTTGATAGCTGTTTAATAATAGATACATCGAAGCCCATCTAGTCGGTGACAAACACTGCGGCAAGGGTGCCGTGCTCGGGAAGGCTTTTGCGTTTTCTCTGACTTCACTTCGGACGCTCTTATTTCGAGAGAGATATGATGACAAATTTTGTGCATTTCCCATAATTGGTTCAACCTTCTTCAATTTTGAAAACTCCTCGAATGCTAGATCGAGAAAATGACAGCCACAATGCACGTTTTTGAGAAAATGACCAGTTGAAAACGAGCGCAAATTCGAAGCTCCATCTGTGCATGTTAGTTCGCACATGCTTAAGTTTATTCCTACTCGTTGAAGTAAAGAGCATATCGATTCAGCAATATCGGCGGCTGTGCTTTTAGCGACGTGACGAATTCCACAAAAGGCGTTCTTTCGTTTGTAATCTTCAGAGACGAAAAAAATCTGGCAACTGTAGAAGTTTCGATCTTTTCTTATTTCGCCATAGCCATCCGTCACTAATGTAAATGACTTCACATTTCTTAATTTGCCTTTCATATCATCTAAGTAAATTTGAGATATCTTCTCAACGTGATGTGCAATCATTTTAGGAGTGGGCACGACAGCAGATTGATCTAAGAGTTTGTAAGTTCTGATAAAATTTTGATTGGCTGCAAAACGGAAAGGGATTCCTCCTGTGCAAAAAGCTCTGGAATGTGTTATATTATAGTTAAAAAAAACGAAAATATTCAAACTTCGTGATTTCCAATTCCCATTCCTTATATATTGGTGCTCCAATAGTTTCTTTTTCAATGACCCGTTTACTCTAAATTAAAAAAATGTTTTATTTAAAAAAATAAAAAAAAAACCTTGGAGTTCAAAATGTTCTCAAACTTTTCCAAATGCTGCGACTTTGCGTGTCGGATGAGATTGGTTGTACTTTTATTATAACTTATATTCACTTTGCAAACTGGACACTTAATATACTGAGTAGTGGGATCAGTAGGTTTGCGAAAAAAATCCCACGCAATGGATGTCATTCTAAAAAAATAATAATAAATAATGTTTCCAATTTAAAAAAAATTTGAGAACGATCCAACGAATAAAAAATTGCATAAACTGCCATTGAATTACGGAGTTTTATGTGAAACAGCCTCTTAAAGCGAGAAAAATTTGCAATTATATAAAGTTTTCGAAAATTATTTCAAATTCGCGATTCGAAACGCGCTACGCGTCGCGTTTTCGAGGTGCATTAGGGCGTGTTTGCAGCGGGACTCGTTTTTTTCGCAATGTAGTATTTAGCCAATCAGGGACTGCAATAAGGGGGTGGAGTCAGGACAAAACGTATGACAAGTATCATGCAATGTCTATGAAAAAATTTCATTTTCGGCTATTTCGCCTATTTTCAGATCATTTACGGTAACTTTCTAAACAGATTTTACTACATTCGGGTCTGCTGAATTCATTCGTAACGTCTATTTCCAACAAGTTTTTACCCAAAAATTTCAAACTTTTTAACTCTAAGATAAATTTTTTAAACATTTTCCGCGGTGACCTATATATATTTTTCATTCACCGTTTAGGAAAAACTCTCGAGAGACTACGGTTCAAATCTCAATAAAATTTGCTAACTAGAACTAACTTTTTTAGTCATCGAAATACCTGCAGCATGGAAAAGAATGGAGACTTTCGTAATTTTCGCATCAATGTAGCTCGTTTAAGTAAATATGTCTTGAAAGCAAATTCGGAATCTACGAAAAGTTTGCTACATGATGGCATTCTTCACATTTCATGAGATGTGTTTAAAAAAAAGACACAAAAGATCGACCAAGATCGATCGAGCGCTCACAAAAGATCGACCAAAATCGATCGAGCGTTAGCGATCGATCGAGCGCTCGATCGAGATCGAGCGCGATCGATCGAGCGCTCGATCGAGATCGAACGCGCTCGATCTCGATCGATCCCGGGATCGATCGAGCACAGGTAAGTTCGATCTCGGGATCGATCGATCTCGAGCGCTCGATCGATTTTTAGAAAGATCGATCGATCCCGATCGATTTTCGCTACCAAGATCGATCATACTCGATCGAGCGCTCACACTGAAGAGGAATTCCGTGCAGCTTACATACCAATTTGAATTGGATTCTAAAATGAGGGAACCTAGAAAATCAATGATAGGGACATCGATAAATTGATTAGCAATTTTCTAAACAAATCCTTGAAAAGGGTTTGGGTGCCTTCGGATGCTTTCAGATTTTCAGATATATTTTTTGGGCAACCTATGACGTCACTAGATATCCACGTAGATATTCATTTTTTCCTCTCGCTTCTTCGATAATATTTGCCGATGAAGAGAAAATTAATAAAAACAAACTCGCTGTAATGTTTGGGAGGAGGGAAGAAGGATTGAGAAGGGGGGGGGGGTTCTAAAGTTCAAAAACAAACAACGAACGGACTGAAATTGGCCGCAATTTTTGGTTATTTATATTGGAGAGAGAGGGGTAAAACAAAGGATGCGCCTTTAAACATTATCAACAGAAATTCGGAATTCCGTGTTTAGTCAAAAAATCTTTTCATTCGGCCAGGCTTCTCATTTGGAAGTCGAGAATTCAAATTCGCGCACTCAGGCGTCCGAGAATCGCCCGCGTTGCGTATGCGTCGCGGTCGGCGTCGATTTGAAATAAGAATAGTAACAAGTCGTTTTTTTTTGCTGGTTAAAGTTTAAAATTGGGGTTTTTATGGTTCTAATTTAATTTATTTGATACATATTGGATCAGAAATGGGTTATTCTGCGATTTCGATAAAAAAAAATCGTTATTGGAAATTATTTAATTACGCACAATTTCGTTTTTTTTAAAGAATATAACAGTTTTGATATAGAAATATTTTTGATTAAGATTGATAATACGACAAAAATGAATTCTAGTTGTTTTTGAAAAATTTTGTTTTTTTTTTCGTTACGGTAGCATCAAAGTCCGCAATCAGTTAATCTTACGCAAAACTAAAAATATTTTTTGAATTTCAAAATTCGACTTTTTTTATTTTCTATTTTTTAGGAGGATGAAGAGAAGGCGACTTCCGTTTTCAGAGAATTCGAGTTGATGACAGTGGTAGGTTTTTCAGGCAAAATAATTTTGATTTCAAAAAAAAATATTAAGAGGACACGAAGACGAAAAAAAAAACAATATGGCGTGAACGCGTTGAGCGATTCAAACGTGACAACCATTACACCATAGCATTTTTGTGGATATTTGGCCATCGCTCACTTTGCTTTTCTTCAAATAATCATAGGAGATTCATCCTATTATTTAATGATTCAAAGATAAATATGCGCTCGACGATGACAACATGTAAGTGAACGTTTTTCGCGATATCAGCAACAATATATAATTTAAAGGCGCATTATTATTGCTGGCGATCAACTGTGTGATCGCAGAGCAGAAACAACCGAAAATTGAGGAGCCCGATTACGAGAAGACGGCTCGCGATCCGCCGGAGGCTATTCGATTGCCGCTGGCGTGGGGTCGATTCAAGGAAGTGAGCAGTGAGCAATTCGGACTGTTCCCGGAGGCGTTGTCGTCGTGCGGTAGCCATTTGGGTGTGAAGACGCCCAATCCCGGATATGTGAGCTTCATTAATCCAATGGGTCTCTTCATGCTGACATTTGCAGACTGGCCAGACATTCGACATCGAGGTGCCATGCTTCCCATTCCCGCGACGCGTGTTCACCGGCGGCGAGAACGGCACGACGGCGCCGAAAATCGAGAATTGTCAGCCGCTGAAATGTCCGGGCGAGCCGTTGACGAATATCGAGGCGATCAACTACAACACGTCGATGGAGCGCGCCTCGTTCACGAAATCGCCGGTGGCGCCGCCGATGAAAGACGCCGAGATGGCAGCGATCTGCGAGGACGCCGATGTCTACACCGGCCAAGATGACGTCGATCTGTTGGTGTTCAATGATCTGACTTGCTCGTATACACCGACGCTCGGCGATAAGATGATTCCGCGGTTCATACAAGACGATGGTCTTTACAAGATCACGAATCACTTCCATGGAAAAGAGGTATTGAACTCAGCGAGCCTCGATATGACTGAAATCAGTCATTTGCAGATGACGCCGAACTACGAAAATTCTGGCGAGTATGGAATAGACGTTTGGGATATCAAGAAAGGAGGCGACGCTTATAAACGATGCGACGCTGGCTGCGATCGCGGTCGACTCATCAAGTACACGATGTACGAAGGCGCGTGGAACGGAATCATGTTCTTGACGCCCGACACCGACGTCGTCAAAATCTGTCTTGATCCGCAAGATCACACCGACGACGCGAAAACGCCGCAATGCAAACCGCATCGTGTCATCACGATACTGCTCAAATCGAATCTCGTCATTTGGCCCTACTTGTTCCGGCCGTCGCGCATCCGCTTCGGCTCCAATGAGCGCGGACAATCGCCGCTGAAAGCCTATGTGATCGAGTTTGGGTACGGTGTGAAGGATAGCAAAGGGACGATCACATCGCAATTCCGCGTCGGCAACATGTATCGGGAGTTCGTCGTCAGCGAGTCGAAAGGCTATCCGAAAGAGGTCGGGCAGCGATTCGCGTTGATCTTCCCGAATAAGGGCGGATTGCTGAGGCATTTTGGATTCGTTATTGATGTATGAATGTCGCCCTACTCTATGAGCCTCGCAAAAATCGCATTGTGTGTTTAGAACGTCGAAGCCGCTTCGGCGCTGGTCAAACCCGACGAGGAAGTGAAGAAGGTCAGCGCGAAGTCGAAAACCGGCGAGAAGATTGGAGGCGATATTGCGGAGAAGGAAATTGTGCCGACGACTGAGAAGCCGTTGGCGCAGATCGATCGATCCACCACACCGCCACCGATTATCTTCAAACTCGCCGACTCGCGCATCGTGGAGGCGGTGAAGGCCGAAGATGCCCAAGAAGTCTACACCGAAGGTTATCCATCTTTTTTTTTGCTCGTTTCAAAATGCCAATTCCAGGAAAATGGTTGTTGTTTGGAATCTTGATGGGCTTCATTATCGGCACATTCCTCACCGTCATCATGGGCGGCGGCGCGTTCTGGTTCATGCGACGAACGGTGTACTCGTCGTGGTACCGCGGCATGTTCAAACGCTACGGATGCGACGCGTCGGGAACGACGGGCGGCATCACCGGCATCGGGTTCGGCAACACGGCGACCGGAATGGGAACGACGGCAAATTTGTCGGCCATCTCGCAAGTCTCATCGTCGTCGACCGCCGATGCCTCGACGGGAAAATCCGAGAATCCGCCGAGTGTGGCCATGTGAGCCGATTGATATCAATAAATCTCGAATTTTAACTTCGATATCGTTTGTCTTAAAATTGTCAGAAAATTGGCATGATAGGGGATTGCCGACATTCGAGGAAAATTAAATACGAGCCCTAAGGGGGGTAGCGGACTCGATTATTCCACATAGATTCCTGCTGCGGACAGCATTCCGGTTTCGGGTTTTCAAGGTCCAGACATGCCAGCTATTTCATGGTTTCGAGGCCACACATTCTGGGTTCAATGTGAAAGCAAATATTGAAAATCAAATAAATGAAAAAAAAAAGAAATCTTATAAAATTCGGAATGTTGACGAAGGCACCACATTATCGGTATGAAGTTCAAATCGCGCCATTTCCCCTCGGGAGAAGTGTGAAGCCGTCTTCTTGTTGTTATTGTTGTTTTGACACGAAAATTTGAGCAATTTTTTGAGAGCAAAGGTTGTGGAGCACAAAAACGAGGCTTTTAAGTTTATTGGGAAGACGTGAAATTTTCCAACCAAGAATGATTGAGTTTTAAAGTTTTTATTTATGAATTCATATTATGTGAACGTGCTTAATTTATTTGTTTGAATCCGAAACTTTCCGACAATCGAAATTTAATAATGCTCGTGGTCTTCTAAAAACTAGGCCAGTGGGCCGAGCCATATACATACTAGGTCAGCCGGGTACACTTCATCATGATGACTGGGACCAATATAAAGCACAAAACTTATATCAGATTTTTGGCATTTACAAGAATTCGATAATCCATTTCTCAAAAATGGAGCTGCCGGTATTATTCTCTCGAAAGTATTTACGATTCGTAATTGAATTCAAGTCAAGTTTATTTAGCTTCAGCCGTTCATGGAGACGTCGGAAGGTTTTCTGAAATATTCTTCGACGAATTCGCATTACCGAATAATCAAGTGTATCCGACATTTGGAAAATATGGGTAAGTCGAATTGGAGAATTCTCAATTTTGATGAAAATCCTAGAAATTCATACCACCCAAATGAAGCAAGCACGAAAGATGAAGACAGAATATGCAGAGTATGTCGATTGATAGATTCAAATATTCAATTAAAAACTCAAAGAAATTAGTTCAGCATTTCATTCATTAAATAAAAAACTCCAAGAACGTTTAATCAATTTATTCAAAACAGCTTTTCTACAGAATCCGGTCGATAGATAATATATTGACACATGGATCCCATTCGAACCCTCTCGCTATATATATATATATTTATTTATTTATTTATTTATTTATTTATTTATACAGTGCTCCACAAAACTATATACCCACCCGAATTTTGTCGAATAACTCGAAAACGCGAATACCTCCAGAAATGGTTTCAATTAGAAAAATATGCGCATTTATTATTAGTTTCATGTTACATTCACAAAATTCAACAAAAAATACTTACTTACTTACTTAGTGACAGTAAGTAAGTAAGTATTTTATTTTAAAAATTTCGTCATTTTCACGAAAAAGTGGAAAAAATTTTTCCACAAAATGATATACCCACTCCATTTTTTGGCGTTTTTTTTTTTATTTTTTTTCGTATATTTTCGTATTTTCGAATTTTTTTTTGCAATTTAACTGTTCTTTAAGAAATGCCTCGTGGAAAGCCGCTCACCGACTTTGAAACAGGTGAAATTGAAGCAAAACTGGCTCAAGGTCTCTCTTATCGGCAAATTGGGAATGATCTCGGACGCACTCATAATGTTATTAGCCGATATGCTAAGAATCAAGCCGCATATGGTCAAAAAACGTCGACAGGTCGTCCTTCACTGCTTTCGGATCGTGATAAGCGCAAAATTTTGCGAAGAGCGTCAAATTCGGTCGTGTTGTGCTCAACGATTCGAAAGGAATTCAATCTCACGGTGTCAAATCAAACCGTCCGGCGTGTTTTATCGAAGAGCACCTTCATCAAACACAGTAAAATGAGGAAGGCACCAGTGTTGACTCGAATACATCGTGAAAAACGGCTGGAGTTTGCAAAAAAGAATCAACGAACTAACTGGAGACAAGTGAGAATAACTGCAAAATTCATTCAACTCGTTTTCTTCTTTCGGGTAGTCTTTTCTGATGAAAAAATGTTCAACTGTGATGGGCCAGATGGTTATCGTGATTATTGGCACGATTTGAGAGTGGAGAAGCCGCGGTTTTTGCGTAGAAACTTCAAAGGTGGAGGCGTCATGGTGTGGGCGGCAATCAGCTCGCATGGAAGAGTCAAGTTGTGCTTCGTTTCGCCGTCGAAAAGTGGTTCTGACTACCGATACATCATAAGACGTGGTCTGTTGCCATTTTGGCGTCGAAATAGGCACAAAAATTACTCTGTCATGTAAGATGGAGCCCCTTATCATCGTGCTCGTCGCACCATCCAGTGGATACGCAGCCGTAGAATCCCAGTTCTCGACTGGCCAGCCTGTTCTCCAGACATAAACCCCATCGAAAACGTCTGGGGATTTATGGTGAAGAAGATTTACGATGGCAGCAAGTCTTTTCGTTGGATTTCGGATCTCCAAAAGGCAATCGTGGAAGCCTGGAAGCTTGTCGATCAACAGCTTCTTGACAACCTTTATTTATCAATGGACAGTCGAATTTTTGATGTAACACGACTCAATGGAGGTCCAGTTAATTACTAAATGTTCATTTTAGTTCAAATTCTAACTCTCGATGTCTTTTTCTGAGTTTTTTATCAAGTGGGTATATAGTTTTGTGGAAAAAATTTTTCCACTTTTTCGTGAAAATGACAAAATTTTTTAAATTGCTATTTTTTGTTGAATTTTGTGAATGTAACATGAAACTAATAATAAATGCGCATATTTTTCTAATTGAAACCATTTCTGGAGGTATTCGCGTTTTCGAGTTATTCGACAAAATTCGGGTGGGTATATAGTTTTGTGGAGCACTGTATTTATATTTATTTATTTATAGCCGGCGTATTACAGCTGTACGCGGGTAGATTTACGAGTGCGCCTTTCGAAATGGTGAACGATCATTTTCTTTTTGTTTTCGACTATATTTTTGTTCCGAATTCAAAATAACTGCTGATTTGGTGAAAGACCCAAGTAAAAAAGCGCACGCCCGTAAATCTCAGGTGAAATGGAATATGTACATACAATACAGCCTGCAGCCGTTTGTTCTTCGTAAGAATTACGCGATCTCCTCGTCTACCGGGTATATAAATGTGATCCCATAATGATTTGTAGAAGCTCAATGATGGATCGGGTATATTTTCAGTATTCTGGACAAATTGCCCGCGATATTTAACGACACCGAGATAGTAATTCCAGCCTTCCTTCGCAATCGCTGAAAATTGATTATTTCAACAAGAGCCAATTGTTTTGACTGGACAAAATGTCAATATTCATTCTTTTCGTAGTTATTTTTTAGCTTGAGGGAAGTCATTTAAGATTGAAATACTTACAGCCGAGCATTTCTACTTCCTCTACACTTAGTGGTTCGCTTAACGCTTCTGATGAAAGTTTGCATTGTCTACATGTATTTTTTCCATATGTCTTCTGCACCACCCGAGAGAGTCAAAATAATCTATCCGTAGTTCAAAACCCTATAAATGTAAAATTAATTATTTTTTTTATGAATTAACCTTATGGCATTTCATATAATTTCCTTTGATAAACGGAGTGAAATCACTCCGACAGTATCCATTTTCATCGAAATTGTAGTACCCTTTAAATTGATTTAATGGTCTCGATTTCTCGAGAATTCTTACGTGATTGGCAATACATTGGAGATCGTTGACCGAAAGGAGCTGATGTTAATTGCCAATTACTATATTGAAGGGATTTTAGAATTTTCTAGGGATTTCAATATTCACCTTTCATTCGTTATCATTATCATCGATGCCGTCAAGTTCCTTCTTATTTTACAGATCTCTTCCTTCTCGAATTCATCACACGATCTTGTTGAATTGGTGGCCTCTCTGATTCCGGTATGAACATATTTGGTCTGCGAGAAATAACTCGGAGGAATTGAGAGTTTCAACGAATGATCTTCGTTGAATCTACTGAACTGATGCTGTCCGAAATCAGAAAAAGAACCCATCAATTTCTAAATATGATATCAATTTGAAACTATCAATCGACATACACGGCATATCCCGTCTTCATCTTTCGTGCTTGCTTCATTTGGTTGGTATGAACTTCTAGGCTTTTCTTCAAAATTGAGAATTCTCCAATTCGACTTACCCATATTTTCCAAATGTCGGATACACTTGATTATTCGGTAGTGCATATTCTTCGAAGAATATTTCAGAAAACCTTCCGACGTCTCCATGAACAGCTGAAATTAAATGAACTTGACTTGAACTCAACCAGAAATGAACTAGAATATGATTCCTTGTGTGGTTTTTCACATATAAATAAAATATTGTCGTCTTTGATATCAATTGGTTTGATAAGGCCAAATTTCCCGTTAAACTGCTCCCTCAAATCGACATATTCATCGCCATCTCGTAAATCATCAGATTTATGGATATTTTCAGAATAAATTCCTTCATAATTTGTGAGAAAATCCATCCAAACTGGAACCGATGGTCTGAATATTCTCTCGACAATTCCAATCAAATCGATTCTGTCGAGTTTCGCCAATTCGATATTTGGTCCACACGTTTTGTTGATTCCATTATAATTTGTTGCATTTTCTGGCAGCAAATAGCATTTTTCATAAATTGGAAGATAATTACGCGGACAAGGATAATAATGATCTTATTAATTGCCGTAATTAAGCTTATTGTCTCTACAATTCAAACCATAATCACATTCAATGATATACTCGTCAATTATTCTTGCAGCTTTCACCCTATATGGCACAAGTCGTCTACAACCATCGAACGGTCCAATCTAGAGTTTCGCTTTAAAATTTAATTGTCTTTTATTGAATTACGTACAAATTCATTTGCTGGAAACTGGAATTTCGCATTTTTACAAGATACTCCTGTTCCTTGAAACTATCACCGATTTCAGAAATTAAACAAAAAAAAACCACAAACCAAATCAGTTCGATTCGTGCTTTGTCCTCCACTTATTCGACAAAAGCTATGAAAGAGAGAATCATCGAAATCGTAATATTTTTCTGCTTCAGATTTCAGTATAACTATGAGGTGAAAGTGAATTAGGATTCCTGAAATATTTTAAATTTCATTGGAGAATTCAATAATTCCATTTCAATTTTTGCTACGGGGCTCCATAAAACAATTATTCCAGTAATTAACAAGGAACATAATTCAATTAAAAAAATGTAGATGTTATTCTTACCTAATTTTGTAAATGCAATCATAGTTTCAACGTACAAATGAACCAAATATCATTTTTAAAATTTGAAAAATACACGTTTGATTGTTTGCAATTCAGAGTGATTATGTCTATTTAGAATCATTCTCAGCCTCTACAAGGCTAGTAATTTTAGGTCGTGTTGCCTCGAATTCTTCAAGCGAATCCGATTAATTCATTACTGATCAAAATACTGCCGCACTGTTGCTCAAATGTATGCGGTCACTGCGATTATTGCCACGCCCACTATTTCGAAACATTTCGTCAATGGAATCTTGGGTTGTTGTGTCTTTTTTTTCATTTGCTTTCTCATTTTAAATTTAAAAAATTACTTCAGAATGAGGAGAAGTCAATGTCGAAACATTAAAATAATCTTGTGACATTCAAGGATTCGTGGATTTAACCAATTTCCTTCTTTTTTCGATCGCCTAATAGGTTTATCTATGAAACTGGTATATTTTTTAAATCAAAATTGTTGAAATTGTTTTTCAGTTGTTGGTATACTTCGATGCTCTTTTATTCCGTATATCGTCCATTTTCTCTCATCTCGGTTGTTGAAGCAATATTGAGTAAGTTTCAAATCGCACATTGTCTAATAATTACTATTAAATTTTTAAATTTTCTGTTTTTATTAGGCTGGATGAGGACAAACGAGAATAAATATTGTTCAAACACGAGAATTATAACTTTATCTTACTAGCGAGTAAACTATTTTTAATTAATGTCTTATGATCTAGGTATTTCCAGCTGCAAAACTTTCGGCAAATTCGCATGCCGAAATCACTAATTCAAATGAAAATATTGTTACATCTAAATTATAGATTTGTTCTGCTTAAGCGATTTTTTGCATCTAAAGAAGTAAGCACTGACATAATTATTCAAAAATTGCTTTTAAAAAATTTTTTGTCCCGAATTCTTACTTTCAGAAATCCAACAAGATCGGTGATTCCATTAGTAACTGAAGGAGAACTCAATTTTGATACGCCCTACACACTCATCTACGTCTTGGCACTCCAGTGCGTCTTAGCTGTGTTTGCGGATCAACTTGGTATGACCTCAAAGCATTTATTGAGAAACATTTATTGATTTCCAGTTGTCTATGGAGACTGAAGAATTATGAAAAGCCGTTTTGTAAAGAAGAAAACGAATAACTGATGTTTGAATTATGTAAATTAATTATTGATTGATATCCGTGCAAAAACCATTTGAAATGTGTGCCGAAGAGATGAATATGTCAACAGATTTGATCTATTCTCTATTTTTGAAGCTGGTTTTATATTGTGCCAATGCTAAATCACGATTGTTGTGTTATTATAAGATATTTATTATGTTAATAAAAAAAACGAACATGTGAAGAACATCAATATTAGTAAAACATTGGATAAAAAAAAAATAAATAGCTATAGAAAACGACAACTCAGGAATAAAAACTCGATAAAAATTAAAATCGGCAGTAAAAAAAATATGTAACAAAAAGTATTAATACTATTGGATAAAATAATCGAAAACGAAAAGAATAATTGTGTAGCAAACCATAATTTGATGAAAACACAATTCAACTTTACATATGAATTTAAATAAGAATATTAACGATCTTTGATATCGCTGTAGAAGTAGAACATTCAAAAACAGTGGGAAATCACAGAAGAAAAAGGAATTTTAAAAAAATTTAAGAATTTTCATACCGCCATACAAATAGAACATTGAGAAAACGACAAAGACGGCTAAGTGGGAAATCACAGAATTTACGTGAAAGGACGGGTCAAATAATAAACGATACCGAGCAAAAACAGGGCTGTCATCACAAGTGTTGGAATGATGATCATGGCTTCTTCGCGGGAGACATAATCGGCGATGGTCACTTTCCCATTGGCCAGCGCTTTGAGAAACTGCAAAACAAAAAATGAAATATTAAATTGAATATTCAAAACTGGGGAATTTATAATTTTAAGGTACGGTACACAAAGTCCGTAAACACTTTGACTATAAATGCACACTATCAAATCTGAGATTTTTCCACTTTTAAAAATTTTATTTGTGTTTTATTGAATTTTTCTGGAATTTTACCTCGTCTTTATCGTTCGAAGCGCCCGAAATTGCATCTTGACCAATATCTTTGAGTTCCTTCAGCAATTCTTCTATTTCGGTAGTGATTGCATTGGAAACAATATTGGGAATGAAAAAGAATCCAATAACCATGATGATGAATAACGGGGCAGCGTATAGAAAAGCCTTCAAGAAGACTTGTGTGCTTCGTCCTTGATTGTTCTCTAATACTAATCTGTTACCAGGAAATTCGGATTGGGGAAAGCTGCGCATTGACCTTCTTCGAGATAATAGACGCACACTTCCATTACATCGCAGTCGCTGAAATTGTTTTCTTTTATTAGAATTATTGTCGTGTATACCTGTTGATTTTGCATTTCCTGGTTTCGACGAACCCGAAGAAATCCGGGAAGAACCTTCCATAAAGCGCTATCGTGTGGGTCACGGGGTGACAGTACCCGTTGACCGCCCGTTTGCAGATCGGGCGCGACGGATCGCACGAAATCTGGCCTACAAACGGGCGGCCAAAATTGACCAACAATGAGTTGGCGGCAACTGAAAATAAAATTATTAAATGCGAATAAATCATATTTGTTACTTGACGGGCACGGCCACCCCATTACACAAGTGCAATTGTCGATGTTCTCCGGGCACTCCAGGTATCCGCTTTGTCCCCGGCGGCATGCCGGCTCTATGAAGAGCGGGTGGATGCCGTCGGGGCAAACCACAGGCTCTTCATAAGGGCCTAAAACGTATTTGTTAAGAACTTATTGAGTTTAATATTGAATTATTCATTTGAAAATTGTTACCTTCACAGCAGACTCCGATGTCTGTGCAGAATCCCAGGAGATCCCCATTTCCCATGTCCGGATTGCAGGTCTCAAATCCGGCCATTGTTCCTGCTTGGCATTTACGCAATGGCCGGACGAGAGTGCCGCCAAAGCAGACGTCCAGCAATCCGGAACAACAGAAATCTCCTGTTTTATTACAATAGGCACTGAAAACGTGGAATAAAAGTATAATTTTCAGAAAATGGTTTACTTGGGAATCAGTCCAGCGGATCCGACCATTCCATCCATCAGATGGACACAATCCATATCTTCGGAACATGGGACGAGCGGCTTCTTGGCAGGGGCTTCAACGTTGATCTGGCAGAATTCTCGTGTTCCGCAGAATCCATAAGTTTCGTTAGTGGCATCCAAGCAGTCGAATTCGCCACATTCGTCGTCCGATTTGCACATCCGAATTCCAATATCAAAAAGAAGTTTCGTCGCAGTGTCCGCTCTTTTCGTGACTGAAACAAGATTGTTCGAATAGTTTTGCATTTCAGGCTAGATTTTTTTTTTAATCTGAATGTTTTTTATTAGTCAACTAAGAATTAAACTTACTGTTGAAACATCCAGTTCTATTAGAAATTGCTCTCGTTTCGTTGTTAATCAGGTAGTCGCAGAACATTTTGGGTCCGCAGGCAATGTTCGATTCGCGTTGTGGTTGGTCTTCCGTCGATTCTGTATTAAAGTTATAAGCTGAAATCTTGTGATTATGATAGTTTTTACTTGTATATTCGAATAACGGGTGATTGAGCAATGACTTGGGATGAACAATAACTGAAAATGATGATTATAAGATCCTATGATTTCACAAACGCGTATTTTGATTGAGAACCACAAAAAGGAAATTATAAAATAAAAACATGATAAAAAATAATAATAATAATAATTTTAAAAAAATACAAGTCGATGTGAATAATTCTGCAGACTTTGTTTAAAAAACCGCAGAAAAGTGAAATCGACAAATACTCATAAAAACATTGGATGGGGACCAACATTCATTCTACCCTTCCCTTTATATATGAAGTCCTCCTGAGCCGCCACCCACAATTATATTGATATCTTATTGTAATAAAGTGTTCTCTGGTTTTACGAAAAGATAGTGAAAGCGGGTCTGTGAGTTGCTATTCGGAACTCAAAATAACCCCCCATCCCCACCACATTTCAGCAATTTAACGACATACAACAACAGTCCTCGATTGAAGTGTTCGGAAGTGTGCATGTGATAGTGTCACCATCAATTTCTATTTTAGATTCCCATCCAGCTAAACATTTGGGGTTTTGTGCTGAAATTCGAGTAAATGAATTTTTTGAAATGTTCAAATATACTCACTGCAGCAGCTCGGCTCAAGGAATCCTGGGGGCTGCACGCATTCTAAGTTTTTATCTTCGCACCATCCGCCAAGAACGCATCTAATATCAGACGAACAGTCTGAAAAGGAAAAAATAGAAATCGAGTTTGTTAATTTGAGCGACTTACCCCAAAGCACTTCCTCGAATGAGAACAAGACCAAAAAGGAGAGAAGAATCAAAAATCGCATTTCAAGAAAAGATTGGAAGCAATTCACAACCGATTACGGATGAAACTATGACTTGAAATAAAAATTTGCACGTGTATTTCCAATTTTCTCCTTTTCACGCAAAATCATTTCTGACTGTAAAATTATCTGAAGGAGGTTGAAAATCGGGGATTTCAGGATTTACAAGTTGAATACTTTATTAGCCATTAATATAGTAAAGGGGTTAAGCTGCCGTCCTACCGAATAGTGATGAGACGGCACTTCCCTTTATTTCACTCACTTTCATATACGTTAGTAATTGATAACGTTTCGAAGAAAAACTGATTTATTTCTTCAATGAAGTGAGGAAACTACAAATAAATAAACCGGTGGATTACAATGATGAGAGTTGATAAAAACGGAGCCGACATACGCGACTCTGGAAGGAAGGAAAAAGGCCTCGATTGATGGATATTGGGGTTTATAAATGGTGCAATGATTTAAAAATGGATTGATAAGGATTACAGAAAGGATTACATCAGCTATCGGTCGCCCACGGCTTCCGGCGGAGCTGATGTATTTTGATTGAGTTTTTGTGATAGAACCTGATGGGTTTTTCCTTTACAATATAAAATAACATCAATTCTAATCAGATTATTTAGGAAAGTTTTTTAAATAAAATTGGAGAAACTCGACAGACTCGATATGATTGAAGTTGTCGAGAGAATATTCAGACCATCGATTCGAGGAATTGAGAGTGAATGGCTGAAATCGAATAAACTTGACTTGAATTCCACCGGAAATGAACTAGAATATGATTCCTTGTATGGTTGCCGTTTTTGATACCAAGTGGTTTGCCAAGTTTCTCGGTATTGTTTATTATTTGACCCGTCCTTTCACTTCCTGAATTGTCGTTTTATATAGCTATTTCTTCAAATTTTTCTTTTTATCCGAGTTTTAAAACTAATATTGATGTATTTTTTTTAATTTTCGTTTTTTTTTATTAACAACGTTGAATAAATATCTAATAGTAATACAACAATCGTGTTTTAACATTCTGAGATTGGCACAATATAAAACCAGCTTCAAAAATAGAGATATATAAAAACCTGCGGACATATTCATCTCTTCGGCACACATTTCAAATGATTTTTGCACGGATATCAATCAATAATTAATGTACAAAATTCAAACATCAGTTATTCGTTTTCTTCTTTACAAAACGGCTTTTCATAATTCTTCAGTCTCTATAGCCATCTGGAAATCAATAAACGTTTCTCAATAAATGTTTTGAGGTCATACCAAGTTGATCCGCAAACACAGCCAAGACGCACTGGAGTGCCAAGTCGTAGATGAGTGTGTAGTTCGCATCAAAACTGAGTTCTCCTTCAGTTACTGATGGAATCACCGATCTTGTTGGAATTCTGAAGGTAAGAATACAGGAAGAAAAAAATTTAAAAAAAAATGTAAAGCAATTCTTGATAACTAATATTAGCGCTTACTTTTTCAGGTGCAAAAATATCGTTTAAGTCTGTAGATGTAATAATGTCTTTTGAATTGGCATTTATTGACAACGTTGAAAAAAAATTACTTTCTTTGCGGGGGACGTATTTTTTCTATTGAGATAAAATAATAATTATTTTGTTTCAACCATCTTTATTCACGTTTTTTCTCATCCAGCCTAATTAAAACAGAAAATCTAAAATTTGAATAGGTATAATTGAACAGTGTAGGATTTGAAACTTACTCAATATTGCTTCAACAACCGAGTAAAGAAAGATGGACGATATACGGAATAAAAGAGCATCGAAGTATTCCAACTCCTGGAAAATTAATTATTTTAAAATACACTATTCAACTATTTTTAATTAAATACCAAAATATACCAGTTTCATAGATAAACCTATTCGGCGATCGAAAGAAGAAGGAAATCGGTGAAATCCACACAAATCCTTGAATGTCACATGATTATTTTGAATCAAATATGTTTCGACAATAACTTTTCTCATTCTGAAATAAGTCTTTTTGGAATAAAATAAAAACGAAAATAAAAAAAATAGTGGGCGCGGCAATAATCGCAGTGGGTTAAATCCACGAATCCTTGAATGTCACAAGATTATTTTAATGTTTCGACATTGACTACTCCTCATTCTGAAGTAATTTTTTAAATTTAAAATGAGAAAGCAAATGAAAAAAAAGACACAACAACCGAAGATTCCATTGACGAAATGTTTCGAAATAGTGGGCGTGGCAATAATCGCAGTGACCGCATACATTTGAGCAACAGTGCGGCAGTATTTGTGATCAGTAATGAATTAATCGGATTCGCTTGAAGAATTCGAGGCAACACGACCTAAAATTACTAGCCTTGTAGAGACTGGAAACGATTTTAATTCGATAGATTTGAATTGAAAATAATCAAACGATACGTGTATTTTTCGAATTTTAAAAATGATATTTGGTTCATTTCTACGTTGAAACTATGATTGTATTTACAAAATTAGGTAAGAATAACATGGTGGATCATGATGATGAGAGTTGATAAAAGCGGAGCCGACATACGCGGCTCATGGAAAAAGGAAAGGGGGTCCTGATTGATGGATATGGGGGTTTATATGTGGCACTGTTACAATCAAAGAATTTAATAAAGGATTTAATTTCGGATTGATAAGGATTGCATCAGCTCCCGGCGGAGCTGATGTGGTTTGATTAAGTTTTTGTAATAGAACCCGATAGGCTTTTCTTTTGCAGCTATCCCCCACAAGGTAAGATCGACCCTGATCGAAAATGATTCCTAAGGGCTTGCGGTTCCTTTCTTGTTCAAGTGTCTCGAAGAAATGCTGGGAGTGTACTCGGGGAGGAGACAAGTGGAGAGTAGGAAATCTGACCTTCGACACCGCCCTGCCGTTAAAACAAAACGGATTCGAATAATAACCAATCGGTTCCGATAATTTCACAATCTTATCCGTAGAATTACCAATCGGATAAGGTTGATTCCGGAGCCGGTGCGATTGAGTTTAAGTTACCAGAGAGTCACCAAATATTGTGTACCACACACCCACGCCTACAAAACTGAACACTAATGTTCCAGAATGGCTCATACGATTTAGAATTTGAAACATTCTTAATAAGCCAATTTTTGCGACTCTAAACAGCCCAATTGGAAGACGCGACATTCACATATATTCAGAATCATACAATATAGGCAAGAGAATGCCATTAGGAATTGGAGGACCAAATTGAAAATTCATTATTCACGCTTACATTAGCATACAGCTTTTTCACATGGGACCATTGTTTTAGGAGTCAAGGATGAGGGTGTCGATGTGCGGACCCGTATGTGACCCCGAGATCATCTTTGCAAGACACCTGAACAATATCGCCACTAATTTCTAAAAATTTTGGTCTACTTCGGATCAATTCATTCATCTGGACTCATTTGGACCTAATAGGACAATGCAGAAAAAATAAAACAATAGAGAAACTATGTGTTTTCCACTTTTTGTTCTGTAATGTTTTCATGTTAAATCAATCAGATTCGAAGGAAAATGTCATATAAATTAACCTGATTCGATTAAAAACTAATTGAAATTTGATTTGGTTTCGATTCAAGGGTCTTCAAGAACAAAAAACCTTATAATTGTAAACTCGAATTCGATCGAAATTTTTTAATATTTTGGAACTGATTATTTTTTATTTCATTTTTCCTCTTACCAGAAACTTTTATTTATTTTCTCTTTCCTCTTACTATTTTAATTATACACTAATTCATACACACCCATCTCATATTATTTTACCCGCCACATTATCTCGTACATCGATATCATTTGTTTCATATTATCTTGATTCTACTACATTCATTCTGAATGTCTTCCAATTCGTGAGGAAACTGAACAAATTCTTGTATATTGCAAAACCGTCTGAAGCGCAATTTCAACAATTTTTACAAAGCTCTTCGGAATCTTGAAGTCAGCAAAAACGATGTCTAGAAATTCCAGTCATAGAATGGCATTCCTTCTATTTTTTGTTTCATTTTAAAAAATTGAATATTCCGTTCCACTTTTCGAAAATTCTAGAACTACTTATTACTAGCCGCGCCTCGATTCAAGTATTTCGATTTCAAGTGTTTTGAACCGACGTCTTCAATTGTCGCGTCCACAATTTCAGCAAGCAACATCATGCCGCTTGACCAGTTGGCGATTCTACTAATTATTCTCAATTATGCGTTTTGTCAGGAATTTCGACCGCCTAATATTTATCATTGGCTCGAACAGAACAGCTATATATGTCCGCCAATATGTCGGGTAATAAATCAAAGAAAAAATTCTGTTGGATTCAGGCGATGCTTCATTGATTTCGCGACGCCATCCGAAGTTTCTCACACCGGCCGAGGCGAGAATATTCGAGTGTTCGTGTGGCGATCCGATCAAATCGAAAATGGCGTGCGGCAAAATTGGAAAAATCAAACCGAGATGTTTCAGATGTGAGTTTCGATGGTCCCCGGCCAATCCCTACCAAAAATGGTTTTTTTTCGACAGTGCCCATTGAGTGCCTTCGCGAGTACACCGCAATTTTCGCCAGCGCCGGCAATCGAATGAAGCGTAATGAGTATTCGAGAAACCCATCGGAATTTTTTTTCACATTTTTCAGAACCCTTTAAGCATACGGAAAAGCTCAAAACCACTATACATCGAAAAAGGCTAAGGTGATTCTGCTTCGTCCTTCGCCTGTTGAGGCGCGAACCACAGCATTCCAAGCTTTTCGGTCCTTCGCTTGAGCGGACCACCGAATAATTACGGCTCCGTCAGCTGCTCTTGTATTGTGGAAAAATGACGAATGTGAAAAATTGCAGCGATATCCTATGCATTGTGTGCGTACACCGAGCCGCACATCTCAATCTTAGCTACAGTAATCTCAACTGAATATTAATTAATTAATTATTGAAAACAATTAACTTTGAATAATATACAAAAATAATTACTACACATTACACTTTTTCAACGCAAAAATACACATAAATCATAAAGTCACCAAGAAGACATCGAAAAAATTTTTTAAATAATTAATTAAATAATTTTCAGTTGAGATTACTGTAGCTAAGATTGAGATGTGCGACTCGGTGTACGCACACAATACACAGGATATCGCTGCAGTTTTTCACATTCGTCATTTTTCCAGAATAGTATGAAATTGTTTCAATTTTTCCAGAACTCGTCCGCAGCACAGACGGCTCAAAATCATACACGTTCGAAAATTTCAAAAAGGTTCAACACGTGGATGATCAATAACGAAATCAATTCAAATAATAATAAATTTGAAAATTATAATGTGTATACAACATGTATATGTTCGCGGAATATTCCAGAAGTCTCGTTCCAAATATGATGATGACGTCATTAAATCAATCGTCTTTTATCAGTTTCGACATTCGCGAAAAAAATATTTTTGATTCTGTTGATTTCATCATATCCGTTTTCACTTATACTAGTTTTACGGTGTGAAAGCGAAATTTAATTTTGTTTTTCGTCAAATCGCATAAAATTTTGAGTTTTGCATAATTCCGCGTGACCTTGAAAATTCATTTTTTTTTTTGAAATAAAAAAATTGTCGCCAAATAATTTTATTTGAAAATAATCCTGGTTCCAATGAGTATTTCATCGATCCATTCGGCTTGCTTCTTCTCATCGCCAGCTATTTGATTGCCAAGTTCACGGATTCTGGAAATATTGTTAGTTTAAAGGCGCATTTAGCCGTCGAGCGACTTTGCGCAACTCGCTTCATAATCCCTCTGAGCCTGCTCACTTTTCAGCTTGTTTTGCTCGGTATCATTACTTAAATATAATATGTGAATAATTAGATGGCTAATTGCCATCTATAATTACTCATTATAAGCTCCCAAAGCGACGTCCATATCGAGTCGGCGCTTATTCAATTCCGACAACACATGGCCCTGGGCTTTGCATTCGGCGCTCAAATATGTTTTGAATTTGTCGATTTCGTTGTTGATCTGAAATATTCTTCAATAAAAAATTACAGAAACAATCGAAAACCTTGGCGGTGGCTTCCGTCTCCGCTTGAAGGCGTTTTTGGAAATTCGCCACGAGCGCCTCCAATTTTAGCGCCGAATTTCCCGACTGCGACAGTTCTTGAATGACATCGAGCCCTTTTTCGCGTTTCTGGTTTTTGATCATCTGAAATTCAACGAATTTCATTAATTTTCCCTTATTTGGCATTTACATCGGTGATTTCTGAAACACTACTGTTCAATGTTTTCACTCGAGAAGCGGTGTCTTTAAAATAGGCGACAAGTGCTGCTACATCGTCTGGGTACCTGCAACACACAATGCATGTATACGCACTCGGCATGAAGCGCCCCAACCGCCTCGATAGCTCAGTTGGGAGAGCGTTAGACTGAAGATCTAAAGGTCACCAGTTCGATCCTGGTTCGGGGCAATCGTTTTTGCTTGCTTACGCTGTCGCTTGTGCACGGCCGGTCTTCTCCTTCACCTTTTGCTTCAAACGACTAAACATGTTAGTGACCAGTATACGAAATGAACAATAATCACGCGTTGAACAGTAATTCGTCGTGACAATTGCGTCGCGATCTTTTAAAATGATAATATATCAAAAAAAAAATTGATGATATGCCGTTCGGCGTACACCCCAGATAGTTGTTCAAAAACCAGTAGGTACAAATTGTGGATTAACAAAAATAATATTAAAAGTTGATTTCTGATTGAATGATGATTTGAATTTGCCTATGCAAATGAGATCCAGTTTTCTCGATATGGGCGGGCCGAGGGGTTCGATGACGCGATTCATTCTTGACCTTTTTTTCGGTGGTGTGGGTGGGCTTTTTGCCACATTTTTCGGTCAATTCCTCTAAATTTCATTCAACAAAAATTCCGCTAATCGTTCCGGTATTTCAAACGAAATTTACATTTTTTTTCATCTCGTGTCATCACTTTTTTTATTGGAAACAAATACATTTTGTGCCGTGATTCGAACACCAATTCTATTGTCGTCAATTTTCGTTTTCTTTTTAGAAAATTTGTTTTCAACGCCGGAATCGATGATTTCTCTCGTTTTTTAATTTTCCAAAAAAAATAATCGTTGAAAAAAACCGTTTGAAAAGTCCGCAATAATGTGGGCCGATGAACTGCAGACAATCACCTAACTACAGTATTCATTTTTGTCATCCTAAAATTGAACATAAATAGTTGATATTTTTATTTTACAAAAAAAAACGAATTGTTAATATTTTTCGTTAAAAAAAACGTTTGAAAAGTCCGCAATAATGTGGGCCGGTGAACTGCAGACAATCACCTAACTACAGTATACATTTCAAATTGAACATAAATAGTTGATATCTGTACCTATCGTTATTACACTATCTCCTCCCCACTCTCACCCCTCCCCTTTTTTTGTTGGCTTTTTGACCTCCCCCAACTCGCCTCATACACACAGCACGCGGGCAGCCAACCATCTGCCTTCCCATCGAAAAAAAAAAACGTCTGTTGCTATTATTCCCTAATTAAAGGCTCGATGGGGTTGAAGACGTCGGAAAAGAAGAAGCAGAGCGTGTTGCCGCGTGTGCTCACCAAAAATCTGCTGCTCATCCTCACCATGATCGGCATTGTGATTGGCGCAATTGTTGGCGTCCTCCTTCGGTACGCCGACGAATCGACTTGAAACACGATTTCGAATCGTTTTTAGATCGCTCGAACCATCAAGCGAAGTCATACGATATGTCGGATTTCCCGGCGAATTGTTCATGAACATGCTGAAATGCATGGTGTTGCCATTGATCGCAGCCAGTATCATTTCCGGTATACCCTTGTCATTTTTTTTGTTTGCTTCGAATAGAATTGAAATTAATTGCAAAAAAATCTTTTTTTTTGAGAATGTTTGCTATGTAGGCCGCTGCAGCAAACCTGCTCCATTGGACTATTTCTGAAAAAAAATTTCGAACTCCAAATTTCATACAAAAGAAACAATTGATTTTTTTGTGGAAAAATATAAATTAAACAATCCCATCGATGGCATGTTCTCAACAAAAAAGGCAATCATCGCTTTCAATATTACATCAATCATCATGCGTGGCAACTATAGAAGTTTGCTGTGAACTTATTGATCTCGATAAGAATCGAACAAAAATGGTTTTTTTTTCGTTTAGGATTGGCGCAGCTTGATGGAAAAACCTCGGGTCGTCTTGGATCTCGCGCTGTCATGTACTATGTTCTCACCACTAGCCACGCGGTTTTGGTGAGTTGAAAAAAAAATCGCGTCTAACACAAAACAGATATCCATATCATTGATAATGTGATATGGAATGGGGAGGGGAAGTTGTTCGATAGGAACCACAAACAAGGAACTATTGAAAATTGTTTTATTGGTGCGGGGAAGTTGTCCGAAATCATTTGTGAACATGAACAAGATCGAATCTCACTATTTTTTGCAGCTTGGCATTGTCGTTGTGTCGATTATTCATCCCGGAAATCCTTCGATTAAAGCCCATATTGATCCAGAAACCGAGGAAAAGGCTGATGTGTCCGCCATTCAAAAATTTATGGACCTTTTTAGGTAAATTGGGGAAAAATTGAATTTATTGGTTACGGTACGTTGTGAGACCTCTCTTTGATAAGCGAGTGCGCCCTTAATTTTAAATCTTACTGTATTTATTTTTTATTTATTTTAACATAAAAATTTTAAGTCATTTTTTCAGTTTTATAAGACGTTTCTGGATAAAGAATAACTAAATATGCTTATTCACAATTTAAACAAGTTTTGATCCCCTAAAAACCCCGCAATTTTTGGTTTTAAATCAATTTTACGAATTTTCTAATTCGAACATATTTAAAAATACGCTAGTTAAATTCCCATTCAATTTTTAAAGCTGTCTATTAATTCTGATAATCGTTTTTTTTTTTTAATTCGTCAACAATTAACTACTTGTTTTGTTCAGAAATGCGTTCCCCGCCAATATCTTTCAATCAACGTTCGCCCAAGTTCAAACCCAAATGGTTAATAAGACGCTACCAAGCGGATTAGTCGCGAAAGTCCCAACAACCATTTATATAAATGGAATGAATGTTTTGGGTGTGTCATTTTCTTCATGGAACCATTCTGACGAAGTGATAATCATTTAGGAATAATAGTTTTCTGTATAGTAATGGGATTGGTGATTTCGAAGGTTGGCGATGAAGCGAAACCACTGGCGAACCTGTTTGCAGCCCTTGACATTGTTATAACTAAAATGGTCATGATTATCATGTGGTAAAGAATAAATCTAATACGAATTGAGTTTAATTTTTTTTCCAGGCTTGGACCGATCGGCATCCCATCTTTAATCGCTCAGAAAATGCTTGAAGTTCGTGATATTTGGGATACAGCCGCAATGCTCGGCTTGTTCATTCTCACGGTTATTATTGGCTTGGCAATTCAATGCTTCGTCACTCTTCCGTTGATATTCTTCGTCGGAACCCGCAAGAATCCCTATGTGATTCTCAAAGGCCTTGGTCAAGCAATCCTTACCGCCCTGGGAACCGCCTCCAGTGCTGCCTCTCTTCCAGTAACCTTCCGATGCCTAAACAAACTTGGAATTGACCCAAGGGTCACCAAGTTCGTGCTCCCCGTTGGATCAATGGTGAACATGGTAAAATTCCATTTCTCTATGATGCATGATTTATGTGTATTTAGGACGGAACTGCACTTTATGAAGCTACTGCATCGATATTTATTGCACAAATGAACGGTTTAGAGATGTCAATTGGCCAAATTGTAACTGTGAGGTAACTTTTTCAAAAAAAATTTTCTGCAAGACCGCACTACATAAGGAAGTTAAAATATCATAGGAATTCCGTTTACTGAGGCGAACTTGATCTCTTGGCCTCAATTAACTTTTTTCAGTGTCACTGCAACACTCGCCTCCATTGGAGCCGCTTCAATCCCATCCGCTGGACTGGTCACAATGCTCATTGTGCTCACAGCTCTTGGCCTCCCAGCGTCGGACATTTCTCTAATCATCGCTGTCGATTGGTTCTTGTAAGTCGTTTTTTTATGGAATTTCCAACGCAATTTGTTTTCATTGCGCAATTATAGAGATCGCCTCCGAACTAGTGTCAACGTCATCGGCGACGCTTTAGGCTGCGGTTTTGTGCATTACATTTGTGCCGAGCATTTGAACGCCGATGTTGCCGAAGCTGAAGCGAAGATTGGGCACATTGAAGCACATGTAAGCTTCAAATGATCCCAAATTTCGAAAAATTCCAATTGTTTGAGGGTGTCGATTTTGACGAGCTTGAGAAAGAATGTGCCGCTGAGAACAACAACGACGCTCCGAAACCCGCCGAAATCGTGGTGTGAGCCGTAGATCAAAATTTGTATAAAATACAACCCCCCGGTCGCCACTCAAGCTTTAATATGTTCATAGTTCATAATGATCTTCGAATAATAAAGTGTTAATCACTTTTTGTTGGTCCTCTTCCGCGGCGTCGGCGACTTCACGCGCGGCGTCACGATTGGCGATGCCGGAAAATCGAGGTAAACCGAACGATTGATATTGGCCGCCGATTTCGTGCGACTGGTGGCAATCGCGCCTGAAAAACTCGAAATTTCTAGGGCCATTCGATGCCTGTGGATTTATTTTCAAACATTTTTGGAATGTTGTGCTCTGCTTCTTGGCAACAGCAGGCTTTTCTGAAATGAAAAAAAAAAATTAATTTGCGATGAAGTGGAGATGAGCTTCAACCTTTGACGGGCTCAATTTTGCTCACATCAATGGCATAGACCGAGGTGTTGGCATGAACATTGACACTGGTCTCGGATGGAACACGCTGCGCGATTTTGTTATCAACAACTGAAATCAAAAGGGTTCGGAAGAATCATGATGGCTTCGGCTTCTACTCTTTTCGCCTGACCCTTCTTCCTTCTTCGGCCGCTTGTCATTGATTTCTAGAACTCATACGAATCATTTTTTTAATCGACATATTAAAAAAAACCTTTAGTAGCTTGTCTATTAATCCAATCCGGCTTCCAATCAGGCATTGTGGTCCTAAAAAGAAATTGGTATCAATTCGCGTCGGGACCCAAAACGCCTACTTGGCATGATTGAAGCCGGCCGCAAGAAGATCCGAAACTTCCGTATAGGGGCATTCCAGTTTGCCGGCTTTCACCAATCGAGCAATTTGCAAAATCGTTGGCGGATAGTCGGGATTCGATAGGATCGTCTCAAACTCGTCCCAGAATTTCTTCTTCGCCGCTCTCACGTCCTCCCAATTCACCTTTGATTTCCATTCGAGCGGTTTAATGCTGAAATTGAGCATTTGTAAGAATCTTGATTCATTTTTTTTGTTACAGATCAATCACAATGTAGAACCATGATTCAATGTCTTGAATGAATGTCGACGGGGCCTTCGAGATCAGCACCTCGTGGCCTTCACGCGACAAGAATGGAAGTGTGAGGCCGTCCGGCGGACTGAGTCTGAAACAGTGACATTATGCAAAATGTGTCACGTGAAGCGTGTCTGGGTGCATTCAGAAGGCTCACGTGCGCGATTCGAACCGGTTTTTCGAAGGAGAAAAAATTTTGCGCGTGGCGGCGACGCGATTCGTCTTACGCGTAAATCCGCTTGTAGCCGACCGAGTCGCCAAAATCCACAATGAACCATTGGTTGCGATTGAGCGGATTGAGCACAATGTTGGTTGGTTTGATGTCGCGATGCACAAAATTCTTTCGATGAATATCCTGAAAATTGGCCAATAATTATTAGCTAAATATTTTTTTAAACTAAATTCACCAAATATGATTATTAACTAAATAAATACTTTTTAACTAAATTCATATTTTTCAACTAAATAAAATATTTTTAAACTAAATATGATTTTTAACAAAATATAATTATTTTTAACTTTAATATTTAGTGAATTTAGTTAAAAAAAATATTTAGTTAAAAATTATTGACCTGAAAATTTGAATTTTCGCGGCCGCCCCCGCGAAATTCGGCCATTGAAAATTCGGCCATACCTTGATGCCCATCAAAATCTCTTGGGCAATGAAAAAACATGAGGGAAGTGTGACATAGCCGCCCATCTCCTCTCGACACTTCTCCAAATTCGGGTCCATGAGAGCCGAAACGAAAAACGGGACCCCTAAAACGCGGCCTTCGAACAACAACGGATTAATTCGCTTCGGTAGGTCTTCTTTCGGGGCGATTGCTCTCAACGAGCGCACTTCTCTCTGAAATTCAACAATTCGTGCTCGCAATTTAAAGGCGCACACCATAATTCTGTTATGCGATTGATTACTCGAAACATTGCGAAGCGTCGTTTTCATCATCAACAAATTGTTCATCACTGAAACGACGTTGTCGCTGGAAATTTTTCAGAATGTGTTGGCGTTCAATTTGAGCGCGATTACTCAACAGCCGACTCATTTCGAACGCAATAAATCGCCGCGAATCGCCCTTCATCGTATTTGGCAACAATTTTGAGGCGATTTGTCTTCTTCTCATCCTCCATTATTCTAATTATTTTAATTTTCGACGAAAATTATTTTCAAAAATTTCAACTTTTCTGAAATAACTATATGGTCCGATGGTTTCAGCTCAGCCTTCTTTTTAAGGTATTCGTCGAGTATCACACAATCCGCCACCGCCAATGGGTTTTTCACACTGAACATATCCGAGTATTCGGCTTCCATCAGCTGCCTTGGAAGCTCTGGTGGGTTTGGCGGCTTCTTTAATAGCGCTCCTGCCATACTGAACTGAAAACTTTGAATTTTGCCTCAAAACTTTCCAATTTTGCCCACTTTTTTCTCTAAAACATCAATTTCACTGGGTTTTACCACATTTTTGGCTTTCAAGCTCTCGCTTGATGAACTGCTACTGCTCGAATCATTCTTATTTTTCTTTTTCTGAAAATTTTTTTCTCGCCATTCATTGCCTTTTTAGCCATGAATATCACCTTTTTGAGCTTTAATGCAAGTTTACTCGGAGTCTTTGGCACTTTTTTATTGTTCCTTTTCTGCTTCGTTTTGTCTTTACGTTTTTTGAACAAGTCCTTCAACGACATTTTTCGATTTTTTACATTAATAATTATTTTCTTACCATTTTCTTGAGTATTTAATGAACGAACCCAATAGAGAAATGCTATGATGATTAGTTTAATGAATGTTATTTTTTTAATTTTCACGTTTTCACTTTTAAAACATTTATTTCTCGATATTTTTAAAAATTTCGGGATTTCTTCTTTTCCCAGACTTCAATATTTTTAAAGTTCACTGATCGCGTCGCGATGTTTGCGGACATGCACCGAATCACACGACACCGTCTTTTTATTCCACGATTTTTTTCTGCATTTCCGCACATTTGTCCACCAATTCATTGATTTTAGGTAATATGGATCCAACGTATTATGGGAATAGTAATTTTGACGCATCAACGAGGCAAAGATCAGGCAGTACGCCGGGTTTGGGCCAAGAGCCACCTGGCGATGGCGGCCAATTTGGAATGCAGCAACAACTCGGAAAAATGGTACATTTTTCTCAATTGTTTGGTTATATTTTAATATTTATAAGGTGTGGGAAGCAGGATCAAAGCAATTTAAAGACACATTCAATTCATATGGAAGGATAGATTTATTCCGGCCATATTTTGACGTAGAGCCAGCGGAGGTAACAATTTCAACGCCTTTCAAAAATGATGATTGATGTTTAAGGTTCGTAATAGGCTGATTAGAAGCTTCATCCCCAGAAAACCTTCCCAAATCTCAGTTTCTCCTGATCTTTACGGGCCAACCATGATTATTCTAACAATGGTGGCCTTACTATTATACAATATGAAGGCTAGCGGGTAGTTATCTGCCTAATTATAATAAAATTCAATATTTTTTCTAGAATTGTGATTCAAAACGGTACTCTAATGGGCACTGCAATGTTCACATGCTTCGGTAGCTGGATACTGATTGCTGGAGGAATCTACATAACCTGCTTCCTCCTATCAGCCGAGATGCCATTCCTCTCAATTCTTTCAACATTTGTAAGCTGAAAATTATTTTGAAATCTAGAAAAAAAATATTTTAGGGGTATTCGTTGACTTCTCATTGCGTGCTTCTCCTTCTGACCTCACTTTTCCATCCATCCCACGACCACTTGTTCTTTTTCGTTCTTCTCGGATCGCTGTGCCTTCCATCAGCGTTAAGAATGGTATCCAAGGTTGAACTGTCGAATTTGAGCATCTCGAATATTCTAGGCCCTAATTGTTTGTAATCATTCGCGATTGCCTGCAAATCGAATGATCCTCATCGGTGTGTCGATCGCCGCTCACCTTCTCCTCATCACCTACCTTCACTTCGGATTCCATGTCGTCGTCGAAGAGCTTGATGAGATCGTTGGCGATGCGATTGATACCAGTGCTATCAAGGAATCCGTGCCGATTAAGGAAACGGCGATTTGATATGGTTTTCTTGTGTGACTTTCCTTGTTCGCCATTTGGGTATATGTATTAACACAGAATGTGAGAGAAAATTCAACTAACGGGAATCGTTTCTGTACATTTACTATTATCATTTATAAATTATTAAATTTCGCGGCTTAGTTGAAAATTTGGCACATATATTGTCAAAATCGTATTGTAATATATTTTGGAACAATTTCGTGATGGCCAATTTTCCCCCCTTCTTAAGATGTCTGTTATAAACGAACTCGAGCTTCGATTATCAAGCTATGATGCGCTGAAGGACTGCAAAAAGGCGGCATGTGCAGGTAATTATCGATAATTAGCCTCCTGGATTCGTTAATTACTCAGGTTGTAAACAGAATCGAATGTATTTCTGCTACGATTGCCGGATGCCAATGCCCGGCGTTTTCATGCCGCACGTCACTGTATGTTTGAATTTTTCTTTTTTTCTCTGAAAAAGAAACATCTCACCGAAACAATTCAAGTGTTTTAGGGGGGTGTGAAATGTGTGCAAACTCTGTGACACAGAAATTTTCAAAATATTCAAATGGTTTATCTGGTAACAATAATAGACAAAAAATTAAACAATTACATTAAATGTGCGTTTTCTACACTTTTACATCGGATAAAGAATGATATTTTTCATTAATATTTTTGTATTGCATGAATACAGTATGTATAATAAAAATTGGAATAAATTCTGTGATTTTCGAGATTTTCAAATTCAAAATTGGAATCCTCTCATCGCAAATGTGTGTTTCTTCTCAGTTACCGTGCCTTGTTGACATTGTGAAACATCCGCTGGAGAAGAATAGCAAGAGCAGCGCACTTCATTGCAAGATACTGGCTCCCGAGCAGACGCGGGTATGGTTTTCGCCAAAAAAAAAATCACATAAACACACAAATCAATAAATTTGCAATGTTTTTTTCTAGGTTTTCGATTATCCCGATGTTCACGATTATCGAAACGACGATGAGAATGAGCGGAATTCGACGGTGATATTATTTGCCGTCCCGTCAAATCAATTCGTGTTTATTTTGTAGGTGGTTGTGTTTCCGAGTAAATCGGCAATCAGCATCGAGGAATTTGTGCGCACGCGCGGTCCAATCCGTCGGATCATCGTGCTGGATTGCACGTGGTTCCAGGTGGGCACAATGCAGAAGACGCTGCAAATTCAAGGTTGATAACACTAACAAAAAGACGAGGGGGGGGGAACATTCTTTTAATTGAGTCATTAAACGATAACGACTATTGGTTTTGTTTGAGGACTCCAACATGTGTGCCTGCAACAGTATCGGACGGCGTTCTGGCGGCCGCAGCACAATGTGCCTGACACGGGTCTCGCAACGATAGAAGCGATTTACTACGCGCTCAAAGAGTATCAGGAAATTGGCCTTGGAAAGCAGTATAAAGGTAAATTTTGTTAAATAAAAATTTTTCCAACTCGATTGATGTCCGCAGATCATATTTATTAAACATCAAAATGATTGCCAATGGGCTTTCCAGGAGAATTTGACGATTTGTTATACTGGTTTTTCCACACGAAACATCTCGTCGATGAAAGACAACGCGACTATCAGCGGAAATTGAATGAGAAGCTCGAATCTTGTTGATTTTGTTACTAATTTCTAATAAATTTGTTGATTTTTTTTCGGGATTTTTCTATTGATTCGCCCGATTTGTTTATCGAACAAATTTCGATTATTTCCATTATTTTTTGTTTTGCGCGTGATACACATTTTGCCGTCTTCATGATCACTATTATTTCGTTCAGAAATGTTGAAACCATTGTTCGGAAAAAGTGACAAATCGCCGTCGGATGTTGTGAGGAATCTACGCGATGCGCTTCTTGTCATCGATAAGGTTTACGATGCGCCTTTAATTTGACATCCAGTAACCCGGTTTTACTTGTGTCTCCTCCCGCCAAAAATGGCTCGCAAATGAGTGTTAATATTGATTGTTCAGTACAATGGGGTTACCAGTGAGCGAAAAGTGGAAAAGGCGATTGATGAGACGGCCAAAATGTTGGGTTTGGCGAAGACGTTCATTTTCGGCTCCGATGCGTCGGAGCCCAACAACGATCAGGTCACCCAATTGGCGCAAGAGGTGTACAATGCGAACATCCTGCCGCTTCTCATCAAATATCTGCCGAAATTCGAGTTTGAGTGCAAGAAAGATGTGGCGATGGTGTTCAATAATTTGCTTCGACGACAAATTGGGAATCGATCGCCGACGGTGGAGTATATCGCGGCGAGACCCGAAATATGCATTAGTCTCCTCTTGGGGTAAAAAATTTGGATTTTTTTGAAAAATTTTAACAATTTTTAAAGGTATGAACAACTTGATATCGCCCTGACGGCTGGATCCATGCTCCGAGAGTGCATTCGTCATGAGCATCTTGCCAAACTTGTATTATACTCGGAATATTTCCAAAGGCAACTTTTTTTTCCGAGCACCGATTTGTTCATATTGGGAATTTGTCAGATTCTTCACCTATGTTCAAAGCGATGTATTCGATATTGCCACCGATGCGTTCTCAACATTCAAAGACCTACTAACCAAGCATAAAAACCTGTGCGCCGAGTATTTGGATGTGAACTACGACGGATTCTTTGCGCAATACCAAGCTCTCACCAATTCACCGAACTATGTGACTCGACGACAATCGCTGAAGCTTCTCGGCGAGCTTCTACTAGACCGACACAATTTCAGGTAATTTTCGATGTTTTCCTTTTTTGTTCAATAATTTTTCGCGATTCTGCTGATGTCAAATATTTTAAATATTACGGAGCAATTCAGTTTTGAGATTAAAAAATCGAAACAAATGAATTTTTTCCTTTGAAAATCTAGAATTGTGAAATTTGATTAATATTTATTTTTCACGAAAAGGAAATTTTAACTGTATTAAACAAACCGTATACTAAATAGTTGAAAATTTTTAAAGCCCTTTTATGTGGAATTTTGATTTTGAGAAAACTTGTGAAACAGCAAACTCATCGAATTCGGCGTGATTTCAGCACGATGAACAAATTTATAACAAGTCCCGAAAATCTGAAAACGATAATGGAGCTGCTGCGCGATAAGCGACGAAACATTCAATATGAGGCGTTCCACGTATTTAAAATTTTTGTGGCGAATCCGAACAAACCGCGTCCGATTCTCGACATTCTCAATAGGAATCGCGATAAGCTCGTCGAGTTCTTGTCGCTTTTCCACAATGATCGAACCGACGATGAGCAGTTCAATGATGAGAAGGCGTACCTCATCAAGCAGATTCGAGAGCTTCGAGTGTGAGAAGCTCACTGTATTATTATTTTTTTCTCTTGCATCATGCTTTATTTGGTGGCTTTCAATTTCAATTATCTTAAATATTACTTTTTATGTATTTCTTCTCTTTGTGCGAAATTTTTCTTTTTTGCATACGCTTTTTTTTTGCTTTATTCTCCCTTTTTTCGTCATCGTTTTGATTTTCACTTGATTATTTATTTTTTTGCCCATTTTACGGTTAGATATTGTTTCTTTATGTTTTGTTTTGGTTGTTTTCATAAACTGTATTTTTTGGTTGAATAAATAAGTGGAAATTGGATTTTTTTTTCAAGGAAAATAAAATCAATATTAAAATGTGTGCAATTTTGCGTCAAGTGGAATGCACTTTCTTTCAAAATTTTAAATTTCATCCGGCACTTTTGATTTCGCAACATTTTTTCCTTTGCTCTGTCCATTCATAATAAGGATGCGACACTTGTTGTTACACCATGACCGAGGGACTAGGTTTTGTGTGAGACACGAGGCCACGCCGATTTAGTTGCGTATTCTGTCGTCTCCAATTTTCGCGTTGTCGAATCAATAATAATATTCCACTGTTATCTTTATCCGTTTTTTAAAATTGTGTATTTCCGTTAATATGGCAAACGTGATCGGCGGCGGAATGCGAAAACCACCGAGAATTATGTCGAAGAGGCCGAATGTTTTGCAAAAACGGCATGGTAATGATTAAACGAATCAAATATTTTTTCTTATTCGCATTTTTTTTTAAAGATTTGCGAAGAAATGAGGAAATAAATAAAGCGAGGAATCAAGGTTTTGATATGTCGCATAGCGTTATTCCATTCAACCCGTCAACATTTCGACCGAAGAAGTTGCCAGGTGAAAAAATTGCAATTTTTCAAATATTTTCCAGTTTTTTCAGGTCTTGCAAATGAAGTCGAATCATTTCCCTGTCGTTGTTGTGATCGAGTCTATTTAACCGGTGCCGGTTTGGCGAAACATGCCCAAGAATTGCATCCGGATCAAATGGACATTGTCACTCAAGATATTCATTTGATTTCGAATGAATGGAAGAAAAGAGAGGTTCGACATTCTTCGAGGTTTCTTTAAAAATTAATTCGATTCTTTTTCAGTTTGAGGAGATGCGAGCCCGCGAAATAATGACAATGGATAAAATGCGGCATGAAGCGCGAGCAAATGAGTTAATCCGGGCTTCAATGAATGGAGGTGAGATGATTGATTTGAAAAATTGATTAAAAGCTTAAAATATTAATATATAAAATTCTTCGGCTTTCTTCAATCATCAATTTCGTTCAAAAACAGACTCGATTTCTGATTTTCAGCCGAATTTACTTTGAAATGTTTTTTTTTGCAGAATACGACGTGCCTTTGGAAAACGAGCTGGGAGCCGATCGATACGAAGCCTGTGCCATATGCAATGTTCTAGTCAACACCGCGAATCCGAGCGCCATGGATCATCATCAGAAAGCGCACAAGAAGAACGATCAGCTCCGAATGCAATTGTTGGATCAATATGGAGCTGAGGTACGATTTTTGAAAAAATGAAATTATCAAAGAGAATATCGGAAAATTATCAGATAGTTCGAAGGCTGACGTGCGAATCATGCTCACTTGTGTTCACCGAAGAGGGAAAATTGCAGATGCACATTGCAGCGCATCACTCGAGGAAAAAACGGTAATTTTTTGAATGCCATAAGCTTAAAATACGGGCAGACTTGATATTCAGATATATCTGTAAATTTTGCGGCCACATCTCTGCCAGTATGACGGAATTGAATATCCACAAGAGTGATGTGCATAATATCGTCCTCAACACGAGGTCCACAGTTCACGTAGGAGATTGTTTTGTTTGAAAATAGAAAAAAAAGGGGTTTCAGACTGATGAATGGAGTGTCGTGCCGAACTACATGCGCTCGAAGCGTCATTTTCGATATGAGGATCCGCTGGCGAAGCGAATCCGCAAGATAGCCTCAAATGCGTCGGCGGAAGAAGGAACTAGTCAGGCGGTTATAGGGACCATCACTGATGGCGATGTTCCTTGCCAGTAAGATTTTTTTTCGGATTTTTATGCAAATTTTTGAAAATAATTTAGAAAAATCTCGTAAAAAGTGTATTTTTGCAAAATCTGCATTTTCCATATAGAAAACGATTTAGAGTGTTTATTATTCTTTTCTTTTTTTGCAGAATCAATTGTCCCGATTGCTCGCTGAAACTGAATAGGCCTGTTTTGATAATAAAACATATGCTGAGGTGTCATTCGAAACGGACGTTTAGCTGCGTCGTCGAATCTGGTGGACTTCCGTCGTTTGGGTATGTTGAGTTTTTTTCTTTCGTGCCATATGTCAACACATCACATAAAATCTAATAATAATAATAATAATAATAATACGAAAAAAAAATGATGTGTGCACATTTTTCGTTTTGTAGAATCGACGTCGCCGAATCGCAAATCTTCTGGACGTGCTGCAATAATCGATACGAGTCGCGAACGGATTTCCTCGAGCATCGGCGAATGCACATTCCTGAAGAGCAGAGTGTTCGAATCGAAGAGCAAATTTGTATATTTCAATTTTTTTTGACATTTTGAAGCCGATTTCTTTTTCAGTGCCTCAAACGGTTCCGATACAGACAGGAGCCGATGAAGAGCCCAATTTTGAAGGGCAATTGGTTCAGGCTGAAGATGGATCGATGCAGGTCATCATACCGGAAGGCGTTGAAATCAATGGGGATATGTATGTGATGCTTGATCAGGAATTTGAAGGAAGGCTCAATTCAAAGGTATCTTGCATTTTCCATTCGTTAGCATATCCATTTGTGATTCTAGGTGCCATTAGTCTACGCACCACAGCATCACTTCCAGCTGGATCAGGGCATGATTATCAATCAGCAGCAGACGGTCAATATTCAGCAACGGGAGGGCGAAATGATGACGCTGACGCAGGACCATTTCGAGCAGATTCAGATGGGAGATGATTGGGGGAATATGGTAGGATTTGTTATGGATAGAAATTAGTAAAATTTGAATTATTTCTGTTTACAGGAAATTGTCATGTTGAACAATGATGGATTGGGTGATGGAATGATGGATGAGCATCATCATCATCATCAACTTGGTCTTGACGATAAGAATTATCATATAGGAGATATGATTGTTGATGAGAATGAGGTTGAGATAGGGGCCGAAGTTGATGCAGACATCCATGGAACACCTCTGTTTGATTGAATCATTCATTGTTTTTGTTGAAATTTGTACAATAATAAGAAGTCAGAGAATGTGTAGAAGCTTTATTGAATTGTGTGATTTCCCTTTTAATAATTACGTTAATGTGCTAACCGGAATGTGAAGTGTTGAGAATCGTTGTTTGATAGTTTCCATTTTTTTTCGAGGATTTTTGACCCGTTTTTCGAAATTGTTATCAAATGAGATATGACGATCATGGAGCAACGACGACGGAACTTGAACGCACTGGTAGCATGTAGGGCGACGGCCGGCGGCTGCCTCTGGCTGATAGGGAGACGGTGCCGCGGAGCGCGCGCTTCGGCATCTCGCGAATCGATTCCGACGAGCTTCGGCCTGTCTGACACTGACTGAGCACCTCCGAATTGCAGCTGGCAGTCAGGCCATCGCACCGTCAGGCGGCGTCGTCGTCGTCTTTCGATGAGTTTTTCATTGAGGCGAGACGGTTCTCCTGCCGGTAGAAGTGTTTGAAATTGGCGACCTGGACAATTGGAATCAATAATTGCGAGAAGAAAATGAGAAGAGATTTACAATGATTGGGACTGGCAGAGCCAGTGTGAGCACTCCTATCAACGCGCACAAACCGCCGACGAGTTTTCCGAATGGGCTGAGCGGCACAAGGTCGCCGTAGCTGAAATAGACGATTTTAGAAAAAAAAAGTGCATTGAGAAATTGCTTGAAAGAGCACAAAGACACGAATTTGGGCGATTTTCACAACGAAAAAAAAAACGCGACGAAACATATTTGTCTGCAGTACACCGACACGCAAAATTGCAGAATTTTAAATTTGTTAATCAATTTTTTTCACAATCACAACAACACCCCGACATTTATTGATAACTTACCCAACAGTTGTCATAGTGACCTGGAATCATAAGTGATGTTTGAAAAATTAATTATCAATCTAATTGGCGAAAAAAAAAAACGCGGGAAAGTTCGACTCACCAGCACAAACCAGAAGCTCGCCGGAATTGAGGTGAACTTTGAGTTCGGCTCTCCTTGCTCGGCAAAATACATGCCGGACGCGAACAGAACATTGGCGATGGCCAAGAAGAATATGAGCAGGCAGAATTCTTGAATCGACGAGCGGAACGTTTTGCCAAGAATCTGAAGGCCGACGGAATGTCGACTCAGTTTGAAGACGCGAAAAACGCGAACAAGTCGAAGCACGCGAAGCACCGCGAATGACATCGACGAGTTCGACTTATTAGTGTCGGCCCTAAACGAAGAGAAGCGTGAGATGAAGCTTGAAGAGGGAAGGGCGGGGGGGGGGGTCTGACGTACAAGAAGAAGTTGACGAAGAACGGCGCGATTGCGACAAAATCGATAATATTGAGAAGTGAGGTGCAAAATGACACCTTACATGGGCATGAGATGAATCGGAGTGTCAATTCTGGAATTGCTTTAATTTCTTTTTATGGAATTGGCGGCGAACCTAGAGTGAACCACAGAATGCACGAGAGCTCAATCCAGAAAAACGGTGTGTAGGTTTTCGGCTCGGCGTCCTCCAAATAGATCGCCGTCGCGTTCTTCTCATTGTCCGACGGCACCGTTTCCCAGCAGAACGATATAATCGAGCTAGAGCATTTGAGATGTTGCGAGCGGAACGCGGCACACTTACAGCGCGATGACAAATATGGAGATGAACGCGACGATTCGCGCCGACAGCGAGCTGTCGGGGAACTCCATGAGCTCCCAGATTTTTCTTTGCGTCTTGTTCTTCGGCATCAGCACTTCTTTCGGCTTCTCGTAGCCTTCGGATATCCAAAACTCTTCGAGCAGCTCGTCGCCCATCTAGAGCGATGTTTGAAATTGGCCAAAAATCGTAAAAATCGCGAATTACCTCGTAAAACCTCATCTCTCGGAGAAACACGTCGATCGGCACAATTTCTGGCCGTTTCACACGGCCATTACTTTGATAGATGTAGAGGATCGACTCGAATCTGCAACAATTGACCAAATTGAGAAGAGGGGGTCGAATTCGACAGAATGCACGGATTAGAAGCGATCGATAATTGCTAGACATCGACAATAGGAATTTTGGGTTGGGCGAACGAAAACATTGGCATGCAATTATCGATCAAGCCCTCAGCTTACAAGTATTGCCGGGTTTCGTAGGAGACCGCAGCGTTGCTTAAAAAAAAATGGTCGAATGGGGTCCCCCCAGCCGATGCGCGACAGCGTCGTCGTTAACAATGAAAATTTCACGAAGCACTCACGTGGTACGATGACGGTCGAAAAAGTACTCATTCGTCTCCGGTATATAGAAATGTCGGCGTTTTGTTGGATCGCCGAGCAGCGAGTTCGGATAGCGCGCCAGTGTGCTCTCGAACGTTTGGAATCGCATGCCGGCCACATTGATGGTGACGATCGATTCGGGCGCGCCGCGTCTGGAAACATTCAAAAAATGAAAAACCGGCACGGTTGAAGGACAACGGCGAAACCCCGACGAATGTCCGCAGCAGAGTGCGTTTAATGAGAAGACGGAAAAGAAATGGAGGGGGGTTTCATTGGCGAAAATTGTCCGCAGCAGAGTTTCATGAAAGGTGGTTGTTAAGGGCGGGGGAAGTTCATAATAAAATTGTTTTATATTCCATCGTTGAACTTGACCTACTCACCCAATGCTTGAATTTGGTGTGCCGCGCTGCGGACTCTGATGTCGCATCACCTCGTCGCCGTTCGACAACAGCATCCCTTTGACCTCATCGCCGTTGGCCATCTCGACGGCGCGACTGAAACATGACGAATCATTATTATTATTATTATTATAGTTCGATGTGATCGCGTGTTCAAGCCGATTGATCAAAACCGCCCCCGCCGATGATTCCAGTAAGCAACATCTGGCGCACGCGTGCGCATCGATAAAAATCGCCTGACGGCGTGTTTTCGCAAATTCCGGCTGGCATTCGTTTGACCTCCGCCCAAGAGAAAAAAAAAACCAACAAAATGAAATAGACGAAAAATTATTCATGGTCCTCAAATTTCGAGACCCCCGAACGTTTTTGCTTTGTTTTGTGTGTGCTACAAATTGTTGAAAAAAAACAAATCGAAAAAGAGTGCTTCCGGTTGCCACGGCAATCTCATTCCGAAAACTTCGATGACATCGTAACGCGCCAAAACTCAAATCTATATGATTCGAGTGAAGCACACAACTCAGCGGCCGAGAAAAAAAAAACAATTCGGAGCAAAACGAAAAGAGAACAAAAAAATATGAATGGCGGGGCCACAAAAATGAAAAATGAGGAGTCGTGAGGAATCTGTGCGTTTCGTTGTTTTTTTGTCAAGGGGGTGACGAGAAAAAAAAAAGTTGAAATATGAGGTGGGCTTCGGGCAGGTAAACCCTTCGAAAAGCACCGAATCGCGTTCATTTCAATTTCAACTCGGGGCTCCCCCTCCCCTTCCTCTCCTCTCCATCACGCTCCCCCCTTTACGCTTCCTCTCTTTCTCCTCATTTCTCCAAGATGCTGCTCCAGCTCGCCGTCGCCGTCGTGTCAACGTGAAATACACAAAACCAAACAGGTGACGATGAGCGGCCGCCGCCGCCGCCGCTGATCCAATCCGAATGTAATAATGATCCGCCATCCGGGTGACGGTGAGCGAGGATTGCATAAGTCGAACGCTCACCTTCGACGACTCCAACGCCACATTATTCGTTTCCGGACGGAAAATGGTCCAATGTGGCGATTTTGGGTTCGTCCGGTTAACAATGAGCCATTTTATGCCGCACACTGAATAAGGCAATAAACAACGGAGGGCGATGGAGACGCACAAAAAACGGCAATTAATGGAAATTGGGGTCGGACGAGAGCCGGGGGGGGGGTCCTGCTAATTCGAAATGTGACCCTTTCGAACACTGGTTACAATCAAAAATTGGATTACTGTAGGTTGTACCTCTAATTTGAATACTAGACTGTAGATTTTTGAATTGATCGAGACTCAAAAGACCGTAATTAAAGGCGCGTGCTGTTACTAGCTTTGCTAGGTCTCGCGGTGACTGATTGGCCATAATTTCAGAATTTGAATCGGATTACTGTAACCCAAAAATTGTTTAGCAGGACCCCCAAATTTCATCTCTAGTTGGTTGAAGAATTGGGACGATCCCGACAAGACCCGAAATGAATCATGGATTACGGTAGAACATGACTGATGGTTACTGTAGGGTGTTTCAGAGCTCGTATTAACACCAAGAAAATTGATAAGATTGCGAATTTTGTTAATAAAAATGTTTCGACGAAAATTGTCCGCAGATGGAATTTCTAAAAAATACAACGTTTCTTCTTTGGGATTATCGAAAACCAGACAGAAACGGAAGCTATCAAATGGATAAAATATAATTGGGCGAAGCACGAAGTAGACGCCGGAAAAACGAATAGGAAAACGTGGTGCGTTGACAAATAAGGTCAACGCTTCGTTTTGGTGCTCAAAATTGGGTTTCGCCAATTCCTTCGCTTCTTTTTTTCTCGTCACACCAAAAAAGGAGTTGCGAACGAGAAACGAATCGAATTGAATGAAGTAATTAATGAATAATTAATGATGAGAAGAGCATCATCGCCTTTTATCTCTCATCTCTCATCAATTTCCCAATTATGGCAAATTCGCCGTTAGAAGAATGTAATAGATTGGGTATTAAAGAGACCGTCTGCATTTTCTTAGAAGCGTCGAAAGAGGCAAGAATCGGAAGAGATGAAGCTTGACGCGAAATTTGGAATTTTTTTGCGGCATTCAAATTGCTAGAAAATGCAAAACTCGTTTTTTCCATACGAGACCCACCAAGCTCATTCGAAATTTAGCAATTTAATATTTAATTAACCTGTAAAAATTAGCTGAAACATTATTTTTTTTTAAATTGAAAAATTGCTAATTTTTTTCTGTAAATTTTGAGAAAAAAATTTGTAAAATACAGGGAAAAATATTTTTGAGAGTACTCTCATCACAAATCTCCATTAATTAAGACATTTAGATGTGTGAATCAAGTTGTCGTGGGATTCTGCGTTTTGGTACGCAGTACACCGACCGACATACCGTATTTTCACGTTTTTCTAGAAGCCACAATTGTTTTCCAATTTTTTGCAGATTTTTTAATTTCGAAAAAATTAATTAAAGGCGCATATATTTATTGGAGCTGGGTCTCGGTGCGATTAATTCTGATAGTCTTGAATTTCCCGGTTTAAAAGATGAATGTCAAAAAAAAAGTTCAGTTCAATTTTGTCCGCAGCCGAATTATTCGAATTCGAAAAAAAAAACCGAATGAGAGCTCATTGCGCCACATCAATTTTTATTGGAATCTCCATAAATAGCGACGATGCCCACTTCGAAACATACCCATAATCGGCGCTTCGGCTCCTCTCCGGCACATGGTCCGGCGACGATTGCCGACTGGCTCGTTGGCTGTTGAAGCCGTTCTGGTACTTCTCGGGATGCACATTCAACACTTGCTCGAGGCGTCTGAAAAAAGAATCACATTTAATTTTCAATCGTGGCCACGAGAATTAAAACTAAAAAAAATGGATTTTTTGAAATATTCTTTGATGGCCTAGTTTTGTTTCCCGGCCACGGCCACAAACTCAAAAATCGCGATTTTGTTGGCATTCGAAGCGTTGATGTTTGCGATGATTCTCGTACATTTGATGAGGCGTACGCGGCACGCGAAAATTGTAATTAATTTTTGCGCAATTCCGACGCACAAATTCAATTCGATTTTTTATTTCTTGCGCGCCTCACTTGGTGCACACGTCACACTTTTTACCATGAAAATTCTAAACATTATAAAAACGATGTGCGGACATTCTTACAGGTTCAGCTTTTGTGTTTGAGACGGTTAGACGATTATTTCAAACAAATCCGAAAAATCCCATATTTGGCATGCTTAATCCAGTAGGCTACAAATCCAAAAATTTATAGCTAATCTGTTTGAAAGGGGGCGCGGCTGCCTACTGAATTTGGGCAATCAAAACTTTTTTTATAGAGCTTCGAGCAACTCGAAGCTCTTAGTGCGCCATCAGGGTCTCGGAGCCACGCGCTTCGAGACCCCCGAAAGGAACCAACACAGCCGACCCACCTGATAAGCCCATCAATCATAATGGAACATTGGAGAGCGCATTAGAAATCGACTAGTAGCTCGAACAAAAAAAAATAAATTCGAAGTGGCCAAGGTTGGGAATAGGCGCGGATGTGAGGCGGAGCTCAGCCAATGCCCTCCCTCCTTCGAAAGCAGCTGGAGCAGGAGGAGCCCCCCCCCTCTCTTGTGTGTGTGCAATGAAAAACGTCGACTTGAGGATTACGAAATGAATTATCGCAAATAATAATGAGGTGCTCCAGCACAACGGATGAGGGCAGTCTCTGAAGAGAGAGAGAGACAGCAAAGAGATCCAATTATTCCTTGAGAATTGATGCTTGATCCGATCTTGCGCTTCATTCAGAAGGACCAATTGGATAATTGGCAGGCGGTCTAGCCGCCCAAAATGCATGGTCTGCAATGAATGATGCGATTGCCAGTTTGTCGCAAAATGGACCTTCTTCAATTTCTGGTGGTCCCACAATATTTTTCAGCAAAACTTCATAACCCTTGGCCTTCTTTTTTTTTAATCACCTCGCTGAAAATATTTAATGAAGCTTTGGAATGATTAGAAGTTGAAGGATGGCTGAACAACTTTTGGCACAAACCAGCTATATTTGGAATGCACCTTTAATAATGGTCTCAAAGCGATTAGCAATTAAATTTTTTTGTGTCGTGTGCCTTTAGGGTGTCGAAACAATTCAAATGAGGGGGTCTGTTAGACTTATTGAATGTGCGCCTTTAAACCCGATATCGCAAATTCTCGAAGAATGCAATTCATTGGGCAATATTGCCAGTTTTTTATCTTGCGGTCCCGACGCGATTTCTCGAAATTCGATCAGTTGATGAAACATCAAAGATCTCCTAGATCTACGTAAAGGTGTGCTCGATCTCATAAATATTTGACGGGGGGATGATTTTTGAATATTTCTCCGAATTTCGCCAACCTCGACAAAAGTCGGCAGATCGATATTGATTCGTGAGCCACCAAAAAAAAAAGCCAATTGGGAATGAAAAACAAAATGGTCCCAAATTTGTGATAGGGTACCTCGCGAGTTTCTGCGCCCACTCCCACTCGTCCTTCTCGCGGAACTGTGTCTCGTCGCTGCTTTCCGATGAGCTCTTTTTGAATCTCATCGGCGTCGCCGGAAGCCAAAACCAATTACAATTATTCTATTGCCTAAATTCACATTTTTTGTTTGCTGACGTTTGCGACAAAACAATGAGAGCCAAAATTTATGACCATATTTGGACGTAGGGAAAATCCGATGATTGGGGGGGGGGCAAGTGGTAAAAAGACAAAAGCGAGACGTTGTCGCAAAAATGTTCAGGTATCATTTTTTTCGTTGCAAGACTCGCTGGGCTTTTTGCCTCACCGAGATGAGCAGCTGTTGGCTCTGAAGAGAGGGATGGGGGGGTCTCGACGACGATCACCCACGCGTAATATTGTTTTTTTTCTCTAATGCTGACTGGAAAAAGTGACCTTGTTGGAGGAGATGTGGACTTTTGCAGCGCGCACAACCTGCTCGCCGAGCCCGACGAGGCCGCCAATTGATCAAATCGATTTTTTCGTGTGTGCTCGTCACGGAACAGGAATGTTACAATTTTAAAAGATATTCCCCCCCCCCTCTTCATGATATATCGCCGTGCGCTTTGATGCTCAGCGCCACCACGAGCTCAACCTGAACTGGCCGGCCAACTTGAAGCCCACAGAAGGTTCTGAGTTGTGCTTTGCCTTGATATAGTCGGTGCCCGACGATTATAGCATTCAGGCTCATTTTGAAATGCATTTACAGCAACCAAAAAAACCGCGACGCGACCGCAACGCGTTCGTCTTTGAAATTTTTGGCCCAAAAAAATCAATAAATTAAAAGAAAATTGATTGCTAGAGTTTTTCGCCGCAGGACCATGTAGTTCAGACGCGATTCATATAAATATCTATAATAGATATTTAGCAAACGCGAACCGCAACGCGTCTGGCGACATAGAAAAATTACGGTAGCCGTTTTTTTTTGGTTGGAAAACAGATAAGATTGCGTTTTTGAGAATCTTGATAATATTTAAAAAAATAAGCTTCGATTAAATTCAATTTAATGGACTAGCTTTTCACGGCCTTCGGCCACGAAATGTTATACTTTTATTTGATTTTAATAAATATTAATAATATTCACAATTTCGGTGTGGCCTAGAAATTTTACGGCCGCGTCCACGCGTGACATGGAAATCCAGATGATAGGCTGAAACAATTGTCAATTTGAGACGGACTAGTTTTTTTCGCGGCCACCTAAAATCCCGAATCCCATAAGCAAATCATTTCACTTAAAACCAAGTGCAAGGTCGCATGGAGTCAAATTTCCGCAATTTTACAAATTCCGATGACATCACCGCCAGCTCGTCTCGGCTTCTCCCCCCACGACGGCCGGCTTTTTGGTTTCTGCTGCAAACAAAGCGGCAAAAAAATGAAACAAAACGATTTTCGATTGCTCACCATATTCGATCATTTGAACAACAAAACAATTATTCGAATTATTAGAGGCTGGCCAGACCCGTCATCGAAAATTCATCATGCAAAAAAAATTTTGGGGCGACATTCGGAGAAAATTGAGCGCTGCAAAAATAATGCGCGGCGATATAAATAATGAGCAACATTTCCCAAAAAAAAACTGAGAATTGAGAAAAAAACCACAAAGTCATTGACGAAGAGACGTGTACTCCACACGGACAATGTATCGCCGAATGCTGCGAGACCCAAGTCAACAGTAGAACCGCAGTTCAACAATCCTTTTTTGGAAATTGTGGTTAACGAGATTCCGATATTTATATATATACGCCCATTTACAGGAATTTAAAAATTGTGTGCAAAATTGCGTATGTGTGTATACAGATAAATACGGAAACCCGGCTGATTAAAGTTTTTCTCCATGGAGCTTCAAATTTTTTTTAATTCAAGCCTTACAAAAAGAGATCGCTATTTTTGAGGCACTGTGTAAAATCGAGAGAGAGAGAGGGCAAGACCACGAGAGAGTGGGTGGTGGACGGAGACGCAGACAGCAAAACAATGCGAAAGAGCGCGATCGATCTCACGATCTTCACGGTACAATAGATACCAGATTTGGTGTCTTGAATATTTTGGTGTACACACACACATACAGCAGAGTTGACGCGCAATACACATCGTTCGAATGATTTATTATTTGTTCTAATTTTCGGTTATTACATTCGCTCAACGTTCTCGTAAATCGTTGTTTTATATAAATCAAATATTATAAATGAGTTTAATAAACTTAGAATAGAGAAAAAGCTGACAAAATTTAGTTTGCGAAGCTGAAATGATGGTCATTTTTGAACAATATTGGCTTCGTTATGGCCAACACACTTTGTTGGCGGTTTTCAGGCAAAGACACAAATCCAATTTTTTTTTTGCCGGGCGCCATCTTGAATTTTTTTAATTTCTTGTGAGACAATCCATAGGTGCAAATTTTTCAACGCGTGTTAGGACCCTAATACGATGGAAAAAATTTTTTCGTTCACTCGAAACATCTTGTGCAACTTTCTGAAACTCGAGAAAACGCTGATGGGTCTCGACGCGAACAAGACTGTTTGTCCATAACGGAAATGATCCGTCAATTACTCGAAGGGCCTTCTAATTGATGTGCTCGAATCCGAATGATGTCATACCTGATGATGAGACGCGATCGGTTCATATTGAACTAGGCGGCAATTCAAAACCAAATCTTCTGGTTCTTTGTCATTTCTCCCCACCATGTCAGGCGCCAAGCACTTTTAAAATTCAACTATTTTTGAGCTACACGTCAGCGCGTCGAAGATGTTTGAAGTGCGTCTCGAAATTCAACGAACCAACCTGACACTGTCGGCTTTTCGAAACCGAAACATTTCTCGAATTTCCGACGACGGGCTCACAGCATTTGAAGAGCGCGGTTAAGTCCTTCGAACCTGAAAGAATGTCCGCAGTTGATATTGCAGGAGAACTCGATTGCGTTCCAGTCAAATTGAGTGAAAAAAGCGAATTACAAAAATGATAATTACTAGTTTCAAAAGAGGACTGGAATAATTTGGCCGCGAGTGGCAGGCTCTTTTGCAAATCATCGGATTTCGCTAAGAATGGTCTCGAAGCGAATGTTCAATCGAAAAATTCTAAAATATGTGCTAAAAAAATGTCGGCAAAAGTCCAAAATTTGGTGGACATTAAACATTGGTCATTTTTTTGGCTTGAAATTTGAAGCCTCGAACAATAAATATAATCAAACGGGAATTATTTTTGGAAGAAATATTTTCCTTATATAATTTTTCGGTATTGAATTTTGATAACTTTTTGGCAATTCTATAGTGTTTTGACGCGTCGAAACACGCGAATATATTCGAGAGAGTACGGTAGACACTGCGGTGTATGCACACTCATACAAATTTTGACGCACAAATACAGATTATTGAGCGATTGTCATTGTTTTTGAGTAATTGCTTGATTTTCTTCTATTTGTTAGTTATGATATATTACTTGTTGTATACTTTACTTAATATCTATTTTGCTCTGAGTTATATATTGCCGTTTGAGGACTAATCTATTTGTTTTCAGTTCTTCGTTGCTAATCCAATATTCTAGATAAATTCACAGTAAATTTATACACATTTTATAACAACCAGGAATCTATCATATTTTCGAATTTTAGGTAGAATTCAAACAAATGCTCAAAAGAGGACCAATCATAAGAAGCTAACACAATAAAATATGATGGAATCTAGAAGAGGACCGAAGACATTGTGATTCAAGCAATCTACATACAGCGAAGTCTCTGGCCCGGAGAGGGCGGGAGGGTCGTTTTTCAGTTGAGTGGGAATTTTTGGTGATCTACGAAACAATTTCAACACCCTCTCGCCTCGAAAGCCTAGAATTTTGAAAATTTGCGCGTGAAGATTTTCCCAAAGAATCCCGTGAGAACGTTGTTTTTTTTATTATTCCTAACTTTTTGAAGGTTCCATTGGCCGCACAAACTATGAGATACTGTCAAAGTCGCGCCGAAATGGTCTCGCCACGAAGAGGATGTACTCCACAATCATGAAATGTACATTTATTAAATGTACAGGGTGCGGCAAAATTATGCGTACATCGAAGAAAAAGCGAGATACTTTTTCCAGAAATCACCAAAACTTGCTCAAATTGAGGCTACAATTTAGTGAACATATAAGAATAACGGAAAAAACTTTCAGAAGATGATTAAAAGGTTATAGAAAATAAAATATAAAAAGAATAATGTTCAAAGAATGCGTAAGTGGCGTATGAGCTTGCGTTCAATTCGTGCACACGTAATTTTGGCGCACCCTGCTAAATATTAAATTCCATTTTTTTTTTTATTTTATAGTCCATTCGAAATACAAAATTTGAAAAAAAAGAATCGCTCGGTGTACTGCGTACCAAAACGCCGAATTCCACGACACCTCGCAATTTTTGCAAAAAAACGTCTCGAAGTGAATTATTAAATAAGCGATGGAATCCATCAAAAAATGCGCATTAATCAATTTTGAGACGCCAAAAAAAGAAGAATTCGGCGGAAACATTCGATATCTTCCATTTCGGAGCCATTGTATTTACATAATGCAATTACTCGACAACCTATAAAATGATGTCCTCTTCCTCTCCGCGTTTTGTTGTTGTTGTTGTTGTTGACGTGACAATGTGTTGTAAGTCGGAAAACTCGAATTACAATTTAAACTTTATCTAAAGTAAGCGTTAGACAACAATAACGAACGAAGCGCAATTTAATTAGTTAACGGATAATAATAACAATAATGGCTAGTCGGGGGAATGGATAGTATGTGAATACAAATAATAATGAAGCAGCACGGTAGGAAAATATAAACAACAGCGAAAACCAATCAAGTAACTCGGGCCCGGGCCTAAAACAATCCAACAACTCAACTTCGTGTATTTGCGCGCCAACTCTGGTGTGTGTGTAAACACCGTGATATTCACCGTAACCGCAGGATTTAAATTGCTAATATCTTTCTTCATATTTTCTTGCTCCTCGCAACACAATGAAAGCAAAAAAAAATAAATAAACGGACGAGGAAAAGCTCACATGTTGTGAATGAATAAACCTGGGATTATGTGTATTATAGGAAACATTTTCGAAATGGGAAACATATGACAAATGGCTGCAGGTGAATCGATGTTTTCAACCAAAATTTTTTTTGAACATTTTTTTGTTGCTTAAAGTGGGAGTCGGAATGTCGAAATAAATTAGAATGATGAGGAAAACAAGAATGTTTGTGAATATTCGATGAAGCTCATATGGACAAGTTGTAGCGAGAATTGTGCATCGTCGGAATGTCATTCGCACAAACTTTTTTTTCAGAATTTCATTTCGCTGAGTGGGTAGATTTACGAGCGCCGAAAAAATGATTTCTTCGGCATTTATCCAATTGATTATCTATTTTGAGCTTCAAAATTCCAGGTCTTGCCACTCAAACAATGGTTCCTAGAATTGTCGTGTCAAGATTCTTGCGAACGCGTGTTCCTTTAATCAAAATGACGATATCGTTAAAACTACCATATTGTAGAAAAAAGGAAAATATTTAAAATTATTTAAAGGTGCATAGCGACTAGTTCAAAACCAGGGGGCGAGGTGAATAGCATTAGAGCTCGTCTGTATATAAGTATCCACATCAAAGGCGCATGCGAAAAATAGTTTAAATTTCGCGCCAAGAACCAATTCGAAATTTTGCCAAAATTGGTCTATATTTCGGCAATTATTCGATTCATAAAAGCCAACAATTCTTAGCAAAAAATAAATTTAAAAAAAAATGAGGATTCTAGGAATATGTTTTTTTGGCAATTAACAAAAAAACATAAAAATTGGCATCAAATGGATGTTTGTTGAGAACAGCACATTTAGCGCCAACACCTGCGGACCATGATTCGTCGGTGTTTGCGGACTTGCGCGATTCGACGCAATTTTTATTTTTTTTTTTTGCTGCATATTTTATATTTTTCGAAAAATTTTGAGGTTTAAAAATTAAAAAATTTTTTTTATTAAAAAACAATAAAATAAAATTTTGAGGTTTAAAATTAAAAAAATTTTTTTAATTAAAAAAAAATTTTGAGGTTTAAAAAAATTGAATTAAGACAAATAAATAGCGAGCAAACATGAAAAAAATGAGAGATTTGAGAAGCAAAAAATTCATCTCTTTTAATTTTTTTTTTGGTTTTTTTCGGCGCAACCAAATTAGCAAAAAATTTTCCGAGGGATTTTCTATAATTCCATTCGGCTCTTGGCATAATTAATGTCGGATATAGTCGAATGCTTTCGCATGACTAACTGGTTCATTTGCATTTCGCCGATTTTTTGTTTCCCAATAATTAATCTCGTTTGAAAAGCAAAAAAAAACTGAAAATTTTAAGAATGTCTAAAATCGCGGCAAAAATTGGACCACGTAAATCTAAAAATGTGCCAGACGTCCAATTTTATGCAATTAAAAAAATGTGAAACATTTTCCAAAAAGGAATGTAAAAAATGACATTCATTTTTGTTCCATAAAAACAGAAAAATGCGAGTGTGGCGAATCCCGCAAAAATGTCCGCAGATGATAAAAATGAAATCCCACAAGTTTCTTCTGTCCACATTTTGTCAAAAATAATTTCCAAATTCCCGCTGTTTTAGTTTTTGAAAAAAAATTCGATGGTCCGCAATTATTCAAAAACTTCCATTATTGTTCAGTTGCCAGTTCATTTTTTTCCACGTCGTCGACCAATCACACATTTTCAGCACTTATAAAAAACCGGCTTTTTTTAATTTTCGCGCTGCCGCTTTGCGGGCGCAAACAACGGAGTGTCGTAAACGCCCCCGTTTTATTGCTACTCATTTCCGCCCACTCTATTAAGTTTTTAGGCTACTAATTAGTAGTCTAAAAACTTATAATACACTAAAAATGCTTTCTCCAACTCAAGTGGGAATTAAAAATGAGTTAATTAATACATAATAATGAAAATCGAATTGTCACAGAAAGATACTCAACAGCGTAATGGACAAACTTCCGCAATAACTTGTTTCAGAGTCCATTTTTTTTAAATTTATATTTTCGAATAAAATTAAAATGTTTGTGACTGGCTGCCCCCGGCGCGTCTCCGATTTTCGACAAACCGGACAATTTTCAGAGTTCAGACCATTAATGGCTCATTTCGACCATCGACAAAACCAATATTCATCCCAATTCGCCAACTTGATGTTATTATGCTCAATAAAAATGAAATCGTGCTCGAAATGTGTGGCGAAAAACCAATTGCACCCCTTTATTGGCAACTACAGTACCCGGCACCGGGGCAGCTGCTTCACCTCACACATGCATCGTAAAACTTTGTGCTTGTTTTTTTCCTCATTTTCCATTTCTCGGCCCCCATCGTCGGCGCGCAGCTGCAATTGTCGTCGTGCTTCATTCGACGATTCAATCGGAATCGATGTTGCTCGACCGTTTCCGTCAGGTAGTTGTCATATCGTCCGCCTCCTCTCTTATTTTGTTTTGCGTTCAGTTCGCCAATATTCGAATCGAGCTCGCGCGCGAGGGACCCTTTCAAGCCGGCGAGATCGTCCGATGCAATGTGCACTGCGATGTGTTGCGCGAGATCACCAACGGCGCGCTGTTCGTCATGATCAATGGTGTCGCGCATTCGCATTGGAATCTCGCCACGAATGGCAAGAAGACGTGAGTGTGTCGCTTATTGATTGGCTCGATCATCGAGAAAGAGAGAGAGAGAGAGCCGGCCGAATTTTTTCAGCAAGGAGGGAATTGTGAAGATCGACAAGAATGCGACCTACTCGGAGACAATGGATTACATCAATTTTTGCCACGTCATCTGGGATTGTAAAATGAAGGTTTGATTTTCGCAAGTTAGGTCTTGTGACGAATTGGGCTACTGTTGAACATCTCGAAGAGGCGAAAATTCTCAAGGTTTCTTATTTTTGATCTGCTTTTTTTCGAAATTCCATTTTCGACTATTAACAATTCGAACAAAACGCTTTCATTATGATTGTCTTTGAGACGATTCGACAGATGGTCCTTTAAAAAAAAGTCTCGAACACAATTGGACCACGTGCTTCACGCACCTGCCACCACATTTGTGGATGAGAGAAAAAACCTCGACGGATGTCCACAGAACGAAATTCTAACCCATTCATCCCTCCTGGAGCTGTTAATTTTTCAAAAGCTGCCTATTGCGATTTGATCTACCCGCTTCAGGGTCCCCTTCAAACCGGCCATTTCGCCTTCGGCATCAACTATCGCCTACCGGAGATTTGCCCGCAAAATTTCGAAGGATTGCACGGATGGATTCGATACTCGGTGTCGGCCAAATTCAAGATTCCATTCGCAAGAACGATCACGACTAAAAAAGCGTTCAAAGGTTGATTTCGAGATTGTTCAATTGTTGAATTTTCTTTTCGCAAATGTAGTAATGCCTCTTGTCTACGGTGTCCGCGACAGCCTTCACTGCTATCCTCTTCATGTGCACGCTTCCAAGGATCCGGGACTGATCTTCAAGGACGGCACGATTCGTCTCGGCGTCTCGATACCGAAGCGCAATTATTTTGCCGGCGACTTGATGAGCATGACGGTCTCGATCACCAACACCACATCGCTGACCATCAATCGCATCGTCACCTCCATCATTCAAATCAACACCTATTACGGCTTGTGCGAGACGGGACCGCGCGTGTTCGACCCGTTCCGTTTTCGGGTTGCGAAAAAGACGAAGATCGAGAGGGTCGTCGTCAGCACCATCGATTACACGGTGATCCATTTCGACGAATGCGATTCCATCAATCCGACGCTTTCAGAATGTCTACATCGCGCGCTACTGCTGCACGGATCGCCGCTACTACTTGAACATTCCGATCAGCGCGACGCCAACTCTGACCAATTGTCCAGTCATCTCCATCAAATACATTCTGAAGGTGTGAATCGGACCCCCTCCCCACCCCATTGGAATTTATTGATAAATTTCAGGTGTCGGCGTTTGTGGCGAAGTGGTTCGATCGTGGAATCACTATCGAGCTTCCAATCGAGATCGGCGTCGTTCCCGAGCGTCCACGCGTTCGATCGATCATCATGGGCGTGCCGGCTCCGCAATTCGTCGTCCCCGAGCGCGCTTGGCGTCAGATGGAGGAGATCGCCGACGACTACATCGAGCTCGGCAATAATTTCTAGCGTCGAACACCAAATTTTGAGATTGTTATATAATTTATTGGCAAGTATTAAAGCGAATACAATATGTAATAGCAAACTACAATAAATTAATGTTGAATTTTTGCGCTATTTATTTTTGTTTGTCCTTGATCGCCGGATTCACGTTGATCGGAATACTTCGCGCATTCTCCTGTGGAACTCTCGGCGCCTCGATGGTCAGATGGCCGTCTTCGGTGAGATTCGACTTGATCGCCTTGAGGTCAGCGTCCTTCGGAAGGAGCACGATTCTCGAGAATGACCTCTTTGAAAATCCATGCTCATTTTCAACCTTCTGATTTCCTTCGATCTTCAATTTGCGGCCATCAAGATCGATTTTAAGCTCTTCGGGTTTGTAGTCGGACACTGACAAATCCATGAAGAACTTTTCGTTGTCACACCTGAGCACCTGTAAAACAATTCATTGAAGATGTCGAGAATTCAGATGAGCTAAAACATACCTCGTTTTGAGTCATCTCATTGAAGAGCGGCTCGATTTGGCGTTCGAGATCCGACACTTCTCGCATGAGTTCGCGGAATGGCGAGAAGGCTGGTCGTGGTGCGAAGAATGGATAGAGCGACATGGTTTGAAAGCAGTTGAGAGCAGTAGAATTCGTTTCAAGTTGCCTTCATTCCGAAATCGTCGTCCTTTTATACACAGAGTTGGTGTTTATCGCGAATATTCCAGCACCATCCAGGCTCGTCGCGTACGCGTCTCTCGCTGCGCTCTGCTCGTCTGCGTCTCTCTATCTGACCGCTGTTACCCGCCCTCTCGCCGTCTGGGTCTTTCGCGAGCATTCTCGAAAAATGGCTGCACGCGCGTATAAATAGGCATCCGTCGGCGTCCGAATTCAGCAGTAAACAGCAAATTTGAATCAGTGCTCTCAACATGCTTGTTCTTCGCACTCCATTCGACAGTCTCTTCGAGGATTTCGACCGAATCACGGTGCCGTATTGGAGAAACGCCGATCATTCGTGCTTCAACTTCTCGAATCCCATCGGAGAGGTAAGATTGAAAATTTGAAATTGGCGCCAAATCGTACCGATTGTTTCAGATTGTCAACAACGATCAGAAATTCGGAATGCAGATCGACGTGTCGCACTTCAAGCCGGAGAACCTCAAAGTCAACATCAATGGCAATGAGTTGACGGTGGAAGGCGAGCAGGAAGTGAAACACGAGCACGGCTACAGCAAGAGATCATTCCACCGGATGGTCCGTTTGCCGGACGACGTCGATCCGTCAGCCATGACTTCTTCGCTTTCCAACGACGGCCATCTGACGATCAGCGCGCCGAAGAAGCAGGCCATCGAGAACAAATCTCGACCAATTCCGATCAACTTCAAGAAATCCAAATAAGCAAATTCTTCTAATTTGATTGGTATCTTGCAAATACTATATTTATTGTGGCAATTACTTATTAAACAATAAATAATTTATTGCTTAAATGGTGTTTGAAATGCATAGACAAAAATATTTTCAAGAAATTCTTTAATGTTTGAGGGGAATACTTGACATGCAATTCTCGATTTAATTCTGATTCCATGTACTTGTTTTTTCGAGTCCGTCTAACACTTCACTTAGTCACTTAGTCGGTTCGTCCTTCGCCTGTTGAGGCGCGAACCACAGCTTTCCAAGCTTTTCGGTCCTTGGCTTGAGTGGACCACGGGGATGGCTCTCTTCAGCTAATTCTCGTCAATACCATCAAATTTAAACATTCATTAGCTTCTTAAACATTCACGATGAAATTCGTCGTCATTTCTCAGTCTTTTTTCCAACAACCAAATTAAAAAAAATTCCTTTAACAATGATATTAACGAGTTGAAAATGTCCTACACCTCGAGCGAGAGCATCGCCGTCGTCGGGCTCATCCACACCGTCGATTCCAGCCTTGTCGTTCCGACTCGTCGAGAAGGCTTCAATTTATTAACACCGGCTTCCCGTACATTCTGAAAATTGGCCCGTCGGAGGATAACAGATAATTTCCTACCAAATCATCTGAAACCAGCTGATGAATGACGAAATCCTCATGGAATCCCAGCGTCACCTCACTGATTCGTTCCGATAGAAAATCGACGCGCGCAAGATTCGGAAATGCGAATTCTTGACGTCCAATCGCGCTCCATAGCACATCGGCGACCTTCTCGAATATTCGGCTCCTCTCGATGATGCCTATTTCGGTTGGCGTCAAAAACTTCGAGCGCTGACTTAATGGTAGCTGAAGCAATCGGTCTTGAAGATTGAGAGCTTCAACATTATACGGCTCTTGTGTCGCTTGTTTGTGCATTCCGGCCAACACGCTGAGCAGCATGATTCTCAACGCGAAATCGGTGTTATCGCCAGTGGCGATCATTGCGCGCCATTTCGACACATCGATGAGCCGCAGATATCTGTCGAGAATTCTTGGCAACGTTTCGAGACTCGTTTGGCATCGGCGAAAATTCGCCGGAAGCCTTTCCAACACTTTGAACATATTGAGCGAGTGGGTCTCGAGAAGAATCGGAACAATTTCGCATCGTTCGTCGAGGTGACGCTCGCCGAGAAAATCGGCGGCATTCAGAAGCATCGTCACAAATCTGTGAAACATGTCCAACACTGCAAAATCGAGAATGTTGAGCTGATCATCGTCGGCCCTTCTTGAATACATACCCCTTCCGCGTGGTTCGGTGAAATAGAGGAATCGGATATGTCCATAGAGTTTTCCGTTCAATTTTGCGATGGCTTCAAATTCTCGCGTTTCGAACACACGCTTCGAATTGAGCACGGGAAAAACTTTCGAGAAAATCGCGAATCTCATATTGTTATTCCATTGGCAAAGACCATCGAATACCCTCGACGAATGGTGAAGAACCTAGAAGAAAATCGCCATAATTCAGCGTTTGACTCCAATGATATACCGTTGAAATTTGGCAAATATTTCTGCCGCGATTGCACTCATTCGAATCGTCGATTTTCCGCTGACAGTATGCTTCGATGGGCTGCCACGCGCTTAGCACATCGACGCCATAGAGAAGCTCGTAGAACATCGGCCGCGTGTCGCAATCGAACTCGTCCATGTTCTCGAACAACAACGCGAAAGTATCATTGAAGACGAACGTGTGGTAGCGCGATTTGTGGCGAAAATGCCTCAGAAAACTGGCCACTTTGAATTCCGGCGATTGTTTCGCATTCGACAGCGTGTACTTGATTCCGCTGCGAGTTTGTCCGAGATAGTTGACGATCGCTCCGACTACCGGTATCACCACGCGGCTATGGGCACCTGCAAATTTGGTTTCTTGCTAAAATCATATTCAAAATGAAAAATTCTATTAAAAAATTTTCGCAATCTATTGATTCTTTTTCTCATTTTCATTTTGGAAATCGAATTTGATTGAAAATGAAAATTCTTGAATTCGATTGCTTTTGATTTTGAGATTTTTTTGGCATTTAGCCAATTTCACGCAATAAAGGGCGCAATTAGGATTTTTCCAGAAAATTCTAAAAAAAATGTTCGCAAAAATCACAAAATGTTTGCTTTTTTTAATACTTATATCTTATTAACTAGCATTTTTAATTAGAAATTTTCGGAAAATTTTAAGGCAAAAAAATTTCACTCCAAAAAAATCACAAATTCGAAATGGCGACGAACCAACGGGAAAAAGCCACTCGAACATCTGGTTGTAGAAATCCACGTCATCGTGTTCGAAGCTCGCAATGCATGCTTCGACAAGCTTCTCCAAATATTCCCTCTTCAATCCGGGGCTTATAGGCAAATTGGTTTCGATGAATCTCAACAGCATTGTCGTGTAGTCTTCCGTCTTTCGTTTGATGAGAGTACACAACGCATTGATCTGCAATTCGGCGGTCAAAAATGTTAAAGGCACATCTGCTAATCACCATTTCATCATCGATGATTCCGCGAAACTCCGATCGGTCGAGGTATTTGATCACATGCAATTGCGATTCCGCTCTCGTTTCAGCCACTCGCCACAACGACGCGTAGAATTTTTGATGGCCGAGTTTCTGGCGAAATTTGTTGAGTGCCGTCATTGGTCCCCAAAAAGGGTCCATCTAGAGAAAATCAAGAAATAAGAAATAATGCGATTATCACAATTTTTGGTGGAATTTTCTACACACAAATCAAAGGCACACACAGTCCGGGTCTCGCCGCGATCGATTCCACACTCTTGCTCACCTTGCTCAATTCCGCCGCCAGAAAATTGTCCATCGCATCCTTTGTCATTTCCACGAATCTTGGAGAGGTAAAAAGGGCAATAATTGAGGCGAACGGCAGGTTGTCTGTGTGGCGGACCTTCAGAAAATTGGTACATATTTGATAAGCATGAAAAATGAATAACAACCACCTGGTCGGATTTACGCAGCGCGCAGCAGGAAAATACAACATTAATTTATTCGGATTTTATTATTATTGAAGTTAAAGCTTCCTAGAATTTTTAATGGAAGAAATATTGATGGCCGAGAAAAAATTAGGCCATCAAAACAATTTTTTTGAAAACATTCAATTTTTTAAATTTATAAATTACGGGTTTATTCTCTATTTTGTGAAAAGCGTTTACTTAAAAATTGAAAGAACAAAAAGAATATTTTAAATTTAAATGTCGAAATTCCCGCCAAGTAATTATACAAGTCCAACATGTCAATTATATTGTCAAACATTTCAAAAACATGCCAGTTTATCTAGGTCACCGAGAAAATCTCCAATCTTCGCCAGAAACTTCGGTAAAACCTTCGCTGTTGTAGTTATTTATATGTTTTCTAGTAAATGATGTAATTGAAAAATGAAAAATCGTCAAAAGAGATGAAGACGAGTTAACGCAGAGCAGAAGAAGCGTTTCCACGTTTGGTCTCCTAGCGACCGCCTACACAAATTTCGCACGAATAAATCCAATCATTTTCGTTCTAGTATGAAAACTGAATGATTAAACAGCATAGTTTTTTTTTCAGTTTTCATTGTTTCCAAAATAGGCATGAATAAGCGAGCGACCTTGGCCAATCGCCTTAAAATATATCATATTTCTAGTGACCATTGTGTACAAAAAAATTCGTCACCGCAAAATGAACAACGTGACCTTAATCATCGATAAAACTAGAATTTTTCAGCCATGTTTCAGAAATCATTTCACAAAGTATCAAATAAAGAATAATTTATTGGTTGGCAAGATAATACAATATATTATGGTAATTACGAAACTATCTACAACTGATTAAGTGGTCTTATTTGGACTTCTTGAAGTTGATCGGAATTGGTCGAGATTTGTTCTCGATGGCCTGCTTCTTCGGCGCGCTGAGCGTCAGATGGCCGTCGTTGGAAAGCGAAGAAGTCATGGCTGACGGATCGACGTCGTCCGGCAAACGGACCATCCGGTGGAATGATCTCTTGCTGTAGCCGTGCTCGTGTTTCACTTCCTGCTCGCCTTCCACCGTCAACTCATTGCCATTGATGTTGACATTGAGGTTCTCCGGCTTGAAGTGCGACACGTCGATCTGCATTCCGAATTTCTGATCGTTGTTGACAATCTGAAACAATCGGTACGATTTGGCGCCAATTTCAAATTTTCAATCTTACCTCTCCGATGGGATTCGAGAAGTTGAAGCACGAATGATCGGCGTTTCTCCAATACGGCACCGTGATTCGGTCGAAATCCTCGAAGAGACTGTCGAATGGAGAGCGAAGAACAAGCATGTTGAGAGCGCTGATTCAAATTTGCTGTTTACTGCTGAATTCGGACGCCGACGGATGCCTATTTATACGCGCGTGCAGCCATTTTTCGAGAATGCTCGCGAAAGACCCAGACGGCGAGAGGGCGGGTAACAGCGGTCAGATAGAGAGACGCAGACGAGCAGAGCGCAGCGAGAGACGCGTACGCGACGAGCCCGGATGGTGCTGGAATATTCGCGATCCACAGCTCCGTGTGGTTTAAAAGGCGATCGCTTGGACCATTGAGACAACCTGAAACAAATTCTACTGCTCTCGACTACTTTCAACGATGTCACTCTACCCATTCTTCGCTCCACGATCGGTCTACTCGCCAGTCCACCATCTACTGCGTGAAGTGTCGGACCTTGAACGTCAGATTGAGCCATTATTCCAGAGTCTGTGCCAAAATGAGGTATGTTTACTTTAAAAATTATTTTGTTCAATCTCTAATATGCTATATTGCAGATGTTCAAGTGTGACAATGAGAAATTCAGCGTCAATTTGAACGTCTCCGACTACAAGCCCGAAGAGCTTAAAATCGATCTTGATGGCCGCAAATTGAAGATCGAAGGAAATCAGAAGGTTGAGAATGAGCACGGCTTCTCAAAGAGATTATTCTCGAGAATCGTGCTCCTTCCGGAAGACGCTGATCTCGCCGCAATCACCTCGAACCTCACCGAAGACGGCCAGTTGAGCATCGAGGCTCCACGCGTTCCAAAGGATACCGGTAGAAGTATTCCGATCAACGTGAATCCAGCGGTGAAAGACACGCCAAAGGAGAACCCAAACTAAATACGGTTACATTGTACACATATATGACCATTACATAATAATATATAACATAAATAAATGCTGTTACAATTTAAAGAGTGTTTGACGCTAATCGGCTAACCGCACGAAAAGCTCGCAAAACCAAATCGGCGAAACCTGTTTCGTCGGTCACTTTCGGTTTCCACTTGCGCAATCCATTCTCACCAATATGCCATTCGAACATTTTTTTGTTGATGGCAGATTCCTGAGACGGAATTCCGCAACTTTCTCCAATTCGAACAGGTTTCCCACAAATAAAAAAATGTGCCAATTCGTTGGTTCGACCCCCCCCCCCCAACGGTAATTGATATGAAACCCTCCGCGTCTTCTCCGAAGCCCATAGATATTCAATTCCGAAACTTTCGGTTTCACTAGTTTTTCATATTATCTTGTCTCGAGGTGAAGATGCTGGTGGTGGAGGTGGTCTCGTCTCCTCCTCCTCCTCCTCCCCCTCCTCCAATTCTTCGCGCTCTTCTCCACCCCCCCCCAATTTTATCCCGTCTCTTTTCATTTTTCTTGTGTACGCAAATCGGACGCCTGCGAGAATTCGTTATCCACGCCTTTCGCTCTCCTTCAAACGTGGATTCCCTTCTTAATTCATCGATTGATCATTTCGTCAAGCTTCGACGCAATCACTCACTAATGTTGTAATCTTTTACATCTTCGATTTGCGGACAGTTCTCAAAAAACCAAAAAATTGTCATTTTCCGGTATTTCCGGATTTTATTAGTCCCGTTGGTTTATTTTTTTTTACGGCACTGCGTACTCTCGCCGACATGTTCTGCCTAACTGCCCCCGTCCCTCCGATGCCCAAAAAATGCATTTCATATTCAAAATTAAATTCGACACTTTCAACCGCCCCATTGGCGCAGTCGGTTAGCGCGTGGTACTTATAGGTCTAGGGTATGCCATGGTCGCCAGTTCGAGTCTGGCATGGGGCAGTATCACTTTTGCCAATCGCGTTCATCACCAATTCCCTGGCGCGACCTTTTAATACGTCATCGAAATCTTCTGTTTACTTCAGCCATTTGGTTTTCTCGCATTCGCCGAATTGCTCATTAGTTTCTGCATTCTTTGCAGGTAGACATGAAGTACGCGTCGCTATTCTTTCTACCTCTCACTTGCTCAATGGTGAGTTCAGATAAAATCTCAAACCACAAAAAAAAATACCAATGAAGCTCAAATCTTCTAGGTTGTCTGGCCCGTGCTCGACAACATCACCAACGCCACCCATTCGTTGGTGAAGCCCAAAAATTGGGCCGAGAAGAATCTCGGACAATGGTGTCGAAATTTCACCGTCAATATGTATGTTCTCATGGGGAGCGCAAAAAAAAAACGCTGAAATCAATTCCAGTCATACTCAATGCCCACAAGCGTCCGCATTCCACCAATTCGATTGCTGCGGACCACACGAAACCGACTGCTGTTTCGCCATTCAAGGATGGGTGAACTTCAATGATAAAAACGCCTCAAGCTTAAATCCAACGATTTTGTAGGTTATCGTTTACGGAGCAGTCATCGGATCATGCTCAATAATCACTTTAATATTTTCGCTTCTTCTCAAGCACAACGTGATCTGCCTTCCAACATATCCCACAAAATCCACATATAGAGGCACCGATATTTAGCAAAAAAATTATCGGCAATCTCCAAAAAAAAAACGCCAATCTCACGGGTAATTGATGAAATTGTTTGTCGAGCACACAATTGCTCATCGACCCATTCCAACGGGTTCCCAAGCCAATAATTCTTTCCGTTCAAGTCGTTTCATCATAATACACCGTTTTTGGATTTCAAATAAATGTTTTTTAAAAAGGAATAATGCAAACAACAATAACAACCCGCTAAAAATTAGTCATAGTACTTCCTGATAGCTTCACGAGACTGCAAGTCGGCCTGCAAAACACAAAAACAGATGTCTCATGGCCTCTTTTTTTATTGCAAAATTTCTTATCTCCTCACCTGTCGAATCGGTTCCGATGTCGTCGAATACTCTAAACTTCCAACAACAATTCGAGTGGCAAGGTCAAGTTCAATTCCATAGCCGACCGACACGAAAATTCCGCTCGAAAATCATGGATTTTAAGGAAACACTTATTCAAAATTTCTTCGGATTACTGTTGAATTGCTCAAGCTCACTATATTCAGCTTGCACGGTTTGACGAGATCAAAAGGAACATATCTTCGCTTCTCCTTATTCTTATTATCATTCAATATCTGAAAATTCGCTTTTTCGGAAATTTCACGTCGATAATCTCACATGTCTAGCCTTCTGTATGAATGCGTCAGCGCTCTTCCGATTCTCATTCCCAACGAATTCATAAACCGAAGCCATCGGCAGATTTTTCGCCACGCCAATTGTCGGGATTCCGACAAGTGCGCCGACGTGACAAGCCATTCCGCAACCTGTAATTAAAAAAATCAAATGATTTTAACACCACATTTTCGAATCAAATGACTAAATGATAGTTTTCGATCGATTGCGAGCTCCATTAAAAAAACACTACAAATTGCCCAAAACAAAAAAAAACCTCTCGAATGAAATTCGCCGAACCCGTCACACAATATCACATCAGGCCGGTATTGCGGATATTCATCGACAATTCGCTTCACAAATTCCGCAACAACTTCAGCTTCTCGAATCGCCAAATATTGAGGAATGTAGGGGACGTGAAGAAGCCTAGTGTCGGAAAAACTCGCCAAATGCTGAAAAACACAAACCAATTTTTTTGGGCTCAATTTCTCTACAGAAAAAAATGCGAATAGACAAACAAACCTGAATATTCGGATAGGAGAAGGCGGAGAATGAGACAACAACGATGTCGGAGTTCGATTTGCTCGCCGAGATATCGACACCGGCGATGATCTCGAATTCTCGTTCGTCTTCGAGACACTGCACCGAATAGGTTCCCGCTTTGATCAGCTCCTCTCGCATCAAACATCGCGCTTTTTGCGTCAGCAGGATGCCGAGGCCTCGCAGCGCGTTTCTGAATAGGAGAAGCGCAAAGAAAACGGTGACGCCGAACGATGTTAGAACAGAAATCACCATGAGCGGAGCGAATTCGAAACGATCGCCCCACATCGCCTGCAAATTCAAAGTTCAATTCCGTGACAGGTTATGCGCCTTTAAATCGGTGTTGCGCGCGAAAGATTCCCACCCATATTCATTATTCTAGATTGGGAAAAAAGGGAAAATAAAATTTTTCAATTTTTTTGCATTGAAATATACTTTTCTTTTTCTATTCATTTTGGTCTGTGAATGCTTCATGGTACAATCATTTTTCGTTATTGAAAAAAATTATTGCTTTTTTCAACAATAATTGCGTTAAAATAATTACCATCTGCGGACAATTTCGACATACCTTATGCACAAATGTGTTGTAGAATTCCACAAATGTCAACAATCCAAAATAAACACAATAATGGATTGGTAGTATCGTAGAAATCGGGAACCGCGTGAACCATCTAAACCAATCGATCGGATCAAAGTCCAATGATATTCCATACTTGATTACGACTAATTGAAGAAGAAGGTAGGTGATCGCAATGGAATATTTAAGAAGAACCTCAAAAGGAGTGAAAAGCAGTGGAAATAGTGAAAACGAAGAGATTGTGGTGATGAAGATGTATAGTCGGAGATGCTTGACATCCTGAAATACCAATTTTTGGATGAGGGTTTGAAAGAATATTTTCCACGTCACCTTAATCGCCAATATTGTCATCGGCACTGTTATGAGAATAATCGCCTTCTCATGAACATGATAACCAAAGTAGAAGAACACCAGCGACGAGAATATCGCATATAAGGTGAAATCCGGCGAGTCGCCGGTGGCGCTTTTCGGCATTCTGACGACGATCATCGTGAGCACCGCCAATGAAAAGAGCACAACCAATGCGAGAGTTGCAATTGGCGAGACATTCGGAAGAACACTATGCGAATATTCTTGCACTAATCCCGATGTGTACGTTGGGGCTTCAATGTTTCCAATTTTCAGAAGCTTCAGAATTCGATACAGCACCAGATCGAGCAAATTGTAGATCGCCCAAAAGTTGGGCGCCCAAAACGCATGAGTGAGGCCTAAAATTTACGAGGATTATCGAATTTTGATTTTTTCAACGAATTGACGCACCTCGCGAAACAGGAAAAAGTCTTGAAGCAATATTGAGAAGCGAATTCAGTCCGCCGGAATACAAAAATGGACCCAACGATGCAATGAACGGGACCAGAATGCTAGTGGCGAGGAAAATCCCTAAACAATTCAAAGCATTTTCACGTCAAGACACTAGAGAAATAATAAAGAATGCTCCTTTAAACATCAAACGAGCATGCTCTTTTTTCGAAATTCTTGAATGGAATATGCTCGCACGCTGCAAACAAATTACCTTTTCCAAAAATGTCAAGCAAATTGGTGAAATCGAAGTAATTGGTGAGATAGTAGAAGACGAATCCGAGCGCATAGTAAACATAAATATGTTTGAAATTGACAAGAATTGAAAATGTCAAAGCCGCCTGCAAGTATATTACGGTTGGTTTTTTTTTTTGAGAAATTGAAGTCAAAATTACGAACCAATAAGAATCTCGATTGATCAATGAAATAAATTGAAAGAATGAAAATCGCCGTCAGCATGGAATTGTACTGGAAATGAATCGAATCGATTAGGATCAATGATTGGATGCATGAAAGGAGGATGAAGCAAGCAATTCTAAAAAAAAAACGTTTGTTCGTTGTGAAACACTGAAATTATTGTTTTATTTGGACTGATAACGATTTCTGAAGCGTTTCAAAAATAAATTTGGGCGAATTTCAATCTCTGAATGGAGTCTTGTCGTGTGAAAAACCCCCATTTCTAGTGATTCATAAATATTTTAAGAAAATTGTCAAATTGACTATGAGCTCAAGAGCAACTCGCCGAAGTTCTAATTCTCTGGTAACTCGAAATCAATCGGAGCTGACAAAATTCGGCTCCGGAATCCATTCGATCCAACTGAGACTTCGACGAATAATATTGAAAATTTTCGCTTTTTTGGACACTTTCGGATCTGTTTGAAAAGTTGTTCCAATATCGACCCGATTGAATTTGAGCTCGTCGGTCACAATATTTGCTCAAGACATTTTTAAGATAAAATCGCGCCAACCTAGCCCTCTGTCTCATTTTCGCGGGAATCGTCTCCACCAATTTCTTCGAATGAATACTATAAAGAGCGCATACGAGAATCTGAAATAGCAAAAGTTGGAATCTGGAATTCTCGCAAATTCCACTACATAAAATATATCAGTGACAATGACAGACGTCCTCTGAAATAGCAGAACGTTTCGATGGAACACGGCCGTCTCGGAAATTTCCAGAATCTCATGCAACCTGAAAATGAGCGATTTATAGCCAATCCGATTCCACGAATCACTAATACCCCACTAAATCGGCAAAAAACGCCAAAACTCGTTCAAAGTAGGCAAAAAATGGCGGATAGTCCAAAGTCCATTCCGATGTGCATTCCGTGTACCATTCCGATAGATTCAGATTCCTCGTCACCGCCATCCAATTCCGATGAACTTCAAAATCGGTCGACGTATACGCCGGTATCAGAATGGTCTTCAACCCAATCAGCATCGTTCCGACCGTCAGAATCACACCAATCATCTACAATTTCAACAATTCGCTTTCAACCTCAAAATCCCTTTCCCGAGCTACCCCATCGGGAGCAATTCAGAGATATCTTGCGTGTTTTCATTTTTCCAATAAAACTCCATTTATTACCATTTTCTGTTTTTGATAAAAACCAACGCCAAATTATACCGATTATAACATCATAATAAAACGCTCTATCTCTTTCATTATAATAGTAATAATAAATATTTGACTCTTTGTAACTCTTAATACTCAAACATCACACTTCAAGTAGCCGTGCGTTTACAAAACCGATACTACTATTAACAATTTGAAAACAACACGCGTCAATGGGTGGGTAACACACGATTTACCAAGTTGTGCGAAAGAGAGAATGGAAGGCAATTCGTAAGGGGGGGGGGGTTCGGAAAATGGGTGAAATGAAAAAAACCAGAAATTCAATAAATATATATATTCTCTACAAGTTTTGATGAAAAGGCACTTCAGGCTTGTGGTCTAGAAAATACATCGAATAAATATGTGGGGGAGAAAAAAACCGCAATAAAACAACAAATTTAACATGAATAAGGTTGGTAAAAAGAAATACAATTTAGGGAACTTTTATCGAGGGGGAAAATGGTGTTGATGAATTTTGATTTCGAAACTTGTGACGTTGGTGTATCGCCAAATGCCAAAAAGAAGATGGCATTTACCAGCGACGGGATGATCCCCAAGCTCCGCCGACAGCGGCTGCTGGCGCTCCAGTAGCTCCCATGTCCGGGAATTGCTCAGAGCTTCCAAGATCCAATTGCCATGGGGCTCCCTTGATCTGAACAGCGGCTGGAGCAGCAGCGCGTTGAGTCACTTGCTGACGAGTGTATTGGAACTAAACCATTTCAATAATTTTATCCAAACTCAAATCTACGACTTACTCGTTCAACATTGTCAAGCAAGAATTCCTCCTCTTCAGCTCTCAACATGTCAATGCAATCGTAGACATCATTTTCGTCCTTTCCAGCAATGATAACCAAGTTCGGGTCCTGAGCTCCCTGACGTGGGAGACGAATTTCGACATTGAAGTCCTCCATGACCTTCTTGAGGTTTCTTCCACGAGCTCCAATAAGTCTTGGGTGATAGCGCGAATCCAAGCTGATCTCCTGTGTGAACAACGAGCGGAGTTCAGCAATCATGGCCTCAATCTCCGCGACACAGGCCAAAGCCTTGTCCTCATATCCTTGGACGGTGATGGTCTCATTACCCTCCTCGCGTGGAACAATGATGTTGACACCGTACTTCTCCTTAAAGGCTTTGATGGTATCTCCACGTTGTCCGATGATCTTCTGATGATAAGTGACCGGAACATCAAGAGTTGTGGACCATTGGCGAAGCTTGCGATCCTCTGCTTGAGCTTCATACTCAGCCAGTTTTTCGCGCAAAGCTTCCAAAGCCTGATCAACATTATCTAGCTGTCCGGTGACGGTGATATCCTCGCTGGCGTTGTCCTTTGGAATCGTGATGTTCACATCATAATCTTGCATCATCTTGCGAACCTGAAATTCTCGCATAGATTGAGATGAATTGACTGATAATTCTTACAGTCTCTCCACCACGGCCAATAATCGAACGATGCATGTCAATTGGCAGTTGAATGACTTTCGAGATTGGGACAAGAGCAAGGAGAGCAGCCTTAGCCTCCTCAACATGAGTATCACGTCCAGAGATGGTCACAACATCAGAAGCTTCCTCATCACGGTTCGGGAATCGGATTTGAACATTGTATTTCGATTGGATTTCGTGGATCTTCTGACCGCGTCCAGAAAGAAGTCCTCTATGGAATTGAGATGGGATCTCGATAGTGGAGGTAATCTGAAAATCAAAATCTAAAATACAAAATTAACTTCATCGAAACTCACTTTTTTCTCATAATCCTCCAAAATGTCTTCGATGCGAGCACGAGCAGCATCAACGCATTGCTTCGATCCGCGAATTGACACCTCGTTGCTTTCGGAACCATTGCGTGGGAACGAAATAACAACACCTCCGTTTTGCTCCTGGATTTCCTTGATAAGAGCAGCTCCGCGAGCGAAGAAGTTCTTGTGATATTTCTGGTCAACCTCGAATTTCACTTCAGTGATCTCCGAAAGCTGCTTGATGGCCTCCTCGAGTTGAGCCTTCGTCTTTGCAACGTCATTCTTTGCACCAAGCAAATGGATCGTCTCCTTATCCTCGTCGTTTTCGCGTGGGAACATGATGCGGACATTATAGGCATCACGAAGCTTCGAGATCTTCGCTCCACCCTTTCCGATGAGGAATTTATGGAACTCACTCTTGGCTTTAACAGTATCTTCAGCAAGGTCAGCTTCCTTATCCTTGGCGAGAGCAGAGAGAAGAGCAACAGCCTTGGTGACATCGTTGGCAGGCCCACGGACGACAACCTACAATACTCGTAATTATAAACAGCAAAAATTTCAATTCGTACCTTGGTCGATTCGCTCTTCTCAGTTGGGAATTTGATGTGAACTCCTCCACATTCCTCTTCAATGTCAGATATCAAGCGTCTTCCATTTCCAACGAGTCGAGCTTGAACCTTTTGCGGGATATCCAAAGTCTCTTCGGCAATGTTGGCAAGTTCCTCCTGGATCTTGTTGAGCTGAGTGACAGCCTTCTCAACATTCGCCTGTTTTCCAGTAACGATAATCTTGTCATCGCCAGAATTTGCTTCCGGTAAATCGATGCGAGTTTCGGTTTCTTCACGAAGCTTGCGAATGCTGGCTCCGCCTTTCCCAACGATATGCTTCAAGAACTCCTTGAACACTGGAACACTCTTCTGATAGTTGTTCTCAGCGAGTTCCTTGGACAAGTTGGTAAGTTTTTTGTAAACAGCATCGACCTCATTCTTGTCTCCGCGAATGTTTACAACATCAGATTTCGATTTAGCATCAGGGAAGGCGATCGAGACATTTGGGTGAGCGTCACGAATAACCTGCACTCCAGATCCTTTTGTTCCGATGATAAGTTTGTGGAGTCTCTGTGGGATGATGATGTCGCGCGACTTCTCGTTCTCGATCTTGGTGACAATAGCCTTGATCTCGGCGACAGCCTTCTTCACGCCGTCCTTCTTTCCTTCAACGATGATTTCGTCAGAGTTTGTGCTCTCATCCGGAATCGTGATTTGGACTCCAGTTTGATCCTTAATTTTGGAAACTGAAAAGAAAAAAATTTAGTATAGTTTCTAGAAGATGCCACTTACTCAAAGATCCACCACGTCCGATAACATGACGATGAAGGGTTGGATGAACCTTGATCTTCTCAATGGCCATCTCAGCCTGAAGGCGAGCAACCTCCTTGGCAAGTGCGGCTTGAGCAGTTTTCACTTCTTCAGGGGCACCCTCGAAGAAGATTGTTCCATTATCATCAAAATCGATTTGAACGAGGTTGCGGTTTGGAACAAGTGCGGTAAGCGTTGATCCCTTTGGTCCAATCAGGTGCTTGTGAAGCCAAGTTGGGGCATTGATCGATTGAGTGATGACCGAGCTGGCACGGCTGATGACCAATTCAAGAGCTCCAGCAAGATCAGCTGGATCACCGATAAGGGTTACATTCTCCTCAGCTGAATCCTCTTGTGGAACCTAAAATCAACAATCGAAATGATTTTGACAGCATCTAAAATCGTTACCTCAACAGCGACACGAGTCTTCTGAAGGATCTCATGGATTCCCGATCGTTGCTGTCCAATAATATATCTATGTTGAGAGCGAGCAACAGGAAGGCTAATGGTGGTGACATTTTTCTTCGACTCAATAATCTTGCGGATTTCCGCAGCGGCGCGGTGAACTCCTTCCTTCTCACCGGTGACCGTGATGACCTCACTCTGCACCGATGGTGGTGGAATGTTAATTTTGACGCCAGTCTCGTTCGTCAATCGCTCGTAGTTCTCATTGAATGGTCCTCGAACAAATGGGATGAGCTGCTTCTTGCACACAATATGCTCAGTGGCAAGCTTCGACTCGCGCTCCGACACCGACATGATGTGAGCAACGGCGCGCTGAATTCCTTCTCGCGGTCCGGTGATCTTGATCACCGACGATGAATCGTCGCGTCCTGGCATTTGAATACGGCAGTTCGTTTCTTGTTCGAGTTGACGCAAAATAGCTCCTTCTTTTCCAATAAGACGACGATGATGGTCTTTTGGGATATCAATCTCGCGAGAAGCCTGAGTCTGGAGTTCGCGAACAATGCGAGCACGAGCATCCTCAACATTGCTACGTTCTCCTTTCACGATAACAGTGAGTTCACCATCTTTGGATTCGGAGAGTTCAATGCGAGTTTCTGAAAGGCATCAATATTTGATGGCAGGTGAAACGAGAAACGCACTTGTCTGAGTGGCAATGTTTTGAGCCTTCTTGTGCTCCTCGCTGGTATTTCCAAAGCTTTTCTTGTTTACGGAGCGTTCGTCAGAAGCGAGGCGGAACGTCACCGTGGTGTCCTTCTTGGCAAGCGACGGCCGTGCCCACACGTGCGGCTTCTGAACAGACGGAGCGACTTGTGGGCCAGCTTCAGGAAGCGTCGGGAAGTCGGTATTGTAATCCATTTGAACAACGCCATTGGTAGAGTTTGTTCGATTAACCTCGTTGGCAGCAACTTGAGCAGTTTCTTCTGAAAAAGAAAATAAATAATTGTCGAAATCCAATTTTTAAAATGCCATTTTTTTCATACCAATATGTCCGTTTTCCATGATTCGTGGTTGAATGGGGGGCTATTCCGTGCTAGGGGATCCGTCCGAGTGTACCAATTCAAGCAATAGGAGTGGTGTTAGAGGTGACCGTCGTTGACCGAACCGTACGCACGCAGTCCGTTCAAACAGAGTATCTACCTACAAAAAGGTGGCCCGATTTGTTTGTTTTGTGATCATATGAGGAGCGAGAGCAAAGAGGCAAAATGATCAAAAATTTTGTGAATGAATGAATGTTCGACATCGAAAAAGTGCAGGTGAACCGGCGGCTGCACTATCAAGAGGATTAAGTATGAAGTGGGGGGGGGATTGCGCTTATGCGAATATTAAAGCGATGCGTGTAATCGAGAATGTTAAACGTAAAGTGAAAGGTCAGGGTCGCGTTCGATCAATTGTAGCTCGGTCTCCGCGCGGACTCCTCGCGGTCTCCACCATCGGAATGCTATTTGTGCCTTCGCCAACTGCCCAACCCTCCTGGAACAGTTTACTTGTCAGCGACGGTTCGTCTTGCCCTTCGTGCTAGTCACCAACTGGCCGACATCTCACCCCAAATTTTTGTCCATTCTTATTTCGCATATCACACGAGGCGCGAGACTGATAGTTGTTGCAAAAACGATGATTTTGGAGAGATGGCGATTGATTGCGTCGGAAATGAGGCGATCGAGGGTTAAAAAAAAGAATCAACGTTTATTCTTCACAAAACGGAAATTGGTTTGCGTGGGATACAGCGCCCAAAAAAAAATAATTTTGCCTTGGGAAAGTGGATACGAAACTTATCTTTCAGAAAAGATATAGTTGAACGGGTCATAAAACGGAATTAATGAGACATTATGATATTAATAAATCATTGTGTAGCGCTGCGTTCAACTAGAATTTTTGCTGAGAAACTAGGTCAGGGACACATAACTTTTAGCTAATAGATGCTAATCTCTAACGTTTGGAATCCCCCACACTCCTTTTTATCAGATCAAGATCGGCACCTTTTTTTGAGTGAATGACGGGTACACGTCAGCAATAAATAGTGCTCAGGCCGCTACTAAAACGTAATAGTTTCGCTCATGAGTCGCTGATAAGAAGAGAAAAGCGATAACGAGTCTGCTGAACAACGATAGTAGAGCGGAAAAAAGTGATAAGTTCCCACATTCTTATTGGATAAATTGCAAAAGGAGAAACGAAACAAATTGAGAAAATAATTTCTGTACGATTACATTAATTGATATTAAACGAAGTAGAAGAAAAATGTATTAAAGAAAACCGCTAAATCTTAACGAACCGTTGAAAACTCATTCATGAATGCGAAAGTAGACAGCACAGGGATCTCAATCGAGAGTAATGCAGAGAGGAGGGGGAGGAGGAAGTCGGCGAACAATGTTTGTCGAAAATAGGTCAATCTTTTTTCTCCGCCGAATTTCTCACTTTTTTCTCAGCTGCGCACCAAGCTTGCGGAACCTTCTGTTTCGTTAATCCGAAAGAGGTGGAGCTTACCATTTGAGAAACTCATCAATTTCGATTTGCAAAATAATGATTATAAGTCACGCATATAATTGATTAAGAGGAATTGGATGTAGAAAAATGTGAAACGTGTCACGAATGTTTCGAAAAAACTAAAAATGGCATTGGTTGTGATGTTACTCGTAAAAATGGAAATAGAACTGCATAGACATGCCAACTCCTCCGTTGCCACGAAGAGACGATTAAAGGCGCATTCATTTTTTTGACGCGTTACGGTAACCGCAGTTCAGCTGTGCGCTATTATTTTGCGCTTATTTTTGCATTTTTTTTTCACCGTTTTCAAATGTAAAAACGCGTTTTATTTTCGAGAATTGAACTCGCTGGAGATAAAATGTAATAAACTGAAATACTCTAAATGGAATAATACATTGTAATGATAAAAAATGAATAAAATTTGTTAAAATAAAATTAATTAAGTTTTTCTCGTTTAAACTTCTCAAAAATTGATCTCAAAATTATTTTCGAAATAAGTTTTGAATATTTCAGATGGATTTTAAAAGAAATCCGCGTTATGGGATTGATGATCTTCAATCGGAATTTGATGAGCAGAGTGATGTTGAAAGGAAGAGGAAACGCACAGATTTTCTAGAAAAAGAATATCCTGGCGAAGTGAGCATTTTATTAGATTAAAATTATATTTGCTGTTCAAATTAGGTGCCGAAACAAAAGCGGAAAGATGCGAAGCACTGGTTTCAAGATGAGCATAGTCGAATGCACAAGTATTTTAAAATTAATGAAATTAGCAGGAAAAATGTTAGTTTTTTTAAAGAAAGATGGGAAGAATGATGTCAATGAATGCCTATCAGCGTCATAAGGAAATCATCAATATGTATTATCTAAGCTTCCCTGGATCGACGAAAATGCTCCAGCCAAGCACATCGCATGAACGCACTGATTATGATGTTCTCAAAGATAATCATAAATTTGTTTGGTCCGCTGAAGATGAAGCCAATGCTGAAAAGTCATGGGAGACTAGAATGGCGAAGCGATATTACGATAAGCTTTTTAAAGGTACATACGTAATGAATACGTTGAAACTAGAAATCTATGTCTTCAGAGTATTGTATTGTCGACCTATCTTTGTATAAAAAGAACAAAATAGCAATGAGGTGGAGAACTGAAAAAGAAGTAAAAGATGGAAAAGGTCAATTTCAATGTGGAAATCGAAAATGCGAAAATTCGGACGATCTGAAAAGTTGGGAGGTATCTAGGTTTCGAAAATTCTAAAAGAAATCTAAATTTTGAAACTAACCGTTAAAACTAGGAAAAATTGTGAAATGAATACCAGAAGAAATACAAACCTATTGTTTGAGTGAACAATATAAATTTTGACGAATTTTTCTTTTAACTAGAGAAATTTTTATATACGTATTTACCAATTGACGTCATAAATCGAATTTAAAAAAAAATCGAGGAAAAAAAATGTAGCATAATTATTTTTCTTTTCAGGTGAATTTTGCATATAAAGAAAACGATCAGCGAAAAAACGAGCTAGTGAAGGTTAGACTTTGTCCAGAATGTTCAGAGAAGCTCAACTATGGATCAAAAAAGCGGCAAGTCGAGAAAAAGAAGATTTTGAGAAGGTTTCCCCATGATATTCTTTTTTTCTTATTTTTTTTGTATTTAGATGGGAGCGCCAACGTCAGCATAAAGACATCAAGCCATCGGCGAATGACGATGATGAATCGAAGCCGATTAATGAATCCGATTCCAAATCTGACTCGGCGACTAGCGAGGAGAAGAACAAACAGACATCAGTGTCATCGTCGGATATCTGGGAAGCTCCGGTTCAAAAGGAAATTGAGAAGACGGTTGATGAGGATATTGACGATTTTCTGGATGATCTATTTCAATAATGACAAATTTATAATAAAATAAATGTTGTTATTTATATTTTGTAATGAAGCACAGGAAATTGTCTGAATCGACCGGAATGCAATCTTTTTTATTATTATTACACTGTAGTTCGGCATCGGTGTTTGCGGAAAATACGCAAAAAATTAATAATTTTTTGGACAGGAAACTAATAAAAAATTCATAAAATATTATTTTTGTAATTAAATTAATTAACTAATTAATGTTTTTCACATAATTTTTATATTTATTGCATCGTTTCACGTGTCCATTCTATTTTTAGCAATATTGGCCAACTGCATACGGATTCGAATGCGGTGGCCTAGGAATTTCGCGGCCATACGGCCCAAAAGTCGCAGTTTGTAACTTTTATGAAGTGAACCGAGTTTTTAGTGCATTTTTTGCGATCCAATTGCAAACGTTTTTATTTGTCAATTATTCGTTTTAAATAATTTACAGGTAAAAACTGAATGGGTGAACAAAAAACCACAAAATAACGAAATTATGTACCTACCGGTAGGCAATTTAAACCAGAAAATAATTTATATTAGTTTTTTTTTAGAATCTCCGCGATTCACTTTTAAATTTGCCGGTAGTTGAGAATGAGCCGCTGCCGAGAATTCAGGCGATTTGTGCGAATCGCGAGAAGAAGCTCATCGCTGTCGCCGCCAATAATATTTTGTACATATGGCTCGCAAATGTAAACCAATTTTTGTTCGCAAATTTTAATTTCTATTCAAATTGCTTTCAGCCGCAACTTCTTTTATGCTCCGTTGGAGTTTCCGATGACACGTGGAAAGAGAACAAGGGCGAATTTCAACGAATCTACTGGCGGCCGGATTCGTCGGCGATTGCTGTCACTGTAATTTTTTTACCCCGAAAAAAAAAACTCATTTTTCGTGAAACAATTCAGACAAATCGCAGCCAAATGTTCATCTACTCTGTTCACATTCAAACCGACGAATCTTGCTACAATTTTGTCGACTCGAATGACCCATACTTTCAAAGGAATTCCCACGAGCTATTTCTCAAGGGAAACCGGCCAATTGTCACAATTCGGCCGACAATCATTATCAATTTAGCTGAGGTTCCATCATCGTAAGCTTTTTCTTTACAATTTCTTAATGAACTTATCTGAATTCCAGATGTGTCCCTTCAAGGGAGGAAATGATTGTTTGTGTGAAGAACGGCTTCACTCATCATGTCACTTGGAATGGAATGATAAACGCTGAAATGTCATTTCGCCTTTCAAACGTTCCATTCTCCCACGATCAGTTGCAATCAAAACGTACTAATCTTTTTTTAAACAAAAAAGATAGTCAAGTCCATCATTTCAGCGGAATTCGTCACCTCCACATCCACCCATATTTCCGATATCACCTATGCGCCTTTAATTGGCGGTTTTTGTGTGGTTCTCTCCGACGGGCAGGGCGCTCTTCTGACCTCCACCGATCCGACATTCGCGCCAAAATCGATTCTGGGAGTGTGGGCGACGAATTTAAAGGATGCGGTTTGCTGCGATGTCAATCATAAGTTTCTCTATCTTCTCTTCGGTTGCAAAAAGTGATCAAAGATCGATTTGAAAATTAAAATGTGTATTATATTTATAGTGGAGATGTATGCGCTTATAACGTTGATGAATTATCAGGAGCTCTTGTTCAATCATTTCGTGTCGCACCTAAAGTTACGAACGGACCAGGCAAGAGGGGACCATTGGAAAGGAAAACTAATTCAAAAAATTTTTTATAGACTTTACGAATCGCTTGGGACCCGTTCTCAATCTTTGCGTGATTTCAAATGGCTACGGATTTGCCGCAGTGTGGAAATCGAAAGAAACTGAAGGTGGCGAGAAGGGTCGAATGAGTCCGCTTCCGAGAATGTACTCCATATTTACACCGTTCGGAGCGCAGACATTCTGCAGTTTGGAGGGCGTCATTGAAGATAGCTCTGAAGATTGTGGTGAAGTGTATACGTGTATTGAATGGGGTCCTGATGGATATCAGTTATGGCTCGGAACGAACAATTCTCTTCGTGTCCAACCGATTGTGAGGTCGGCGTCGTGCGGAAACCCTTTTATGGTAATCGTGAACATTTTCTGGGTTTTTTTTCTTGCCTTCAAAACAACAATTTCAGGAGCACATTGACCGCGCCGTTCTCATGTCAGACTCGCATGTGTTCATCGGCGCCGCCGAAGACAAAGAAGCGGACGCGTGCGCGCCGCATTCGGTGTGGGACTACATCTCGGTGCCGCACGAGTACCTCTCATCGAATTGGCCGCTGCGCTACGCGTCCGTCGATCGCAATTATCGACATTTGACGGTTGCCGGCGAACGCGGATTCGCCTATTGCTCGCTGATTCATCGACGATGGAAGATTTTTGGGAACGAGAGCCAAGAGAAGAATTTTCTTGTGACCGGCGGCATGTTTGTGTGGGAGGACGCGGTTCTCGGAGCAGTTGGCACGAATTTAGACAGCGACAAGCCGGTTCTCGCACTTTATCCAACCAGTCAGCGATTGGATACCAAATATGCGTCGATCATCGATCTTGAAGCAAGTGCAACAATGGTGGCGTTGAGGTAGTTTGAAGTGATGAAATTGTCTGAAATTTGTTTGTTTTTCTACAGAGGCGATGTTGTTGGAGTCTTCGACATTGCTGCCGAAATCACACTTTACCGCCTATCCGCTCAATTAAATGGTGGAAGGGATTCGTATCCAAAGGTAAAATTTCAAAATTTTATTTTTTGCGATAACACGCTTTGCTCTAGATTTCTGCGGACATTGTTAGTGTTATTCGAATCAACGAGCTCATCCCTCATCCGGCTTGTGTGGTTTCCCTCCAAATGACGACGTTGAATCTTGATGTTCGCGGAAAACCGAGTCCGGTGTTCCATTCCAACATTGACACGATTCTTGTGAATATTGCCGGCCGCCTGATAACGCTATGCGTTTACGGCGAGGATGGCAAGCTGAGTCAGCCGATGGTGATTGCCTCGTTTGTCGAGAAGATCTGGCACGATCGAAGTGTGTCGCCGTCGGTGTTCAAAGTTGAGGCGAACGATCAAATCAAAGGCCATCGAAAAACACCGTCGAATTTGTCGACGCCAAGCTCGTCGACGTCCGATTCGCCGGCGACACCGCACAAATCAATGTCGGTGCACCTGAGCAATGCACTATGGCTAGCCTGCGGTGCAAAAGGGATTCGGGTATGATTCGCATCAAGAATTCTATTTCGAAACATTGCGATTCAGGTTTGGCTTCCATTGATACCGGGTCGTCGGAGCACATCAACTCAGGAAATGACGTTCATCGCAAAACGGATAATGCTGCCGTTTGATTTGGATATTTATCCGCTTGGTAACTAACTATATGATGGGATTTTGATTATTATAATCGGCGCGAATTTCAGTCATTTGCGCTCGTGATTGCCTCGCGATGGGCGTTGAGAGTCAATCGCAAATTGTTGCGAAGTGCTCGAAATCTCAGGGCAAATCGGAGAATGTGTCGATTTACGGATTGCATCGGAACAGCGAGGTAATTTATCTCGAATCCTCTTTAAGATACGATTATCTTTTTTCCAGGTTTTCGTTCATCACTTGCTTCGCCAACTTCTGAAGAGGAATCTTGGCGTGTTCGCGTTGGAAGTGGCCGCTTCGTGCCGCTCGCTACCCCATTTCGCCCACGCTCTTGAGCTGTTGCTTCACGGTGTGCTCGAGGAGGAGGCGACGAGCAGCGAGCCGATTCCGGACCCGCTTCTGCCGCGATGCGTCGCGTTCATTCACGAATTCCCCGAATTTCTGAAAACGGTGGCGCATTGCGCGCGAAAAACTGAATTGGCTCTTTGGCCGGCGCTTTTCGACGTCACCGGCTCGCCGAACGCGCTTTTCGAGAAGTGCCTCGAACAGGGCGAACTCGAGAACGCGGCGAGTTTTGTCATTGTCTTGCAGAATTTTGAGAGCACCGAGACAAGTATGGAAGTAAGAGGCGTTGCTTATTTTGTTTTTCTGAAACACCTAGAATTTGTTATATATTTGTGTTTCAGCAAGCCGCGCGTCTCGTCAGAAGTGCACTAGACGCTGGAAAATGGTCGATTGTTCGAGAAATGGTGAGATTTGCGCGATCGATTGGTGCCGAGGATATCGATATGGTGTAAGACGATTGTTGATTAGAAATTTGGGGGAAAAATCTCGCTTTCTATAGAACACCGCCGCCTAGCGCGAAAACGTCGCTGTCGAGAAGGCCGACGGTATCATCGCCGGAGCAGTCGAATGAGTTTGTGATCAATCGATTTCAAGCTGGCGGCGCCGGACGACTCGCGAAAGTTCGACATTCGCAGAATGACAAGGAGATCATGAGCCGAAAAGATTCGACGGGAAGCACGGCGAAGGCTGGACTGACGCGAGCGATTTCGGGTGAGGTGTCGCCGCAGCCGACGTCGAATCGACTGGCGGCACGAATGAACAAAATTCTCGAGGAGCACTTCTGGCATCTTCTCAATAATTATCTGATCAAGGATTTGGGATTCTTCTGGTCCGAGCTTCAATTCGACATATGCGGATTTCTGGAGACGAGGCGGAGTCGACTGCAGCATCCGTCGAAGAATCCGAACGATGAATGCTGCTTGATTGAAGACTTCCCATTGGCTCTAACTCGACTTCATTCGCAATTTAGTTGGCCATTTCCGATGATCGGCTCGCAATTTGTGCATCAGATTGAGAAAAAGCTGGGCAATTTGAAGATGAGCCAGAGTACGGCGAGCTTGAATGGTACCACTTATCATTTTTATTCTCTATTGAATAATTTTCGAGGTTTTCAGGATTTGTTGAGATGGAATTGTCGGAGAGCTTCAAGCCAACGTCGTCTGAGAAGACGATATGTGTGGATAAATCGGCGATTCTCGAGCGGCAAGCGTCGTCGGACGACGGTGAGCTCGAGATTCAGGAAGCGTCCCTTCAGCGAGTCGTTGGATCTCAAATTGATTTGCCGATGCATGATCGACATTCGGTGTCGAGTTTGTCGGCGAACATTCCGCCGACAACACCATCGTCATCGGAGACGCGCAGTATTGCGGGCGATTGGCAGAACACGGATTATCTCGTTGGTGAGAAGTCGTCGCGCGGCAACACGGAAAGCAGTCGCCAAATTGAGTTCATGCTCAATTTGTTTGCTCAAACCGGAGCCATTGATTGGGTGTTTGTGTTGTGCTTGATCGGAAGGGATGATCGACGACTCAGGCAGGAGATCAATGCGGCGGTGATACGGAAAGTCGGCGAACGCGCGTTCCTTCGGATACGATTCGCATGCAGCGAGTTGGCGAGATGGGCGGTCGAGAAATGGTAGAAATTGATTACTTGGTATGTTTCTCAATGAGATTTGAGCTTTAGCTGTGGTTACGTTGCTCTACTTCAACTATTTGATGCTCACTTGGCAGTGGTGGCTGAGCAGTTGGGAATCCCTGAGAAGAAGTACACGCCGCCATCGGACTATGAAGCGAAATCTGAAAAGGGTAGTCGAAGTCGTCAGAATCGGGTGAACTCGAACGTGAAGCTGAATTCGACGTTTGCGCAGAGGAGAGAACGAAGCAGAAGCTCAGATAGAGCGCATCCGGCGGTTAAAAGGTAGCCGAAAATTCTAGAAGATTGCCCAAATCGTTGCTCACATTTTTTTAAGGTATGATGAGGTGGTTTGTGCGGAAGACGCGATCGAGAAAATGGACGAAGAAGGGTGTTTAGTTATGTAAAATAGGAGTTTTATTTCGTTTTCATCACATATCCTAACTTCGGTGCTATTCTAGCTGACTATTATCTATTTTTTTTCATGTATTATATGGAACATTCCAGTTCAAATCAAATGACTCTATGAGTGTGAATATCGAAATTGGTGTTAGTGCCTTCATTTGCAGTTTTATTGGATGTATCAGAGATTTTATAAATTATTTCCATATTTCTGACATGTTCAAAACGAGTTTTAGAAGTTGTATTTAATTATTTATTAAAGCATTAATTGATAATACAAAATATAAGGGAATGTATGTAAAATTGTGGCAAATTACTTGGATTTCTTGAAGTTGATCGGAATTGGACGAGATTTGTTCTCGATGGCCTGCTTCTTCGGCGCGCTGATCGTCAGATGGCCGTCGTTGGAAAGCGAAGAAGTCATGGCTGACGGATCGACGTCGTCCGGCAAACGGACCATTCGGTGGAATGATCTCTTGCTGTAGCCGTGCTCGTGTTTCACTTCCTGCTCGCCTTCCACCGTCAACTCATTGCCATTGATGTTGACTTTGAGGTTCTCCGGCTTGAAGTGCGACACGTCGATCTGCATTCCGAATTTCTGATCGTTGTTGACAATCTGAAACAATCGGCATGATTTGGCGCCAATTTCAAATTTTCAATCTTACCTCTCCGATGGGATTCGAGAAGTTGAAGCACGAATGATCGGCGTTTCTCCAATACGGCACCGTGATTCGGTCGAAATCCTCGAAGAGACTGTCGAATGGAGAGCGAAGAACAAGCATGTTGAGAGCGCTGATTCAAATTTGCTGTTTACTGCTGAATTCGGACGCCGACGGATGCCTATTTATACGCGCGTGCAGCCATTTTTCGAGAATGCTCGCGAAAGACCCAGACGGCGAGAGGGCGGGTAACAGCGGTCAGATAGAGAGACGCAGACGAGCAGAGCGCAGCGAGAGACGCTTACGCGACGAGCCTGGATGATGCTGGAAGTTTCTCGAAATGGGGTGTTGTTTTGTATATAAGAAATGCGTTTTGAAGTTTGAATCAACCTGAAACAAATTCTACTGCTCTCAACTGCTTTCAACGATGTCACTCTACCCATTCTTCGCTCCACGATCGGTCTACTCGCCAGTCCACCATCTTCTGCGTGAAGTGTCGGAACTTGAACGACAGATTGAACCATTGTTCCATGGACTGTGTCAAAACGAGGTAGGATTTCAAAATTGAATTTTGGAAATTCGATTTTCGATTATATATTTACAGGTGTTCAAGTGTGACAATGAGAAATTCAGCGTCAATTTGAACGTCTCCGACTACAAACCCGAAGAGCTCAAAATCGATCTTGATGGCCGCAAGTTGAAGATCGAAGGAAATCAGAAGGTTGAGAATGAGCACGGCTTCTCAAAGAGATCATTCTCGAGGATCGTGCTCCTTCCGGAAGACGCTGATCTCGCCGCCATCACCTCGAACCTCACCGAAGACGGCCAGTTGAGCATCGAGGCTCCACGGGTTCCAAAGGATACCGGTCGAAGTATTCCGATCAACGTGAATCCCGCGGTGAAAGACACGCCAAAGGAGAACACCAAATAATCTTGCCTATTAATAATTTGTCAGCTTTAATAATGTAAATAATCAATTTTGCAATAAATTATTATTAAACATAATGACGTATAATTGGTTTATAATTATAATGATTCATAAAATGGAATCATTTGCGAATATCAAAAGCTGAAGGAAGGCCACGTTTTCTTCTGCGAATGTCACTTGGCAATGGATGATTTCTACTGGTTCTGATTGCTGTAACGATCGGCAGATCGCGAACAACCGCTGGCTAAAGATTTGGCAATTTTTAAGAAGTTTTTCTTTTTTTGGGAAACCTGGAGGATTCCGGATTTGCTCGACTCGAATGTCTTGATTTGTTCGTCGACTGAAAATTGAGAGACGGATTCTTAGTCGTTGTTGTCTGGAATTCGACTAACCTGCACCAATTAGGGCGACACTAATAAGCAAAATGAAAAAAGTTTTCATGATCATGATAGATTCGAGAAATGATACATGAATTCGGCGTCGAATTGGGCGAACCGCAAAAAAAAACCAGCTGCTCAAACAGTCACAGTGGGGTTGTCGGACGTTGTTGTTAGTGCACATCACCTCCATCAATCTATTTTTAAATCACATTCGATACTATTTATTTATTTGAAAATTCGAACATATGAGATCGAGGTAAAAAAAAAAGAGAGTCGTGGAATTGGCTCAAACGGGGCTCGCGGCGATGGCCGCCGCCAGATCTTGCATGGTGCAATGAGCCGATGATGGTGGTGGCGGCGATTTCTCGCGAATCAGATTGCCGGCTGGTTGGGTGATTGGGAACAAGGGTAGCATGAAGGGCGAGAGGTTCTTACAAGCCTACAAATATTCAATTAGAGAGTTCTGGCGTGAAAAAAAAAAAACAATTTGAGCATGCGCCTTTAATTTATAATTCAAACTAAATAAAATGTATCAACGCATTTTTGTTCGATCAAAATTGAAAATGGCCAGTTCAAAATAATTCCGCAACATTGCGCTTCAAGACCAATTACCTGAACTCTTGGGTATTTCGCATTGGGTCGTCGTCCACGTGGCACTCGGCTAACCGCCAAAATGCTTTCAATCGAGAACGGGAACGTCGGCAATGGCTGAAATCATCAATTCAATCCCATCTCCCATTATTTTCGGAATGCCTTATTCTCGGAGGCGCCTTCGTCCTTCTTCGTCTCGAGACACCCAATCGCGCCGTTTTTGATCTGCTCGCGTTTTCGCCATTTCGCCCGCCGATTTTGGAACCAGACCTGCAACCAACAAGAAAGTTGAAGTTTTTCGCTCATCCCGAACGCCTTTTTAAAAGTGGGAAAACGAGGCAAGTAGAAAAAAACACACACACAAAACATGGCACAAATCTATTTCGTTATCGCGCATCTCGTGTTGGACATGCTTCGCGCGCGGCGAACTCAAATATCTGATTGAGCCAAGTTGCGGTTTTTAAATTAATGGTCGTTTATTTTCGTGTTGTTGCGTTCGACCCGATTCAAATCGCGACAAATTTTGCCGAAAAAAAATGACTGGAATTGATGTTTGATTTTTCGAAAAATACAAACAAATTACCTTTATTTTGATGATCTAATGTTGCTTCTCAAGATCGAATTGGCTTCAAAATATAATGAATATAAATTCTAGAAGAAAATTTCGGAAAATCTTGATTGAAATCATGAAAAATGTTAAGCTCTCTTCATGCAAATTAGTTGCCGGCCGCCAATTTCGCGACCGCGAAAGCTAGTCCTCAACCAATTCTATTTTTTTATAATAGCTATTTGTTCCTTTTTTCCAAATGTTTATTCTATTTTTATAAATACCTAGTAAAGATTTCATAAATAGATAAAAAATTTTCCGAAACATTCCATAATTTTTCACATTCAAGTCTTTTCACAAGCGCAACCTAGAATTCGAAATTTCGTGACTTAAAAAAATTATTCCATTAAAACCAAACTGTAATTGGCTTCATTTTCATCTGTCCAGTAATGATTATAAGAAATTTCAGATTTTTGGGAATCATAATTAATATTAATTATAATATCACTCGTGGCGAGCAGCGACACAAAAATTGAAATCGACACCCGGATTACTGTAGCAATTTGCACATTCCTACTGGGATCCGAAAAACCCTTTCCGACGAGCTCCATCTCCATTTGTTTCTTGCCTCATCGCTAAGGGAATTCGAATTGGTGAGCCAATCGCTCATCTCTTTTTAACTGCCAAAAGTGAAAACAAGAAAGAAGCGCAACCAGCTCCGAGTATTTTTTTCCCCTCGGATTACGGTAGCCTTGGGGGAGGGGAATAATGCTAAAAAGCTGTTTACCTGAACGCGGCTCTCGAGAAGATCAAGACGCATCGCCAACGCCTCGCGCATGAACACGTCGGGATAGTGAGAAGCCTCGAATGCGGATTCAAGCTCTTCCAACTGCCATCCTGAACCGCGAATATTGCAAATGTCCGCAGATGCAATTGTGTGTATACCGGAAAAGTTGGTCCGCGTCCGTCGTCGTTTTGCAGCGCTCTCGCCATTCTCCTCAAGTTGTTGCTCATCTAGACAATCGTGTCGAATGATTGAAGCCGTAAGCGGCCTACCTTCAAGAATCTCCTCGTCAAACTCATCCGGCGTCGTCGTCTGCTCCCTGGATGACGTCGATTTGTCGATTTCGCCGGAGCTCGATGTGGTCGCCGGCGGCGAGATGATCACTGAATTTGAGACTAGAATTTCGGCGTATTCGGACAATATTGCCGGAAACCTAAACCTGAACTGATGTGCTGCTTCCAGTAGTCATTCCAGATATCATTGATCATCGCTCTAATGGAAAGGAGTGAAGACGGTGGAATAGAAGTTTCGAGTCGAGGGCACACCGAGATGAGAAGAAAAAAAAACAACAACAACAACAACCAATAAAAGATTTGAATGGAAGATATTCCAATTTTGGGCTTCACTTCGAAACCAGCCAATGAGACAATGGTGGGCGGAGCTTGCTTGCGCGGCTCCTTCGAATTAACATTTTTGCTCTCCACCCACTAATATGATGAGATTTTTCGCGGAGACCCCTTGAGGCTTATGATGCCAACTACAGTAATCCGACGCGATTATGACAATCGAGGGAATTCAATTATATTCGGGTTTGAGTTTCATTGAAATGCTCGATTGCGCCCCATGTATGATGAGTTGCAGGTTTTGCGGCGAATTTGATAATGTTGAAAGAATTGAGGTGTGTCGAGACCTTATTTAAAGGCGCATCACAACGAAATATGAATATTCGAAAACTGAGAATCTCGCATTCAGAATTTGAGATTTTGTGCAGAAATTCAAATGCGCCTTTCGAGAAATTCCAAATATCTCCAAATCGGAAAATATTTTGCCTACAGGTAATTCCAGAAAAAGTGTGTGCATACACGCGTACGCAAAATTGCACACATTTGATTTGATTTTCAATGTCAATTATTTTCCATGATAAAATTTGTTTAGTATTTTTCGAAAATTGCCAGTGTACTTGAAGATATCATCGAAATTTGGGATATTTCAACCAAAAAAAAAATGTTGATTAGCTGAAAATTTTAAGAACCCAAATTTGAACCTTCCAGCAAACCGACATGCTTCTAAGAGTTAAATCTACAGTACACGGGCTCTTCCTAACACCACCTGATGAGGGAGGTCCCACAATTTTTGAGACTGGTGAAATCACATTTGCATGTGATCGCAGAAGCCAAAATTTTTCGGAAATCTCTGCACAAAGAGGATGACATGAGTCATTTTTTGTTGAAAAATCGCCAACAGCCACCCAACCACCCACCATTGCCAAGAAATGGCTTAATAAGGGTGTGGTGGCGAACATCGGAGGAGGCTCCTCATCATTCCCCTCGGGTATTACGATAGGTGATGAATGTAATAATCGGATGAAGAGGTGTCACTAACTATGGATTTCAACGCATTGTCAATCCAGCCCTGCGATAAATCTTGCATCGTGTCGAAATAGTGCGCGAAATGGTGTGGATTCGAGGTGGCGCGCAAAAAATTTGCATAATTTGCTCAAGATGGACAGCTCATTTGGGGGGGGGGTCGCAACACACGGTTATGTGGCGATAAATCATGAATGCCCAAAAAGTTGTGGGGGTGGTGTGGCGAGACGGCGATTACGATAGCCGTCCGGCATTGATCCCGCCACGAAATTTGCATTCAAATTGAAAATAAGTAAATAATAATAATGGAAGAAATTAGATATATTATTCCGGTCCCTCCCTCTCACTTCCCTAATTTATATGCGAGTTTTTAATTGAAAATTTTGAAAATTGAGATGCGCCTTGAAAATTGTTGGCTTGGGTTTTGATTAAAAAAAATTACGAATTTAATTGTGATCGAAAAATAAATTTCGAATTTTAATAGTAATTCGAAGAATTTAAAGAATTGTTGTATGCTCCTTTAAAGGAAAATTGGCTAGATGCCAAAAACATTCAGAGAGGTTACTGCGATTGTTCGGCCCATTCAGAGAGGTCATTTTTAGGACCAAAGTTTGAAAAAATTAAAAAATTGGTAAAATCGAAAAAAAAAACAAAAAAAAAATAATTTTTAAGCATGATGCAATTTTGTTGAATGAAAGCTTGCAAAAAAAAATTTCAGCCTGATTGGCCGCGTTTGAGTCAAGTTGTGCTCAAAAAACACTAGGCGTACATCATTATGGCCACTACTGTAGGTTCTATGCGCCTTTAACCTATCCTTTTTAATGAATCTGCTATCATGCAATTAATTCTTCTTCTTCTTCTCTGGTCCCGACGCGAAGCATACTTTTCTTCAATACAGTAACCGAAGAAATGTTCAGGCATTGACTTATCCGTGTGAAGTACACAGTCTACGACTTTTGGCCTAATAGTCCACTTTGATAATTGATATTCCATCAAAGAACTCCTATTAAGGTGAACCATGCCATCCATCTCTGGTTACTGTAGATTGCTTATCGAGATGCAATTTCCAATCAATATGAATGGTCCTTTAAGAAATTCTACACGATGCAGCCCGCTTCAAAGCTTCAAATCATTCAGCTTCATCTCTCTAATAACTATACGAAATATTTTGAAAAATGTCTAATAAATCTCGACGGGCGCGTCGTCGAAAAAGAGATTGGCGTCGTCGATAATGCTTTGAAAAGTTTTTGGCGGGGGTCCCAAATCATCTCCATCATAATCATCATCAAGCATCTCGATGCTCTCAATTCCGACGGGCTCCTTCGTCCGAAGCCGTCCCATTATTATTACATATAACTCATCTCGATTTCGCGTCTTGCGCAATTCCCAAATGCGCCATTTTTGGAAACCACTGCACACATCCATACATGCACACACTCCCATATATAGAGATGTACCGGACAAGCAGAGCATCATCTTTTTGTCAAGCAAAAAATAAGGGAAAACAAAAGGCTGGCGAAATCCATCCGAGCTACCGTATAACCGCCAGAACGTCGTTCGTTTCGTTTTGTTTCGACAGCTCAATTCGCACGCACCGCTTGAAAATTGAACAGTTTGATTAATTAGAGTGCGGCTGGGATTTTTTGGTGGAGAGCATCTACGCTGTCCGCAACAACAAATTGCCACATCAATTGTGGTGTGCGGTTTTTTTTTCGGGCTGTTGCTAAACAATTACCATATTTGAATAATGAGGCGCGACGAAAATTGGATGCGATACACACCACTCATCAAGTCGGCCGCCATTTTTTGAATTTATGGCCAATCGGTGGCGAACGCAAGACGATGGATGAATGAGAGCCGGGGATATTCCTGAATTGCTTTTTTAAAAGTTGGAATTGTAAATTCTGCGTCTAATCAAATTGCAACATTGGAAAAAAATCTTAATTGATCTGCAGAAATTTAATGTGCAATGGAGCGCAATTGTCTTCTCACTATTTTTGAGATTTTTTTCTGGAGAGAAAAACTCAAATTGTTGGTTTTATATATCAATTGAAACACAATGTGTAAAACATTTTTTTGGTTATTAAAAAACCCCGATATTGCTAATAAACTCAGATGTCGTAGAATATTGCGTTTTGGTACGTAGTACACCGATTGAATTGAAATAAGCCGCAAAGTGATTTCTTCTAAAATTGCCTATTTTTGCTCAATTCACATTATTTTGCATTTGGCTATAAATAAAATTTGAATCCATAAAAATTGTAGTGGGTTTCCATTTCGTCATTGTTCCAGAATCTCCTGAATTCCCTCATCTTTTACAAAACTCCGAAAAAAGAAAAAACGTGATCGCACGCGAACCGCGACGCACACATGTCTTGCATTCTGTTAGACTCAAATTGCCGGCCAACTTACGGGAACTCAGACCGATAGAGCGCAATTGCAATCCTTCTATAGTCGGCGTCCGGCGACTGCTGTAAGCGGGTAGATTTACGGGGATGCGTCTTTCGAAATGGTCTCGCAAGGACTAACAGGTTATATCGCATTTTGTGGACCGGTTCGATAATTTTTTAATCGAATATTGTTGGAAATTCAAGGAAATGCGAAACTCATCAATAAAAATGGAGCTGTTCACGTGAAAACAGCGAAATAAGAATTCACGCGTGGCAAGACCTTTTTCAAGGCGCATGCGCGTAAATCTACCCGCGTACAGCAGTCGCCGAACGCCGACTGTAATTTCATACAAAATCCGTCAACAATGCTTATATCTCTTGTCGGACCACAAGCCATAATATGATATTATCTATAAAATATCAAAAATTATGATTGGCGTTAGAAAAAAAAAAACTAAAAAAATTGAAAATTGCAATTGCGCTCTATTGATAATCGAGTATTCTTCCGTTGAATTCTATTCCGATGAATCCCCTCGAATTTGCCACGTAGCTATTTGGGGTCGCTGCAAAATTCGCGTTGGCCTGTGAACTCGCTCAGCGTACAGCGTACCAAAACGCAGAATCACCACTGTGCATCGATGCAATTGGCATCTCAGTAAGATATTTAGCAGTTTTAAGTTTCCTGGCAGATAGGGTTCAAAATTATTCGCAATAATGAACTTTGTGATTTTTTTCATTTCAATTGCTCACCAAAGTCGAGCATTCAAATTCGCGCGCTTAGCCGACCGAGAATCACCCGCGTTGCGTATGCGTCGCGGTCAGCGTCGACTTGAAATAATAACAGTAACAAATCGTTTTTTTTGCTGTTTAGAAATTAAAATAGTTTTTTTTTTAATGGTTTTCATTATTTTTGATACAAAATGGATAAGAAATGGGTGATTATGCGATTCCAGGAAAGAAATCATAATGGGAAATTATTTAATTATGCACAATTCTCGTTTTTTTTTGAGAATATAAAAGTTTTGGTATAGAACTCTTTCAATATTTGATTAGTTTTGTGATGGTGTGAAATATTTTCTTTACATGTTTTACACCTTCCAATTTTGTTATAAAATAACTCTATTGGTACTTAAGGTTATTCAAAAATTGTACGTTAATTGGATTATTTTTCGAAAAGTTTTGACCAGACAATAAAAATTGTATACCATTCCGATACTAATATATTTGAAAAAATTCACCATTTTGAACATTTCAAACATCAAGCTCGTTTTAAATTTTTTTGTTTTTTACGCAAAAATAAAATATTGGTATACTTTTCCCCGAATTTATATAATTCTAAGTACAATGAAATAAATTGCTAATAATGTTTTGTTCGTGTTATCGCTCGCCCTTTAATGGCCGTTGTCATTTTCTATGAATTTCCGATTCGATCAATTCCAAATAAATAGCAAAACCATTATTTCGAAAGTTTAATCGCCTCCAATTTTCTATGAATTCGTTAGTCCTCAATAATATTATAATATGTGTTAACATGATGTCGTTCGCTCGCATGAATATCAAATAATTTCGTGTTTCGCTTCAACAAGAATGCGAATGATTGTTTTGAGAAGACAAACAAAATTTGTACCAATGACTAGGTCTCAATGATAAACCAAAAATCGGGCAAAAAGTCGTTTTCAAAATTATCACCAACATTTAGCTAAATTGCGACCTTTCACACACAATAATGCTAATTATGGCTTCACAATTTTTTTTCCGCTCACTTTTTTTTCCAACCAAACGAGATACACCAGAAAAGTGTGAACTATTTCGAGGCGAGCTCATTTTCACACACCTCCTCGAATGGAATAATCAAAACCGGTGCGAGCGCAACGCCGTCGATTTTGTTATCGCCATAGCGACAATCGTCGACACAACCTCGCCATTATTTTTATTCGAGCCACCCGAAATCGAATCCAGACATGCAAAATTTTATCTTCCACTTGGTTTTTTTTTATCCTATTCTCGTTTCGCCTTTTTTTTTCATGCTATTTGAATGCCCAATGGTTTCCTTACGTTTTTTTCCTGAAGCACTCGATTTTCGAAAATGTTACCCTTAATTCATGCTCCTTTAATTCGAATTTTATTAAATCAGATATGCGCCTTTAAGGAGAATCGAAACGATGTTCATGACGTATTCCAGAAGCGAAGTTTTGTGTAGAAATTTGTCCTGTGCCTTTAAACATAATCAATTTGTGTACATTACGGACAAGCAAGCCTAAAGTTAACCTTAAAAATTCATAAAATCTTTTACAAATTGGGCAAAAAATTTGAATTCCTGGAATGACTCTTAGTTCTCTTGCTCATTATTCCCCATTATTAAGGAATCATTGATCACATGAACCGCAATATTTAACACCTAAACGATCAAAATTCATTGTTCCAACAGTAGAAAAACTAACAGCGTGAAATCGATTCTCGCTCTCCCACAATTCTCGTTATCGATGAGAAACTTCAAGACGAGACATTCGCTGAAAAGCATAAAGCATAAAAATGTTTTTTTTTTTAATTTCAAGCCAAAAAATCTACTCTTTGGTTGGATAATTACAATGTTTTGGTGAAACTCGGAGCACCCAAAAATAGGCTCCGCAAAAAGATATCGGTGGCCGCCAAATCAGCTGGTTTCGAGCCGCGCGCATTTTTAGATATTTGATTTTCAAATCACCTGCGTTTTCAATTATTCGGCCCGCGCGCCGCGGTTGCGCCGAGCTTTAACAATTTTACGATGATGATGATGTCATTTCTTTTCGATTTTTTTTGCTTCCCGCTTGTTTTTTTTCTCATTGTACCTTGTAGTGATCAAAGCCACCCATGAAAATAAGCGAACAAATACAATTTCGTAATTGCCTCGTCGCTGTTTTTCACATAGTTGTTTTCCAATCGTCGCACAACATTCATTTTCGGTCTTTTTTTTTTCATATTATTCAACTTTTTAGATGAAAGAAAAAAAAAAAAAAAACAATTTTTTTAGAAGCGCGACAACTGATGCGATGATTGCGAGATTCGGCGAAGAGAACTAGCCAAAATACATATTTTACCGATGGGCGCCACACTTTGTGCACCAAAAAAGAAGAAGACAGTTGGTTTTTTTTCTTAAAAAAATAATTTTAAACAAAAAAAGTATGTGAGAAAATATTGATTGGGAATACAGGTGCAAAGTCCGCAATTTTGCGACTCGGTGCTCGCGGACTCTCTCAGTTTCGAATTTGTTTTTCCGATTTTTTTCAACTACTTTTGATTTCTTTTCATAATAAACCTACAAATTTTGAAAATTTTGAGAATAATAATTAATTTTAATTGTTTTCCAAGCTACATATATCCGAATTGTTGAATGATTCATCAAAATCAACGACAAGAAACGCGGAATTGTTCCGCCAATAATTTCCCGCTCTAATTGCATTTGTTACGACGCATTACGAGAAGTTCGTTCAGGTGTTTGCGCGCAGAGAATTTCAGGAAACGGCTCAACATATGAAAAAAATAATTTTTGTGTGGTTTTTCATAAAATCAAATGGCGGCATTTACGCACGAAAGTTGACTAATTAGGGGGTGTGGGGGTTTGTTTGTGTGTGACTGACTAGAGCAAATTGTAGCAAGTTGGATCTTCTTGGGTTGGAAACGAATCGGAGAATCCGTTCGAAGTGTCGCTGAACAAAAAGGAGCGAACACTGTTGAGAGAAACGTTTCAGGTAGTTCCTTTTATGAAGAAACTTGTTTGAAATTCGAGTTTCAGAGGCTTGATGAGCCGAAAGAAATCGTTGGAGCAATTTTTGTAGATATTGTGAACGATGTAGAACCGGAGCTTAAAAAGGTATTTGAATTTTTTTTTCGCCAATTGTTTTTTGAAATAAAAATTTTCCAGGTATTCGGCGTCGATCGCGCGCCGCGCGCGGTGATGCTCAAAATGCCGAAATTCGGCGGCCACGTGGCGCGCTTCACCGACCTCATCGATCAGCTGATGTCGATGCTCGGCTTCACCGAGAATCTCACCGGCGCGTGGCAACTCGTCCGCAAAACCGGTCGTAGTCACGTGAAGCAGACGTACCTCGAGCAGAACCAGAATCAATTGGAGAAGAATTATTTCGAGATTGTGCTCAACATTTTCATCGAGCGGTTTATTCCATTTCTTACGGGTGAACAGGAGCTACCGCAGGCCGACGGCACCGAGCAGAAGAAGGTGCGATTCGCGCAGAGCTACGCGCCATCGCAAATCCACGACGTCTGGAAGAGGTTGGCGATCAAATTGGGAAAGCTGAAATGATTTTGATTTTGGGATTTTTCAGATTTCTTCAAATTGTCATCGCTCAAATGACGGACTCGTTCGAATTGGAGCGCGCCAAACAGCGGAATGCTCAAAGTCAAAAGGCGCTCGCTCCTCATCAGCACATCGAGCAAAGCGAACGAAAAAAGAAAAGGATACAGGTACGGTGAGAGTCTCGCCACGGCAATTTTCGACGAAAATTTTGATGTCTCCCATCGCGAAATCGAAACCCTCGTCCAATTTCGCCATTGTGCGGCCTTTGACTTCTGGTTTCTACACACGGAAATGATTTCTTCATATTGAATTATTCAAACAGAAAAATTCAATTAAAATTAAAAACCCGAATGATCCTCACGCTTTTTTTGTTTCGAAATCGCGTTTTTCCCCTCCAAATAAGGGCTGTCCTCCAAAAAAAAAGACATACACATAAAATGGGTCACATTTTTTTTCAGGAAAAGCAGAGCGAAATCGACAACACGGCGATATCGAATGAGCCGAAAGAGCAGGAGCAAATGTTCGAGGACCCATTCTGAGAGCTCTACCATTATCATTATCATCATCTCAATCATCGTAACTGATAATCCTAATTGCGAATCGTAACTATACATAAAACAGTATTGGATGTCGAATTGCTAATTAGCGCGGTGCTAATTAGAGGGAAAAGCCCTAATTAATTTTCGACAACTAGTAAACAAACAGGTCAAATTGCGAGTCGCGGAACTTGTGTGATTCGAGTGAGGAGGAGGGCCGACACTTGAGGACCCCCCCTCTGCCCTCTCGTCGGACCCTTCAAATCGTCTAAATATAGGATGCGATGTTTGATATTTTCCAGCTTCAGTGTCCGCAGATCGAAATTGTTTTAATCATTGCGATTTTTGGTATAACTGTTATGTGTTGCATCTGGTATTTTCCATTTTTCTCAACCCGCAACCTTGTCCGCAGGTTGAATTAAGGAAAAGGCAAAATCAAACAAAGAATTGCCAATGGGACCAATGAGAGGCCCATTTAAGCGCGACCCACTCTCAATTTATATTGCTTCTTCTTGTCGAAATGAGACATACAATAAAATGTGAGGAAAAGCTTTTTTCCTTTCGGATCTTCGAAATTCTCATTTCCCTCGGCTTCGAGCCCTTCTCCTATCTCTTGCTTGTCCTTCCCCCTAATGAATGAGTAATCCTAATTAGAGATACATAGTGCACAAAAAAAATGTTGGGAGGAAGTATCCCATATTTGGAATGAGTATTATTGATATATGCACACCATGTTTTTGGCGGGTAATTGAATCAGCTTGGTGTGTTTTCAGAAACCCACCAAAAACTAGTCGCTGGTTATTTTGTGCTATGTTTGATAGGTTTAACCGTAATTCCCACGGTTTGAATTGGAAAAAAAATGCGATGGTCCATAAATACTCAGGATTATCGTTTTTTTTTGCATTTTTCTTTAAAGGTTCAATTCTTGAAATGCATTTTTTCTTGGTTAAATTTGCGAGGTATTGAGTGGACTAGTTTCCGTGGCCTCGTAATTCGCGGCCATTCCCTACAGTGTTTACAATTTTCAAACAAAAAAAATATTTCCTTTCAAGATTTCCGTCTGTAATTTGAAACCGCTTCGCCAAACGAAACCCAACAATTCCCATCTGCGGACAACCTTCCAGGCCGAATTTTCGAGTCCACCCCCCCCCCCTAGTTCGTCGCCACGTGTCAATTCCATTCTGCAAAAAAAAAAACTCAACCAAACAAGAGAAAGTTGAGTGAAAAACCCAATTTCCGTCCCAAAATTGGGTTAATTAAAACAATTGCCTCATTTTCTTTTTTTTTTGTTCCAGCGACACCAAGTGCAAGTTGAAACCTCTTTCGGGCTCCTCCCATTCGATGATGGAATTATGAAAAATGAAATCGCGAAATTTCAGAAAACACTTGAAATCGAACCGGACGTGTGTTGTTTTTGTTTCGCGGCGAACAAAACCAAAAAAAAAACCAATAAAATCGATTGTGCGAGAAAATTCAGGAGGCCGAACGAAAAAAAAATTAATTGTGGCCATTCGAAAACAATGAGGTCCCTAAACGCACGCGTGTGCTCATTTCCCATCGCGTGCGGAGCAACAAGAATTCGAGTATCGTGACATGCACTTTTCTGGAAAAATTATTGCGTTTTTTTTTTGGTTGAGCGGGCGAGACGCACATGGTTCTCATTTTTTTTTGTTTCGCCCACAATTCAGCTTCTTCTTCTTTTTTCTTGTCGTTTTTTTCCTGCAGAAATTTTTCCTCGATTTGGTCTCTCGTAAATCTACAATTGTGCAACGAAAATTTGCAACGTTTTCCTGGGTCTCAAAGCGATCTCGTAAATTCGATCCAATCAAATTTGTTGAAGCGAAACGCTTAGCGGAACCGAGTGGTCTTTTCAAGGAAAAATTTGATTAAAAATTTCCGATGTGAGGTTCTCGCCACGAAAATAAAAAAAGTTTCTTCTTTTGCGTTGCCAACGAGTCCCGCAACGTTGTCCGCAGCTCAACACCATACAATTTTTCGAAAATCGTTTGAATTGATCTAGCAACTTTCCATTTAAATTCTTTTTTTTTCGAAGCATTCCATGAATAGAATAGCGTACACAATTTTGGGCGTGGGTTTTTCCAATGAAATCGATCATTCAAAAAAAAAAAAAAAAATAGTTATTAGATTCTGCGTCTCCGCCGTTCGCCAGCCTCCATCAGCTCACTTCAACAATATTGGTGCATTTTATTGGCATCGCCAGAATATATATGATTTTCAATTTGTAATATTCGCGCTGCGGACGTCACTGACGCACGTGATCGACGATGGGAAGCGTCAGAAATTGCACCTGCTCGCTGAAATTGCATCATCCGGGCAATTCGACGCCATTATCAAAACTATGTGATAAATATTTGAAAAAAAAAAGACCAAAACAAAGAAAAAACACTCACACAACGTTGAGCATGATGATCAGCGAGCTTCATCTTCTCTCTCCCTCTCTCTCTCTCTCGCTTCTTCTCTCTCTCTCCATCTCTCGTTCACCTTTGCCTCATTGTAATCCGATCGCGTTTTCGCCTCATCGCTCATGTGTCATGACATTCGTTGTCGGCGACGCCGTCGATTCCTCGTCGTTCCGTAATTCTTTGATCAATTCCAGCCACACTGTCGTCGTCAACGCGTCCCAAATTCTATCGGTCCGAATCGGAGATGTCGCCGGGTCCGCCGGCCGCCGGTGGAACCTCGCCGCCCGTTCATCTCGCCACCACGCCGCCGGCATTCCAGACGTCCGGAAGAACGTCGGGACGACTTCGCGACAGATCGCCGAGATTGTCGATATGCTCAGTAAGTAGCAAAAAATGGTGCTCAGCTTTTTTTTTATTCAAAAAAAAATTTTTCTTAAATTAAAAAATAATTAAGACGGACATCAAAATTAAAAAGAAATAATTGCTGAAAATGATGTCTTTACATTTCATTTTTTAAATTTCATTGTTGAAATCTAATTTTCCTTATTTATTCACCTGATTCCAGGAAAAATCACACCTGAAAATTTTTTTCAAAAAAAAATTTCAAAGCAAAATATTTTTATTATCATATCTATATCGAAGAAAATAAGCCACCAGAAAACTCGAATTCTTTATAGAATCATCATTTTTCAACAGGAAAAACACTTTTTTTTGCACAAAAAAAATTAACGTCATTTGTTTCGCGTAATTTGACTGATTGCTTCTGATGATTGACAAGGTCCCGAACGAAATTTTCCCCGAGTCACGTGGTTCATTTTTTTTAAACATTTATGATATATTTTTACTTATCGTCAACTGAATAATTAAATTGGGATATCGCTAAAACGCCATTGAAATAAATTGGCGTACACGACGACACTCCATGTTTACGCCACCCTCGTTTTATCGTATATCATTTGCGTCAACAACTTTTCAGCAAAATGCGGAAATTTGCACACAAATCTTAATCGAAAACAATATATTACTATTCATAGGGATTATCTATTAATATTCCACACGGGGAGCGCAATTTGAATAAATCAAAAAGAAAAATTCGAATCCAATAGCAAAATTTGCGTTTGCAACTTTCCATCGAAAAAAAAAAAGAATTAGCTTTGTTTTTGTTGTTGTTAAAATCTGGAATAAGCAGGCCGTTTATTTTGACATCAAAAAAATTGTGCAATAATCGGTGAGAAAAAAAGAGAAATGCTCAAACGCCAAAAAAATATAGACATGGTGCGGCAAAAAAAAAAAAAATAATTTTTCCCAAAAAATACCAAAATTCGTTCAAAATGACACATCACAATTTTTTGAAAATGTAGAAGAATAGCGAATTAATCAATTTTGTCTGGTTATATATTCTATATATGTATATACATATATATTCCCACGTGTTATATCATTTCGTCGGGTTCAAAAATCGAGCAAAGAGAAATTGAACATTTCTGAAATTTTCCTTCATTTCCTCCCAAAAAAAATGCATCGAGTTTGATAAACATTTCATTTTTTTTTAATGGCGATTCCTCGTAAATCTGCACAAAAATTTATTATCGCTATAAAAAATCGAAATATGCTCGATTTTTCGCACGTGACTTCTATTGGAATCGAGCCAAAAAAAAACACACACACATTTCTTTTTTTCGACGAAGGCGATCGTGAAAACTGACACCTTGTTTGAGGAGTTGAATTCGAACAATTGCTGAAGATGGAAAAAAATGGAAACTTGTGATGCCGATTCTTCGTGAGCTAATAGATCAAATCAGGCAATTTTTTGAAGAATTTTCCAGATTGCCACGTGGCGAAAAAAGAAATTAATTTCTACGCGCATTGAAATTGATTTTTTTTAGCTGAAAAACGAAAAGTCCGCATGTACACCGCACGCATATTTGCACACATTCTTCCACAAATATTTTTCAAAAAAAAAAATTGATAATATTTTGGCGTTCAATTTTTGAAACCAAAAGTGCACACTTCGATTCGAAAATGATATGCTGCTAAAAACGAGACCAGCGTGAACATCGGAGTGTCGTTTGTCTTTTTTTTGTCCCTTGGGATAAAGCGTCGAGTGTCCTTTTTTTTTTGACATTTTCAACGAAGGAAAAAAAAACTATTAGAAGCCGTTTTTCAATTCACATTTTCTCGCAATTGCACTTGCTGTTTTGCATGTCTGAAATTTCAGACAGAAAAAAAAGTGCGATCGTTTCGATCATTGCTCAATTCGATTTCAGACCATTCCGCCTGAGCAAATTTGTTTTCTGCGAAAATCTATCTTGTTTACAAAACAATTTTCTCATTTTTTTTTCTCGATTCAATTCTTGTTGTGACTGATAAAAGAATCGTCTATAATGTTTTTTTTTCGAGAATGATTTCGCCGCGAGACCCACGCCGGAGGGGTACTGTAGCTCGGGTTCCCATGACCATAAACGTTTGCCAATAATAATGCGTCGATGTTTTGATGGTTCGCGTCTTTTTTTTTATCACCTGACTAACACAATTATTTGCATTGACCGACTTTTTTTGCGGGGTTCAAAGTACAGTAATTTGTGGTCTTGAAGCGAAAAATCTAGGACAAATTTCCAACAATTTTTGATGGGCGAAACGAATTTTTTTTCCCGAAAATTTGAGCCAGCAAATAGACGAATGGACTATTCGCGTCGAGACCCATAAAAGGCAGAGAAAAAAGCCTAATCACAATTTGTTTTCACGTCCGCCGATTTTTTTTTACGACCTTGTTATTTTGTCGCCGAGGCACTCTCATATTGGCCCATTTTTTTCGATGGCGTTTTTTGTTTCGTCGTCATCGAAGCTCGAAATTTCTCTTCCCATATTTGGATGATACCAACTCGAACCCACCTCCTTCCCCTTTGCCCTTTTGGGTCCCATGATGATGATGTTTGCTCTGTGGTCCGTTTGGGGGGGGGCACCGAACAACTTTTTCTTTTTCAATTCCGTTTTCGCCGCTATTCACTTGTTCCTCTCGATGTCCATCCATACATATTCATTTTTTTTCTCTCGCCCCCACCTCGTCGATTTTTTTTTTGTCGTATGCATAAATTCTATTCGCTAACACCACCACCTATCTTTAAGAGTATACTGTAGCGATTGGCGGTTTGATCTCTATTATATGAGACCTCTGCGGTTCACCGACACGCCAAATTGCACAATGTGCATTATTGCGTAGCGGTGAACCACACACCAACAAAAAAATGATAATTCCTACTAGAAATTATAGTAATATTTTGTCCCTATTGCTTACTGTAGCACTCGTTTAAAAAAATATTGAAATGGAATAATTCTCGATTCAATGTCCCATATCGTTAGGGACCATCAAATTAGCGAAAAGGTGCCCCTCCCCCAATTAAAGGACGATGGCATTGCCATTTTTCACATTGTGCTGACGAGCACCTATTGATGTGTGTGAAAAATGATGATGCGCCTTTAAACGTGTTCGCCTCGGCGAGGCCCCCCCCCCCATCAAAATAATGGAGCCCAAGACTCCCCGGAGACCTCTTAGATGGGGGGTCACGTGATTGGCTAACTCAAACATTTCCTTTTTTTCCGAGAAAAATCACCAACGCGGAAAATTGAGCGGCGGGACGTTGCCGGCCAACCAGTGAATTGTCCGCAGCATGGCCGGCATTTCACATTTGGCCTTAATCGATTCACATTGATTTGCTCTCCGCGAACCATACATCCCAGACCTAAAACATTTTTTGCTGTTCGCTGCGAGACCCTCGAAACGCGAACTCTCAAATTTTATGACAATTTACGAGCGAATCTCATCGTGGCGAGACGCCGGCCGAAAAACGAAAAAAAAAACCCCCAACCTTGAGTCATCGTCGATTTAGTGCAAAGATAAATTTTTGGGTGTCCTCGAAAAGGAAAGAGCACGCATTTTTCTATTCGCCTCACACCCCAATTTCGTCGTCGTTGCAGGAAATGCGTCGAAATCGCGAAATCAGCTCGCCGACGTCGCCGAAAATGCTTCATCGCGGCTCGCTAACACAAAGTGAGTCGATCAATTTGTCGTTTATTCTTCTTCGTGATGGGACCCAATTCGACCATTTAACATCTTGAAACTACCATTGCCAAAAAAAATTGGAAAGCAATCGTGGACCATCGCACTGTTTTCGAGGCGGCTATTCAAATTTTAATTTCTTTTTTTTGGCATTTCTGGGTCTTGCCGCGATAATAATACAGTAATCCAATTGGATCGTCGCCAATCTTGTCAAATGAAAAAATTAATTTAAAGGTACATAGGGGGGGGGATTCCAACTGTGTGCACACCACTCCACTAAAAGATGCGAGAGCTCCCTCCCCCCTCTCTATCTCTCTTTAAAGGCGCATTATATATAGGACCCCCATGAGAATGACATCGCCCTTTAAAATCACATATGCATATTATGCCGAGTGTGTAGTCCGCACGGACAAGGCACTTTCATTGATTCTGGCCGACATTCGACGCACTCGTACGCAATTCCGACCCGACCGACGCCTCTTAATCCAATTCCGATTTGAACAACGCTGGACCCTCTCGCGATCGCACAACAATCTCCTACCGTAATCCGCTCAATTTTGCGACGCTCGATCGCGACGCATTCTTTAATGGTTTGATCATCGCCGTCGCCGTCGCGTCGTTATGTCGTTGTTGTTTTTTTTTTCCGGATGGACTCCTTTCGCTCTCTCTCTCTCTCCCTCTGATGCGTCGATCATCGGGCGTGGCGTCTCTGCGATTCCGCGCGCTATTTCGGTGAATCGAACGACAAAAAAAAATTTTTTTTTCGACCCTCACATTGAAAAGCAACATTAATCATTGATCCCCCTGCGACTCTCAAAATGTTTTGGGTTTCCTCTTTTCTTTTTTTTTTGATGAGCCAATTTTTGAAGATTTCTCTCTATTAGACGATTTTGAAGAATTTGATATTCAGCCTCTGGTCTGTTGATTTGAAAAAAACCAAGATTTCCATACGAGACCTCAAGGCGGCAATTCAAATTGTGAATCAATGGTATCAGCGTCCAAATTTCCAAATTTAATTTCTGTTTTTTTTCGTTCTCATATTAAAATTACATGGGAACAAATTTCGACCCAATCATCCATGTTCCCACTATGCGAAATATCGAGAGGTCCTGACGCGATGCGCCTTTAACCTTCAAATTTATTGAGGGCTTCATTTCCGTTCATGAAATTTTTTCGCCCAAATACAGTTTTTGCGTGCGCCTTTAATGCACACTGTAGCTTTGCATATGGTTGATACGCAGCCGAATCGTAGCCAATCAGCCACGTTCAAATTTTTTAGCTTAAAAAAATAAAAATAACCATCTGCGGACAAGTTAAAGGTTTGCGAATTGGACAAAAAGGTCCGAAACATGGCGACAAATTAGCGAAAAGTCGGGCGAAGAGGCAGTGTACTCCACACGGACTATCTTGCGCGATGGAGCGCGATTGCTGTATTTGTCATCATTCCAACACTGTAATTCGATTATTGACCTTATAAAGCATGGGGGTGAGGAAGGGCAAATCAAAAACGGGTTTCCGGAGACCCCCCCCCCTCCCAATTTTTGTTCTACAATGAATTAACGCCCCAACGATCACGGACGTCTCGCATATTTGCCATTTATCAAAGATCTTTTGATGAAAAATCCAAGAGTTGTACGGTATGCGCCTTTAAATTGGAAAAAAAACCAAATTCCGACGGCCCCCAACAAATAGGAACCTCTGTGGTACACCGACACGCAAAATTGCACACATTTGAATTTGTTGGGTTTTTGTGGGACCGTTTATCATGTTATTCTCAATCTCACAAGAATTTGGCATCGCCGGGTGGTGAGAAGCTGATTAATCCCTCTCCCCCCCCATCCTTCCCCTCCCCACCATTTCCCCGCCGCTCTTCCATCCCCTCATAATTTCCATATCGAAATTGGCAATTAAAATTCAAATTAGGATCATGTCGTGTTTTGGGTAGTATCGAATAATTGAGATGTCACCAATTCGAGGAATTCCCAAAATAGAAGTGTTGCTTCTTTTTTATTTTTCATCATCTCAAAACCAGAAAAACATTTTCAACGGTTCTCCCGCCCCGTTTGGACTTTTGGAATCGTGTGAAGACCTGCAATGGATTTTTTTGTTTCGTGTTTTCGGAGAGTTGTGAGACCAGCCTTACTCTAGTCGTTGTTTAAAGGGACATCACTTCTCCATACAAAAAAAAAATTAAATACGCAACCCTGAGATAGAATCCTAACTTAAAGGAGCATAATATTAATCTGCTTAGATCATATATTAAAGGCACATAGCTCTCAGATTGTAGAATCAGAATATAAAGGAGCATAATATAAATCTTCTTAGATCGAATTTTAAAGGCGCATAGATCCAAGTTTGTAGAATCCGAATTTAAAGGAGCATAATATCAATCTTTTTAGAATAAATTTTAAAGGCGTATAGCTTTCAGATTGTAGGATCCTAACTTAAAGGAGCATAACATGAATCTTCTAAGATCATATTTAAAGGCGCATAGCTTGGATTGTAGAATCCTCAAATTTTGAAGAGAAAAAGAAATTGATCATAGGCAACTGCGTCGAATTTAAAGGCGCATCGTTAATTCGCTTCCTTCAAAATTTGCGATCAACATATTTTTTGTGCGATTTTCAACCGTGGAAAAAAAAGTGGAAAAGTAGTAAATAAATTAGAAATTCATAGTTCTCTCTGCCCCCTTCAGTTTTTTTTGGGTTTTTTTGTTCGTCCCGTCCCGAACATTTTATTGTCTCACTTTTTTTTCGTTGTTATTATTATTATTATTATGCGATGCGAGTCTGCAATTCTCGCTATTCGCGCAATTTGTCGCCGCGTTTTTTTTTCCAGGCATTATTCTCCAAAGCGACCCATTCATTTCATTTCACTTTTTTTTTCGTGGTCCGTGTGGTGTCGAAAAAACATAGAGCCAAGTGTTACCGTAACCCATCACCCCAATCAACAACAATTCCATCGTGCCGGGACCCGTTCAGTTGGTTGGCCCACGTGACCTTGGTGTTTCTTTTTTTTTTTGCCGTGATGTCAATTTGATCAGCTGTTCATTGTGTGTGTATGTGTGCGATTTCGCGATTCGAGCAAAAAATAAATTCTAGGTAGGCCACGCCCACATGAGGGTACTGTAGGTAGGCCACGCCCACCACGATTCCTTCCATATCAGAGGGGGGAATTTCAGTAACAATATTTCGGGCTCCTGTCGCGTTTGCTCCAGCTCATTAGTATCTTTCTCTCTCTCTCTCTCTCTTTCTGAAGCGATTGGTCCGATTGGTCATAAATGACGAGTTGATTGGGGTCTGAACACCATCGCCAATGTTTTTATTGGATTTTTACGAGTGCTGCTTGTTTTTTTTTTGTCTCGTTGCCCGGTGGTGTGTAATTTTTGTCGATTTCGAATTATGGGGTTCGTTGGCAGAGAGAAGAGCTTCCCCTCTCCATTCCCTCTTCCTCCTCCTCCTCCTCCTCTCCCCTCCCTATTCTTATGGGGAGCACTGGCAGCAGCTCATAGAGGGTGTGTGTGTGTGTGTGCGAAGCGTATGTTTTTCGCCACTCAAAAACCGGCCCCCAATATCGAATTATGCCAACCCCGAAGAGGACGAAAAAAAAACGCCACTTCCCCCCCCCTTTCCCCGGTTTTTTGATTTTTTTTGAGAATTTTTTTCCTCGGATTTCGGCCCCCTCCTTTAAGTGGTTCGAGCCGAAGACAACTTGACAATTCAATGCATAATTAAAGACGGGCCGACCATTGACCAGTGGAATTTTTGGCGGGTTTACCCGATCGCAAAACCCTCCTGCATTACTCTTTTTTGTTTGACGCCAATTTGCGGACTTTGAAGCGAGATTTGAGAAGTTTCCCCTACCACATCAGAATTGACGCCAAATTGCGTACCCCCGCCTTTTTTTTTTGCTAATTTCACTTTTTATGAGAAGATGCGAGATTTGAGGGGGTTTCTTTTGTTGCACCTGAATTGACGCGAAATTGCAGACATTTATCAATTGAGAATTTCTAGGATTACACGTGAATTGACGCCAAATTACGTACAATTTATTACTTCTAATTTTTTTTTGATGACGTCAAAATGCCAACTTGAAATCCTTCTTTAAAAATGTCTACGATGACACACACCTGAATTGACGCGAAATTGCGGAATTAATTTTTTATGTCTTTTACGAACCCCACCATGTAATTTTCTCTTCTTTTTTGATTTTTGAAACCCATAACTTGACGCATAATTGCGGACTTTGCGAAATGACGGAATCACCTTCGAAAATGTCAAAACCGACCGGATTTAATATGTTTGACAATTGAATTGAGCATTTAAGTTTTTGTCTAGACGCTCAAAATTTGGCCAAACGAATTGCGGACATTACACTTTATTCTACGCGCAATTTTTTATTCATACAATTGCACGAAAAAACGCGTACCTTGCCATATTTGCGAATTGCGGACTTGACACCAGACATGACGCGCAATTCCAATCCGGTGATTGATGACATCATTGGATTGGTTTGTTTTGATAATATCGTGACAGCTTGTGACGGGGGGGGGGGCAATGGAAGGGACCTCGTGGTCCGTTGTTGTTCGCACTTGAAATACGAAAACAAAATCAACAATCTTCATAAATCATTTAATTGAGTGGGGGGGGGGGTCTCGCACACAATAATTTTCGGAGGCCCTCTCGCTTATCAAATTAGGAGAGACCGGAAATTCGTATCAGAGCGAGACACACTTGTGCGATTTTTTTTGTTGTTGTTGTTTCGTCGTCTTCGTGACGCAAAATTGCAGACACCCCAAAAAAAAATGAATTTCGACTTTTTAAAGGTGGTGCACCATCGTTTGGTGGCGGACGCGGTCGTGGCGTGATGTCGGACAGCCATATGCAGCGCACCTATCATGAGGCGATGCGTCAGCGGCGGACGAGCCTTCCAGCCAACAGTCTCTCGCTGGGAAAATGTCAGGTACGGTAGGATCGGGTTTCATCGGACCCCTTCGATGAGTCAGTGGGCCGGAAAAATTTTTTTTTTAATTCATTTTCAGAATTGCACGCTAGCTAACAAATTGTGTATTGTTAGGCTCCGCCCACTTTTGAGCAATATTAATTCGAAAATTTTATAACATCGTCCTCGATTTTTTATTTTTCAAACACTATTCTTGCTGGGACCCTGTAATTAAGAACACTATGTAATTTGAGTGTTTTTTTTTTTACAAATCTAAAAACTAAAAAGCCATTAATATATTGTTTATTGAATTAAAGGCGCATGATGGTTTCTCGCAACGAAGAGACAATTGTGAACCAAAATCGAGCTCGTAAATCTACAAATTGAAATTTGCTAGAAAAAAATTTTCTTTGAACTTTATTTTTTGTTTTAGAAATTTTTTAAAGAATTTTTTTCAAAGCTGCTTTTAAATGGCGGAAAAATTAAATTTCTTCAATTTTTCCGCATAATTATTTTCTTTTCGAACTGATGGACCCCTATATAGGTTTTCGATGGTCCCAAATTCAAAAAATGAAATTTTCCTGTTTCATCAAGTTTTCCCAAAAACGCCTAATTTTGTGGGCTGCAATTCGAAAATTTCATTTTCAGCACGTATTTTCGAAGCTTTTTTTTCCCGTAAAAACTCAAAAATCATAGAATGATCAACGAAAGGGGGGGGGGGTCCCAGGAAATTCGAATTATCAATTGCCCATAATTGGCCACTATATATTTATTGAAAAAATTGATAATAGAGCCTAATGAAGTTGATTCTGTTATAAGGAAAAATCCTCAGTTTCTTTCGGAATCGCTTCATAAAACGCCCTACAGTAATCCGAAGCGCGGCGAGACCCATGCGCCTTTAAACTATTTCGATGGTCCCGCCGGTCGACATCAAAAACAAATTTTTTTCGGCGAAAAAGCTGAGCCGCGAGATTTTTGATCGCTGCAAAACGCAATTTTTTTCTGTTGCAGACCAGTTAGCAAAACGAGAGAATGTTTGATACAATCATAGTGAGAACAAACTAGACTTGTTATCATCATCGGCCTCAGAATGATTGATGCCTTCCGCCGCCAGCGCGATCCGATCCGATCCGATCAAATCCAAAACGCATCATTCCTTACAGATCACCGGTTCGTCGTTGAGCGAAGCGAAAGGCCTCATCGCCGACATGCTCATGAGCAAAGAGATTCCCTCGAATGTTGCCACGTGTCTTCGCGCCGTCGCCACATTATTGGATCAACGGGTGCGTTCATTTTAAGATGTTTTTTCCGCGCCAACAATATAATTCCTACATAATTCATTCATTCAACGCCTAATTGTCGAGAAATTTCAGCATTTTTTTTTTGAGATTTGCTATTCGTTAAAAACAAATTTGAAACATATTGGCCTCGATTATTGTCCGCAGATGAATATTTTGAATAGTGCACAACGCTATTGAAATACCGCGCAATTGGGTTGGCGCGTGTTGACCGATGGGGAAGGGGCTTCCAGTTTTGCTCGGCTTGCTGAAGGCCACCGACTCGACCCCATCTAGCGGCATCGCACGATTCTACTGATTTCAGCCGCTTCCCGTGCACGGTCTGAACGACTTTGGCCTTCCATGCGTCGTCGAGAATCCATACAGTGGCGAGCAATTATTGGTCGGAGTGAGTTTTGCATTATTTTTCATGTATGTATGAATCACGTCATTCATTGGATCGAAATCATTGGCAACACAACGAAAAAAAAAAATAAATTTTTATAGCGTCCAGGGGTTTCTTTTCTTTTCGCGATTAATCCGCGCGCAAATCAAAACAATGGGATAAATGTGTGTAATCTCGTGATGAATTGTCACTATTTTTCTCGTTTCCCAAAAAATTGATTTTTTGATTTTCGAGAAATTCCAGAATTATTGTTAGAATTGCGAGCAGCAAAAAAACCCCTCTAATCCACGATTAGCATTTTTGAATCACTTTGCTGCTGCGGACAATCAATTCCCAAGGAATGGCAATCGCCGCGAATTTTTTTTGCCCCTATATTTATGCGTGAAATGACGCCGGCGGCAATCACGCTCCATTGCACATTATCATCAAAAAGCTCGTTTGAATCTCAATTTGAACGATCACCTATGCGGGAAGCCCCGAAGGGTGTCCGCAGGTGGAATATTGATAAAGTTGATCGACGAAAGGCTTCCGAAGCCATCAAAGTTAAACTTTGTCGGACACCCCCACGAAGCCACGCCCCCCCCCCCCAATTTGTCCGCAGCTGACTAATTCGATATGTCGCTCACCTATGCTCGCCCCAACGGCCTTCCCTCCTTGCCGCTTTTCGTGTTTTTTGTTCGTGTGTGTGTGTGTTTGATTAATAATGGAAACAGCTGACATCAGCGACGACGAGAGAGAAGCAACTTATTTCGAGATTACTGCGTAGTTTTTCTGTTTTGGTTCAACCGATTAATTCGCTCTGAATCTCGCCGAGCGTTCAGCTTTTCGCCTTCAACTCTCTCTCATTTTTTTTTTCTCCACGACGCGCTTCCTCGAAATTTCGACACCCGCGCGATAATTGCTAGGTATCGTGTGGGGTTTTCGAGTCGTTTCATTTCTCTATCTTAAAAAGAAAATTTTCCTTTTTTTTCTCCCAACACACTCAATTTCGCATATTATGAGAAATTGAGACATTCGCGAAACGTGTGAAAATCGATTAAAGTCTTTCATTTTCTACCTTCAACACACCTCAATTTTTGCTACCGTAATCCGGGGGGGTCTTATAGCGATGATACGTTTCTATATTCTTGTCAACAGCCTACCGTAATCCAATTTGTTGGTCCCGCAGCGATAATGAATATTCCAGTAATTTATTGTTGAAAAAAATTTTTCGATTTCTATGATCCTTACAATTTATTAGAAGACCCCCACTTGTAAGCTGCCGCACAGTTGAACCATCGCTACAGTATCCTTTGGGGGGTCTCGCCGCGATCAATATTGCATCACTTTCTCATAAAACCAAACCCACGCCACATTTTTTGTTGTTGTTGTCCGCCAATGTTTTACGACGTCGTCAAACGTGTGAAAAGACGGTTTCGATGGGGCCTTATAAGGTGCGGCCTACAGTAATCGATCAATCGTGCCAGGAGCCAGAGGAGCTCACTCAACTTTATGGCCAAGTGTCAAGTTTCAATTGCTATTTCAAAATGCCCAATATGGCTCTCTCCCAGCTTCTCACTTTGAAGTTACGGTAGCATTAGTTATAGATGTGCTATTGTGGTCTTGAGACGCTTCGTGGCGAGAGCCCCAACTCGACGATATTTTTTTTCAGACTCCCCTTTCAAAATTGAATTGTGCTCAATTTTTGTGTCTTTCTCAATTCATGTCGAAAGGGCAAATCAACACAAATTCGATCATCGTCACGAGACCATAAATGAGCAAATGAGAGCTCTCAATCGCATTTTTTTTTAGTTCAATTACTGATTTCCTGGCAGTCATTTGTTGTCGTGACGAGACCCGCACGCGCCTTTAAACAGCCAAACTTTGAGGGGAGCCGACGCGCCTTTAATGGGCAATCGTGACGAGACCCAACGCGCTTTTGATATTCTCGCTCCCCCCCCCCCGACTCAATCGATCACTTCAGGATGTGATTTCGCGGCGAGACCAACACGCGAACCCGAAAATTGTCGGCAGCACATGATGCATAAGACCAAAAATGAAATGGGAATGATTTCATAATTTCGCTAATCCGACCACCCACAGGATTTGATAGGTTCCATACATCCGGATTAGAGAACGATGTTGTCTCCGGAAAAAAATGAGGCATTCCGTGTTCACTGTCGTCATTCGATGCCGCCGCCCTAATCCGCTGCTCTTCTCATTCAATCTGAATGATGATGTTTCGATTATGCTTCGCCGATAATCGGCTGCCTCACCTTCACACCTCGCGCCGAGCCATCGGCAAACAAGAATGACTTCATTTCTCTTTACGTCAACATCGCCCCTCCGGTGGTTTTGACTTGATTTAATTAAAAAAAAAAACTCCCCACACACGCACATAAATATTCGAGTTTTCCTTTTGTCAATTCCTCCTCCCCTCCCTCTTCCCTTCCCTTCCCTTCCCCCCCCCTCCTACTTTAATTATGCGATTCCATCGAATCCGCCGCTCATTGTTCAATCGTCACTGCTCGCTCATCATGTCGTTGTTGCGTGTCTCAGATCGATCGTCGTCCGAATCCGACGCCATGCCGATGACGTCGTCGAACAGCGTCGCGTCCGCTACGGCACCGTCGTCAACCGCCGCCGCCATTCCGCGCAGCTCGTCCGATCTCACCGTTCTGCCGGCGGCGTCGCGTTCGCGTTGCAGTCGCGAGCCGTCGCTTCGCGGCTCGTCGTCGCGCAACTCGACGAGCTCGATGCGCGAACTCCACATGGTCGGACCGTGTGTGAATTGCGAGCTCGACTTCAAGTGCTCGTGCTGTTGGCGATGCTCGCACGTCTCGTTCGCCTATCTGCCGGTAAGAGCTGCGTTTTTTTTCTTCCCGCAACGTTGGTGGGTCCTGCAACGATTGCCCAATTCTTAAAGGAACGTTCTGGAAAAAAAGGAAACACAAATTGTATCTCAAAAATCGTTTCAGGACCTTTAAAGGATCATTCCAAAAAATCCAAAGGGATAATATTAATTGTATTGTCATTTCACTCCTAGAGGCATATGAAAAGAAAAATCCATTCAGGACCCTTAAAAGAGCCATCGGAAAAAAATTTTCGCTTCAAGACCCTTTGCTAAACCCATCCTCATAAAGTGGATCTTCTTAAAGAGTCATTTTTTCTTTAAAAAATCGTTTCGTTGCAAGACCCATAGTATGTAATTGGGACCATTTGGGCAGGAAATTGGTGGAAGTCCGACGCACGTCAAACAGGCCCCAATATCCGGACAAATCCCACCTCCCTCGTCCGCCTTTCAACAAAAAAAAATGTTTCGGTCCAGATTTTTGAGCAACCAAACAACACGGCGAGCTTATAGTTGAATAGCCTAATCGGAGAGCACGAAACGAATAATGGAATCAATCGAATGCGCCGCCGCCGCCGCCGCCGCCGTTGTGATTTTACGCATCGTCGTCACCAACCCATAATTATTTGTTGGCGAATCTCACGTATTCACCACCACCGATTTTTTTCTCCTCTTCCTAGAGCACCCCCGAAAAAAATGTTTTGGATAATGAAAATGAAAAAAAAAGACCCCAAATAAACGCGCGATTGGTCGGACTCGATTTTTTTTCCGCCCGCGAATATCATACTAATTAGAATATTCGCGTTTGAGAGATTTTTTCTCGCTCGTTGTACTCCTAATAAGGAGACATTTCTGTCTCTCTCTCTTTCCTTTTTGACGCCTTAATTGGGTGCCTTCTCAATTTTCGCCGATAATCCGAATTGCGTCGGAATATGAGAATTCCCCTTCTTATTAAACTTGTGGATTACTGTAGGCTCGCGCTGAGAGTCGCCCAGTTCGGGTCTTGCCGCGATGTGCTCCTTTAAGACGACCCATTTTTGCTTCCTAGAAGGTCCCTATGTATATCTCGTTTTTTGGGGAATTCCAAGAGAGCATTGTAATCAATTAATAGTCAATCTCGAAAATGAATCCCTAACCCCCACCCCTCTCATCATTCGCGTCATACTGTAAGAAGCCATAGTTGAACGAATCGCTGTGAATACATGCATATATGGAATAAAGGCCAAACCAGACAGACACCGAAAAAAAAAACAAGCGAGTTTAATAATATTGTGACAATAGGCTACCGTATATGGTGGGATGTTCGGTGGGGAAAAAAATGAAAAAGCGAGAGAGGACTCGAATGCGCGCGCTTAATTCGATTCGCGAAGGCTTTAATCTGATCAAGTGTTGCCGATGGTTCGACACGGCTCTTTTTTATTTTTTGTGCTGGTGCACTTGTCGGTGCTCCTTTTTTATTTTGCTGGTCGAACTCATTTCGTGCGAGATGTCAACAACAAGCTTTTCCATCAACCACGCCTCCTCCTCCTCCTATTTTTTGCTTCCTTTTTCCGTAGAGGCCACAAATCTCGTTGGCTCCCTGAGATTAGCCTCATATACTTGTTTCTTTCTTTTTGTTGTTTTGACTAGCAATGACGCAAATCGGTTTGCGCGCAAAAAAAAATGCCATCCCGCTAATCTGACAGGGCATTTGATCGTGATTTTTTGCGATTGGCCCTGACTTTTTGGAATGTCACAAATTGCAACCATAAAGGAAAAAAAAACGCACACGCGCGAACATTTTTTGACATTTTCTTGCTGGTGACATGACATGAATAGGGACCATTACGCGCGGATCACTTCTTCTTCTTCTTCTTCTTCTTCCAATTTTCCCCATCAGCCTTTTTTCTTTTGCACGTTCTCATTTGGTGACGTTGTTGCGTTCGATTTTTAACATCAAGTCCGCAATTTGTCGTCACGATGAACGTTGCCCTCGAGACATGGGACCATGATAACTAGGTGAGGAATTTTGGTGCGAAGGCGGGCCGTTTTTCTCAGGACAAAGCCGATTTCGGCCGGCCAAATCCAATTCGACATTCAAAATTTTTTCGACTTATTCCTGCCGGGGCCCCCTCGCCGATTCCAGTGATCCTTCGCGTCGAGACCCATTCTTTCAATCTCGGCATATAAAAAAAATGTCAAGTCGCCCCCCCTCCTCCTTCAAGCCAATTGTCTCCTCAATTCATTCTGATGCCATATTTCAATGCGTACACCGTGACGCAATTTTGCACACATGGATTCTCTGTTGAAAGACGCATAGAGAAAATAGATGCGCCTTTAAGAAGAAGAAGAAGAAGGAGAACTAATCTAGAAGGATGTACTTTAATGGCCAACATTCCCCATGTTAAAAAAAAAAGTGTCGCGACAGGACCCAAAAATTTCAAGGCAATATGCATATTTGGGTAGATCATGACTCGCCGCCTTCAAAAACAAATGTCCCGCAAACAGCTGTTGTCGCCCAATTGTTTCCCAGGCTCGCTGCCAACAAAAAAAGAGAGAGTACAAGTAAACATTTTCATTTCGTCGTTTGCCAGCCCCCCACAAAACGATATTCGACACAAAAGGAGGGCGGTCTCGAATCGCGAGGAAGTTGGTTGGAAGAAGGGTTGGAGGGGGGGGGGCGGGTGACGAGAGCAGTCAGCGTAATCGAATCTCTTGAGCAGCATCGAGGATCGGTGCTCGAAAAAGGAAGCGACGAAGAGCGACGAGGAACAACTTTGTTGTGTTCCTTCCTAACTAGGCGTGTTTTTTTTTTTTTTTTGAGTGAGCTCAAACCCATCCACGCCCCGCCCCCTAATCTCAAACTCGTCTTCTCAACAAAAAAATATGTGCATATATGAAACACGTAGCGACTCCAACTATGTAGTTGTTGGTCTTCTCGCTCTCTCTCTCTCCCTCTCTCATACATCACAAATTTCGTGCTCAAGAATGCTGCTGATCGGCGAGAATATTGCATTTTTTGTTGTTTTTCACTGCTGCTGAAACTCTTGACATCTGGCGACGACTCGACAACATTTATGTTTCAAAAATGTAGGCGCCTTTAAATTCATCCACAACACTTGCCATCGGCTTCTTTTGTTTTTTTGTCCGTTCACCGGTTTTGTTTTTTGGCAGAACTGTTCCTCCCCATCCCTAGGGACCATGGGAATTTGTTTCTTCGCTTCCATCTCACATTAATTCAAGATTCTAATAAATTTCGTCCAGATGCGCCCCCCCCCCCATCCGCTTGCCATTGTCCTCCACCTCGATGAACTTTATCAATATCGTTGCTCTTTTGAGCATTCGTCTTTCGTCTCTTTTTTGACATTTTCCGAAAAAAGCCCACAACAAATTCAACGAAAATAGAAATGTGAGCTTTTTTTTTGCGAAATGGTTGTTTGTAAGTTAAGAAGAAGAAGAAAAAAACAAAACATTTCAGATTTTTTTCTTCTTTTTATTCTCTCCTCGATGAATGTCTGAAAATGTGTTGAGCTTCTGGGGAATCTTGAATTCCAGAATCTCAAACATGGACAAAAAAGTGTTTCGAAATTGCATTGATCCTTTAAGTAAGAAAAAATCAAAATTTTCAAAATCAAGAGGATCCCAAAGCAAATGAAATGCCCCGAACGGAAATCTTTGAACCTGCATAAAGTGTGAGAATGACATGATCCACACACAACAAACTTATTAATTCAAATCCTCTCGCTTCTCCGCCGCCTCTTCACACCCTCATCCATATATGGTTAAATATGCACATCGCAAAAAAAAGTGTAATCATGATGAATGCGTGTTTGCTCCCATCCAATGCGACACATCGTTTCATTTTTTTTTTGGTTGAACTTTCCATCATCCGCTCAATGTCTATTATATATTTTTTGGTCTCTCTCTTTGTCATGTCCGCAGCTCGTTTTTTTTTATATTCAGATGCTATCGCGACGAAGCGAATCGCATTCGCCGTCGTTGTCGCGTAGCAAATCGACGGGCGGCGCGTCGCCGCCGCCGCCGTCGGCCTCCGGCGGCTCCGACAACGTCATCTATTCGACGATCATTCGCAAGAAGTTCGCCAAATGTTTCGGGTTCTCATCGTCGTCGAAAGCCAACAAATCGATTCAGACGGTGACGTCGCCCGACGGCGGCGATCATTCAAAGGTGCATTCTCGGTTACGGTAGCAACCGACGCGCATGTCACAATCAATTAGCCTATCAATTGGGACTCGAGTGTCTATGTGTGTGTGTGTAGTTTCATCGAGCTTCCCGAATTCTCCAGAGCAATGCAAAATCAAGAAAAAAAAAATTTTTTTTGACGGATGAAAAACGAAATCTAATTTGGAGGGAAGTGGGTTGTTGTTGCCGGAAAAAGAAACCATATGAATCGCATAATTAGACGACCAATTAACTCGTTTAATTATAATATTCTCATATTATTACATTTTGTTTTCTTGCAGGCCTCAAAACCGCGCGTTTCGAATATCACATTCTCGACGGTGACGTCAGCCACCGGCCTGCCGACAATTGCCGCCGAGCCGAATAAGGCGAGAAGTAGCAGGTGCGTTTCAAAGCCGTTCATCTCTTCTAATAATGGGTCCGATTAGGATTTTCGCGTCGAGACACCTCGAGGTTGGGGGGGGGGTCTCATAGCGAAAAACATTCATTTCAATCAAAAACAAAAAAAAAGATTGAGAAACACCCAATAATTCATTAAAGCCACTCATGCGCCAATTAAAGCCCTACTGTACAAATGGGTCCCTAGTGGAAGCGGCCGGCGACGTGGCCGCGCCATAATTCATTCGAATCGAATTTGTCACAGGTTGCTAGGCGGGTAGGGCGCCGCGTGCGTCCGTCTCGCTCTCGTCTCACCAGCTCGCACCGATTTCAATTTTTGTTTTCGATTCCTTACAAGCCGTGAATTTGCAAATGTCTCAAGCCAGACGCACACACACACGCATACACCTACAACAACGATTTGCTCTTTCTTTTTTTTGCAATTCTCAACATTGCCCGCCGTAAATCGACACCAAAAAACCTTTTTTTTTTCATTTTAGAATTCGAATTAAATCATAGTAAATTGCCAGCTGTTTTTGTTCTAAACAAATTGGTTTTTTTTTGTCGACTTCTAGAAGATTCTGATAGGGGGGGGGGGTCCTTTTGGGGTTCTAGAAGACCCCCCAAATGAGTAAAGTAATTCTGATTCTCATTGGATATATGATGTTTGATTGCCCGAGTTGTATTCATAATGAAACTTGCATTTATTTAGCAACACGGGTCTCGCAGCGAAGCGCCTTTCTAAGACACTCAGTTGTCGATTTACGATCTTCAAAATTTTGGCATTCAACAAAAATTTAAAGCTTCAAATTTTTTCTGTCAAATCTATTTTTAAAAATGAGAAATCGATAATTAAAGCCCTAAATTGCGATACGCAACGCGACCGCGACGCGTCGAATTTTTTTTTCAAAATTGTGAAGCAATTCGAAAAATTGGCCAAAAAACCCTTTTAGACGAATTGGAACGAACGAGGAAAATAAAAAAAACGAAATTCGGGTCCCACCACGCCGGCGACGCTTTTTGGTCCATAAGCGGCCGACGCCGCGCCGTTTTCTCGTCGAACAAAGTTAATTTCCTTTCTGTGTTTTGCGCCTTCTTCGTTTTTCGTCGGACGTCTTAAGCTTCATCCTCCCCTCTCCCAACCATTCGTTTTTTTTTTCCGCATCTTCTTCTAGTTGTAGACGGAGTCATCCATTCTGGTCGTTCAAATTTTTTCCCTCTTCTTCGTCCGTCATGAATAATACAAATTTTGATTTTTGAGCACTCTGCGACCCCCCCCCCCGCTCACCAGAGCTATTAATTTCATTTCTCTAGCATGTGTACTTCAACCGACGATTCCCCCCAGCTCATCATCATCATTCTATTCGCCAACGAATATCATGTAGGCAATTCCTTTTATATTTCTCTGGCTCATTTCTCGAGTGGAATTTTATGGTCCACAGCTGAAAATGAAGTGAACGCGACTCGAAAAGAAAAAAATTAAAATGAAATGCCTTCGTGTAAATATTTCTGGAATACTTCCGTTTCCTGCTCTCTCTCTCTCTCTAGTATTCTCAATTCACCACGTCTTCGGGTGGGCTCTATTGTTCCAGGGGGGTTGGCGAAGGGACCAGGATGTGCTCAATTTCTTGTTTTTTTTTTTGACAGAGGACAAGATTTGCCAATTCCTTTTCTTTTTTCTCTCTTCCTCTCGCTTATTCGAGATGTTCGATGGCCATAACAAGTGTGTGGCTTCTCCCGCTCGTCATGAATTATATTATTCATTTTTTGTTTCATTTCATCATCCTCTTTCGCGACGAGACCACGGGCACGCGGCTACAGTAGTTCGCCAAATTGTTGGGGGAGTGGGGGGGGGTCCGAGTTGGCTTCCCACATTCATCACGCACTTTGGCAGCACAGCTGATTAAAAAGAAATGCCTTTGAGAATCATAAAAACAGCAAAAATGAGAATGAGAGAAAGAAAGAGAGGTGGTTGATTGGTGTCCGTTCGACGGGAAAAAACACACACATGAACCATTATGCATGCGACTTCTCGTCAATTACCCCCCTCGTATATTTTTTTTTCTGCTTCTTCTTCAGCTTCTGCTTCGTCTTTCCCCGCCTAATTCCTTCTTCCCCTCATCTCTCCCTTCCTCTCCTCACCTCTCCTCGAGGGCACACACACACACACACACACAAACGCATTTTTTTTTGCTTCATGGAACTGAATCGATCATTTCGCTAATTGCTCTCGTTTTTCGTTTCTTGTTGTTTTTTGCGCGGACGATTTGAATTGATGTCGTAGAATGAGATGGATCCGATGAGACCTAGTACGAGTAAGGCGTCTGACGCCGCGTCGTCATCGCCGCCGTCGACATCCAACGCGAAGGTGCCGAAGGAGATTCTGCAGCCGTTCGGCATTCTCATGGTTAATCGCCTTCAGCGGCATTTCTCGTCGGAGTTGACCGCGTTTGCCAGGTAGCCGAATGGGACCCAAAACATACAGAGACCGGCGCATTTGAATTGAAGGAATCATTGCTTCTACCAAAGAACCCACCGCCACTCGATTGATATTCTCATTTTCAGCTACTGGAAGCCGGAGCCATCGAGCAACAACCATCATCACCACAGCAAACAGCAGGACGAGGCGATCGCGTGCGCTCAGGTCGAGCTCCTTCGCAAGGAGAGCGTGTCGAGGAAGGAGAGCGGCAGTCAGGTCGACACCGTCGTCACCACCGCCGACGGCCAACGATACGACACTCGCGAGCTCGACAGCGATCCGACGATGGACTCGATATCGGATTGGGCGTTTCCCATATTTCATGTCGCCAAGCGATACCCGAAAACCATTCTTAGTAGGGTAAGCGATCGGACGGATGTCCCAGCAATCTCATCAGCTCCCGATTTTAGCTGACGTACTCGGTGTTCCGGCACGCTGATCTATTTCGAATCTTCAAGGTCTCACCTATCAAATTTTTCAATTATTTCCACGCGTTGGAAAAAGGCTACTGGGAAATTCCATGTGAGTCGCGAGGCGATTGGATAGCGTCGCATGATTCGACACATTCCAGATCATAATCGAATTCATGCCGCCGACGTTCTACACGGCTGCTTCTACATGTGCGTGCATCCGATACGGCCGCAAATTGGTCCTGCCACGAGTCCCGACACGCTTCTTCCGCCGCCGATTCAGCCGGCGATTCCGGTGATGAGCACAATGAGCACGTTGGAGCTGATGGCGCTGTTCACCGCCGCCGCCATGCACGACTACGATCATCCGGGACGGACGAACGCGTTCCTCGTGGCCGCCGAAGATCCGAAGGCGATCCTTTACAACGATCGAAGTGTTCTCGAGAATCACCACGCCGCCGAATCCTGGCGCCTTCTGTGCCAATCGGAGAACTTCTTCATCGAGAATCTCGACGCGGCGGAGACGAAAAGGTTCAATCGAATGAATCGCGAGAATCGAAATTCATCGAGCTTTCAGATTCCGCTATCTTGTTCTCGAGTATATTCTGGCGACCGATCTGAAGCAGCACTTCGAGATCATCATGACGTTCAATGACAAATCGAACGACATGGATCTGAAGAATGAGTCGGATCGTCTGCTGCTCTCGAAGCTGATCATCAAAATGGCCGACATCAACAGCCCGACGAAGCCGTATAATTTGCATCGGCAGTGGACCGACAGAATCTGCGAGGAGTTCTATGAGCAGGTACGTCGAGATCGAATCGCATCCGCTTCATCATGGCGCTTCAGGGCGACGAGGAGATGAAGCGCGGCATGAGCATCACACCATACATGGATCGCGCCGACGCGCAAGTCGCCAAACTTCAAGACTCGTTCATCGCGCACGTCGTCAGCCCGCTGGCGGTGGCGATGAGCGAGGCGGGCCTTCTGCCAATTCTGCCGGGTCTCGTCGAGCCCGAGATGATGATCAATCTCAAGCACAATCATCAGAAGTGGCTCGATCAGATCGAGGTGTTGAATCCGCCGACGAACTGCAATGGTAAGAGAGAGAGAGAGTGAGAGAGTGGGGCTCACCTAGCGTGATTCCAGGCGGCAGTATGAGCAACGGCACGATCGAAGAGGAGAGCACAGCGAGCGATAGTCCCGATCCAAGGAAGGATTCGCCATCGCTCGACTCGGAAATCGACGTGAGTCAATTCCTCCCCGCCGAATCGGCTAATCTAGTGCATGTCTAAAAAAACATTGCGGCGATTTTCAGTGATGGTATCCATCCCCCCTATCCTTATGTCATTCTGTCATCCCTTGGTTTCACAACATACACCACACAACCATCTGCCTTTTTCTTTTTTCTTCAAGTTAGTTTGCTTATTTTTTTTTTGAATTTCCAGCTGGCGAAACGCGTCTGAAATCGCGTTTCGCTGTGTGTTGCACACCTATCAAGCTTCGATGTTGTCGTTGCCGAAAATTCGCTGAATTCCCAAACAATATCCGACTCGATTGTCGGTTTCAAATAACTCAAATTCAATTTCTTAGAATCTATGAATTTGCGCGTAGGCTATAATGCAGAGTACGCAGACACGCTCACGTCGTAGCCAACATCTTTTTTTTTGGAAATTTCCATCAGTCGTTTGAAACCGACTATACCAATTCCATAATTAGTCAATTTTCGGCAATCGCCCAATTATAGTCGTGGACGGACGAATTTGAAAGCTTGCGCAATTTTTTTCCATACGAGACCCAATTTCGTCCGCCCTCGACTCGTATATTGATTTGCAATTGGTGTGAGAAGGCGAAATGTCGAGGGGGCGTCGCATCGAGACCACTCATCTTATACAGATTGATTGCAGAGCCGCTTCACAATCTGCTGCCGTATTCAAGAGAGCTCCGAAGAATACGTCTAATGTCTGTGTGTGTTTACCCGCCTCTCCGATACGGTTTCACTTCAAACCAAACCAAACGTTGTTCATATAACTCTGTCAGATCTCCGATCATGTATTTCGTTTGTCCCGAACCCCACAACAGCAGCAACAACCACAAAAACTATTACTAATTCAACGGGCTTCTTCCATTTTTTGTTTGTTTTTTTACATTATTCATCTTATTATTGAGATTTGAGGTATTACGGTAGATTCAAATGGTTCCAAAAAACATATTGTTTCGACAAGTTCATTGTGCATATGAGTCCCACTCGCCCCCCGCCCACACAAATTAATTAACAGTATTCACAATTTCTTGCCAATCACTATTCTGTCCTTTACAATTATTATTAATATTATTATCAAAATTAACATTATTAATATAATTAAAAATAAAAAAAATGATTGATGATTGATGTTAGTCCTCGTTTTTTCTTGGCGAATGATTGCTGAAATTGTTTTTTTTTTGTTGAAATTCGAAAATTGCCGCTGCCGGCGGCCCTCCTACGATTTTTTGGCGTCGAATCGAACCGATTTATTCGGCAGAATGTAGACGGGCAGAAGGTGCTCCGATTCGGTGCTTCGTTTCGATATCGATGCCAATTTCGTTTCGCTTTCCTGTGTTCGACTCGATACCGTTGTTTTGGATTCCTCGCGAGTTGCGGCGAGATCCTGAAGAGAAAGAAAAACGCAAAAATTTCAAAAAAAAAAATTGCGCGTGAAATTCGCGACACAATACGTAGGTGCACCGCACGAATAATTACACACATTTTCAAATTGCTATAAAAAAATGCCTTTTTTAATATTTCTCTTCTCAAATATCTAGTTTCGAGCCATACTTAACAAATATTGTATCGAATTTCATTTTTTAAGTTATTTATAAAAAAAAAGGGCACTGGATTTTTTATAAATATCGACCAAAATGCCAAAATTCGTTATAAGCCGCTAAAATCAATTTGTGATATTAAGAAAAGAGCATTTTCGAGTATTATTTCCAAACTTTTGCGTAGTAAAATTTTGCTATTAATTATTCGCCAGTCCAATTTCTCACCATTGCCGCCGGCTCAGCTTTTTCCGGCGCGAACTCGTCGCTCTCCTTCTTCTGCAGTAATGAGTTGACCATTTTCTGACTCAATTGTGTTATTTTCTCGCCAATATTTTTCTAAACCCTCACAAAATTATTATTTTTTTCTTTTAAATATCAAATTCCTGCAAAAAATTACCCGTTTTTGCTCATAACTAGCATTCGACGACTTCTTGCCAATCTGCGCCTTCTTTTTCTTCTGCTTAAAATTTTTCGCCACCACTTTGCTCGATCGATCACTCTGGAAGAAAAGAAAGGAACTCATCAGGCATCATCAGATTCTACCTCCGATCTCGAGACATTCTCCTTCTCCTCCTCAGCAATCGTCATCGATCCATATAAGCCATCAGCCGGATTGACCGGTCTTAAACCCAACTAGATGGTCGCACAAAATTCAACCTCACTCTGGCGGTAATGGCGCTGGTCTCGGCTTCACCTTCACCTCATAATTCTGATTCGACAGCGAATTCTTCGACGCAACCTTCTTCGCTTTCCTCTCTTTGTTATCCGATCGGCTCTGTGAGGATCTGGAACACAAATTCAAATTATTAATGCCTTCAATACAAAAATCTTCCAAACGATTTGGTTTTTCCATTTTTTCCATTTCGAGTAGTGCTCAATTGCAGCTTCTTCTTATTAAATACACTTGATATCCTTCTCTAAAAATTGAATTTAAAAAAAAAAACCAAAAAAAATTAATTGGTTACTTTGACTTTCCTTTCAGGAGACCTTGCATTACTCTTAGTTTTGGCAACTTTTCTAAAATTGAAATTTTACAAGCATGGTTTCAACGCGATTTTTTTTTTGCATTATTATGTTGGAAAGAGCCAAAGGCTTCACAAAACTCTGTGGGAATCTCGTGGCGAGACCCAAATCAATAATATTCGTCTTCCTGACATTACCTTTGCCGAATCCCAACTGTACAAGTCATAATAAACCCGAAAATAGTTCCCATAAACGCACCAATTGTAAACACTGCAGAAATTAGAGCTCAATCGCTTTTTTTGAATCAAAATCTTACAATATTCCATATATTATTAACACTGAAATCGACAAGCTACGTTAAAAAAAAAATTAAAAAATAAGAAAATAGATTTTAAAAAATTGAAAATAAAGAAATTCGTTTTTGTTTAGAACTTCACGCATCAACAATTCGATTATTTTTTAGGGAGAAAATGAAAAAAATAAATTTTAAAAACTGATTTTTTAAAAATTCTTTTATACATTTTCAGTCAACGTGCTGAACAATTTAGAGACTTCGAATCTGAAAAGGGTTTTTTTAATCTAACCATAAATATATTTATTTTAATGCGTACCATTAGGTTAGTAATAGATTCAGAAAACTGAATAAAAACCTGTCACGAAGAAACTCGCTTTATCAACCGCGGGTACTCGGTGTACAGGGTGCGCCATAAATACGGAGCCGCAACTTTGCGTCAACTCTGCCGCCTACAGTACCCATTTAATTGCGCACATTTATTTTTTAAAGTTTATTTTATGTTTTACTAGTTTGTTAAGTTCCAGCTTCGTTTTAAGATTATGACAGCAGCTTCCCCGTTCAGTGCTACCATCGTTGAGTTATCGAAGTTTGGAATGCGTTCGGCAGAGATCGTTCAGAAGCTCGGTGTGGCTAAATCGGTGGTGAACAAAACTCTCAATCGGTTCAAAGGGCTTGGTACTTTGAAAGACAAGCAGAGATCTGGACGCCCAGTGACTGTGACGACTCCGAAGGTGGTGAAAGCTAGAGCGCATTCGGAGGAATCCGGAAAGAAGCATGAGAAAGATGGCACTGGATCTTGGAATGAGTGAAAATTCGATGAGAAGAGTGGTCAGAGACAAGCTTCGTATGATTCCTTATCGTTTTCAAAACGGAGCATTCCTTACGGAGAAAAATAAAGCTCTCCGTGTGACCAAAGCACAAACTCTTCTTCGTGGCACGCGTCAAGGCACGCACTGGAAAACACTTACCGGAGTTGACGCGCAATTTGGTTGAGTATTTAGGTTTTCTGTTTTGATTTTTTTTACGCGGCTGATTTTAAGGCTTTTTTAAAAATATATTGGAAATTTTCCGCAAAATTTGCATGCAAAATTTATGCCGGATCAAAATGACCTCACTTATCAATTATAAACCTTTCCCGTTTTTGAGTTAATCAATTTTTTCGAATTTTCAGTTCCAACTTGTACAACAAAATTGTAAAAAATATACAGGCAAAAAATAGAAAAAAAAAATAGAAATTTAATTGAATGATTCGATTTTGCGAATAATCAATAATCGCCCTAATCGAATTAGATGCTCGCTTCGTATAAAATGGGTCCTATGCCGACGAGACCGTATCGTGTTCAACAATGCGTCTCATCATCGTCGTTGCTCTTCTCGTCGCCGTAGTCGTCTCAGTATGTGAGATGGTCGCCACCGTTTTGTTTAATAGCATTTCCAGTACCCCTATGGTCCGACTCGTGCTCCAAAAGAAACCGACGGCTCATTCGTCTCTATCGAAACGCCGAAGTACCGTTCATCCGGCAATCGAGAATTGATGATCACTCCGGAATTGTTGGTGCAGCTTCGCAATCAATTCGCCAACAATCGAGAAGCGCCGAGATACCTCGATGAGCCAGATGTCGAGCAGCCACAAAACAACAAAAGGTTCGAATTTCAGCATGTGGTTGGGTATATCGAAAAAAACGGTGATGTTTTCAGGAAGAAGCATGAACGATAATTTTTCGGTGGACTCATCGCCTCGATTTTAGGCAGCACCATATTCGGTGGATAATAAATGTTGATTGAAAATGAAATGAATATTTACAAAATCGATAATTGATTATTTCTTTCATGGTATCAAATTTCAAAAAAATTATAAAAGTTAGCTGCTGTTTCTTTCGGATTGGCGTGACTAATTAGCAAAATGCCAGAAATGGTCCCGAGACGACGACGGCGTAAATTGATATTCATGATGCGAGACCCAACTCTAGAGTAAAACACACCGTCCACATTTCTCCAGCCACCATTGAATTTCTGGCCGCTCGATTTTCGTGGAAATAAATGGGAAGTCATCTCTCTACATTTATTAGAAATGTCCCAATTCATCGAAATCCACACTCGAAATTCTCTTTGATTGTTTTGTCACAATTTATACTGTGTGATTTACGACAATAAATCGCTGAAATTCAAAATTTGAATATATTACAGACGCAAAAAAAGAAAACACTGTGTCGAGTGTTGCCGAGAAGAGAATCATAACTACTCAAAAACAAAAACTTATATTCTCAGTTTAATAGTCCGTTTCGATCAGCACACTTTTGAGCTTCATCTCGATCTGCCAGTCGACTCTTTTCACCCCACAATGCGCCCGACTATCTAAAATTTCCATCTGGGCGGCCGCGAATTATTCGGCCATGGCACTTTTCATTTCACGTCCGCCATTATTTTGAAATTTTTAAATTATTTTCTGAATTTTTATGAGTTTTTTCTTTTAGAATATTTCATTAATTTCTTTTCATAACACGCTAAATTTATTAGAAAAAAAAAACAAAATTAATTGAATTTTTTAAATAAATTGTTTTTAGTACGAAGAATTTTCTTGCCGCGGACGAATGAATTTGAAGATTTTCAATGTACGCGAAAACGCGTTAACAATAAAACTTGAGAATTTTAGAATATTCATTGAACTTTGAGAAAACCGGAAAACAATAATTTTAGTGGGGAAATTTATCCGAAGAGCAATTCGCCGATGTTGCGGATCGCCGGCAAGATACGGCGCAGCATTTCCGTAGGCATCCGATTTTATCGATTGGCATTTCCGTAGGCATCCGATTCTTGAGCCTGCTGAAAATCAACACATTAAACAGAAGCCTCTTGAAAACCTACTGAGACGACGACGGCGACGAGAAGAGCAACGACGATGATGAGACGCATTGTTGAACACGATACGGTCTCGTCGGCATCGGACCCATTTTATACGAAGCGAGCATCTAATTCGATTAGGACGATTATTGATTATTCGCAAAATCGAATCATTCAATTAAATTTCTATTTTTACCTTTATGATATTCTTTTAATCAAAAAAACAATTGATGGTTGACATTTTTATAAAATTTATGTGAGATTTTCTATTGGAATTTCCCGCACCCATACATTTTATGAATAAATCGCAATTCCGAAATTGTTAGACTTCTATGCGTTTGCGCAGATAGGGATTTCTAGGGTCGATACAACAATTTTTTCTGCACAAAATTCGTTTTGTTTAGCAAGAAGCTTCCCTTCCTAACCTTGGGATCTCTTGAATGTTTTTCACATCTGGCTTGCTCTGTTAGTGGGTAGTTTTGCATGAATTCATGAGTACTGGATTCTAAGCCGATTACCGCTGCAAATTTGCCAAAATATTTGAAAAGCGATGTGCGCCTTTAACCTATCCAAATACATATCCCCCGTAAATCGAAGATTTTTGTGCACTGTCACGGTTTTGTTTTGGGATTTAGCCAATTTTCAGCAATCGCGCGACGCCGACATTATACATAAAAAGATTATTATCAGAACATAAAATAAAGCGTGAGTTCGTCAAATGCAATCAGCTATTACGATTGAACCAAACGATGCGAATCATTATTGCAGTAGCTGTGCTGCTCTCAGTAGTCCACGAATCAACCCAGAACATTTTCACATTCAAAGGATATCTGATCTGCAATTATCAAGAATATTTTGAAGCCCAATTGCAAATTTTCGAAATAGATGCAGTGTAAGGACTAAAAAAATAGATTGTCATGGCATTTCGTAATGATTAAGATTTGATGATATACTCACACCAAAGAAGAAATTTTTTGGACGAAAAGTATTGAATTTTACCATCAACGCTGTTGAAGAGAATGATGGGTTTGGTGACGTCAGCTTCTTTTTTTTTTGGAAATGCGATTGAAAAATTTTGAATTTCGCGAGCTTCCATTTAAAGGGTCTCGTAAAAGGAAATGTGCTCATACTCCCTTATTAAAAAATTATACGATTTCACATTTTGAGTCGCATTTTTCCGTTCGGGACGCAATGCAAACGATAGAGTAATCTCAGCGCCAAATTCGTCCGTCCACTCCAATTTTGAAATTCTAAATTTAGGGCCACTTCGAATTTGCGATTTACATTCATCACAATTGCACCAAAAACGGCGAATATGGGCTGTCGAAGTACTATCTGCCAGAAATTCCAATCGATGAGGGTCCCGGCTTTCTGATTGTCAAACTCAGAATCGGCCCTTATACGGAACCCCCTTGATGTGAGGGCTTATTGTTACTATCTTTTGAAGAATGGCAAGAAGTTGGATAAAGTGTGTTGATAATGTTGATGTTTTCCGTGATAAAGCTTGACGTTTTTCAATGTTTCATTGAAGGAGACATTCATGAGAAAGAGGGTCAATTCAGACCGTAGTTCGCAAATTTGACCTCCTGGAGCCTGACGAGAATGGTCTTGTAGCGAGCGATTGATTTTCCAGAATCTGGCTATGAAATTGCGCGCACAATCGAGAGAGCACGCGATTGATGGAGACGCAGACTGAGACATTTTTAAACAACCACACGGGCGGCTTTATTCTGCGATTTTTTGGAAAAAATTCATATTATATAACAGGGCGATACTTAAAATAAAAACTTTCAATTTCATCTGCAATTTCAATATTTTGGATTTCTTAAAACGTTCGAATGCAGAAAGCAAAAAATGTTTTTTTTTCAAAAATAAATTTCAAAATAAAATGATTTTTCTACTGCATTACATTTCCTCATCTCGTTTTTTTTTTATTTTTCAACATTTTCTCTGGCTTGATATAGACAAAATTGGGTGTCGTTTTGAAATGATCCGAAAAATGGATTAACTCAACACGTTTGAGAGATTTTGAATATTCATTGAAATCCGGAAAACAATAATTTTGGTGGGGAAATTTATCCGAGGAGCAATTCGCCGATGTTGCGGATCGCCGTCCAAACTTCCTTCACTAACTTGCGCTCCAATTTGCGGTTTCTGGGAAAAAAAATGTTTGAAGAATATTTGGAAGAAGAAGAACTCACTGAACACGAATTTCAGCATCTTCGGGTTTGTCTGGAATGCCGTCGTTGTCGAGTCGCGCATTTCGATAGCTGTTCATCCGATTGAGATCATTGAAATCGGCGAGACCGGCATTTTCGTCGGCCGCCATTTCTTGAGCCTGCTGAAAATCCACACATCAAACAGAAGCCTCTTGAAAACCTACTGAGACGACGACGGCGACGAGAAGAGCAACGACGATGATGAGGCGCATTGTTGAACACGATTCGGCCTCGTCGGAATCGTTCACACAATTTTTGTGGAAATAAATTTCTCACTTTCAAATTTCTCTAAAGCGTGACATCATTATGATACTATCAACAAATATTATTCTAGTCGAATATTATGCGAATCGCGATAATACTATTAGTGCTGGCCGAAATCGTTTCAAGTACAAAATTGATATTTGAAGGAGCATTCTATTGCTATATTCCACCATATGAATATCCACCTCGGAAAGCCGTTGTACATTTCTATGAGGTTGATTATATGTAATGATTCATTCAATATTATAATATTCGAATAATCGAAATTCAGCACCTACCCTGACAAACTCGATACGTTCGATGTGCTAATTAATGATAATTTTGGAAATTATAGAAACACCTCGTTTCGACGGGTTGGAAAACATTTTCATAGGGAGTCCTTTGCTTTTGTTGATGAGCTCATGAGTGTGAGATTTCTCTTTAAAAAAATTGTAAATTGAGTCATGATTGCAGACGGGATTCATCATTCAAATGAATGTCTGGCATACTTGCTATAAGAACCTTTTCAGCACAACGGTGTACCGATTTGACCAGCCGTGTCCTTTATTTAGCAATACGTGCACTTATAACGTCACTATCCCACTGGTTTTTGGTGATGTTGGTCCCCTTGATTGGACAGCGCCGTTGACTATTTCCTAATTGGACTCGTTTTGATTTGTATAAATTATAAAATATTAAACAATGTGCATTTTTCTTCGAATTTCGCGCCAAAATTATTCAATTCAACTCTTATTTTCACACACTATTATTTAAAATTAAATACTATTTTCTGTACGATTTGAAGAAACGAAAAGTCAAATGTGTGCAATCTCGCGTGGGTGTGTATGCACGATTTTTTTCGCCATTTCAACTTTTTTCTTCCCGATCAAATTTTTTTTTCAAAATATTCCCATTAGGGCTGAGTCTTATTTTTTGATTCTCAAAAGATTTCTTTTCCATTTTCTTTAAAATCGAGGAAAATCGGCAATGTAGTGAAAAACGATATATGCACGATTCCGACGAGATCGAATCGTGTTCAACAATGCGTCTCATCATCGTCGTTGCTCTTCTCGTCGCCGTCGTCGTCTCAGTAGGTTTTCAAGAGGCTTCTGTTTAATGTGTGGATTTTCAGCAGGCTCAAGAATCGGATGCCTACGGAAATGCCGGTCTCGCCGATTTCATTGATGGCAATCGGATCAACAACTATGGGAATACGCGACTCGACAGCGATGGAATTCCAGACAAACCCGAGGAATCTCTCAAACGTGTTGAGTTAATCCATTTTCCGGATCATTTCAAAACGACACCCAATTTTGTCTATATCAAGCCAGAGAAAATGTTGAAAAATAAAAAAAACGAGATGAGGAAATTTAATGCAGCAGAAAAATCATTTTATTTTGAAATTTTGCCATTTTTTGCTTTCTGCATTCGAACGTTTTAAGAAATCCAAAATATTGAAATTGCAGATGAAATTAAAAGCTTTTATTTTAAGTATCGCCCTGTTATATAATATGAATTTTTTCCAAAAAATCGCAGAATAAAGCCGCCCGTGTGGTTGTTTAAAAATGTCTCAGTCTGCGTCTCCATCAATCGCGTGCTCTCTCGATTGTGCGCCATAGCCAGATTCTGGAAAATCAATCGCTCGCTACAAGACCATTCTCGTCAGGCTCCAGGAGGTCAAATTTGCGAACTCCGGTCTGAATTGACCCTCTTTCTCATGAATGTCTCCTTCAATGAAAAACGTCAAGCTTTATTACGGAAAACATCAAAATTATCAACACACATTATCCAACTTCTCGCCATTCTCCAAAAGATAGTAACAATAGGCTTTCACATTAACGGGTTCCGTGTAAGGGCCAATTCTGATTTTGACAATCAGAAAGCCGGGACCCGCATTGCGGATTAGAATTTCCGGCAGATGGTACTTCGACAGCACATACTCGCCGTTTTTGGTGCAATTGTGACGATTGTAAATCGCAAATTCGAAGTGGCCCTAAAATTTAGAATTTCAAAATTGGAGTGGACGGACGAATTTGGCGCCGAGATTACTCTATCGTTTGCATTGCGTCCCGAACGGAAAAATGCGACTCAAAATGTGAAATCGTATAATTTTTAAGGGAGCATGAGCACATTTCCCGCGCAATTCAAATTTTTTCAATCGCATTTCCAAAAAAAAGCAGCTTACGTCAGCAAACCCATCATCCTCTTCAACAGCGTCGATGGAAAAATTCAATGCTTTTCGTCCAAAAAATTTCTTCTTCGATGTGAGTATATCATCAAATCTTAATGATTACGAAATGCCATGACAATCCATTTTTTCGTTCCTTACATTTCATCTATTTCGAAGATTTGTAATTCAGCTTCAAAATATTCTTGATAATTGCAGATCAGCTGTCCTTTGAATGTGAAAATGTTCTGGGTTGATTCGTGGACTACTGAGAGCAGCACAGCTACTGCAATAATGATTCGCATCGTTTGGTTCAATCGTAATAGCTGATTGCATTTGACGAACTCACGCTTCATTTTATGTTCTGATAATAATCTTTTGATGTATATTGTCGGCGTCGCGCGATTGCTGAAAATTGGCTAAATCCCAAAACAAAACCGTGACAGTGCACAAAAATCTTCGATTTACGGGGGATATGTATTTGGATAGGTTAAAGGCGCACATCGCTTTTCAAATATTTTGGCAAATTTGCAGCGGTAATCGGCTTAGAATCCAGTACTCATGAATTCATGCAAAACTACCCACTAACAGAGCAAGCCAGATGTGAAAAACATTCAAGAGATCCCAAGGTTAGGAAGGGAAGCTTCTTGCTAAACAAAACGAATTTTGTGCAGAAAAAATTGTTGTATCGACCCTAGAAATCCCTATCTGCGCAAACGCATAGAAGTCTAACAATTTCGGAATTGCGATTTATTCATAAAATGTATGGGTGCGGGAAATTCCAATAGAAAATCTCACATAAATTTCAGACAGGAATTTCGAGACTTCGAGGAGTTTGCGCTGGTAGGAATTTCTAGAATCGATGCACAATTGTGCGTGTAGAGTATTCTTCTACTTTCTATTCATTCATTTAATAACAGTCGGCCTATTTAATTTAAAATTAATCGGATTTCTGGACCATGCAGTGATAAAAAAATGGAAAATTTTGGGATGAAGCTCGCGGCAATTTGAACTGCGCGCCTGTCCTTGTGGAGTGTCGTTAGCACCGATTATAAAAATGTCAACCATCAATTGTTTTTTAGATTAAAAAAATATCATAAAGGTAAAAATAGAAATTTAATTGAATGATTCGATTTTGCGAATAATCAATAATCGTCCTAATCGAATTAGATGCTCGCTTCGTATAAAATGGGTCCGATGCCGACGAGACCGTATCGTGTTCAACAATGCGTCTCATCATCGTCGTTGCTCTTCTCGTCGCCGTCGTCGTCTCAGTAGGTTTTCAAGAGACTTCTGTTTAATGTGTGGATTTTCAGCAGGCTCAAGAATCGGATGCCTACGGAAATGCCGGTCTCGCCGATTTCACTGATGGCAATCGGATCAACAACTATGGGAATGCGCGACTCGACAACGGAATTCCAGACGAACCCGAAGATGCTGAAACTCGTGCTCAGTGAGTTCTTCTTCCTCCAAATATTCTTCAAATACTTTATTTTCAGAAAGCGCAAATTGGAGCGCAAGTTCCTGCGCCGTATCTTGCCGGCGATCCGCAACATCGGCGAACTGCTCTTCGGATAAATTTCCCCACCAAAATTATTGTTTTCCGGCTTTCTAAAAGTTCAATGAATATTCTAAAATTCTCAAGCTTTATTGTTTATGTTTGGTTGAATCCTGAATCCTTCCGGCGGTGTCAATTTAAACGAAACCCGATGAATGAACAGAGTACAGAGATTCTTAATTCTACTCCTTAGACTTGAAAACAAAATCTGAATTTCTTTTGTCTAATAATAGAACATCATTTTTGTAAAGCAACGATTTTCTTACGAATCACAACTTCTCAATTTGTCGTTTCAGTGCTCGAATAATCCTTATTTGTACAATCGATGTTGGATTAAACCAGCGGAAATTTAGAAAAAAACTGCCGGCCGGGGGTTCAAGCGATGGAGCTCTCGACAACACAAGACACGCATTGAAATACACCCCTATTCATAGTGCAATTGTACAAATAATGTTCGCCCCGCGAAAAATTGAAACAATATCAAACAAACCCCCAGACATCTTGTGAGCATCACAACATCTTGCCATCGAAATTTCATCCATATTTGGGTCGCATTCCCTTTGACTCACAGGGTCTCGTCTCACCGCTCCACTTGAGCTCATCAAATATCAATTTGCGGCTCGTGATCGAAACCGACCCCCCCCCCAACCCCTTTATCACATCCTCACATATCCCAATCATTTTCATTGAATGTAAAATTCGCACCGCAATCAATTTCGGATGACTATTCGGAAGAAGAAGGAATGCGCAATGTCGACGGCGAGCAGGAGCTATAAGAAGTCGTTCTTCGGTTTCAGGCCCACTTATGAATTCCAGTTGACCGATAATAAAAGGTGGGCGAATGGAAGCATCATTTTTAATTTCTCTTGATTGCGAGACATCCAACTAAATTACTCCCAAAGGGATTTTCGACATCCTGTATATTTTAATTCATTTCATGTTGTGATCGTTGAAGGATTGCGACTGGTGGCGTGATCCGTGAGACCACGTAGTTGGATAAGTAGATTTTGTAAGAAGGTGGGAAGAAAGAACTGCCTTATCTACTAGGTTGCTTCTAGAAAACTCGTACTATATTTCTAGTAAGCGAGACAATGTTTACAATTGAGAGAGCGCAGACAACGAGAGAGCGTGCGATGGACGGAGACGCAGACATTGTGTGCAATAATTATAATAAAATTATGGAATTTTCCACAACATTTCTAATTCGTATTTCACTGGTTCCGGAGTGATGACACAATTACATTATGAGCCTACAGTAACCTAGAAGACCCCCCCCCAAAACTCGATGTATGCTTGTCTGATGGAATGAACATGAGTCGGGCCGAATCAATTTTTTTCAACGCTATTTCAATTTTATTTAAAACGTAGGCCGGCTGCGACGCATACGCATCGCGGCCGATTATCAGCTGATTAAGCGCGCCAATTTGAATTCGCGGTTTTTGGCGGCATGTCAATTCTGAAAATAATCGCAAGTACCGTTATTTTGGCGGCAATTCAAACGTATTTCCTTTTTATTTTGAAATTTTCGAGTTTTGATGGTATCTTCAACCAATTGAATCCAAATTTGATCGAAATCGTTCTTTCGTCACAAACGGTGGGTCTTGTGGCGATTCAGAGTGAGATGATCGAGGGTAGTACGGTGACGAAATGTCGCTTCGCCATGGGATATCGGTCAGACGAAGCCTCATGCGCCTTTAAATCCTATCGCAGTAGTGAGTTAAAATGAAAGATGATTCCATCTGATTCGTCCCAAGTTCGATGAGCTGCAAATTTTTCAGGTCCGCAAGTTTAGTGCACGCAAAATTACATACATTTGAATTGTTTGGGGGTTGCTTCGAAGTTGTTCGCCTCGAGAGTCCCAATAAATTCCACGTGGAATATTTCAGAGAGACGATCGCTTCTTTTTAAAGATTTTTTCCCCAAAAAACAAATGCATTTGTGGCTACTAGAATCGAAGGCTGAAAATGAAGACATTTTCAAAAAAAAAATTTCAAGAGCCTTCCATTTCGTTTCAACTTTAAGCCAAAATCTTGAACTCTGATTCATTTATCTCATCGTCGGCCTCAAATGCGCAATTTTTCGCGACAACAAACACAAACATCGGCGAGAAACAGGCTTTTTGAGAGCTTTTCGAAGGCCGAATATGCGATAATAATTTGAAGAACAATGTCTGCGTCTCTTCGGCGCGCGTGCACTATCTCGTCGCCACCCGCTCCTCCCCACCCGATGGCTCTCGATGACCATCCATCAGCTCATCGACTCGAACGACAATCATTGTCATTTTCGAATTTCGCCGCGGTTTCTGCATCAACCAAAAGAAGACGAGCAAAAAAAAACTCAAAATTCTCAGTCTGTCGCTCATTTCGCTTTGCGCCGCTTATTTCGCACCGCCGACAGTAATCTGCGTGCTGATTACTGTGAATCTCGTCAAACTGGGCTCCGACGATCAAGAGCACATCAAAATTGTGTCGGTCGAGGAGAAAATCATTCAAAAGTAGGTTTTGATGGATGGCCAACCTCCCTTTAAAGAGCCTCGGTCTCGCAGCGACTCGCCTCCTTTCTCTGCCAAAGGGGGACGAGCTCAACCCTCAGAAAACTTGCTGTCAATTTTGGGAATCGTTTCGAGACCCCATCGAAAAATCGTCCGACCCTAATCAAACTAGCTTCTTGCATTTTATGCCGACCTCCCTTTAAGACGCTCTAGCCAGACTCCAATGCTCATGAATTTTCAGCCGCCGACAAAATACATCGTCGACGCTTCGAACGTTGGCGACGAGTTCCGCGGATGTCAGGTGACACTTTTCATATGCAACACGGCAAAAAGCGATTTTGAAAAACCAAAATCATCATTTTTTTTTTTAATCGTCTGGCATCGCATTTGAAATTCGATGAGTTTGCAGATCGCAATCATCGGATTCGGGCGCGGCCACCGTCGTCAGCGATTGCTCATCAACGGCCGACATGAGCCATCTGGAGCGTTTCGCACCGGATAGGTATCAAATTGGTTTTTTTTTCGTCTTCACGTGCGACGACGCTTTTTCTCTGCGTCTCTCCAGGTCTCGCCCGGAAAAATGGCGCCGGCGCAACCGGCCGTGGTGGGCGGAGCTCAAGGTTTTGCGAAAACGATCGGGGGCTTTTTTTTGGTTGGTTGGCTGAACGCCCAGCGTGGTTATGAATTACTAGACACATTCGACGGATTCACCTAATTAGTATTATTAACTATTATGCTCATCGTCTGAGAGACGAACACGAAGAACCAAATTAGGCGCGCTGGAAATGGTCGATTATTCGATCACGAAAATATTCGAAAAAGAGAGAAGGTTGGTCGCCTTTTTTTTGTGCTGTGTTGAGAATTCGATTCGATACGATTCAAGTTATTGTTTGCACCCCCCCCCCACCCTCCGATTTCCTTTTTTGTCCCATTGCAACAATCTGTGTTGGTGCTCTTTGTGCGCGCACCCACCTAGACATTTGAAGTACCCGAAAATTGACCAATTGGCGGCCTTCGTTGGGTTCAAGCCGCTCTCAAAACCAGGGGGGTTTTGAAGGAAAAGCTCGAAGTTTTCTCTATGATTTTGTGCGATTTTAGTTCTGCGCCTTTAAATTTGATATATTATATTGCGAAAAAAATGTGCACTATTAACGATGAGTTATCTCTAGTACGGTACCTGAATTCCCACTGTTGAAATTCAAATTTGAATTTTTTACCTCGAATAAAAATACGATGGTCCACAGGAGGATTGGCGCAAAACTAAAAGTGTAGATTTACGGGCCTATGTATTAGGATAGGTTAAAGGCGCACACCGAAATCGCTTTAAAAAAATTTCCGAAAATATTTAAACTTAAGTTTTTTCTTGAAAACCACCCACTTTAAATTCTCTATGATTGTTTTAGTATTGATTTTCTGTTGTCCCCACAGGACCATTTTAAAAACGGATTTCTCAAGCCAAAAATTGTCTACAATTTGTCATAGGTCTCTCGCATTCAGCACATTGTTTCCACTGACATGAAAAAGAAAATGCAACTTGTCGCGACCAATATTTTCCTGTCAGATTACTTTCGAACAACGTTCGTTCCGAACACAAATATCATCATCAACATCATCATCAGTAGGGCAAATAATCTCAACCAGCTCGCTCGGTTACGAATTATGATGGTCAGTCGCCGCCGCGGCGGCCGCGGCCGCACGCACGCACGCACGCGTTTCTAGTGTTTTTTCAAGTGGCACACATAATTCGCCGATTGCCTACTGTGCAAACGATGTCTTATCATTGCGGCGTTTTCACGCGCGAAACCGATCGCTTCCGGGAGTTGATCGAGAGGAGAGGGAATCTTTGAACGAAAATTTAAAAAAATATGATGAGCAAGAAAAAATTTTTTTGCAGAAGCTCGCGATTGGCCGCCGTTTTCGCCGCGTTATTCATTCTTACACTATTGATTTCGATATCGTTCATCACTATCGTCGCGATCCTATCAGACGGCTTCACAACCCTTCTTTCAGGTAAAATTTTCACGAAAATAAGAACCATCAATGAAAGAAAAAAATTAAAACGAAATCTACAGTATACTCAAAGGGAGTTTTGTTTTTAATTACGAATGGTTTTGCAGCGAAAATAGTTAATTGAATTTTTTCTTTATTTTTTTGTGGCTTTTCAACTAGATTTTTCATGAAAAGTCGAGGAATTATATGAAAAATTCTTTGTTTTTATGATTTCTAAGCTTTGGTTTAAAATTATAATTTTTTTCTTTATTTTTCGTCAGAATCGCGACTAAAATTTTTATTTTTTCTTTTTTTTAATTAATTAATTTTTAGGAAATGAAGTTTGCACGGATATTTCGGATACCGGCGATCGATCGAATTCATATAATTCGATGTATTCATCGGATAACTCGACGTGCCTTACTCCGAACTGCATAAGACTTGGTATTATTTTTTGTGTTTCGTTTATTGATTTTTGTTTGAATTTTTAAATTTCAGCCGCCAACATTTTGAACAACATGAATCGCGAGGCGAATCCGTGCGATGACTTTTACGAGTTCGCCTGCGGACGCTACGCTCGCCAAAAAGTGGTCGCCGAGCACGAGAAAAAGGTGACGGTGCTCAGCGAGATGAAGAAGGAGCTCGACCATCATTTGAAGGATATTCTCGAGAAGTCGCCGCGCGACAATGCGACACGAGCGATGAAGCTCGCACAAATATATTATGACTCATGTATGGATGAGTTCTCGCAAGACGAATTGGTCAGTTCTCAAGAGTTTCGCAATTTTGATTTGATTTTTTGTTGCACAACGAAAATCGAAGTGTGTAAAGCGAAATTTTCCACAAATTTTTGACATCTCTTCTTCATGACGTCAAATACTCGTCCGACAAAAGAAAACTCACCTACAAGTCAAGCAGATGTCTGATCTGAAAAAATAAATCGAGCCGTTTGAAATCGACACCAGTCATAGAGCAAAAATCTTCAAAATTTTGCAAAAAATCACGTTTCCACTTTTTAAAATTTTGAGTTGTGGATAATCTTCGTGAAACGACTTTTTATGATTAAAATTATTAAAAACGAACTAATTAAAATTTTGGGGTCTCATGTGGAAAGCATGAAATTTAAAATTGTCTTGTTTCCAGGGTGTTCAACCGTTGATGTCGCTCATCTCGAATCTCGGTGGCTGGCCGCTTCTGACCAATGCCCGATTCGAATCCCTCGATTTCCAATGGGAAGTCCTCGCCGGCCATCTCGCCTTACATGGAGTTGATGGCATTTTCAGAATATTTGTTCACTCCTCATTCGACAACAGCGACAAGCATGTTCTAATGGTTCGAAAAAAAAGAGAAAAGTGTTGCGTGTTTGTGTGAAGCTAATGATTCCAGTTCTCGCCGCCAAAACTATTTCTCGAGAAGAAAAAGTTCTACCGTGAAGTTCCATCGTCCAATGTTTACCTACAGTATTATCGTCAATATATTCTGTCGCTTCTATCCATGCTCGGTGCGTGAATAATCGAAAATGTCAATTTGCCAAAATGAAAATGTCAACTCATTATTTTAGGTGTCGATTTGGAGGATGAAACGGGAGTTATTGAATACCAAGTTGATGATATAATAGATTTTGAACGAAGAATTGCCAATGTAAGTCGAAAATTGAAAATTTGTCTCTAGGGGGAACTGTGCGAATTGTTGCAGACTTGCAACGATTTTTTGGCCATTTTTATTTTTGTTGAAGAAAATTTTTTTCAATCAAAATAGTTCTAAAAAGGGTCGTTATTTTTGATTTGAGACAATTTTTACGAATTTCATTATGCGAAATTAATAATTTTTCAGCTCACTCGCATTGAAATTTCTCGAAATCATAGCGCAATCAACAATGTTATGACATTTGGCGATTTCAAGAAGAGATATGAGAAGGTATTTGTTTTGAATCAAAAATCGACAATTTAAACATATTTTTTCAGATCAATTGGGATGGGTATTTCAACGAGGAATTGCGGAATAGCCTCGGGCGAATGCCGGATTCGCTCGAAATCAACGTCGTCGATGTCTCCTACTTTGATAACTTACATTCGCTCATCAAATCGAAGCCATTGAGCTCAATCAGCAACTATTTGATGTGGTGTCTCGTCGCGAATTATGATATCTATTTGCCGAAAAAATACCGCCAACCGATGTATGATTTTCGAAGGCGAATGTATGGAATCACCTCAAATGTGAGTAAATGTTTATTTTTCTAATAATGTTTTTTTTTGGAAATTGTAGAGTCCGACATGGGAAACGTGTGTCGGCGAAGTTCGCGATAATCTTGCGATTCCGCTTTCCACTGAATATGCTCAAAAATTCTTCACTCAACGGGAGAGGCGAATTGCTGAAGACATGATCAGAGATCTGAAAAAAGCTATGGAACACACCCTATTGAATGCCGACTGGATTGATGAATCCACTAGAGAGGCGGCATTGACGAAACTTGATGTTATGGGACATAAAATTGGGTAAGCCGCTTCCAAAAGAGACCCTGATTTGAGGTGTTTGTTTCTTTCTTTCAGATTTCCTGATTCTCTTCTAAATGAGACGGCCGTCCTTCTCCCGTATGCCGGAGTTCGTCTCACTGCCAATCAATACTTTGATAATGCGGTCTCATTGAGAAAATCGATCTATCGCGATATGCTCTCGAAATTGCACCGTGAGCCGTCGCCGATTGATTGGGCTTCTCCGGTGATTGCCGTCGATGCGTTCCACTATTTCACCGGCAATGAGATCAGTATGCTATCGCGATCATCAAAATCATTCCCACCCCCGATTTTATTGCAGTTTTCCCCGCCGGAATCCTTCAATTCCCGATGTTCGTGCCAGATGCGCCGTCATATGCGAACTATGGAGCGATTGGAATGGGAATTGGACACGAGATCACGCATGGCTATGATGATTTGGGTAATTTTGAAAAGTTTATGGTGGGAAATGTGAGCAAAAACTTTTTGCAGGAGCTCAATACGACGAAAAGGGAAATCTTCGCGGCTGGTGGCACACCGAGACTATGATGACGTTCCAGAAGAAGAAGCAATGTTTTGTTGCTCAATATGGTAGCAAAATTGAGCCAATTACTGGAAGAAAGGTGCATTTTGAATTTTTTTCTTCAAATTTTAGAACGTTTTCTTTTTTTTTTCAGTGTGATGGAAAAATGACAATCGGCGAGAACATTGCAGATAATGGCGGTTTACGCGTAGCTTATCAGGTAAACTTGTTGCTGTTGTTGTTTTTTTTTTGTCCCAGAATCCACATTTACAATTTCCAACTCAATTTTAGGCCTATCAATTGAAACTCGATCGTGAGAAGGAGTCAACCAGATTACCAGGATTGGGCCAATTCTCACCGAAACAATTGTTCTTCTTATCATATGCTAATGTGGGTTCAGAGTAGAGCAGAAAAAAATGATTTTAAAATTCAAGCGATTTTTGTTGAAAAAAATTCTTGACCGGAAATTTTTTCCATTAAATTTTGTCGCAATTATTAATAAAATCTTATCGTACTTTTTAAAGCCATAAATATCGTATTCATAATGCCAAAAATAGCTTTTCCCCCAAAAATTTGCATAATTTCATTCATCAAAACATCAAGCTTAATAATTTGGAAACTGCTTTCGCGTATACCGAAATTCTGTTCAAATTTCAGACCTGGTGTGAGGCCTTGAAACCGCAAGCGATCGACCATATAATGGACACCGACGTTCATTCATTGGGCATATTCCGTGTCAACGTGCCACTTCAGAATTTGCCAGCCTTCTCGAAAGAGTTCGACTGTCCCATCGGCTCGCCGATGAATCCATTCGAAAAATGCCGAATCTGGTGATATTTTTTGTGTGAATTCATTTCAAATTTAGTTGACAATTGATCTCATCGTTCTCAAAACTGTTTCGTTTATTTTCTTTTCATTTGTCTTTTGTTTTGTGTGCTTCACCATGTTCGGGTTGTTGATATTTTTTTTGCGCAGATTCGAGATTTTAATGTATTCTGTTTCATGATAATAAACATGTTCTTGAATCGCGTCTCGTTTTGTCATCACTCGCGATTCGATATGCCAGTTTCGTCGGCGGCTTCAGCTTCTTTCCTAGTTTTGAGGTTTTTTTTTGTGTTTTGAATTTCCATCATTTCTACCCACGATTTTTTCAGTGTGCTCCTGGTTTTTGGCGAAGCTAATGAAAGTGCGAATGAGAAATTGATTGCGTGCTGCGCGCACGATCCGCAAATCGATCAGTACTGTGCGAAAAAGTATTGCAATTTCGGCAAAATCCACCAGCATTTGGTTGGTTTCGAAGCGAAAATCATATTGAAGCTTTTTGCCCGTTAAAGGTGCTGCCGTTTATTGCCGAATGCGGTCCGCGAGGCAACACGGCGAGCAGAATTTGGGATTGTTTGAGCTCGCGACACGATCATACCGCGTGCTGTGCTAATCAGGTATCATTTAATGGTCTCGTGAAGAAAATATGAGAACTACGTATTATTCTCGTTTATATTATAGTCGGCGTGCAGCTACTTAATAAACGCTGGGTAGATTTACGGGGTGCGTCTTTCAAAAATGGTCTCGCCACGTGTGAACGCGTATTTCGTTGATTTTCTTTTTTTCACGTGAACTCTTTGGTTTTTCTTGATGAGTATATAATTACCTTGAATAATTGATATCATTGAAATAAAAAATTGACGGAATTTACTCTAAGATAGAAAATAACAGATTGGTCCGTGCGAGACCATAGCGAAGGCGCTCATAAACCTACCCGCGTACAACAGTCGCCGAACGCCGACTAAATTAATTATGTATTTACTAAAAAAAAAATTCGATGCAGAAAAAAAAAATGAAAAGCATTATTTTTTCTGTTTTAAATTTCTCCCATCATTTTCCTTTAAAATAGGTGTAGTTCAGATAACTATACATTGGCAAATTAATTTTTTGGGTAGAATTACGGGATTGATCGAATGACACAATTTTTTCGTGTTGCCTTCTCTTGCACCTTTAATTCATATCATTGTAGTTTCGACGAACCCTGTTAAACAACTGTGATATGTAGGTCTTGCCGCAAGGTGTTGATTTACGAGCTAGACAAAGGAATAGATTAAGGGCGCACACTTGGCGCCTTGAAATTTAAAATTTAACTTTCAAATTAATTTTTGAAATTAAGATAGTTCAAAATTACTCGAAGTTTCTGCTTCAAAAAATTAGTCGTAGTTTAAAATGCAAGTCCGTAGAATATGATTGCACATATTCTATACATACTTGCATTTTAATCAACGCCTCTAAAAGTTCTCTCAAGGACAATCATGCTTCACATCATGAACTCTGAACCTCGATGATCAAAAAGTCATCGAGGTTTGTGTGAATCAGAAGACCGAAATGTGTTTTCCCTTCTCCTCACCTTCCATTGTTCACCCAAAGTGTAACAATCACACACGACAGTGTGGCCTAGAAATTAAGTCATGTGTACCGGCCAATCGAATAGCGTTCTTCCAGGGAGTCCAACCATTGTGCCGCGCGTTCTGCAACGCTTCGAAAGCGGTCCCAACCGACATGCTTAAATACGGCTGGTGCGCGCAAGAGTTCGACAAATACCGCCTATGCTTTCGCACCTACCTCAAACACAACCCACCGATTCGTCATTAAACGTCTGAAAATGGAAAGCGTGTGTTGCTTTCGATTTCGAATCGCCTCTTCAAACCACAAAAAAAACACAACGCGTACAGTGACATTCACGCGAAATTGATAGCGAAAAAAAACCGGTTATGCCAAAATGTTTCAACCACAAGACAACAGCCGAAGCAGCTTATCATCATCATCATCGTCCCCCTTTAGCGTCATTCGGCTTCATCGCCAACATTTTCCCATTATTTTTTCAAATTCTCCCTTTTTTTTAATACTAACTATGCTATAAATTATTGTTCTAATCATTCGTTCTTTCTTTTTTTTTTGGATTTCTAAGTGTGACGGCCAGACGTTTAAAAGCTTGGCGATTTTCACACAATTTCCAGAAATGTGGTGGGTTTTGGTTGTCGCTTGTTCGTTGCCGTCCGTCGTCGCCCAGGGCTGGCAGTGGAATCCGTTTCAGCAATGGCAACAGCCCGGATTTCAGGCGGTGCCGCAACAGCAGGTTTGATTATCGCCATCAGCGAGCTCATCAGCGAGACATTTCCAGTTTGGATTCGTGCAACCGCAGCCGGCGGCTTTTCTGCCGCCTCAGCAGCAGGGCGTCAAAAACGCCGTCGCCGATCGCATTCAATTAATGTTTGATTCGCCATCATTTCTCAACGATTTTTGAAATTCACCGAATTCAGCTATGGGGTGCCGGGAAGACGCAACGCGAACCAGAAGCTCCGCGTGTGCTGCCGATCGCTCAAGGATGCCGACGTTGGCTGCCGACGAAAGTATTGCGATTTCGAGGCGTTCCGACCGGATCAGGTGAGGTCTTGCGCAAAACGCTCTATATCAGTATGATCAAGGTGCTCGGATATCTTGCTGAATGCTCGCCGAAAGGGCCAACCGTTGGCCAAATGTGGGATTGCGCTTCGTCGAGGGCTGATCATACAGCGTGCTGCCAGAGACAAGGGGTAATCGCGAAAAAATAAAAGCAAAATCATGTGAAAACGGCATGGCCTAACTATGGTGGACTAATTTTGCTAGACGGCCATATCTTCAATTGCATTTTTTCGCGCATTTTCATTTAACTTTTTTCAGGTTTGAATGAAAACTAAAAGGTCTGGTAAAACTTTTTTAAAACCGACAACAAAATCCTCAATTGACTTTCAAAAAAAATTCTCAAAAACCACAAATTTTCTTGTCCCATTTTCAATTTTTTGTAATTTTTCAATATTTTGGATTCTCAAGAAATTTCAAACGAAATTTGGAAAAAATTCAAGCTATTAATTAAAGGCGCATAAGACGCAAAATTGTCCAGGTTTTGCGGCGACTGACTTTTTTTTCCATTAAAAAAACCGATTGAATTAGCGGTTTCCTTGAATTATGACTACACCCCTCAAAAAAACCTGTCCCAAACGATGAAGCTACAAACATTTCGCGCTATAATTGCACCATTTAAATGTTGTTTTAACGTAACACCGACCATAAATGGGTCTTATGACTGGTGCAAACATGAGTTAAAGATCAAACGATTATAGTCAGAGTTTTTGACAACAAAAAAGGCTTGAAATGAAATGATGGCGCAAAATAAAAACCGAAATCATAAAATGATCACGAATCGCTGCAGGTGATACCGGCGTGCATGGCGTACTGCGAAACGACGAACGGCGTGCCGACCGACTATCTGAAGTATGCGCTATGCATCGGACAATTCGACAAAATTCGATATTGCTTCCGCGAGTACCTCGAAAGCCATCCGAACATTAAAGGAGACTCATAATCACATCGCTTTAAATTCATTATTTATTCAACGCATAATAAATGATTCGGACAGCCGGCGCGTTATCGGTGAACCCCCTCGAAACTGCTTATCGGGAAGCGTGTCAAATTGATATTATTTATTTTGTTGGCCCTGCAAAACTTCCAATATTTTAGATTGGTCATATGCTTCACTCAAATAACAAATATTGACTTACGAATTGATTTCATAAATTTTGCCGTTTTTTATGTGTGCGAATTTTTTTGTCGTTGATTTTGATGAAAAATTTTTAAATTTCCGTTTTGCTTATAAAAAATAAATTTATCGCAAACGTTGACAAAATCTGCTTTCCCTCAAACAAGATTTGAATAATTAAATTTAAAAAAAAAGAGAATTACGGTAGTTGATTTGTGTGTAAATTTGCGTGCGCGTGACTGCGGAGTAAATACAATTTGAATTGTTTTGAGCGATTTTACGCGATTCCCTCATTTTTCTGGAATTCAAAAAAAGAAATACTACCAATTTGAGTCAATTATTAACAATGTAGTATTGGAAAAATTATATACGTTTGATAATCGCGTTGATTCCTTTTGTTTTTGTCAAATGTTTCCATTTAACTTGTTGCATTTTTTTTTTGAAATTTACTCATAAAATTTTGATTTTTCAGTGAAATAAAACAGTAATTGGAATAATTCCAGCATTTCGCTCAAAAATATTTCAGAAAATCCAAAATAGTCTGCGGCAACCGAGAGACGCGTCGCGGTTTCTTTTTATTAACGTGAGCCGCGACGCGCCTGAACTTTCAGGTCTTGCAGCGAAAAGTTCTGTTAGCCGCTTTTAAATTGAAATATGGGCATTTTGAAAATTAATTGCGATGTTTGCAAATCTAATTTGCTCAAAAAATTGTTTGCACAGGCTTTTTATTTATTTTTTCAATATGATTAATAGTTATAGTAATAATAATAGATATTTTTATTTAGATGAGGTCTAAAATTGAAATAAAGAACAAGAAAACATCGCAAATTCGCCCACTTCGACAACTAGCGAAATTCAAAAGTTTGAGTTAACCCCATTACGTGTTTATCTAGTCTTCCCCCCACCGCGACCGGTTCATAGGGCAAACGGCGCAAGATGCGATCGAAATGCATTTCTCAAGAAAAAGCCTCATTTCACCTTTATTTTGATGATTCACTCTCTCTCTCTCTCAACGAACTGGTTGTTATTATGAGTTTCCCATGAAAATATATAGAGATATAGAGATAGAGAGAGAGAGATCGCCAAATTTGGAAGCGATTGATCAATTGATTTTTGCCGATCATCGTTCTTTATACGTTCACTCATATTGTGTCGATTGATCGCAACCGCAATTCGATTTTTAATGATGAACCCCTCCACTTCCCATTTTGTTTGTGGTCAGTGATTTGTATGCACTCGATTGTTTCATATTTTGCATAAAATGCCGACGGCACCCCCATTGAAACGTTTTTAGACCGAAAATATAATGGACAAAATTCGAATTGAACTGCGCTTTGACAAATCCTTTTATTTTCCTGGCGATCTTATTGAGGTTAGTTGAATTTTTTTTTTTGGAAAATTGACAAAAAATTTTGCTTTAGGGACAGATTATCTGCACATCTTCATCGGGATTCGAAGTTGATAGTGTTGTTGGACGAATTCGAGGCGACATTATTCAATTGTCTTTGGATGTAAGTATAATTCGCTATTGGTTTGGGTAATTAGGCAATTATAATTGCTTGGACTTTGCAATTAAGTTGTGTAAAATTGTTTGAAAGCCGTATATGCTTTATTTAAGGGGCAATGAAAAAAGAAAAATTCAATTCCAAAAAAAAAAGAAACAAGTTTTTTCCTCTTTTTTTTACTTCACGATTTTTTTTCTTCTGATCGTCTGAATCTACACTGACTTTAAAAATATTACATTCGCAAAACAAACGAGCACTCCCGCTTCTGAAATTTTCAAAAATCTTGTGGGTTTTATTCGATGGCTACACGAATGCTCACATTTTAAACTAAAATTTGAATAACCGAGTAAAAATGGGCCGCAATTACCGATTCTCGATTTTTTTTGTGATTGCGTTGTCGGAGTTGGGCGACAACGGAAAGTTCACATATTTGGGAAATTGGCGTTAAAAAATAGAAAAAAAATTTTCTTCAAAATTTTTTTGAAATTTAAATGCCATTTTTTGTTGAAATCAGTTTTTTAAAATCCAAACTATTAAAATACTTTTATTATTATTACATTTCTATTCTCATGTGGCGATTAAATTAAAAAAGAAAAGAAAAATTTGGCTGATTATTTTGAATTTTTATAGGGTCCGTGTCAACACGCGACGCACAATTGCAGAATATGCGCCTTAAATTACGATATAATTTTCATTTTTGCGTCGGGTCGAATTTTTTTCCAATTTTTTCCGCAATGGAATGTGAAAGTATTATTCCAAATTTAAAATAAAATTGAAAAACCCTAGGAAACGTATTTTTAGACGTGAAACTATTATCAAACGTTCAGTGTGTGCCTTGAACCGGGTTACGGTAATTTTATTTGACGAGATTTTCTTTTTTTCCTCTCTTTCCGGTTTTTCGACTTCCTCGTTTTGAAATTTTCTAAAAAAAATTCGTGCTAAAAAAATATGCATATATTTAATTGATTTATTCAAGGAACGCCAATCTTGTTCAAGTATTGTCGATGAAACAGTGGAACTATGGAGACACTGCAGTTTGGATCAAATGCTTGGGCTATATGATGAAAATCAGAATGAAACGTTCAATATTCCGCACTCGACGACGTTCCCAATCAGGATTCCGATTCCATCCAATGCTCCGCCAACATTCCATTGTCCCGAGTCGCCAGTAAATGTCAAATACTCGATTGAAGTGGGTTTTTTTAGCCATGGCCGCGGCCGTAATAAAAACTAGGCCATCAAAATGGAATTTTTTCGTTTGCTGCTAAAAATTTTTCAACTCATTTGTTCAGATTCAATTGAAGCGATTGGGAAGTGTTATTGCCGTCCAGGAGGCCCAAATTCCGGTTGTTCCTCGAAATTCGCCGACGAATTCCGCGGCAAAACCGATAGCATTCAGCAAACACACCAACTTCACCAAGTAACAAACAAGGGGGAAAAAAACGCGTCTAGATGATCAATTTTCAGAGGTCGCTCGATTTTTGTGGAGGTTTTACTCAAAACTGATGTTTTCTCGACAACGGATAGGGTCGACGCGTGCATCAATATTTCAAACAGGTGCATTGCCAAATAGAGATGACACGATTCGAATGATGAAATGTTCAGATGGAAACATTCGCTCAAATACGTGCATTTGAATGTGGTCCGACGAATTCAGCTACTCTCGCCGGATGATCGCGTTCTAAAGACTGTAAGGATTGATACGACAGGTGATCGAATCAGCTTCCAAAAGCTTTCTCAGTACATGTTGCTTTTCAGGTGTTGGCCTTCCCAGCTACAAGAGCAAGGTGGCGGTTGGCGAGAGCTTCTCGTTCAGGCCCAATTTCAATATTCCCGCGCTTCCGCCAACATTTAATGTCAACGGGCTTTTCAAAACGGACTATCTTATCAAAGTTTCATATGGAAGATCGCATAGCTTTATTCTCGACGCTCTCGAGGTATAGTGGTTGGGTAGATTTACTAGAATGCGCCTTTAAAATGGTGCCTAATTTGTTGGCATTATTTTGATAAATTGATTGAATTAGCGCCTTTCTTTATGAAAGATAATAATTTAATTAAACAATTTGAATGTTTAAACGAAACAAAACTCCTACAAACATGTCACGACGCCAATTTAAAGGCGCATTGTGTTTATTAGCCAACAAATGAATTGTTTCCTCCAAAACCATGATTTTTTGTTTTTCAAGGTTCCCATCAAGATAGTGTCGACAAACATTGATGAGCGGACCTCATGCAGAGACGGTAAGTGCACTTTGAAAAACAGGCCTGGATCCACTTGGCGAATTAAATCCCTCAAATGCCATTTTTTGGCGAAGCCATCGAGGGCGGATGAATTCGACAAAATTTTAAGTACGAAAATAATATAAATGTTTGATCGTGGAGCGAACTTTTGCAGACGCCTTTAATGGATACTGTAGTTTCCAATGCAGGTCAGATTGAAAATCATTAGAAGGTCCCCCCCCCCGGGCGGAAGGAAATTTTGTTGTTCCAATTGTCTATTTTTTGATAAATTCCCGTGAATTCCATAATTTGGGTCCCAATACGAAACATTTTATGGTAGCGACAACCACTAAGATGCGCAATTTGAATTTTTTAGCCAAATTAAGGTCCAGGAGTGAATTTCACATTTTTTTTAATTATTCGAAAAATGTTTACTCTAATACCCAAAAAAAATTATCAGATTGAATAGAAAAAACCGGAAAATTTTCCAACCAAACTATAGTCGGCACTTTGTCGAAAAACAATTAATTGTGGGTAGAATAGACAATAAACTATTGTTTGATGCGTCACACGTAAATTGGCCTATTAACAGGAAGTATTCAAAGTCCGTAGTTGGCGAATTCGACAATGATCAAACCATCATTATTTTTTTTTCAGACGTTCTTATTGACATCACGCCGACCAGCACGTTCAGTAATCATCAGAAGCTGATCGACTTTTTCACATGAGCAACATCCAATTGGCTTCTTACTTTTATTATTTTTGAAACAGTTTTAATAATAATTATTATAAAATTAGAAATCTTGAATCGATGGGATTCCGGTGTCGACAGAGAGAGAAGGGATCGTGTAAAGCCGCAAGGAGGTCATAAATTAAAGCGAATGCGTTGACGGAGACGATTCTGGATCCTTTCATCAATTCGATGGTGGTGCTTCGACGACGTCGGCGTGCTCGCTGATGCTGACATTCGGATCTGAAAAAAAGACCTTTCTTCCCCTTTTTGGAATTTTTGCGTTTCTCATCGCAAAATTGAAATGAGATTTGAGCAAGCGGAAAAAGAACTAATAATTACCTTTTTTGGATTTCTCAAATGTGGATCGAATTCGACCGAATAGCAACGTGTTCTTCCAGAGAGTTGAAGCATCGCTGACCTCGACGATTTTCTCGTTGATCATTTTACGGCCGTCTAGAAGTGTTTGCGTAAATTGTCCGCAGATCGGAAAATAAAATATACCTGGCGTGTAAGTCACCTTATCTTTCGGCTTGACGCCGCTGAACGTCTGAAGATCGGACGAGGCCACATCGGTGCTGGTGCCAACGATCTCATCAGACAGCTTCCGATTGGTGGCGTAGAATTCAACGTCATTCGAAGGCGAGTTCATCATTCCCAACATATTAATCTGCAACAAATATTTTGAAGGAATTTGCGTTTTGCTGGAATAGGAAAAAAAATAGCGAAGTGGGAATGAGACGCGAAACGTTTTAAATGCGCCTCGGAAGACCACGCCTCGATGTCGTCATCAGCAACCACCCGAATAATATTCTACTTGGCGAACTGACTCATTCTTAATTTGATTATAGCCAAAGGAGTGGTATGAGAGAGAAACGATGACAACGAAATTGAGGGGGGACGAGAAAAGTCGTGATCTGAATTCTTTTTTCTTTTGACTCAATCGAATCGCGTCGAGACCCACAATTTCGACGAGAAGAAAAAGGAAGGAAGACTTGAATAGAACGCATTGAATTGATAATCATAAAAATAAAAAAAAACATAAAGAATGAATGATATGGGATTTTTTGTTCACAAATATTTGGTTGACATATGACATTGTCAAACACGACGCGATTGAATTCGATTCTGAATGACGAGGAGGAGGTTGGCATTTCTCAACCGGTTGCCTTTCTCTTCTGATCTATCCGGGTCACGCCGCGAAAATTGTTTCGTTCAAGATGTTCTTATTTGGCTGCAACACACCGGTTACAACATGATGGTGTTGGTCGATGATCATGCGCCTTTAAATAGAAATATTAGAGTTGCGAAAATTGCCAGCTTTTTTCTCTAGATATGAAATGATTGATTTCGTTGCGAGACCATGTTTGAAGGCGAATATTTTGCAAAGGAAAAAAGGGAGCAATGAGACGATTTGTCGACCATGTGATGAGCGAAATGAAACGATCACGAGATGGTTAAGGGATTTGGAATTTGGCCAACAAATCAGTTGCAATTAATAATTATTCTCAATAACTTTTAAAGCCAAGAATAAAAAAAATTTATAAGGAAAAGGAAATATAGAAAAAGAAAAATCTTTAAAAGGAAATATAGAAAAACAGAGTTCAATGAATTCATTTTCAAAATTGTGGTTCTCTAAATCAATATCTGAAAATTTTGAGATTTTAGACGTGAATTGGCAATTTTATAATAAGAAATCAAAAAATATTTAAATAAAAATTCCCCCTAATTTCTATTACCAAAAACGAGTATATTTTGTGGACCATTGCAATTTGTCGAGGCGGTAATTAAAAACTCAATTTGAATTGTCGGAATTCCGGAAAAACCTGCGAAGCTAACTATTTCGAGCATTTGGAAAATAACAAACGAGAAAAAATCGCAGATAAAGTCTCAACACGTGCAGAATAGGTCCCGATTCATTTCAGATTCCATTTATTTTAATATGACGATTAGAACCCGGCAAAGAACGCAGGTTGAGGTCCCCAATTCGAAACTCTGTGGGATCTTGTTTTGAATTTTGTGGTACCTGAACTGAAATTTTCCCCTGAGGACCTATATTGCACATGTTGGTGACCTAATCTCAATTTTTAAAAAATTTGGTGGCCTTTCTCAAAAGAAGGAACATGTGCTTCTTGGCTGTGGGATTTAGTACATAGTGAAGTGATGACCTAATATGAATGTTCGCCTGTAATCGTAGATCAGGTCCCTTAACAAGGGAGGTGTTTTTACTTAGTGGTTTGGAATTGTTTCCAATTTTGCACACAAACAGATCAAGAAATTCCCTATCGAGTGTGCTATGCCGTTTTCTTCAAAAGTTCCAAAAACTCCCAAAACTTTGGGTTCGAACCTTCAAATTTTGGACCATCGTTTTTTTTTTAATTTTGTGTAAGTCCCCATTCATTATTGATTCCCCCACAGCCAGGAAAACGTCCACTCATTCATTATAGGTCCCCAATTCCAATGGACTTGGAGACCAATTCTGAAAACGCCGGGGCGTGTTCCTAGCTGTGGGGCTCTATAGTGGATTGGGGACCTAATCTGCGTTGAAAAAAAAAATATATTTTTCAATTTTTAGAGGCGTTTTAAAGTCCGAAGAATAGATTTGTATTCTAATTAGGCACAATCTAAAAAAAATCTTTTCTAAGCCAACGTTTCGCAAGCTTAATGATTTTTCTCTAGAATATTCCCGATTAGATGCCACGTCTTCTTGATGGTTTCTTTTTTTGCTAATTCGATTAGGAATCCGAACAATGTTTAATGACTAATCTTGTGTGATTCGTGAAAGTTGTAGACACACTAGAATGACTAGAACTACCCACAAAAATGGGGGTTCACTTGACAAAAGGGACCAAAATGAGAGATGGGAACGACCTACATAGAAAAGAAAGCCCAAGTTTGCAAAATGGGTCCTGGGCTTAAAATGGAAGCCTAAAAATGTGGGAGGCAATCTTTTAAAATATTTGAAATCCCAAACCGTTTAATATTATTTAATATTATTTTAGTATATTAATATTACTATTTTTGAATACATATTTCACAGGGTATTTGATGGCATTCTGAAAGAATTGTGCGCAAGTTTATGTTATTGTCAGTTAAACGACTAAATAAAAATTTTAAAAAATTATTGGCTATGTGCCAATGCGGCTCGACGCAGCGACAAGTACGCGAAACTACGTACAATGCATTATAGAATACGCACATTTAATATTCAATCAATGATAAATTTAAATCGACACCAATTTCGCAAATTTTTAGGCCCCGCCTCCCTTTAATCATTTGACATCGAAAATAGGTTAAAACGTAGTTTTAAATTGATTGCTCTGTTGTTTTCTCGCACTCGATATTCACACAATTTGACCGGGCTGTAATATTTTCAGAAGAGGCCCTACTTGACAGATCCCATTTGGTATACCCGCAACTAATCTATAAATGTTTAGTTTCTGAAAAACAATGGACTAAAACCCAGTGTGGGACACACAACGACTGTGTTTAGAAAATGATCCTAGCGAACGGGTAACTCAGAAAGTATAATGTATTGTCGAAGGCGGCTGATTTCCGTACGACGAAGCGTTGAATTTTTGCTTTGACTGCGTATCAAGCATGTGCTACACTGCATCAAAGGCGTATGTAAAAATTATTAATTTCGTGCCAAGAGCCGGCCGAAGTTTGAATTTATTTCCTCCTATTTTAAACAATAACTAATCCTTGATTCAAATGTTTTTCTTTCGAAATTTTCGATTTCGGACCCCCCTAGGATCATTTCATAAAATTGAATTGCTCGTGTGATTTTAAGAATTTTTTTCTATAGGGCGTTTTTCAAAAAATGGGGTTATCAGAATTTTAGCGATTCACGTTTTTCGAATATAATTTTGATCAACACATACGCATTTTGGCGACTCACCTTGATAATAGAACATCAAAAACGAAATGTGTTTGCAAGAAAAAAAATGGCGTCAAATATCGCAAGTCCGCAAACACCAATAGCCATGGTCCGCAAACATCCCCCATTTTGAATCCAAAATTTTTTTTTCGATTTATTACGCTGAAAAAGCATTTTTCTGCCAAGTTCAAATGAATCTTGTTCGTTGAACAATGATAAGGGAAATCCAGTTGAATCTCTGATTGTTCGTTTTTATCACTATCCGTTTCTCACGATAGTTCAGCGAATAACTCTCGATTTCATTTGGTCAGATTTATTAGTCAAACATATTTATATACATAACACATGAAGTGATTAGTCTATGAAACAATGAGTAACCCGTAAATCGAAAATAAAATCCTGAGAGGGCAATTAAAAAAAACAAAAAAAAAATTGCATAGGCAATTGTCATATTAAACTAAAATTTCTCAATTTTCTGTTCCTCGCATGAGATCTCGGAACGATCGTCGACTTCAATGGTACCAACGGTCCATGGAGCTGGCTCAGCTCGTGCGAATATTATGAAGATCAAATTGGAGACGAATACAATGATGAAGATGATTCTGGAAAAAAAATTGGTGTTGCTTAAAATCGTGGGGCTCGTGAAAAACGTACAAAAATAGAATGGTCCACTCATGGTGGGTGTCATTTGGAGCGATGAAGTTGACCAGAATCGGGAGCAAGAGGCCGACAGTGAAGTTGTAGAATGATCGGGCGGTGTAGACGAACGAGAGGTGCTGCTTGCAGACAAGCTGAGCCGATCGAGTGATTCCGACGCCGTTCAATCCATTGGCAACAATGACTAGCGAATAGCACAGTTGGCCGACCGAGCTCCAATCCTGCGGGATGAGCATGAGCACCAGAAAGCAAATCGCCATGGTGCCCTGACTGATGGTCGTCGAGACGATGGCCGCCATGCGTTCGCCGAGGAACGAGCAATTGGCCGACAGCGGCTGAGCGGCAATTCGAGCGATGCACGAGAAGATGTATGGAATCGCGGCGGTCCATCCGGTCGTCGAGAGATTGTAGTGAAGCACCTTGTTGAGATAGGTTGGTCCGTATTGGAGGAATATCGAGAAGCCGATGGTGCCGCCGACGGAGGTCAGCCAAATCGCCCAGACGGCGGTGTCTTTGTGAATAGCGACGAACGGGGTGCGCGTCTTCTCGACATGCTTCTCCTCGTGCGATTTGCCTTCCTCGATCGCGACGAGCTCCTCGAGCGTGAGGAAACGATTCCTCGCCGGATTGTCGGTGTAGAGGACGACGAACAGAACGAGGAAGATCGCCGTGAGGCCGCCTTGCACGTAGTACACCGAGCTCCATCCCAAGCATGCGCAGAGAAGCGCCGAGAGCGGCATCGTGAGAAGTGGAGCGATTTGGTAGTGCGCGGCGAGAATCGACACGTACACACCATTTTCAGCGAGCGTCGACCAGTGTGACGTCACCACGGAGACCACAATTGAGAACATCGCACCGGGAAGGCCCTGAAATCAACAGATTACTCTAGCAAAAAAAATTTCTGAGAAGGTTTTGATTAGAGGAAGGTCTTGCGGGGATCTCAAGAACCCACCGAATGAAGACGTGGTCGCAGCCAGGCTTCTGTGATGGCATTACCTGGAAGAATCGCGTCGTCCACAGCAGCCAGAAGTTGGCCGTCGCCAACGGTGTGAGAATTGTGGAGAATACGGAGATGAGCGAGCAGAGGAGAAGCATCGTTCTGAATTGCGGGCATTGCACTCTGAATGAGGTTCGGGCGATTCTTACTTGACGCCGGACCGATTCGTCATCAGATACATGATGATTGTCAAATTCCGCGGGAATTCGACGAAAAAGGAGGAAAAAATGAGGGAAATCGATAAATATCTCTCGCGGAGAGAGAGTGTGTGAACGGAGAAAGCGCGCGCCAAAGGGTAGAGATGACGCGCGCTGAGGGAAAGACAACGGGCGCAAAGGAGGCGCAGGGGGAGAAGTTAAAGGCCGGCACAGTAATGCCGCTTGGATTTCTCGCGGCGCGGAGCGACAGTAACCTAGCGGCGGCGGAGGAGGATCGTCGCGAGCGCGAAGGGTTGGAAGCACCGAGGTGCTTGTTCTGCTTCTCGGCAGCCCACCCTTCGTTGGCGTGCGATCGCGTGCCCTTCAGCTGCGAGAGATTGAGAGCAGCGGAAGCCGTTGGCCGCTGCTACCGCTGTGGTCGGTATGCCCACCACCGCCCTGAGCAGTGCCGCAGCGAGGTGAGGTGCCGATTGTGCGGGGGTCCCCACATGCATTGGATCCATCCCCACCCGACCGTTGGACGATTTTGTTAATTGTTTTCGTTCATTTATTGCAAGATAAATGGTTGTTGATAACAGTGCTTAAATTGGAGTCTAGAGGAGTTGAGATCTCCTGAGTTACCTAGAAACGCCGAGGGCGGATTGAGATATCGAGAATTTAGGAAGACTCATGACACCAATCAGTGACACGCCTAAAAGGCGTACGAGAAGCGCGGGAGGCAGCGGGCCGTTGCGCAAGCGTGCTTCCACGGGAAGTGCGAGTGACAAGGTCGAGGGGCAAGTGGCAGCCGACGATAGCAGCGTGGCGAAGCCGAGTAGTGCAGGGGGCCAGCTTGGGCCGACCATTCCCAAGATTCCCAAGAAGTCTAAGAGCGGGGAGTTTGTTACTAAAGCTCTACTCGAGACTACTGGAGAAATTTGGGAGGAGAGGGTCGACAAGCGATGCCAGGAGCGCGCCAAGAGGTAAGCGAGAGATAGAATCCGTGAGTAACTATAGAGGTGTTAAGACATACGGAGAATTGGCGCTTGGGCGAGGAGACCACCCGAATGGTGGTCACTTCTGCTCAGCGGGCGTTGGAGAGACGGATCGAGGAGCTTGCGAGGTTGACGCGAGAGGTATCCGAGGATGTTGGCCTACTGAAGGCCACCAGCCAACAGATCCTCCAGCAACTGCAGGAGGAGAGCAGACGCAAGACCGTCGCGCCTACAGGGAGGAGCACGACCCCGCCGAAGTTGTCGGCGAAAGCATGGATCTGTCGCCTCTGCGATGGAGGGCATGCGGAGAGAGAATGCCAGCGGTATGTCTCGATAGTTTAAGACTAGTGCAATCTCTTGCTTTAGTTATGCCACGTGCGGAGAGCGGTTGAGCCGAGCTATGGAGAAAGGACTTTGCCTGAGGTGCGCGGCGCACCCCCATCGTACGGAGTGCCACAAGAAGCGTCTGAAGTGCTCTAGATGCCAGGCAGCGTCACACATGGAGGTGTTTTGCCCAGCGCCGGTGGGAAGAGCGGGAGCTAACTGAAGTTAGCCGATTAAATGTAATCGCTGTGCGACAGCGATTATCTGTGTTGTTTTTTCTAAGTTGTGTTTATTGTTGTTGTATTCTATTGAAGTTGGAATAAAGGTCTATGACCACAGAGGTAGCGTGTTCAAGAAAGCAATAATGGGCCGAGATTGGCAAATATGGAAAGGGAACTGGCAGTAGAGTGCCGATAAGGTGGAGGTACAAGTTGGAAACTCAGTGATGCACACGGGCACACTGAAAGGTCGTGGGCGGGAGATCACACACGAGGGTGCGGTCGCGCATGCACTCGCCACGACGAAAGAGGATATGGGCAGCTGTCCGCGCCCACTCACACTTCCGATATCGTGGCGGAGGTGACGCGGTTATCAGAGTGGCCTGATCAACCACGATTGGGGCCGCAGGAAGGCAACACGATGTCACGCGGGACATCGTCGGAGTGGGCGTCTGTAGTGAGCACGCGGGCTCAACCAGAGAGGCAGACCACGGTCGACACCGGGCCGGCAGTCGTTAAAATTGATTTCCTCACTTTTACTTTCTTGTATCATAATCTGGATTGTTGTACCTCCAGAGGTATTCTGTTGTGTCTCGAGAAATTTGTCGTCGTAAATGGAAGACGGGATTTAAAGAGATGTTTTGCAGAACATCGTTATGAGTAACCGAACAACTGCTATCGTCACGGTCTATAAGACACAAGTGACACGCCGCGTGGCCGCCGCCACCAAACATGGAGCGGCTGCGGCGGCATATTTAAGGGGACTGGAGAGAACTGAGCCCTCGATGGAGGAGCTGTTGGCCGCAAGGCCGATATGGACGGCGCTCCTGAAAGCGCTCCAGGGTCTTGAGGGAGTAGGCGCCTTGGAGACGGAGTGCTTGCGTAAGCTAAGCGCCCTCAAGGTGTCTGAGAGTGCTTTGAGCGCGGCTCAAAGGGCGATGGAAGAGCATAAGAGAACGCGGGATTACATGCGCGTTCTGCTCGCTACCATTCGCGAGGTGAATGAATTTGAGGAGTACATGGCAAAGCTATGGGAAGCGTTCCCTGAGGAGCCTAAAGTTGAAGAGAACGAGGTTAAGGAAGAGGAGCTTGCGGTCCATGACTTGGTTGATCAAGTGGCGAGCCAAGTCGAGGCGGAGCTCGAGCAGCGGATTGCTCCAGAGTTTAAGAGCACTGAGCTCGGACGAGGAGAGGATGAGATCCTCGAGAACAGCGAGGGACGTTACGGCTCTTGCCTGGACGCCGGTCACGCTGTTGATGTCGGCCTCCCGCGGCAGGGGGCTGCCGCGGAGGAGGTCGAGAGGCGGGAGGCGAGACCAGCTCTCAGAGGACTCGAAGAGGAGATAGAGACGGCATCGCCGGTGGAGCGATCGCCCTTCGGGAGCGGATCGGCTACCTCTCCGGCAAGAGACCGAGGAACGCGCGGCGTGGCCACGTTTCGTTTGCCCACTATTGAGATCCCCAGTTTCGACGGTGAGCGGGGAGACTTTGATACCTTCTACGAGATCTTTATGTTTGCGGTGGGCAACAACGAGGAGCTGGACACCTCAACCAAACTGATTTTGCTGTTGAGCAAGCTCAAAGGACGCGCGGCGAGAGTGATAGAGGGGCTCCCGCGTACCGCTTCATCTTATGAGGAAGCATGGAGGTTACTGAAAAGACGGTATCAGGTGGATCAGGAACGAGAGCAAGAGTGGATCCATGAGTTTGAGTGTCTCCGATTGCCGCGAAACGCGAACCCATTGGAGATGCAAGACTTATTGGATCGTTGCGAAGGCGTAATTCGTCGCCTCGCCCGGTTCAATCTGGGCAGAGCGCCGATGATGGCAAGCCGATTGCTGGAAAAGTTCCCAGAGAGCATACAGGAAAAGATTGATAGACAGATGGCGCGGTACCATGTGTCTTTCGATATCTGGACCATGATAGAAGAGCTCCAGCAAACCCTTCGTACGGAGGTGCTTCTGTACCGAAGGCACCTAGACCGGCAGAGATCGTCACAGAAAGGGGAGTTCCCGCGGGAGTACACGTGGGAACCGGAGGACGCGCGGATCCACACCGCCCTGGCTGCGGAGCATCGACCGTACCAGATGACGCGGTCATCGAACTGGCGTGGGCTCGAAGGAAAAACGACGCACGGGAGGGGAAATAGAGAGATGGGAAATGGCGTGAAAAGGAATGGCGGGCAAGAGCAGAACGCTTTTCGGTGCCCCTTTGACGGGGGTGACCACCGAGCGTTGGAATGTTGGCTCGAATTGTCGCAGAAGAGGGCGGCAGCTCGTAGTGGAAGGTTGTGCTGGAACTGTCTAAGCCCCAACCACTTCGCCAGTCAATGCCACGCGGAGCCGTGTAGGAAGTGTGGAGATAAGCACCACACCTCGCTCTGCCCCTCCGGCGGGAGTAGCCGTCGGTTTTTTCGAGGCCACGCTAGCAATTAGCGAGGCCACGTCGGTCGAGCCCTCTGCGAAGGCGGCGGAGAGGCTCGAAAACAGGGAGTCAGGGGACTCCTTACCGCCTTGCGTAGCTGGGGGGAACTCACTGGTGTTGGTGAGTCTCCAAAGAGACGCCACCCTGCCAGTAATTAAACACGCTGTTGCGGGACAGTCGATGTGCATATTAGTGGACAGCGGAGCGAACCAGAGTCTGGTGTTGCAGTGGGTGGCAGAGAGTATGAGGTTGAAACGCCTCTGCGGACGTACAGTTAAAGTGTCAGGGGTGGGAGGAACCTCACAGATGTTAGACACTGCCGTTTATGAAATTCCATTGGCGGCAGGAGAGTTCCTATTGGAGGTAGAGGCTACGGCAATCCCGCGCATCTGTCATGAAGTCGATCGCCAATTCCTCAGGAGGGCGGAGGAAGGCGAGGAAGGGACTATAGAATCGGAAAGGGTCGAGATCGAACTATTGATTGGTATGGACCATTGGGTAAAGGTCATGAAAGGAGCGAAGCTCTCAGGACTGTCGAATGGGCAGGTCCTGCTGGAAACCCCACTCGGATCGTGTGTGTGTGGGAGACCGACCGTCGCCGAGCCGATGTCAGTAAATGTCGGAGTCTTGTCGGACGATGAGAAAGTGGCCCAAATGTGGAACTTAGACTATCTGGGAATCCAGATGCCCGCCAGTGCGAAAGGGGCATCAGAGAGCGAGCAAGTTGTGCGGGAATACCTAAAGAAGGTAGAGGTGGAGGACGGAGAAGTTCACGTAGCCATCCCATTCAATGGGAAGGAGAAGAGGTTGAGCTCGAACTACCCGGTGGCGCACCGACGGCTCGTGTCGCAATTTCACTCCCTGAGAAAAGAGCCGAACGCGCTGGAGGAGTATGACAAAACCATACAGACACAGTTGGCCAGTGGAATTATTGAGGCATGCGATGAGCTAGATGGCGAGGGCGCGGCTCGTGGGCCATGCTACTACATCCCACACTCTCGAGTGTTGAAACCAGATTCGAACACTACCAAGGTGAGGGTGGTGTTGGATTGCTCGTCACACATGCGGGGGGAACTGTCGTTGAACGATTGCGTCCATAATGGACCCTCGGTGTTGCGGAGTCTGATGGGCATACTACTGAGGGCGCGGGTGCCCAAGATCCTCATTGCCGCCGATATTGAGAAAGCGTTTCATCAAATCAGGATCAAAGAGGCGGACAGGGACGCGGTTCGGTTTCTGTGGTGGAAGGATTTGAAGGAAGGGCCGGTCCCTGGAAACGTGCAGACGTTTCGGTTCACGCGGTTACCATTCGGATTAGGGCCCTCGCCCTTCCTCCTGTCTGTGTCGATCCTCATGCACTTGAGACTCAATCCACATAAGTTGAATAAAGAGGTGGAGGAGAACATTTATGTGGACAATGTTCAACTTGGGGCCGAGTCTGACGAAGAAGCGGTCCAGAAGTGCCGGGAGGTCAAACAGATCTTCGCTGGGATGCGAATGAACTTGAGGGAGTTCGTGACCAACAGTGCAGCGGTGAGCCAACAGATACCAGAGGAAGATCGTCAGCCGAAGGCTGTCGTCAGCCTGCTTGGCATGGTGTGGGATACGGAGAAGGACAACCTGAGCATCAAGTTTCCCGAAAGGCCGAAAGGGGCAAGGGCGCGGCCCACTAAGAGGAACATCCTCGCCCATCAGGCGTCGGTTTTTGACCCCTTAGGGATGGTAGCCCCACTCGCTACGAAGCTCAAACAGTTCTTTCAGTATGTGTGGGGGCAAGACGTAGAGTGGGACCAAGAGCTGTCGGACAGCGTGAGAAAGATGTGGGAAACGGTCGAGAGCAGTCTGGAGCCGAGGCGGTATGAGATACCGAGGAGGTTGACTCATGGCGCGGTGGTGGCATGGGATCTCGTAATTTTCTCAGATGCCAGTAAATACCATTATGCCATGGCGGCCTATGTGCGGGGAAAGCTCGAGGATGACACCTTCACCACACAACTGGTGATGGCCAAATCCCGTGTCAACCCGAAGGAGCACTTGAGTATCCCGAGACTCGAACTGTTGGGAGTATTGATCGCATCGAATTCGGCACTTTTCTTGGTCGACGAGATGCAAATAGCGTTCAAGTCGGTGGTGCTGTTCTGCGACAGCAAAATAGCGTTGTACTGGATCAAAGGGTCGAACCGCTTGAAGACGTTTGTGTCGAACCAGGTGAAGCGCATTCGGTCAAATTTGGAGGTCTGCCAGCGGAAGGCGGCGACAGAGCTTTACTATGTGCGGTCTCAGGAGAACCCCGCGGATCTAGCGTCCAGAGGAGCCTCCCTGGGGGAGATCGCCGACTCCCGGTTATGGAGAGAGGGTCCGGCGTTCCTGCGGAACGAGAGAGCCACGTGGCCGGACACAGGGCTGGACTTCAGCTCGATCAGCAAGGCTGAGGAGCCAGAGGTTCTTGCGGAGTGCGTGGGAGAAAAGACCAGTCCCAAGCGAAAGAAGTCCGACCCGGGAGCAGAAGTAGCGGCGCTGGTGGTTGCCACAGTGGAAACTGAGAGGGATGTTAACGGGTTCTGCGAGTTCGTGCCATACCACAGGGCACGATCCTTGTCTAAGCTCGTAGGCATCATGGCAGCAGTCACCTATTTCCTCTCAAAAGTGTCGGGCGGTAGAGTGAAGTGGAAGGGACCACTCATTCCTCAAGTGTCCGGGGCTCGGAGGTGGTCAGCACTCAGATATGAACGGATTGAGAAGTGGCTAATAGTGCGGCACTATGAAGAGATGGGAATGACCGACGAGCTGCGCGTCGATTATAACCTCAATCCTCATGTGGACGAGGACGGGGTGATCAGGTGTGTTGGGCGTATGAAAAACGCCTACCTGAAGCTGTCAGCAAGGGAACCCATCTTGGTGGTGGGGGGTCATCCCTTAGCTGCACTGATCTTAGCGGAGGCTCACGAACGGTGCGGCCACGGAGGCCGCGAACATACTATCGCGAAAATGCGCGAGTCATATTGGATTACAGGGGCGAGACGGATTGCACAGAAAATGCTGCGAGCATGTGTGGTGTGTAAACGAGGAAACGGTCGTCCGTTTCGGTACCCCGAAGTGCCGCCCTTGCCCAGGTGTCGTCTGACGCGGACCAGACCGTTTGAGCGCATCGGGTTGGACTACTTCGGACCGGTTTACATAAAACGAACGTCCGACCGAGAGGAGGTTAAAGTGTGGGTCATGCTCTTGACATGCTTGACAACACGATGCTGCCACCTCGAAATGGTGAAGGACAACTCCGCGGGAGAATTTGTACTAGCCTTTCGACGGTTTGCGGCTCGTCGGGGAGTACCTGACAGTGTGGTTTGTGATAACGCTCCCAGTTTTCGGTTGGGACTCGACGTTATGAACAAAGCGCTGGGTGAAATCCTGGAGGAGGATGATGTGGCGCGATATTTCGCCACGGAACGGGTGAAGCTACATTTCATCACCCCTTACGCGCCGTGGAAAGGAGGAATCTACGAGCGGCTGGTGGGAGTCACCAAGAGGATGTTGCATAAGGTGGTGGGTAGAAGAGCGTTCTGGACCGATACCTTTCCGACCATACTGGTGGAAGTGGAGGCAATGCTGAATAGCAGGCCCATCATGGTACCTCCTCAAGGCCTGGATGATGTGAAGGTCTTGTGCCCGGTAGACTTCCTTCTGCCGGAAGCAAACCTGAGTCTACCTCAGGTAGGAGAGCTTGAGGATGAGTATGACTTGTCTGTCCAAGCAACGGAACAACGCCTGAGGCAGTACGTTGCGGAGTATGAGAAGGTGCTGGACTCCCTGTGGGAGGTGTGGTATCAGCACTACATCGCGGCGTTGCGGGAAAGGAAACACTACCGTTCCGGAGCGGGGAAACCTAGGGTTCCGCTTGTAGGGGAAGTAGTGTTAGTGGTAGATAAGATGCAGCCTCGGCATGTCTGGAAACTGGCTCGGGTGGTAGAACTCAAAAGAGATCCAGATGGAGAGGTCCGGACTGCAGTATTGCGTTACAAAGGGCGCGAGGCGCTGAGACCAGTGAATTTACTGGTTCCGCTCGAGGTAGATCACGAGGACTTGGGCGGTCCGGAGAAGGCTGAAGAGTCCGATCAGGGCCAAGGCGGAAGCGTTCCAGCAGACGGGCAGACTTTACGGCGTCCTACGAGCGATGTACCCGCCCACCCCCATAGGTACAATCTGCGCAGAAGGAAACCGCCCGAGGCGGTTCGTGGGGGGCCGGGAGCTCATCTCCTACAGAGATGACTCTCGCGGGGGGGGAATGTCAAATTCCGCGGGAATTCGACGAAAAAGGAGGAAAAAATGAGGGAAATCGATAAATATCTCTCGCGGAGAGAGAGTGTGTGAACGGAGAAAGCGCGCGCCAAAGGGTAGAGATAACGCGCGCTGAGGGAAAGACAACGGGCGCAAAGGAGGCGCAGGGGGAGAAGTTAAAGGCCGGCACAGTAATGCCGCTTGGATTTCTCGCGGCGCGGAGCGACAGTAACCTAGCGGCGGCGTTAGGAGGTTTTAAAAAAACGTTGTTTTTCTTTTTTCCTTCTAACTGGAGTAAAAGCCTATTATTCTGATTGCGGATTATGGAGCGATCTCGCGGAGGAAGGAGATGCGCGATCCAAGGGGAAGAGAACCTCCCAGGTATGTAGTTGACTTGGTAGAGTTCCCCAAATTGGCGGCGCGGCCGCGTGGGAGATATTGGGGGGTTTTCTTTTCCCATTAAGACGGCGCGGCCGTAGGAAGGGAGAAGTTCGGGAGCATTGCCCTTGCGAAGGGCCGGAGTTAAGTGATGACAGAAGGCTCTAGCCGTCCATTTGGGCGGCGATGAAGAGCTTCTGACTGATAACTTCGTTTCTTGCCACACAAAATATTGTTCCTTCGGGGACGTTGAATTCTGGGCGGGGCCCAGAATTTTCAAAATGATGGTGAATGGAAGCGGTGCGATGTAGGCGGCGGAGAAGAGCAAATCCTGCTCGAGTTTTGTATATGGGATGATTCCACCGACGACGGTTTCGTTGACGCTTTCTGCAACGACAATATTGGAATGTCGGGGGGAGGGGCGTTGAATACCATTGACGAATCGCTTCTGCTCTTCCTGCATACTGAGAACGGTGAAGTTGTAGACGTGCACGTTGGCCTGGACGAGCGTGAGCAGACCGGTGACAATGCCGCATATCCACCAACGGAATCGTCCGATGGCGACCTTCTCGACGGGATCGTCGAATTGTGCGAGGTCTTCCAGCGAAATTGATTTCGATGATTTCAGCATTGTTCTGCAAACGATCGAACTTGGCTGGTGGTGTTTTTTATTTTTGTGCGGTTAGCGTCGCGTTTTCGCCTTGTTTTGTAAATTTTTGTCGAATACGCGAGAAATGAATGAGCGACGCGCCGATTATAAAGGGTGATTGGGCGGGGCTTGTGTGGTGGCGGGTGGGCGGGTGAAGGGAGGGCATTGCGCAAGAATGATAACGAATCACGTGAATGATCTCAAGCACACAAAGAAGGGAGGCGGTGACAGGAGAAAAGCGAACCATTTCAAAATATTTATTCCAAAAATTGAGGGGCGTGGCCTAATGATATTTTGTCGATGGTCACATGTGAGATTCGACGAACAATTATTGTGTTGCTGATCGAATGAATCGAAGATGATAGTGGGAAGTGTTCGGTGGAGCGATGGGAGGTTGAGGGGGTCCTTCTTTCAACCTTCATCGATTGTTTCAGCCGGTGGGAATATGTTGCAGACCAGCCCGACTGGTAACCGGTATCCGAGTGTTCGAGATCTGTACCATCATGATCAGGAATCATTGAGAGATGAGAAATATCACGTAGACCATTTTAAACGCATTGCAACCAGAGAAATGCGATAGTGTTGAAATGAACAATTTTTTAAAGGTCCAATCTTTATTTTCAAATTTTCACTGCATTGCCAAAAATGTTGTCAATTGATCTACAATTTCATTGGGTCTCGTGTCGATTTACGAGTATAGTTGGGGATATTTACGAAGCGATTTTTTTTCTACCGATCATCTGTTTATTTCCATGTTGCGGGGGATCACATTTATAACTATTGTTACAATAATACAGAGACTAAAATTATCAACACATCCCAACAAATGCTACCGTAGACCAAACAACCAAATTGTCGTTGTTGTTTTTTTTTCCAAGTCAAACAAAAAAATGAAGAAGTAGCAAAACAAACATTTTCAAGGGGCCCCACCTTATTTGGGCGTTCACTGTCTTCCGCTTGAAAAAAAAATTGCTTCCAATAATTATGGTGTCAAGTCACATGACGCACTTTGCACCCAAATTTCGGGATGATCTTGATATGATATGAGAACTGCGTCGTTATCGCACCACGGCAAATCTCATTCGAAGTTTCTCGATCATAGCCGCCCCCGAATCACGATGACGATTATGATTTATTAGGCGCACTAATAAATTTGTGTACTCATCACAGTGTCACATTTATTTTCACGTGAAATAACGCGCGCCTGACGATATCTTTTTGATCGTGGGAATCTCATTCTTCTTCTACTTCTTCTTGTGATCAAGCTTTTTCTTGAACTGGTTTCTTTTGACTTCCGCCGAAATATTTGGATGATCAATGAAAGACAAACGACTCGGTAGATTTGAGGCATTATTTGACTTTTGAGAATGTGCCTTTAACACTTGAAAAATGAATTTTCCGTCTCCAATTTTGTTGTGAGACCATTATTAAAGGCGCATGCTCTGCAATCAATTCAAACAATTTTAAGAACAATTTTCCATAAAATTTCAAATAAAAAAGTTTGAAACACTATTAAACTGAACAATTCGCCAATTTTTAAAACTACACATAACCATTTATGGACTTGTTTTATGGAATTGACCGAATTCATAGTTCAGTTCAGAATCAATCGTAAATAGTTCCAAAAAATGTTGGCCTCAAAACGATTGATTTAATCGATTTGCATCATCATATGTAGGCTATAATGCGAACATTGATGTGATAGGATTCAGAAGATATTGCATTCCCAAAAAAACGAGCGGCTTGCGCCAATTTACGGTTGCTTCGCAGGTTATCAAGAGTGCTGTACTTAAATTCTCACAGATTAAATTCAAATTTGAATTATTTGACCTCGAAAAAATGCGATGGTCCCCAATTTGTCAAGGCGCTCCTAGTTTTTGCGATGTTGTAATAGTTCTTGAACGAATGACGACAACAATTTTTGTTCCTCTAATTTGAAATTTTGTGCAGGACGCAAACACTGTGACGTAGATTCACACCAAATCAATAATGCGTCGTTTCGAGCAAAAATTTATATTTATTCAGATTTTTTCGGCATTGTTTCTTCCAAAAATTGCCACGGTTTTGCCGAAAACAAAAATCCCAAATTTCGGCCCGAATTTTGCCGAGCGGCATCTTTTTTTGCGAAACGTTTTTCCTTTTTTCCGTTCCAATTTAAAAAACTAATTTTGCAATAATCGAAAAGTGCATCGAATTTGGCCAACTAGCAATTTGTAGGTACTATTATTCATAATAAAAACAATCTAATATTTTCAGGCGAACTTTGATTTATCATTTCATTCTTCGATACTCAACTTTACGCTGAAAGAATTCAATAGAAAACTTGGTGATTGATTAAAAAAAAATATGGGTTTCAGCACGATTTGATTGTCATAAATTACACAATAGAGCGAATGTTCCAAATCTTGAACACAACTGATCATTGATCACGATTTTCGGATCCAGTTTTGCCGTAAAAATGACGTAATTTTTAATTTAACAAAAAGACACACATACACGTGGAATTCATCAGCTTCATCGTAATATTATTAAGTTCGGTATTATTTTTTTTCAATATTGCACGGAATTTCGGTTCAGAACATTCCTGTGAACTTTGATTGCGTAGAAGATGGCCGAAAAATTTGCTAACGGAAACAATAACTAGCTGATAAGGACTTCTTTGTTCGCTTCGCTGCAATTGACCGACAGCGTTTTCGAAAAACTACTGCCATATATGGGACGAAAATACAAATTTTATTCAAACAAATTAGGCAAAAAGATTCTTATAAGTGTCTCTGAGGACGTTCTTTTGCACTTTTGTGATATGATTGCGTGGAAGGGATTCAAGTAGGATGACGCGCTTCGGAACCTGAATGCTCAATTATCTAGTAATTATTGAGGTATACATCTAATTACCTTATAATTAGCCACCTTCTTCTTCATAATTTCGATAAGCTTCTTCTCGAATTCTTTCGGATCAGCGTTGGGATCTTCAGGCACCACGATGGCTACAACGGCCTCTCCAAAGTCGGGATGAGGCGAAGCGATAACCGCCGATTCTTTGACGAACGGAAGGGTATCAATGAAGTCTTCAAGCTCCTTCGGGTACACATTCAATCCTCCAGTGATGATCATGTCTTTTGATCGACCGCCGATCGTCAAATAGCCATCCTTATCCAAATGGCCAACGTCGCCCGTTTTGAACCAGCCATCCTCGGTGAATTCCTCAGCAGTCTTCTTCGGATTCTTCCAATATCCGGCAAATATCGCGTTCGTCTTCACTTCGATTCCGCCATTCTTCGCGATTCGAACGCCGACACCTTCCACAGCAGGCCCGACAGTGCCCGCTTTTCGGACGCCATGCAGCGGATTCGTCGTCATCACTCCAGCTTCCGTCATTCCATACCGCTCAAGAATGATCTGACCGGTTCGTTGTCGGAACTCCTCGATCGTCGACACGGACAGCGGTGCGCTTCCCGAGATGAACACCCGAATGTTGCCGAACGCTTCTTTGGTGAAGTTTTTACTCGAGAGCAATCGGCTAAATTTCAAGGTTTATTGATTCCGAAGGCGATTTCGGAGTCTTACGAGAAGAATGTCGGAACGCCCATCATCACAGTAGCCTCCTTCATGTTTGCAATGCAGTCTTCCACCTGGATAGATATTCTGTGTGATAGCTAGAAAATCAAAACACGACAAAACCTCAAACTTTCGCCTCCAAATAATGGAAGAATGCGAGAAAAGCGAGCAATGAAGCGAATAGTAGAGTCCGTGAACATGATAAAACGGAAGTGCGTGGAGATTTCTGGAAAAAAAAGAAATCCAGATATTTTACGATTTCGCTCGTTCAATTTTTGAAGCTTTTCAAATTCTATCCTATTTGCACAATGAAAAAGTCAAACTGGCTTCTAAAATTTTCCCCCGATGACTTTTGAAAATGAATTTTCGCTTCGTGGGTTAAACCACTGCTTTCCTCATTTGCGTCTCTAATTGAACAAAAAAATATCAAAACGGCCTACACATCATTTTCAGTGAATCCCCAATCTCTGACGATGTCTCTCGCATTCGCCGTCAGACTTCCATGCGTCAGTATCGCGCCTTTCGGAAGGCCGGTTGTGCCGGAAGTGTAGCAAACCGATGCCGAATCGGATTTCTCGACATGCTCGATGTCAGTGCAAGCCTAAACATTGGCAAAAAGAATCATTGGTTTCAGAAAATGAATGTTCAAACATTCAATTGTCCGGCTTCACTCGCCAATTTGTTCTCGTTCAAAACCGCAATTCGATCGCTGAAAATTGAAATCCAAAAAAATATATATGTATTGATTGAAACCCCCCTACCGAAAAACTGTATCCAATTCTTCATTGCAGGTGACTAAAAGCGACGGCGTCGCATCTTTGATATAATGCGCGGCTTCCGATTCCGTATAAGCCGGATTCACCGGAATGTACATTGCTCCGATTTGAAGGCACGCGATGTACAACGCGGCGGTGTCCGTCGTCTTTGAGACCCTCGCCATAACTCGATCGCCTTTCTCAAAAATATAAACATTTTCAGAATGATATTAATGCGCAAAAACCTTGATATTGTATTTCTCAGTCAAAGCTGTCGCGTATTGTCCGGCGCGCTTCACAAAGTCCCCATAGGTCTGCTTCCGATCACCCTCGATGAAGAGGATCTGAACAAAAAAGCGGAAGATCAAAATTTATTCGTCAAACCAAATAAAAATGCCTTGGAAGGATCGGCGGTAATATTCGCTTGATTCAGAATATTGTTAGCGGCGCTTGAAGCGTGTCGGCTCGGAATTCGAAGCGATAGTCTGCTTAGCATGATCGCGGGTTCAATTGGAAACTGCCGCTGAGAACAACACTCATCACTCGTTTCATTCTTATCTCGGCCGAGATGCGAGAGGCGCAGAGATAAACAAAAAGAACTTTGGTGTGACTTGTTTGTTTGGCGAGAAAATCAAAAAATTGCGTTTAAGAAATATGTTTATAAATTAGTTTTACAAATAAAATGTTCCTTTTTTTGAGCAACACGGGATAACAACTAAAGCGGGGTTCCTAGATGATTGCAATACAAAATCTATTATACAGAAAACTCGGTTGATCACAATATGGTGGGATCGGCTTATCATTGATATAAATTGTATCACGGTTTTTTGAAAAAAAAAATACACACAAGTATATAAAGAAGAACCGTTAAACATTCAAGAATATTATAGAATAAATAATTTAAGAAGAAATAATAATAATAGTAAGAATAATAATTGATCGAAGCTGAGGCAGTGACTGACAGTTTGCGTTGATGATGCTGTTTTATGAGACCTTTATACTGGATATTTGGATTCAGGCGCTAGGCGATCCAGAATCTAAATAATCGCATAGCTTTGAGATTTTAAGATAATTCTGGAGTTCGAGCAAAATTTGCTTACTTGACGAATGCCCGGAAGATACGTGATGGTGCTGATTCCTGGGATACTTCTCAATAGGTTCACAATTCCCGGTAAGAATCCTCTGAATGATTTGTAAATCGTTTAAAATGAGCTGCGCTTATTTCGAATTTACCCGAATAGTAGAATGAATCCCCAGATTTCGGCGATAATTCCAAATAATGGATAGCCAAAAAGAACTACGAGAATACCTGAAATCAAATTATTATTCTCGATCGAAAAAAATGAGAATCGAACCTCCAAAAAATAAAATGCTTCCTTTCAGCTTTCTGAACTCGAAAAAGAACACCAATGTCCGCTGAACACCGATAACAAAAGTGATTCCTACTATGAAGAGAAGCTGAAATTTAAAAAAAAACAATGATAAAATCATATTGAAGAAATAAAAAGTTTACATTTCCGATTGCGAGAAGGGCCGAATCCAAGAATAATAATATTCCGAGGAATATAAAAAATACTCCAAACGCTGTAAGACCAACGCCAATTTCTGAAAAGTAGGAATTAAAACAAATAATTGGCGATTACACGTTGACTCACGTTTTGTAGTGCTCACTTCAAAATTCATCATTTTTACCCAATTTTCAGCCTTTTAGCCTGAAACTATTTTCTAAAATCATCGCAATTATTTATAATTGACATATTATTATAAGTTTCAGCAATGTGGTGTTGAAATAAAGTGCAAAAACATAAAAAATAAACTTTGAAAAAATAAAATAAAATGGTTCTGACGTGTTACGACAAATTGCGGACTAAATTTGCGCACCGTAACCACAACGATTATTGTTTTTCTATTTTATTTTTTTTCACTTTTTATGTGTTTTAAAGCATTTCACAAAAATTTCCGTTTTTTTATTACGTGTAAACCATATTTTAAACAAAATGCTTTAATTTACGCACATTAGCGCTATCAATTATTCCAAAGTTAAAAATGTTTTCGGGATAATTATTTTCAATTTTTTTTTTCAAAATATTTAATTTAATAAATTTTTCCAGATGTGAGACACCAGCAATCACCATTTTTATGCTATTATTTTTCTAACAACGTCATCCAAATCAAGCTATGTGTAAAACAATGGCGTGACTGATGTCAACTTATTTGGGAGATGATGAAGAATCACATTTTTTTAGAAGGACCAAGACGATAATTGGGATCTGGCGGTTTGTATGTGCGTTTTTTTTTTTTGTTTTTTGAAAAACTATATAACAAATAAATTGAATCATAGGATGTATTTTTGTAGGGTAACAGTTGATTCGAAAATGCATCTGCTATTTTCACTAATTATATGCTTTATGAGCATCAACTCAGCGAGGCCATTCTACATGCCAGTGGGTTTTATAGATTTTAAGCGTGTCAACCAGACTTCTTGTAGAGACGATCGCTGGATTCTGACTTTGTGCGTTTCCCATTCTTCGAGTTAACAGAACCCAACAACGATTATACCAAATATGGTAAATATTTATGGAATTTTATAAACCAAAAATTGATTTTTTAGAAACCAATTATGTTGATGCGAATGAAGACGACACAGAGAAGTTCACAATTTTTCAAATAAAGAAAAGAGTGACGGCGAATGAAATAAATGATCTTTTACGGCAAGCCTGGATCGGATAATCAATTAATTCGATTTGAAAATAAATAAAATTTTTAATGTGTTTTCAATGTTTCCGTTATATATTTATAATTGTTATAATTAACACTAACTATTTTTGCCTTTTTTTTATTTTCCTGGGCTTAATCGAGTTTTCAAGCTCATATGAACACCAACAGAACCCCATGGCGCGTAATTGAATTCAAAAGGGAGAATTACTCGAGCTATACAAATTCTGCAACAGTACCCGTTCATAAGCATCCATTGGAGGAGAAAAAACGATATGTTGCTTCATGGGCTCAACCGAAACCGCAAATTGAGAAGAATGCCGATAAAGAAGATTGCGAGTTTCAAGACCCGTTGGGTATCCTTTCACGAAAATCATGGAATTGTTGATATTTGTTTTTAAAGGCGCATTAAATGACGGCGATGATAATTCTTTGGATATTTTGGATGTTCCCATCACAAAGCCCTATTCTCATTCTCTAGACAACACTCTAGAAATGAATAATTCTCCTAGATCAGCTTTCGGTATTTTTTTTGGATTCAACCATGATCATCATAGAACGACTGTATTGAAGATTTCGAACTTCCCGATTTTATTCCTTGGCGTGAGAAGCGATTGAAAATTGTCTCGCTATCGAAACGAGATAATCGAATTTTGAGCCAATCGGACAAAATCAAGCAGCGATTGAAAATCTTCCAAGAGACCGATTTTGGCAATCCGAAGCGTCGAGAGATTATTGATTATCCGACGACGATTGCGAAGCTTCGTGAGAGTTTGCTGAATGCTTGGGAGAATAACCAAAGGGTTGAATCGTTCAAGGCAAGAATCATTTTTTAGAAAATTATAGTTTTTCAATTTTCAGATAATTACCAATGTTGGAGTTGTTCTCGAGAAAATGGCAGCGATTGATACCGATGAATTTCCATATCATTGGTTGCTCGCCGTCGATGTTCTTGATACTTTTGGGAAGCTCGTTTTCGATCGATTAGTCAATAAGGCCAATGAGGTATGCATTTATATTCTTTCGGATATTTCCTATATGATCTCTTTAGGAGCGCAAAAGAATTGGACAAAATGAGCTCGGAAGCCTTATTCGATCCGACATGATCCCGCCGACCGCCAAGGAAATGGCGAAGCACTGGTTTTTGAAGGTTTCCGAGATTGAAGACATTATTGTGAGATTCTATGGTAAATTTTTATTGTCCCCCACCCTCCCAGTGAATATTAAACTATTGGGATTTAGTGGAAACTTCTCTCATCGCCTGTTTGAACTTTTTGGATAGTCCCGCGATTCCAGTGAATCTTGAGCGACTCGCCACAATTTGCACGAGTAATTAATAATTAATTAGGTGTAATTAATTAATTGGTTTAGCATTTCCGCAAAATCTTTCGGCATATTACGCGCGTGCCTATATTTGCCGAATCTCGATGTTCATTGATCCGACGGATCGGAGACCGCATTGGAGGTGCCTTCATGATTGGATGCAATCGCAGGACAAGGTGGATATTATGAATTATAGCAATGATAATCCGAATATTGCGCGAACGGTAATTCTAACTATATGGTTATAGTTTAGCAAATGCAATTGTAGAAGAAGCTAGCTCAACCGGCAGTTGACTGGATCGTTCAGTGTGTTTCCTATGGTGCCCACACCAAAGACGACTTGTCGCCAATTTGGGCGTATTGCTCCAAAACGCCAATTGATTTGAAGACGTATTTGCTCATCAATGGAATTGTCAATGGGCTTCCATCAAAGTTTTTGGCGATTTATCCAAAAGACATTTTGGAAATTGCGTTGCTATTGAAGGAGAGCACCGCATTGGCTCAATTTGGTAGACGAATGTGCGACATTTCGCCGGCGAGCGATGACAAAAAATTTCTGAAAAAGTCTGAATTTTTGCCTTCGTGACAAATTTGCACTTATATATATTTTTTTTTCTAGAATTGTTTGGAGAAAAATTGCGGAGAATGAGAATTTCGCGGATTTTGTCGAATGCTCGATTGAATGGACGAAATTTGTGGCGAAGAACTTCCCATCTGGCGATGTGCTCAAAATTCTCGAATTGCTATTGTCGCGATTCAAAGACGTCGGAGAGGAGATTCGTGTAATCGTTGATCGATCGCCGACGAACGCACTGAAATTTATAATTTTTTTTTTTTGGGTTCAGGAAGATTGCGGAATCGAGCCGCTTCTTGACGTCGTCGCCGCTTTGATCGACAATTTTCCAAACGCGAAAAATTGCCTACCAATTTTGGCGCATTCCAACTTTTTGAAGCTTGTCGACGTTATTGGGTAATTATATATTATTTTAAAAGTAATTTTGAGAAAATTGATGGGCAATTATAGGGATGAGTACGAAAATGCCGTCAAATGTGCGGATGTTGTTCTGAAGAGCATTGCGCAGAAATTCAAGCGAGGCACTATTGACGATTTCCAGATTGCTTCAATGGTCCCTAATTGAGTGCATTGGTTTTAAGAGAAATTTTGTGGTTTCAGATTCTGGAACAATCGACGATTATGTGCCAAAATGTGCTTTTCAAATTGTCTTCTAGTGAGGTTAGCGAAAAATCTGGAATTGTCTTGAAAAATGAGAAATTGTTTATGGGAATTCCATATTTTCAATTCAGACGATTTAAAATAATCATTAGAGTAATTAATAGGCTACGGTTTGCGAGGAACTCATCGCCAAGGCATTGTCAACCATCGATTTCAAATCTAGAAAAGACCGAATGCAGGGATTGGACATGATCACAAAAGCTCGAGGAGCATTGGGATTAAGCGAAATCATTCTCGAGGTTGCAGTTGTTCAAGAATTTCATCTTTAATTATTTTTTTAGGAAATAATCGCGATTTTACTGGATTTTACAATTGATTCAATTGTCAATTATCCGAAGAAATCCGAGTTTTTAAGGTAAATTTTCGGCTTCTATGGTCGCATTTCTCATAATAATAATAAAGATTTTGAGTGGTCCCAATCAGAAATTTATTTTGACTATTGAATTTTTGATTTTAAAATGTAAATTTCTTTATCAAAATTATCGAGGTAATTGGGTTTCGGTATTTTCGTTTGGATATTTGTGATTTTCCAAAATTATTATGGTATGTGCCTTTAAAATGTAGTCTTCGGCGTTCTCAAATAAAAATATATCATAAGACCATCAAAATTCAAATAGGACTATTTTGAAGGTGCATAATCAATGTTGAATATTTTTTTCACAGAGTCTGCGTCGTCAATTTGGCAGTAACCGTTCCGGCGGTTCACGACGCGACGCGAAGGTTTCGTTACTCGCTGAAAGTCCTTAATGTGTGCATGATGATCAATTATCTGCCAGAAGTAAGAATGCTCGCACAAAATGGGCGCCCCAAATAATTGTTGTCGATGTTGTTTTTTTTTTCGTTTTTTTTTAGATCGACACCGAATGCAAGCGTTGCGTTGAGTGCCTCAACGAGCTCGCGAAAACAACACGCGCTCAAAAATTGGCTCCAATGATCGCCGAATATTTGGCGGTATTGTGTCGGGTGCCGGACGCGCCGCAAAAAGGCAAACCGCTCTATCATTTCGGCAAACTCATGGCATTCATTGAAAAGTATGCTCAGCCCATTGGCTTCATTATGTGTGTGTGTTTTTTTTTGTTAGGAATGAGACCGAATGGGCAAAAGAGGCCAAAGGATATTGGCTCGCCGAGATACTAGTGAGATGTGTGCGCTATTTGTGCGCGGTTCGACAACTCGATGAAATGCCGGGAGCGATTCGAGGCAACGATGTGCTTTATATGGGCGATGAAGAGTTTCTGTGAGTTGGTTTCGTTTTAATCGGAAATTTGAGCGGCTTTATTTTGCAATTCCTTGCAGGCACCATATTGACTCAAAAATTGACTATGTGATATCGAAGCTTCTCCCATTGGCGAATGAGGCGTCCGTTGCGATTCTCATATTGGAGAATTTTCTAGTTCTTTTTGAAGTCACTGAAGAGGTAGGTTTTATTGAATCCAGTAATCGAGAATTTAAATAATTTCGGTAAATTTGAAAGAACGACTATGATTAATATTCAGATTCGATCCACGATTCGGGGATTATTGAAAAGAGCGGCAACAAATGAGAAGTATACGAATCGTTTGAATCATACTATTAATAATTTGCGAGAGATGGCGACGAGTAATGAAATTGTGATGAATATTCTTGAGAAATTATCGCTAGCTTAAAATTACGGGTTATTTTCATGTCAAATGTTCACATTTTTAAAATTTTTTCTTTCATTTTTTGCTTGATAAAATTCGACGAAAAGTTGACAACTTTAATACGTCATATTTGAATTTTACCGAATTCTTTTTTTTTTTGCTATGTTAATCCTTAGATGGATGATGAACTGGATTTTGACTTTGACATGATGGATCAGGATAGTCCCCCGAAGGCATTGGACCACGTTCCTGATGATTATGATAGTTTTGATGACGAATTTGAAGCCAGAAATGAGAATTTGACGAAAAAGAAGATTTTGAATAGGTAACGATGAAATTGGAAATTCAACTAAAGTGGGAGTTAAGGTATTCAGAGATTCAGAAAGAATCTGAAATGATCGATCAAGTGGCGAAGGAGGTTTCCAAATAATTCAATAATAGAAAAAAAAAGTTATTTTTTTTTGAAGATTCGGACCCTGATGCTCATTTGTCAAAAAATGGAGCAATGTTACAGTAAGAGAATATCGGAAAATTGCGTTGTTCGCAGTTTTGTGGAGGTTTTAATATTCTGAGCCATATTTTCTAGTGGTGCAATTTAGGCGAGATACATGTTCAATGAATCACTCCTTCTCATCATCACAATTTCCAATGAAAGCGAATATGACATAGATGGATGGAGTCTATGCGTGCAATGCGAATCGCTGAATGACACGATGCCGGTGAATTTAAGCCAAGCGATTCAACTGGAATTGATTCCTTCGAAAATTTTGAAATCGTTTGAGTTGAGCATTGCCTCAAAATCGATTCGAAACCTTCCCGTTTTGATACAGTTGAAGTTGTTCAAGTAGCAAAGTTTGAAAAAGAATATTGATGATCATCTAGTTTGCCAGAAGGTTCGAGTTCGACGGCGCTGAAAAGCTATTTCGAATCCCGCTAGATCCATTTGTCGCCAGTTTATGGAGCCTTGCTCAAATCCATAAAGATTGTAGCAGAATCACGGCAACAGTATTTTTTGGAACGAACTTCCCCCCAGAAAATATTGAATTTTAGAATTTCGATTTTGCTCTTCGCATTCCACACCCGTTGATTGATCTACTCTGCGGATGTCCGGACACGATTTCAACGACGAATGTTTTTCGCGCGTTTTTGCCGACATCGATAACTCAGAATTTGCAGAATGTCGAAGAGGTATTTGTTTTTTACATGCTATAATCGGCGTTCAGCGAATGACTGTTATACGCGGGTAGATTTACGGGGTGCGTCTTTCCAAATGGTCTCGTCACACGTTAGCTTATTTCATTGAATTCATTAACTGTTGATGATTATATTATTTCTTTGAATACTTTATATCATTGAAATTAAAAACCAACAAATTAACGGAATGATCCCTAAAATGCCAAATAACCAGTTTATCCGTGCAAGACCAGATCGAAGGCGTATGCACGTAAATATACCCACGTATAGGTGTCGTCGTCGTCGATTATACTTCTTCATCGAATGACTAATAAAATTGTAACATTCGAATTAATATGATAATTATTGAGCTGAATTTGTCATTTCCCACGGGACCATCGAAATGGGAATTCGCGAGAATGCGAGTGACGCGTGAATCGACATATTACACGGTGACTATTGCAACGGAGACATCGAAATTCGTTGCGCAATTGAGAAATCAACTCAAATTGTGGCTGATTGTCGAAATGTCGAAGTTCAAGTCGAGACCCGTCAATGCGATGGCGGTGTTGCCCGAACTGGGCGACGTCGATGAGATGTACGAATCACTCATTTCCTCATTTTCCGCATAAACTCTTCTTCTATGATATCTTTTTTTGCAAATATGTTATTCGAGCTTCATTTTGTTGATACATTCAACTTCATACTTAATTTCCGGTTAAGCGTTTACTAATATTTTTCCATAGGAACTACTGTGGTCGATGGCTCGTGGATTGGTGAAGTTTTTGGCGACTTGCGAGCAATATTCAACACTTCTTTTTTTTTGAAATCCAATTTTTTGGTAATAGAAATGTAGAATTTCCTAATTGGAATTTTTCTTTGCAGATTCGAAGAAATGGTCGGACATTATTTTCATTGTTTTCTTTTTTTAATCGTTGATAATTCAACTTTTATAATTGAAAATCAATCGGTTTCGAAAGGAATCAATTTTCAAGCGAATACGATTTTTAGTTTTAAAATGAGAATTTAATAAATTGACATCGAACAATGAAGGTTTTTTTTTTCAAATCGACTTCTCCAGCGAATTTGAATAATTGCTATTTCAACTCTTTTCGTAACTGATTGGTTTTTGTTCGCCCGATAATAATATTGCCTATTTCTCTTTATTCAACGCAACATGTTTTTGTTTTCTTCCTTTTTACTTAATTTCTAATAGAAGACTATTCAGAATGACGTCTGCTTTTGTCGTTGGAGCTACCGGCGCTGTCGGATCTCAATTAGTGAAGCTTTTGGCGGAATGCGAAAAATTCTCGAAGGTTTTCGTTCAATTTTCAAATTTGTTATTATAATATAAGAAAATATTCAGGTTGTCATATTTGCGAGAAGAGAAGTTGAGGGTGCGAATGGTGACAAATTTGTAAAAAAATTCAATTTTTCTCTAAAATCACTTCCTAAATTCGTTCTAGATTCAAGAAACTGTCGATTTTGAAAAAATCTCCGAAGAATCGGAAGCTGTCAAGGACATCGACGTCGCGTTCTGCGCTCTCGGAACCACTCGGGCCAAATCGGGAGCGGTAATAAAATCGAACCAATTAAATAGCCAATCATAATCAATCTAGGATGGATTCTACAAAGTCGATCATGATTATGTGCTGAATAGCGCGAAACTCGCCAAGGATAATGGTAATCACAAGAAAATGTTGTACCAGCAGCTGATTGCTTTAGGAGTCAAAAGCTTCGTGCTGATCTCGTCTGTCGGAGCCAATGAGAACTCGATGTTCCTTTATCCGAAGACCAAGGGACAAGTTGAGCGTGAGATCACCGAACTGGGTTTCGAGAAATTTGTGATCATCAGACCGGGAATGATCGAGGCGAAAAGAGAAGGTTCGACAATTCGTTTGTTGAAAACAATCTGTTCTGTATTTCAGAGCCACGATTCATTGAGGGAGTAATGAACTTCATTCTGAAGCCCGCGAAAATGGTGTGCAATAGCATTGGAAGTACCTCCACCCAAATAGCACAAGCCATGATAATGGCAGCGAGAACCGAAGAAACCGGAACATTGATCTGGAATAATGCAAAAATCATCGAGGAAGCGAAAAAGTTTGAAGCTAACTAATCTGATAATCCACATAATTGCTAAAAATGTATTTATTTATGTATATGAAAAAAAAAACAAGAATTAGTTTGTCACTGTTTGAAATGAAGAGAGCACCGGTAGACAATGAAGTTTGGCAGCTTGAAATGTGTATAAATGGCTAGAAGAGCACGATCAACGCTATTAAAGAGTAAAGGAACATTGGAAGAACCCTGAACGAATCGGTCATCGAGTAAACGTGGAGATCGATTGAGGATTGCGAGCCTAATCTAGTGGATTCCGGAGCGCTGATCGGACCAATACCGCCTGGATTATAGCCGGCGACATGCACGATGTACTTCATCATGAGCTTCAAGCCATCAAGACGAGCCGAAGGTGCTCGCCTATCGGACAATCGCTGAACCGGCATATCCAGTATAATTGGTTCGGTGGCGGTTTCGGAGATGTAGATGTAGATCTTATATCCACACCCGTAATCCGATCGATTCGGCTGCTGGAGTTCAATGGCCGTCCATTCGAGTAACGTGGTGAATCCTTCGGGTAGCTGTTGAAGCCGCAATTTGGTGATGATCGGCGCCGCTTCCGGTGGATGCTGCTTCGTGTGTATTCGGAATTGTTTGCTAGCCGGGCCAAAGTTTCCCTAAACCAGAATGCGTAGATCAAAATAGTCGATAATTTTTGACTTACATGATTATCCACCGCTTTCAAAGTGCAATCATACGCGGTTTCCGCCTCCAATCCGCCCAACGTCAAATGCGTCAAATCGCTATCAACAGTCGCAATCACTTCCTCACCGTCTTTGCTGATGCAGGTGATCTGAATAGATCATCTAGAAATTTGAGCTAAGGTAGAATTCCCCCACCTGCACCGCATGCTTCGTATCGCATTCCGAATTCTCTTCCCACACCCAAGAGATGTTCACATGGGTGGCATTGACGGGCCTCACGTTGTGCATCTCAACCTTCTTCAGTTGCCCGTGACTATTGATGAACGCAATCGTTTCCATGCTATCCGATCCGCTTCCTTGATCATTCACCGGTGTCACTTTGAGCACAACCATTCGGCATCCATCAGTCGAGTTCAACTTCAAAATCGCCTGCGGCTGATCGGAATCTGTATCCAAAATCAATTCGATGAATGATTCAAATATGCTCCCCTCTTCAATCATACCCAAATTATTCCGTTCGACATCGTCGACTAGCGTCCGATTCGGGCTCGATTCCTGCCATGACACTCGATACCTCAAATTGTCGCCAGAATGCTGTTGCAGCTCAATTGGCTGCCATTCGACGAGCAACGTCTGCGAGTCAAGTGGCCGCCATTTCAGCGCGTCGACCTTCTCGATTGGCGGACCCGGCGGTGTGCGAATCCATTCCGATGGAATCGACGGCTCACCAATTATCGAAGACTCGACAGACCGCACGCGAAATTGGTATTCGGTGTTCGGCGCAAGATTCTTCACCGTCACACTATCCTTTTCCATGTGCGACACCAGTTTATGATCGGCCGCTATCCACTTCCTATTTCGCTTTGTTCGCAGCTCAACAACATACTCATCAATCTTCGACTGAAATAGCATTCATAGAACCGTCTAGATTTCGAGCACCCTACCGAGTGATCCCTAGTATCTCTGTGCTGCGGTGGCAGCCTCCATCGCAATCTCAATGTCGTCCCTTTGTGCGTCTCCTCGATCGTCAGCGCAATCGGCGACGGAATATGCGGTCTTGGCACCACTTCCGAGAAGCCGCCGTACAGCGACGAGCACGCGAATCGTCCAATCGTCTTGCCGCCGCCATCATTCGGTATCCGAATGTCCATCAACTGTTTGACGTGTTTGCCGCGATGGTTCGCTTTGCGCATAGCGTGTTCATGGACTTTCGTGCGAATCGCCGGATACGCCGACATCGGCCGATCGTTAATTTTATATTCGACAAGCGATTCGGGACACTCGGAATTGTCGACGCACTCCATTTCGACCTCGCAGCTGATGTTCACCGCATCATCGCTCGAATATCTCGCGTTGTTCGCTTTGGTTCGAATCGATGGCTTCTCTGCGAAAATTTTCACCAAATTGAAATCAACGCTTTCCAATTAGGCGCCAACTTACCCATTATAATAAGCTGCACTTGAGCGTGCGCTTTTCCTATTCGATTGTGCGCCGTGCAAAAGAACAAACCCGAATCCTCCATGAGCACCTTCTCAATCGTCATTATTCCGTGCTCATCACGAAGTCGTCCCATAGTCGGCAGATGCGATCCCCCCTCGTCCGACCATCTTCCGTGAACTCTCGGCGACGCTTCGAAAATGCAAGGAATCCTCTGTAGGACACGATCATATTAGAATTGGCCAGATTCGGCGAAAACACTCACCACAGTGCTTTCAACAGTGGCAAACACCCTACGAGGCATCGCGTTCGGCGGAAACGTGGGCTTCGAATCTAGAAAAATTCGCGTCGAAATGCAACAAACTCGTCAAATTCCAACCTTTCACGTAGAGTAGCGCCGAGCTCGTCGAGCTGCCCACATCGTTCGCAACAATGCATTGATAAACGCCCGAGTCGGACTCGGTGGTCCCACTAATCGTTAATCTAAACAATTCACATTTGCTATTGATGCATAAACAGCCAAATATCGTCATACATATTATTTCTAATCGAGATCCTCTTCCGCTGCTCCGCCGGCATCAGAAGCGGCGCAATTGGTTTGGTGTCTTTGAACCACTCGACCGTCGAATCGCTGTCTGCACTTGACAGCAGACATTCGAAGCGCGCATTCGACTCGGTCGAGATCAAATGATCATGAAGGCCTTGGAGAATCGTCGGCGGCGCTAAAAATCGAGAAAGTGGTTGAATGACGAAGCCAACTGATGTCGTCGCCTACCGCGAAGGCGAACGGTAATCTCGCCGGCCACCGATCCATACGGATTTGTCGCCAAACACTTGTAGCGGCCCGAGTCGGAATAAGTGGCCTTGTCGATCTTTAAAACACGACCGTAATTCGAGATGTGAGCTCTTGAGGGCAACGGTTTTCCGTCGAGTCTAGACCATTTGTATTGTGGAATTGGACTGCAAAAATGAAACATCAACGATCATCATCAAAACTCCAAAATTCCTACTTTCCATAGGCGAAACATTCAAGATAGATCGAATCGCCAATTTTGGGTTCCTCCGGAAATATTTGCGGTTGCGACGAATCGAGTCTCGGCGTGAACGTCTCGTTGTAAAAATCGGTCGACGAAATCAATCTGAAGAATGGCCCATAGCTTCCGGCTTGCGTGGAGTAGACCGACAGCGAGCAAGCATAGCTGAAAAACAAAACGCGCACACCTCAATGGATCGATATATGGATCAGCTAGCTACCTGTTCTGATCCTCAGGCATCAGATGCGAGAAGAATAGTGTGCCATCAAGGGAGATGAATTTACGCTCATCCTGACCTACAATATTATCCGTAGATCCTCCCGACAGCCAAGCATAGGTCATCGATTCTGAAAAAAGCGATCAAATTGATTTCAGTTGTTAGTCCTCCGGCGATTACCTCAACCCCATTCTACCGAATATCACATTTTATTTTCGAACTGATCTGATTCATGTGATTACGATTACACATGTGAGCAAATTAAAGGTGCATGCGGCTAGTGTGAATGTGTGGGTGTATTTTTTTTTTGTTTCAATATCACATAGAAGCTATTTCGGTCTAGTTGGTTTTTTATTTGGTCAATCAAGCACAGAAAGAAAAAAAGCGAGATTTCATGCTTCCAAAAAAAAAACGAGTATGTGTGTGTCATGTGCGGAAAAAACCGTTTATTAATTTACAAGTGAAAATCAAAAAAAAAACCCCGACAAGAAAGGAAAGGAAAGCCCAAAAATATGAGAAATATAGAGAGGAAGAGGGAGACAGAGAGAAAAAAACAAAAAACATAAAAAAAAACTGATGAATAACGACAAACGGAAAATAAGGACAAAACAAAATATGAGGATAAAAAAATGTTCGATTGAAAAAAAGCCAACGTGTCGTGCGAGTGCGTGGTGCGTGGGTGTGTGCTGGTGATGTGTGCAATTGTGCGTGTGATTCGGTGCAAAGAAAACGGTTCGTGTGCGAGTGCGATTTAAAGGTGCATTTAATGAAAAAACAAAATAATGGAAAATCAAATGTGTAATAAGGGTGCTCGAAAAAAAAAACCAATTGCTGTTAGTAAAGTGTGCAGGTGGGATTCGCCGGGGTGATTTACGAGCATGCGCCTTTAAGCATCTAAATTTTCTCATCTTTGGAATCGAAGCAACATTTCAAGACGGGCATGCGTTTTTCTTTAAAATTTTTGCAATGTCTAAATTCATTTTTTCCACAAACTTCGTCGTGCGCCTTTAATCGGGATCTTAGCATGATTTGATTTGAATAGATCAAATTTCAGGATCCTTTTAGTAAAATTAATGCTTCAAGACCAATTCATATTTCAAGGCGCATGCGCCCGCAAATCTACCCGCGCCTTTTAAAAGTGCATGTGATGTCGGTGATGGTGGTGGCCATGACGGAATCAGCGAGAACAAAAAAAACGAATCTGTGAAATCGCAACACGACAAATCCCGGAAGTGTTTTCTCTTCATCATCATAAAAAAAAGAAAACGAAAACCGGAAAAAATCATGATATAAGGTTTTGCGAGTGTCACTTTCATTCAAAGCCAAAAAAAAAACACTCATTGAGATTGTTTCAATGATCCACGAGTAAAAATTTCTGGCAGATTCTTATCAATAAAAATAGGACCGGTTCCGTGTTGGTGAACATTATTAGTATAATCGAGTGCAAGTGGATCGGATCGAATCGGATCAAGAACACGCACAAATTCACAGTACAATTACACAATTCGGTGCGAGTGTCGCGAAACGGTCATTAGTAGTACTAATAGTAGTAATAGTAATACGGCCCACAAGAAGAAAGTGACAAGAAGCCGATGAGGGTGAGAGTTGGCAGTTGGGGTCGAAGGGATGTCATGATCGGTGAATTCGAAAGCGGGGGATTCATTCCAACATGCAATCCTTCATCATCATTATCGTTCATGATACCTATAAAACACCCGATTTTGGCGGAATGGTGGGTGGGTGAATGAGAAAGCGAGAGAGAAAAAAAACGATTGGAACGCAAGAAAATTGATATGCTTGATACTCGAGGAGGTGCTTTTCGGCTTCCAGGCCACAAGAAACGAGCCCCCCCCCCCTCACTCCGGCGCGAAATCGGACGCCAAAAAGCAAACAGTGTGCGTATGTGCGTATGTGTGTGGAAGAGCTGGATGAGGAGGAGAATGAGCACGAGATTGAGGAGCAGCTTAATGAATTTCTCAAGCAGGCCCCACTCACCCCCTTCCATTAAAGGGCCGCTCATTTCCGTGTCCCAAAAACGAATAAAACTAGTGCTACAGTAGACGCCAGATGGAACCACTCTTATCAATAAAAACGGCTGGAACCGGGCCGGTATTTCGGTTCAGGAACAAAAAAACGAAATCGTCATCATCCTTCATTTTTTGGGAGGAGGAGGAATAAACGGAATATTGGAATCCAACAGGAATCCATCCATTACACAAAACCAACTAGTATGGATATAAATATCGAGAGAAGCGTGAAAATGAATTAAACAAACAATAATATGTTCCAAGAATGTGACAAAGCGCAAAAGATCGCCATCAGTCTATTTGTTTAATTCTCGCCTCCTCTGGGAGGGCGTCTGCTGCTGATGGTTGTGCGGGATTTTATTGACACTTTAGCCGAACCAACATCAACCGTTTATTCCTTATATTGATAAAAAAAACAGAAACGAAGCCTCCCGTCGTTGCGAAAATCTCATGAAGTGTCGTGAGAGAAAGTAAGGAGGACACTAAAAAAAACGGATTCGGCAAGAAGCGATCAAGATCAAGATTATTATTCTTGAAGAGAACTAAAAAAACCGAAAGAGAAGCAGTGAACCCCGAGGACCGACTAACTATGCAAAAGTCAAGGTGAACACATCGCTAACCAGTCTTTTCTCAAATGGTGATTGATAACCTACTTTTTTTTCGATGGTGACAAATTAGCACCAAAAAACATCAACATTAATCTCTCTATTATTGGCTACAGTAACCATACCGACTAGCCGCACTTTTAGAAGTAGCCAGCCCAAGGCGGAGCTACCGTAACCTTGAATGTCTCGCAACGAATGCTCGCCATTTGCGAATGTCAACTCGGCGAGCATATTTACAACATCGGGCTCCGACTCGCCGCTCAACCATTCAACAATCATCATTATCCATGCAATGTCTCGATTTCACCTTTCACATTGATAAAGTGCATATTATATATATATATATTGAGAAGAGGGGCACAAAATCCAAAGGGCACGGCTGACGACAGCTATTACGACAAAAACGCTCGGTTTGAGTGGGTGAGATGAACAAGAGGAAGCTGGATGATGAGGATGAGGAAAAGGACGACGCCGTCGCCGCCTCGCTGATGATGCGATCTGTCGCTTATCGGATCCAGGAACACGAAGAACGCCGTCAAGAAAAAAAAACCATCATCCGTCTTCAAAACAGAAAAAAAAGGAAGCGAGTGAAGCTGTTCCGCGCGCGTGCGCGGGAAAGTGATATGATACAATCAAAGTGGCGGCGGCGGGCAAAAACTGAATTGGAGAAAAACAAAAATAAACCATCTCCAAATTCGGGGAGAAAAAAAAAGATGAAGACGATGCGGAGAAATGAAGGCGGCGAATTTGAATGAGGCCACTCATCACGCCTTGAGGCAATTCACCGCGACAAAAAAAACACACACACCCACAGAGCAGCAGCCTCGTAGCTCTTCTAAATGCATTTTACGATGGATGAGCATCTAATCCAAAAAAAAATTGCCGTGATTGACGAGCTACCGTAATCCAATGGGTCTCGCAAACGATTACTCAAAAATTCTTACAATATCAACGTCACTTTCTTTCGCATTTAGCGACTATTACGAATTCCATCTGCGGACAAAATTTGCAAAAGATTATTCATAGATTTTGATGAGTGAAATAATTTTCTTCGGTGCAATTCTGAATTCCTATCTGCGGACAAAATTCGGCTAACGTCTTCAACGCAAAGCCACTATTTTTAAAAATCGGGTTTTCGTCAAAAAAAGAAATGAAACCCGAAAATCGTCGGCAGCACTCGAAACGTTTCAACGAAATTGAAAACCGCCCCGGATGAGCCGCCTCATTCCGCAAAATTGCACTAGACGAAACCAAAAAAAAAAGATTGGAGCCGCAGGCGGAAACACGGCGTGATTGATAAATTACGAACAGGTGCTCCCATTGGCAGAAGCTTATTGATCTTGATTAAGTGCAACTCGCCTAATGGACCATTATGATCAGCGGAAGAGAAGCTTGAAAAGAGAATCTCGTCCGTTTCTAAAAAAAAACGAATCGCTAAGAGACACAGCAAAAAAAAACTTGCGCGCCTTTAATTACCGTATCCCAAAAACTACATAGACTCAAATTTTCTATTAAAAACCATTTATATTTCTTGAGATTTCTTGGGTCCGATTTTCAATAATTTCATTGATACTATGCAGTTTGCAAAAAAAATCAAGTTTTTCGAGTTTTCCTCTGAAAATCTGCATTGCGCCATACTCGAATTGGAAATTCTCATGAATATTTCAAATAAATACTATTCGAAATTTGAAAAAAGGGAAAAAATTCTTAAAAGGCTCTTAACACATAGAATGAGTTGGGGTGTTGTGACGGCAATCTCTAGTAGTCGAATTGTTCAAAAGAGACTATATGATGGATAAATGAAAAAAAAACGTATCTCGGGGGGGGGGCACGCGAATGTGACATTTTATTCAAATGAGGCACAAAATTTGAATATCAATTCCGGAGGGGAGGCACCGATTGCCGCCGTCGTCGGCCTCTGCATGCACAGCGTGTTGTAAATCATTTGCACACTCACACTCGCACACCAATTCGCATTTGGCGTATTCAATGTTTTTGACAGCTCGATTTCGGTCGATCCCCGCAAAACGTTGCGGCTGGTGCACATGACAAAACGGAGAACACTGTTCGGAGAAGCAGAAGCAAGTACGAGTATGATGATGAGAAGAAGGAGTGGGAGTTGGACGAGCATTTTGTGTAACGAACGAGGATTAGATGAGTTTTGAAATGCTCCCAGTTCCATATGCTTCTTTTTTCTTTCGTTTTTTTTTCATTTGTGGGGAAAAAGTAAAAAAAAACGATGAATTCAGGATAATATCGAAACTCATTTTTTAAAAGTTTTTTTTGCTAAGATAAAAAACATATCTTACGATACTGTGCAAATTCTGAAGAACTCAAAAAGAGCCGGCTTAAATTGCTTTTTTCTTCGAAATCTACTATACGGTTCTTTTTTTTCCAGTTTCTTCCAAAATATTCGAATAGTAGCAAAATGTTGGCGTGCGCCTTTAAAAATAAAAACCAAACTTATCGGAAGAAACTTGCCCATTTCGATTTCTCAAATCGTTTAAAAGAGGTCTCAGTTGTGGCGAGAAGTTTAATGCAAAGGGTTTTCCATTAGAAAAACGCTGCGGCCTTAAACAGTTTCGACAAAAAGCCGTGGAAGAAAGTGTAATAGTATTGAAAAAAAAACATACAGTGAACGAACTTAATCATAATCACGATGATTAGCTTAATAATTTAAAAAAGAAGAAAAAGAGAAGTGTAATTAACTAATTAATTTTCGATTTGATTCCACACTGTACGCTGTGTGGCCGCAAAATTGGCTATTTTTAGAAAAAAAATGCGTAATTATGACTAATCGTTGTCGGCGATCACTCATGGCAAGAAATTGTATAAAATTCCGCTACCAACATTTTTCGCGGGACAAAATATGTAATGCTCCAATACATAGTTATGGTATCTAAAAGGAAACCATTAAAAAAATGAATTTCGTGTTTCAAACAATTAAATTTAAAAAAATAGAAATTGTTGCACATTTGACTATTAATTCTCAAAAGCATTAAAGGAACATGGCAATATTATATTCCTAAGGTTTCAAAGCGAAAATGTTGAAGTTTTGGGTCCGACATGCGCGAATGGAAGAAGCTTCTCAATTCTCAAGGGAAAACAACCAAAATCTTCTAAAAAGAAAGTTTCTTTTTGAAAACGTTACGTCAGATTTTGCACATTATTGGCCTAATTTGGTAAAGGATGCTTCTTCTTTTTTTGCTTTTTTTTTGGCGGCGTCGACGTCTGCCTTCTCATATTGGCAAACGTCGAATGAAGCTAGTTTGTCACCAAAATTAAATGAAAAATGTGAAGGGAGAAGAAGAAGAAGAAGAAGAAGAAGAAGAAGATGGAGACTGGAGGGAGACAACTTTGTGTGTTGATTGACTTTGCACGACCAAAAACGTCGGGGGGAAGAGAGGCGTCCGGAAAACGGCATGCATTTTGGTTAACAACGAGTACAACATACATGCTCACACAAATCAGAAGTATCATCAGTTCGAAGTCCCATTTTTGTGGTCAAATTTGACAAAAAAAAATACTCACTTGGCTGATGAGCTGGAGCATCGCAGATGAGTTTCGCGCCGCCTGTGCTCAATGAGTAGACGTCAAGTCGATGGGCTCGGAAGTCGTCAAGGAATGACGGTTTCAGAAGGATTGATGGGCTTCTGAAAAATTGGGGTTTTTTGGTGAAAAGCAAAATTAATTTATTGGGGGGTTTGGGTTCAAAAATTTTTTTTCTCAATTTTTTAAACGTTGTCAAAATAAAATGGAAATTTGTGTTTCAAAAATCCAATTTTTGGAATAAATTTTCCAAAACTAACAAGCAAATTAGATTATTCAAATATTTTATAATTTTTTAGACCGAAAATCGTAAAAATTCAATTTTTTAAAGAAATTCTTCAAAAAAAGAATAAGCGATATTCTAATTTATCATTCATTCCAAAACTGATCAAATTTGTGGTTTTCAACATTCCAAGAATCTCATCAATTCCCCTCATTTTGCCGCATAAATCATGTTTCAACAAGTTCGAATTCGGCTTTGTCACTGACCAGATGTGTGCCACCTGTTGTCAGCGTCTATCACGCGTGTCACATTTTGACAGATGTTCGCATTTCGAACAAAAAATGATCACAAACCTGACTTCGCCATAAACGTTTTTTGCGGTGCAATGGAACGTCGAGTAAGCCAATGAGGAATTGGCAGGCACCAAAAGATTGCCACCCGACAGCAGATATGAGACATTCGAGGATGATGGACTCAGCTGGAAACATTTTGAAAATTCGTTTTCAGCGTTTTCAAAACTTTTTATTACCACTTTAATATCGTTTCTGTACCAGGTCACCGTTGGCTTCGGGTTCCCTTCTACTATACATGGAAGGGCGACATAATCAGCGTCCTGTCGGGGATGGAAGTAGATTTCTGATGGTGTGGAAGCTGCGATCCTCGGCGCTCCTGATGGAAGCAAAAGCTGCTGGAAGAGCAAGCTTCTTCGCGAAATTTTGTCCAATGAGCAAATGTATGGATAAGCGGACGATGGATTCACATTTATTCTGTAAACAATTTTTTTTCAAAAAATCCATATTTTTTAAATTTACATGTGATACGTTCCATCGTTTCTACGATTCAATGCTTGTCCGATTCCGTCGACGTAAAATATCGGCTCAGTGAGCCCTTTTTCGTACAAATTCTGAAATATGGAATTTTTGAGAATCATAAATCAATTTCACGCGAAATAAATTTGCTCGCTCGGATTAGTTGAAAGCGATTTTTAATCTATAGGATACAAATTTTGAGTAAAATATGAGTAAAAATGGCATTTTGAAGTCATTATTTAAAAAAAAAAAGCTCTTAAAAATTTTTTCGCTTCAAAAATTTTGAAAAATATCCAGCTATGCTCCTTTAATAGCGGTACGGTAATTTTTTTTATTTCGCCTGAAAAAAATTAAAATTTTTGTCCCGAATTTTAGAAATTTATTCAAAAAAAAAAAACGAAATTTTATCATCCTCCCTTTAACAAATATTTTTGATTTTTTTTTCAGCAACACTTTCCACTTTTTCATATATTTTGAGAGAAGAAATTCGACAATATCAAAATTCCCAAAACATGTTCAAACCTGAAGAATATCAATAACATCATCGAGAAGATTGTTGACAGTCACGTCTAAAAGTACGCCGCCTTCACGATGGCAATGCTTCTGGAAAAAAAAAACAAAGAGTGAAGCCATTTTCAGCAAAATTTTCCAACTTTTGCGTGTTTCGCCGTCTCCGGCGGAATGTTGATTCGAATGCACTGGTCGCTGGCAATTTGCCATCCAATCGGACACGCGGACTCATCTGAAAAATGCGAAACAAGTTTCGTTTATATGATTAGGCGGGGATTGGTGTCCAATCGAACCGAATTATTTGCGCTTCATTAATTGTCGAAGCTCGCCGAGTCGACTAGTGCTCATCTCATTAGGTAATACGCCATAATCATCGTCGTCATACTATGGTGGTGGGCGCAATTGCGTAATTCTTATTAGGAAATAATAGTGACAGATTGACAGCGGACACGGGACATTATTAGGCGTTGATAATAATAGCGGCGAGATGTCCGCAGCATGGAATTTATAAAATCTAATACGCCCAATACATTGCAGTTTTCGCTAATGCTATGACACTCGTATGATAAGGAATAAATTAAGTAAAATTTGATTAACTGAATACCTGATCTTCTGAAAAAAAAAACTTGAATATTTTCTTAGGAATTTCGAGTCATAGTTTGCGTCACGGTGTTTGCACACATTCCACTCGTCTTACAGTAATTTAATCATTTCGTCTTTGTAAAAAAATCCCCAATAATATTTATTAATTGTTTCCTTGGAAAAAAATAGAAATTTTATGAAAAAATTAAAACCTATATATCGAAGGTCTCGCCCCGATTGATTCGAATTTTCTAAAAAAGTGCCCCGGCTCAACAACATTGTGACCATTAATCATTTTTAAGAGCCAAAATGAAACCCGCAAAATGTCGGTTTCACAATATTCATATAAGGCAGAGCACACCCCAGTAGTTGTTGCCTCGAAAACGCCGGTCATCTGTGCATTCAATAAATTCTAAGCATGCGTCTTTAAAAAAACCACAGATCAAGCAAATTTGACAATGAGAAATGGGCTAGTCATTTTTTTTTGGCCAAGATCCCAGACCCCCCGTTGATTAATGGCAAATTCACAAGCTCGATATTAAATCGAATCGACGAACGACGAAGCGTGCCAAATGTTTAGCCGCCAATTTGTCGTATGTCACTCATCGGCTAATAACCGAAATCCCACCACCGCCATCACGTCTGATGACAACTTAAATCCGCGTAAATTCATCATCTATTTGCAATTGCCGCCCGCGCGCCATAAGGTTGAGCCGAGGTGGGAAAAGCTTCAACGCGAGACAGATTGGTCTTAGGCGATTTGACGGCCAACCAAAAAACAACAAATTGACCTGACGGGCGCTCGTCGAATTTTTTTTTTTTTTTTGACATGCGTTCGGACATTCGCTGAGCATCCCGCGATTGTGCGCTATTTCGCGCGATGAGCCCAAAAAACACACAACAACGACGACGCTTTCGAGGCAACAACTAGGAATTAATGCAAATTTTTGGGGGGTTTTTTTTGAGCATGACGAACACACAAACACCGATAATTTATTGCCCACTTCATGCGCTTCGTTTGTATTTTTGCGAGGTGTAATGCGGCTTTTGGAAAGCGAATGCCATTGCCAAAATTGGGTTATCCCCCAGACCCCTTTAAGAGGCGTCAATGATGACGGCGTTGAGAATTGAATTGTAACTACTTGACACCCCTACACCCCCCCCCTTTTTGAAGAATCATACCGATTATGGAGAAGGCGATCGGAAGAATCGAGACGATGATGACGAGTAATGCTTCGTTGATCATGTTAAGCGCATCGGACGTGTCTGAAATACATCGGGCATCTTTAAATGCTAGAAGATTAAACGATATCAATAGTGTGCCGCGGACAGAAAATTTCAGGTGTGATTTTGTGACAAATGGGTACTGTAGCGGCAATCGGTGTAAACACTGAGGCAAAATTTCGCACCATTTTTTTTCGATTTTTTTCCACGACGCGATTTTTGCGTTTTTCTTTTTGGTTAGACATTCAAACCACTGTTTCTACCAAATTTCTAGAAATAAATCTCGGGTCCTACACCGAAAATCCAAAATCGTCGACAAATTTGGGACCAAGTCAAATGCGAAAAAATATATACAAGCAAAAAAGAAGCTAAATTGAAATACTCGTTGTTGTTGCGAAAGCAGTTATTCTTCGGCAAAAGCTCGAAAAAAAATGTTTTTTTTTTTGGGCAAATATTCCCATATATAGCAGGTAGAAAGACAAATCCAAGTTGAAGGGTAATAATGAATAATTCACACATTTCGGCATGCTATACATATATTTTTTTTGAGGCGGTTTTGGGAGGAGGGCGTGAAGATGGCGAGGTGAATCCCGAGATTTATGGCTGGAAACAAAAAGCGAAATAACAAAATTGAAAAGAAGGCCAACAAAAAAAAACACACACACACAGAACCCGAAAAAATTGTGTGAGGGCAATGGTGGCCAATTAAGAAGGCGGTTTACAATGTTTGTTCAAGAGGCGCAACGCGGCCCAAAATGATTGCGAACTCATCTCGCCGTTTTTCTCGCCACCACGCTCCGCCCTCTCAATTGGCGCACATTTGTCTGCACCTCCTCGATTCGTTTCTTGCACCATCACACCCAATAATTCTGTTCTGGTTCGAGTGGCTTATTATTGTGCAATAAGAATGAAAAGGGGGGGTCTGTTTGATACAAGGGACTGTTCGCACTCAATGGCAGATTAGGCCGACTGTGAAGAGGATTTGTGTTTAGCAACTACAGAGATGCGTGTCTAGTCATTTCAGGGACACGTTGGGTCTCGTAGCGAATAGCGCTGAACTGATTTCCTAGATTGGGGCTTGCAACGATGAATCCAGGATTTTTGGGCGTTATCACTTCTCTATGAGAAATGGGTCTTGCAACCCCTGTTTAAAGGCTTCAATAAAATCTTTAAATAGTTTCCAATGAAATTTTAGTCAGTGGGTCTCGCAGCGATTACTTTACTATTCATTACAATCGAATTTTTTCAATAAAGGGAACAACAAAAAATGAATAAAATACACGTTGCTCTGTGTCGCGAAATTCGCTTAAAGGTGGTGGATTACTATTAGGCAAAAAAAATCGAAAATGACGATTGGACAATGCATACTGCAAATGAGCCAAAAGTGGGCGGGGCTTCGCGGCGTCTTATGTGCCCTAAAAGTGGGCGGAGTCTTTTTGGTTGAACTCGAAGAAAACAATGAAATAAAATTTCAAAAATGACTTAATTTCTCGCATGCAATTATCTGCGCTTAATAACCCAAGATAATTATCAATATTTTTAATTGAATGCCAGATGGGAGGGTCCTTTTTCTATACGCTTTTTTTTCGTCTGCCTTCAACTCACTGCTGCCCGTGTATGGAATTAATGATGGGTGGCAAAGCGCACCCATATTTTGTTTCATGTCTGGCCGTGGTGCCAAACACACCCAAAGCACCAGCCACCCAAACATTCGCCATTCACCATTCGCCATGTAATCCCTACCAGCCGTTAAAGGGTCATCGCAAGGACTTAAAGAAGCGATGAGCAGCAGCAGCAGCAGCAGAAAGCGATTGTATGTATATACATAATACGGAGGAATGTATGGGGGAGAAAAAAATTAGTAATAATCATAATATAATAATAATAATAGGAAAAGATTTGCGGGGTGAGAAGAATGGAGGGGGGGGTCCGATTTTTACACCCCTCATTTTCCGACTAGGTCCATATGCTCCGACTTCAAAACACTTGAACCGGCGAAGCGCCGCCGCCACGGCTATTCTCACACACACACAAACACAAAAAAAAATTCGCGACTACAAGGCCAGAATTGGCATGGTTTTATCCCGGCTTAAAAATTGTGGGTGTTCACATTTTTGCGGGGCCAATTTTGAATTCCACCAAAATCGTGTGCAATATTGCGTTCGGTGTACTTGCGTACATCGCATTATTGCCCATTTTTTGCCCCAAAATTTTTCTAATTTTTCAGCGAAATAACTTCGAATCGAGACGAAAAAAATTGAGGAAAAGAACAGAATACTCAACGCGAATGTTTCTTTTCATTTTATCGTGAGAAAAAATACACAACTCCGCGCGCATGCGCACAAGACGAGCATCTTTTCCGCAACCCATTATTCCATACCAATTAACAAAAGTCCAAACAAAAAAAAACTTGGTAGGGTCTTCTTCTTCTTTTTTTGGGTCTCAATTTTCATTGGATAATGATGGTTGGGCCTATAGGTCGCCACATGTGCTGACGATATCATGTTGCAACCTCCCCGCCGCATAAGGATAGGCTGTCCCTAATACCCACTTATGAGGCACCGGTACTTCATAGTAATGGATCACATATATCTATATATGTATTTGACTATGTTTTGTTTGCTTTTCGCCAGTTGATATTCTATTTATTCAAGGAGGTGGGTCTTGAAGAGAAGTCGGTAAAGAAAGTACAGTAGCTCTTTCCAAATCTGGCGCGATTCTCAACAAAAAAAAAACACCAAACTTTCGGATTTGTATTCAATTTCAAAACGTATCAAATTAAGAAGAAAAAAAGCTTTCAAACAAACAAAATTAGAAATTAGAGACTCACAAATCTTCGAAATTCAATGCCCTCGACCAAAAAAAGTGGCTATTAAGAAGTTTTTTTTCATTCTTCTTCTTTTATTCACTATTTAAAATATAAAAGAAGGGGGAAGGCCGCTCACCAGCTGGATTTGGGAATTAATTCCGAAATGATTGACGACTTTCTATTGAATTCAATGTCGAGGTACACCATTCGGCGTGTTTATGAGCATTCATTGCGAGCTGAGCTGGAGCAGCTCAACTGGTAAAACTAATCTACGACATCCAAGATGTCACTTTCGAAATGTCAATAATCGCGATTTTCGTCAATGTGTTTGCAGAAAAATGGTTTATCAAACAAAATACGCGAAACTGTCCGCTGGCAAACTGGCATCTAACAAGAGCAAAAATAAATTTAATGAGTAGGTACGCTTTGGTGCATACATAGAAAGACAGATGATGTGCGACATCAAATATTCCGAAATGCGAACAATAGAAGGGTGCAGCGAGCCGTCTTCGTGTAATCCTCGGCTGTTAACAAAGCCGGTAGTAATGAGACCCACGCGAGCTCACTTATCGCGCTCACTCGAGTGATAATGAGATGTTTTGTGTTTGTTTGCCGGGCAAAACCCAAGTGTTTATTATGTCTATGTTGATACACTCATACATAATGTGTTACTAGGGCTCGGGAAGCTCGAACTTCGGTATTCGATCGAGGCACTCATAGGTTTTGCGTTGGAGGCGATTGAACGTGAACACGTGATCGCCGCAACCCGCCGTCTTCATGCCGTTCGTCAGATAGGCGACGATGATATCGTTGACGGGATCGGCGCGAACTGAAACAATCGCGAAATTTTGCGATGTTGGAGAGAACAATTGCCGCGCAGGTGCACACTATTAAAAACGCTAATTAATTCAATGAGCGCGTTCTAAATAATTGCTCCAATCATTCTCACCCATTTGTCCGCCAACTCCGGGGTGTCCAAATTGCCAAGTTTTCTGCAAAAAATGAATTTTTGCTAATAGTGCTGTGCAGATTTTGGGAGCGAAAATTTCGTAATCCGCATAGGATTTTTAAAGTTTTTTGTGAAATCTTCATAATACCATAACAATTTTTGCCAGGTATTTTACAATTATGTATTGTTGAGAAATGACAAATGTATCCAGGTGTCGTGGGATCCTGCGTTTTGTACGCAATGCTAAGAGACAGTTACCGTAATCCTCGCAGCGATTTACGGAGATTTTTTTTTAAATTTTCTTTCAATTTTTTTTTGCTGAATTTTCTAATTTTCTTTAGAAATCTTATATTTAAAACCTGTAGAAACCGAGTTTAATTATTTATTTTTCAGAATATGCACTTTTCCATTTGTCTAGTTGCGTTGGGAATTATTGTGAAGATTTTGACGCCCTAAAAATTATTTTGAAAATGAAGAATACAAAAACAAGATAATAGAAACGCATACAAAAAGCAAAACACGATTAAATTATTTTATTAACGACAAAAATTATTTCTTTTTAATCTCTGCTGTTTTTACCAAAAAAATATCGTTTAAAAGTGCTTATTCTGCTAAATACATTATTAAACTCGGTTTCTGTAAAATTTAAAAATTTAAATTGAAAATTTTCGAAAGAAAATTTAAAAATTGAACGAAAAATTAAAAAAAAAAAATGAATATGCGAAATTAAAAAAAATTTCCCCGTAAATCGCTGCGAGGATTACGGTAACTGTCTCTTAGCATTGCGTACAAAACGCAGGATCCTACGACACCTGGATACACTTGTCATTTTTCAACAATATGTATTTGCACGTTATCACAAATCAGTAGCGGCGAATTCAAAGAGATCCCACTGATAATAATAGCACGAAAGGGTGCTTGACAACAATAGAGAGCTCTTGCAATGAGCCAAAACCCCTTTCTTTTCATTTTCCGACATATTCGGAGACTTCATTTTTACCTTGGGAGATTGGAAATATGTGAAACCGTGCTCTTTATTCTGAGGCTCGCCAATCAAATGGTCAAAAGCTGTCATATTCTTGGGCGCTTTGATTTTCTGCAATTTTAAAGGCTGAAAGAGAGAAGTATGGAATTAAGCGAACTTCAAACGTTTCATTGGATATTAAAATTCCATCGAGAACCAATTGATGAAGCTGTGCCATTGCCTTTGCAGAGCCTATAACCAATCCAGAAGGGAATGAGGAAAATTGTGAAAACAAAAATCGATACCAATTCCATTGACTCCTGGCTGCCCAACTACTCTCAAGTCGCTATTATTAAACATCGTAAAATCCTGAAATAATCTTATTCTCGAAAAATTGCAAATTTTCAATACCGCTCCATAATAGCTCATATTCTTTCTCGCCCCTGCAAAATAGCCCCGCGGGTTGTAGAAATAACGCGCCAATGTTAGAATCGATTTGTCATAGCCAATTTCTCTGAAATTTTTCAGGTACTCACGAAAAGAAAATGACGAAATTCACCGAGCAACTAATGATTTGGGACAACGGAACAGCCTAGCGAGCCTATTTTCTTCAGAAGAGCAATCTCCAATATGAATGTCGATGTCTGAAAATTGATGATTGTTTTTCACTGAATTCCAAGATTATTTGCAGAGTTACGATGTTTCGTTGCAATTTCCTCCTTAAAAAACTGCCCTACACTTCTTTTTTGAGGATCGATCTTCCTAAAAACGCAATCCGCGAGCCATCCGAATGTCAGAGCGTGATAGGCGGTTCGGGTCCCCGGCGGATACACTGGCTTCAGTCCTTCAATGATTTGAGCCATTTTTTCATGATCGACAAGCTCTTTGGGTGTGAATCGAATTCCTGGGAAATACGGAAGACCTGCCTGAAATGGGATTGTTGAAATATTCAAGAAATCATTTCAACTAACCTACCGTATGATTTAAAACCATCTCGATCGTCACATCTTGCTTGCCATTCGCCCCGAATTCCGGCCAGTATTTGATCACTTTGTCGGAATAATCGCAAAAACCGCGATCAACGAGCATGGCGAAGCATATTGCGGTGCAGCTCTGGACAAAATAAAAGTCATAAATAAAATTTAAAAAAAAAAACGATTTTTTTTCACCTTTGTGCAGCTGAAAATCGTTGAAATCGTGTCTTCTTTCCATTCTTTGCGGCATTCGTAATCCGCATATCCACCCCAAACGTCAACGACGACTTTGCCTTTGTGAATCACGCAGAATGAGGCGCCCGCTTTTTCCCAGCCTTCTTCGAAATTTCGCCTAAACTCCAAAAAAATAACATTTTGTTTTCGACGTAATTAATTAGCCAATTAATTTCGACGGCATTGTTTTCACTTGAAAACTGGTTTTACTCAATAACACAAATTATTACGCAGTAACATGAGTTTTACAGGTTGATGTGTTAGGAATTTCGACCCAGAACGAGATCGTTACATGGAATTGCTGAATAAATTCGATAAATCTGTGAGGGAAAATAATTAAAATGGATTGTTTTACCTGTTAAACAGGGGGTTTTCTCGATTTTGGCGAAAAATTTCTTATTTATTCCATTAAGCTTTCGAAGAATTCCAAAGTAGTTCAAACACTGTCACGCAAAAATGCACCACTCCCAAAATTGCGGTTTGCATTTAATCGAAAGTTACACTTTTTCGCCGATTTGAAGAACACAACTAATTTGTTCTATCTATAACACAGTTTGTTTCAAAATTTGTCATTGTTTCACCGAACACGAAAAACTCCAGACCCATGAGTTTGCCGAGTTTTTTTACACAAATTAATTGTCGTAATATAGTGCGCATTCCGTAATCACCGACTATTCAAAATTTTCAATATATTTTTTTCCAAAAATATATTTTCTTATCTGGTTTGATGTGTGAATAACACATTTTAATTAATATTTATTAGAAGAAAAGCTTACAAATTATTTTTCTTCTCAATTTGAACATTATTTATTATGTTAAACCACTTATGTACACTCAACCTTGAAAATCAAATTTAAGAAAATTGGTCTTACTTAAACGATTCCAAAACATCGGCAAATTGTTCAGTGGTGGCGCCATGAATCGGTATCAATTTTTTCGTCTTCAAAGGCATTTTAGAAAAGCCGAACACTCGCGAGAATCGATAGACGGATTATGTATGATGAACTTATAAAGTTCGACCTGGTTTCGACGGACGAGGGTCAGCTAGGCGGGCAGCAGCACGAGGTGAAGTGCGGGACAATCGTTTTGGGAGGTGGGAATGATACGAACAGGTTATGTAGCGTCCGAAATGGCAACAAGACTTGTCAAGGACAATGTCTTCTTGTGTGGAGATTGCATCGAATGAGGGTTTTATCATATTAGAGTTCACAATGATTTCCAAATTCGCTTCATTTCAACTCGAAATCACAGACTAACAAAATCACAAACTATGGAATACTGTAGCAGAAGCATTTGTACTTCTCCAAGTAGTGTCCAGTGACAATGAAGAGTATACTGTCATCGGAAATTCTCAGCGTCGCCGACTGTTTCCCATTATTGTGCATTATTTGAGCGCAATCTCGGCCGCCCATGACGCGGTCAAAGTCTGCACAGAATCCGCCACTGAAAAATTTGAAATGTTTTTTTTCAATTGAGCAAAAACTAACGCTTCTTTTTTAAAATCATCATCCCAATTCCGATAAAAAATTCCTTTGAGGATCTCATTTTTATTGAATGAGTTTCGGTACCAAATGCTCAGTTTGACGAATTCCTTCGGACCGTCACCTTTAATCCATTTCTGCAAGTTTTCCATTTTTTTCCCAATTTGAAAATTTTGCAACCTTTATAAACTTATTAATCGCTTCATTATGAATTGTTGAAGAAAAGAATGTCATTTGGGCGGCCTTTAAACTCAAAAAGAGCTCTTCGGTGAAATTACAATTTGCCCAAAAGTAGAATCGTTTGGCATTTTGAATCTAAACATTTCTCGGGTTCATTTCCGATAATCGTCATGAATTTTACTTGCGAGTGGCTTAAAATATCTGGAGTCACGGTAGTTCGATAAGAAAAATTCTCATCTTGATCGGTGTCTAGCAATTCCAGTCGATCGACCTGCTCGGCGAGCATATTCAATGCATATAAGAGCCTCTGGCGATTGGCAAATGCGTAGCGGAACGATTTACAGTTGATTTTCTTGATTTCGGAGGCTTCGATATCCCAATCCGCCTGAATTGCTCAATTAAATATTTTCTAGTCGTAACATTCAAGATTTTTTTTTCGTTTTCCTGATAGACATAGGAAAATTGATATCCAACAAAGTTTTTACCAAAAAAACTTGTAAATGGTCCAAAATGATCACCAAACCCCCAAAAATCCAAACGATATCCTATCAAAATTTTTGAAATCTCGCAATTTTGCTTCTTAAGCCTCGAGCCGTAAAATATCTTATTTTAATTAATTAAAAAAACCATTTCTATAGTGCAATTCTGCGCAGCATATCTTGATCTTTTCATCAATTCCTCGAATAATTTCACGCCTTTTTCGTAATAATCCGTATTTTCATACAAAATTTTCGGTTTTCTTCGATATATCTGCGGATTCATATGCCTGAATTGATTTTCGGTTTTCGAGTCTAAAAAAACTAATTTACTTTATCATTTCCGTATTATTTCCTCGTTGCATGAAAATAATATTTCGGGACAGATGTTGTATTCTCGTTTCAAATTCGATTTTTAGCAAAATATTCTAAAAATTATACATATTATAATTAGTTAAAAAGTTAATACCTTGCTATCACTATCACAATCATAGCAATAAAATCTTTCCGAATCATTGATTTCAATTGCATCGATTTTAATAGGCGGACCCTTTTCAAGGATGTGCATTTTCTTCGAGCACTTCGATAAAGAATATCTAAAAATGAAAAAAATGCAATTATTTGTCTGAAAAATTAATTGAACGAAAACCTTGTAAAAAAGTCCATCCGAGAAATCACGCATTGTTGAACATCGGATGGCAGCTTACACCATTTGATAAAGGTTTTGCATGGCCTCGAATACGAATCGGATGGTGGCTCGTCTTCAGCGAATAAATCGAGATTGGCGAAATCTTCGAACAGCATTCTTCAATATGGAAAAATCGAATGTATGCTTGCAATTGGTTGCGCGCGATTTGGAAATATTTCACAATTCGTGTTTGAAACTTTCAATAAAGAGAGTTCAATGGAATCAATATTAAAAATTGATCATCCTTTTAGGAAAATTTAAAATGAATTTGGGAACCAAAAAAACAATTTGAAAACTCAAAATCAACTTCCATATATGTGAAGATCCAAGTTATTTGAGTAATTTTCTGATTAAACTGATTAACCATTAGACAAATAATACACATTAAAAGGCTATCTTTCACTTTTTTATTTTCATTATTAATTTTTTTTCAGTTTTTTGCTTAAAATTTCATTTCCATGGAAACCTCGAGCAATAATTGTGTGCGGTGGAGCGCGTTTGCATCGTTAAAATACATTTTAGTCCAAAAGCCATTAAGATTGAGACTTGCGAGAAAAAGTGAAATGCTTCTTAAATTAATATTTTTCCGAAGAAATATTTATTGATTGTTGAATTAGCTTCAAAATCGTGACTCTATAATTTGAATCGTCTTTACACTTCAGGAACATTTTTTAAAATTTCGATCCGGAAAAATATGTATTTGTTTTCGTAGACTTTTCGTCATTTTTCGCAATTTATTGTTCAAAATTATTATATATCCTCGGTCCCCTCCTGAAAATTCCTTTTGTTTCCAAATCAATTTCTATTTAATTGATTTTTTAGAATGCCGACAGCTGCATTAGCATCAGTCGCGAGAGTACTCCGCCTCAACGCCGACACATTCGAAGAAGCTGTCGAAGCCGCCGCCGCAATTTTGCTCCGCGGAGGTTTGATTTTTCCTAAAAGATAATCATAGGCATTGTGGGAATTTAGGTGTTGTGGCACTTCCAACGGACACCCTTTATGGAATATCAACATTAATTCCATATTCGGATCGACTATATGCATTGAAAAAACGACCGTATGAGAAGCCATTGGGAATTTTCATTCCCAGCCCGCAATCGGTGCCGCTGGTTGCAAGACAAACGATCAGCGATAAGCTAGCATATAGGTTTTAATTTTTGTTTCTGAAAATTTGCAAAAAAAAACTACACTTAGGCTTCTCCCAGGTCCTGTAACTCTGGTATTTGAGCGACTTCCGGCACTACCACCTGATTTTAATCCAGGGGTTTCAAATGTGGGAGTCAGAGTTCCTGATTCGGCCATTGTTGCAGCTATTTGCAGGTCGGTTCCATCTCAAAAATTTAACCAAAAAAATTTTTTTAGAAAAGTTGGTCAACCATTAGCGCAAACGTCAGCAAATATCAGCGGATCTTCATTGAACCCCACGTGTTTGGAAGATTTCGAAGAATTGATTCCGCTCCTAGATTTGGTTATTGATGGTAGGAAACATTGAAGATTATTTGTTTTAATAGCATATTTCGAACCTAGGCGGCGAAATACAATCAGGTTCACATGAAGGAAGCACCATTGTTGATTTATCAGTTCCGAACAAGTTTAAAATTATCCGAGACGGATGCGCAAAGAAGAGAACCGAAGAGGTTTTGAGGGAATTTGGGCTCGATGAGCTTTGAATTTTCATTTTTTTTTTGTTTTAATGTATATATTGTTGATTTTTCTTGTTATAAAAATTGTTTTTTTGTGAGCTTTTATTAGTAGATTTATTGGTTTGAGCCTCTTTTATTTAATTGACTAATTTCAACCTGATAATTCCAAATCAGATTTAGAATATGAACGAGGACGAGGCACGTGACATTGGTAACATCGAGGCAAGTAGTAATATACGTGTATGCGCCTTTAAATGTTATCAATCCATTTTTTGACAATTTATTTCATCTTTTTACTACATTTCTCAAAAATTTGTGAAGAATTTCTAGAAAATTAGTTTAAAGACGCATTATTATGATTATTAGCCAATTCTTGGCACCGTTGTCCCACGGCTTATAGAATGTTTCGTTTTAGGAGCATGCAAATGAAGAAACATCTCGTCCGGAAAAGAATGCGAATGGTTCGGATCATTTCCTTTTTTTCTAGAGAAATTGTGTATTTTCAGGAAACGCTTTGAACGCAGTTTCATCAAAACGGCATGCATCCGATGAAGCTGATTTCATAAATGATGCTGTGAGTTTAAATTATTTTCTTGATCAAAAAAGCTTCAACATTATGCTTTTATGCTTGTTTAACTGCTCATTCTCTCAAAACCACTGAAATCTCGATGACAATTCAGCGCTCATCGAAACGAGCTCGCCAGAATTGGTCGTTGTTCGCGAGCCGCGTTCGTCGTGTCGTCAAAGGATCGCCACCAGAGATCGGTCGCGATTTGGTGTTCTTCGATGTCATTGATGGTCAAATCGCGGGTACGAAGAATCTCAAATGGAAAGCGAATCGGAATCTCGATGTCGTGATGTTCAATGATCGGAAGAATCAGCCGACACTTGATGAGATTGCCAAGGGATTCGACAGAACGGGAAATGTTCGGATTTGGGGCGGTAGCGAGGCATTGGGACACGCGATATTAAAACGAGCCATCGATTTGAGCGAGACGAACGATGTCCTCGAACTTGGAGCGGGATTCCTTGCGATCCCATCGTTTTGCTTCACCGCAACATTTCCCGACGCTAAAATTTTCATCAGCGATGGCAGTGATGAAGCTTTAAAGAATCTCGAGGAAGTGAAGAAACTAAATAACAACACTAACATTGAAATTGGAAAAGTTCTTTGGGGCGAGACGAAGCTTGATCGGAAATTCGATGTGATACTCGCCGCCGAATGCGTGTTCTTCGCCGATCATCATGAGAATTTTATGCGATGCGTCGATGAGCATCTGAAGCCGGATGGGGTTGTTGTGATCGCAAGTCCACTTCGGAAGAACAGTCTTGAGCGGTTTTTCGACCATGTCCGAGATCACTGGAAAGAGTTCGACATTGAGTTCGAAAAGGATATCAACGAGCAAATGGCTCAACAATACTATGAGACTCGATCTGATCCTGACGAGGACGTTCTTCCAATGATCTACACGATGAAACGACGCGATTCGCAAATTCATGGGCTTATTTTTATTTGATAACTATAGGCTGCTATTTTGTGTATGTATTTAAAATGAAACGCATTTAATATTTTGTTTCTCTCTAAATTCAAATTTGCATAAATTTTCTAGGAATTGAACGCCGCCGTCGAGTTTGGAGTTTTAAAAATGGCCGACGAGGTTGGCGAAGACATCGCGACGCGAAACGCCATTGATCATTTGCGTTTCGAGCCTGATGTGATCCGACGGATCTCGGCTCTCGTATTCGATACTGTCGTTGAGGACTGGGCGACTGATCTGGTTGCATTCGCGAGTCATGCCGGACGGCAGAATGTGAATCTCGACGATATTGCACTGTTGACGAGACGGAATCCGGAGCTCGTAATTTTTGGAGGAATGCACATGAGAAAAATTGAGCACTTTTTTTTAGTTTGAAATGGCTTGTAAAATGGCGGGCGTGAGGCCGAGTGATGAGAAAGAGAAGGGCAAAAAAGCGAAGAGCCGGAAGCGCAAGGTGGAATCGGCGCAAGTTTCGCCATTCAATGTTGACGATGCCAATACGAGATCAAGATCAAATTCGATCAATAGAGCTAGTCCAGTTCCAATAGTTGGTCCCATTTTTCTTTCATTCTTGAGTTTCTGATTATTCCAGTCGATCGAAGCGCCGAATTTGTCGTTTCTCAAAACGCCGGCAATCAAGCCGGTCACTTCGACGCCGAAATCGACGCCGAATCCCACGTTCACCGCACGCGGCCGACTTTTTTCCGACGACATTACCCCAATCCGACCGAACGAGCACAACCAGAAAGCGGATTTGATCAATTTGACCAAGATCGACGAAGAGGACGAGATTCAGGAAATTGTTGAGCCCGACTCGTTTGAGAATTTCTTTGCGAAACGGGAGATGCCGACGACAAGCACACTAGTAAAAATTTCAAATGCTCAATTTAATTTGTTTTTTTTTTGCCATTTAGAATGGAAATTTGTCTTCTCTTATTCGGGACGCCGAAAAAGTAGGCGATGAGCAGCGGAATTTGGAAAATGAGCGGCTGGAAGCGATGGTCCCTGATGATTATGACTCGTTCGATGATGAGATTATTGTAGATAGTGTGATTAGGCCGAATGAGAAGCCATCATCAAGCATGAGCACTGCCAAGCGTAAATTTATTTGAAAAAAAAATGAAACGTGAAATTTCCGAATTATAGAACGAACTAATAGTCCGGATCCGTTTGGGAACTCGACGGGCTCGAATCAGTCTTCAACATTGACTGAGCAGAAAAACCAACAGACGCCGGCACCGGCTAAACGAAATTCTGTATTTTCTACAAGTATGCATATTTTTTTTATAATTCAAGAAAACCTTGCAAACTCAATGTTTTCTTGACATTTTTTTTCTGAAAATGTCAATTCCAAAAAATGGGCTTTTAATGGATTTTTCATTATTTTTCAGAATTCTCGGCTTTTAGCTTTGATGATGATGACGACTCGTTCGATGCTCCGATTCAACAACCGGCGGAGAAGCTGAAAGACGAACCCGCATCGCAAGACTCGTTTGATTTTCCGATTCAGACGACGTCGAATTCGCAGTCGTCGATACCGAAATGGAAAATGGTTGCCGACAAGTAAATTGTTGGAAGATTCCGATTTTGTCTAATATATTTTTTTTAGATATGCAGCGAAAACTCCGAAGCAGAAGAAGAAGAGCCCATCGCCGGTTGCCACGGAATCGGCGAAGAAGCGAAGTCGGCTTAATATTGAAGATGATCGTGATAGTTTTGACGAATTCGACTTTGGAGTTTAAATTTTTAATTGAATTTTATTTAATGTACCATAAGATTTAACATTTTCTGCATTGTTTTCTTGTCAAATAATCACTTATTTGCATTTTTCATAAATTTTAAGAAGATCTCATCTGTGTGGCTTTGTATGAATTGAAAGGGGTTTATTGATGCAAACGTCCTACGAGCTTTACTTTATCGATGGCCTAGAAAATTTTATTGCCCAATTTCTAGGCCACATAATTTCAATTTCAAATTTTTAAAATAAATTTTTTCAGATGGAAGTGGCAAATACGGAAAATGCAGAAGAGGTTGGAATAAGGTAATAAATAAAATTCTAATTACTATCGAAATTTCAGAATTCTGAAATTGATGAAGATGTTCGAGCCACCGAGAAAGTCATCAATGCATTCTTTTATTATAAAACGTATGGAAAAGAGAAAATATTGAAAATGGTTGACCAAATGAGGTATTAAATTCGATTTAATTGAAAAATTGAACGGATTTTCAACTGCAGAAAAATCCCGCCGGCACATCAATTAATTATCGGACCGCGCTACAAGGAGCACATTCGGAACATAACTCAAATGATGGATCATAATCATACGTAGGATATCTAAAGCGATTTGAGTTGAGTGATTTGAAGATTTTCAGAGTGATTCGGATGATTGTCAACTTTGGCGTGACAATGTTTGGGGAGGAATCGCTGAAGGCGATGCGAATCCATCAAGCAAGGTTCTAGCATTTTCTAGAAATGAGAATGACAGATGAACGGTTGTAGGCGGCCAACAGCGGACTATATGTCGAAAGTTCTGAGCACAATTCGTCAGATATGCCGAGAATGGACTGAAGAAGGGCGACCGGAACGAGAAGCCACATTTCTTCCCATCATTGAAGAGCTTGATAAGCTTTTTCCCCGAGAGCATTGCCAAAGGCATTTGATACGAATTATGGTGCCTGGGTGCGGGTTGGGTGAGCAGTCACCATCTTCTCTAGCCTTCAATCGATATTTCAGGCCGTCTCGCTTGTGATCTCATTAATGAAGGATATACGGTTCAAGGGAATGAGTTTAGCCTTTTCATGCTGATGACGTCCAATTTTATGCTCAATGCATGCAAAATTGTGAGCATTTGCGACGCTTTATTGAAATATTCAACGTTTTAGGAGAATCAATTCACAATTTATCCGTTCATATTTGAGAAGAGCAACACATGGAGCTATGAGGATCAGGAACGAGCTGTGACATTTCCCGATAAATGCCCGGATCAGGATGTTGCGAATGTAAAACATGTTGCGCTTCGAGACCATCATTGAATTGAATTTGCAGCGTCGGAATTCGTTCTCAATGTGCGCCGGCGATTTTTTGGAAGTTACGAGGAATTCGACGTTTGATGTGATAGTGACCGCCTGGTTCATCGATACTGCCCATAACATTCTACAGTATATTGGTTTGAAGAGTCTTAAAACGATTTACGAAGATATACTTCATTTTCTAGAGACCATTTATAATACACTGGAGCCTAATGGGATTTGGGTTAATGTCGGCCCATTGACGTATCATTTTGAAGATTCGCCAGATGAGGTGAGAATTGGGGGGGGGGGATGAAAAGAATTTATTTTGTAATCTTGCGATGTTTATTTTTAAAGGCGCATGATGTCGTGGCAATAATTCTATTCGAAAGAGTAAAATTTTTATTGCAAAACTACCGTATCTAGATGTGTTCATTGAATATTTTACTGTAGATTGAAATATTTCGATTATGACAGTCCTCTAAGAAGAATGCAAAATTTTGGCAGAAGCCACTTTTTAAAATTTTTCCAGAAAATGATGCTTCCTCAAATTTCCTAGAGGGATTCCAATTTAATACTAAAAATGAGAAAATGTCAATATTTCGAAAAATTGAATTTCTTGCAAAATGTTCGATTCCTTATAGAATTCCATTGAACTACCGTACACCGAAGTGATACGATTCATTCGTGAGAAGGGATTCGAAGTGATTACGGAGCGACGCGTCGAGAGCAAATACACGGTGAATCGGCAATCGATGCTCCAGAACGAGTTCACGTGCGCCTTCTTCACGGCTCGCAAAATTTGAATTATCCAATATTGTATATTTTTTTTTCGTTTTCGTATGCATCTTTTTTAGTTTGTTGCGCCTGGAATGAAACGAAATTCGGATATTTGTTTGCAAACATTGCCAAATGAGAAATCCATATAAATATGATGATGATGATGAGTAAACAAAATATGTTTAAATATAAGATCAAAACGTTTTTTTTCTGTCCCCATCGATTTTTGCCTTTTCTCACATAATTGAAGCCGCTCATAACCAATTTCTCTGGGCGTTTGCTGGTTTTTTCCAGCGTGCACTTTGTGGTCCCGTCGGGAAGCTGAAAATATCTTATTTTTAACTTCTACAGAAATACATGCATTATGAAGAGTCGCTTTTTTAGAAACCACCGTAATGTAGGTTTCAGAATTTTTATAAAAGAAAATTCCAGTGAGCGGTTGCAAAACACTACATGCGCCTTTAAACAAAAAAGAAATTGAAGGAACATAGCCTATTAAAAAAAAAACTGCGATGATGTGTCCGCAGATGAATTTCTCAATATTCCTCCTCTCATCGCACTGCATACTATCAGAGAATATTGCATCCGACGTTCACTCGTGCGAAATTCGCAAAGGCCGTCCGACCAGCTCAAAATTTACATATATCACACATACACACTCGCATATGTGTGCCAACGGCGTCTCCCATTTTTCTCTCGGTGAAACAATGGGAAAAAAATTATTTGGCCATATTGGCTCATTTTTTTTCCGTTTGCATTTAGGTATGACGTAGAATTACAAGAAAATTGATGAATGAGGAGAAGCTGCCTAATCCATGTGCGAAATTCCCATTCACCAGTCAATCATTTTGTTGAAATTCTCATTGTTTTTTCAAAAATACACCTTTCGGGTGTCTGTTTTCATTTGGACTCGCGAGATTCCCCACCATTCGCCCTGGAATATTATCGTTCCGGCTTGTTTCCTTTCTTGGTCTTACAAGGAAGTCGATATTTTGAACTTATTCTATCTAATTGGTTTTAATATGTGCCGTTTTTTCGAGTGAATGTGGTTTTTTGTTGGTGCCGACGCAAGTTTTTCTTCAATTTCTTTTTTCGACGTTCAATTTTCCATTTTCCGTCATCCTCGAATAAAAATTTGGTATCCATTTCCAAGTTTGGCTGAAAATAATTTCAGTTCTGCCTGGTAGATTTACAGTCCTCGCAGTCCTTTTCTCGTTTTGACAATTTAAGCCAAATTGAAGAAATGTTCAATTTTGCCAAATTTCTCATATCAATTTAACCAATTAACCAAAAATCTGACAATTTTTTAAAATTTGAAATATAAACTAAATAATAGTTTTTTTATGGGTCACCTAATTTTCTGACCTTATTTCAGAAAATTCCGGCTGTTCTTATTTTGTTTTAATTCGACATAGAAAATAGAAATATGAAAGGAAAAATTGCGCACAAATCTCAAGAGAAAAAAAGTTTTTTGAAGTGAAGCACAAAGAACAGAATTCTCATTTTCTTCTCCAATTTTTTTGCTCGAAATTGCACCAACTAGTTGACCTAATCTACCAATTATCTCACTAGCCTCATTATTGCGAAAAATGCTATTGTTATGTATAATAGCTTGATGAGCTTTTGTTCGACAAGAAGGAGAAGAAGTGAAAGCTTTAGTAGAAAAAAAAATAGAAGCAAACGACGACGAGAAACGGATAGAATATATAAGCTCGGAAAACGAGGTTGAGGAAAAAAAATGGAGGGCCGATGGAGAGCCTTCGCTTTTTTCCAATGAAAAATAAAAACATTTCTTTTTTGGCTTAGTCACTTTCGAATTCATCATCGTCATCATCATTCTGGCAACTAATCAGAATAAGAAGAAGACGAAGCATGTGGACAAATTGAGGGCAGCTTCTTCTTCTTCTTCTAATTGGGATTCACTCCACATCGACGTCGGAATTTGATGCTTTAAAATTTTTCCTCCCCCCAACCCCTCACTCTTGAATTCATTCAAATCACGGATTTTGCTCCGATTGATTTAATCCTTCTAAATTTGTCCGCTTTCAGCTATTCAATTCAGTGAAAAGATGCCCGGAATGCTAATCCGCGTTAAACAGAAAAATTGTACTTCCGAAAGGTTTGTACTTTTGGTCGATAACCAAATTGTGCATTCCTTCATGCCATTCGTCGTGAGACCCTCTCATAAATGCGCTGGTGTTGCAGCGATTGCGTCGAACAGTGTAGAAAATTTTAGTAGAAAAATTTTTTTTAATGTAAAGATTTTTTGAAGTAAAAAATTCAAGATCATTACCTTTTTTGTGCGCTATTAGTCCGATCAATTCAATTTTTAAATCACGCTTCTTTTCATTAAAATTATTTTATTGTCGGTGTCAAACGACTGAATGAAATTTTAAAAAATTATTGGCGATGTGTCAATGCGTCTCAAGCCAGCGAGAAGTACGTACGCAAGACTACGTACTTTGCATTATAACGTACGCGCATTTAATATCCAGTCAATGATAAAGTTAAATCTACACTAATTTCGCGAAGAACCAGCCTCCCTTCGCTGGATTGACGCCGACTATAAAATTTGAAATATAATTCGGCGTTTCGAATTGAAGTGTGTAAACGTGCGTCAGTGTGTATACATGTAAGAAATATTTCAAGCCGAAATTTTTAAAAACTGTTTTTTTTGTGTCACTGCTTAGCTGGGCGCTAAAAAAACATGTCATACTAGAAAAATAATAGTTCTTCAATTTTTGGTGTCTCAACAGAACGACGACGAATGAAAACAATTATGCGCCTATTGTCGGCTGTCCGTCAACCATTGACTGACAATTATGCACTTTTCATTCAATATTTGTCATCACTAGAATATGCAACAATGTAAGCGTAACCATAGAAATAGAAAGTTGAAGGCGGAGACTTCTAAATTAGAGAAGAGGGGGGGGGGTGGATTTTTAAGAGCAAGAAGTTTTAATCCGTCCGCCAGCCAGGATTTTTGAAATTTGGGATGATGTTCGAGCTATTCGAAATTCGATAAGCTCGGAGGGCTGGTCGAGGGGTAACCAATGTGGGAAAATGTCTAGACCCTTTTTTTCTCTTTTTTTTACGTACTTCTGAATTAAGCAAAAAGGACGAACAAAACAAAAACAAATTAGTGTGACACCCGAGGGTTTTTTTGGTGACATGCTTCGGCACACCATTAGAGGGTCACGAATCTTTTCTATTTCCTTCTTCTCTGTTTGTAACATGAATATCTTTTTTCCCAGTGTGTTTTCCTTACCGCCGCATTAATTGCCTTCATAGGATGCCACAAGACCTCGATTATTTCGTTATATATATATTATGTTTTGTTTGTTGGTTTTTTTTTTTCAATGACTCATTTCGTCCCCGTTTTTGGATTACAGAAATAGAATTGCGACATTTTGACGGATGCAAGCACGCGATTTCGTCAGGACTGCCAAAAAGGTGCGATCTCAAAAATCAATGGCTCGAAGAAAAGAAAAATCGAATTTTTGTTTGGTTACTGTAGACAATACATCGTACACATTTCATATTTTTACAGAATTATTATTTTATTTTAAAATTTAAATTTTTCCATCAATTTTTTCGAAATTTTGCAATTTTTAAAGTTAAAAATATTTCGAAGAATATGATATTTAATATTTAGTTATTGGACCTAATTAATGATTGAAAATAAAAAACTAAATTAGTGGAAATGCATTTTAAGGCCCTCCTCTCCCATTCCGTGTCAATTCAGAATTACACTGAAGAAGATTGCCAAATCGCCTACCATGCCACAACCAACTCATTCATGCAGGTTTGACTATTTTCAGTGTTCCTAACCAAACTACAAACTGAAAAGGGTATTCTTGAGAAAGTCTAAACATCGGCTTTTGCTGGAATATTAAATGAGGCGGAAAACAACAAAAATCCACGGGTTTTTTTTTCAGACAATCCGATTTGTGCACATTTTCTTTTGCACAATCGGCGCCGTTTCATCAACGTTGTTCATTTTCGTCTTGATTTCGTCGTCATCGAAAAATTTGCACTTGAATTTGCGTATTTCGCTGGCATCGCTGGCGGTGGCAGCCCTAATTGCTTGCCTTCAACTTGACTTCATTGCATTCTATCAGTAAGGATTTTCTTGGAATTTTCAGAGAACTGAAACATGTTCAGCTTATTTCAAACATTAACGGCGGACAATGCGTGCGATTCAATGTACGAGGCTCAAAAATGTGCAATCATAAGGTAACTGCACCAAAAATTATTGCTAAAAATCAGAATCAATTTTAAGGTTCCCTGTGGTGTTGTCGATATACGCAACCCTCTGTGGAATCATTATTCTCGCCATTGAAAGAACTATAGCCACCTTAAAGTATAAGACTTATGAGGTTGGTTTCATTTTAAATTTTAAATGTGTAATTCTTAATTCCAATATGGGAAAATTAATAGAAAATTGAAAAAAAAATATATATATATATATATGAAAACCGTGATTTTTTAAGAGACAACGCGAAAAAACCTTGAAAATGAAAATACTTTTTAATGCAGCCTAAAAGAAAATAAGAAAAAATTGTTTTGCAGTACTTCTTAAAAATGTTCAATTTCCTTATGGAAAAAAAAATGAAAAAACCCTTTCAAATTTTTAAATATTGATAAGAAACATTTTTATTTTAAGAATGTCTGAAGAAAAAATTAATTCATATCTGATTATTGTTCGCTTGGTTTCGATTTTCCTGTTAGTCACAATTTCAATATACTTCCTTATTTGATCTACTAATATATTTTTGAATCACCTTTGTCCCGAAGCGACCTAAACCAGACGTTTTCAGGCGCACGGCTCACGTGTCGTCGGCGTTGTTCTCGTAGTCGCTCAATGGATCATCTGCGTGATCATCGCCATCATTTCGGTGCTGCTTCGATCCGACCCCGGGTTCGTCCACTATTGCACCGCCTACGTTTCGCATCCAAGAACAGCTGTAAGACTATTGCTAATCACGAGAATTCCCAAGATCTTCTAGGTCTTCTCATTGTGCTTCATGTCGACTTTGGAAATTGTCACACTGCTATATTTTATGAGTAGGAATTTGCATGAATTTATTTGTTTTCTGAAGAAAATTTGAACATATTTTTTTAGTTTTACTCCAATCCAATCAGAGGCGACAAGTCAATGAATTTGTAAATAAAGCGATGCATTCGCTCACAGAGAGATATCAATTACAGGTATGGGTCTTGGCACGAAAATTATTTTCTAATAGAATGTTGCGTTTTTTAGGAGAATGTGCGAATAATGCGAATTCTCATCCCTTCAATCACAGTCCACGCGGTTTTGGGAATTGCCGGCCTCGGATCGATGCTCGTTTTCGCAATATTATACAGGTATAATCTGTTTCGCAAAAAATTATTCAATGTCGTCAGGCGCGTTGCGGTTTGCGTAAGCTCCCGGTTTATTTTTATATATGTATTATAAATATACAGTTGAAACTTACGAGGATGAAGAAGAGCTTACCAATTTCAAATAAGGGTTTTTTAGGGATTTGAATTTTGAACGAATTTTGAAAAATTTTAGAAAGTTTTAGCGTTAAAAAGGGAATAAATAAGGGTTTTTTTTTAATTTCATTGTTACGAAGAAGCGAAGTGTATTAAAACTAGAAAAGCTAAATTATTAGGATGTTCTTCAAATTTTGCATTTAAAAAAATTTTTTTTGATTTTTTTGTTTTGAACGTAGTGGAAGCACTATAAATTTGATATTCTAGCATTGTATACATCATCAATGCAGGAAAAAAATAAGTAAAATGCGATGCAAAAAAATAATCAAAGATTCGCGTGTTTTCGTTGCAATTCGAGACGTATAGCGGCTATATTTAAAAAAATAATTAAATAAAACCGTCAAGAGGTTTTACTTTGAAATATTTGGTTGCTGGATTTTTTAATTTTTGACGAAATACGCGAAAACGGTGTTTTAATACGCATGGGTCTCGATGCGAATCGCAACGAAAGCAAGTGTATCTTCAATTCTTTATTTTTTTTTTTTTTTGAGAAAAGCACTACATGAGCAATTGAATTTTGCCAAAGACCCAGCTCTCTCGAATTGAAGCGTTTCAGATCGGCGGATGAGAGATTAATAGTTGGGTTCGCGCCATTCTCGGAAGTCGTCATGCTCGTGATACCGATTTACGCGGTCGTGTTTCCATTGGTCGCGATTTTTCGGAATAAACAGCTGAGATTGGCAACGAGGTTGGTCATTTTTCATCAAAGTTTTTTCAAATGATAAAATTCGCCGATTTAGGAAGGCTCTTCCGTTTTTGTTCAATCCCACAAGTCCGGAAACAAGTGAAATGCTGGTAGAACACGCCCCACCGGTAATTGTTTATATTTAAATAACTCCATTTTTGAAATTTTCTGTTTTTTTTTCAGGTTCACAATGTCATTGTTAGCCGGCCGAGTCGTCAACTGGAAAAAGAATCCGACACTCATTTCGTTTTGTTGAACGAGATGTGGAAAAAAGGATAATATTGAAGTTTTAACTCATTTCTTGAAAAAAAAACGACGGGTTTATTATGAACATTTGATTTATGTACAATTCAATGTTGTGCCGACTTATGGCAGAAAATGCAATTGCCTTGAGCATCGCGACGATAGCCCTTGTGAGCCGGACAGTGACATCGAGCCGGTTGGCAGATTCTCGGGCATGGCTGGAATCGAATCAGAAGCCACTTTGATTGATTGATTAAAAGGGAATGGGTTACCTTCGGCTTCTCACCGCACCGCTCCTCGCATGAAGGACAATCCATCCAAACCTCATTCTTCGCGCCTGAAAGCATTTCGTCTTAAAACGTTTCAAACAATTCCAGTTTGATTGTAATAACTAACTATTATTCCCATCTAATCATCCGAAGTTTCTAACAAAAAAAAACGAAACCAGTTCTTTATAGGAATTTGCCGAAATTTGAGCATATCGTTTTAATAAGAAATTGTAATTTTGGGGGGTCTCACGCGGAAAATTTGGTTGCGAAAAAATGTATGTTTAATACACGTATTTTTATTTTTTTTTTTCAAAATGCCATTTCATTAGGCAATTTGTAGCGGTAAAATCGTATTTTTTAAATTTTCAATAAAAAAAAAAAAGAATAACCCCAGATTTCAGAATCCGACGTTTCTTTCTTCAATTATCTTGTGACTTAGAAAGGAAAAAAAGAAAAGATTTTACATAGAAAAAACCTCAAATTTGGATTTTTCGACAAAAAAAACATTCAGAAGCTTGGAAATCTAATCGAAATCTTACACTGTTTCTCCTCAATCACATCCTGCTCGGCGACCGACGAATCGTCATACATGTCAGTTTCGCATTGTGCGATTCCAACAAAACTCTAAAAAAGTGTTTTTTGTCAATTTTAAGCAAAAAAAAAATTCTGAAAATGGCGACTTACACACACAAAAATTGAGAATATGAGAAAAGTGTTCATCCTTGTTTATTTCTATCACCGAGAAGCGAAAGAATTGAGAATTGCGACCGGGTTTTATATAAATGTGGGCGGCCGATTCCATTCTCCACTTTTGTGTTTCTTTTTCCGCATTTCGGTCTAATTATGATCATTTTCAATTGCTAATTGACCTCATTAACAGGTCAACCTGTTTTTTTCTCTCTCTCATCACATCAATTTTTGTTGTAAACCTTTGATTCGAAATTCGGAGGCGAAATTTTTTCACGACGCAATCAAGTTATTCCTTATCAAACTATGTTGATTGTTTTTGAATTGAAAGCGAATGATAGCGAACGGTGATATTGGCAAGAAAATAAATAATTTTTTTTTCAAAATGATTTTTCAAGTAGGATTACTGTAGATTGAACTTCTGCAAACATCCCCACCACAACAGTGAACTATTTTAAAAACAATTTTTTTTCAGACGGCGAATCAAACAGAATTGTTTTCATATTCAGCTGCATGCTCTGACCTACGGCGGATGCGCTTTTTGAAGAAAATTTGGCATCCGCTGCGATTTATTGATTCAACAACAAAAAATACGTGCATTTCCCATGAATTGACCGCTTTGAGCGCCTCGGCGCTGTTTTTTCATTCGTTTCCCTTCACTTCTTTCGCATCCCTTCGCTCTCTCGCTCCCACTCGTTTCACACAACGGCAGAGTTAATGGTAGACTCCGTTCTTTTCTGCGTTTTTCAAAAATTGCCTAGTCTCTCGAATATTCCTTCTTATCATTTCATTTGACTTTTAAAAGTCTCATTCATTGATTTTTATTTTTTTTGATTACAGAAATCATGACTCGCCGCTTCTTTGTTGGAGGAAACTGGAAAATGAATGGCGATTTCGCCTCAGTTGATGGAATCGTCGGATTCCTCAACCAATCCGGAGGTTCCAGCAGCCCAAATTTTTAAATGAATCAAAAATTATAATTAAGGAAATTCGAATGTCGACATCATCGTCGCACCACCAGCGCCGTACCTCGCCCATGTCAAGAACACCGTCAAACACGACATCAAAGTCGCTGCTCAAAACTGCTACAAGGTTCCAAAGGGCGCCTTCACTGGAGAAATCTCGCCAGCGATGATCAAGGACCTCGGACTTGAGTGGGTTATTCTTGGCCACTCGGAGAGACGCCACATCTTCGGAGAAAGCGATGCTGTAATCATTTTATTCGTCAATTGTCTAGAAAAACAACTGAAATCATTTTAGTTGATCGCCGAGAAGACTGTCCATGCTTTGGAATCTGGACTCAAGGTTATCTTCTGCATCGGAGAGAAATTGGAAGAACGCGAGGCCGGCCACACCAAGGATGTATGTCGATTCGTCAAGCTTCCTTGTCAAATATTCCTTATTTAGGTCAACTTCCGCCAACTCCAGGCCATCGTTGACAAGAAGGTCGACTGGACCAACATCGTCATCGCTTACGAGCCTGTCTGGGCGATCGGAACCGGAAAGACGGCATCCCCGGAACAAGCTCAAGAGGTTCATGACTGGATCCGCCAATTCCTCAAGGAGAAGGTCTCGCCGGCTGTCGCTGAGTCGACCAGAATCATCTACGGTGGATCGGTGACGGCCGACAACGCTGCCGAGCTCGGAAAGAAGCCGGACATTGACGGATTCCTTGTCGGTGGAGCTTCGTTGAAGCCAGACTTTGTGAAGATCATCAACGCTCGCAGCTAAATTATTCCCTTTTCACCCACTAAAAGGAAATTTCTTTGTGCTTGAATTAGTTTTAATTTCCCAATGTATTTAATCCTACTGTGTAGTATTAGAATAAATATTTTCTTGCCCAAACTGTCTTTTTTCGTGTAGAAATAAAACAAAAATTGATTGCGCCGCATTCCATGACGAAATATTTGTGTGCAATTTGGCGTCGCCGTGTATGCAGAATATCGTATTTCGAATTTTCGTTCACGCACAAAATTGAATTTTTTTAGAGTTTTTCGATGAGTACGCAATATATTAATGAGCCAATCACTTCTGGAAAGGTAGGAAAAATTTTAAAATGTTTTCAACGATGATTTTTCGCAGGTGACGCTGCACACTACTGCAGGAGACATTGAAATAGAGTTATGGACAAAAGAAGCGCCGCTCGCTTGCAGAAATTTCATCCAATTATGCATGGAAGGCTATTACAAAAACTGCATATTTCATCGATTGGTTAAAAGTAAATTTTGAAGCAATTTTATTATGAATCATTTTATTGCCCCTCTCAGATTTCATCCTGCAAGGCGGAGATCCAACAGGAACTGGCAAAGGCGGCGAAAGCATCTATGGGAAGCCGTTCAAAGACGAATTCCATCAACGATTGCGATTCAATCGACGCGGCATCGTCGGAATGGCGAACGCCGGAAGAGACGACAACGGAAGTCAGTTCTTTTTCACGATTGGCGATCGAGGTGCGCCGGAGCTCGACAAAAAGCACACGGTTTTCGGAAAAGTCACCGGACCGACACTTTTCAATATGTTGAAGATGACAGAAGTCGAGGTGGGACCCGATGATCGACCGATGACGATGTACAAAATCACCGGCGCCACAATCAACAATAATCCGTTCGATGATATTGTTCCAAGGTTGGTTTGAGAGGAATTTGAAAGTTTAGATGACAAAATGCCACTCTAAATAATTTAGAGAGATTAAGAAGAAGAAGGAGAAAAAAGAGAAGAATGAAAAGAAGATTGTTGAAGTCAAAAAGACGAGTCTTTTATCGTTTGGAGATGAAGCTGACGAGGATGAAGAAGAGCTTACCAATTTCAATAAGGTTTTTTAGTGATTTGAATTTTTTAAGTTTAAAAGAATTTTAAAAGATTTAGCTTCAAAAAAGAAGAATAAAAAATGTTTTTTCATTTCAATGTTTCAAAGAATCGAAGCGTGTTAAAACTATATAAAAAAGCTAAAATATTAGGATGTTCTTCAAATTTCGCTTAATTAAAAAATTATTTGATTTTTTCGTGAAAATAATCTGAAGCACTATGAATTTGTTAAATATTCTAGCCATTTTCCATTTTCAGAAAGTCGCCAACAAGCCAAAATCGGCTCACGACGCGTTGAATGATGAACGGCTCAGCAAGCAAGTCGCCGTTACCAAGGATGAAATGACCAATTATGTACCAGTGAGTTGACGGCTTCAATTTTTCATGTAAAAAAAATCGAAGTCTATGATTTTTTCCAGGAGGATGAGGATTATGAGCGCGACAAGTCATCAATTTCGAGCATTCGCGCGAAACTCATGAAGAAAACTAACGTGAGCTCGAAATTGTTCAGCATTTCGTCATAAATATTTTCATTTTAGAAGAATGATGAGCCAACTGAAGAGGATCGCGATGAGGATTTTGAGAAGCTCATCGAAGATGAGAGAAAAGCCAAAGAACGCGAACAAGTGTAATAGTAGTCCGAAAAATATTCATAGATTGTGGAAAATTTTAGAGAAAAAATGAATTTGGAGCTGAAAGATATGCAGCGCGAGTATATGAGGGCTCTAAGGAAGCCGAAAGAGAAGAAAAAGAAGCAAGATGGTGCTTTTTTTTGAGCATGCAATGAATAACTGAAATTGATGGAATTTAGATGCGCCGAAAAGCGCTGCAATGCAGGAATATGAGAATTTGAAAATGCGATTCAAATCGAAATCGAAACATTTGGTGAAGCAGAAGGATGCGCAGAGGGAGACTCAGGTGAGAATGCGCGTTTTGTGAACGTCTGGAATATTGTTTTCTGTTGCAGACACTCCAAATGCTTGAGAGATTCAAGAAGCGGCTGCATGCTTCGAATCAGGAGGCGATTCTGTTCGACAAGAAGATCAAAATTGACGACGAGGAGAAGAAGAAGGAAGAGGGAGAGGAAGGCGAGGAGAAGAAGTTTGGAATTGATTTGGATGCCGAGGATTTCGATGGAACCGAATGGTAGGAAGTTAATCCATAAAATTGGAATATGTAAAACTCGATTAAAAAAATTTCGAGAGTCCTTGTTTTTGACTTGGTTGTTTTAGTTCAAAGAAATTCAAAGAAAAATGCTCCGTACGAAAAAAACTGAATTTTGAAAAAAATAATCATTTTTTAATTAGTTATAAAATTGCAAATTTTATCAGTTTTCAGCTTTTTTTCATATTTTAATTGAAATATCCATCGACAACACCTTCAATTTTTGCAGGATGAACCACAAATTCAAAGCTGAAGACGTGGTGCTGTCATCGAAGGCGAAGGACGCGAATTTGCGCGAAGAGAGCGAGGATTGGTACAGCATCACCGATCCGCGCAACAAAATGAACAAACGTCGACGCGGCGAAGAATGAACGGGTTCAAACTATTTATATATATATATCACATTTTTGCTGAAATAAGAATTTTTTGAAGCTCTTATTTGGCACAAAATCACACACACAAAAAAAAAACGAAGCGAACAAGTGAATTTTTGGAAAATCGGAATAATACAGTGAATTCGTGAAACGAGTAATTTACAAAAAAAGAGAATAAGCAAACTTTGGTGGCTTGGAGACAGAACGAAAAAAAATAAATAAATAAAATATGGAAAAATAAAATAAATTGCCAGAGAAGTTGATCTTCTCGAAATTTTTTCCTTCTGGCGCCTTGGGCACCCACAAATTTCCAAATAAGACACACACACGCAAAAAAATTTGAAGACAGGATCACAATGAGCATTCAGGGTAGTTTGAAATTATATAGGGATTTTAAAAAAAATTTAAATTGGGGGTAATATGGTAAATTAGTATTTTTATGCATTTTTTTTCTAGAAAAAAAACCAATCAAAAAAATTTTTTAGACCGAATCCTCTCGGCTCATTTGCAGTGGATTCACATACTCGAAGCCGTCGAATTCGCTCTGATCAATTCGGGCGATCACTTGCGGATTGTCCGGCGTCAATTGCGGCGGTTCGTCGGTAAACTGTAATTCTTCTCAACGTGATTTTTCGAGTCTCATTTGTCGGTCGGGTCTCAACACAGCGCGAATGCGCCTTTAACGCTCAAAACGCAATAGGGCACAGTTTAGTCCCTCACAGCGATATAATTTGTCTGGCAGTAGGATACGGTATCAAAAAGTGCCTCAATGTTTATCAGAGGTAATTCAAAATGCAATAAATCGATTTTTGCAGCACAATGAAAATTGCTGCTACCGTACTTTGGTTTGAGGGAAAAACTAAACTTTAGCAAATTCTGTTAATTTTTTTACTAAAAAAATGAGGAAAAAACCCATTTCCCAAAGTACCAAAAAAATGAACGAATCCCAAAACGAAATTTTGAAGTTTTTTTCTTCTAAGCTTTTTCCCCATATGCCTTTATAATCTGCAGTAATGTTTGCCTTAAAAATTTCCCATTTTTCAGGAAATTTCATTTCCCCTTCTAAGAAAAAAAAATCTCAACCTGATGGTCAAAGTGCTTCAAATCTCGATCGCTTTCCACTGACGGATGATACGGCGGCGCAATTGCCTTCTGCTCGAGCTGCAACACGACAAAACTCGAAATTTTCGCCCTCCCCCAAAAGGCGTCCTACCTGCTCCCAATCGATGTGGCCCTTGAAGAATGGATGCTCCTTCATGTCTCGCAGCCCTTCGGAAATGTCGAATTTGCATCCGAGTCGCTCCGTCGGATCCTTGTTGAGGAATCCTTTGAGCACCGACGCCGCTTTCACCGAAAGCGATCGCGGAATTCGAATTTGCTTTTCAAGAATGATCTGAAGCAACGAAATTTCGTTGAAAACACAATCCGGTTGGTAGCTTCTCACCTGGAATAGGTAGTCCTCCGTGTTCTCCTCAGCGTTCGGCATTCCGACAATGTCAAACGGCGATCTTCCAGCCATCATTTCGAACCTAGACGTTTTAGAGTTTTCAGATTTTTGTTTTTGCAAGATTCTGAAACTTACATTAAAACACCTAACGCCCACCAATCCACACTGAATCCATAATCCTCGCCTCTCAGAATCTCCGGCGCAATGTAGTTCGGCGTTCCGCAGAACGTCGACGTCAAATCGCCAGGGTTCACATTCTCTTTGCACATTCCGTAGTCGGTGAGTTTGATGTGTCCCTCGGCGTCGATGAGCACGTTGTCCAGCTTCAAATCGCGATAAATGATGCCGCGCGAGTGCAAAAAGTGAAGCGCCAAAATGATTTCGCCCGAATAGAAACGCGCGTGGTCTTCGGGCAATTTTCGCTGCTGCTGCATGTGGAACATCAAATCACCGCCCGGCACAAACTCGATGACGAAGAATAGCCGCGATTCGGTCTGGAAGCACGAATGAAGACCGACGAGGAACGGATAGTTCGACGCCGCCTCGAACACCGATTTTTCGGTCTGAACCCAGTCAATATCCTGAAACGATGAATCGACTAGCATTCCCTCCAATCAATTGCAACACTTTCTAACCTCATCCTCATTGAACATCTCCTTCTTAATAATTTTGATGGCATAAATTTGCTTTGTCACGAGATGCTCAGCTTGAACAACCTGTACAATCAAAAATTAGCGTAGATGGATTTTTGAAGGAAAAATTTTTTTAGTTGACGTTCGTCAATGAATGCTCATTTTTATCTATGGGATTTTGTCAATTTCAAACGTCACAGAAATTAAATAATGTCAAAATGAAAACTATCAAATCCGCGCGAGATCATACCGAAAGACGAATTCTCGTAAATCTACCCCGTTCGACTATAATTATAGTCCCCGACCATAATTTCCTTGCAATTTCTTTTACAATTATCGCCAAAATTGCTCTATTTTCGATCGGTTTGAAGCAAAAAGCTCTCACAAAAATATTAAAAGAAAACCCCTCAATTAAAGGCGCATGATTTTATTTCGCGAATACCTTAGCATAGGATCCGCGTCCAATAACCGTAAGCAGTCGGAAGTCTTTGAGTGACACCGCCCATTTCGATATCGACTCATTTCCATTCTAAAAATCGTGATTGACAACAAATTGTCTCAAATTAACACATTTTACCGCATGCTGTTGCATCGATTCTCGCGACGACGGCGTTTCAATTTCGAGCTCGTTGAACGCGCCGTTCTCAACACCATTCCTACCGTAGCTTCCGCTTCGATCGGTTCCCGATTGCGACACACGCGTCTCCGAGCTCATTTGCGGTATCGTTGGACCAACAGGCGTCTGAAAATCGCGTCATACAACAAAAATGATGTTTTTTTTTCGCTTTCTCCATTTTTTTGGACCACCTTCAAAATATATCGAATAACTAGGCAGAAGCAGAACATTGGAGTCAGAATCAAGAAAAAAAACGAAGCCAATCGTAGGATTATGCGCGAAACGACAAAAATTTGTGATCTGCACTACATTTTCCTTAAACACCATCTGCGAATCATTTTGATGAACCCGGGTTTTCATTTCCCGCAATGGTTTTGCATTTTAAGACGTTTTTAAACATTTTAAAAAATTAAAATGATTAGCATGTTCGGCTATTAAATTTTTTCAAGAATATCCGAAATTTTTCGAATATCCGAATTTTTTTCAAAAAGCTGTACAAAACTCCAGAATTAATTAATCGACTTTTTCTAATTTGGCAATTATATTCATACATATCGTTTTTTTAGGATATATAATTAATTTTTTCGAAAACATTATAAAATCTGAAATTTATTCGAAATGGCAAAAATCGAGGGGTATTTTTTCAAATTTTTGCGAAAAAGCTCAATTTTTGCGAAAAAGCTCAATTTTCTCGAAAAATTGCTCAAAAATCTCACCTGTCCGCAGTGCGTTTGAACATGTCGATGACACTTTTTGTGAACGCACAGGCGACAATCGACGCACCGGAATCCCTGCCGTCCGATACCCCAAATGTAGTCGTGGCAGATGAAGCACTGGATTCGGCGATTCAGCCGCTTCGCCTGGAACCGATGCCCGTTGTACAGGTAGATCTTCTTCCAGCGGCGCGCGCCTCGTCGGTACACAGAACCTTCAAATAATCAAAATATAAATTGAAAAAAAATCCATTTGAAATGAACACTGGTTATCATTCTGGGAAAGCGGTTTTTGTTATCAAGAGAGTTGTGAAGGAACAAATAAAATCGCACTTTTCGGAATGTTCATTCTTATTTGGTTTTATTAGAGCAAATTGTCCACAACAGTGATATTTCAATTTCAGTAATCATTAAAACCAAAAATTGGTGAAATCTAGTTTTTTCAAAATATAGCTATAAATCTTCTCAATTATTCTCTTGAAAGATTATTTGGCATTCAAATGAAAATATTTTTTTTTCATGTTCGAATTAATCCAAATTCCAATCAACATAAAATAATGGTTTTGAATTTCTTTGTTTAAAAAACCTACGATCTTCTCCTTGACATAATAATCCTGGCAGTTCGGGTTTACCCAAAAACACGTGGACATTGAGCTCAGCATCTTGACAAACCTAAATTTCAGAATTTCTATTATATTTTGAAACATCGCATTCTTACATGCATACACCTAACAGCCTCATCAAGCTCCATTTGTGTGTCCACCGAAATCGGATCGCCTGAAATTGGGAGATGTTTAAAATGCAATTCTCTCTTCGATTCGGACGGACCATCTTCATCGACCCATTTCACAGTGATCGCTTGATTCGACGGCTGCTTGCAAGCATTGCGAAGCAACGAGAAAAAGTCGGACAAAATTAATGGAGGCCTCGCGTAGAGCACAACGACCTGCAATCGGCAATTTGCAAACTGCGAATTTCTCATTGCACAAATCACCTGGCCATCAAATCGCGCTTTCAACTTGATATCCGTGTCATCTGCTATTGACATACTGAAAATGCGAAATAAAATCGAAACCAATATGGTGATTCATCAACGCAGAAAGAAAGAGCGGAGGTGCCAGACTGATTGATAGCAGAAAATGTGGGTCGGCAAAAAAATGAAGCGAGGAGAGAAAAAAATAAATAAAACATTGTTCTGCCTGACAATTCCAGTTATGATCGGTTACGACCACCTCGATACAATTCTTCTTCGCTGGGTTTTTTTTTGGGAAACAATCGACGAGAGTTGAGAGAGAGAGAGAGAGAGAATGACGACGCAGACAGTGAACGCGCAACACTGTGTACAGGCGGGTTGATGAGAAAAGAAGCGGACGAAACGGTCGGTCGGTCGGTCAGTTCTCACAAAATGTACATATACGACATCGCGCATATTATCTATTCATTTGGTTTCGATTAAAGATTGAAAATATATTCGTTTTTCATCAAAAATTAAACGTGGTTGCGAAAATGTCAATTTCGAAATGAACTTTTATGGAGCAATTCAGAAAAATTCCTTTAAAAAAATGGAGAAAACCTTCAATGCAGAAAAGACCAAAAAAATCTTTTTTTTCTTTTGCTGCAGTGCAATTTTTCCTATTTTTCTCTGCTATTCCCTTTTATGGGAAAAGTGTAAAAAAAATTACGTTTCTCAAGCAGAAAATAAAAAATGCATGTAATTTTCACATTTTTTTGAATTTCATGAATAGCAGCATTGAAGAATTAATTTTTTTAATTTGCAAAACTACATATTTCATTCTTCCTATTTATTGCAAGTACAACAAAAGTAAGAAAAATCGACTTAAATTTGACATTTTTACACTTTCCAAGTTAAAAACTCAATGGTTAAATCGATTTTGTTAAAAATTTAGCCTTAGGCTTCTCTGAAACAGCATTAAAAATTTTAAGCAAATTATATCTAAAATAAACGAGTAAAGTGGAGGAAAAAGCTTAAACCAAAGCAGTTGGATTTTTTCGCTAAAATTAAAAAAAAAGTTGTAAACTGATAGTCACTGCTTCCTTATATGGAGGCAATGACTCATTTGTATTAATTTTGGCGCCTCGTTAAACAAAATATGCAACAAGTGCATTTGAAGGGTTTTCCACACGAAACCACCAATGATAAATTTTTTGTTGAGCGGCACGAATCGAAAATTCAGATTTCTTGCAAATCTCACTCTAATTCAAGCATGTTTTCATTCAATTCGTTATTAATTCAAAATATGCTTCTCCTCGTAAATAATTAATTTCGTGTTATCAGTCAAAACTCTGCTCTGGTAAATGATTCCTAGTCGTATACGAAAAAAGCGAATTTCTTCATCGTATAAGATAAAATTAAAATCGTATACGTTAATGGTAATCGTATTAGTTAATGTGAATCGTATAGGATCGTATACGATTCTGATGAATGGTTTGTAATCGTATACGAAACATCCGCATTTCCTCGTCGTATACGTTATTGCAAGGATCGTATACGATTTGGATTTTATCACAGTAGTGTAACCACCACAATTATACACTGCGGACATGCATTAAAATTGACGTCTAAATTCGAAAAACAATTTTCGAAAATTTTCGAATTTTTTCATATTCGATTTTTATGCGTATATTGCGTTTTAATATATATACTTTCCAAAAAAATCGTGCATTTTACTGGCTCCGCTCTAAGAAATCTATATTTTCTTTGCAGATATGTCGCAAAATTCAAAACTATTTGCATATCGAAAGCGATATCGTTACACCACACGAGAAATCATGGAAAAAAATATATAGGGAATATCGGAACGAGACAGAAACAGGTGATAACAACAAAAAAAATGAAGAAAATAACTATTTTCAGAAAATAGAGAAACTTAACATCAGGTATAACTAAAAGTAAAAACAGAGCAAGATTTAATTTCTATAGATTCTATAGAATCGTCTGAAGATGAGCTCACTTGCGCGGAAGAAGATTTTGTGTCAATGTCGAGCTGTGACAACTTGCAAAGAGTCATTACGTCGAGAGGTTGTTACCGTTTTTGCATATTTTTGAAATTATTTCGCTTTAGGCCAATGGGAAGCATTATCTTCGCGAGATTTTATTTTCACAGTTTGAAACGACTATTATCGTCAGAAATCACAAAGGGAATTGGGCAAAGAATGTTGCGGAAGTATGCTTTATTATAAAATTGTACACCGTAGAAAAATTTTAGTGCTGCAATTTTGCAAGATTTGACGACCGAAGTTCGTGCAAGACTTGATTCGGACCCAACGAGAAAACAACATGATGTGTCTATCGTGAAACTGAGAAAACTGCTATTTCGATATTCGGAGAATGATGATATCGAAAAAACGACAGATGTACCACTGAAGTACTCAATGCTGGCTCAAAAAGGCGATTTGTTTACTGAGAAATACAGCTATCAAGGCTCACACTACTCAATACAAAGAAATATTGCTTCAGATAATAGCGTCGTGATGTTTCGTTGGCGAAATTCACTGCAATATGGCGATGTATTGGGATTTCTCCTCAATGAGAAGTTCGGTGACCGGGTTATTCTACAACCATACATTCTAAATGAAAGGAATCATGTTCACGGTATGTTTTATTTATTGTTCAATCATTCCAAATGTAATGGTACCAGATTCCGCGAAAAAAAGCATTAAAATCATCAAAAGCCGTAAAAAAATATCAGAACTCGTCAAAACCGGCAAAAACCATTATAATTATGGTTACCGCTGTTTGAGTTTTTGGCGAAATCTGCATAGTACCACAATAGAAACTATAGAAACCCTATACTTCCAGATAGAAACTTTATCCCAAAAATTCGCGGCAAAGCCAAACAAAAACAATGTGAGTATTTTTTTAAATTTTGCTATTCTCTAAATTTAGATCGACGTGATCGCCGTATACAACCCTGAAGCTCTTAAAGACGCAGAAATAATTATTCCATCACTGGATGGAAATAGTGGGTTTTTTGTGTTTCGAAAGCTTTGAATTTGTATTAAATCTTTTAACAGGAGACATCAACGTCGCCCAAATATTTTTGGAAATTCCGTTCATGAAGGCAGCTCTGAAGCAGGTGATAAATACTACAGTCAACAGATTTGTCGATAAGGTATCTTACAATTATTTAAAGTTGCAAAAAATATCTTCAGACAATTCCCAATAACGATCGTGTGAATTATTCAACATCGTTTAAGCCAACTCCGCCGCACGCAACGCTTCCAGTTCGGTTTGTCAACACAGCGATTGGTATGCTCAAATAGCGCGAAAAATGTTTAAAATATGTTTAAATTAATTTCAGCTGTTTTACAAAAGACGGTTACCATCGCTGGAATGGCTGACGAAACGGCGAATTCTACAATCTCCTATTTGGTACACGGTCATATGACCTATCTCCTGTGAGTTTTCACTTTTTTAGTGGGCCTATGCAGATTTTGAAAAGAAACGCAGTAAAAACCTTTTAAAGAAACTCGACAACATTATAAAGATTCGGCTAAACTAGTCTTAATCAGATTTTTCGCGTTTTTCTCCAAAATCTGCACATGCCGAAGACTGCCTCATGATTAATCATTCAAATGAACTTAATTCAGAAACAATTCACGATCGAAAGCGCGAGCAGTGGAAAAAAATGGTTGATGCGCCAACCAAAATTAATTAATTTATTCCTTTTTCTTTTTCATTTTTTTGTCTTTCATATTTTTTTTAAATAAACAGGTATAGAAATCTTTACATCATATATTTAAAAGCGTTAAAATGCCAAACGAGTAGTGTAAAGTGAAATGGTATACGAAAAAAATCTCAATCGAATACGAAAAAATCTCAATCGAATACGAAAAAATCCCAATCGAATACGAAAAAATCCCAATCGAATACGAAGAAATCGTTACCGTATATGAAGAATTGTAGTCGTATACGAAGAAATCACAATCATATACGAAGAATTATAATCGTATACGAAGAAATGCCAATCGTATATTAAGAAATCCCAATCGTATTTGGCCGCGTTTGAAGAGCGATATCAGCGTATACGATTGAGCTTTCTTCGTATACGACTCGGAATCATTTACCAGAGTGCCGCTTCAAAGTATCAATGACCACTCCAACACTTGTTCGCAACAATTCGGACCGATTAAAATAGATTTATTGCTTAAACAAAAACTGCCAAAATTCAATAAAATATTTTCAAGGTGGCGATTCCTGTTATAGAATTGGTAGGGCTGTTAAATTAGTTTTTCTTGTTGAAGTAATCCTTGCTCTCCTTGACTCCTGGTTTGATAGTGTCGCTTCCTGGAGTCCATCCGGCTGGGCACACTTCACCGTGCTTCTCGACGAATTGGAACGCCTGGACGAGACGAAGAGTCTCATCGACCGAGCGACCGACTGGCAAATCGTTGATGGTGATCTGACGCAAGTTCTGCTCCGGATCGATGATGAAAAGTCCGCGGAACGCGATTCCATCTTCCTCCTTGAGGACACCGTAGTCGCGCGAGATTTGATGGTTGGTGTCGGCGATGACTGGAATCTCCATCTCGCCGAGACCTCCGTGCTTGCGTGGCTGGTTGATCCAGGCCAAGTGAGAGAAGACCGAGTCGGTCGAACAAGCAAGAACCTGGAAACATTGGAATTTTTGTTGTGGCAGTCCAATTTGAGCGTCTTACAACAGTGTTGATAGCCTTGAACTCCTTCACGCGATCAGAGAAAGCGATGATCTCAGTTGGGCAGACAAATGTACTAAAAATAGCAATTGGTGATTAAAAAAATATTTTTTTTAACTCACAAGTCGAGTGGATAGAAGAAAAGAACAACATATTTTCCCTTGTAGTCCGAGAGCTTGATGTCAACGAACTCTCCATCGACGACGGCTTGAGCCTTGAAGTCTGGGGCTGGTTTTCCGATGAAGGCTTTCGACATCTCTGCAAAAAAAACTAAATGTTGTTGAGGACACTTGGCAAGCGCGCCAGCAAAACGAAAGACTACGACCAATTTTTATCAATCGGTTTCGAGTTGTTAGCAGGAGTGATGATAAAAAGAAAAACGATGAGAAAGAAAAAGTGATGTATAGAATGTTCTCGGCAAGGTAGTGACAAAACACTGCAGAAAATCATCAAAAATGACACGAGCGCACAATTTTTTGTCGGCCCGCCCATTTTCTTTCATCATTATTTGAATGCACTCGAAATTGTTATGAAATTTTTAAAGATTGAAATATTTGGAGTTCTGCAAAACCGGTAGAATGTAGTCACAGAAATTGAATGAGAATGGATTGTCAACAACCGACAGTGACCAAATCTGGCGTCGCTTACCTTGACAGACGGGCGGCGCGAAGGCGGTGTTGGGTTAGAAACACAGAGAAGTGCGGCGATGGAACGCGAAAAAATGTAGAATATGGCTGAGGGCGCCGGGCGCCTAGAGTAGCCTAGCCGCCGGGCCCAAACATTTTGTTGACGCCAGCCCGCGCCGCTCGCCACAGATGATGCAACGCAAATAACAAAGATTTCCTGATTAATGCACGGTTTGAATTTTTGGCGCGAGATGAATTTTCGAAAAAAAACTTCGCGCGCAATCATCAGATGTATTTTCAGGAAGTCAAATGAAATGGAAAAGTAACATAATATTCTGGAGGGAAACTTGATTCGGACGTAATTCAATCGAAATGAAGTGAAATGAACTATGAACGAAGTTCTCGAAAATTCAGACGATAAAAAGAAACAACGAATGGAACTAGAAATTGCGCAAAGAATGATCAGAAAATGAAAAAACCATTGAAGCAAGCTACAGTAAAATTTCGCTACGGGGTTACACTAGACAATATTTGATGTCCCTTTAAATTGCACCGTAACCGAAAATAGTATTCTTGAACATTTTTTTTTTCAAATGTTTCTCAATGTTCTCTATTTTTTTTTTTTCAAAAAATAGCTCTGAATGTTTAATTAAATGATAATCAGGTAAATAAACAAATCTAATCTGGAGACGAAATGTCTTGTTTAACTTATGTTGACTGTCAAAGCTATCCAATTTCAATTCAATGCCGCTGCAACTGTTGCAATAGTACTGTCAGCGCAAATAATGCGACAGTTTATAAACGGCTCATTACAATTATTATTATTAAAATTATTGTATTTATTAGCGAAATGCGAAGCTAGCGATGACGAGTATAGGCTTTTGAACGATCTGAAGGAAGGGTGAGTAAAAACGCGCAATTAGTTAAAAACTAGACCGAAAATCTAGATACAATCCAATGGAACGACCCGTTTCAAATCATTCGTTGCCGGTGACGGTAAAACTGCGAATAATATTGCAGCAATTGGTAGATGTGGTAATAAGGACGTCATATTTTCTATTTTTTTTCTTTTCTATATTAAGGATGAGAAGAACCAAGTCATCACCCTTGTCGTCTGGACCCAATACACTTGGAATGATTATAAAATGAAATGGGATCCAATGGAGTACGGTAGGGTGTTATTCGGTTTTTTTGTCTAAAAATTATTGTATATATTTTCATTTTTGTAGGTAATATCACCACTTTACAAATAGCTCATGGGACCCTTTGGAAACCAGACATCCTGCTTTTTAATAGGTAATTAATTATAGTGCTCAATTGAATTAATTGCATCATTCGCAGCGCCAACGAACACTTTGATGCCTCGTTTCCAGTCAACATGGTGGTTTCGCACAACGGCGATGTTTTGTTCGCGCCACCGGGAATAATGCAGGTCTCATGCAATTTGGATATGACCTGGTTCCCATACGACGAACAAATATGCTATCTCAAGGTTTTGTCAAACGAACATTTAAAAACACGAAGTTATGATTTAGTTCGGATCATGGACCTACGGAAAAAAACTTGACCTTCAAATCGATGACAGTGGACTGCCGTCGGGACATTCCATTGATCTCCAATATTACGTGCCGAATGGCGAATTCGACTTGATTTCGACACCGGGACAACGCAAATCAACCAATTTCCTTGATGAAACTTATGTGGAATTGTATTTTCATCTTCAATTAAAAGTAAAATCTATAGCACGTATTATTCTTATTCAAATTGCGGAAGAACTCAATGTTTAACCTATTTTATTTAATTTATTTTTCTCGAAAGTCTGCGTTAGAATTACAATTCCATTTTAGAGAAGAGTTCTTTACTATGGAATCAATTGGCTAGTGCCTTCAGTGTTGATATCATTGAGCAATATTCTTGGATTCGCGATGCCTTCAGAATGCGGTGAAAAGATTACACTTCGTAAGATCCGAGAAATAGTGGCTCATTGACAAGGAAAATTGTTTTCTTTTCAGAAATCACCAACCTCCTTTCCGTCACTGTCTTCCTCGGAATGGTGTCAGAAGTCACTCCACCAACATCCGAATCGATTCCAGTAATTGGTAAATGACAAATTCTCATTCTATTGAACGTTTTCTATTCAGCGGCATTCTTTTCATTTTCTATTGTCATCTTGGGCCTTTCAATTTTCGCCACACTCATCATTATTAATATATTCTTCCGTCATCCAAAGTCTCATGTGATGGGAGAATGGGTAAACGAATCATTTGTTTTGGAAAAAAATTGTTTGGAAATTTACAGACAAGGTTCATTTTTCTTGAATGGCTACCTTGGCTCCTTTTAATGAGCCGACCGGAGCACACTTTCAAGCGGCCTGTGAAGCCAAGACATCAGAATGAAGATCTAGAAAGCTCTGGAACTCAAAAAAGCGGCTATTCGGAAATCAATCAGGAAGAAGGTAGCCACAAAATGTTAGCCCACAAATTTTCAAATTGATTTTGTTCAGAGAAGTGCCGACGTCCGAGGCTTCTTGTGAACAGCCAAGTCTTCAACGATCCTTCTCAACAAGCCCTCGAGGAGATCGTCGAGCTTCTTCGCGGTTTCCAGCAGAAGCTCGAGGAAGACGAGGAAGAAGAAGAGCAAATTCTCGATTGGCGATTCATGGCAATGGTTATCGATCGCCTTTCGCTGTTCGCCTTCACCGCCCTGATTCTTGGCACCACCGCCGTCGTCTTCCTCGTAACCCCCAATCTGTTCTCATCGAACCCCATTATCGAACAAAAATAGATAAATCCCTTTTTATTTGTAATTGTAATTGTAATTGTAATTGAAAGCCATTATGGGTTGTACTCGATTGGAAGATTCTTTCTGCGGACCATTCCGTCTCCCTGGAACCACTCGCGACGGAATTGCTTGGCAGCACCGTCAGGGGTGTTGGTCCACTCAACAGTGATACGATCGTTGTTGGTATCCTGTAAATGACAAATTGTTTCAGGCAACTTTAGGATTACGATACCTCCTGTCCGAAGGCAAAGGCATCGCAGGAAACAGCAAGAAGAACAGCCTCCTTTGGGTCACGCATGGAGGATCGACTCCAAGTCTCTTCATATTGGTGGTCTTGATTCCATATCCGATACGGCGAGCCGACGAGTTGATCACCTTGATGTGATAGGTGTGCTTATCATCATAAGGCGCGTTGAAGACGATCTTCGCGTTTGGTTGAGTTTGGATGTCTCCTGGTGGAACCGATTGAGCCATATTTGTTCGATGCTCATTCAGATTCAACTTTTCGCTTTTATAGCGCAAAGATAAGATCACATTGTTCTAGAAACGTGTCAAATCTATAAATGACGTCGAATAAGTTGTTTCGAAAGAAGAAGATAAATCAAATCATTGTTTTTGCTTTTTGAAAATGACGACCGAAATTGAAAATGAGCTCGAAACAATGAGGATTGACGACAAAGAGTATCCAGTAAGTGTGAGATTCAGAAGTCACAAGTCTCATTCGTCGTTGTTCAGAAGGGCTCTATCATTCCGCCTCTGTCTGAAGAGGAGCAGAAGATTCTGGAGGAGGAGATTAAGAAGCGCACGAAGCCGCCGCCGGGTGTCGCTGAAGCCGTCGACTTCCCCCTTCATGATATTGTTGTGGAGTTGAAGCTTGATCGTGAGTCGAGTCAAATCTTCGCAGATATTGTGGCATTTCAGAGCCGGTTGAAGGCGTCGAGCCCGAATTTTATAATGAGCTCAAGAAAAAAGAGGCGAAAGAGATTTATCATAAGATGAAGGATGTTCCCGACGCGATCGCCCGGAAATACATTCCCGTAGTTTCAATATTCGTAGAGGACTCTCGAATGAGAGTGGGATTTTCGTTGCAGGACCTCGCGCGGCGATTTGTCGAATTTGAGAGGCGCGTGAAACGAATGGAACGAATGCTTTGGGCGCTTCCGCGAGAAGATCGAAGTTTGGAGGAAGATCGCTTTGAGATTCTCACAGAGCTTTTGGATAAGGCGTGCCAGGGAATGGAAATTTGGGAGGAGCATTGCGTAAGTTTTTGGGTGACCAATTTGCTCAGACAATGTCGAGAATAATTGCAGGAAAGAAAAATTCCGCTTGGCCATCGCTGCTATCTCGAAGGTGAGCTCATCAGCTTGATCGACGGCAAATTCGATTTGATCGAAAAAATTTGCAAGGAATTTGACAAGCTGAAAGGCCAACGAGAAGAGGTCAACAACGAACGAGATGTAAGCGAAGGGTTTGGGTTGATTCTCGAACTTCATCACTTTAGATGCTTCGATATGAAATTCGCCACTGTGATCTCATCTTCACCGAGATTCATGAGAAATTCCTCAAGTCGTATCTCGACATGGAATGGTAATCGATGTTAATATGCAACTAAACGAGAAACGATGAATCTTTTAAAATTATCATTTATTATTAGTTGATTTCTTTACAATAAATTAGAAAAAAATGTGCAAGGTTACAATATTAGTTGGCAAGAAATCACCGGTTTACTTTGATTTCTTGAAGTTGATCGGAATCGGTCGAGATTTGTTCTCGATGGCCCGCTTCTTCGGCGCACTGAGCGTCAGATGGCCGTCGTTGGAAAGCGAAGAAGTCATGGCTGACGGATCGACGTCGTCCGGCAAACGGACCATTCGGTGGAATGATCTCTTGCTGTAGCCGTGCTCGTGTTTCACTTCCTGCTCGCCTTCCACCGTCAACTCATTGCCATTGATGTTGACTTTAAGGTTCTCCGGCTTGAAGTGCGACACGTCGATCTGCATTCCGAATTTCTGATCGTTGTTGACAATCTGAAACAATCGGTATAATTTGGCGCCAATTTCAAATTTTCAATCTTACCTCTCCGATGGGATTCGAGAAGTTGAAGCACGAATGATCGGCGTTTCTCCAATACGGCACCGTGATTCGGTCGAAATCCTCGAAGAGACTGTCGAATGGAGTGCGAAGAACAAGCATGTTGAGAGCGCTGATTCAAATTTGCTGTTTACTGCTGAATTCGGACCCCGACGGATGCCTATTTATACGCGCGTGCAGCCATTTTTCGAGAATGCTCGCGAAAGACCCAGACGGCGAGAGGGCGGGTAACAGCGGTCAGATAGAGAGACGCAGACGAGCAGAGCGCAGCGAGAGACGCTTACGCGACGAGCCTGGATGGTGCCAGAAGTTTCTCGAAATGGGGTGTTGTTTTGTATATAAGAAATGCGTTTTGAAGTTTGAATCAACCTGAAACAAATTCTACTGCTCTCAACTGCTTTCAACGATGTCACTCTACCCATTCTTCGCTCCACGATCGGTCTACTCGCCAGTCCACCATCTTCTGCGTGAAGTGTCGGACCTTGAACGTCAGATTGAACCATTATTCCAGAGTCTGTGCCAAAATGAGGTATGTTGACTTTAAAAATTATTTTGTTCAATCTCTAATATGCTATTTTTCAGATGTTCAAGAGCGACAATGAGAAATTCAGCGTCAATTTGAACGTCTCCGACTACAAGCCCGAAGAGCTTAAAATCGATCTTGATGGCCGCAAGTTGAAGATCGAAGGAAATCAGAAGGTTGAGAATGAGCACGGCTTCTCAAAGAGATCATTCTCGAGGATCGTGCTCCTTCCGGAAGACGCTGATCTCGCCGCCATCACCTCGAACCTCACCGAAGACGGCCAGTTGAGCATCGAGGCTCCACGCGTTCCAAAGGATACCGGTCGAAGTATTCCGATCAACGTGAATCCAGCGGTGAAAGACACGCCAAAGGAGAACGGAAAGTGATTTGACAATTTCCTATTTTGTATAGTATGTAATTACCTTTAAATTATTTTGTTATAACTTGTTTTTGCTTGCCAATAAACATTAATGAACCTCTAAAAATTGCTTGTCTTTGAGTATCGCATAAATGTTGTAAAGAATTCAAAAAAAATCAATCAAACACAGTGGTCCTCTGAAATTTCTTCCAAGTCTTCAGTATTAATTATTATAATTGATGCCACATTTGAATCGTATCATCTCCCTGAAATGTTTTGAAAATCATTGATTCCAAAAAAAAAACAGAGTAATTATTACATTCGCGAGAAACGAACACCGATTTTAACAGCGAGTTTGATTCGCAGGTTATATAGAGTACGGTACCCAAGTTGTCACATTTGAATTCCCGCCTTGAAAAAGTGCGATGGTCCACAATTATGCAAGACGATCGTGTTTTGCGCAGTTTTATTGTCGGCGTCAAGCGATTGAAGTGAGCTGGGACCTTTAAATTCACGAAATCAGTGTAGATTTAAATTTATCGTTGACTGAATATTAAATGCGCGTACGCTATAATGCAATGTACGCAGCAGAGCTGCACGGATTTCCGTCTTCCGTCTTGGATTTCCGTCCGTGAAATTTTCCTGTTCCGCATTCCGTTTCCGTCTTCCGTTGTCCGTAGAAAAAAATTTGTTCCGTGTTCCTTGTTCCGTTTTTAGAAAATTTAAGTTCCATGCAGCTCTGGTACGCAGTCTCGCGTACTACTACTACTACCACGTCAGATTCGGAGAGTACAGAAGCAAATTCGAAGAAAATTCCCCTTAAAAACTAATCGTTTTACAAATGATTAATTTGAACAAAAAAGTGTAACAGAAACGATTTTTTTTCATGCCACTTATTAGCAAAATTCGAATATTCGTTTCAAAACTGATTTCCGAATTTTTCCGTTGATTTGTTGATATTCGAAGCATTTAATTTTAGATTTCAACACAACGTAAATATTGACGTCGTGAAAAACACCTGGTCGAGAAATTAATCTTTTGTTCCTCATTCCATTATTCGGCTGATTCCAATCAAACATTCGTCATCGTTTCAGAAACCCCCAAAAAGATTCGACGTTTTTGCATGATATTGAAAATAGCCGATTGCGATTGTCAAGTATGGATTCCGCTATTCTCCTTGCATCTTCCCCATAGCATATTGACATATTTAATATCATCAATTGAGATCATTTTCACAGTTTTTACGTTTATTCTAGTATTAAGAACAATTCGAATACTCTATTCGAGTGCTGTATTCCACAAAAATCTCAATTATCTCTTTATATGGGTATCAGTGTCATGGTTTGAATCTCTGGTGTTCAAGGTGATTTCAACTTTCTACATCACAGGAATCGCGAATTCGGGAGGTACGTATTAAAATGGAATCTTACGAAATAGTGTTTATTGTGGGGAGGGCGCAGGTTGGGAGAGTACGCGCGGGAGAGCACTGTTAAAAAAGAGACGCAGACAAAACTCGGCCGAATTTCGCCGATTTTCAGTGCCCGAGAATCATACGCAATTCTGGTATTCTCGAAATCCGGCATTATTCCCGAGAATCGAATCAATTTCTGGAATTCGACCTCTTCACATCGCTAGCTTATTGCGTTGGCATTATTTCTTCACAATCACCACTATGATTTTCTGTACAGCAGCCGAAAGACTCTGCGCAACATATTTCATTCTGTACGATGATTTTGTCCTTCTTTATTTTTTCTAAAATTTCGAATAAGAATAAAAATATAGGGATTATGAATCGAAGCGACGAACCTATATATTCTATCTTATAATGGTTTTCTCGAATCTATTCAATATTCCAATGTCATTTTTGACATATTATAATATTCTTCAGCTTCTTCATGCATTCCTATATATGGTGATTGCGAATATCGCAGCTGGCCTGGTGAGTTGGAAAACAAAATGCTCAACGCGGCGAAACAGCATAAATTTCGAGTTTGGGCAAAAAATCCTTTTTTTTTTGACCAATGAGCTTACCGTGCGCGATTCGTCTTAAAGGTGTGCATACACACGCACGCAAAATTGCACACAGTTGTTCATTGTTGGAAAAATTTGTAATTTTTTAGACATTTTAATTGCATGAATAATTCATTTAAAAATCTTTTAAAAAAGAAATTTTCAATTTTTTTGTCGATGAAAAATATAAATTTAAGATTTAAATGTTCAATGGAAAGAAAATAAAAAAAGAAAAAAGGGTGAGGTAAGTTTGTTTGAAATAAGATTTAAATGATTTTTTGTCTTTTTTTGTTGCTCGATCAATTTTGAGCTCAAATTTAAAATTTGATTGATTTTAATTTACCTAAGATGGCCAATTAAGTTTTGAAAACTTTTCTAATTTTTTTTTGAAATGGCTGACCGGCCCGGTTTTTTTTTTTCAAGCCTATTTTGAAAATTCCCCGAACGGGTGCCTAAATTGAAGGAAATTCTATTTTAAATTGCTAACAGTTGCCGTCATTCTGCTCATTTCTAACGAAATTCCCCTAATTGCCCGCTGTTTGCACATTCGCGAAAATTCAAATCAAAGATCGCTGCATTTTATTTTTCATAAGCACGTTACTCATTTAATATACAATAGTTTGATATGAATTTCAAATACGATTTTGAAACAGGATATCACAATTTTTCTCAGAAGCATATTGTCCTTCTAAAATTTCAGATGTTCACAGCCAGCCTTATAGTGAATAATCGCATCATAAGGAAGTTTAGTAAAGACGCTTCGAGCTATACACTTCCCATTAGATTTCAAGCGCGAGAAAATATTAAAGCGATCAAGGTATTTTTTTGATTTTCTCAAAAATTCGCGATTTTTTTTGTTTTGAGATGATCGAACGCATCATAATTGTCGGCTTCATCCTCATAGCCTTCGGCTTTCTTTGTGTGGCCGCTCTCCTCTACAACATTTATCCCAATTCGAATACTATCGTTTTATTTCTCTTCGAGGTTGTCGCTCATTTGTAAGCCATTCATATTCATTTTGAGAAATTCGGACCCAATTTCAGGAATCCCATGATAATATGCCCTTTGGTGCTAATGTCGCTGAACAAGTGGGACGATCGATTTGAACAAAAAAAGTCCATCGAATACCGCAACGAGACCGACGTCTACTTCAAGCAGTTGAAGAATGCATGGGAATAATTTGTTTTGGAAAAAAAATGATAAAGTGATTTAATGCGATATTCGAATTTTATGAATCTCAAAGGGAAAATTGAACCCGAGTTGATGTCATGGTTATTTTTTGGGGAAAAACCGTGGGAAAAATACTATTTACCTTTTAAGGAAAAAATTTCACAATTTACGAGATACTTTTCCCATATGCCCTTATGATTGTAGAAATTCGTTGCTTATTCGGAAGTTTCCAGATGATTGAACTGCTAAAAGGCGGCACAAGACCTTTTTAAAGGCGCATGCTTATAAATCAACCACGTTTTGCAAATTAGCAAATTGAATAAATTGCATATTATTTATCGCGTTCCACAAACCATTTTCAATCAGCGACACCAAGTTCCGCTGACTTCGCGTCACGTCATCGTCGCATCAGCAGCTCAGTAGTCCGCAATTTCCGATTGATTGCATCTGTCCTGCCGGCCGTGTCGAACAGCTGAATTAGTTGTGAACGCAGGTGTCATTCCTATGTGACAAATCCTTCCCGTTTGAAATTCTCCGCACGATGAGATGATATTATTCGTCAATGATTGCAATTGCCGTATATGGCTTCCCGTGTTCTCACTCCACAATCCGCATTCGGCCGCCTTCAACTCATTGTACATTCTTGAGATCATTTGCTCATTAATCGTGTGCGGATTAGTCATCAAAACGATTCGCGCGGTTTATTCAAGTGTCGTGTTTCATCGAAATTTGAATCATATTTTGATGTGGGACATTTTTATATGGTTCGAGTCGCTTCTATTCAAATTTATCTCGTTATTCTATGTCAGCGGATTCGTGCCTTCAGGAGGTAGTGCATTTTGTTTATTGATTTCAATGAAAACAACGCCTGAATTCTAATAACCGACCTTTTTTGTAATTAAAGCGAGATAGTGTTTATTGTTGGGAGGGCGCAGGGTGAGAGAGCGTGCATGAGAGAGCACTGCTTTAAAAGAGGCGCAGACAAAGTTCGGCCAAATTTCGTCGATTTTCAGTCGCCGAGAATCACTCGCAATTCTGGTATTCCGACGACGCATCGCTATTCCCGACGATCGAAACCCTCTCAAATATTCAACCCCTCAATATCGCCTGCATTCTCCGATGGCACTACCTCTACACAATCACCACATTGTTATTCTTCCTGGCTTCCGAGAGACTATGCGCTTCATTTTTTATTTTGTAAGTGTTTTTTATTCACTCAACCCGGATGTGTTTGTGCGTTGTTCTTTGCATATGACTGAATTTGCAGAGATTACGAGAAAAAGCGACGTAGTTATATTTTCTATTCGCTTTTCGCATTTTCCAATGCGTTCACACTACCAATGACATATGTCACATTTTTTAATTTGGCCTCGTTTTGTCCGCTGTTCTCGATTCTTGTGGCTTCGAATTCGATCGCGCTTGTGGTAGGTTTTTGAATCATTCAGCTTGTGGTCTCGCATGGAAGATTGTCATCTCGAAAACAGTGGGGTTCGCCGATTTGTTGGTTTTTTTTTTTCAAATTTCTGACAATGCTCCTATCCAAATTAATAGGGCACTTTAAAAAATAGCATTTTTCCGTTAAAAAAAGAATAATTCCAGATGTTCCTGTTCAACCGAATATTCAATAAAAAGGTTATCAAGAAATTCAATAATTGCACCACAACATATTCATTGGCAATGCGATTTCAAGCAAGGGAAAATCTCAAAGCAGCCAAGGTACCATCCAAAAATCGGTGATCCCAATTGTTTTTTTTAATTGCAGCTAATTCAGCGCATAATAATTGCGGGTTTTGTTTTATTAGCATTCGGCTTCATCATCATAGCATTCATCGTATTCGAGTGGATTCCATCGCTCAAATCAATTAATGTATTTTTCTTAGAAATCGTCGCTCACCTGTAAGGAATATCGATTTTCGCCAAATTTGGTTGGGCCAAAATTGCGTTTCTTCAGCAATCCGTTATTTCTGTGCCCGCTGGTGCTGCTCTCGATGCACAAATCGGACACGGCGCCGCTCGGCTCAATTCAAGCGAAGATGTCAAGTCAAAACGAGGTCGATATTTATTTCAAACAATTGAAAAACGCTTGGGAATGAGTCTAGACGTTAAAGCTGCACAAATTTGCTCAATTCAAGATTTATTCTATAAATTTTCGAGTGGTTCTGTTGTTGTCGAAAGAAAAAAAAAAACAAAACGGGACACGAAATACACTGGTTACCGGGAGATGGATTTAAGACAATTGATTCTAGTATGGTGGGGGGAGAGGAGGGAATTCCCAACCTCGCCCCACAAAATGGAATGGAATATCGAAACTATCGAGTTCATAATTTGTACATACAATTTTCGGCACCTCAATCACGCTGCAATACGGCGTTTTTGAGGTTGTTGATCTCCTGCTCCATCATCGCCACCGTGTTTTTGAGCTCCTCGTTCTTTCGCGAGAGCTCCTCGAGCTCCTGCTCGGCAATCTCGCGAGCCTCTCGCTGCCGTTTGCGATAGCGCGCCGCCGCCAAATTGTTCTGAAATCGTCGACACACTCTCATTGCGTTCGCTCGTTCCGCCATCGATCTACCTGAACGCGCTTGCGTCGCAATATCTCTTCCGGACTCTCCTCTTTGGCTTCGTTGATTTGCGAGTCATTGAGCACCGTCACCAGAAGCTTCACGATCTTCTCAATCGACGCCGATGATGGATGGGCCTTCTGAAGCGTCGTTTTGCTATTCGAAATTCTTTTGAATCGTTCAGCTGATTACCCCGAGATGCTCTTGAATTTCGCGTTTAATCACACCGGTAATTTGTGGCATTTCCATTGGCATCGGCGCCGGCTGATGCGAGGTTTGGGCGGTTGGCGCAAACGAGGTGTACGGCGGTGGTGCCATTGGGCATTCTGGAAAATTGAAAATTGAACGGCGTTTTGAGGCCGGAGCACATTTTTTCGAATTTTTCGGAAAAAAAAAATCCGAAAATTTTTTTTTTCAAAATTGTGCTCAAAACATTCAATATGCTCTGTAATGTTTTTTTTTCAGTCAAATTTTTAAATTAAAAAATTCCAAAGAATTATTCTAATTCCTGCAATAACTTGACGTTTCCATAATGATCACACTTTTTCAGTTGCTATGATTTATAGACTGTTTCTGAAAAAAAAATGCGGCTACTGGTATCATTCGCCACAAGACCCAACTCGTTTTTGCCGCTATTTTGCCATTTTATGGGGTCTTGAAATTTCAGAAACGATATATATTAGGAGTCTGGCGACTGCTGTATGCGGGTAGATTTACGCGCATGCATCTTCGCTATGGTCTCGCACGGACTAACTGATTATTTTTCATTTTATTTTCAATTTCAATGATGAAAAAAATTATCAAGAAAATCATAGAAAATTAAAAAATATCAATTGAAAATAACAAAAAAAAAGTATTCACACGTGGCGAGACCAATTCGAAAAGCGCATCCCGTAAATCTACCCGCGTAGAGCAGACGCCCAACGCCGACTAACTTGAAAATTTTATAAATTGAAAAAAAAAAAACTAGTGGGTCCCAATAAAGCTGTATCGATACCGTAATTCAAGGCGCAAAATTTTCGAGAACGAATCTAACCCAAATTTTAAAGGCGCATTGCTCAATTCAATATTTGTCTTAAATTTCGAGAAAGCAACAGTGAAAATTTAACAACAAAAACAACCACAAAAAATGTGGATAACTTCATTGCATCAACCTTGTTCTTCTTCTTATCAATTGATTACTGTAGGCAAGCGCGTGACGCAATTGCGGTCAGAGACGCAGATGAAATCAAATTTTTGCGATTTGTCCAAATTTGGAACAACGAACACGTGATCGAAAGCAATTATTCTCAACCAAATTTGGCGATTCAGGTCTCAACCGATAAGTTTCAGCGCACCGATTACGGTCGACACTTACGCATTCCCAACGGGACGCCGTTCTGATCGACGGGTATCGGATGAGGCGCCGTTGATGTCATCACCATATGATAAGGCGGATACGGCAATTTGCTCTCGTCCATCGACGCCATCATCTGTTGTCCGAAGGTGGTGTCGATTTGCGGGTAGAACGCCGTCGGCGTTGTCGGGCTCGAGAACTCGGAGAGTGGCGTCGCCTAAACGAGATAACGAAAGGGACCATTGTGCTAGAGCGCGATTCTCTGGATGCCCCATACCGGTGAGCTTCGCTCAATCAATTGCGCCTCGGAGACGATCTCGCGATAGATGTCGTACTCGGTGCGATGCTCAACGGGCTCCGAGACGATTTCGGGTTGCGGGGTGAGAAGCTGAAAAAAAAATACATCCAAAATAAGCTATATATTAATTTGCAAATACCTCTGTAAAATTCGGACCACTAGAAGCCGATTTGTTGGTGGAAGCGGCGGCTGGCTGCTTCGAGGGACCCTGATCTGCATATATTAGTTTTTTTTTTCCAATTTCAAAATAGGAAAAATCAATTTAGCTTTTGGAAGGGGTCGATGAGCGAAATTCTCAATGGTCCTTAGCAAAACTCAAAAAAAAAAACAAGGAAGGGACCAACTTTTTATAGTGCGGCTAGTGGAAAATGAAAGGCGGGGGTGAAATCAAGAGGCTCAAAATGGGAAGCCTGAACATTAGATGATGCAATTCGAAATGATAAAACGCGCAATCGGCAAATAGTACTGGTTCGTTGGATGGCAATGAGAACCCGAGACCAGTGAGAGCGTCGAGGCGGCCATGATGACAGTGTGCGTCTTCGTCGAAACAAAGAAACCTCCCCCCCAAAAATTTTAATGTCATTTCCATTATTGCCGAGTTGCCAATTCAATTATTGGTATTCAAATCGCTGGCTTTTTTCACTCTCACCTGTTTTCGATGATGACCGCTTCCGGAAGCCGATCAGCGAGCCCAACAATCCGCGCTTCATAAAGTCCTCGGCGTCCCATGATGTCTGCATTCTTTTTTCTCACGCCGAACTCGTCGTCGACATATAGATAATGGGTAGGAGATCCTATAATAATGTTCAATAATCATTTTTTTTTAATTTGAAGGCAATTTATTAATCGCTGCGAGACCCGTGGTTACTGTATGGAAGGAAGTCTTTCAAGACTACGGTAGATGAAAAGGAGATTTTGGAAAGAGCAAAAGGGAACTGGTTGAAGCATAATAATAATACATTGTTGCAGGGCCCAACGGATGTTGACTAGATTACGGTAGATCACACACTCATCACAGATTCTAATAGAGCATTCAGTGGAGCACTGGAAGACAAAGATTTTAAAGATTTTTGGGTTTCAGCCTTCGCAATTCAAGAGCCATTAAACTATAACTAATGGCACCGTATAGTGTATTGCTATCTACAATTTTATTCCAGAGAAACAACGAAACAAAAAATGGGTCTCGAAGCGAAATTGGCGGAATGCCAATGAAGCCATAAATCAGCAAACGAGTCGCATTTCGTGTTATCAAATAGCGCGCCACCGAATGATGCCACTATTCGGCTCCCGTCTCGACTCCGCCCACAATTCAAAGAATATTTGAGCATTACTAATAAGCGAAAAAAAGCCATACAATTCTACTCGATCGTTCTTTTTTTTTGCAAAAAAAAATTGCGTCACCGCTAAAATCAATCAATATTTGATGAACATATGGGAGGCAGTGATAACAAGACGGCAAATTGGCATGTGATTTCGATTCGAACCCAAAACAACAATATTACATACATTTGTGAATTGTTATAATATAATATAATTCGAATTATAATTAATTATGCGATAATCGGGGGCTTCGAATGAATGAATTGGTTGATTGGCGGCGAGACAGACGGCAAATGACGACGAGAAACGCTGTGGAGACGAGATGGCGGAAAAAATAAGAGATAGGAAGGCTACTGCAAAGGCGGCGAAGAGGAAGAAGAAGAAGAAGAAGACCCCCTTATTGTTATCATTAGCATCAGAAAAAGGGAGGGTCGAGTTGGAGCTGTGCTCAGCGATGCTCTTATCAACAGCCAATGCCGAGAAACGTGATAATTTATATGTAGACGTTGTACAGTAATCTCGTCGGCCGAAATCGAATCGTTGAAATTTCGTTTTGTTATCAACCATTTTTGTGCTTCTGTGCGTTTGGCGAAGGATTAAAACGGCCAGCAGCAGTCGCTTCTTCAAATTGCCACCATATTTGGACTTGTGACGACATTGGAAAGTGTACTCGACGAACCGAAAACGACCTGACTGATTGCAAAGAAGCTTACTTATTGGCCGAGTTTGGTGATATCATGGTCGAGCACACACACTAGAGTTTCGTGCATTTTTTTTCTTGAGAAAATGTGCCTGAGTGTTTTTTGGTTGATAATCTTCGAATGTTTATAAGAATACAATAGGGGAATTTTTAAAAAGAGGGCGTGGCCTAGAATTTTTTTCAGTTCCCACAACCAAAAAGCTGAACCAAATATTTGAAAATAGCAAAAAAAAAGTTTCATAGGCGATTTTTCACGTGAAAAGCACGCAATTGGAAATTCTGCGAGACCAGAATGTCAGAATGTACGCAAATCTAAAGAATATCTAAAGTCAAATTAATATTGTTCATGTTTCGTTTTTATTTTAAAAAAATTCGAAAAAAATGTTAGCGCAAGGCGGTTTTTTGAACCGTTCGCCAATTAGCAAAAAATGTCGCATTATATTTTTGCAAACTTACAACACATTTTTAAATGGTTTACAGCATTCAAAAACTCTTCATGTAAGGCTTCTGACGAAGAGAGGCGGCCGCGAAATGTTCGGCCATTCGATTCGTTTTCACATGCGGCCTAAATTTGCAAGTGCGGCACACTACAGGCTAATTTTCGAAATTATATGTAATGCCTAGTCACAATTTTCTTTTATTTCCACAAAAGGCGAATTTTTTTATATTATTAATTCTATTGATTCTATTAATTAATTCAACAAATGTGGCCGTGGCCGAACCTTATTTTTGAGGAAAATTTTTCTAGGCCGCACGTGAGTTGTGAGCGGTGAAATCATCACTTTTCACATTTTTCTTTACATTTTCTACAATCGCCTACAGTATCCTATCGGTGCAAGGTATCGCGGGATTCGGTACTTTGGTACGCAACCAGGATGTGCATTTCACCCAGCACCGCACGTTTCAAAATATACCCTGCGCCGATTAACGGTGAGTTAGCTTCGAAGATATTCCAGAGTACAGTGTTCGAATTCAAATTTGAATTATCGCCTCAGAAAAGTGCGATGGACCACAATTATGCAAGGCGCTCGTTTTTTATGATAATGGAATGGCAAATTATCGCAGCATTATATCGCTGTCTCAAAAAAACGCTTAAAATGCATGACAAATTGATAAAAATTTCAGATGAAAACAGAATATTGCAAATATTGTATAAAAAATCACTAAGGCGCCATTTGGTACCTTTCTGACCGAATTTGACATTTCAATTATTATAATACCAAAAAAAAACGAGCACTTTGACAATTTGTGGACCATCGCACTATTTCGCGGCGGTAATTCAAATTCGAATTTAAACAATAGGAATTCTGCTACCATACTACGGATATTCTGCAGTGTGTCTACCTGGGACGAAGTTTCCCGGGAATTTCCGGGTTCCCGGGAAATTCCCGGGAAAATTTTCCCGGGACCCGGGACTCATTGAAACTTAATTTCCCGGGATCCCGGGATCCCGGGAAATTCGTTTCCCGGGTTTCCCGGGAAATTCCCGGGACAATCCCGGGAAAGTCTGCAAACACCGCGCGCGCAAACGCACACTCTTCGAATATTGCGTATTGTCGTTTTTTTCGAAATTTTATGAGTTTTCTTATTTTCTTTGTCATTCTGATTCGCGACATATTCAAATCGAAACTTTTCAGTCAGTCTTTTCAGATCGAATCAGCGATATTATTTGATATTATAATTTATTGTTTACTTGATCGATCTTCAATATTTTCGTTGAAAAAAGTCTATTGAAAAAAGTTTAAAACCATTATTTCGTATAAAATTCTTGCTAATTTGGAAAAATCGTTATTTGCACATTTCAATTGTACTCATTTTTCTGCCAAATTTTAAAAATTCCAAATAGGGACTTCCTACGCCATTTTCTAAGCATTGGAATCTTTTTAAAATAAGAAAATTCATTAAAAAGAAACGAGAATACGCAATATTCGAAGAGTGTGCGTTTGCGCGCGCGGTGTTTGCAGACTTTCCCGGGATTGTCCCGGGTTTCCCGGGAAACCGCTCATCCCGGGAAATCCTGTCCCGGGTAGATACACTGATATTCTGCGAATAAAACTCGAAAAAAAAATCGGCGTAGGGTGCTCGATTTTTAGGCGAATTTAATAGATGCTTTTCTGTATTATCTCGCCCAGTTTTACAAATTTTGACCGGGAAAATATTGAGCGACAATATGACAAACCTGATGATTTTTCCGACTCCTTCAGCAAAATACCAAATTGTCTGAAAATCCCGCTTTTATGGGGATGCGCGTCAACAAAGAATCATGAAGCTTTCAATTCCTGATGACGATGGTAAGGAAGATTGGAGCAAAAAATGCTGATTTCTTTGTTCTGCTTATTTTTCCTATTCAACAGCCACTTGAACCTTCTGATGCCCAAATATGAGTTCAACGAACTCATTAATAATCTGAATGAATTTAAATTGAAAAAAAATATTTGAAATGTCGTCATTCACTATTTGTCAATAAATGGACACAATCTGATGATATTGAGGCTATCACATCTTCTGAATTTCAACTTGGAGCAATTCTAAAAAAGATAAAATAAAGAACTTAAGGATAATTATTCGCAAACTCTGATTCCAGCAACCCTATTCGACTAATTGTACGGCTAAAATTTCTCGCCGGCATCCGATCTGAAATGAAATCATTGAATACAGTAGCAAGGGATTTGTGATCACTGCAATTGATCGTCTTCTGGTTCCTCCTAGCTTTTCCTTCATTTTTGACATTTCATCATTGATCTTTAGCAGTTCTTTTGTTTCAAGAGATAATGAAAAAAAAGTATATTTATAAAATTAAGAAATCAATCTTGCACGATTTTCATTAAAAAAAATATGATTTTTCAATTTTTAATTGCGTTTTCAAATTCGAAATAATAAGGATTCGAAAATGGTTTGCCAATTCGGCGAGCCCGAACACCGATAATTGTCGACGCCACTCCACCGTGTGCGCCTAGACTTCACCAGGCATTTCCCTCCTGGCTCGGACCCTTGGGGTCACCGATTCGGGGTGTTGGTCCGCGTCTCGTGGCACGAGAAGCGCGGCACCCGTGCGGGCTCTCTCAAATCCGATTCAACGAATGTTCGCGAGACACGCTCACAGCGGTTCGAGCAATTCGGTGCGGGACCCAACGAAACGCAATTCACAAAATGATTTCGTTTAATTTGAAACAATTTCCCACAAATTTGTTGAATATCATGCAAATCTATTTTATTGACTTACAAAAAATTCCTTTGAAACTCGGAACGGCACGGAAATCTTCAAGCAAAATCCACTGTCCCCTCTGATTGCAATTATTCTCGTCGACGATATGAATGGAATTCGGATGTATTAAACGTCTGAAATATGGAAATTTGCCGAAAAAGCAACTAAAAATCGAGTCATCAGCTGAAACTACTGGTTTTATCCTTCTACAAAAACATGGCCGAACAGTCATGGCCGAACTTATATGGCCGAAGTTGGCGCTTTTTGGAAAATGGATGAAGACAAGATAGGTTAAAAAATGAATCAAAAGTGGATAAAAATCGATTCTTTCTCTTTTCATCCATTTTTCATCTATTTCCAACGTCCATTGCAGTTTGTTTTCCACGCGACTGTTTTTAAGTTTAGCTCCCCTCAAATTTAACTGGGGGAGCTGGTGGTATAAATCTAGGTGGCGGACAAATCTGTTTTTTTTTACCTTAACAATCCTTTTAAAAAATATATAAGCAAATCTAACTGGAGACACGGTTTTTAATGATTGACTTACAGATTAAATGGCGTAGGATCGAAAATAAAAAAAAATGAGAATTTTTTATTGTCAGTGATTGATAGAAGCGAGGGTCACGTCATTTCTCATAAAAATCTTCAATTTGTTTTTTTAAACTTCCATTTAAGCTTCACCCATTACTTGAATGTTTCTTTTGATAAAAAAGTGCGACTTTGAGACCATTATGAAATTTAGATATATTCATACTCAATTTTAACGTTCTGACCAAACACCAAAAAAATTATTCATTGAAACTTGATTGCGATTTGAATAAGCAGCTTCTTACTAAAATACAAGGTTAATTAAGATTTAAATTGTTTTTATTTTGAAATATTTTCAATTCAAACATCTGAAATTTTCAATTTTGTTTTATTTAATTTTTAATCAATTTCGAACCAAAACACATTTTTTTTAATTCGTTGTTCAAAAATTATTCAATATATCCGAATATTGAACTTTTTCCATTTATTATGCCTCCTTTTAAATCCACCATTAAAATTAATATTATTTACTTCAATAAAGGCGATAATTATTTAATTGAGTTTTCTTTATTTCCTTTTCCTAAAACAACCGCCTTCTCCATTTAAAAGCAGGTGAAAACTACAGTAAGAAACAACCAAACACCTTTAATTCGTCGATTATTTCTTTTTTTTTTTTCATTTTTCGGCGATTAAAATGCGCAAATTTGGTTGATTTTTTTTTTAAGAGAATTGTCTTTTAACTTATTTGATTATATGACGGTTTTGTTATTTGCATACTCAATTTCAGTTTGATCTGAAATTAAAAGATAAAAGAAATTTTATAAAGTCTTATAAGATTTCCTTAAAGTTATTGATCGAATTCTAAATAATCTCAATAAAGTTGAAAATCTCAAAAAATAATTCTATGTATAATTAATTAGTTGCTTCTTTCTTCTCAGTTTTCAACATTTTCGATGTTTGCCGACGAAATAATTCCAAAATTGGCTGCAGCGAAAATTTTTAAATATCATAAATCCTCCTAATACCATTCATTTGACGATGAAACCAATTTTGAATGAAATTTAGATAAAAATAATTTATGTTTGATTCATCCGAATTCTTTTTCCAACAAAAAACTCCCCTTGTTGTCTATGACGCTATAAAACTTGTTTGTCGTGTGAATATCGTTTCAACATTTTCTCGCCATTTAAATGTAATCAAGAACAGATGATTCTAGGCGCCTACTCGAATTAGATGTGTTAATCAATTATGAATCTAATCGTGTTCAATTCAACGATGATCTGGATTCCAGTATATGAGCTCAATAATCCGTTTAGTAATATCGAAACTATGATTATTACTATTCTGATATATGCAATTTTACTCATTTTATGTGCATATTTGTCCATTTTCATTGTTGCTATTCCCTGGAAAGTTCGCAAATTCCATCCAAATATGACGTTCTGCTGCGGGTTCACATTTGCGGCATGGTTTGAAATGTTCGTCTCATTTGTTTGCATATATCCTTATAAGCATGGATTAATTACGTTAAATGGTAAGGATGATCCTTTAAAAAAATAATTGACCCGCTAACTATATAACAGACTTGTATAAAACAGCGGACCTCGGGAATTTGAATACATTTAAAACATCCATTTTCAGATTCGCAAAATCCAATTTCAAACATCTCAGAAGCCGTTCAAGTGACAAAATTCTTCAACTCCATTCCATTATTGATTTTCTCCTTTGTTACTTGGCATTACGTCGCAACATGCATCAGCGGAATAGCGATATTTACGCTCGAACGTGCGGTAGCATCATTCCTGTTCAGGTTTTCATGAGAAATAACAAATAATTCTCGACAAGACAATTTCTCTAAGTATTGCCGTTTTTTAAATTTAAAATCACTCGCCTACCAGAGTTGATCGTCACGAGATGCAACAAAATCATCCCCACTTTGAACCTTTAATTGATATGTTCATTTCGCAATTAAATTTTGGGTTTTTTCTGAGCAATTTTTGCTCCAAGAACAATTAATTCTACTCAAAATTGCAATTCGAAATTGTTATTACGCTAAACAAAGACCTCGCTGTAAACTTGGAGTGTCGTTGCGGGTCGCGAATTTTTTTTTCACCGACCCGGGACCATACTTGCAAATTTCCGGGTCGGGGCGGGGCTGGTCAGTAAAAAAATTCGCGACCCGCCCCCGCCCCGCCGACCCGCAACGACACTCCAAGTTTACAGCGAGGCCCCTGTTTAGCGAAAAAAGAATTTCGAATTACATTATTTGAGTAGAATTAATTATTCTCGCAACAAAAATTGTTCAAAAGTCCTCAAACAAAATTGATTGAACCAGCTTTCACTGTTTTTGTTTCGTTTTCGATATTTTTAAATAAACTTTACTTCAAAAAATCTATTAGCGGGTCGAGCGGGTCGGGGCGGGTCGGTAGAATTTTCACTCTGACCCGCCCCGTTGCAAGTATTCCCGGGACGACCCGGAAATTTGCAAGTATGCCTCCCATCGCACGAAGAAACTTGAACATTTAGACATTATTTGTGCCTCATTTTTGTTTTTTTTTGTAATCCCCAACTACAATCAAGGCATGCTCATGCAATTTGTTTCATTCTCATTAAATTATTTTCGTTACTTCGTTGTGTTATATTCAGGTTGTTTAATTACCCAAGTGTGCGGTTTTCCAGATTCTACAGAAGATGTTCAGATATAGCTTGTGTCTAGAAACGTAACTCCATATAAAGAAAAATTTCCCAAAGTAGTAACATCGGGAAAAAATTTTGTTTTCGTGCTTTATTTACAAACATGCAATCTATCGAACGAATAGGGAAAAGCGAGACAAGTAGTTGCAATTCTTACTTTTAACATCAAAAAGCGAGACGAATGTTTAAAATCTTGCGATTTATATAAAATTGAGACAATTCCGCATCGCGCGCCGTAAATCGCCACAATGCCGCCGCGGCGCACACTTATCCTATTGCTACAGTACCCGCGATATGAAAAATAGTGGCGCCCATTTTTACCTACGTTTTTGGCTTTATTTTTGACCTTTTTCGTTTTTTTCCGTTTTTCTGATTCGGTGTTCACTCTCTCTCTTTGCACGCCATCCACGTGCTACACGCCGGCCTCCCTCTAGCTAATCGTCGTTAATTCTAGAAAATCTGTGGATCTCCATTCACGCTATTGCGTAATAATAATCTTGTCAGTTTTTTATTTCTAAAATAATACAATAATTAGAGAATACGGTACATGAATAATTGGAAACGCATGGTGTAATCGGAGCTGAGTCTCGTGGCGACCGATTTTGTTAGTCACTTTTTTTTCTTTCAAAATCAGGCAATAATTTGATCTCATTTTCTCTTTAAAATCAGGCAATAATTTGATCTCATATTCTCTTTATGCCATCGTTTGGAATTTTGGCTAGATGTGATTAAAATTTAAAATTTTTATATATTAAATCGATTTTCAGTGACTACGAGAAATTGCCACGTCGCTACATTTCATTCGGCCTTTTATCTTTCTCACAATTCGTCGTTTTCGAGTTCACGTTTTGCCTATTTTTCTACATTTTGAATTTCTCGAATGCCATCAAATGCGCTTTGGTGTTCGTCGGCTCAGCGGTCATAGTAAGCGAATTCCGAAAATCATACGCTCGTTTATTGGAAAAATAATCATTTTCTTTCCAGCTTTTCATATTTCTCCTTTATTACAACATCAATTTGCGTAACAAATTGGATCTCAAATATGTGACTACAGCGTACTCATTGGCGTCGAGATTTCAAGCGGCGGAAAATGCTCGCTCATTGAAGGTAACAAAAATAATTCGTGAAGTTAGTAAAGAAAAAACAATATGTAGTAATATGGCGATTCCAAAAAGGAAAAACGTATTAAAATCGCAAAAATAGTAATCCTGAACCGAGGTTATCAGTACTTCGTACCCGAATTTCCACTATTCAAATTCAACATTGAATTCAAGCCTAAAATTGATGTGGTGGTCCACAATTATTCAAAGGTTTTTTTAGATGGTAATAAAAACAATTCCAAAAAAATTAGACGAATAGTTTTGAATTTGGATATGCGTTTTAAGCTGGTGTATCCGAAATTTTTTCTTCTAGGGTTTTTAAACCGGTAAATGCGGCTATCTTTATAAGGCGCCACAAGAGCCCTTCTTATTTTCCAAATCATGAGCCTCTATTAAAATATCAAGAAGAAATTGGAAATTTGAGAGTTTTCGAAATTCGAAACATTTTTAAGGAAGTTAAATCCGCCCACAGATTTTGAGTCTCGGAGCGGCTGATTTTGTAGCCGTTTTTTTCGGACACAAACTATTAATATCACGAAAATAGCTTGATTTATTGTCCGTTTCCGAAAAAATCGACTACTTTTTTTTTAATTCACAATTTTCGTTTTTTTCGGGAATCATTTTTGTTCTATTTTTGCCATGGAATCCCAGATAATGAGTACATTGATACCAAATAAAAATTCTAGCCCGTTTCTAAAACAAAAATTGCTTCCAGCTCGCTGTCCGCGTCATGATCGTCATCACTGTTCTCGCGATTATTGCGTTCACCGTGACGTGCGCGTTCAAAATTCAACTCCTTCATCCCGACTTTAATATGGCGCTTATTAATATTTTCGAAGGAGTTTTCTTATTGTAATCTCATTCTTAAATTATTATTCTTAATTGAATGTGTTCAGCAATCCGCTTTTCGTAGCTCCCGCAGCGATAATATCCGTCAAAGAATGGAAGGAAGCCTTCTATCAGAAAATCCCATTTTTGCGTAATCGCATTAAACCGGCGAACAAGGCAACTCAGCGGCGACTATCGATCGAAACCGATTTGTATTTTGTGCAGCTCAGAGATTCTTGGAGCTAATAATAGTTTATTGCATATATATATTTTTTTTACATTTCCGAACTTGTCTCATTTCCAATTATGGGTGCATATTGATCGCAATTGTCGCGATTTTCGATGATGACGCATCGCGAATTCTGTTGTCGACTAAAGTGATAACCGTACGAAAAATAAATAACGAATCCTAAAATTGGAATAAATTGCCTCATTCAAAAAGAAAGACCGATTTTACCAGTAGCGAGAACAATAGAAATCGCGTAGAATGTGGTAATTGGTATCGAGCCGGCGAATCCGATGACCAGCAGAAAGATTGGAAGAAGTGAAAGGAATGGAAACATCGGAACCCGCGCGGACTTTCTAAAATGATGGCAAATTTTCAACTCAACCAAATATCGATTTGAGTTTTTACTTGTGTTGACTGTCATTGGTCCGAAGTCGGCAAATAAGAACAGCGACCACAAATGCCGCGGAGAGGAGGATGGCCGTAAAAATTTGGCAAATGTGCTGAAATTTCAAGCTTTTCAAATTTCTATTGTTCGTCTCGAACTAACAGAATCGTAGCCTATCAATCTACCCGTAATCGCTAACGCGGCAACAAGACCAGAATAAATCAAGAATAGAATAATTGCATTCCGAATTATGGTCGATTTTATAGAATGATGTGATGAGGGGCATGGTGACGATGAGAAGAATGGCACCTCCGGCTCCTAAATGACCAATTTTGGTTGGAATAATAGAAATGTTTGGCTGGTTGGCACCTCGCAACTAAAAAGATGCAAATCCCCAGAATTGCACGTCTCATCGCGATCTTTTCCGCATTCCTCGCCAATACAATTGTGCATTGTTAGCGGAACCCGACGCGATTGCCCCTAGAGGAAATGCATTTATCAAAGAATGTTCGAGAATTTCCCTCTCTCGCTCACAATTGCTTGATACTGGGAAACCGATTTCGGCAACACTGGCTCTTTTTCGCGCATTCGCTCCTCTCGCTCGAGTCGCTTCTGAAGTCGATCCGATTCCATTCGAGCGGCCTTTAGGTACAGCTGAGCGGTAGTGTCGACGGTAGAATGGCTCACCATTGATGAATGATCGGAACTGAAAATCACGAATTTTCTTCAAAACTTGATTTTCTAGTGACGTCTGGTTCGTTTCCCTTTCGTCTGTAGAATCATCGTCAATCCGAATCCAGTTCTTCTTCTTCCCAATTGCTCTGAAAATTTTAATGATTGATTAATATCGTTATAATGTAGACGATTACTTGTAAGCACTAGTTTCTTCAGGAATCCCAATGGGATCAGTAAGATAGTGTTGAAGGAATGTCAAGAAGATCTGAAGCCGTTTACACAAGATCTAAACAAATCAATTGAACCTTACCGTTATAGCTAATTTGATTGGAGTGATGAATATAACAAAGTTGAGGAGTATCGATTTTTGTAAAATTGTTGAAACACAAATCGCAAAAGTGCACAAAATCACGGCATAATACGGGCTTTTTGTTGAAGTATCCTTGACAAATGGAATTAATTGGTCTATAATTATTTAATTACACATCCAATTGTCGAATAGCTAAACCATGTGAAAGTACTGCAATAATTCGGGTGACTGGCAGAAATGAAGCGAGAACACCGCCAGAGAGAGCACACACCGAGCAAACCGTCAACATGTACCTAAACAGGAAGTTTCAATTCAATGATTTTCAAGAATCGAGCAAGCGGAAACAGCAAATCACACAAGCTGCGAATTCATTTAGGATGTTGAGCTTGAAATCAAAGAAAATTATGTTGGAAAGAAAATAATAAGGGGAAAAACAAAGCGGAAATACTCAATTCGCAACAAACCGCATTCGACGAAAACCGGGTTCGAAGTGTGGTCTCAAAAAGAAAACGATTATTTATTTTTTTTTTTCCACGTTAACTCGTTCAAGATTTGATGTTTCGCAGCAGGTTTTTATTTAATTGAATTTTTACCTTGCCGATGGGATACTCAACACCGTGAAAATTTCGGGAATCATCGAATCATCAGCGAGAGCTGAAGTGTTCACGGAAAGGCTGAAATTTGGAATCGATTGAAAATAAAATTGTGAATTATTTGAATTGCCTCAACACTAGAGCGAAAATGAAGAACGCGACCGTCAAAATCACCACGAGAAACGTGAGGAGCGACGGAATCGTTGATCGCGGTTTTTTCGTTTCTTCCAAAAGTGACGAGGTGCTCTCGACGCCGGTATAGCAAGCGCAAAGTGCACACATTGAATAGAGGACACCGCGGAAGCCGAACGTGAAAAAATCGGCGTTGAGCCAATTTTGCGGGTCCGCGTGGAAAAACGCAACCATTGAGCAGGATGCGGCGATGAGGAGGCTGACGGCAAGAAGGCTCACGCATATTGTTCCAACTACCTGCAAAAGAAAATGTGTGAAATTGCTAAAAAAAAAATCGAGAAATTCAAATTTTGGGACGAAATTTTGAGAAAAATTAATTGTAGGTAACTACAAAAATCGAAAGGCGCATGTTGGGCACGTTCGTCATGGTCTCGCCGCGATGGGCATTTTTCTACAATTTTTTTTGCCTAATGTTCAAGTTTTGTTTAAAATTAGTGCAATTCGTGTACTTTTCTCAAGCAAACCATACCCGCAAACTGCATAAGAGCAATGAGAATGTGATGAGAGCGGCGATCACGTTGAGAAGATCAAAATGCGGCGATAAAACGGTCGAGTTCTCGTCGAAAACTGGAATTGACAACGCTTTTCCAGGCAGTTTGCGAAACAGCAAATTCTGGAAATGCTCGTTGAAAATGAATTTGCCATAGGAGGCCTACAAAATGTTCGGCCCACGCTCTCGCAAACAGTGACGCCTGACTCAAATAATCGGCCAGTGCGATCCAGCCAACGATGAATGCGGGCAGCTCTCCGAGAACCGAATAGCAGAAATGGTACTGAACACAGTTCTTCGGCATCGCGCATGTCAGCTCCGAGAGGTGAATAGCTGGAAATTGAAATAAAACTTTAAAAAAATTTTCTCTTATGTGCCTTTAAATATTTTAATGTTTGTGCGTTAACAATATTCCGCATATTGTTTTTACAAAAAAAAAATCGTTTAAAAAAATTTGAGTTTTTATTTTCAATTTTTTTCTCACAAAGAAATTCATTATAAACGGATAATTTTGTGGAATGAATTGTGTGCAAAATTGCGTCGGTATGATAACAGACAGAAATAAAATAAGAGATAAAAAGAAAAAGGAACATTTTTAGGCTATTTAAAAAAAATAAAAGGAGCATCCGAAATATGAAATTATTTTAAAGGCGCATGTTGCTACTAATGCTTTTTTGTTATTTGTGGGTATCTTAATCGAATATTCTCAACCAAACCAATAACTCAATTTGGCTAATTAGCTCACCTTCGAATGTGTGTTTTTTTTTTCGTGCCTAACGAACGCCTTCTGTCAAAAAGAAAACAAATTTCTCACCGGCAAAAGGATAATTCACTTTTTTTAAAAAACAAAGACTATAATTATAGTCAAGATTTCATATAAATTCTCACTTGAGGCGAAAACGATCAAAAATGTGAAGAGGAGCGCAAAAACGGTTGATGGTCCGGCCAGTTGGGTTAGCGAAATCGGCAAAATGATGAAAAGCATCATTGACATGCTTTTGATACCAGCTGGAAGAAAAAAAAAACAACTATTTTTGAGCGTCTCGTTCCCTTGGCTTTCTTTTTGCTCATCAAATTGAATACCTAATGAGAAGACTAGCGGGATACCGAGCCTCCTTGCCCATTCCGAATGTCGTAAAAACTGCTCGTCAGCGCGCCGTTTTCGGAATATCATTGTACGATGGCTGAAACGCGAAACATGGGCCTAATTTGGAAACACGATAATTGAATTCGAATATGTCGACAATAATCCGGGCTCACGACAAAAAAAAACACATATATAAAAATTGTAACAACAAAAATTCTGTGTTTTTTTTTGGGTGAGAACATTTTTGCTTGCTTCTCGCAAACAGCAAGAAAAAAATTTGCGAATCTCTCTGGGGAGAAATCCAAGAGGAAGCGACCACCGTCCGTCAAGAAGCAGCAAAAAAAGAAAAGAATAAAGTGGAGAATGAAAGTTTGGCGGGGTGTTGGTGTGAGAATGGGGGTGAGGGAGTCGTATCCCAAAATTGTTCCTATTATTTTCTTTTTGCTAATGATCATCACCGTAAAAGCGAGTGGTCTCGACGCGAAAAGAAAAATCGAATCTTCTATGCATTTTTCTTGCTTCTTGATACTTGATCTAATTTGGGGAACCCCCTCGCCGACTCCCTTCTCTCTCTCTTTTTCTTTTTCTTGTCCCCTTCCACATCAAATCAGTACAAACATGGATGCTAGGGGGGGGGGAGGGCGTTTGAAGCTTGGGGGAGATGTGAAGATTATCAAAATGCAATAACAATTTTGTTTTTCCAGTCTTTTATTTTTCTGAAATACTTTCATCATTTTTTTTAAAGCGATGCGCCTTTAACTGGCATGAGATACGGTACAGATATAGCTTTTTAAAGGAGCATTGGTGACTTTCAACTAAATTTCTTTAAATAGGAGCCGCGTCAAAAAATCGGCAAAAATCGTATTGAGTGGAGCTCATTGCGAGTTTCTGGAATATTCCAGCGTCTCGGCATGATTATCCCCACCACGACACTCAACGACATAGATTTTCGCATAATTTATTCACGTGGGAATAAGCATTGAACAAGTGCTACAGTAATTCCCCCACCCCAGACAGACAAGACAAGAAAAGGAAATGAGACGAATGAATGAAAAACTCGAGTTCGGCCGTCAAATTAGGTGTCGTATTATGCGATACCCATTAATAAGACCCATTAATGTCGAGTTGATTATGCAAGCCGAGCTTTTGCCCCCCCCCCAACCCCTTTTCTCTCATCATTTCTTCTCGCTTTTGATTCAAAATTCATTTCAGATGAACTTCCACATGAGACCCGCCCATCTGCTAATATTGTTATTATTACTTGTAGTTGTTCAATGTGCCATTGTGACAGGTGAAGAATGGTTCAATACATACGAATACAATTTTTGCTCGTTTCAGCGTCTCAATTGCAGGTGGCGTTTCAGCGGAACACGACGACGACGACGACGCGTGAGAATGAGAATGTGAGCGAGTCGATCCATAAAGAGCGGCCGCGGCCGCGAAATGTTCGGCCATGACGCATTTCACGTCCATCAGAATTTTGAAAATTAATTAATTATTATCGGATTTTTTGCGTTTTTTAAAATTATTTCCTCGATTTCTTTACAATATCGTATTAAGTGTTTGAAAAATTAATTAAATTTTCAGATGAAATCAGAAAATTGCGAAGAATAATGTTGCGGGGATATGAATTGGGAGGTTTTAAATTCGGGCCTCCAAAAAATTGGCTAATACTCCGCCATCTAATATTTTTTGTTTACAAACGGAAAAAGAAAATATATTATTCACTATTTCATTACTAATTTTTAATATTTGACTATTAAAAGAAATTAATAAATTGAAGTCAATTATTTTTATTGTCGAAATTTGGCCAAATACCAAAAACCCGATGGGAATGGTCTCGGCGCAAAAATCTAAGTGTAGATTTATGGGCCTATATATTAGGATAGACTAAAGGACTTTTTTTTTGAAAGTTTTTGGCATTTAGCCAATTTCCCGCAATCGCGCGACGTCGATAATAAGACAATTTGAAAAGTTTTCAAATTACGAAAATAATTTTTCGGCCACGGTAATGAAAAACGCTTATAGTATTTTTGAGCTAATTCTCGCAGCGTTCGATTCTTTTTCTCAATAAACTACATTTCCAGATGGGGAATTTTACGGAGACCTCTGTTCCAGAAAATCAGACCGAAGGTGCAGATGCTCTCGTTTATCTCAAATTTTGGGCAATAGGAATATTTGCAGACATTTCCAGCTCTACTGTAACACCAGCCAAATATGAGATTTATCGAAATTCGGTCATTGAGCCATATATGGTACTCATGGGCAAATTTTGAAAAACCAAACACATCTGTTGATATTTGCAGAATTATGCTGCGCGACGGCCAAAGTCTGACATTCTCAATGCGCTGTTGTTAATGTTTGGAAGATTCTAATAACCGTTCGATTTTGTATATACACTGTGAAAAAAATGAATTCTCCAAAATGGTTTTGTGAAAAAAAAAACCCCGGTGGAAATTGTTTCATAGAAGACCTCTCCGAGTGGTTTTTCGATGTAATTTTTTTCTAAATTATTGCGAACCATTTTTCAAAATTCACAGTTTTCTTTTTTTTGGTTCGGCTTGTCTCAATTCCGTTAAATTCAATAATGGCTCGTCATTGCCCTTTGCGAATGCTCCGTGATCGTCTTCAATTCTCACTTCCCCGAATGTCTAATATAGTTGGCATCCGTGGGTCGCATGATATTCATCGATGTGAAATTGACTCACTTTGTCGTTTCACTGTAGAGCTTCACGGAATTCGCGATTTGGTTGCTTTTTTTTGGATTGTTCTTTGCGTTTTTGAAATAAATTAATTTTATATTTTGCGGTAGTGAAGTCCGCAATCAATATGACGCAAAAATGAACAGATTTAAAATATATATATTATCGAAGGCAAGCAAATTATTGGCAATGTGCCAATGGGTCTCGCAGCGAGAAGTTCGTGAAATTGCGTACCTTGTATTTAAGCGTACACGCATTTAATATTCAGTCAACGATAAATTTAAATCTACACTGATTTCGCGAATTTGAATGTCCCGCCTCCTTTCAGTCGTTTGAAGCCGACAATGAATATCTTCTATAAACTAAAAATCTTCCTTGGTCCGTTTTAAGAAAATCTAAATTCCGTGGAGCTGGGTTGTCGATGTTCTGACATTTATGGATCCCGCACAGTCCTAATGCCTACGTATGGTTCATAAGAACACCTCGCTGAAAAATTTGGAGCGATATAAAAAAGTTGAGTTTGGTAAAAAAAAATTCATTCTTTAAATTAACTACTGCAAAGGTGTAAACACCGGCACGCAAAACTGCACACCTTTTCTTTGATTATTACAGTCCAGTGGCCAAAAAAACGAGCACCCTGTGTACGGTGAATTTCAGAATGAGATCAGAATTCCAATGTTACAGCGTCGAAAAAAAAAATGCGATGGTTCACAATTCCACGAGCAAATATTTTCAATAAATCCACTTCGCTCTTTTTTTTCTTGCTCAAATCGAAAACTTCAAACGCCATTTTTTTCATAAACATTGCAATTTCCATAGAAAGTGTGTTGAAAAAAAAGAATGTCATTGCGGTAGCTAATTATATTCAACGAGTTTGACCACAAAACATCACAATTTTTGAGAGCAACATGCTCTAGTCTAAATTGGGCGGCTCATTTTTTTTTCGAATTTTCTCGCCTCACCGTATTCTCGCTAATCACAGGCTTATCGAAAAAGTAATTCGGGGGTTTCTGCGCAAATTGTTGTCAGTTTTTTTTTTGAGCGCCAACTCAAAAAAAAAATCTCGCTGCCCTCCATTCTGCCGAAACCCAAATGATTTTTATTGTCAATGACTCGTTCAAAGTCTTGACAACCGTTTTCGAGTTCAACAATCCCGAGCTGCACAAACCGTTTCATGTGATTGTGAACGCGTGGCAATTAATTTTGGGCCTCGTGTGCCTCGCGATCACCTGGAGGACCGTCCGAATCATTTGGAGGATTCGGGTGTTCCACAAGAATCTCACCATAATTCTCGTATTTCATTTATCCTCATATTTGATATTCTTCATAGCTCGGATCATGGTCACCTCATACACTCATGGATTTCTCGACGTCGATAGTGAGTTTGAAATGGCCCGCTTGCGCCTTTAAATATGGTCTCGTCACAAATATTAATTTATAGAATCCCCATTTTTTTCAACAAAATTTTAAAAGAATCGCAATTTGAATTGCCGCCAAAATAGTAGTTTTTTTGGGGGCCATTTTTCTGCGAAACCAGAATCTCGCGCGTTGCGGTTCGCGTGCGGTCACCCGTTCGTTCTTCTGAAAATGACGATACTGTGTACATACTGGAACAAGCAGAACCAATTTTGATAGGAAACAAATATTTTTTGTGACCGCGTACGCGAACCGCAACGCGTCGGACTTTTCCGAAATGGACTATAATTTTCATTGCTCTGGTTTTTAATCTTGATTAATGAACATTTGAGATAAAATTGAACCAAGAAAAAATGGAATCACGCGAGAATGTGTGCATTCACCGCGACGCAAATGTCACAGAACATTCATTATCAATTGAAAACGAGTTTGCACATTTTCTCGTAGGAACCTTCTTGAATGGAAATTCGAAATTATGTGGCATTGCAAGCCGTGTGAACTAGTGTTACAGTATCCATTGTACATGTGCACAAAGAGCCCAATGAACTTGAAGATTTCTCCGACAACAATCCCTATCGCGGTCTGTGGGTTTTGTCCGAAGGCGACATGCCCAAAATCAAATCGCTGAGCGATGCGAAGTTGCTATTCATCGGCAGTTACCTAATGTTCTTCTATCTTTCGACAGCATTTACGTGTATTGCCGAATTCTGTGTCGAACGCATATTTGCAACATTAATGGTCAGGTAAGATCGGGTTCGAGATGAGGGCAATGTGGTTTTAAGTGAAATACCCAAATTTGGCGAGTTTTTAAACGGCCGATTAATTTGATTTTGATACAAAAATTTGGAAATGATATTCAGGATCTCAAAAATCATTTTTTGAGAATCTCATTTAATTTAGATTACTTGCCTTCGAGCTAATATTTTTTTAGATGAAGGGTTCTTGTTGATCTTCTCCATCTCTTAAATTCGCAACTCAGGCAAATCAAATAAAATATTTTGAGAATCAAATATTCAGTGATAAACTCTAAAATATTTTGAGAAATTCTAAAGTCTATTGATACTTTCTAAAACTTATTGAGAATCAATAAATTTTAAAAATTTGGAATTTGTAAATTAAATCTTTTGAGAAAGTTAAATCTTTTGAGAAAGTGTAAAGTATCTCAATATATTGTGAGACTTTAAAATTTGAATAGGGCCCTTATGACTTCCACTGACGCAATTTGCGGCGTCTCTTTTTAAGATCTCCTAAATTCCAATAAATAATTTATGTTTTTGATGTTCCTTCCGTTTTTTTTAGCTTTTGGTAATAGTTTCTTCACTTCAGTGATGGACGTATTCATGAAATGCAAGTTTTTATAATAAATGTTTAACACTACCTTAAATCTGCATTGTTTTACATGCTGAATTTGAAACAGTTGTGTCTAAACATGTCATTGCATGAACAGGTTCATGAATTTTAAAAACACGCACAATTATTACAATTAATTACAATTATACTTCAGTTTCTAATGATTTCGATATTTTAGAAGATCGGGAAAAGTGTGGAACAAATATTCCAGAAACATTGGCCGATAGATTTAAGGAACGAGGTAAATACAGCAAATTCAATGAGCAGGTGCCCATGTGGATCACGGCCATGGATATTTTCCACCTTTTTCACGAGGGAACACGTATAATAAAAGGTACTTCAATTATGTCTCTCCTTTTTCAGCATTTAAAAATTGAAGATTGTCTTTTAGAAGTCTTCGTTAAAAACGAAATAAATATTTTTCGATGCGAAGCTATTGATGTGAAAGCGAGACTGCCATCTTCGGTAAAGTCGCTATCAGGAAAATTCAATGACATTAATAGGTCCGAAAAAGCTAGTGTAAGTTAATTTACCACTTGCAATTATCATCCTTTGAAGATTTTTGAAGTGAAAATTGTTTCTAACGCCATGATCGGAACCATCCCTCCGTTAGGTTCAGCTGTTGTGTTGCTTATACATGCCTGCTACCGATGGATGGTGTCACCGACTCGCTTAGTTACAAATACAACATTACCAAACAAAGTAATATGGGATCGTTAGCTATGTACATAATAGAAAATTTTTATTTCAGATCGCAGGTATTTGCAAATTATTAGAAATTCTAATTTTAGATGGGGCGCCTCGATTGTTTTCTGGTTCAAAAGTGCACGTAAGTCGTTTTTTTTTGCAATTTTAAGAGTTATTGAACGTTGTAGCATCATGCTATTGTCGTTGATATAAGAAATAATACTAATGATTACTGTATTTATTGTTTCAGCAACTTATATACCATTTGTACAGTAATGTCAGGCGGTGTGGTCAGCTGTCGGCAATAAGCACGCAAGCGCATGAGCACATTTATCACGTTATCAAGAGAAACATGTGCTCGGAACAGACAAACGGGATTGGATATAGTATTTTGAGAAAGTTAGACTCATTCAGTTATTTTTTAAAACTGGCAATTTTCAGCTATAAACTATATCACGAGATTGTGACTTCATTGAAAATGCGTTTCAACGCGAATCCGGATTTAATTAAGAAGTCATTTTATCGCAAAGAACTCATGAAATTAATCGAAAAACGACAAATTCAATCATCAAAATTTGTAAGTTCAACATTTTCTTTCAATATATGCAACGAATTCCTTATAGCAACGTTGTGCGTCATTCGCAGAAAAAGGAGAAAATGCGAAAAGAATAAATTGATTCATTTATTTTTTTCTGATTTTTATTATTAATATATTCATTTCGCATTAATATTGTAATAAATGAAATGTTCATACATATTCAATTATTATGGATGTTATTACATTCTATTTGTGTGAAAATTGCTCGATAACGTATGATATTACATAATATTGGACAGAGTTTATTGAGAACAATCTAAAATTTATTGATATATTCTAAAGTTTATTGAGACAAATCTAAAATATTATAGAGACACGTTAGCCTCTCAACGAACCTCATAAGATTTTAGAATTGTCTCAAAATATTTTTTTTCATTTGCCTGAGAATTCACTGTCAAAGTTGCGCGACTTTGACAGTGAATTGAAAAATTGGTCAAAAAAATTCGAGTAGAATTCTTACAAGGGAAGTCATTTTACCTCCCGTCTTGGAATTTTTTGTACATTACTTTGCACACGTAAACTAGAAGGCCTTCTGAGTGTGTTCACAAAATTCCAGCCCGCACTGTGGGGGTTTCAGGCGAGTTACAATTCATGTGTCTCTCTTGCCCAAATGGTTGCTGGCAATGGAAAAACACCTTGAATTTCCAGATGGCGATACCCCCAAGTGCAGGCTGAAATTTTGTGAACACCCTCAGAAGACCTTCCAGTTTATGTGTGCAAAGTTATGTACAAAAAAATCCAAGACTGGAGGTAAAATGACTTCCCTTGTTAGTGCGCCTATAACCTATCCAAATACATAGGCCCGTAAATCTACACTTAGATTTTTGCGCCAAAACCACTTTCATTGTTTCTTTTAGCATTGAGCCGACGCTCGAGGTCGACAGTGTTTTAAATTTACAAAAAAATCCTTTTAAAACAGTTTTTTTCTTTGCGATTTTTTTCCAAAATCTACATAGTGCCATCAAATGGGTGGCAATTTTCCTATCGATTCATTCAAACATCAATGAATATTAAAGGCGCATGCCACTATTCAATTTTCAGAGACTACGAGAAGCACGATCGCAGTTATATAGGTGTCTTTATTCTAACAGTCTCGAGCTTTTTTTCAAGTTGGGAAAGCTATCTCATGTTTTTCATTTTTTACCCCTTATATGATGTAATTGCGTGCATTGTCTTTGTCGTTGTGATTCTGATTATGGTGAGTCATTTTTTGTTCGGAAATGACTTTTATTATTGGGCATTGAAAATTCAGCAAAAAAAACGATTGCACAAAAACCTTCAAATTGCAGATATTTGCTCCATAATAATCACCTCCCGTTGATTTTTTTTTCAATTTTCAAAATTTTCCAGCTATACCTCGCCGTTTATATGCACAATTTCAAAATCTATATGAAAATCAAGCGCACCGGTGGAACATCGACGAAATATCCGCTAGCGTATCGATTTCAGATCAATGAAAATATCAAATCATTCAAGGTTATTTATCAAGTTGAAGTGTGCTCCTATAATAACGGTCTCGTGATGTTTAAGATCACCGAATAGAATACAATAATAATCCTCATTTCGATGAATTCGGAAAAAATACCACGCATTTTTTAAATGTCCTGAAAACTGTGATGGCCGTTCAAAGTTAGTCCGCAAAATTCAAATTTTAGGCCACGCCTTGATTTTGAGAAAAACAGCGATACCTCAAAATAAAAACTTTTTCATGTCCTTCCGCACGTGGTCGTTTTAAAGGCGCATATCTTCGAAACACGTCATTCTTGAGTTTGATATTTTCAGATGGTTGGAAGGCTTATAATTTTGATAATTAGTATGACAGCGGTGAGCATAATCCCGGTAGCCTTTATATATTACAATTTGACACCAAAAATCAACAAAATTCTATTCCGTATCACCGAATTCACAATTCTTTAGTGAGTTTTTGCATTTTGTTTTCAAGAAAAATTCTATTTAAAGCAATCCGATTTTCATTTGTACGATCTTAATGGCTTCTGTGGAAGAATGGCTCGTCGCGTTTTCGCCGAAATTGGCTCGCTCGAAACTCGCACGATTTATTTTAATTCCGAAGACGACAAAGAAAAACGAGAATAATAACAAGCTGGGAACGTCGGAATTGTATTTTCTACAGCTCAAACATTCATGGACTTGATGAAAAAATGATCTTGTTTCATTTAATTTTACATCATAATTAATTATAGTATGTACTTATATGTGTTAATTAATAGTCCCAAGTTAATAATTTTCAATTAAATTTCTCCAAAATCGTCGTTGAAAACGAAAAAAATTGGAAAATAAAATTAATTACAGTAATAAATATTCAAGGTGTGTATGGGAATTGATGAAACAATTTCACACCTAAAAATAAATAAATAAATAAATTTCTTGCTAAGGTTTTTCGAATAAAAAAAAGTTGGGTAATTCTGATCAAATCCAAAGTTTCTGGATCAGAAACATCAAAAAGATGAGCATGGAAGAGAGAAAGTTCAAATAAATCAAAAGAACGAAGAGAAGAGAAGAGAAAAATGGGCGCTGAAGCGACATGTGTTCGCTCGAATCGCCCTCGTTCGCATTTCATTTCCTCACAATTTCCTTCACTTTACTAATGTTTTCTAGTTCAATTTTCGAATTTTGAATTGATGATCTGCATATTTACAAAAAAAATAATTCGTATAAAAATGAAAAAAAGAAACCTTAACGGTCGATGGAATTTCACGCTTGGTTGGGCTCACTCACGAGCTCCAAATTATTTTTAAAAAATGTTAGGCTAATTGGCTTGCTAATTTTCATTTTTGGCTCACTTCAATTTTTATTTGAAAAAGTCACTGAATTGAATATTTTTTCTTTTTCATTGTTTGGCGGGAAATTTAAAAAAAAATGCCGCCGGCACTGCATAATCATTTTTTTCTAAGAAAACTTAACCTTCTTTTTCTTGCCTCTAATTTTATTCATTTCTATTAATTAATGGCTCCTGATTGTTATTTGTTATTGTGCTTAATTTTTTTTTTTTTGCTATTAATGGATATGAAAATCATTCCAAAATTAGTGGAATCCTCAAAAAACTTCGGTAAATCAAAACCAGATTCGACAAAATTCGACTTCGGAATTAATCCGACTAATTATGTGATTAAAACTGTCAAATTGTCGTATCCGATAGGTAATTTTCCAAAATCGTTTGTGAATTTCGGATCCAATTGGTTTTGAGTCAGAGGCGTTGTCCGTTTTATTTTTTCACAATTATTTTTCGGTTTTTCTTTGATTTTTTATTTTTTTGCAATGTTTGAAAATCTGGGTCAAACCTAGATTAAAGGTTCCCTAAAGAACAATCTTTTGTGGTACTCAGTGAGAAGAAATTAGGCGGCTAGAGCCTTCTGTCAAGCATGGAGCCCCGGCCCTTCGCCGGGCTCCACTCACAGAAATCTGTCGGCAAAATGTAGACCGCAAGCACGACTAAATTTGAAGGAAAACGACGCAAAAAATGAGGCCAAACTAACGCAAAAAAACTCGTCAAAAATAACGCCGCTAGGTTACTGTCGAATCTCGCCTCGAGATATCCTAGCCGCATTATTGTATGTGCCTTTAACCTCTTGATTCTGCTCCTCACTCGCGCCCCATTATCTTTTTTCTTGCTTCATTTTAGTCGAATTCCCGCGCAATTTGACACAATTCAATTTGTGCGAGGGTTTGATTTTTTTTGCATAACTGGAACCCCCCACCCCCCTTTCCCAAATTTTGCGCGGGGTTGCACGGAATTCCATTTCCGGGTGCCCAATTTCCCAGAAAATGGGAAAATATGTTCAATTCAGTTTATTTCCGTAGATCGAAAATTTCTACACAATACTGCTGGATGCTCCAGCCACTTCTCATTTCACAAACGATGGTATACGGGCCACTAGAGAGTTAGTGGAGCTTTTAAACGAGGGTCAGAAGTCGAACAGCGAGTGAACTGGGATTGAATATCTGACCGAGCCGTTTTGACTTAAGCTTAGCTTTTCAGACAACCTTAATACTTAACATATTTGCTCATTTTCAATTGACTTCTTTTAAATTCGACAATGAACGGCGCCAACTTTTTTGTGGCCATCTTAGGGGGGGGGGAAGGAGGCGGCTACACGGATAAACCTATAAAGAGCCATTTCATTGTTCTTACGAAAGTGGTCAATTGAAGAGGAGCAACATGGTTGGGGTTTTTTTTAGTTGGGCTCGCTCACGAGCTGAGCACTTTTATATGGAAAAGCGTAGGAGAAATGGTATTCCACAAAGAAGGATGAGAACCACTGAGAGGAGATAGGGGATCCAGTGGGATCCACTGAGAGGAGGGCAATCAGATAATCGGCATATGGATTGTGCAAAGCGGATTATTACTGTCCCAATCTCACATACTTGCTTGGAATGGAATGAAAAAGATTTAAGCTCGGAATAATCGAGTAAATTATGTCGATTATGTGGTTTTAAAAACCTGCCACTTTTTGTGGTAAAATGCGAACGAAATCAAGAAATTCAATAATTTTCTGCTGGATCTCAATACGATCCGAATTGGATTTTTTGAGAGCTTCAAGAATGATTCGGATTGTTTCGATGCGGAAGCCTCGACCGAAATCAAAAGAAAACGCTTCACACATTTGTATGACGACGAAATTTTCGGGTCTCGAGAAGAATTGTGATCAATGTCACATAATTATTTGGAAACATAGATTTCTAATTTTTTTTCTATTAATTTATCATGCCAATTTCTTGAATTAATGCACATTGTTCAAATTTAATTTTGATTTCTTTTAATTGTCATCATTATTTTTTGAATAAATAGTGAGAATAATATTTTATAAAACAGAAAATGGTGAACATTTTAATTCTACATGACTTACTTGAAAACAAACTTCACATTTAGTGATGTCATCAGCTTTTAAAGGTACATACAACATTAACTGATTTTGTACAACAAGCCTTCCAATTTTCAGATTCGTGATGGTTTATCTCAATTCAATTCATTGTGGACTAGTTTTTGTGGCCGTAATTATCAAGGCCATCTTTTTTGAGACATTTTCATCCAGGTAAACATCTGATTCTCTTCGACAAATCTCATTCATAGTAATGCGCCTTTAAACATGACGTCGTCACATATTCCTAATCAAACTTAGATTTATGCACAAGACCATTTAAAGGCGCATCGCTGTATACTTCACATTTTTTTTTATAGGATCATACAACGAATTAAACCCTCGCAAATCAAGACTTGTTGCTGAAACTTGACAAATTAATCGTTTTCGTATTTGGCAGAATTCTCAATTTTGTTTCCCCCTTGATTTCCCCCATTTCCTCCTGTGTCTGTATTGATCTTCCCGAATGATCGCCTTTCTCGCACCCACTCCCTATCCATACGTTGATTCCTTCTTTCGCAGCTTCCCCCTGTTCAACACGTGATACTGGGGACCCGGCGAATAGGCGTGCATGATGGCGTCGCAGACGGAAACTATTCCGATCTCCGCCATCTCCTCACCCGGTGTCGCCCAGTTCACATTTCGATGGTGCGAAACAAGGCTATGGTGGATCTCAAAATGTTCCTCGGCGTCATTCGAATATCCAGCCCATTTTATGCAATTATTTTCTTTATCATTTTGTATTTTTTCCATGTTCTTTTTTTCACAATAAATTCAAATTTTGAACCTCGAGAGCAATAATTTTTTTTAAAGATCAAAAAATTGCAGGAATGAAAAAAAATGAGCAGAAAAACAGCTGTCACTGATTTTTCTAAAAACATATTTTTGTAATATTTTGGTCCAGTCCCGAAATAAAAAAAAGTGTAGCACTTTTTTTGTAAGAAGTAATACTTATTTTCTTTTTTATTTATCAAATTCACAAAAAAACGGGCAAGGGGTGTTTGATTCGCAGGGTAATTTGAATTTCCGCTCGAAAAAAATACGGTGTTTCGCCCGGAATTGAACTCGGACGGAATACAGGGTGTCATTTAAGTTCCCGCACAACTTTGAAGACGTATATTTCTGAAACTAAAAGTCCAAATCAAACGAGACTCGAAATATTTTTTTTCTATAGTATAACAAATAATTATCTTTTAACTCTTTTCGATTCGGTCTTCTTTCGCAGCTATGACTTCACGGAGACGCTTCGGGTAGGATGTGACTGTGGTACGCAGGTGTTCGATGGAAAGATTGTCCCATTCCGCCAGTAATGTCTTCTTCAGAGCCTCTATACTTGAGTGGGGTTTTGCGTTGACCTTCTCCTGCAAGACCCCATCACGGAAAAGTCAAGCGGTTTCGGGTCTGGGGAGCGATCAGGCCATTCGGATGACTTGATGAAGTCGGGAAAATGGGTCTGGCACCACTCCTGAGTAGTTTTGGCAGTGTGGGCGGGTGCTCCGTCCTGTTGAAAGACCCATTTCTGCCCACCGAAATGCGTTTGGGTACAGGGCATCACATGATTCTCCAAAATGTCCCGAACGTAGACTTCTCTGTTCATTTTCACCCCCTGATTCACGAAAACCAGGGGGCACTTCCCGGTTGAGCAGATGGCACCGAAAACCATCACACTGGCAGGATGTGAGGCTGGATGAATTGTTCTTCCTTTCTCAGAAGCTTGCTGGGATGTCTGGGCAAATACTCAATGGTTTTGTGAGTTGAATGCCGCCTCCACAGTGAACAGCTTCTCATCGGAGAAGACAGTGACGAGGTGTTGTCCAGACCGCGTGCGAGCAAGAAGTCGTTTTGCTTTTTCGAAGCGTCTCTGCTTGTTGACGGCCGATAGAATTGCCGCTTTTTGGACACGATATGGGGTCAGTCCAAGCTTCGTTTTGACGATTTGTTCCATAGCGAAGATGCTCATTCCCATGTCTGACGCCATCGTTCTCATGCTCCTGTGGGGGTTTCGGCTGATCCTCGATTTGACGGCGTTGATCTTCTGAGGAGTGGTTACTGAGACGAGTCTTCCTTGTCTGGGACGGTCACTGGTCGTATTTAGCTCCTTGAAACGTTTGATGGTGTCGCAAACCGTTCTACGAGGCACACCGACCCGTTGAATGATGTCTCTCGAGCTCACATTTTGCTTATGAAGTTCGATAATGGAAGCGCAATGGATGTTAGCCTTCGCCATTTCTCGGAAACACATCCGAATGAGGTGAAACTTGGAAAGTAAGTAAAATATACCTTATTTAACAAAAATAAATTGTATTGGTGCACGAAAAGTGCGACAGCCAAGCTCTTCATGGCGTCAAACTTTTGTGCGGGAACTTAAATGACACCCTGTAGAACTCGATTGCGAATAGAGCGCAATTGCAACCTTTCCATTTCATTATTTGACCGATATATTCTCATACAGAATCCATCAACAATTCTTTGGCATTTAATATTATCTATAAAAAATCAAAAGTTATGATTGACGTTAGAAAAAAATTAAAAAAATGAAAAATTTTAAATTTCGCTTATTGACAATCGAGTTCTATTCCGGCGAGTTCTACTACGGGGGAAGCACCAAAAGTTCAATGATCTACAATTATTCAAGGTACTTGTTTTTTTAAATGATTTTTATATTTTTCATTATGGCCTAGTTTTTATGACCGCGATTTTTACGTCCGCATTTTATGAATCGACACCAAAAAAGTGGAAAGTTTATCAATTTTTTTAAATCCACTCGTTTTTTTATGCTCAAGTGCTGTTCGCAAATTTAAAGGGACACAGATTTGTTAAGAACCTCTGACGACATTTGTTTTCTTTTGCAATCGAAACCGAAAAAAATGCGCGTAATTATCAATTGTGAATGTAACATTTAGTGTTGATTAATGATCACCTGCTCGAATATTTTCCCAAATATTCAGCTTAAGAAAACGAAAAGGAGTTTCTTCAAACAACACCAATCGAATCGGCAAAATTGTTGATTATTTGATTAGTTTCGAGTTAACGCAAAAAGCACCTGCGTTGTTTTGCCCCCCGGCCCATTTCCATTTTTAATATGATTGTTTTGCCATTTTTATACGAATTCTGGATTCGGATTTATGTGCTCAATAATAGGAAAACTTACAAAATTTTGTTGCTCTTCCGCGTCCTCACGTCTCTTATATGCTTTTGCATGATATTCAAGAGCTCCAGAATCGTGTGGAAGATTCAAGTATTCCACACGAATATGAACGTTTTAATCATTTTCTATTTTTGTTTATATATCGAATTTGTCGCTGCCAATATTATTTTATCATTATATCAATTTCATTGTATCGGTAAGAATTGGGATCAATCCAAAAATTGTGGAAAAAAACGTGAAATTTGAGTGTGGGTAGAAATACAAGGAATTGCTGCAAATTCGCTCCACCGCACTTTTTCAATTTTAATTTTGAAATTGTTTAAGATGACAACATTATTAATATTAAAATCATTATTAATACCATGTATGAAACAGCGAATCAAATGTTTCAGAATCAAATGAGAACGAGTACCCGAAGACGTTATCGGCCATTTCCGACGCCTACATCTTCTGTTTTGCAATATTCCTAGGCCATCATTATTTTACAAATATATTCGCTGGAATTTTGGTGTTTTGTGTGGAGCGCACGTTCGCCTCATTTCTCATCACGTAAGATTTTTTTAATGTACACGTTTTGTGAAGAAAACGGTTTGAGGTTTCATAATTAAAAATTTTAGAGACTTTCAAAAACAAATTTTTTGCCGATTTTCAGAGACTATGAGCAGCATCCAAGAAGCTATATATCAGCGATACTAGTGACTATTTCAACGATCGTCACCATGTTCATTTCCGCTATGACACTTACCGATTTCTTTTCGATTATCGCCATCCTCGCAATGACATATGGAATTGTGACATTACTCTTGATAGTGAGTCAATTTCAATAGATAGAAAATTCAGGAAACTCCATAAGGCTATCAGTTTTTTTGGAAATTTGGAGAATGACTTCATCTACGTGTAGTTTTTGTTTTGATTTTTTTCATTATCTATTTTAGTCTTAAGCTTTAATCCCCTGAAACCGGTTTTTAATAGTCTTGGCAACTATGCATTAAAGGCGCATACCCGTTAATCATTCAAACTTACCTCCCCCTTTACCTAAATAATATTTTCTATAATTTCTAATATTTATTTCGATTTTTTTCGGATGAAGAAGTTTCAAAAAAAAAAGAAGGGATGACTTATTAATTAAAAAGACAGTCTCATCGTCCGAAGTTAATTCATGTGAAAGTGTTTGAGATTTTTGAGCTCCTCAGAAAAAAAAAATTCGAATCCATTCGTTCGTGTAAATCGACAAATCGCTTCGAAATCACACCACGTGGTTTTTGAGTGAATCATAATTTGTTTTATTCAATCAAAGCAGAAAAAAATCACATTTTATTTATTAAGAATAGCCAGTGGGGCGAGGCCACCTGAAAAAAAATGTTTCCTATAAATTTGGATAATTTCAGATTTACGCGCTTGTCTATTTCTACAACTATCGCCTTCATCATAAGATCACACGAACGAACTCCAATGATATGTACTCGCTGGCATTTCGCTATCAATTACGCGAGAATCTCAAGGCGTTCAAGGTAGTGATTTTTAGGATAATTGCCAAATTTCTATTCCAAATTTCAATTTTTGCCAATGTCGGATGAATTTGCCAAATTTGAATTGCGCGATTCGTTAATTAATTGGTCCCAATAAAAAATGTGTTTTATTTTCGTCATTTGACTTTTTTTTTGAATAAGCAATCATAGAAAATTATGCTCTCTCATATTATGTTGGTTAAATTAAGCGAAACTCGCTTCCATCAGTTTTTTTTCCATACGAGACCCAAGACGGCAATTCAAATGCTAAAGTAATTTCATCCCAAATTCGTCTGTTCTTTGAATTATTTTTTTGATAATTTTCTTTAAAAAAATCCTTTTTTTTTGCCAATTTTCCGCCGTCGCGCGACCTCGCCAATAGAAAAAAGGAAATTCTGAGAATTTTTATAAAAATTTTGAAAAATTTTACAAGAATGCCTCCATTTTTTCTTGTTAATTAACTTGTGTTGATGGGCTTCGCAAGAAAAACAAATGAATTGCAGCTAGCCCGTCAAATCGTTGCAATTCTGAGCGGATTCGGCGCCTTGAACGTGACTCTATTATGCGCGGTTTATCTGAATGTCATCCCAATACCCATGGATATTGTAGTGCACTCGGTCGAGCATGAGATCAATTTGTAATCATTTCGAGAATTCGCGAGTTCGCCTTTCCATTCGATTCGTTTCAGAAGTCCTCTGCTGTTCTGCGCCGTAGTGATCGTCTCATTCAACGAATGGACGAAGGCGTTCTCGAAGCGTCTTTCGCGTTGCCGATTCATTCAATTTTTCCATTTGTCCGTTTCGAAGGCGACCGTGCAGCCGGCAAGATCCGAAGAAACTGAATTATATTTTATGCAGCTCCAGAATTATTGGCTATGAAGAGATTTTGTTGTCGTTTCCGTTTTTCAAATCGTTGCGAGACCATTCTACTATGGCAATAGTTGCAATATGTGCCGAAATTCCTCAACAAAAGGCTACGGTAGATTTTTAAAATCGCAGGCCAAAAAAATGTCGAAGCGGATAATGTTTTGTTTTTGCAAATTTCTTCTTACGTCGCGTTTTCAACACCTGCACAGACGCCCGATAATAAATTTTCAAAATCCAGACATCGAAGTTCCATTGTAGTTTAATAATTCGCGGTGAGACCCAACAATCAAGTTGATCGAGACGAAAGAAGTCAACGATTTTCGCTTCGAGATGCCATTACAATAATTTGAGAATATGTGCCACTAAACTGCAACATGGGGTCTCGAAGCGATTTCAAAAAAACAAAGAACCCAATTATGTGTAATTTTGTTCGTTGACCAACTCATATGATAAATATTACGCAAGATTTGAAAATAAAATTGATTTTCCTCTAATTGTTTTCGGTGCGTAATCGGATTGCGCGAGTCGGACTCACTGCCTGATCGCATTGCTTCATTTTCTTTTCTAATCAGAAAAAAAAAGACGATGCATACCCATATTTGGGTGTAATGATAAACAATTTTTCTCATTTTCTTTTTTCTAGCCCCCCGTCATTATTAATTTGCTCGCACAGCTTAATAATTGGTACAGTATGCCCGAAAAAATCGCGAGACCATCTTTGATACGATATCAGCTGTTTTAAAAGTTTGCACCTGACCCATTGAAGCGAACTTGAACTACAAATTGCAAACCGTTGTGACGTCTTACACACGTTCCACATTTCCACTTAATTTTTGATCTACAATTCGATTTGAAATGATTTCTTTTTTTACATAGTTGCAACATTTCAGTTGGTCGCATGTTATTCAACACACGAAACGAATCAATATTTTGGCTGCCATTGTTCATAATAAATTCAAAGGAGCACACGAGTCTCGCGACGATCACCATCCAAATGATCTCGTTCGTCGCGACGACGTTCGTTGTGACGAAGGCGATAGTGACGATTTGGAAGGTGAAACAGTTGCACAATAATTTGAACATTTTGCTGTCGAGTATGCTCATTCAATGGTACGAAGCGATTATTGCCAAGCTTATCATCATTCCGTTTCAGCATGGATTGATCGTTTTTGGAGGTTGGCGATTTAAAAAAAATATCTCTTCGAAAAATCTTTGAATTGGGTCTCGTCTAGAAATTTTCTAGAATATTCCATGAAAGCCAAAAGTCAAATTGTTATATGAATTTCGTGTCAAAAGTTCAGTTCCATTAGTCTTTGCTCAATGGTTTAAAGGAGCATCCAAGATTGTCAAAAGAATAAAAACCAGCCATCTTGTAGGATCCTTGTTTGATTTGCTGCTAATCAGCAATTATTATGCAATTATGAAGTATGACTGAGAAGGTCCGAAGTTACAAAAAATGAATTTTCTCTTTTTAAGAGGGACTTTAAAAAAACCGGGCTTCTAGTAATTTTCTTGAATTGAAAATTTTAAGCGAAAAGATGAAGCTGAAAACCAATAGTATCTGAAAAATTACTGTTACAGTCCACAAATGTGGCCTATAGAACTGTCTCGTCGTATAGCACCCTCTCACTCTCCCTCTATCTATGTGTCTCCCCTTTTTTTCTCCGCGTCTCTTAGATTTCTCTATTGTTTGTAGTATGATCCCGGAGGACACTAAATAATCTCGCGTTTCTTTCATTCGGTATTCTGTTTGATTGACTCAATAATGTCATATTCACCAAATCCCGTGTGCCACCAATCGGATTCGACCAAACTCGGTACCCTAATCCACCCAATCGGACGAATTCCATTTCAGATAAAATTGGAAAATTGCCCGATCAGATTCAAATAGGATATTTGAATGCTTATGTATCCGTATGGTTTTGAGTCTTACAATGTTCGATTGTCGGTTTCTGAATAATGTCGTTAGGCGCGTTGCGGTTCGCGTGCGGTCGCGCCAGAATTTTCCTACGAGACACAATAGAGCTGCACGAGAATCGGAAATTTCGTCAATTCGAAAAATGCGAAAATATTTCTTTCTCTACATTAATTTTATCTATTTGACGACAAAAAAAAGTTGATTTTTGAAATTTGGCACAATTGAGCCATCAACTCGTTTTCTAGAATCGGGGTCTTGAAACGAATAACAATTTCAATATGATTGCAGATGTCCGCGAGAGTCACATATCATGGTGGACGAGCGATGCGACAAAAATCATCCAAGTCCACAATTTCTACCAAACTCTTCCATTGTTCGTCAGCGGCTTCGCAATTTGGCACTACATTTATTCGTTATTTTTGACGGTTCCCGCGTTGGCCTCCGAACGAGTGGTTTCGACGATTTTCATCGAGTAGGTCGCCTTCTCGAAACGCCCCAACATTCGTTCAGCGATTACGAGAAAACCTCGCGATTGTATGTGTCGATTTCATTTCTCATCGTTTCGCAAATTTTGTCGATTTTGTTCACACTTTTTACGTTCTTCAATATTCTTCAATTTTATGGCGCAATTCTCATCGCGTCGATTTGTGTCATTTTCGCCATTGTGGTGAGTTAAGCGCTTTCAAATTTTGTGCCGAAAAATTATTTATTCGAATGAATCTCATGGTTCTCAACGAAATTAAAAAAAACCTTATAATTTATTTTTTTTAATTACGGTTTTCCTTTTTTCCACACGAGACCCGCAAATCCCCATTTTGCTCGCTTCAAACGACTGACCTAAATTTTGAAAATAATTTGTGCGTGTTTGCGTACTCTGCATTTTAGTGTACGCGCATATATTATTTAGCAATCAAATTTCCAAACCAAATTCGAAGCCAACAAATTGTTTCAAATCAATTTTTTTTAGATATTCGACTATGTCTGCATTTTCGCGTGCGCGTGTTTGCGTATGAAATTCGTCATTTTGAAATTCAACTTTCCAATTATTCTTTGATGTTTTGTTTAATTTTTGTTGAAACAAATCCAATATTTTCAATTCTATCAATTGTGGTCTGGCAACGAAAATTGTACTTTTCAGATTTACATAGCGACATGGCGAAAAAACTACAAAATTCATCAGAAAATGAAGCGAATAAGCGCTCTGTACACACTCGCCCAACGATTTCAGGTCAAGGAGAACATTCGGGTTTTTAAGGTGCCCTTTTTTCAGTTTTCAATTTCAAATTTTTCCCTTTTTCGTTTTTTTTTTTTTTGCAGATGGCAAAGAATGTTGTGATCACCTCAACGATTCCATTGATCTCTTTGGGAATCATCCTTTCACTTTTTGTTCAAGATGTTCTAGACTGCGACAATAGCGGATTTCTTATTCATTTGGTTGACAATTGTGTCATTTTGTGAGTTTTGAACTTTTTCGAAAAACTCAAAACGTTGTTCGTGTTTTGCGTCAAAAATTGAAAATGTTCACAAAACCAATTTTTGGAAGAGGACGGCTGTTTTCCGAAAATGGGCGAATTTCAGACTTTTAATGGTCTCGTTTTCTTTTTTAATCTAGAAACAGGACAAGTGAAAATTGAAACAAAATTTTCTAGAGATTTGGTCGATATGAAATTTTAAATGAAATTTAAAAAAAGCCTAATTTTGATTAAAAATTCAATTTTTTAAATAATATTTTACGATAACACAAATTTTCAAAATTAAACTTTTTCTTGGAGAGTTGTCAGTTTTTATTGGGTAGATTTACGGGGCGGACGAATTTAAGAAATATGAATTGTTCGGGACCCCAATAATTGCAAAAAATATACCCTTTCCAATTACGATTAAATTAGATACTAATGAAGAAAAACCGCTTCTAGGTGTTTCCATACGAAACCCAAGACGGCAATTCAAATGAACCAAAATAAGTCGTCCTTACATTTGCAAAAAAATTTCATTTTCGCGTCAAGATCAATTTCGCAGGTACCCTCTGCTGATTTGCCCAACACTGATGCTGAGCACAGACGCGTGGACGAAAAGCTATTTTTCAAGTGTGCCAATAATCGGTTGGTATTTGTCGAAAATGCTCTCGCGGAATGTCGAAGTTCGAAAGAAGGCGAGCGCCGTCGAAACCGACATGTATTTTCGGCAGCTCAGAAACGCGTGGATTTAATTTTTTTTTCTGTTCCATTTTTGTTCCCTTCAATTATGCACATATTTTATTACGCGTTTTAATAATTAATTTACGGGTTCTACAAAAACGAATTATTTCCGAGAAAACTTGTGTCGTTCGTTCTATTTCCCATGATTCTTTGATTAAATTTACCACATAAACAATAAAACGTCCAATATTGTTGGGTTGTGCCAAAAAAATTGGATATTAGAATGCTTCTTTTCTCATCTTTAATCATTTTCAGTTTGGGTGTTGCAAGTGCGCTCCATTGCAAATTCGAAGCAACTCAATTGCAGAGGAAAGGTAGAAGAAAAGTGGGAATTTTGAAAAGAACATTAACATCAGAATTTTTTAATGAGACATGGCCTAGAATTTTCAGGTATTAGAATTCCAGGTCATCTGAAAGTGGACAAACTATGGATCATCGCATTTTTTCAGAGACGGCAATGCAAATTTCGATTTAAGCAGCGTGTGGAAACAAAATGAACCGCGCCACACCTCGGCCATACAAGTTCGGCCATATTTTTAAAAGAGACAAAACTAGATGTTCCTGGGCAACTAAGTTTTTCAGCTAAATTTTTGTACCGCAAATAACCTGCAAATCAAACCAATTCGTTTTTTTAAATTTTAAATAATATAATATTTTTGATTAATTTTCTAGAATAATCATTCAAAACACAGAAGAGCTAAAGAATATTGCAAGCCATGTATTGAGCAATGATCATTCCGAAAAAAAAAAAAACCACGGACATTGTTTAATCAAGTCGCGATTTTGACAGATTCCGCAAACGCGATTGCGCAATCGCCGCTCGCATCGCTTTCCGGAATTCCGAAAAATTCGCTATAAAACGCGCGAAATTTGGCAATAATGACATTGAAATTCCAATGGCTTTCTCATCATCCACATCGATTCCACTCGCCTTCATCGCATTCGCTTGCCTTTTCGCCATCACCCAATCGGCGGTGCTACCTGTCACCAGCACCGAGCTCGCCGTTGTTTCCGAGTCGACGACTGCCGTTGACACTTTGGGAAGCTCACCATCTCGCGTCAAGCGTCAGGGTGGTTGTGGATGCTGCGGATGCGGTTGCGGATGCTGCTGCTGTCGGCCAAGGTGATATCAAGCCTCATCATCAGTTTCAAGTTGGACCTACTACTTTCAGATGCTGCTGCTGTTGCCGTCGCTGCTGCACGTGCTGCAGAACGTGCTGTTGCACCAGATGCTGCACATGCTGCCGGCCATGCTGCTGCGGATGCGGATGTGGATGTTGCGGATGCGGATGCTGCGGATGCGGAGGTGGCAGAAAGAGAAGATCGCTTCAGAACCTCAAAATCGACGCCGCCAACAAGGCTTTGGGAATCAAGCGCCGACAAGACAAGTGCTGATTAAATTCGCTTGCGCTATTTATTTAAATTATGAATAAATGATTTTCGAATTGAAAATTATTTTTCACTGAAAATATTTCCATTTTTATTGAAGATTACCTAATTTTGAATATGTGGCCTAGAAATAATTGTGAATGTTTTTATCAAGTGTGGCCGTGGCCGAGATTATGTGTTTTTTCTAGGCCATAACACTTTTCTATGGTTTCTAATAATGTAATTTCTTCGCTAGTATATAGTATAGTATAGTGTATATTTCTTCGCTAGATTTAATTGGAATAGCCTCACTCTCGGCTACCAAAATTTTTCGTCAGAAGACCTTGTAAATCAGAGGCGTCGTGATTCATGTTAAAATAAAGAATTTCGTTGAATGAACCTTATATGTACACTTTTGCGTGCAGTTTTTGTGGTACGTCGTCCGCACTTTAATTTTATATTTTTCTCAATCAAGCTTCAATTTTTTGGATGAACCGAATTTACATAAACAGATTTTTCCTAAATTGCATTTTCATGACTGAATGTTTAGTCAATCATTGTCTTTACCAATATGTATACTGTGCTGTGGACAATTGAACGCCACTCGAGCGGCACTGCTCCAGCGGAGAGATGGCCGAGCGGTCCAAGGCGCTGGTTTAAGGCACCACTCGGTGAAAATTAGCGGCCCCCGCGCGGGTGGAAATGGGTGGTTGGACCCGCGCGGGGCCAGCGTGGGTCCAAATTATGCCCAGCGCGGGCCCAAACGGCTATTTGGGCCCGCGCGGGTCATATCTGCGGGCCCCGCGCCGGTGAATATCTCAGAAGGGCTCGCGCGGGTGATTTGCGTTTAATAGGAATGGAGGGGCCCGCGCGGGTGAAAATAATGCGGGGTTCTGAGGGGCAACTGCGGGCCGTAAGCGGGACTCTCTAAGGACTCTCGCGAGGCCATCAAATGCGAGGGGCCCGCGCGGGCCATTTGCGGCAACCGCAATATATCAGCGTATTACAGTTTTCCAAAAACAATTTTGCAAAAGAATTAAACATGTTGTGTATCAATTATAACATTGTTCAAAGTGTTTGAATCATCACGATATGTTCTAGCAACGCCAAGAACGTTAATAGAATTTTTTGAAACTTGAAAATAATTGTGAAATGGGGTGAAGGATCAATATTTCAGAATCTCTGTGGCTTGTTTTCAATTGTTCGAATACTATTGTTAAACACAATGTTGACTTTTTAAGTTATTAAAATAATTTGCACATTTTCGACTCTTCTTGCTTTAGTATCTAAATGTCTGACTTCATGCATAGGAATGAGAGCCCTCTTCAAATGAAAGGCCCTCTTTTCAGTCCAATAAGCTTGCCTGGAATATCTGAAGCATCAGCTGAAACTCTAAACATTCGCAAACACCTTATAAGGGGCCATCACGGTTTGAACAACGGCCGTATTCTTTTCGGATGTGGTCGAATTCGATTGGGAAACAAGACATTTTGCGTTCGGAATATTTTATTTATTTTAGTTTTTTTTATTAATATATTTATTTTTTTTATTATTTTTTTTTGAATAATAGGCGCATTTTTCTTATTGAGAATTTCTGGACTAATCTCGTTCACAGAAAAAAGTTTTAGTGGAAACAGAGTGTACGACACTCCGCCGTTAACACGTGCCCGCTGTTTATCGTATTTTGTTTTAACCGTTTTGAATCGTTCGTTCCAATCACATTTAACTCGTCCAATTAATTGGCGAGTGTCTAATTTTTAAATTAGTTTTTTCTTACTTTTAAATTTAATTATTTCAGTCATATTTATGGTAATATGCTCCAAGCGCAATGTCGAACCAAAGAAGAAGAAGATTTAAATTTAGTAAGGAAATGCAAAAAAATTAAATACCGTGCGTTGCAGAATTATGACCACTACACGGTTACTTTTTAAGATACTAACATAAAAATTGGTACGTATAGGTAATTTTTCATGCTGAACACGATTTTAACACTGCTTGGTCTTAAAATCGAAACCTGCGCGGCGATCTAATTCGGGGGTGGCTTTATAATTCTGCAACGCACTCACTGTATATATAAAATACAATATTATGTTTAGATAATGTGTCAACAGTTCGCAAGGAAATGGAATATAGACTACAAGAGAAAAAAAGGAAGAATCAGACTAGCTGTTGCTCGAGAAGACGGTATTGGTTTCCTATTCTATTAAGATGTTAACTTCAGCGGGTTGGAACTTTTAGTGATTTCCGTATTTGGGGATGGTTCATAATTTCAAGATAAGTGCGGTGCAGAGGCGCGCTGGGGTTAAGCGAAGGTTTCGAGATAGTACTCAGCCAAAGATTTATTGAGAAAATTTATATTTGGGTAAAATATTATTTATACAATATATTTTGAAATGCGAAACTTTAAAGTTGTATTTGAGTGTTCTCTACAAATCACGTTTTTTCAATGAGCGAATACCGCGAAACATTGAGAAAAAATTGACAAGTTAGCGAACTTTGGGCAATTCTCGAGTACCTAGTTTAATAAAACGAAAACATTTTGTCAAATAATTGAGAATTGGTTCAAATAAAGCCCAAATGTCAATCAAATATAAATATTTGTTTATTTTAATAAAAAATTGTTATATTTATATCGAAATTTCAGGGATTTCACATCAGCATGAAAAATAATGGGTCCGTTATGGCACAAGATTCATTAATTATTGAAAAACCTTCAGAAGTACTATTGAGTAAGTTCCTTTTCATTGTCATAATATGATAAGTCTATATAGTCGGCGTCCGTCGACTGCTGCACGCGGGTAGATTTACGCGCATGCGCCTTGAAAAAGTCTCGCCACGTGTGAATGCTGTTTTCGCATGAACGGTTTATTTTTTCTTGACAAGTTTCGCATTTTCTTGCCCCAAGATAAACGAGCATCGCCGTAAATCTACCCGCGTTCAGCAGTCGACGGACGCCGACTATATCATATTATGATTCCTATATTTCAATATTCTATTTGTGGTTTTTCAGGAACATTATTCTCCACAATTAAAGAGTGAAATTCGAGCCATGTGGATGCATAGGAATGTTTAAGTGTAATTTGTTTTTTCGTTTAATAAATGTTTCATTAAGTATATAATTGTTAATTAATTGCAATATGAATCTCGTCTAGAATTTTTGGCCACGCAAAGGCGATATAAGGGCCCCGCGCGGGTGAAACACAAGGGCCCCGCGACGGTGATATGAGGACCCCGCGACGGTGATATGAAGGCCCCGCACCGGGGATATGAGGGCCCCGCGACGGTGATATGAGGGCCCCGCAACGGTGATATGAGGGCCCCGCACCGGGGATATGAGGGCCCCGCGACGGTGATATGAGGGCCCCGCTCGACGAAAGTGTTTGCCCCTCAATTTTCACCCGCGCGGGACCCGCAAATCGTTGTTTTCACCCGCGCGGGGCCCGCCAATTTTCACCGAGCAGTCCCTTCGGGGGCGTGGGTTCGAATCCCACTCTCTTCAGACGATTTTTTGTCAGTTTTTTGAAAATCTATTTATTATTCAAATTGCTTATATGAGCATCATAAATGGAAAACGTGACCCATGGTTTGAAAACAGAAGGTGGAACAACGGAAAGCATTCAATAAATCAGTTATCAATTAGTGTTATCAGCGAGGGAAAGACGAGGTGTTGAGGTGAAAAATGCCAAATTCAGACACCTATTAATGGAAGACAAAAAGAAAACAAGACAATTGAACATTATACCGGTATTGAAGTGAACGGAAATGACTAGAATCACTGGAAAATCCTATTTAGTTATCAACACTGCGATTCCGAGACATAGACGGATGCTCCTTTTTGAGATGCCGTGGCCGGACTATCTGATCCGCTCTCGCTACCTAGAAGACGATAAAAATAGAATTGTAAATGAAATTGGGCGAATCGCTCAGAAATTGAAAAAAAAACGATGCATTCAACACAATTCGAGCAATTTGTCCGCAGATGAGTTATGACAATTGGTCATGACAACCATGCTTCGAGAAAATTCAGAAAAAAAGGAACAATCAGCATGCGCATGCGTGAATCAATTGCGGGATCGAATTGTGCGCATCGAGAAATGAATAGGAAAATAGGAAAGTAATTTGAGCAACTCACTAACTCTAGTTGGCCATATCGACAGAATCATCTGAAGGCTGGCTGACGCCTGAGCCACGTCCAAACATCGTACCGTCGTCGACTTCGACGTCGGCGATGATGGATATGGCGACATTGAATCAAGACAGCAGAATAGTAAAGGCGCGAATATCTGGAAATTGATCGAATTGAAAAAAATATATTCTTGAGAGAATCGGAGTATACCGTTGAGAGCCTCGAGGGAGAAAGGCCGTTGTGTGGTGAGGAAGAGAGCACAGTGACAAGATGGTCGAGAACAAGGAGAAGGCAATTCTGAAAGTTTTAAACAAAATATAGTTTTTTTTTTGTTTGGTGGACGTGGCCTAACTTTTCCAAGAAAGTTAGGCCACCATTAATTTTTCGGCGTTTTTTTTTAAGAATCCTGCTTCATGCCAAATTAAGCAGTTTACCTTGCATGCTAACGTTAGGCAGTCGATAATCCTTAGAACTAGGGCGCGATTTGCTTGCACATCGTTCGGCAGGGCTACCGACGCCGCGTCGAGCAGCATCGCATGAATTTGCGGCGATATCAACGGCTCGGGAAGCTCCCTGAGGAAATCTTTGACCAGGCAGGCGATCACATTGGTGTCTGGAATGCTGTCGGCGCCGAGTTCAGTTCCGAGCGGATTCGCCTCAAGCTCATCGCGAAGCATTCGCTTCTTCTCCACTGAGCCGCACACTAAACACACATTTTCATTTTTTTGTTTCGCTTTTGAAGCCGCTTACAAACATAGAGGCCATTATTGTCAACTCCGCGTTTCTCGATTTCCTGAATCAATCGCGTCAGCACAATTGGCGTATCCCTTCGTTCTCGGTGAATGAGGCGAGAGAGCGGCACACCAAACACCCTGCAAATCGCATTCATGTACGCAATTCCGGGCAACGGCGAACAGCCGGAGAGATGGCCGAGCGGTCCAAGGCGCTGGTTTAAGGCACCAGTCCCTTCGGGGGCGTGGGTTCGAATCCCACTCTCTTCAGACAGTTTTTTGCAAAATCTTTTATATTGAGAATGTTTTTTTTTGGAAAATGTGAGAGCAATGGTTTTTTTCTGCCATCAATTGAGTATAATTGGGCAATTTAGCGGAATCAAAACACGTACCCGTCGAGTCTTGGATTGACCGTTCTCCGGAACACTGAAGCCATATCATGGAATCCGATTCGTACGATGAGTTGTCCTCGTGGTTCGAGATTCAACGCAAACATCCGATCGCCGTTCAATTGATCGACAACGAACGCTTCAAGAAGCTTCAACGAACCCTTATGGCACAGTTTGTGGCGAAATTGCGGATGCCACGAGTAGACGAAAAAGTTGGTGACGGTGGCGTTGACGACGTCGATATGGAACGTCTCGCGCCATCGGAATTTCTGTTCGATCGTCGAGACGCCGGTGCGCGCGCGATGCTGCTCGTCGACCTCGAGCACACAGTACATCTCCTCGGTGAGTCCCTTCTGCTTCTCGGGTATCTTGAGGCCGCGTCCCTCGAGAATCTGCACGAACAGAATGCCGGTGAGACTGCTCACATTGAGACGATCGATGTTGATGCCGGGACCGGCGGCGCGAAGTGGCGCGCGTCGATTCATCAGCGGCGAGACGTGATAGCGATCGAAGACCGCCGACGGCCGCTCCTGGACAATCGGCTGCGGATGGCGCGGAAGCACCGGGCTTCCAACAAGACTCTACAAGAATCGCAATTTGCAAACTTTCAAGAGGCCCTCCAATTTGCCGTTTTTAATCAAATTTGCCAAAATCGAATTTTTGGCGAAGAGCCATTCAAAATCACCTGCGCCAATATCGTACGACCCGGCAGCGAGCTCGTCCTCGGCGCTCGCTGCTCGCCGTACGTGTGCGACCAGCGCGTCGCTCGTCCGCTATAATTCGCGCGCGGATCATAGGGACCCGCCCAGTTGCGGTATTCGGCCGCCGAGAAGATGTCGTTCACCGTTCGACCGGGACTTCCGTTCGACAATCGAAATTGTTGCTCTGCAATAATAAGCGTCGCCTGTGTGTGTGTGTGTCACACTCGATTTGTCGCCGCGCATTGTCCAATGTCGCGCACTTGGAATTAATGCGAAGTGAGTGAATTAGGCAAAAAGCAATTTGTTTCTCGTGTATGCATGTATGTGTAAGTGTGTGTTGTGTGCAAAAACCTACTACTACTACTACTCGGACGCCAAACTTCTCAAACTCACGTTGCGATAATCTCGAGAATGACGGCGATGAGTATTCGGGAGCCGAGATCGCGCCGTCGCTCTCCTCGCCACACAATTCCGTTGCGACGACGTCGTTTCGCCATTTCACCTTTCGCGCGCCTACAAAACGATCACCGGTGCCTAGAGTGGGAATTGTTGAAATCAGACGGCACACCGAATCAAATCAAATCAAATCATACTACATATATATATGTTGATGACCAACCTGACATGAGGCGTCGCCTCGGCAGCGAATTGCTTTTGTGATCGGCGGTTGGCCGCAACGATCGCGGCAGAATCGGCGAGCACCATGAGCGCGAGAGGAGCGCGTCGGCGGCGTTCGTCGCCATTCGACCGCCCATCATTGGATCGTAGTCGTTGCGCATTAATGGCTCGCGAGCGGTTAGCGGCACACGCGAGGCGTTCATCATGTCCGGCGGCGGTACAGCTGTCGATGAACGCGGCAGTGTGTACATCGTGGCGGTCTGCTGAAAATCATTGGCCGTCTCACTCGCTCTCCTGTCTGAAAAACGAACCGTCGAAGCGCCCGGCGCCGAATTGAAGCTCTCGGTTCGGCGAACGGTTGCCGATTGAAGTCGCGGCGGTGGCACACGTGCGGTTCTTGTGATCGAATCGGATGGTTCGGAAGCGAATCGCTGATAGGTGCCGCCCGTCGTCGGCTCGCTCGAATTGATAGGATGAGCGTGACCGTTGAGAAGACGCGGCGCGTACTGCGAACGCGGCGACACTTGCTGCTGCTGCTGAGTCGACGACGATCGAAGTGTGCCGGAGCGCATTTCCTGTAATTATCGTGTTCTTGAAGAGTTCGAGAAGACGAAAACGATGGTGGTGGAGGGTCGACGGGCACTTAGGACGCGATATTTATGACACCAAACGGGCCGAAGGGGAGGGGGGGGGGGGCGAGAGCAGCGATTCAAGTAGATCAAATCAGAAATAAGTGATCCCCCTCCCTTCCCCTCGGGGGAAGGCACACACACACACATCGCATTAATAGACGAGCGAGTGAAAAAGCAAGTAGTAGTAGGCGAGAAAAAAAATATTTGGAGCATTTTTTGCTTTTCTTTTTTTTTTGCGCTCTGCTCACATGGGTGTGTGCATGCGCATGTGTGTGTGTGTGGTGCTCATGGAAATGCGAATCTGCGAGCGCGCGTAAAAAGTGAAAAAAAAGAAGGAAAAATGGGAAATATGCGAGTTGTTGGCCTAGAGTTGAATTTCAAATGAATCTGAGCCCCCCCCCTCTCACACAATACGGAAAAAGTGGATTTCGATAATTCATACTTGATAGGAGTGGTCCGTAGACGGATATCCAATATTGCTAACCACAGGCTACTCCAATAAATTTTTCAAATTCGTGGTAAACCTTGAAGTTTGATGAGTGAAATTGTCCGCATATGGATTTTTTGAAATTCTATTTAAAGCGGGGGTCAAAAGAATTTGCAGAAATTGATCTCTTTCTCACATTTTGGCTAGCAAAATTCAAAGTAGTTATTTTTCCATACGAGACCATTCTTATCATAAATTAAATCCCATCAAGAATTCATCGGACCTCGACAATATATGCATTTTTAAAAAAATGAAATTTTTTAAATTTTGAACATTTAAATTGTCCGCAGATGGAATTCATTAAATCGAATTCGCGGCGACGCGTTCAAATTAAATAACACAAATCGTTTTAAATAAAACGTGCCTTTTTAAGCTTTCGTTTAAAAATTTAATAGGATATTTGAAACAAACTGAAGTGCTCTGGATTTTGTGTCGATTTACGCAAATTTTTGAAGCAAACGAGACAATTTCGGAAAAATGCGATTCAATAAGTGAATCTGTCAAATATTGAGAATTTCAACAGAAGCAATGAGGAAAAATAAAAGTAGAATTGAGGGGGGGGGTCAAAAAGTCGATGTGCGAATTGTTTCTCTCTCGCCGCTCTCTCCTCCCCAAAATAATTTTTTTTGTGCAATTCCACGCCGTTCTGCTTGAATGACGACATTCGGTCGGACGCGGATGACCCTTGACACATGCGCAAGACGAAGAAGAAGAACAACATTCGCGAAAAGTGCTTTCACATCAAAAATGTCGCGTTTGGCTTCGATGAGCAATAAAATTGCGGCCAAACAAAAGAAGGCGCTTAGCCGACGCGACGAGCCTACCTCCATTTGCTGTCGACTCTTTTTGCCGAGCCAGGTATTCGCCGTGGACGTCGGCTGCGAGAGAATCGGCGCGTTCGAATTCGATTCGCTTTCCCTTCGCTCCTCGACCTGAACTCGAAATTCAGCGTCATCCGAATCGCAATGAGCTCTACCTTATGAAAGACGACGACCGGTCGCTCGACAGCCCGATTGCTGATCGGCAGCTCATGTCGAGTGGATTTTGAGAATCTTGAAAATTTCAACTTCATTGCCTTGCTAGGTGAATTGGATTCTTACCGTATCCTGAGCAGAAGCCTTCTCGGAATGCTCAATATCAGAACGACGTCGTCGATTCCCATATTCGAGACCTCGACGTTATTAATGGTTAGAATTTCGTCGCCGGGACGAATCACGTCGCCATATCTGGAAAACCGATGAAAAAATGCAATTTTGAACTGGCAACACATCTGCGGACAGTTTTGAGGGGCTCGACACATGTCCGCAGCATGCATGCCATTTATTGAAACAACGCACTTGGCCAAATGCGACGTCTCGCCGAATCGCGACACGAACACACCGTCGAATCGATCTTTGCCGTTGCCCTCGCGCAAATACAATCCTAATGATTGTCCGGGCTTTTTGATGATCTCGACGAATTGAATAACGACGTCGCCGCGAACGTCTCTGAACAAAAGAAGCGATTTTTTGTTGGATTTTTCGAACGACGACCCACTTGTCTAGAATTCTCGCGCTAAGACCCTGAATACCCGCCTGTGTGAGTGTGCTGGTGCCTTGATCGACGGAGGTGATTTTGCGGAACACCTCGTCCGGAAGCCGGCCGCCGCCGCCTAGAAATTCGATATGTTTGGCAAGAAAAAAAAAGAAAAAGTTTAGAACAATGGAATTTTTCATTTTAAATCGTTTCAACTCTCTGAAAAAGTTTGAAGCGACAATTTGGTCAAGTATAAATATGAAATAAAAATCGTGCTGCGGACAATTTTGAAAATATGAATTACCTGGCGGTGGCTGACTGGAAATCATGCGATGGCTCGAGGCGGCCTGAAACCAAAAAAAAAGAAATAAACGGAAGAATCGTCTAAATAAGGGCAAGAGTTGGGGGTAAAATGAAGCATAGACGAAGTGCGAAGTGCGCGTTATTGGGAGCCATCAAAAAAAAACGAGAGATGAGCTTGGGAAAATGCGACGACGACCTACAGGCGAACAAAAAGCCTCGCCTGCTCGTTCCCAACGAGTGGTCAAGCCGAATTTGTGAGAATTCGAAAGTAGTATGAATGATGCCCTTGGGTTCTTCTTCACGTTTGAAGAAAAACGAGAGGGGCGTAGAGAGAACGAGTTTTCACTGGGGTTGGCCTGGGGGGGGGGAGAAGCTCGAAAAAGACACGGACGATGTCCATTTATCGATTTTGTTGTCTGCGCGCTCTCGGAGCCAACACCACAACGATTTTTATTCGGACTTTCGTCGTCCTCCCTTCCCCTCAGTTTCCCCCACTCCGCCTCTCACAAGTTTGCTTCGTCTTTTTTGCCTTATATGGGTATTGCGTGTTTGCGCCATAACACAGTGAGAGGAGGGGCGAGCGAGAAACGAGACTCTCTGGCTGGTTTGAATCAGGCTCGACAGCACTCGCTCACAAATCCGCACCCCCTCCTCTCATCCTGGCATGGATTATTAGAGATTGCTATCATGAGCAATTGGGTTTTTGTTGCGAACCGCAATGCTCATTGATGAATCGGCGAGAAATTCGAAACGCATCGAAGGTCTATTAATTAGTGGCCGTTGAAAAAAAATTTTAATTCTGCTTTTTTGCCGCAAATTTCGCTCTAAAAATGTTTTCCATACGAGACCCACGGCGGCAATTCAAATAATAAATCAAAATTGATTCATTCATGAGAGCTTTCCCTGATTTTTGCAAATTTTTTGAGCACACTGAAGAATTATCAAAAAATTTTCAGAAATCGTGTGAAATGGAAATGTGTGCAATATTGCGTCAACGTGTGCACACCGACAAAAATAGAATAAAATGCCATGAGCCTGAATGTAATATTTTTCGAGCTCCAACTTCCTATTGAAAGAATGAGCAATCTATTTGCGGAGCTGCCCCGCAATTTTACAAATTCCAAAAAGAAATCCTAAATTTCGAATGGCTCATTTCATTATAATAACGCATAACTCAAATATTCTCCATTAAAACAATGTATGCTATTAACATTATTTATTCAATTTTCCATATATGAAAGCTTTGGAAATATGACCTCCCAATTGTGTACATATGTACATATATGTACATCAATTTTGAATTTTTGAAATGTGAATGAAGCATTCCTTATTGTCATGTTTCAATTTTTGTCAAAAAAATATCCATAAAATGCATTTTTTGCGGAAAAATACAAATTTGAAAAATGTTGAAATTGTCCGCAGATGAATTTCATCATGAACCTCGAGCATTTGGCATTAATTGATGTCCACAAAATCCTGGCGACTGCTGTACGCGGGTAGGTTTACGCGCATGCGCCTTGAAAGGGTCTCGCCACGCGTGAATGCTTATTTTGCTGTTTTCACGTGAACTGCTTCATTTTTCTTGGCGATTTTCGAATTTCCTTGAATTTCCAGCCATATTTGATTGAAAAATTATCAAACCGGTCCATAAAATTTGAAATAACCTACTAGTCCTTGCGAGATCATTTCGAAAGACGCATTCCCGTAAATCTACCCGCGTACAGCAGTCGCCGGACGCCGACTATACTAATAGTAATAATATGTGATTGATGTCGCGAAAAAAAAGATGAAAGGAAGGGATGCGAACGAGTTGTTCGACACGCGAATTTTCAGGAATTCAATTGTGTTCGTGTGCGCTTCGTCGTCGTTTTCAATTTTTTTTCTCGATTCTACGACACACACAAAAAAAATTGGGCGGGAGGAGATTTTTTTTTGTTGATAACCTGTTCGATGGGCGACGGCTGCTGTTGACAACAACAACAACACGATGGGGTGCACAGAAGGCAGCACAGCCAGCAGCGGCGACGATGGCGATGATGGCCGAGACGGCGGCGATTGCGCTCGTCGCGAAGGACGGCCATTTCTGCAAGGAACAGAAAACAAATTGTGTTAATTGGTTGATGTAATCGAATCCGAATTTCGGAAAACTGTTGGTACAATTTGGCCTAGTTCAGATTTCTATGAGAAACGGGCTGAAAAGTATATCTGACGAAATTTCGGGGTTTCAATTTTTTTTTAGAATTTCAGTGTTGGGTCTGACTTTGGAAATAAGCGAGTTTAACCATCAAATATCATTATTTTTTATTCGACGGACCATTTTTTATTATAAGGGGCCAATTTCAATGTCAGCATGAGAAAATTCAATAATGGAGTATCCAAAAATGATAATGAAATATATATATTCTAAATTGAATTCTTGACGTGAAATTAAAAAAAAAATTTTATGCGCCTTTGAAGTGCACTGTAGTTTTCTATTTAAAAAAAAACTACGTCATTTCTCCCACACGAATCGTCTATTTTCGACAATTAAAAAAATGCTCATCTGAAAATAATCTTGAACCAACACGCAATGTTAAATTGCGTGAAACATCTTCGGACATTCTACAGTCATTTCATGAGCGTTTTAATTTATAAAATTTATCTGCGGACATCTAAGCCGCTCAAAATTAACTTGACTCAATTATATTAATTACTCTTAATTACTATGAATGAGCAATTGTTCGAAGAGAAAAAAAAAAACATTGACGCAAAATCGTCGGAAATTTTTTTCTTTATGTGCTCTTATATTTTTTTTTGTTCCGGAGAAGAATCGTTTCCGGAAAGCTAATGTTTTTTTTTTTGGCAAAGTGAAATATGACGATCGAAAAGCAATGATTCTGGAATGAAGCGCCGAAAATTTGCACTGTATTACATAAAATAACGATGTTTTACGTACGTACGTGGCCCTAATTGGTCTTATTGAATTCTTCGAAGTGACCCACCGAGAAGCGAATTAGTTTGTTTGTCGAAATAGTGCATGACAGACAATGTCACCGAAATATTCCATTTTTGCTCAAAAATGTTGCGAGTTTTGTGAATTTTCGAGAACACTTTGAACATTTTATCGCGCAATTAAGTATTTTTAATTAAATTTCTAATAAATTCCCTATTCCTTTCGGAGGTCTCCTTAAAATATTCGAAAATAAAAAATATGGCCGAAGAAATTTCTAGGCCACGCTGATCAATGTTTCGTTTCTGGTTGACTACCTTTTTGCTCATTTGAGAAAAACGCCAACGACATTCTTCTTTGAGAATATAAAGAATATTTAGTGAAGAAGGGCAGCAGAAGCAGCAGCTGAAAAATGAGCAATACGGATTGTTGGCCCTGTTTCGTTACCAAGACCCTAGCCACATAAATATGATGTACTAGAAGAAGATGAATTATTTGAATTCAACGTGTCAATTTTTCGAAATGGAGCCCAATTATGGTTGTGGAAACCTTGGCTCGCTCAATCATACGATGTATAAAATGGCGATTTTATGATGGAAATTTGGCAACAATGCGGTCAAATCGAACCTTTTCAATGAATCGCCCTCCACTCGATGGTGTGTGCCATTTACGCGAGCCACACTGAAATTTAGATGAATCGAATTGAATAGGCGAATATTTAATTCAACGCATAGATTAGTTGAGGCACGAATGAGGAAATGCAAATGATTTTGTTTGGCAATATTTGAAAAATAAAAATAATTTTGTCGCAAAAGCGTTTTTTATTGAAAACTGAATTTTTTTTATTTTACCGGAACAAAAAACATTGGGAAATTTACTGCTACGAGACAATTCCAACTTCCTTCTAGCAAAAATTATTTTTTTTTTGAAGGAGAAGAAGAAAACACTAAAAATAATAATTAATGAGGAAGACGAAATATCGTGAAAATCTTCAAACACGCGGTTGTTCAATGGGATTTCTTGAAGCTTTACATTTTGATAGTATCAGGTTTAAGCTTGAATATTTTTTAGAATGATATTCTCAGCCTGGACGGTCCATTGGACACCTCTGGAAATTGAAAATCAATTGGTTCCGAAAAAAATATTAAATTAAAGGATAACCTCAAAAATCATTTGAAAAAATATCATAGAAACTAGGTAATAAAAAAAAGAACAAAAATTCTAGGTTATTTGGTTGCTGAGAAAAGACGTCAACAACATGTATTTGCCGTCAAATAAAATGCACGATTCTACAACGTCATTTTAAGCGTCATGTCGAAATTTAACGTCTTCATTGTGTGCTATTTTTACCTAAAAAAGCCTGGATACGTTTTTGAGTCGAAAAATCTGACATTGAAATATGAATTTCCATAAGCATTTTGAGTTCCCAATTTTTGATGCTGCGAGGATTTTCGAATAAATCCACATGGAAATAAAATAAACGAAATTGAAATCATTGCGGACAATGCATTTTATTTGCCGAGAATATACATATTTCTGACATCGTTGCCGTTTTTTCTTCGTTACAAAATACTCTAAAATTTTTGTTTTTTTTTTACATTTCATTTTATTTTTAATGCTTTTTGTGGTTACACTTTTAATCTATTTAAACAATTTAAAATCGATCAAAATTCTTTGCGATTTATTTCTTTATTTAAATTTCATATTTTATTTGACTGAAATTTCAGAAACGGATTAGTTCGAAATTCTATTTCGATCGAAAATGTAATTTTATTTTTTTTCCGAAATTTCGAAACCATTTTAGCTGAAAATTATCAAAAAAGTATTGTTTTAAAAATTTTAAGAAAAATAATTTTGGTTCAAAATGTCGAATCAAGAAAAAAAAGGATTTTCTCCGATTACAACTTCAATCACAACTTTCCTCGCCTTGAAAAATAATGCGCAAAAACACGAACAAAAAAGCCGAAAATTGCGTTGAAGTGAAAGCTGTAATAAAATAAAAATAAATAAAAAAACCAACGAGGGTTGTTATAGAGACTCGTCATGTTCAACATGATGGATATAAAAGACGAAGAAAAAAATATATATAGAAAGAATCGAATGGAAACGTTCAATTTCAGTGCGGCTTCATCTCTCGCGTTTTCGACTTTCATAAAAAATGAGCTCGATGAAAAAGCGATATATTCGCCATAAAAATTTACTAGTTTCATTGATGCCTCCCAAAAAAATTGGTCTCACATGAAAATGTCAACCGAAAATCGTATACAAAGGACCCAATATAAAACAAGGACAAATGTAATCGGAGAATCAGCTTTCAGGGCGAGAACTGGAGCCAAAAAAACGCATTAGGATGTCAAGAGCGGAGCCCTTAATTCTGTTTGCTTTAAGCCGCGGCCCATCCTGCCTAATCTAGCGGCCATTCAATTTCTCGTGTAAAACGAGTGGCTGTATGAATATTTATACGAAACGCAAAAAAAAAAACAAATAAATACTAAATAACAACAAAAATTGTAAACGGCGATAAAATTGTTGAAAGCACATCGGGCAAGAATTATTCGACTAGGTGAACGAGACCTTATGCGGCACAAGGTGGCCGATGTCGCCGATCGAACGAATCGAGACGTTGCCGGAAGGGCGGATCACGACCCATGTCAGCGAGCAGTTGCCGAGGGACATACGCAGCCAGCCTTCTGGCGGAAACTGCAGCGCTCTGAAAATTGGGACCTCATGTTGTTTGATTGACACATTCGAGCTGTTGTTATTTTGGAGCGAAGGTCGACGGGGCAGCCCTTTGATTATTCATTGCCTCTCAATTTATTGCAACCACCTTCTTCCTCCTTTTAATTCTCACCGAGACATCAATTCATTATAATGCTAGTTTCAATAGTTGCATTTATTAATTCTCTTGGGAGAATTGAAAAAATGCCGCCAACTCTATGGAATCATTCTAAAAAACTAACCTGCACACAAAGTATCGAATCACATTGGCGTGACACACCACCAACTCGTACGAATCCTCTTTTTGGGTTGGCGAGGCTCTGTGGAAAAGCTTACGGAACGCGGATTCGATACGAGCCGATTCCGAGTAAAACTCCTCAATTCGAAATTCAACTTTTTTAATGAGCTATGGTGCCTACCGGTGCTGCAGGGCGCCATTGCTTGTGAGCAGGAACTGGTGGGTATGGCGGTCCTTCTTCAAGAAGGGGTGTTGAGGATCTTGGGAATGTCTCGGGGAAATGCTTTAAGATGATATTAGCGGTTTCGGTGGCGCGAGTCATGGTTGAATAAATAAGTTTGTCGAACTTGATTGGAGAAGCAGCTAGACGTTTTCCCAGCAATTCTGCTTGCTCTTTTCCTAGAAGTGTGGAAAAGTTAAACTTCAAACATTCGATATCTATATTTCATTTACCCAATGGTGTCAAATTTTTCGTTTCCGAATCCAAATGATATTGCCCGTGGCGGATTAGAAAAATGTGGCGGGTAGCGGTCGGCTTGTGATCATCTAGCATTTTCTTCTTCTCTTCTTCGCTGGCAGCGTCGTATTTTTTTGGATTCACCAAGCTGAGTGGCTCTCGGCTGGAAATAACCATGTTTAAAAATGTCGCTTGGAAGTTTTTTTTTCGCGGAAACTCACAAATCCCAATTCTCGTTCCAAACACCACGCGGAAAATGCTCGTCGAACGACTTAGATGAATGTTTGCCGGTGAATGCGTAAGCCTTGCGAACTATCGCTTCCCGATTTTGTTCATCCGATAGAGCATAGGCCCCTAGACCAGCAACGGCGGTTGGAATTGCGATCCGAATTGCTTTTGAGAAGATAACCATCTGAAATGAAAATAATTTTAACAAAAAAATGACGAGAATAAAGATGAATGACTCATAAATAATTTGAATGCATTAAATATTGTTGGAATTTGAAAATGAGAAAATATGTCGTCAAATATGGTGCATTGTCCGCAATAACTGCGACGTACAAGGGAAGACCAAATTTGCAAAATGATTTGAATTCATTGATTGCGTTTGTGTCCAGTTTTTTGTGTTTCTCAGCAATTTGGAAAAATTGTACTTTTATATTTCCTGTTATTTAAAAACTGCTTTCTTCAAATTGTTAAATTTTTGTCTAATTCGATATTTGATTTAAAAATTTGCTGAAAATTAGTACAAAGAACGTGAAGAACCATGACCATTTACCTTTTTAGTGTAGTTTTTAATGCTACTTTATGAAATTGTAATAAATATTTTCTCATAAAGTAACTTAGACATGGCGGAAATTGGGGGTGCCGAGCCCATTGACGCTCCTCAATCTATGGAAACATCCGACGGTGACGAAAAGGCATGGCTAGTTGAGAAATCTCAGCTTGGTATTTCGAATAATAGAAAAACATAGTGTTTTAATTGAAAATGTTTAGAACAAGAAAATTTTAATATTAATCAAGAGCTTTTCGAAGCGAAAGAACGACTTAAAGATGTCTCGAGGAAGAATGAGCAACTCGTTGAAGAGCTTGCGCAACACAGTGCCGAAATCGCGGAATTCACGAAAAGTAGAAGGCATTTGGAAAGTGCTAGGAACGAATTAGTAGATAAAAACGTAAAATTGTGTTTCAATTTTGTTCAAGTAATTGTTGAATTTAGATTGAACTTGAAGCGATGATTTCGAGGCTCAAAATCGAGAAGGAGGAACGCGATAACGCGATAATTAATTGTAATAAAGAAAAACAAGCGGCAATGGGTAATGACTTCAGATTTTTCGTATTAATCAAAATGTTTTAGTCGAACTTTTTGCTTTGAAAGATCAGCTGAAAATTATTAGCGAAGAAAAAGCTTCGTTGGCCATGACCGTTGAAATGCTCAACCAGGAGAAGCGAACACTCAATTTTGAACGGGAGAAATACAATTCGGAGCGCGAATTATTCTCCGAGTCCAAAACATGGCTTCTTCATGAAATGTCAGAACGTGACGCGACTATTTCATCACTTCGCATCGAATTGGTAGAAAAAAATGATTAATTGATTAATTTCATCTGAAAATTAATTTCAGAGCTCGAAAGACATGAAGATGGCAAATGAGAAACTTCAACTTGAATCTGAGATGTCTACTCTCAATTTCCAGATGAATGATCTTAAAGAGAAATTGGAATTGTCGAAGAAACAAGTCACCGAACTCCAGAATCGCATGCAAGAGGTAAATCAGCAATGAATATTAATTTAAAATTAATTTTATTGTTTTTTTTAGGCTGAGCTTGATTTCCACAATCGATTGGCGAGTCTTGAAGCTGAGGCTCGCACACAAAACGAGCTCATCAATATCGAGCGTAATGCTCGCGATGAAGCTTGGAACACGGCCCAGTCGCTTCGCGAAGAGCTTGTTTCGAAGGATGCGGTTTATAATGAAGTCAGAGAATGTCTCACACAGTTCCAAGAAGAACTCGAAAATGAGAAGGCCGCCAACGCTGCCGAGATTGAGGCTCGAGGTGAGTGTTTCAATAGTTTGTGAAATTTTTATCGATTTCATTTAGACAAGACGATTGCACAGTTGAACGAGGAGCTTAGCAAGATAAATGAGCTGATGAAGAGCAAACATGCTGTGAATCTCGATGTTACCGAACAAGAGCTCGCTGAACTCTCGCCAGCCGCCGCCAACACCGTCAAAATTCTTAAGGGTGGTAAAACATTAACCAGTTTTGTTCTGTAAGTTTGAAGAATGTCTCTAGCCCATGAAGTGTTTTATTAAAGGGAGCAAGCCCATCTTGCCGCGGAGCTCGCTGCACAAAAAGAGCAGAATGCTGAGCTGATGAAGAGCTTCCAAGAGCTCATCGAGCGAATCGAAGGTGCTAATGATTTTAGAAAATAATGCCAATTGAATTTTTTTCCAGATAGTGGACCTGATCTTGTAAATCAGAGATTAGTTACTGAGGAGATTTATGAGAAGGTGGAACGTTATGAGGAAGTTATTAAGGTAATGAAACGAGCTTAAGAAAGTTCAATTTAATTAATTAATTGCTTTGAAGGAAGCAGAAATCGAGCGCACAAAATTGATTAGTGATCGTGATGCTGCTCAGCGCGAGCTTGCGTTCACTCAGAACGAGCTCGAAAAATATCAGCGCGACTTCAACTTTTTGCTGGAGAAAAACGCTCAATTAATATATGTCAACGAGCGTCAGAATCGCGCGAGCGATGAGGAATGGGATGAGAACTATGAGCGAAAAGTGTTCAGCACGATTGTTGATCTTCAAAAGTAATTCAATGTGTCTGAGACATGTAACATAAAAGATATGCATGATTTTAGGCGAAATGTTCAACTGGAAAATGACATTGAGCACGAGAAAAAGAGTGCCGCGCAAGCGGCAATGGCAGCGCAGAACGCTGAAATGGTCAATCTGCGCACACAACTTGCGCACTCTCAAGAATCCGAGAAACGACTTCATAATCAAATTGAGCAATTGAAATTGTCGTTGAAATCAATGACTGAACAGGCTGATCGCCTGAAAGATCTCGTGCGCGATAGTGTTTCGGCTTCTGAAGCAAGAAATGCGCGGATAAAAGCGGAACAAGCTGTGTCTGATAAGATGGTACTTGAAATGAAGCTCAATCGACTTGAAGAGTACACGAAGGTTCTCAAGGAAGAACGAGATAAGAAGGAGACGTAAGATCGACTTTCAGAATTATTGTTCAAATTTTATTTAGAATTCTCAATCAACGAATTGAAGCTAGCGAATCGGCGGTTAACAACATCAAACAGACGAACATAACACTTCAAGTGATGCTCGACACACAGAAGGCGTTGACGGCCGAACTTCAACAAGCCATTGATTCGTACCAGAAGGAGGCTGAGAATGCGAACCGCGAACGCGAGAAGCTGCTGACTGCTGATGTTCAGAAATCGCAGCAAATCGATGATCTCAATCGGCGTTTGATGGAGGCTAGCGAGGCGGTTGGATGCTATCGGGTTGAGAAGCGCGCATTGGAAGATGAGCTCTCGTTTGTGAGAAATGATGTCGCGCGACTGAAGATTGAGAATGAGACGCAACGCAATGTGTTGGCGAGAGAGCAGCAATTGGTAGATGATTATCGACTAAACAAAATGATTCGAAACGATTATTTCAGATGATGTCCTTGAACGACATGTCTACCCGATTGTCGCGAGTTGAAACCGAAAAGTTGTCGTTCGCCAACACACAGGCTGAGGCTTTGCGATTTGAGCGCGACAGTCTCAAAGCGTCGTCAGCTCGTCTTGCTGATCAGTTGACGCGTGCGAAGAATGACGCGAAACTCATTCAATCGAAATTGGAGCAAGAGCTTTCTGCTGCGCGCGCGCAGCTTGCCGAAAAAGAGCAACAGATTTCATTCAATGAGAGCGAGCTCAGTGTGCTCCGATCGAAGTTGACTTCGGTTCAGGCTCAGTACACTGGCGCTGACGCGACTGGAATGACACCGGATCGATTGAAGAAGGAGTATCAACAATTGAAGACGAGAAATCAGTTCCTTGAGAAACAAATCGATGAGTTGAAAGGGAAACTTATTGAAATTGAAGCTGAGAAAGCTAAGAGGGATAATGAGACGGCAGCGTATGTTATTATTTTCTGGGGGATAACTGGCTAATTCGGTTTCAGTGTTGAGAAGCACAGCAGTATTCTGGAGGAGAATTTGAAGGAGACTGAGAAGATGGGAGCTATGGAACGCGAGCGACTTGAAAGCAAACTGGAGAATTATGAAAAGTAAGCCAAACGAATTGCAGAGTTCAATTCCAACAATATTCTCTTTAGGGATCTAACCGCGGCTCGCGAGCAGTTGGTTGAGGTTGCTGGAAAGCGCGACGAGCTCCAGGAGCAACTTGATAGCACTCGTTGCGAGTTCGAGAAGAAGATGTTCGACTATCAACGTGACATCGACATTCTTCGAATGCAGTTGAACGATTCGAAGGCGCAACGAGAAGAGGCGACGAGCTTTGTGAACGAGGCGAAAACGACGGTGCAGGAGAACGAAGCGAGAATGATTGAGATGAATCGACACGTTGAAGACGCTAATCGACGACTCATGGAATGCGAAAATGAGATTGCACGTCTTCGATCGCAACTCAATGACAAATCGATGGCGCTTCTCGCTGAGACTGAAGCGAAACGACAGGCTGATGAGTTGCGAGCGGTTGCCGAGAATTCGCTTCGCAAGAAGATTGAGGAGAGCGAGATTGTTGAACGTGAGAGTCGGCAGAAGCTCGAAGAATATAGCGCAATGCTCAACAATTTGTCTCAACAGTTTGAAGCGGTAAAATTTTTGCACCTAATTTGTTGTAATTGTTTTGAATTTTTTTTTTCAGTGCGCCAGTGCAATTTCAACGCGTTCCACGAATTCGGAAGAATCGATGATTGCTGGAAGTTCGGATGACAACGGTTTGGTCGCCAGTTTGACAAATGTTTTGCAATTTGTCAGACAAGACAAGGATAATGTACGACAATCGGATGTTGTACATGTTTTTTGATGATTGGCATTACAGGCTTTGAATCGTGCATTGAACGCGGAAGTTGAGATGAGAAGATTGAGGGCCGAAACCGCCGAGTTCGAGAGAAGCCGTAACGAAATGCTTGCCAAGATTAGAGATTTGGAGACCGAACGAACGGCGAATGCTGCGGCGCTTGTGGAGAGAGCCAAATTGGTATGAGACCCATGAAGAAGCAATTTATTGAACGATTTTTGATTTTAGCTTGAAAAGGTTGAGGCTTTGATGAATGTCCAGAATTTGAACACACAGTTGAACAATGAGAAGTTGACGTTGACTGAAACGATTTCATCCCTTCAGCAACAGGTTTCGATTGTTTTTTAATTATTTCTCAATACATTCTTTTAGAAAGCTGCTGCTGAGAAGAAATGCACAACACTCACTGCGAAATGCAATGAGATGGGCATGAAGATGTCGACGATGAACCAGGAGCTGTTGCAGAAGCGCAAGGAGTCTGAGCTTCTTAAGCAGAGGCTTGAAACTAGCGGGCGTGGTCAGAACTCGGCACTTCAGTAGGATTTTGTTTGTGATCGACATCGATTAATTAGGACACGATTTAGAACTCAATTGGAGCAAGCCAAGGCTCTTATTGCGCAGGTGAAGGAGGAAGCGGCGAAGGCTGAGGAGCAAGCGAAGGCTGCCGAAAAATTGAAGATCAAGGCGGAGTAAGATGTGGTTTTCAAAGAAGTTTGACTCATTTGCTGTTTTTCTAGGGAAAATGCTAAACAATACCAGCAGAAGTTCAATCAGACACGACAATTGGCATTGAAGTATCGCGAAGAGGTTTGAAATTTATTAGATTATTCATTATTAGATCAATTATTATCGAGCAATTTGTTTAAAGCTTTCATCCGAGTAGTCGTCCGGCTTCTCCTCCTGCTAACAAATCGAACAATTTGCTTTTTCTCTTTGGGAATAGAGGATTATAGAATGGATCTTGAAGCTTGAATTGTGGCTCTGGCAATGGGTTGCGATTCTTCTTGAAAAATGCCAGCGGATCAGTTTCTTCGGGTCGTGGAAGTGGTGGAAGCGTCGCTGGTGGCTTGTTCGTTGTGAACATCTTCATTAGTGGGTTCGGTGTGAACGGATTGGCGAGTTCGAGAATCGGCTTCTCCCATTCGCGAAAGAGCGGCGGCGGTGGCGGAACTGTGAAAAGATTGAACTCGGGAGCCTTCGCCTCCGGTGTTTTTGGAATGCTAGCTTGACGTTTGTCTCTTTTGAAGAAAATGCGATCGAACATGTCGGGATCGAAGAGGCGTGGAGACGAAGTAGTTGTTGGAGCAAGAGTTGGCACCGATTGAGGTTTGCGGCGAAGCGATGGGAAGAAGACGGACAGCGATTTCTCGAGAATGTTTTGTGTAGTGGTTGTTGTTGGTGCGGGCGTCGTTGTCGTTGTTGTCGGGATCAATGTGATCCCTATTCGATCAATTTCTACAATGTAAATTCGGGGATAGACCAATTGCTACATACCAGCCATATTGTGTGAGAAATCGTCCAATTGCTTCTGCCACGGTTCAATGTATGGTTTGAGAAGGCGCTCGAGAAGAGGTGGTGGCTCGGTTGTTGTCGTCGTTGGCTGCTGAAGGCGCTGAATCATCTCCCATAAACTTTTCGATGTGCTAAACGGATGATCGTCGCGATCCTTCTTGATTTTCTCGGCTTGAGCACGAGCTTTTGCGTTTTCTTGCATTTGATCAAACACGTCCATTATTGGGCTGATGATCGGCGCGATGATTCGATGGGCATCGATGTCTGGATATTTGTCAACCTGACGAATGGTTTTGTTTGAGATAATGCTTTTTTTGCCGTTCTGAAGATGATACCTTTGGCGAGGCTGGAGCGTCGGCGAACTGAATTTGAGACAACTTTGACATCATTGGATCGGTGTTGGCGAAAAACGGCATTTGTCCCATTGTTTGTTGTTGAGCCGCGGCAGCGGCGATCAGCGTTGCTGCCAGACACAGGAGAAGCGGATTCTTCATGTCTTGTGAAATGTGATGAAGAATTGCGGTTGGTGGGTGACGATACTAGGCGAAAGCTATATGATAGCCGCTTGTTTCGCGCTATCTCATGGCTAATGCCGGCGTCGGCTTCAGTTCACGGGCAATTGGGTCATGCGTTTCGGACAGGTTGCGATTACACGGAGGTCTCTTCTCGAGATCCAGAAACTCGTTTCGTCTCGTCTTGTTTCTCTCACGCATTTGTAGTTGTTGTTTTTTTCTCCCCCCATCACAACTATTTTATGATTCTTGTCGTCGAACGCTGATGTAATTTGTCAAGAATGCGCTCGTAACTCTCGATTTCAGCTCAATCTCTACAAGAAGGGCGACACGCCGTCGAATGACAACTCGGGAGACGCTGAGAAGAATGCGGAGATTGAAAAATTGAAAGCCGAGTTGGAGGCGTCGGAGCGCAAAATCGCTGAGGCCGATGAGAAGCTCATGAGATCGAGCATGCTAGAAACTCGCATGTCGTCGTTGTCGAAGAAATTGACCGACATCACTGAAGAGCGCGATAGTTTGATGCAAATTAACATGGTATGATTCATATATTCTAAATGTGATGATTGACCAATCTCATTTTTTTTTACTTCAGAAGTTGTCACGTGAGAATGAACGCCTTATTCGTGCTTCCTCAACCACTGCGACGGATGTTGAGTCGAAATCGTCGACGCCGGCGCAATCTGGTGTTGTTTCGCGATCGGGTGCTGCTCCACAGCAAAAGCAGGCCGGAGCCTCACCGTTTGCGACAGCGAATCCGCTTGCTTCTTCAACTCCGAAAGTGGTTTATTCTTATCATTCACTGTGTCTACATTCGACTTTCTAGATCACTACGACTGAGAATCTGATTGGATCGAGCAGTGCTCGTGCAGCTACTTCGAACGTTGTGCCACCAGCGCCATCGAATCAGTCGCAACAGCAGCAGCAGCAACAACTTCAACAACCGCCGCCACAGCAACAGCAGCAGCAGAAACAACAGCAACAACAACAACAATCTGCTCCGTCGGGTTTTCCGACAGTTCCCAATGAGCCGATGGATATGATTCCGCCGGTTCCGTCGGATTCGATTCCGGATCCCACTCCTCCAACATCGTCGTCAAACTTTGGATCATCGACGAACACTCTACCGGTGCCGTCGGCGTTCCAGTCAACTACCGCTCGCGTTCCCACACAGTCTCTGTTCGCATCAAGCTCTTCGAGCTCCGCTGTCAAAGATTCAAGTGCCAACAATTTGGAACTATCAAAAAAGACCGTTTTGCCGAACATTGATGTTCAAAAGACGCCACAGGTGACCTACTCGTTCGCCACCTCAACTGGAATTGCCCAGGGGCAATCGTTGTTTGGAAGGTCGGCCAAACAGCAAGTTCAGATATCAGCAGCGTCGACGCCGGCATCGAGCGAAAATTTGGCGCTTCCGGAAGAAAGTGTTGTCGAAGCTGCCGGACAGAGCAGCCATGTTAGCGGAAGTCACGATGGAGGACCAAAGGAATCGGATATGACTGGAAACGGTAAGTGCGATTTTGAGAGATTATGTTGTTTGTATTACACTGTTAAAGCTTCAGATGGGGAATCGCGCGATAGCAGCGCTGTCGGCGGAGTGTCGAGCTCGGATGGACGTGGAAAGAAGCGAACTGCCGATGGATCTGGATGCGATCCGAAGCGTCTTCGTGAAAGTCCGAGTGAGGCGGTCACCAGCAGCGAGAATCAATCGCGTGCTAACATTGCCGAGATCCCAGAGCTCGATGAAGAAGAAGAAAATGATCTCGGATTGGAGCAAGATATAAGCGATGAGGATCCGAATGAGACTATTCGTCAGCGTGAGCTTGTCCCTCTCGACAATGATGAGGAGGTTCTCGAGGAAGATATTGACGAGCAAGAAGATGATGAGAGCTTTGGAAATGACGAAGATTATCAGGTAAATTTTTTTAGATTAATCTTCATTTTTCTGATTTGTTGTTAAGGAGCAGAGCGATGATCAGGAGGATACAATGGACGAGCCGGAACGCCCGGAAAACGGACAGGACGTTATTGTTCTTTCGGATGATGATGAGGAGGACGAGGGAAACGATCAAGACGATGATGATGATGCCGATACGTTGAATGATGAAGAGGATGATGATATTGAGAACACTCAGGATTCGAATGCTCAGGATGATATGGTTGAGGTGATTGGTGGTGAGGATTCGCAGCCATCGCTTGATGATCAGGATCGTGAGGCCGCTTCGGCTATGGAAGAGGCGGAAGATGAGGGTCGTGACCCACTTGGATCGTCTGATGAGCCAGCAGCGCCCGCCGATCCGACTGGCGCCGCGGGCGTCGGAAGCAGCGGCGAATCGCAACAAGATGTTCCGAGGGTTCGAATGCCGACCGGAATGGTTGAGCGCGATGATCAGTGCTCGAGCAGGTATGCAATTTATATATAATCGGCTTGGCATAAATTATGGTTTTTCAGCAATGAAACTGCAGAAGGACCGAGCGGATCGGGACAGCGAGCGTTGTCGGGTCGAAACCAGGCGAGACTCAATCGTCCGCAGCGCGGCAAACCGCCATCGCGGGGCATCTATGTGCCGCGGCGACGTGGTGACAGCTAAGCGCATTAGAATGTGCTCATTTCCATATAACTGTTCATGTTTTTTGATATCGTTCTTCCCGAGATTTGCATTGATTATTTCTTTTGATTGTAATTCTATATAAACTAAAGTTGAACTGAATTATTCGCGTCCACCGCCACTTCGTTCCGTTATTTATTTATTTGATTTTTTTAACCACAACAAATACCCAATGTTGAATGTTCGTTATTGTTAAATGATTTTGAATTGTTGGGAATGAAAAGTGTTGAATTGAAACGATTTGAATTTGCCATTCATGTCGGTTGGTGGTTTCAGCTTGGGAGGAATGCGAACCGCAATCGTGCTCGTGATCGCGAGCGCATTCGCGGTTCTCGCCGATTTCTCCGACTCATTCAATGAATTCGTCGTGGAAAATTATGGCCAAGAAATGAATGAACTCCTGGCTCGTCGGGATCTTGGAGACGCTGGAAGCTTTGGTGGCGGAGCTCATAATGGAACTTCTAGCACTTCGTAAGTTCGCCTAGATGAGCAGTTCGATGGCTGTTCGTGGTTCAGAAAACAAGCGGTGATTCTTGTCCACGGCATCACTAATACTGCGGGAACGTTCCGCGGTCATCGAAACCATTTATTGAATATTGGATGGTCCGATGAAACTGTAACATCTCTTCTAATACGAATTTCTACTTCAACCCTTCTTCTTTGAGGTTTATGCGACCACCTATGGAGACGGCGGACAAACGTGGCTTCCATTTGTTGACATGAAGTGTGAATATGTCAAACAGGTTTCTAGACTGTTTCTAACCAAATGAGCGACTAACGGAATGCGCCTTTAATTACTGTATTCAAAACAAATTTATTCTAAAAATAGAAAACTCGTGAATTGTTTATAAAAATCAGGTATTGATTTATTTTTCGCGTTCTACTCTAGAATTGGGTCTTGCAACATTTGTGTTGTCTTAGTACACTTCTCGCGTCTCGAGACCATTTCTGGCATTTAGCCAATTTGTCGATTTCGACAATATTTAGAAGCTTCAATGAAATTGTGATTTAAAAAAATGAAAAAATTGATTAAACGCTGAAAATGACAGAAACAGACTATAAATCTAGATTCCTTCTAGGTGAGATATTTGATTGAAGTGGTGGCCAACTTCACCAAGAATAAAGTGGATGTTATTGGCTACTCATTGGGATCACCGATTGCTAGAAAAGTGGGTGACGATTTCTGATAAGAGAAAAAAAAAATAAGCGAAATTGAAAAAAAAATTGTAGGCAATTCTCGGTGGAAAATGCGTCGATACAAATGACGAGCTCGGGCCGCCGCTCACACATCTTATTGAAACGTACCTATCGGTGGCTGGCGCCAATCGGGGTTCGATTTTTTGCGGAATTCCGTTTCCCGGTGCCTGCAGCGCCACAAACGGGCTTTATTGTCGATCGAAATTCATTAAGGACATCAATGCCCAGTAATTTGATTGGATGTCTTCACTAGATTATTCGTATTACATTCCAGGCATCGTTATGAAGGTGAATACATATTTGGAATGATTGGTAGAAATGACGATAAGGTTGGATACTTGAACGCGTGTGCGCAGAAGGCTTCGACGATTGATGAAGCCGACGCCGAGTATGAGGTGAGACAGAATGAAGCATTACCTAGCGGAATTGCGAACGGAGTTTCAGATGGCTGGAAACCATGATGATGTCATTTTCAATGAGGCCCAGATGCAATTCAACCTCATCGACTTGCACACCCCATAAAATAATAATACAATATTTAGAATGCTTTAAAAAAATGGTCATGAAGAAGAATTGAGAACATTGCTTCGCTTCGCTTCGTAGTCGCCTACCCGTGCTGCTTCGCTTCAGAACTGGTTGATTGAGTTGACGGTGGACGTGAATGGGGGATAAGATGATGAATAATTCGACAAATGTCATTCATATTGATTATTCTTATACTTTATCGCGTCCATTGATAAAATACATTATTGTGGTGAAAAGAAGCTCGTGGAACTGCTGTAACAAATTGGTGTATTTTTCGAACCTCAACCTTTTGTTCGAACCGCATTGTTTCTTCGATTCGTCATTGCCAACCGAAATTGGTTGTAAGATGGTGGGTGGAGAATTGTGTAATATCGCGGGGTCAACACGATTCATTCATTTCAGTCTTGCGGTTTTGGTTGGAATCATGCGCGTCGTCGTCGTTGTCGCCGCCGTCGCGATTCTCTCGTGTTCGGCCGACTTCTCGGCGTCGTTCAACGCATTTCTCGTCAACAATTACGGCAAACATATCGACGATTTGTTGGCGCGTCGCGATTTGGGACCCGATGGCAGCTACGGCGGCGGGAATCATAATGGGCAGAGCCGAACGTCGTGAGTTTGTTTTCATCGACCACGAAGGTCGCGATGCCGCTTCTTCTTTTTTCATTGTTACACACACACTCGGTCTTGCGGTCGCGATTTGGTTTTGTTTTCGCAAACTGTAACAATGCATTCAGAAAACAAGCGGTGGTTCTCGTTCACGGCATCACCAACACGGCGGGAACATTTCGCGGTCACAGAAATCATTTGGCCAATGTTGGATGGTCTGATGAAACGGTAAATTGTAAAAAAAAAAAAAGAAATTATTCTTCGTTTTTTACTTTGTTGAATTTTTCTCAATTTTTTCGAAATTTCTGACTTATTATTAAAATTCCAAAAAAAGGACTTGAGAGGTGCGCCTTTAATTTATCTTTATGCCTAGCACGTAAATATACATTTTTAATTTTGCGTTTTTAAAATTTGCTTTCTATTATTTAGCATTTCTTTTTATGGAAAGTTCGATATATATTTGTAACACTTTAAAATGAAATTTGTGCAAAACTGCGTCAGTGTGTGGCCAGACAAAAACGGGATATAGCCAGACAAAAACGGGATATAAAAACGGGACAAAAAAAAGCGACTACAAAATTTTTTCGCTGCAAGACCTTGTAGTTCATACGCGTTGCTGTTCGTGAGTTAGTTTATCCGTAGTAGTATAGCAGAATTCGCACTGTTGAAATTCAATTTTGAATTACCGCCTCGAAAAAGTGCGATGGTTCAGAGTTATTCAAGACGCTCGTTTTTTTTCGCGATGATAATAATAAATTTTAAAATTGCGGGGACCGCACGCGAACCGCAACGCGTCCGGCGACATAGAATGATTACAGTAGCCGCTTATTTTTTTTTGTGAAGCCGACTAGATAAAAATGGAATATTTTAAGGTTCTCTTCTTCAAGCTTTAACGTTTTTTTTTTGAGGAACCAAATTTAACTGAAATTTTTTGAAGAAACCATAGTCTACTTATTTGCATAGAATTCAAAAAATTGTTCAAGATCTTCGCTACCACATATGGCGATGGCGGAAAAACATTGATGCCGATGGTTGATATGAAGTGCCAATACGTTAAACAGGTATTTGCACACGCAACATACTTGAAGAATGATGAACTTTGAGGTGCGCTATATGATTCAAGTGGTTGCTGCTTTCACTCGAAGAAAGGTTGACGTTATTGGATACTCGTTGGGATCGCCGATTGCGAGAAAAGTAAGTGGGTGACGATGAATCGTCCAAAAGAAATGAGAGGGAAGACAAAATTCGAAAAAAAAAATCAAATTTTGCAGGCGATTCTTGGCGGAAAATGCGTCGATACTGGCGAGAATCTCGGCCCGCAGCTCACTGATTTGATCGACACGTTTGTTTCTGTGGCCGGCGCCAATCGCGGCTCGTTCCTCTGCGCTCTGCCGTTTCCTGGAGCTTGCAACATGGTCAACGGGCTCTCGTGCACGTCGAGATTTATTCAGGACATCAATTCGAAGTGAGTAAAGTTGGTGGAATTCAGCGAATCGTGAAATTTTGGAATTTCGCGGGCTGAAAATAATTGGATTCCTTAAAACTAAGGCAATTTTGTGTTTTTTTTTTTAACTAAAGAATTGTTGGCGCCGCGCGACTTTTCTTAAATTGCAAAAAACTTAAGGAGAGGTCTACACAGCGCGTACCTCATCGGCTCGAGACCACATTCAGCCAATTTATTGCAGTCGCGCGATTTCGGCAATATGATAGTTTAATTTTTCAAAATTTCACTTCAAAGAATTTTCCATTCGAGACCCAAGGCGGCAATTCAAAAATTATAAACGTCTAGGCAACGTTACGAAGGAAAAAGGATCTACTCAATTTACGGGCCAAGCGATGACAAGGTCGGATTCAGAAACACGTGCGGACAATTGACATCGCAAATTGCCGGAGCCGATGCGGAATTTCAGGTTTTTTTTTTCGGCATTTTGGAATAATCGTCAAATTTCGCCGATTTTCAGCGTCCTGGAAATCACGACGACATCATCATAAAAACCGCGCAAATGCAATTCAATCTTATCGACCAACATAGGCCATAAAATTTGTGGAGGCTGATATAATTGAAACAACTCTCTATGTATGTATATTATACTAATTTATTAGGATGATAAAACGCAAATAAAAAAATGAACATAAATAGAATAGAGATCAATCTAGAACATCGATAATATTCTATACGAATGGACGACGAAGCAGAAACAAAAGAACGAGGGTCCAGCCTCGAAAAGAAAAGAGGGTACGTTATAATCAATTATCAAAAAAACCGTGCTCGCTTGGACGAAAAATCGAGAGGCAAATTGGAAGTGACGACGACACAAATATAGAAATACCATTATAATCACATCATACAAGAAAAACTGGGGGACCATAGAATGTGGTAATAATGAAAGGCAGTTTAGCAAAAAAAATAATAATAATGTAACTAGCGAGTTTAGCAATTGGCTCTATGCAAAAAACAAAATGAAGAGAACCTAAAGAGACGAGGGCGGTTTCTTATCGAATCCTATTTACAGCGAGAAACAAATTTGAATAATCGATGAATTGGTGAGAGAGCACACACACACATAAAACTGTGGATAGATATGAAATTGACTATCTTAGGGTGTGCACTTTAGCATGTGCGAATAGAGCGCATCGGTTGATTCGAAGTTACCCGCATGGCAGAGTGTGCAACGAATATCGGAAATGTTGCGCTTCACCGGTTTGTGGCGCCGGCGGCGATAAGCCATTGAGTTTGTCATCGTGCCAACGCATTCGGTTTTCTGTAAAAAAATTACATTTCATGTGTTTTTTTAAACACTGCATTGGAAAAATGGGAACACAATTTATTTTATGAAAAAATGAAACACTAGGGTGTTCACAATTTATTCTCTCAAATTTATTTTTTCCGAAATATGAATTCCGACCAACGCGATCTGCGGACATTCGCGCTAGACGGATTTCAATGTTTTCTTCTCGCAAAAAAAACAAAGAAAAAAGATGCGAATTGAATTACTCGCGCCTCGCGCACACATTTCTCCACCGTCACTATTCAATTTTTCGTTCTTCGCCTTACTAATTTTTTTTTTGCGCTTTCTTTTTCTTCTTCGTTGTCTTACCTGAACTGATTGATATTCGGGAATCGACGTCTTGCACAGAATATTAGTCGGATTCTCGAGATGTTCCGAATAGTCGCTATAGTTGTTGAAAAGCTCTCGGCAGCGGAAGCAGAATGTTGCGCTCGATGAGTGAAGCCAGCATTCCTTCTAAAAAAAAAGACGAATCCGCGTTTGTTAAGTGCTTTATCTTTTTTTTCCAACCTTGTGCTCTGGGATTTTGAACGGAACCTCTTTCGTCATAACCTCGTCCACTGGAGCACAGTCGATCGGCATATCAAATTCCAACGCAGCGTGGCAGAGGTCCCTAGAACGAATCATTCAAATCAAATTATTCAAATTATTTGAGCTTACTGTAGAGTTGGAACTCGTCGAATGACCTGAGGCTCGCCTTCTTTAACCGTCTCAAACGTTGCCAATTTGACATGCTGCGGTTTCGGCGTCCGTTCCATCACCGCCATCGCATCTTTGCGCATCGACTTATGCCCAATTTGTGCAATTTTCAAGTCTAAAAGAAGCGTTTTGAGTTTATAAATTGCTTAATTAAAATTCGCGACGAACCCTGACTAAAGTCATATGGTGTGTAGCGTCGACTGCCCTCCTTCTTCTTCTTCTCTTCGACCTCGCACGGATGAAAACGGATGAGCTCAAGGCGTCGCGTCGCCAAATGGCAATTATCGCAGTAGAACGGCAGAACGCGCGGTTTGATCTGACGGCAATACTTCTTCTTGAGATTGCGCGCCAACCGGAAGTGCGGGCTTCCGTGATTCCAGCGATTCGGACGACTGAAATAAGAATATCCGCTTTTTGTTTTTATTGGGCCAACTGGCGAGAGGCAGCACGAGGCAACCGATATTACAGCATGAGCACTCGTGAACATGTGTGCTTCGGACTCGACACCAACCCCGGATCGGACCAATATTTTTATTTTTTTTTGTTTGTCAAAATTTTGTGTAGAGCTTCTTAGAAATTCGCAGCTGCGGACAATTAACGGCTTCAAACTTTGGTCCATTTTTAAAAATATTAATTAAAGTCGCAAAAAAAAACGAGCACCTTAACAAATTTTGGCATGCTTATTCAAATTTCGATTTAAATAGTGGAAATTCAGGTATCATACTAGGAATAACCTTCAGAGAATCAAACTCGTCGTAAATCAACACATGGTTCTCGTTTATTTTCATTGCGATTTTAAAAATTCTCGTTAAATTTCCCCCGCTTCTTGTCCTTAATTCATACCTGACTAGAATACTGCGAAGCGACGGGTGAAGGAACGGCGTGATCTTCTTTGGCAAATCGCGAATCATGCGCTTTCTGCCGGTGATCGGCGTCGTCCTTCTCTTCTTCCTCACCGTCATTGATGGTCGCGGTGGTCGGCGCGGTGGCAAAGGAAAAGGCAAAAGTAATCTGCAATTCGCACAAGTCGCCGAGTTTTCGCTTGTTCAATCGGTCGTCGCCGATAATCGGGTAAAAATTTTGAAAATTGAGATGCAAATTGTCGATTTTTTGGGGAATTTTAGAGCGCTCAAATCATCACTGGATCGCATTTCAGTCAAACTTATCGATTGGGATACAAACTATTGATAATTTGCAAGGCCAAAGGCGAACCAAGGCCGACAATTAAATGGTACAAGGAAGGCGCGGAAATTCAGCCGAAAGGCAGCATTCACGTGAGTTTTCCACTTTTTATGGATTTAATTGGAAAAAATTGAATTTTTGTTTTAGTATTATGAAAAACCCATTGAAGAGGACACGATTTGGAGTAAACTTGAGATTGGTATTAGCGTTTTTTGCAATTCATTCAACGGCTTCCCCATTTAGACCCCGCAACAATGGGCGATCAAGGCGTCTACGCGTGCGTCGCGAATAACCCATACGGTGTAATGGCAAAGAATTTCAAAGCGGAATATACTTATTAATAAAATATTATGCAATTCTATAAATGAATAATACATTATAGCGATGATTTTGGTGGAACGCGCCGCCCGCAATGTAAATATCATTGAAGAGAAAGTAGGAGAGAAAAACGATTCTCATGGAAAAAAAATAATCGATTAAGTTTTCTGTTCGTCAAAAAGGTTGCCTGTTGATGTTGCTGCTTTTTTTTTGGTTTAGTTGCTTTTACTGAAAGCGAGATAGTGAGAGAGCGAAATCGCAGCTTTGAATGAACGAGGAAGAAAGCAAAACTGGATTGCGAACGGGTTGCGGGGCAGATCGATTCGGAAAATTGTCGCCGGCAGGTTTTGCGCATTTTCAGAAGAAGCAAAACAAAGGAAAAATGCGAGATAAAAACCGTATGAAAGGAGCATACGACCAATTCTTTACGTGAGTCTCGCTAGGAGTACTACTGTAATTTTTTAAATTTATTTTTTTTTTCGATTTTCCCCAACGAAATTTTTTTGGTTTTTCATCCCCACTTCAGCGTCCAATTTAGAAATTATCACTAAAAATAAAGTGTTCAACCAATATTTGTATATGTTTTGTAAGTTTTCACGGCGAAAGTTGTTTAGACAAGCTGGATCTACATGGGCAATGCTTTTGTGAAGTGTCAGTCAGCAAACAATAGAAATTCAACACATCAATGGAATGACACGAGCAAGGAAAAAATAATTGGAGAAGGATTAAATGAGAGACCGCAACGAAGAGCAATGGTCGCTAATAAATGGATATATGCGAATGAAGTGAATTTTCGGGTTGGCCATTGTCATGACAAAACCCCATAGCCCAGCCCACTACCATCTATCTCTCCCGGCGACCTGCGTCTCCGCTCATCGATACGTTGTCTAAAGCGCACGCGGTCGCGTCGCGGTCTCCATAGCTCACCGACAAACTGTTCGCCGCTTTCTTGTTTTCTTACCGCCCCTCAATTTTTCACGAATTTTTCCGCGTTTTACGTGTAGCTTATCAGAGTTGACATTTGGTCGACAACATTCGACGCAATTCCAAAATCATAAATGATTAATATTTCGATTATTTAGGATTAAAATTCACGTCGAAAATTTGTCGCTGAGATTATCCGCTTGGATCGTCGCCAGCATTGTTAATTCGTTTCTCAATCATTTCGAAATTAAACTTTTATCTATTCGACCTCATTTTTTTTGTGAGAAATATCTAGAGCCCAGCCCACTTTTTCACATATGGTTCCGATTTCGCAATCGTGCCTCATCATTTTTCATTTCGATCATTCGTCACACAGCTGCTCGCCCGCTTCTCATGCTCCGTCTTATTTATATACAAATTGAGAAACGCATATTCAATTTCCAGATCCAGAAGCCGATATGCAGACGATCAAGTGCGTTGTCGTCGGCGATGGAGCGGTCGGTAAGACATGTCTTCTGATCAGTTACACGACGAACAAATTTCCATCCGAGTATGTTCCAACGGTGTTCGACAACTACGCGGTTAGTTTAATTTTTTTGCATTTCAAATCAAGAAAAATAGAATGTCACTTAAAAGGAAGTTATTCGTCAGAAATTCATCGCGCCATGATGACATTTGCCTATGCAAATTTTGAGTCATAATTTCGAAAGTATTCAAATCCCCGACCGTGTTAGTCATTGAACTCGAACACGCTGATAAGAGAGCATGCTTGGCTCAAAACTATTTTTTTTCTCCTCGCTGAACAAATAATTATGCAATTCTGGCTGGGAACAAATGTAAATATGAAGAACAAAAAAGGCAAAACTACACTTTTTTTGTCACTTGTCATATAAATCGATTGCGGGGCAACTTTCATCAACACATTTAGGTGATTACTTGTTGCTTTTATTATGTAGGCTGTGTGAATTACGGGGTGAGAATAGCATCACTTGGGTGGTGCGCGTTGTCCGATTTATGGCCGCCATCGTCACTTGTCACCATTTGGCTTTATTGGTGACAAGAACGGCGCCCTTTGGCAATTGGCACAATAACAAATATTGGGAATTTTATAGGTGACAGTTATGATTGGCGGCGAGCCTTATACTCTGGGACTTTTCGATACTGCTGGACAGGAGGATTACGATCGTCTCCGACCGTTGTCGTATCCGCAAACCGATGTCTTTCTGGTGTGCTTCTCGGTGGTCGCGCCGGCTTCATTTGAAAATGTGCGCGAAAAGGTTGGCATCTTAATTTTGGCTTTGAAATAACGACGAAAAAAACAATTATCGGTTCAGTGGGTGCCGGAAATTGCGCATCATTGCTCGAAGACGCCATTCTTGCTTGTTGGAACTCAAGTTGATCTCAGAGACGATCCGGGAATGTTGGAGAAATTGGCGAAGAATAAGCAGAAGCCGATCTCGACGGATGTTGGAGAGAAGCTTGCCAAAGAGTTGAAAGCTGTGAAGTATGTCGAATGCTCGGCGCTTACTCAGGTAATCGATTATTCTTTTCATCATGATCGCGTCTCGTTTTTGTGATTGATAAGAAAGAAGCGACTTGAGAGGACGTTTTCTCATCTTTCAATTATTTTCAATAAAATTGAATGATATGAGTGCAGAAAATTGGTTTTTTGTTTGCAATCAGCCGCGCGCGAAAATGATAACATCTGTGGCGAGCGGAAATTAGTCGAAAAGTTGCACAAAAAGGAAGAATTGAGACTAGAATTTAGAATTGTTGGAAGTCGTTTGTTGGAAAGCGCACGGATTATAAAAATTGGTGAAATTTTAGAAATATCGGAATTTATGACCAAATTGCAAAAGGAAATTGATATTTTGGCGACATTTGCGTGAAATTATAGTAATTGGTTATAAAATCTATGCGCCTCTTAATTATCGCATCGAAAACATATTTTCTAACTTTGAAAATTCCTAAAATTTTATTTAAAAATACATTCTGCTGATTTTTATTTGAAAAAAAGGCAAAATGCAAAAAAAAAAATGCGTTCTTTGACGTTTCAGAAAACGTTTTTGTTTTTATTTCTTTCGACGCATCGTGACGAATATAATATGGTTTAAAACGGAAATAAAACCTTAATCGCATATTTTCCGCTGCCGAAAAAATTCGCTCATTTAATTTTGCTGGAATTTTAATATTTTAGAACGCATAAGATGAAAAATAGACAAGTAAGAATTTTTTGAACAATTAGCTGACAAAAATCGTTTAGATGACAATTTTTTTTGATTACCCTAGAAGCTGACGATGACGTGCATCTTTTAAATTTGTTTTGAAAATATATGAAGTTCAATTCAAAAAGATATTTGCGTTTTCCCGAAAATTGTGAAAAAATGAATGAGGTGGCAAGCAAAAAGTGAAATTTTAAAGTAATTTTCGAAAAAAAAGAACAACAACGATCAAATTTGAGTGATTTTTTGCAGAAAGGATTGAAGAATGTGTTCGACGAGGCGATTCTGGCCGCTCTCGAGCCGCCACAACAAGAGAAGAAGAAGAAGTGCTCGATTTTGTAAGCGACCAATTACGGACGCCATGTCCATTATCGGCCCCCAAAATTGCCTTCTTGTGAGTTTTCCTCTCCTTTCACCATTCATTGATTCAATTTAGCCACAAAAAAAAAAGAGACAAAAAAACCTTGAATTGTTTTTCTTTTGTTTATGCGCAATGCTCATCAGTTTTTTAAAGGAAAAAAAGATGTTTGACGAGTTGTACAATGAATTCTCAATTTGATTTGTTCTTTTGGAAAAAATGAATGCGCCAAAACCCATTTCGATTTTTTTTCTCTCTCTCTTTCCCACTATAATAGCCATTTTTAACCATTTATGGACCCGATTACTGATACATTTTTTTGATAATTTATCGCAAAACGTGTTCATTTGAAATGCGCCTTGCTTTGTCTCCAATGAAAAAAAAAAGAATGCTAACTAATGGTAGTCACACATGAATTATGTGGTTTTACCGAATTCTCCGCCTTCCATTTCTCCAAATTTCTGTTTGTTTTCTCCGTCTTTTATACTCGCTTTTTAACTATATATATACATATATGCATATATTCAATTGTTATTCGAACAACTCCACTTCTCCCACCCCTAAACACATTTTTAATCGTCTTTTTTGTTGTTATAAATGTTTTGATTGTAGTTTATTGACCGGCAATTTTGAAGGCAAATAACTTATGAGGTATTATATATACATTTTAAGGAGGGGGGTCGCGACCCTGAGAATCACCGTGTTGATTTTTTTGGTTGTTGGGGGGAAAAACTAGAACGAAACTGGCAAGTGACTAGAGCGGAATATCGATTTTGGTTTAGTTTTTGGCGTTGCCTTTCATCTTGTGCTGATCTCGATGATGTTGCGGATTGATTTTGGTGTGCTGGTGTCGTTGAAGTGTTTTGTGGTGAAGCGCAAGCCAGCGAGAAGGCAGTCGGCCTGGAAAATTTCAATTATTTAATGGAAATGGAGTTTGAGAGATAATATTTGATAAAAGAATGTTAATCATTGAGCGAGAGGTGATATCCTAAATGCTAATTGGCTTAGAAACAGGAAAAACCAGATTTTTTTTGAAAATCTTTGACATCGTATGCAATTTTCAATTTTTTTCCAGACAAAACTTGGCTAGAAAAAAAACTATTGTCCGCGTAGCGAGGTTAAAGGCGCACACCTCACACTAAGAGCTCTACCGTAATTTTTTTTGGAATTTAGCCAATTTTCCGCAATCGCACGAGTTCGACAATATTTTTGCTTCTCGCCACACCTGCGGACATTTCCATGGAATCGAAAATTTGTCCGCAGATGAAAGCATTTATATTCTGACTATTCTCAGTGATGATACTGGACTGTGCGGATGTTTGAATATCATCGACATGTAGGTTTTAAATTTTAAAAATAATATTTAAGAAAATCGATATTGTTGAAGATTTGTGTTCGTTCGAAAATTCAACAATTTTTCTTTTAGAAATTTGTTCATTCGTTTGAATCCAAAACAAAAATGATTTCGAGGTCTTGGCGCGATAATCCCGTAAATCGACAGCAATTATTTTTGCGCCAAAAACGTTGACATCATGTTTTTGGCATTTAGCCAATTTTGCGAAGGGACATTTGAATTTGAGATTCTTGATTAAAACAAATTCATCACCTTATTAGCTGGTGATTGCGCTTTGATGAGTCTAACGACGTCGCGAATATCGATCGGCGAATTCGGCACGAATGCTCCGTTTGGGTCGACGTGATCGAAGAGAATCACCAATCCGGTCATTACACGACAGCATAAATGTCTTGAGGATTCGGTTAGTCGTGAGAGGCAATCATCGTTGGAGAGCATGAATCGACAAACGCTGAAATAAAAATTAAAAAAATTGAATTCGAAATTAAAAAATTGAATGTTACTGTATGTGTTTATAGGCGCATGACATTTTGCAATTGTGGTCTTAAAGCGATTCTAATACAATACGGTAATTTTTAAAATTCGCTCATCGACATTTTTTTTAAAGTTCGTGTTTATTTTAAAGAATTTTCGTATATTTTTCAAAATTAATTGCATTTCCCATATTTCTTTGATTGCTTTACAATTATTTATCATTTTTTTAAACAAAATAATTTGCAAGATTTGATTTTGTTAAAAAAATTTAGGTCAAAACCAATTTCGTAAATTACCATTTTTTTTTCAAATAAAACCTCACTTGATAATTGTAACAAATAAATCGGTTGTGTTCCTAATTGGGATGTTCGAGTGGGCACTTGTAAACTGATCAACTCCATTGCAGAGTGCTCGCAGCATCGGGTTTCCCTCGCACAAGAACATCTGGACTTGCGGCAGTTCGGTGACACCAGGATCCCTTCAAAAATTAATTTATTCGAATTTCAGATCAAAATTTATGGATAATTACTCGAAATCCTGATAAACGATATGTTTGGCTCTTCGATAATAACTATAATCATTGGTGATTTGTGCGGTTCGCATTTTCTTCACGTCAAAGTCGAGAACGAATCCGATGATTCTGGCAAACTGTTTCGCTATCGATTGCTTGTTGGCAAGCTGCTCTTCAAGCGGAAGTGGTCCGGAGCTCAGTTCCCATAATAGCATTGGGACGATCTAGAAATGATGATAGATGGTTAAGAAATTCAACGTTGTGCAATTCAAGGATTCTCACCTTCTCAATTTTGGCGACGTGCTCGTAATATGAGTAGGTTCTCGCCACGAATGGCTCAAGCTTCTTCATCAGAGCCCTCAATGCTTCAGTATCGCTGTCATTTTTCAGCTGCGACCGTTCCGGATAACCGCCTTCACCATACGACGAGACGTCGTCGAGAATTCGATCGCAATCGCTCAGCACCTCCTCGGCGATCTGGTAGACGTCAAACTCATCGGGCGTCGGTTGCGCGTTCTCGAAATCGACGAACACCTACGAGTTGATTCATGAGCGGCTCATTCTCGATGATTATTGGATTTACCTCGACCCATTTCGAATTCTCATCGGCGTTCGTCCGAATAATCGAGCGAATCATTTCGAGGCACGACGCCTCACTTTCCCGACAATTCGACGGCATCTCAAAACCCAACCTGTCTGCTAGGCAGCTGCAAATTGGATTGGAACAAAGTTGAGCTTTCGACGAGTGAACTTGATACTTGTATAGTACGATGGAATCAACAAATAAAAGCGCCTTTTATGGGTGAGCGTGCGAATGGAAAACATTTTTTTTTTGAGAACATTGATAGTATTGGGTGTTGACGCTTTTGGATGATGGCGAAAATCGACAATTATTTGAAATTCTTTTGAATTTCTTGTAAAATTGAATCGTTGAAATTATTCAAGGAATTCTATTCTGATGGCCGTTGGCGATTTTTCTCAAAATTGGCTCATCGGCGCAGAAGCCCGAAAAATGTTAATCAAAAAAGCTGGTGCAAATTTTCTTTGGAATCATCTTCTAAAAAATCGCCCAATTCCCCATCGTGCCATTTTAAAGGCGCATACGCGGAGACTGCTAATAGGTGGTAAATTGGACTGGGAAAAAAAACGCGATTGGAAAAACAAACAATGACGAGTGCCGTGAGTGTTTGCGTGTGGCCTGGACTGAATTCGAATGTAAGACTCGAGTTTCTCGCGTTGGTGGTAACACGATCGAATCGAATCGGGGCCTGGAGATGGGCGCTTCTCGACGACAAACATTGTCGGAATGCGCGCCGCATAAATGCATTTCGTAGTGGCGTGAAAACCAAAAAGCGACGAAACAAAAGTGGAAGGAAACAAGGAATGAATGAAGACGAACTAGTACTAGTAGTTGACATACATACACATTTTGGAAGCGAAATGAATGAATGAAGTGCTCGACTTTTTCATGCCATTATTTGGCGGCTTCTCGCGTCACTCAATTTCTGACACTTGAGTTTTTCCAGCTGCGGACAATCGATCGCGTTCAAAAATGAGCGAGTGGGGTGTAACAATCAATAAAATCAACAATTTCGCAAAAATTGCAATAATGTTGCTTTATTTGGAATGAGAGATGCCGACAAACAAATTTGATGGAAATAATCGTTGAGCAAACGAATTGGTTGATAAGAGCAATACAACGAAACGAATCGAATTGGGATGAATCAAAGAATGAGAATTGACCTCCTTAATTGGGTATTCTTCGCATGACCGCAACATGGTGAAAAAATATGAGACTAATAGGTGGAAACAGGTCGTATGAGAAGACGTTGGCCGGCGAGGGAGCGGCCTTGAGGAATTAGATGAACAAGACAAATCGCTGCCGCGATTGCCGGTGAATCACCAAAAAGCGACACACAAGCTGTTATACAGAGAAAATCAGAGAGGGGGGGGGGTCTCATGGCGAAACGAAACACGAAATCGAATTATATCATTGAGACTAGGGGGGCTCGTTGGCGCCAGATGGTGTCGATTTACAAGCCTCGATTATTTCTTTGCCTGGTTCTTTTTTTTTTGGCTGGGATTCGTTAGCGTTGATACTAAGAGGGGGGGCGGATTGAGGCACTTGTGAGACAATTAAGCACATATGTTACGACTTGTGGAGAGGCCTACACACAAAAAAGTACACCAAAACGATACGGAGGGCGCAAAAAAAAAACAGAATTTCGGAGGTGGCGAGAGAGTATGATGTCGCCGAGATGGCGCCGACATCGAAATGAACCTGGATGACTAATCGCCGGCGACGGTATAGTGTTTAGTAATGCGAAATGGGTGGTAGTAGGTGCCACGTGGAAACCATTTATAGGGGGGGGGGCTTGAATTTAAAGACCGGCCTCACTGGATTTTGTGGTCTGATTCAAGTATGCGAAATGAGACCTCCATTGTACGGTATTGTTTGGACCCTGAGGCGGTGGTTTTAAGGAATTTCGAAACTATTTGGCCTTCCGTGGGAGTCCACAAAAAGCTTGTTCTAAAATGATGATTTCGTTGATGCATCTCGTCTAAAGGGGGGGGGGCTGCGGCGGTTTCCGAGAGCCGCGTCTGCTTCTCACCGAATCGCCCACTCACTAGCCTATCAGCCGATTACTCTTCGTCGAATCTAAGAAGATGGCGCACATTGTAAAATATGTTCGTGACGGCGATTGAATTGGATTCGCAATTCAACGTCGCTTCTTCCGACGACGATGACGAGGAAGAAGAATGAAAGTTTAGAAGGCGCGGTGACGGCGAGAGAAAAAAAAGGAAATAGTTTCGCGCCAAAAAAAACAGGCTAATTATTGTGGTGGCGATGATGGTTTAACCGCATTCGCGACCAGCTGTGCTCACAATGGCTCCGAGGCCTACGGCCCTCGAGCAGCTCAACCTCGCCCGCCCCGGCTGTCTCTTTTCAATTACACAAATACGCGCGCTCACCGGATGCTGTCATCATTGTGCAAACAATAATGTCGTCTGCGTGAAATTTGATTCGAGATATTCTGATAGTCCGACCATTCAGACTCAATTGGCACCGTCTTCAAGGGCCCCAAATTTGGTACCATTTTTTTGACAAGTTTTGTGTGGGCATTATGGATTACCCAAAAAAATAATTGAAACATAGATATTCAAATTCATCTGCGGACAAATTTCGAGGTTCGCTGAATCATAGGTGTGTATAGAATATTGGGTTTTAAAGAGCTTATGATCGACTTGTCCGGCCTAATTATATGTAATAGTAATAAATAAATAAATCCACGGCATGGTTGGTCCGACTTCCGAACCATATGGAAGGGAAACTAATGAGGCAAACGTGCGGCCACCTGATGTATATGGATTGTTGGAAACATTTCGGCGACTAGTCGAAGCGGAAAAAACAATTCGCAAAAAAATGGGCGCTAATCTATGCGGTTTTGAATTGATTAGCATAAATTTCGCAGGCGTTTCTCGATTGTTATTGTTTGTCGAAAAAAAAAATCAAAATATGCATTTTCAATTTCGAATTGGTGATTTTCGACAGAAGGATTACGGACGGCCTCAGGCAAATATGAAAAATCGAAATAAAATTCAATTGCATTTATTCGTTCATATGGGCACTCTTTTAGAAAAATTCGGTTCGGAATAAAAATTTTGAAAGAATTCAAATAAAAAAAATGCGGTCCGTAAATGCGTGTACGCAATTTTGCACACATTTTTTCTTGATATTGTCGGGCTGCTGAAAATTGGCCAAACGCCAAAAAACTGGTCTTGGCGCAAAACTGAAGGTGTCGATTTACGGGCTTATACTTAAATAAAGCTTAAAGGCGCGCCAAGACATTTTTTTTAAAGTTTTTGGCATTTATCCAATTTTTTGACAGCATTAATCGAGGTTTAATTCAAAAAAAAAGTTCAAATTCAATTGTCGTTCAAAATTTCTTTTATGGCATTTGGGACAAACCATCTGCGGACACTTTACGGGGTTTCAACGACGACGAAAAACGGAAGAAATGAGCGAATTTCGGAACGAACTCGTTAAGCGCCATCGGCGAAGCTATGAATAATTGATGTTCGACATTTGGCGACCACCTATTTTGGAAACATCGAAGCCCCCCCCCCTTGAGAAATAGTATATGGTGTCAAGGAGACGCAGACAACAAAAAGGAATACTCAATGGTGAAAATGTTGGTTTCGCATCCAAAAATTTCGAGCAATCCGTTTGGGAATTCGACGTTTTTGCCGAATATCGGAAACATCGGCTTCTTCGTCTTCTTCTATTTTTTGAGGCTCAAGGGATTACGCAAAAGTGCACACAAATTTTTTATACCAAATTTGCGGACCAACAATAGCATTTTAGGAGACTCGTAAACTCGATTGCCCCGTCTAAATGCGGGGTCCGAAAAGCGTAAACGACTCACTTTATTGGGCATGACTCGCTCTTCAATTTCGATTTCATATTGCTCTCAAATTGAACTTTCGACCTCAAAAAAAAAACCTCTTGAGTTTATGTTTTCATATGAAAAAGGGGATTAGCAGGAAGATTCTTGAGAAGCCTTTTGACAAATACATATTTCCAAACATTTTCATACATTCGTTTATTGACGCATTTCATCTGCGGACAATTTTTGCCAAAAATTTAAATTTGAAGTTTTCATTTTGAAAATTGGCACACTAATTGAGAAATTAACCATTTCATTAGGTTTTTTTTCTAGTCACATTCATTTTCATTTGAAAAAATCTCAAATTATGATCAATATCGATCAATGAATATCAGAGGAAGTGCTTGATTGATAATTGCTCAAACATGGCTTCTTGGGGGCTTCACGGCGGACATAAAAAAAGTGGGTGGTCGCCAAATATCAACCAATTTATAGTCAATAATTTGTCCGTAAAAAATAAAATTTAAGCCATTTATGGGATGGTTTAAAAATTGTTTTTTGTATCAATTATTCCACAAACCTTCATCAATTTTCGATGGTCCCTCAAATCGACAAAAAACTTTCAGAAATCGTAGTGAATGCTTGAAATACTTCGAAAATCGTTTAAAACAATTTATGAATGTTTGCTGCTGGCGGGACCATCAAAATTAGAAATAATGCAGGTATTTCAATAAGGCAAAACCATTTAATATGATATCCACAGTGCTGCGGACACTCGGCAATCTCCAAAATTGTCCGCAGATCATTTCTTATTTACATCAACCAACAACAACGTTTCACTTTAAGATTTTATTTGAGGAAACAAAAAAGAAATGAAGAGTAATCATATTTTAAAGCGATAATTGAGACAAAATTGGCGATATACAGATACAAGAAGCATCTAGCAAAAATATCTATTTATTAATACACTTTGAAACCCGGCTGGTCGGACAAAAAATTATATAACGAGGGGAGAAAAATAGAACATAATTGGTGGGTTGGAACAGTTTGAGAATTGTGGCAAGTGTCAGGTTTAATAAAGCAATTCGCAGGATACTGTATGTATTGTGGGTAGGTGGTTTAAGGGTACTGTAATCAATAAAACACCGTATAAGTCGAAATTGAAAGGTTGGTGCATGTCAAAAGCAATAATTCTCTCATTTCTTTGTCTCACATTTTTGTTTTTGTGCGGCGGGTCCGAAGTGGCGAGTTAAAGCTGGCGAACGAAAAACGAGCATTGGAAAATCCTAAGACTAGAGAGGCGAAATATTTCAAAAAGAGAGAGAAAAAAAAACGAACAAACAAACAAAATTGAGCACCCGCCCCGAGAATGAGTTGTACACAATATTAATCAAACGCCTAGATCACAAACGAGATGAAACATCGACGAAGAGAACAAAAAAAATATATGAAAATCATGGATTAGAATCATAATTCTAAATGTTTCGATTGGTGCTCAGATGGCGGCGCTTCTGACGTCGGCGGCGGCGGCGGCGGCTCCTTCTCATCGGACGGCGGCTCGCCGCGCGCCGTCTCCGGCTCTTCCGGTATTCGCGATTGATACCATTCGCGATTCTCCTCGAGCTGATCGAGTATGTTCTGCGCGTCGGGATACACGAGGTCCGCCCACGTCTCATACAGCGGATGGACGATGTAGTCGATGAATCCGACCTGCAAATCGGAATGAATCGTCGGATCATCGTTCAACTACTAATTGGTTTCCGGTGGATCGTCACGCGCCCTAATTGATCAAATATCGCGTTTTGTGGCAAATCGCCAAAAATCGACCGACTTCCGTTGTTTTTTATGGGGTCATGACATGCGCCTTTAAAAATGGCCTTCCAGTAGATCTAGTTGATCGCGATGGGAACCATACTTAAAAGAGCATAAAATCAGCGGCGTCTTGTCCGTGTGGACTACAATTTCACACAATCAATAGTATTCATGAAGAATCGAAATCGACGAAATTCTCGATTCTCTGAATCATTCTTTTTCGGGTCCACCCAACAACAAGGGCAATCCCGAAAACAAAAAAAAAACAACAATTGATGGCAATTTCGTCGGCTCACCAAAACAAATTGGCTCAAATTTTCAGCGATGAACGCTCATCGAAAAAAAAAAGAAAGAGCCGAATAATAAAAATTTTACCTGCGATTTTTCGATCGTCACATTGCCGCGATCGCACATCGGCGATATCTCCAAACCGAGCTCCTTCTCTTTGTCGCCCTGCCGCCAATACTCTTCCATGATGCGCTGATTCCATTGTTGGTAGAGGTCGATCGGCTTCGTCGGATTCGACAAATCCGCCAAATGGATCATCGATTGAAGTACCTACAATGAATGGCCCCGTAGACATCCGAAACAAATAATGGTCCACAATAATCGAACCTGGATTTTGTCGTTGTATTTGTCCAAAACGATCACATTGTTGCCGGCCACTTTTTTCGCTTCGACCATCGTCTTCAAATCGGCTAACAACGACATATGTTTGGACATGTCCGTGGCGAGAACCTGACAGAAAAAATACATATTTATTCATTGATCAATCTCAAATGATTTGATAAATTATGTAATTGATTATAAGCGATTGAAACAAAAATGGTCGACGCGACTAATTGATTGTGACATTCGCCGCCCAGCCACCGGAAGTTGGGTCTTCTCTTCATTTTTTTTATAGTCAAATGTCTATTTAATCGTCAAGATCAAGAAAAAAATTGAGAACAAATAAAACACCCTACACCATCACCCACCATATCGATGACGATCTTGCGAAACTGCACCCGTTGCTTCTTCGATAGATTGATGAGAAAATCGCAATTGGAATCCTGGAGGAGTTTGAAGGCGACGGCGAGATGGTGCTGCTCGAGCACCGACTCATCGTTGTACATGATGGCGAGCTCGTTGTCTGCAAAACGAAACCAATGAAAAAAATTGAATCGCGCCATCTGCGGACAATTTTGAGGGGGGGGGGGCAAAAAAAAACCCAAAACAACCTACTGGAATTGATGAGATATTGATTGGTGAATCCCGGATGATCGACGTCGTGAATGGCGCCGGCGAAAATCGCGGCGAGCACCTCCAAATCGGTGAACACCTCGGCGAGCACCGGCGACATCAGAAGCACATGCATCGATTGGGCGACGTCGGCGGCATGAATGAAGTTGTGATAGTGATTGTTGCGGTAGTGGTGCTCCAGATTGAGCAGGTACGTCACCAGCGTGCTGGCGGGTATCTCGAACGATTTGATGAGACCGCGTTTGCGAAGCAGCGTGTAGGTGACAACGGTGAGCGAGTGGTTCTTCGACAACTCGTCGATCTTGAACACGTCCGGTCCCCAATCATCGATGCGCTGCATGTAGACGGCGATCTCTTTGGCGCAATTCACACCATACTCGGGCAGGTGTCCCTCGTGCGATGGCGCGCGCAATTTTCGAACACCCGAAATGCGATTCATCGCCGCCGTCTGCGCCTTCTTCAACAGCGAGACGGTCATGTGCGGCGACGACGTCGATGGTCCCTGGAACGCAAAATCGATTGAGACGTTCTTTTTTGGGAAGAGCGCTGCTCCACACGTGATCGAGAAGAAGACGTGCGCGTGTGCGTCTCGCCAGACAAATAAAAAAATTTTTTTTTTTTGATTTAGTGTAAAGTGACCAACCACCCCACCAAAAAAACAAAACACTATCATTCTTCTTCTAATGATGATGATCGAAAAAATCAAGGTAGGCCGAGAGGAAGGGGGGGGGGAACATTTTCAAAAATCAACCGCAAACCTCATCCTCGTTACTATTATTATTATTATTATTATTGTTATCATCACAGTCTGGCACCATTGTTGATCGTCGAGTTAGAGAGGCGAGAATAAGAAGAAGACGAAGGCGACGACGAAAAAAACCATATACAATAAAGAGTCGAACACGAGAAAAACCGCCGCCGGCGTTTTTATCTCACTGCAATACTCGCCTTCGCTCCGCCCACCCGTCTTCCTTTTTTGTGTGTGTGTGTGTGTGTGTTTAGAAACACACCTCTCGATTTCTCTCAATTTCTCGCTATTTTGTTTCAAGGTTGTTGTAATTAGAGTGTGATGATAATAATAATAATAATAATAATCAAAAATTTTCAATTAAAACAAAACTATATAATTGGACCGACGATCTCGACCTAGGCCAAAGATTCCAATTTTTATCAACCAGTTTTGCGGATTGATATCTATTTCATAGCATGATGCACTCTATTGGTTCAAATATCGCAAGATAGTGGCGTTTCTATTTATTATCATTCTCAATTTAGCCGATTTAATGATGAATGACATCTGCGGCCACACGTGTTGGCGCCAAATTCAAAAAAAAAAATAATAATTGAAGTCCCCACCTCTGTCGGCACTTCGATCTCTATCGCCGGCTCATCCTCTTCTTTGTCCATATACGTTGTGATGAGGAATTTCGACACCTGCGTTCCCGATTTCGACGATTCGGCGAAATGCGACAACTCCTTGTTGAGCATTTTGCGAAACTGCAAATTTTCATATAAACTCTTTGCTAATTAAATTTCTCAATTAGACAAAAAAAATTGACGCCCCGCCCACCCGTCACTGTTGAAATCATTAATTGGGATGATTTTTTGCAACAAGGAAAAAAAAATATTATGTATACCCACACACATACACATACTTATACAGAGTCGATCGAGAAAAAAAAACAACGAGTGGGCGGGGCGTATAGTTTCTCCTCCACGCAACATTCGACTTGAAACTGTGTATGTGGTATGTGTGTTTCTTGGTTTCGGTCAGAAATAATGAATGTAAATGTGACACCATCAATTCAACAATATCAATCACCGGAAGTCGTAATCGGCGCGCCGCGCGGCGAACAAGAAAAGAGACCGTCGGTTTTTGCAGAAAAAGCCATCCCCCCCTCTCTCTCTCTACCCTCCAACAACAACCTCTTCAACAACCACCAACTTCTAATTCGATGACGGCATTTTAGGGAGAGAGAGAGAGAGAGAGAGAGAGAATTAAAAAAAAAATATTGTTCTTCTAGAAGAAATGCCGCTTCTGGATAGCAACCGGCGAAACCCGTAAAATGTCCGAACATTGAGCTCCTCATATGAACGCCTCTTTCGCGAATTATTATTGCAAATTGGCAAAATGCCAAAAAAGGTCTTGACGCGCGATTTTGCGGATTGAGGAATTTGTAAATGAATATAGTCGTCATCCGGCGACTGCTGTACGCGGGTAGATTTACACACATGCGCCTTGAAAAGGTCTCGCCACGCGTGAATGCTTATTTTGCTGTTTTCACGCGAACTGCTTCATTTTTCTTGATGAGTTTGGCATTTCTTGTAATTTCTAATGTAGTTCGATTTAAAAATTATCGAACCGATCCATAAAATTTGAAACAACTTGTTAGTCCTTGCGGGACCATTTCGAAAGACGCATTGCCGTAAATCTACCCCGCGTACAGCATTCGCCGGACACCAACTATAATAATTCTCTAAAATTCTAGATAGCCAATTCTAATTTTTTTTTTCCCTCAAATTTCGACCCGTCATTTTTTGTTCACATTAAATATTTATCAACAAAAATCATGAAGGGAACGTCTTCGATTTGCTTCAAGTTTTCGTTCCTTTCCTAATTTGCGAATCATCGTTAATTCAACGGAAGTGCAAATGATGTAATGTTGAAAATTCTATGCGAATGTCACATGAGTTGCGTTTCTTTTTCTTTCCAATTTGAATTACACCAAAAAAAAACGCCAAAAATTTCGTGGTTTTGCAATGTTACATTTTTAAAGCGCAAATCTTGGCATTACTCTTTTCATGACGCATACATGATATAATAAAAGACCCTTTTATGGTATTCGATATATGCAGTGAATTGTTTGATAAACGCGTTTGATCATTTAGAAGGAAAACTGCGCCGAAAACTTGGCGTCAAAATGTCCTCAGATGGAAATTTTCAAATTCTTGAAATTTGATATTACATATTCGTAATATATAGAAAATAAGGAGCAATTTTTTAAATTTCGCGCCAAAATTATTTATTTTCATTCTCTTTCCAATAGAAAATTGCAATAAATGCTGACGGCTTTTTTTTTTGGAGAATTCCAAAATGTGTGCAATTTTGCGCGACGGTGTATGAATCATTCTATTGAACCCTCATTTAGGAAACAATCAAAAAAGAAAGGGATAATGCGACTAAAAAAAAAAAGCATTCTTTTAAAGGTTTATCGCTCTAAGACCCATTTCCCCCAAAAAAAAACCGAAAGTGAGAGAACTTCAAAAATCATAGATTTCCCATGGCTAGCTTAAAGGCGCATCGCTTCTCTCGGGCTCGAAAGAAATAAAAACCAATATATAAATATTAATCGATTCTCGGCAAGTCAGCCTCTCTTTTTCTCTCTCTCTCTCTCTCAAAAAAAAAAATTCCATTCATGAATTTCGCTTTTCCGCGTGACGTCACACACAGTGTCAGGTCAAATATTGACCCCCGAGAGCCGGCTGCTTGTTATTGTTGTTTTCACGGTGATTGGAAAAAAAGAGAGAGAGATGGAGAGACAAATAAACGCAAGAGCCCGGAGAGGAGGGGGGGGGGTCAAACTCAAATGACCCCCCCCCAAATTTCAAGGAGTGCCCAAATCTCAATAAATTGTCAAATTGACTCCCCCATGCCTTATTTGACACGGGTCCCCCCTTTCTTCAATTCAATTCTCTTCTTTCCCAAATTTTTTTCCTCCTCTTTTCACTTCAGTATGTGTATGTCCAAGAAATGCCAATCCCCCTCCTTCCCAAGAGAGGCACATACCCAAAAAATCTATAAAGTGAACGAAAAACAACACACCCAGAAAAAAAAATTCGATTGACTGCGCATACAAAAAATAAATATAGATGTGTGTGTGTGTGTGTGTATTCTATATCTATATATGTACATCAGTGTATTCAAAAGGCTTAAATTCAATTTTAGCATTTGGATTGTTATAATGGACCGCGTTTTCTTTTTTTGCGAACCCTTTCACCCCTTAAGAAATGCCTGCTGATGGTCCCATTTTTCGGAGGGCTTGAGCGTCAAGCATTATTGGGCAAAACAAAAGCTCACCTTGCTACTCGCCATTTCGGACACCGATCGATGCGTTTGTATGGTTTCGAGCTGATCGAGACACCAATCGAGTTCCTCTGCAACAACAATATCAATATCAAATTGGGGGGGGGGAGGCTTTTCTTCGTTTCGCCGTCTGCCACAACCCCCGACCATATATGCACATGAATGTATGCATAAATGTATATGTATATATATATATATATATATATATATATATTCACAAGTCGGCGATCACGCGTTTCCGGAGACCAGGAGGCGAAACAAAAATTTTTGTTCAGCCTCATAATTTTTTCTTCGTGCCATCGACCCGAATCGGTCATGCATGATATGCTTGTATATATATATTTTTTATTTTTTTTTGGCAATGTGTACATATGCATCCCGAGGTCGGAGGCCAACTTCTTGTGTTCGACGATGGCATCGCCGGTCGGCGAAAGAGAAAAAGGAATAGAAAACATATTTAATGGGTTTTTTTTTTCCGTCCCCCGAAAAATTTTAATGGGATTTTTTCCATGGCCTGGTCCCTCTTCCTCATACTCGCCAAAGATTCATCTTAACTACCGTATAGCTGAACCACTCTGGGCTTCATGATCAAAGAGGATATTAGTCAAAAATTGCCGTGGCTACGAGAAAGCCCTCAATTTATGAGCCTGCACGCACAATCGCACAAAAATAAAAGGACGACGAAGAATAATGGGTGTAGTACTTTTTTTTGTGGGAACGGCTGTCGAGCAATAATGGAAAAAAACCAAGTTTTCCAAAATGTTGAAAAATAAAACGTTGTTTTTTTGGAGTTGGGTACGGTGAGCAATGTGTGCAATTTTGCGTACACGTGCACCACGTCAAATTCTCAAATCGATATTTTCGTTCTCGCAAAATTTCAACTCTTCCCCAGTTTCTTTCATTCAATTATGAATCAATTTTTCCAATTTGTAGTTCAGATGCACTTTTTCACTTATTGGCAAAAAGAAAAAAATGGAAAATAAACAGCTAAACTCGAAGTTTATCAATATTATACGAGGGATTCGTCGGAGGAAGCGGTAGTAAAAAAAAACGATGAGGCATCGTTTTTGGTAATGCCAATTTTTGTTTCAAAAATTAATAGAAATTGTGTTTTTTTTAAAGATTATCCTAGACATACGTTCCTTCAAACAAAAGTTCAAAGATTATGACTCATTTGCTGGCGCGGGAGCTCAAATTTCAGATACCCACCCGCCCCACTCTATTTGGCTAATGAACACGGCAAGTTTACTCGTTGTTCCCCAATTTTTTTTCTTTTCTTTTCAACTTTCAGAAAGCACTAACCAAGCGTTTCGTGTGCACATTGTACCACATTATCGGGCAGCGGTGTGCTATGAAGTGGCGGTCGTTTGGCGCTGCGATTCGCGTGCCTGCTATCGTCGCTATTCTGCAAAAACATATAACATAGCAAAGCGATCGAAAAACACCATAAAAATGTATGTTTAATGGAGCTCTAAATCACACATAATTTATTGTGCATTTACGAGAAGTTCGAATGGGGCAAAGACGAAGAAAAAAAACGCCTAGACACAGGACAAATCGTCATTGAATGGATAGAAGAAAAAAAAAACGACTTTCTCCGTTTTTTTTTTCATCACAATGGAATTGTCGAGTCCAAAATGTTTGGTAGGTCAAAAATCTCACCGAAAAAAAAGGTGTCGAGAAGCGTTGGTTTGGAATTTTCAAGGAAACGCGTCAAAAATTCAACATGTCTCAAGAATCCTCATTGTGACGCAGGTGGGCCACAATGGGAGTATAAAGCATTTCAACAATGTGCGTTTCAGGCGTCTCCCTCGAACCAGAGTCAGTTCACTTCAGAACCCACGATTAATAAACCGGCAGGGTTTTTTTTTTTGACATTCAACTCTCGTCAACGAGAAACAACTCAAAAAGAAAATCATTGCGTGACAAGCATCTCGTCACACCAACCACCCAACCGCAATTCTACGAGGAGTGGTAAATAAAAAACAACTATGAATGATGAAAGACTTACTTGTATATTCGCTATCGAAATCAGATTGGATCGAACGTTCCGCAAACTGGCGAGTAGCTGCGCGAACGGTGTCACAATGAGATCGTCGCCGTGTCTGCAAAAAAGAACAAATAAATTGAGATCATTCCATATTGTTCATTGTGCTGGTGGTTGACTGAGGCAACGACTCAAACCTAAAATTGAAGCCCGTCTCGCCAAATTTGCGGCGAACACTCCGATTATTATTGCTAGTCGATAATATCGAACATGTACTCGTTTTTGCGGTAGCCGTCATCGGGAGGTTTTTTTTTGTTTTAATGTTTTTTTTGCAGATGTTGCGAAGGGACTACAGGAATTTAGAGGGGAATTCTCGTAGGATTATATGAATTGGTCCGAATAAGGCAGTATGGTGAGCTAGTTGAAGAATGCGACGAATGCGAATCGAATGATGGAGGCGCTCATTCCTCTTCTTCTCCTCCTCCTCCAGGAACGCTCCGCCCACTTTCATGCCTACGAGGCTTTTCTCTTTTCAATTCACTGGCTGCTCAATTCTTTTCTTCTTCTTTTTCTTCTTCTTGAGAAGCTGCTAGTAGGCAGTATTGCCGGGAAGAAGCGCTCACCATCTATCCAATCACTTTTTTTTCTCCAGTTTCAGTGTTCCACTGGCCCGAGCCAAATAATTGCGAGTGTATAGTATATTCCAGAAGGCTCGTTTTGATCGGCAAAACAAAACAATACAATTTGTGGCTGTCCTTTGGGACCATCGCCTCAAGTGGTTTTTCGTTCGTCTCGCATTCTCTCTTCGCTTCGGATAAAAAAATTTCGGCGGAAATAACAAATAATAATAATAATAATAATAATAATAATCGTCGCAGGGGGAGGCAGTTTATGGCATAGATTACCACTTCACTTTGCTAGATGTCATTCACGAGCAAACAGAAAATTTTGAGATATGCGCCTTTAAATGCGCCGCCTTGTTTCGGCAATAAATGATTGGTTAGCGAGAGAAGTTTTTGAAGGGGAAAAATATTGTTTCTTGAAAATTTCTCAATATTCCAGCGCAGTAAAAATTTTAACATTCTTCTGATTTTCAATCCATCGATCGCAAATATTTACCGCAAAAATTCAATGAACCAGTTAACACACACACAATAATACCGTAACCACCACCACCCATTGGCGGGTCTCAATGGGTAAACAGCGAATTTAGCAAAACGTGTGATCAAACAAACTTGCTAGTGAGAACCTTCGAATCGATGACGGCCGTCTTGACGACGTCGTCGTCTCAATGATTGCCGAGGCGATGGCTAGAATCGTAGGAATAGAGGTGCTAACAAACGCCGGAGGTTTGGGGCAGAAGATGGGGCGGGACGGGGGGTCCGAACAAGGCACTTTTCGAAAATCGGTGTTCAATATCGTAATAGAGAAGAAGTGTGTTCTTTACACATTTCTATATTGCGTGAGGTATTGTGTGTGCGACGACGACGACTCTATTACATATATATATATATATATGTGTGTGTGTGTATGTGTGCTGAGTGGAAAGGACACTACACGATCCATCGGTGGTAGATCACAAAACCGGGGTCGCGCCCCCCTCCTCCTCCCCTTTTCCACCACCCTTTACCGGGCGTTGCCCTACCGGCGGCACAACCGCGACAGCGCCGGCGACGCTACGTGAAAATTTCGTCTGTATACACACGCAGAGCGCGCCGCGCAAACATTAGACGTCACACGCGGCTGCGCGTGTGTATGTGTGTGTGTGTGTGTGTGAACCATCACGCGTCCGAGCCAGCCAATAATGGACTGGTCGCCGCGGCTACGATGATCACGAATTTGTTGGGGGGGCAAAGGGCGACAAGACGAAATTGCCCAACAACTGCAATTCGCTATCTCCTTTTATGGCCTTCTTTGAAGTGATGGGACTCGAAACAATTCGAACAAGCGGATGATTACGTTTTAAGACCCCCCCCCTCCCCCCTCAAAATAGGTCCCTAAAAAGTTTTTTTTCCAAAATTCCACTTTTCTGTGTAATTTGCGTTACGGTGTTTGCACATAACATTTTCAGGGTCCTACCATTTCTCAAAAAATATTTTCGGATCTCTGTTGAAAATTCAAGGGCAAACACCGCCGTGGCCATTCAAACGATCTTCTCATTTCAAGGATCTTTAAAGGATATCCTATTTAATCATCATGTGTTTCAGACAAAATCGAAATGAAAAAAAAATGGGGGGAGGGGTTTCGTCGAGATTAGTCGATTTTAATCGTTGTCTCGCTTAATTCGTGAAGCCGGATTATGACAATGAATTTGACGGCGATGTTTCAAATGAATGAAATATGATTCAGATCGCCAATTCGAACGTTTCGATGGTTAAATTTTTTGGGGGAAACGCTGTAACTAATTCCACAATCTAAATTTCAAAATTGAAATTGTAAAATTGGTACTGAAAAACTGAAAATTGGTCTTATACATATGTAAATACATATATGATTGTGACAATAAAACGGCAGCGAATTATTAGTACCGGTTCTTGTTGATAAGAAGCGATAAGGGGTGGAAAGAGGTGGCGAACTTCTGGCCGAGCACAAAAATGCTCGGCGAACAACTTCCACACCATCTTTTATACGATTCATCTGAAGCGGATTTCATAGAAAGCATGGAGATCAGAAGGAAGGAGAATAGGGTGTTGGAATGTGCAATTGAATTACCCCATTTATGGGCAATTGATTTCCACAACAACAACAACAGCCGCAGAAGGAGAGGCGGAGATTTGATACGAATATCATGTACGACGTCTAGCCGGCATTCATGTGATTGATTTTTGTTGGTAATAATAACACGATGACAATGTCTTGATTTTGATGATCACGTGAATGAACAAAATGAAACGAATTCGAGGTTGGTGGTGGAAAATCAATGGCGGATTGGCGAACCTTGGCGATAGTACCCGTAGGAATAGCGATTTGAACGAGCCGAAGCATGAGGGGTTCGATTCGTGACGATGGCTCGAAATGTTCTGATTTCGCATCGGTTTGATGATGATGATGATGATGACGTTAATGAATAAACGAAACCGAAGCGGCGGCACCGCAATGAAATCAAAATACTGAACAACGCGACCGGGGGAGAGGCGAGCGAGGCAAGCGAGGAACCCCCTTGCCACTCCTAGCCGGAGCTTATCCAGAACGCGACTAATATGAAGACAAAAATGGTGAAGCGCGGCAAAACACGCGAGAAAAAGAAAATACATTAAAAAGGATTTAGGGCGGATAATCGCTAGTTCGCAGAATTTCTCAATTATTTGCGTTTTTTTTTTTGCTCAATTTAATTTTTTTTTTTGGATCTACCCATAAAACAAAATACCTTTTTTGAACGACATAAATTACCGTATCAGTGTGGTCATTCGAGTCGGAGGTGTCGATTATCATAGATAGGACGACGACTGATTGCCGATGAAAAGGTTTGCAGCCACAAAAAAAAAGTATATATCACATATCAAATGGGCAGAAATGCCCGCGGGCGGCGGCGGCGACGTCGACGGATAAGTGAACTGTATACCTGCAGATGCAAACCTGCAGAAGCCGTGGGTGGCCTCGCGATTCAGTTGATGACAACGATTTTTGTTGATGATTATGATAATGATGGCATGCTGCCGACATCCTTCCAGGACGCCGCGCCCCTCATATCAAATGCGTTATGATTTTTATTAATCAACCAATCGAGACCACGTCTCGTCATAAATCAACTATCAATTTGGATGACCGGAAGCGAGGCGATCGCGTCGCGTCGACACAGAAAAGAAATTGAGATGAAACAAGAATGACAATGAGGAGGCGAAATTGCGAGAACAAGCGGTGAGAGATAGTGATGTGAATTGCCTTAAAGAAATTCAAAAAAAAAAAAGACCCACACGAGTTGATGATGGTACGAGCTCATCGCCGCCTCATTGCGTCTCGAGGTACGACAAGACGTCGTGCTCGCTGCTCTTATCACCGATGCCGATTGCTGATGGTGGCGATGATGGTGGCGATGGTGGTTTTTTGAGAGAACCTGTGACGTCACCACCACCACCACGCCGTTTTACAGCCCCCGTGACAATAAAAATAGTCGAGGCGACGAGTGTGTTACGAATTTTTTTTTGTGTTGCCGTTTTTTCTTCTAGCTTTGCTTTTTTGCCGAAGGGGGGAGGGGGACTCCTTTTGATCTACACCGATGGGGTAGGAGAGGAAGAGAGGAGGAGAAGGAGAAGCTCTCAATGACAACTGCTAATTCGATTAGGTCGTTTTTCCGATTTTGACAGCCTATTAGGCGGCCGAGTGCCACTCAACAGCGTCATGTCGAAAAAATATAAAAAGAGAGAGAGAGAGAGAGAGAGGGTATAAAAGAGCCAAATGGTTGGGTGGGCTCTCCTCCCATTTCAAGGGCGTTGATTTATTGGCCACTCATTTTCCACGAACCCAACAAGCTCTATCCCTTTTCATTTTTTTTTGTTTTCTCCTACATCATCATCTTCTTCAGCGCGATCAAATGCAACAATCTCATGCCGGCCCTCGGCAAGCTCTCGCGAGTCAATTCAAAACAAAACAAAAATGCAAATTGCCGACACCAGGTGCAAATTCGGTTGATGTTGTTGTTCGGAAGGGGGGGGCGTCTTCGACCAACTCATGCAGCACACTAGGTCCCAAAGAAGGCCCGGGGGGGGGGTGACGAGCAGCAAAAAAAACGGCGGCCGAGAGAAAAATGCACAAAATTTGTGTGTGTGCGAGCTCGCGCGCGCGCGCGCTCCTTGAGCTAAGCGAGTCTCAAATATGGGCACAAAAAAAGAAGAAGAAGAAGAAGAAGCTGTGTCGCGCACATGTATATTTTGACACTTGGGGGGGGGGGACCCCTTCTCTCTCAAATGATGACGTAATAATCAGAATCGCACTATTTTTTTTCTATAAATAATGATGGAAAATCGGGAATGGGACCATCAAAAATGATATTCGAAACCGAATAAATATTGGGGCGACGAAGCGAGCGAATTTTTTTTTTCTTTCTCGGGTTCATTGCTGCCTTATATTCTGATTTCATTGGCGCGAGCATTTGGGGGAGAGAGAGAGAGTGCGAAAGGCAGATAGGGAAATCAGGAAGCTTCTTAACGCGGAAGTTTCCTACAAGTCGCTTCAAGATCATTATTCGAGTGGTTTGAACTCGACGGCGAGATTCGAATTGTTATCAGAAAACACCAAAAGAAAAGGATGGAATGGACAAAAAAAATTGAAAAACCAAAAAAAAAAAAAAAAAAACAACTAACCCGTGATCATTGGAGGCGATCGACGATGCCTGACTCACCGGCCGAAGCGACGATGACGCCTCGCGTAGATCCTCGGCACCGCGATAGAGGAACGATTCGCGGCGCGCGTGCATCGACGAGCTCAGCGACGGTGTGGCGAGATGCGCGCCGCCGAGCGCAACGCCGATGCCGCCGTCGGCCGCACAACCGCTTCCGGACGCCGTCGACGCGTGACACGACGACGACGACGTGGCTGTCGTGCTGCTAAACGATTTTGGCACGTGTGAACTCGTGTTGGTGGTGTTGGGTCTCGACGCGATCAAGCGGCCGGTCGAAGAAGACGAGGATGGCGGCGGCGGCGGCGGCGGTAGCGGTAGACGATCGCCGGTGGCGGTGGTGTCAGCGGCTGTCGACGGCGACGAGCTCCGAAAAAAATTGTGAAGGTGCAACTCACGTCGGAGGCTCGCCAAACCGAATCCGCCGCCACCGCCACCGCTACCGCTACCGCCCGACGAGGTGCCTCCTCGCCTTCGGGGCATTTGGTAATGGCCGCAACAGCACGGGCAAAGCAGTATGTGTGAGTGAGCGTGTTTGTGCGGCCGACTCGCTCCGCCGCTTCTTGTCGGCGGCTTCAGCACGCCTACCCCGGGGCCGAACCGTCTCGCCGTCTGTCGCTCGCAGCCAAAGCGCTCTCACCAGCGAGGAAGGGGGAGAAAAAAAAAACAATTTTCGTCTCTCTCTCGTTCTCTCTTTTACATTTTTTTGCCTCACGAGGTCCACGGACCATCTCGTCTCGCTTTTCTCTCAACTACTTTATTTTTTGTTTCTTCTTCTTCTTCTTCTTCTTCCACACAGGACGGACAAATCGGCGGGGTGTTGGTGTTGGTGGTACGTACGACGACGACGACACAAACAGCGGCGGGAATAAAAAGGACCCCCTAAGTGAGAGAGAGAGAGAGAGAGAGAGCACAGGAAATCGCCGATCGCACCGAATTACTACTATCCTCACTCGAGATTTACGACACATTTCCGGAATGGGAGGACGGAATCCGAAAAATCGTCGAATTGTCCGCAGATGCATTCAGTCATTTTTTTTGTTGCATCACAGAAAGCGCCAACGAAAGCAAATGGACGGTGAGAGTGTCTTACCTTCGCGATCCCGGCACGAACCATACCGTATGCCGACGCGACGTCATCGTCACCTCCTCGTCGTTCGTCGTCTCGCGTCGAATCGTACGCTCTCGGCAGTTTTTCGCCACGAGCTTCTCACTAGCTGATGAATTTAATTGTTTCAAATCAAAATGGAAGACGATAACGAATAGAAAAAAACAACGAAATTCAATTGATATGATGACATGAAGGAAAATCGGTAGGAACAATGGATTTATTTTTTTTTTTTGAAAAAATGAGACAAACAATTTTTTGCGTCAAAAGTTTGATAGATAGTATGTCTGAAAAGCAGTCCCCCCCCCTTATTGATGTGTGACCATTTTCGGTTCGCGAGGATAAGAATACCCTAATTGGATGGGTTCGACCATGTCGAAGTTTGATCTTCAAAAACCCAAACTCAATTTTGTTTAATCGAATTATTTGAGATTGGAAAATAAGAATATTGACGTGGACGGACGAATTTTGAATTTCGCGGGCTACCTGGCAATCAAATCAAATCTGATTTGACACTTTTAAAAATTCAAAATGCCCATTTTATTAAATCTTAAGCCTATGATGATTAAACGAACCAAAATTTGCTTCTCAGTGTTTTCCATACGAGACCCCAAGGCGGCAATTCAAATTATATCTATTTTTCAAACTTCTATTATTATCGTAGATGAACTTTCATTTTTGAATTTCCGCATTTTTTTTGGTCTCAAATGGAAAAAGAAAACGTTCTGTGATCGAAGTTTCTGCATTTCCTGGCTATCAAAATTTGAAAGAGCATAATTTTTTTTTTAATTTTCATCACTCATAGAAGATGTCAATCCATTTTTTGCGACGAAAAAAAACATTTCCAGACATTTTCCTGGCCAGGTGGAAAAAAAATGCGAAATTCTCGAAAAAAAAAACCATAGACATACATGGCGTCTATTTTAGACTATAAATTTTGTTTTTAAGCTGCAATCGTACATGTCTGAACAAGAAACGTCTATGGGGGGGGCTTAAGGCTTTCGGGGGAAAATCGAAAAAATTATATATATAAAAAAAATTTAGTTTCTTCGAAAATATAGGTGATTCAATGGCTCTTTAAAATTCGCAGGGAAATTATTATTATTTCGATTTTTTCAGATTGGAAAATGCCGATTCACTCGAGAATCTGAGCACCAAATCCGCATTATACATTTACTAATCTTCACCGGACCAAAAAGAAACCTAGTACACTGATGGGACCATGATCAAAAAATAATTATAAGATGTCCATGAGTTTGGTCGCGAAACTCGCAAATCAAAGATTCAATGGTCCGCAAAAAAAAAATAAATCGCGATAGGAATTAAAGGCGCATCTCGTTGCATTTGGGCGATGTGTCTCGTGACGAAGGGAAAAATTGGCATTTTTTGTTGTAAATATACAAAATTGGCAATTCGCCGCCACTCCCCCGCCCACTTCAAAGTACTCAAGGAAAGCGAGGAGGACCATCAATTGCAATCGAATCGAATCTATTAAATGCGCGTGCGATGAAATGCAAAGTACGCAATTTCGCGTTTAATTCGTTGCCTCGCTTTTTTTTATTGCAAATTTCAATAAAAATAGAAAAATTTGTCGAAAATCGATGGGATTCGAATTTTCGGGAAATTCGACTAAAATAAAAAAAAAGACAAAAAATTTTTTTTCGCAATTTGCATATTCAAATTATTCGTCGCTCGATTCTCGACAATTTCCCACCAATAGAAATAAGACGGCCAAAAAAAAGAGAGAGAAACTCTTTGAATGCATATTTGCGGTGATAATGAGAGAACGAACGGAAGACAAAAAAAAAAGAAATGGTGAATGGCGGAAAAAAAATTTTAAGTGATTATATTTAGCATCGAAAAAAAGTGCACAATTCTCAAAATAAACGTTGCTTGTTTCATTCTTCCTGTTTTTTTTTTAAGAAAAAAAATATAGGAATGAATAATTCGTTGAAAAATGACAGCGAATCGCTCGACGCATTTCTAATCTCCCCCAACTAGCAAATTGCTTTCGTTCTTTTTTTTCCTTCAAAAATTCCTATCGCTCGTTCTCTCAATTAACATCAAGCTCAATTAATCGGAAATTCAAATTTCACACTGACGAATATTTGACCTTCTGATTTCATACTAGAAATTTTCAAAAAAAATTGATAATCCATTTTTTTTCCAAGAGTCGAGTGGGCGGCGAGCGGGCGGCGCGTGAAAACTCTAACAAGAAAAATAGAGCATTCAAAATGATTCAGAGTTGAAAATTGGATCATTTTATTGGAAAGTGGGCGTGGCTTAGCGATTTTCAGGATTAAGCTGATTTTATTGAAAAAAAAAATGACAATTAAAAAAATGTTGAGCATCGAATTCGATATTTTGCAATTTTCCAACGCGCCTTTAAAAGCAATGAAACTTGATACGAGCTCTCTCGTGATGGGACCCGATTGGCCAAATTTGTTCTTTTTGCAAAAAAAAATGCGATAACAAAAAGAAAGGAACGCAGAATGACGTGCGATTCTCGGAAATCGAAACGAAACATGCGATTTCGTTTTGGCAGGGTTTTTTTTTTTCAAAAATATGCGTCGTCAGGAAGAAGCGAACTGATTTATGGGGGGGGACCGGGGGAAGGAAGAATTCGAAACCATGTGAACGAAAGGGCTGGCGACAAAGCACCGACGCTTCTGATGATGATGGTGAAACATGGCTGAGGGTGGGGGGGGATGGGGGTGGATGGCGAATTGAATAGAATGCGACGACGACGACAATAACGGAAGCAATTATCGATGGGGAGGCACAAGCATCATTTCGGATGCGATTCTTGACGGATATTGAAAAATGGATACCGTAGGATTGGGTGAATGGCGACAAGTGGGGAGATGGGGGGGGGGGAAATGAGAAGGGGGAATTCACAATCCGTTGGCTACTCGATGTTGAGGAGCTCGGATTCCAAAAGAAAAAGCAACAACAAGATGATTAAAGGCGCATATGGGCATTTATTCGAAATTGATTGAGAATCAGATGATCTCAATCTTGTTTAAAGGCGCATGTGGATTTTTATTTAAAAAAATATTTCATTCAAATTGGACGATGCTTATTTAAAGGCGCATGGCTTTACAATTTTGCATTTCTCAAAGAAACTCATAATGGTCTCAACCAGTCGGTTAAAGGCGCATATAGCAATTTGAAAATGTTGTAGAGAATCGTGACAAGACTTTTCGGCGTTTGCAGAAACTCAAGAGGGCGTCTCAATAATAGTTAAAGGAGCATGCGGATTTTTAAAAATTATTTATTTTAGCTAGAACTTTGGAAAATATTAAATTCAACGTTGGATCATGGCAAGAGCACGCTTGTTTAAAGGCGCATGGCTTTAGAAACTCACGATGGTCTCAATGATTTTTAAAGGCGCATATCGGAATTCTATGAAGCCTAAAATGACTCATTTTGGCAAATTTGAAACCCGCTCGAAACGAGGAAAAAAATCGATAGGCCAGGTGTTTCGAAATGCACTACTACTACCCGAATCAGAAGTTGACGACGACGACGAAGAAGGAGAAGAAAAAAAAAATAAACGTCGAATAGTCGACGTCGTCGTCATCTATTGGCGCGTATTGAATTCGTTCAAGCTTCACTGATTCCAATAAGTCGTGATGTAGATTTATAGTGAAGGGTGAAAGGGGTGCATATTCGGGATCAGGAATAGACGAGGGATTTCTGAGAATGTGCCGGGAACATTCTCATGAATGCTGAAAACTCCCATCGGGGGACCCTTGAAGGACCTCGCGGCGATTTTGCTCGCATTCTAGGGACCCTCTGTATCAATGAAAATCAAAGAGCACGCAACACACACACAAGCAAAAAAAATGAGTGGACGCGTGAAAACTCATGAATAAATAACTGGAAGCGTTGTCTTCTCCGTCTCTTCGCCGCGCAACGTCTTCAAACAAATATTCCGACACAGTCGAAACGAGAAGAAGATGAAGCGAAGGCGACGTCAATGTCAGAGGAAGACGGAAGGAAGGAAGGAAGGAGGGGAAAACGACGAAAAAAAAATAACACGGCAAAAAAAACCAAACCTCCCTTTAAAATCTACAGTATTCAGAGTGCTTGGGATTTCCCGCTGGTAGATCACGTCTTATAGCCATCGCAATATTTTCCAAATCTGCTTCCAGAAAATATATGTGATAGCTCGTTATCTATACAGAGATAAAGCTGGGGGTGGAAGGAAGACGAATGAGAAAAGTGTATAAAGTGAAAACAGAAAAAAAAAACCAATTTTTTTCCGGATGAGCCAACACAAAACAAAATCCATCAAATCTCATTACATCAAAGTTTTGCTGTTGTTGGTTGTGTCGAATTCTTGAGGCCAAGAAAAAAAAAATAATAAATCAGTGCTTAGAATAGAAAATTTCCACAAGCAAGTACTAATAAAAAAAACGCAGGTGAAGAATTCTTTTTCACAACACCAAACATTCAAATGAAAAACAAAAAGACGTCAAGTGGGTTGAAATTTGAAGGGGGGGGGGGGGGGGTGACGGGCAAACAAAAAAATTAAAACGGAAACGAATTTGGTTGGGTTGGTATGTAAGGGAGGCAGAAAAAAAAAGAAGCGGTAGAAATGAACATTCTCAAATTTCACGCTTCTTCTTCTTCTTCTCATCGCCTTTCCTTTTTTGTTGAAAAAAAAATATACACACCATATTAGGGGTGGAAGAGAATGAATGATTTATTCGCTTGGGTGGGAAGAAAAAAACCGCGGTGTTCGTATGGGACCAAAAATTGGCCTGTCAGACCTACACTAATCATGGCCATAATTTATGGCATTCACACTATGTATAATTATTGCTATAGTATGCGCCTTTAAGGTTTGTGGCGAGATCCGACTGAAAGGTGGGGGGGGGTTAATAAGTGTTAAATTTGCGATTAGACAAGAAATTGAAAAAAAGGAAAATTCGTACCCTTTAAAGGAGCATGCCACGAGCATTTTTTTTGGTGAATAAATTGTGGGCGTCAAATTCAATTCCGCCAAAATTGGAAATTTACGCGACCGACACTCTTCGCTTCGAGACATCTCGCCAATTTTTGGTTTCGTCTTTCTTAAAGGCGCATAAAGGCGCCCCCTTCTGAAGGGAAAAATGTGATATTTCCATATTTTTTGGAGACAACAAAAAAAGGCAACAATGGCAAAAATAATGTCCTCGTCGACAAAAAAAAATTTGCATTGTTTCGGAAATGAAATTGAACCGAGTGACGCATCGCAATTGAAATTCAAATCGCCTTCTCGAAAGCGCGTCTCGTGACGATGATACGGTAGAGGCAAAACCGACCAAAGGCAACAAAAAAAAAACGAAAACGAGCCTGGCTTGAGGATGATGAGGAGGAGAATTGGAATGGAAACGAGCCGCCAAAAAAAAAGGAAAAGAAAACCTCGAAACCACATGTGCCGAGTGTTTGGAACAATTTTCGTCTCAAGAGCCGCAGCACGGAAGCACAAAATAAAACCAAACACAATAAAAAAGCATGGGCGTGGCCTAGTACGAATTGACACCATCAATTTGGGAAACCGTCCAATTTCGAAAACAAACTCATTAAAAGTGACAAAATGGGCAGCAGATGGGAACCTCTTTCTCACAGACACACACACACACACAAAAAGATCGCACTGTTTTCTTTTTGTCGCGTCGAGACCCATTCGAACACTTACCAGCAGTCCTGTCGAAGAGGCGACGCGGTTGATTGCCATGGACGAAGTTTGAACTGCTTCCGACGCGCCACGCCGTTCATCTCGTTGTCGTTGCTGAAACAAATAAAAATGAATGAGTGCTGTTACCGTATTATTCGATTGCTCGGTGTTTGCGGACCATTTTTGACGCGAGCCAATGTCAAAATTTCGAATCAAAATTTGAGAAATTACCGTAGGCAAAAAGTGTGCTAACACAAAAAAATTTGCTCATTTTTTTTGGAAAGAGAGAGACGCCGAGAATCTTGGGACCATCGAAACAACTCTCAATTTTGAGCTCTTCAAAAAAAAAAATGATCTCATCAATTTTGCGCCAAAAAAACATGATTGAAATATCTCTCTTTATTTCGAGTTCTTTTTTTTTCGGCCCTCCAAATATGGAAAACGCTCGTTTCCCAAGAGGGGGGGGGGCGCAAATTTTCTCATGATTGGAGGTTGCCGAATTTTGAAATACGATGCGTCGTCGTCGAATCGTAGACTCAAAATGCTCTCCACAATCAGAATTAATAGAAGCTCCCCCCAAGCTTCTCATTCGAGTCGAATTGATTTTGAGCTCTTCACAGCGATCAGTTTTTTGAGCGTGCAAAAAAAAAACTCGAAAATGATCGATGGGTGGTGGCCGAAAGGACGAACCAATTGGTCGTAGTTGTCGGGGGAGAGCACATTATTCTTGGTTTATGGATTTTTTTCGTTTGGGTAATAAACAAAAATGAGTTCACGGAATGGCACAAAATAAAAAAAATAAAGAGAAATGCTTTTACTGCAAATTCCAATAGGGGTAGGCCTAGGCCTATAAAACATTGGAAAATCGATGCCAAAAGGGAAAGGGGATTCAAATTTCGACGCGCATTTTTCAATAATTCTAACACATTTTCGATTTTGACTCCATTTTTTTACTCCATTTTTTATGAGAATTCGCTGAAAATCATTTGCGTTTCTCTAAGAATTTGCCCACATGCGCCTTTAAATTTTGAAAAATTTCAGCCGTATTTTCTAGAAGATCTCATGTGCGTTTTTCAAGAATGTGTGCAATTTTGCGTGCGGATGTACAACACACCTCGTATGGCCCCTTTTAGAGAAAATTGATTTTTATCGAGCTTCAACGTTTTTTTTTCTGAAATACGATGTATCTCAATTTTTTTTTCTAAGCAAATTTTATTCGATAAATTGAGAAGATGAAGCTCAACGTTGACCTAAACCATCATATATGTATGTGTTTCTGTAATTCGATCCACATCACAGATCAAAACTCAAACCTCCTGTTGGCAAATTGCCAAAGACATTCAAGACGCTCAAAAAAAGGATGAGGGGGGCCACTTTTCTCGCACTGACTCGAAAAAAAAATGGATGTACAACGAACCGTTGATGAAGGATGACCGGCAAAAAGGCGATGAGCACGAGAAACGCGCCGGCCTCATCGAAGCGGCCGACGTGAACGACGAGCGTTTGGCCGATTAGCTGCAGAATGAGCACGACGCACGGATGAATCGACAAGTATTGGCAAATGAGGAACATCTCGCGTTGATTTCTTTTTTCCTTCGACGACGACGACGACGACCATGAATCGCATTCAAATCGAAATCGAACAATGCCGGCCGGAACACAATAGGCGGGTCGCAATCATATACAAATACGGCAAAATTCAACAGGTTGTCGAGAAGAAATGTGAAGAAGCGAGAGGGCCAAGTTTTAATACTTTAATAGTTGTAGTAGTCGAATAAGACGGTAAGGGGGGGAGGGCGATCGGATCACCACTCCGAGGAGGTCATCGAATGTTTACACGGCTGGTGAGGAATGGCTTCGGGGGGGGGGGAGGGGACAAAAATTTATATATGATATATCACAGAGTTTTTTTTGTTCTTGCCTCATTCCGCTTCCTTCCTTCCCGTGTTGTGGTGCTCTTTACACATACACACACACTCTCTCTCTCTCTCGCTCCCTCTCAGGAAACGCTTGAGACAACTTTTGTTTCTTCCATTTCATTTTTGTGTCTTCCCTCCCGATTGGTGCCGCCTCGCTGGGCCACAGACGCTTCAAGAGGTTGGACGCGTCGCTGATCAAAATATCAAACAGTCGCCGACGGTTGAGTGCAACACACAGGTTGGTGGATACGGTCGAGGTGAGCGCGGGCCTCTTGGCACTCTGCGTCTAAGCAGGTGGAAAAAAATGTCAGGTGGCGATTCGAGGTAATTAGCTTTTCCTCGATCATGGGACGACGTATCGGGGGACCCTCTGGAATGGGACCTTCACAAGATCCCAACATCGATATCACAATATATTTTGTCATCCTTCTTCTTTTTTTCTGGCATCGCAATTAGAATTCGATTCGGCCAAATCACAAAATCCGTCAAAATCGCGACATTCGATTTTCACACCACATTTATTTTCCTCTTTTTTTGTCGAATTTTGATTATTTCATAATCACGATCTCGAGACAAATGAGCATCGACTAGTTTCGTTTTTCGTCTTCTCGTGAACAAACCCCGCGTCGAGAGGCGGCAAACACGCTCTAATGCACTGTCTCTTTTGTATTGATGCTCAATTTCGCGTCAGACGAACAAAAAATGGGCGGCGGCGTCAAAATTTAAATTTTGTCAAATTTCCATCGCATTTTTGATTCAAATATGGCAATCGCAAAAAAAAAATCGAGCGCCATTTGAAGCGCAAGAGTACGATTACAACAGTTGGGGGTGATGAAATGGAAAAAGAAAAAGAAAATTGAATAGAAAATAATTACAGAAAATCATGAAAATAAATTTTTTTCAAATCGTCGCAAGGCGTCGCGGTTTCGCCAAGTGCGATAGGGCATGCTTGCTGCGAAATGAGTTTCCCTCGATGATAAAATCGCTGGCGTCTGATGACTTCTGTACGCAAATTCGAGGAAATACCAAACCCGTCAGGAAAAAAAAACAAAGAATCGAAGAAACACGCGTGTACGCGTGGCGAGACCAAAAGATTTTTGAATTGGCGCCTCGAAAAACATTTGATGGTCCGGTCGGCAAACAACTCGAGTACTCGTAATTTTACATAATGAATCCTTTGAGTACACGTGGATAAGCATAATTTTTTTAAAATTCAACAGAAACAAATCGACAGGCAAAAAGAATTCCAAAAAAATATGCGGGTGACCGCACGCGAACCGCAACGCGTCTGACACCATTGAATTATTACGGTAAACACAACGCGTTTTGGGAAAGAGACTACAAACATGACATTCCCACGGATTGAAATTAAATTTTGAATTGCCGCCTCGAGAAAACGGCGATGGTCCACAATTGTTCAATGCGCTCGTTTATTTTTGCGATAGTAATAATTCGTCAAAAGCAAATTGTTCGGTAGAGCGCATTTGACGTCATTGATATTCAATTCCAAAAAAAAGATGAAACCAACCTTTATAAATATAGTTCTTCGAAATTGGCGATTGGAGAGAGAAGAAAAACAAACGGCACGCGAAGCAGCTGACAAGTTTATGCAAATTCGGTGGACGTCTTCGAATAGAAGAGAGAGGGAGAGAGGGAGAGAGAGAGGGTGTGACAATTCTCTCACAAATCGTCGGCCATCATTCGATTGTTCGTAGTTTTGATTTTTTTTAGTAGCAATGCGAAGAGGACGCCTGAAATTATAGGAAATCACAATATCGAAGATTGTCGGCGGCTGCTGAAAATTGGCTAAACGCCAAACTCGTAGGTTTACGGGCGGCGCCAATGTATAAGAATAGGTTAAAGGCGCATCGACTCCTCCGACATTTTAAATTTTTGGCATCTAGCCAATTTTTGGCGACTTGAGTGGAATGATCTCGACGATCGTGTACATATGGTTAAGATCAAAACGGCGCAAGAGGGGAAAAATAAAATTGAAGACGAATATGAGCTGCGAAATGCAGGCGAGTGAAATGAATGAGAAAATTGTTTCTATTCAAATGAATGAATGAATAAAAAAAAAGATGAAACACATACAAATTATTAGATTACCACGCGCGCTTTTTTTTCTTCTTGTTGTTGACGATTTTTTATAGACGAATGCACAGAGACTCGTTGTGGAAAAAAAAGCGTTTGGACGTCTGAATTCGAGCAGCTTAAATCAATGGGTCTTGGGACGATGTCAATTTGAGCGTATCGAAAAGGTTGGGGCAGTTCAATTTTTTTAAAATTTTCCTCCAATAAAAAAAATTCTACAAAAACCTGGCATATGTGAATTTATTAAAAATTTTTAAAAACCTGGTGCAATTTTGCGTGCGTGTGAATGCACACTTTTAAGGACCGCGCGTTTTCGAAATTATTCCTCAAAATTTATTTTTTCAGATTTCCTTTAAAGAAAACTTTCAACTACTTTTTATATTAAGGGAGGATGCTCCTTTAAATGAGGTCGTATAACGAGACATTATTTCGAGATATATCTATAATAGGTTTTCAAAAAAAAGATTTTTTGGGTAAAATATATGTACGGGGTACAATTTTGTCAGAACCTGATTTAAAGGAGCACACACATATTTTTTAAAAACATTTTCATTTTTATAAATTAAATTAAAATAAAACAATTGAAAAAATCGAAATGAGATTGGACGATTTTAAAATTGAATGCAAAATCGAAATCCAGCTTTTCCGGGTTGTACGGAGAGGAATCAACGGACCCTCATGAAAATACGCACCTATAGGTTTTCAATGGTCCTGATTTCGAAAATGCAAATGTCTTGTCATCAAAATGTATGAATTTCTCAAAATTGCCAAATTTGGGGGGGATGGCGTAAAGCGCACTAAATATGGAGCATTGAAGAAGAAAAAAATGAAGGCGAAGCCGCCAATTTCGTTTTGAATTAGCGTCAAACGTGGCATTTTTTTGGTTTTAAGGTGCCTATTATGACACCTAACCGTTTTTTTTTCTTCAAGCAAATCACAAATCATCACCAATTCCCAAGAAATCCTATTTCGCGTCGAGACCAGTGCGGGGTGGGGGAAATTGCTTTTCCAAAAAAAAAAGTTCGCGAAATTTCAAATGACCAAACACCCCCCAAAAAAGAATTAGCAAAATCCTATCCAAAATTTTGAAATTATTCATCGCTGCTTAACACGTTCAGAATTTTCGCCATGCACCTTTAAACACCTACAGTAATCGTTGCTTGAAATAGCGTTTTTTGGGGAATTTTTCAAAAAGTTTCAAATTCAAAAAAAAAAACAAATTTTTTCAGAATGTCGAAGAAGATTGGGTGAAAACAACAAGTGATGTTACACGCCGCCCGAGAGTGACGTACGATAATCAACTATAATTAGGCAATTATATGTTAGAGGAGGAGGAGGAGGAGGGTGGGGCGGGGGGGGGGTTTGAAGGGCGACAAAGAAATAATACGTAGGGAATAAAATAAAACAAGGAGATTCTTGAAAGGTGGATAGACTTTTGAGAGGATGAAGCTAGAGATTAAGCCGGCGATTTTTTAGATGTTCTAGAAGGAATGACGTGGAAAAGCTCAAAATGAAAAAAAATTGGGCGGCTCATCGCGGCGAGACCCAACCAACAACAAGAGAGCTTCTTAATTGAATTTATGCTAATTGGCCAATTTGATGAAGATTTATGGCGAATTGGAAATTGAGAAGAACAGGCGTGATGTGTGTACACACGCGCGCAAAATTGCACACATTTCTTTTCTAGACAATTCGCAAAACTAAAATTGCTTTAAAGACGCATGAGACAATCGTGTGCGTAGGCGAACAAAAAAAACTATTATTCTGCTCCCATATTTGGATGAACACACATAATTAAATGAAAAAAGAAGTGAGACACGAAAAAGAAAAAAAAAAGAAATATCCGACATTTTTTTTCGATAGGCTACAAGCGGAAAAAAACACACATTGAGAGTTCCACATTCAATTTTTTTCGCTTTCATTTTTTTTCTCTCGGCCGGCTACTACACCATATGAGGGCTGAGAAGAATTGGTCATGCATTACGACGTGACAATGAATTTGGAATGACACCGATGAAATTGACGAGCATTTTTGAGAGCACAATCATTTGGGTAGTTGGGGGGGGGGAGGTGATCATCGACATTCTTTCAAGCTCATCAGCGTTGTTGTTGTTGGAAGTCATGCGCCTTTAAAGGAGGTCTTGTGATTGCTAATTGCCTTCAAAGTTTTGACTATGAGTTTCAACGCTCATTTTTTTTGCTTCAAATCTTAAAGGCGCATGACAATTTTTGGAATTCGAGATTTCAAAAATATGCCAACTAATAAAAATTAAAGGAGCGTTGCATATTATTATTATTTTTATGTACAATCAAGAAGCACTTCCACATTTGGAAACGAGTCATAAGAAGCTTCTGTTAAGCCCCGCTGTCAGTCATTTAAAGTCTGCTTCTCAAAAAAACGCGACTACGCAAGACCCAGCAAATTTTTCACCTTATGATCCTTTAACCAATTATTTCATTTCGCGTTTCTACACAATTTCATTAAAATTTAAAAAAAAATTGAATTTTATAACATTTTTAATCGAAAACTGGTCATAAAAGCGCAGGGGGAGTTTCAAATTCGAAAAATAATTTTTTTTTGGATACGGTATTCAAAGGCGCACGCAGTTTTCTGGAATTGGGTCTTCAAGCCGATTTTTTTTCATCGACAGACTATATGTATAACAAAATGCTATTGTTTTCGGGACACATAAACAACAGGCATTTTTCTTTTTGTATTGAAGGGACCATTTTAAACGCGAACATTTTTTTTTGAAAAAAGAAGAAATTTCACAAAGCCCTCTCTCTTATTCTTCTCAATGGTCCGATAACAATATTGATTTATGTTGCTGAACGATTAAATCCCAAAAATCTAAAAAAAAAAAATGGAGTTTTCCGGTTGTTTGGGAGCTCGAATTTCAAATTATCTCTAATGGCTAATTCAAATCGGAAAATGCCATTAACTTTATGATATACTAAACTAAATTTATAGTTTTGCTCAGAAAAACGACAATAAAAACCATGCAAGCAATTCCATAAATGGAAACGAAGGAAAATGAAAAGTAAAATAGAGGAAGGAAATTTTTTATAAAGCTGAAACCTCGTGAATTACTCAATTAATTTTTAAAAGCAATATCGCTAAAAATTATCAATTGTGTGCAATTTCGCGTGCGTGTGTAGGCACAACTTTACGAAGCACCAAATTTTTCGGGAATTGTTCTTTAAAGGTACATATCGTGGCTGATAGTCTCACGGGGGAAATTTAAAGGCGCATATTATATTTGCTAGAAGATGAGAACGAAAACAAGAAATTCATAATGTCGCACGCGCATCGTGAAATCGGAGCATCCCAAGAGAAATGCGAAGCGTCGATGCGAGAAAAGAAAAGTTGGAGAATCAAAATAAAATGGTTGGATTAAATCAAACACCAAAACAAAAATAAAAAAGTTGAACATGCGAAATAATGAAAAATTCATTATTATCTAAATTCTGACCACCACCTTCGTTGTTGTTTTTTTTTTTGAATTCCGCGACGCCCAAAAATTCAGAAAAATGTCTTGAAGACGCGAAAAACTTATGTATTTACGCCTCATCAATTTTACGACGTCGAAATAATTAGGCGGTGTGTTGCCGTCGGAAATTCGATAGCCAACAAAATTCATATTCATTACTATTATGAAATTATATGAAAAGACTAATCCCGTTAATGCAAATCCCGCATTAAACTAAATATTTTTTATTATTTGGCTCGTCAAAATCCCAGTCATGCTCCATTAAAGAAATAGATATGCATTGGCAAATTTTAGCAAAATCAAAATTGGCTTAAAATAGTTGCAAAAAGTAGTGTCCATAGACACCAGGGCAATCTGGAAAATCGCCAAATATAAATATTTCGACTATTAAATTTATTTTAATTTTCACGGGTATCCCAAATTATTCAATGAACATTCCTTTTTTGTATCGCAATTTTTTTTGCCGACATCAAATTTGCAAAAATAAAAGTTTAGGCAATTCCATTTCCGTACAGCCGTGGTTCACACTCACGCAAAATTGCACACATTCGAAAATTTTAAATGAGTTTATTTTTCTATTGAATCTGTACCGATTTTTAAAACGTTTCAATTCGCGCGTAATCTTGATTTGTATAAAAAAAGCTTTGTTGGAAAATTTAAAAAATATCACAGGCAAATTCGCACCAAATTTATTTAAACCAAATCCTTCATTTTAAAAATTTTTTCTTTAATTTTTAAAATCTCAAATATCAAAAAATCAAGATGAAATTCGAAAAAATAAAATAAAATTGCTAGAAAATTCAAAAATTGGGACATGTCGGCAAACACCGGAAAATTCAAAGAATTTGGAATAAATAGGCATGCGCCTTTGATGTATACTGTAGTTTTGCCCAACATTATTATATGGAATAATTAGGGACTCCAGAATCATTTCCGGAGAACAGTCAGGAAACTCAAGTAAGCGGGTAAAAGTAATCTCGTGCTGCGGACAATTCTCCAAAAGAACGTGAAATCTTCGATGATTTAAAGGGAGGATGAAACAAAAGCAAAGCGAAACAAAAAATAAATAAATGTGAAGCCCACTTTTTCGTTGCCCATCAATATTGATTGGTTTTCTTTTTTTTTCTTCGCTAAAGAATTTTCAAGAAGCTGAACAATGACACTTTTGCCGAATTAAATAAACGCGACGGCGCCTCTGTCTCTCGCTCGCTTTCTTTCGGCTCGTCTGATGGGGTTGGGGGGCGGGGGACTCATCTGACGAACTTTTCCCTTCAAATTACCATAATTATGGCGGTTGCGGAGCAGATGAAGACGCGAGTTTGATGGAAAAAAAGAAGAAGAAGGCACACTCGCGGTTTTGTTTTGCACGAACTTCTCGCGAAAATCGCGAGAGGAAATTAATTATGTTTACTGAAAAATCTTCTCGAGACCTCACGGTTAGTAACGCTGCCTTTTTTTTTTAAACTCATTTTCGCCGCAGGCTTGAATGTGGTCTCGGCACGAGAAAAAAACAGATATAGAAGATGAATTATTTCTAAAGACTTATGCGACACTTTTTGGTACAAATAGGAGCAACAAACTCTCACTCGCTAAATTGAGGGCGATGTGTTAATGGAGTGTCGTATTGGTAAGAAAAAAAACAGATACTTTTTCAATTACGCGCCAATTTTCAATTTCTCAGCAAAAGTTTAAGCGGAAATTTCATGCATTGTGAAATTTTACCAAAAACCAAATATTCACTAAAAACAATAATTATTCTTTAAAGGTACATACCGTGGTCTCGCAAGAAAAATCGCTGGCATATTCATGCCTCGAAGAGATAATCTCATTCTCAATATCTTTAAATCAACCAATCACGCCGAATTTTTGCGCGACCCTTTTATTTCTCAATTATTTTTCGTTGGAAATGCCCAGAAGATCTCATAATATTGGTTCAAAAAATAACTCATATCTGTAAGCGATTCTCGAAAGCAAAAATGTCGAGTTTGGAACAGATCGATGACGGAATCACATCCGGCCACCGGCATTTATCCGTCGAGTTGCGATGTGAAGAAGTGCACGTGCCATTATGATTCGGATTGTTCGACGACGTCTATTGAAAGGTTTCAAACTTCATCATGCGCATGGAGTCTTGATTCGATGCTTCAGCGCTTCTGACATTGCCTTCAAGCCTGTTGAATTGGTTCTACCCAGTGACAATTCATCCTGGACAACTCACTCGCAAAAGTTGGCTCGATTCCAGAATTGAATTCGAATTTTAGAAGATTTGCAGCTCGACTAGAACACGAGTAAGTGGATGTCGAAGTCGAACAAATTTCGATGAGCATGAGCATCTACTCATTTCCAAGTGCGTCAATCGCCATTTTGCGCCATCAATCGGTTCATCGACAACTAAAACGTGATAAATCATTGGACGCAAATCGATTCTTCAAATTTGATTTTTCATGTTAGCTACGACTCGTGCGAAACGAATTCGACATTCGGCGAAAGCTATGGAGAAACTCGACGCCTCGAAAGCATTGGCAACATTTTCTCGTCGATTTTCAATTTTTTCAAAAACAATCCGGTAATCAAAATAATTGAGAGATTTGCAAAAATTGGGCATACATGTATATATCAGACCACTTCGAAATATATTTTGATCGGATTATTCTTCTATGCGGCGTTCTGCAGTTTGGAGATCATTTTGCCGAGACTCGCCTCATTCGCCGTCCGTCTAATGTACCCATGGGCTCGATACACCGCCGTCGTTTTCGAGCAGATCTTTTCGACGATTTCCAATTTATTCAATCGACTCGATGGCCTTTTATATGTAATTTTGCAATCTGAAAGCAAATATTGAAATTTGGCGATAATTTATAGGCAACTTATTGTGAATTTGCCGCCAAGTATTGTCGAAATCATCACTTGATGTGCGATGTCCGCTGCTCATTCGTCGATCATGTGCTTTCGCAAGCTCGACCTCATCTTACTCAAGCACCGCAACAATAAACGTTTTCTTTTCTCTCTGAAATCTGAGACAATTATATATAATTTGAAAAAAATAAACATTACTTGAAAAAAAAGAAAATTCCACCGATGATTTTCGAATTTTGAAAGTGTCAGTGCAAACACTCGACGCACAAATGCAGATGGCCACGAAAAATCTCTGGAGAGAATTTCCCGAGAATTCCCTAAACTACCCATAAGCAAAAATTCTCGAAACTCCCGAAAGCACCGAAAAATTTTCGAAGTTACTAGTGTCGGTGGGTAGTCGCGCGTACGGGAATCGAGAGTCTCGAGACTCTCTCGGGAATATTTTCGAGACGCCCGCGGGAATTCTCGGTAGTCGCGAGACTTTCTTGAGAATTTTTTTTTCCGAGAGCACACACTGGTAAGAACGGCACCGATCGGAAAAAAATGCGGACAAAAAATTCTAGACCAACGATTTCCTGTTAGTCGGGGGCACTCGGCGCGGCTCGTCGAGCATCGACACCGCGCCGCCAACGACACCAACCAAATTGGCGCCAAAATTGCTTTTTGGCTAAAAAAAAGGACAAACGATGACGGTGTTGAATTGCTCATAAAATTTTTGTTTCATATATTATTTTTATTTCACTAAAATTTTATTGAAAAAGTTTTTTTATTGAAGCCAACCTATTCTCTACGACGACGACAGTTTTGTCAGAATCTCTTCCATGAGTTGTATCGCCAAACACTGCAACTAACACGAATAACTTTTTTTGGCGTGGAGCCGATCGTACCCAATTTTCAGCTTCCGCTTCGCAAACCACTTCATTCACGATCTGTCGCTTGACGTTCTTAATAAACTCCAGAATCTGATAGTCGACACCCGAGCAATTCGATTTGCAATGAAGAAGAGCGTCGCTTTTTACGAATCGGACTATGATTGTTCATCAAATATATTCCCATTGGCAAAAAATAGAGGATTTTGTTTATTTATTCGAACTGTTTCGTGAAAATTTTGGAATTTCGAACAAAAAAATAGGAAGCAATTGGGAAATTTCGACAAAAAAAAGCTCTTTAGATATGTTAGAGTGCTCTCGATACTGATGACGCTATGGTCCGATCACGACTCTGAAAATTCACTTTAAAAGACTAAATGGCTGGCCTTAAAGAGTGTCATTGGAATTCGACGCATTTGAGTTGTCTCTGAATACTTCTTGCGATTTGCCAAGGTCGCTGAGAAGCCGCCCGGTTGAGGATGAATATCCCCGCCCTGCGTGTGACAGTGTGTCGATTAGCCTGACTCGACATCTCCCAGAATGAGTGTCGAGTCAGTTGATCTCCTTCGCCACGTAGAGGCTCGACACTTGAAGGAGAGGCTCACCAGCATCAGGCCGAAACCTGATGTGGGTCATCGCCGATCCCACCATGGGGATCACCCAAGGACATCCCACAACTATCATCCGAGGATAATAGAAGTAGAAGTGGTTGGGCAAGCGACGTCTGGCTGGGCCCCGGGTCTACTGGTGATATGGTAATGTGGTTTTTGTGTTCTCAGCACAGCAGCTTACTACTTAGTAGTAGCAAGCCACTACAAAGTAGCAAGCTACTATGCCAAGAAGCACGGTCCATGTGCACCCGAAAGGCTGGACATATTGACATAGCTGGCCAATCCACGTCAATATAGGTCTGGACCAGATGCCATCCTGACTAGTATGGAGGACACCCGGTGAAGCAAAGTTCTAAAGCATAACCATCCATAACGCCCACCAAGCACTCGAGAGTACTTGAAACGGGGGCGTTTGGGTAGGGTTCGATTCCGGGCTACGGAATCAGGGCTGAAGGGCTTGCCAGGCCAATCACCCGAATTTAGGATACAGCGGTTAAGCCGCCATCCAGCCAACGCCTCGGGAAATGGCCGACTACGGCCCTAATATAGCCGACTACGGCGGATTAGATAGAAGAGGGACCTTAGTATGGCTAATGCTTAATGATGGGGGTAAACTTAGCTGTGGTGGTGAATCTATTCACCAGCAGGGTCCTTCCATCGGCGGCGGCGGCGACGATACCTAAACACCTAAAAACCTAAAAATAATAATACAATACGGAAGGGGGGAAGCCAGTCATTAGTGGAATGACTGGCATGGCCGTAAGTGGTACGACTTTCCCCCCAAAAAAAAATAAGAGATGGTTGGTCCCAAACGGTAGGACTGAGAGAGAGAGAGAGAATCCCAAGTGGTGGGATATAGAGGAAGAAGGGCCGCAAGTGGTACGGCAGGAGAATCAGTCGACTGATAGAGAAAAGAGGACAGTCGCAAGTGGTACGACTGGTGGCAGAAAGGGGGAAGGGAAGGGGAAGCCGGCTTTCCCCTGAAAAGAAGAAGAGATGGTCCCAAACGGTAGGACCGGGGAAGAAGTACAGACGTAAGTGGTACGAATGTACGTAGGGTAGAGAGGGAATCCCAAGTGGTGGGATATAGAAGGGGACAGTCGTAAGTGGTACGACTGGTGCAAGTGAAAAATAGTAAAAATAATAATTTTAAAAAAGCTTGGACCTGAACAAAAATTACCAAATATCCGACGATTTTGCTCCTTCCTCGTCGCTTCTTCGAACCGTCGTCTCCGATTAGATCCATTCGAATCAAGACGCCTGAAATGATCCGAGTTATTCTGATAGACTGTGACTCCTTCTTTACCTTTCGAATCCGCTTCCTCTTTCGCCATTCCCCATTCTTGCTCATCTTCACGTGTTATGCCTACTCATGAATATGGGTTTAACGTCATCCTGGACGACACTGCAGTAGGGTTAGTACTGGCTGACCGAGTCGCACCAGTCGAGAATCCCCGACACTTTCGTCATAGCACATCGGAAGAGCTCAAATGAGCAACGACTGTGGCTCTCATCGGATCTGCAATACGAGGAATTGAGAAAAAGGATTGCAATCAATGTGACATACCGTATGGACCGTTGGCCATGACAAGCCCGCCAGGATATGCGAGGCACGCGGAGCCCGCCAGGATATGCGAGGCACGCGGAGCCCGCAGGTTATGCGGGGGCACGTGGAGCTCGCACGTTTTGCCGGGGCACGTGGAGCCCACAGGTTATGCGGGGCACGCGGAGCCCGCAAGATAGGCGGGCTTCCCGCAACTCGAGGAGCTGCGAGAACTGACGAAATTGCGCATCCGCCGGCCTTTTATAGTGCCACTGGGCGTCGGTGCACAACTTGCAATAGAGCGCATTTGTAGACAAGAACAGTAAATTGACTCTGACTCTCCTATGTTGGCACACTCTTTCCTATCAGACGCGCTTTCCCGATCGACGCTGCAGTGCTGTAGAGCGCGCTTGCCTCAAGAAACAAACAATCGCTGGGCGGGGTTTGGATTGTTGCTTAGGCTACAATGTAGCATTTTGGCGTGTAAGAATAACCGATTATTAAGTTTTTCAATTAATTGACTCCTCCTTGAATTCAATTCCTGGAAACAGGTTTTGAAGAAGATTCGCTGCAATCCATGGTCTGAGATTTTCTTTTTTCGTTGCTGAATTCTTCTAAACTTGCAGCATGAGCTTCAGAATTCACATTATCATAAAACAGCGTAGACGGTAACTATAGAGTAGTAGCTCTGGTAACCTAAAAAAAAAAACCAATTTCGGCTCCGGAATCAACCGATTGAAAATTTGTAAAATTGTCGGATCCGTTTTTTTTTCATTACGAATCGGATTCGACAAATTGATGACTAATTAATTGGCTTAGTTGATTTTCTCGCACATTCACAATATATTCGAAAAATTCAAAAAACTACTAATTTCTGTTATTTTTGTACAAGCATTGAAATTATAAATTGAAATTATCGCTATCAACTCCCCCATTTTTATTAATTTCCAATTCTCAATTTCAAAATTGTTAAGATGGTTTCCATTGATTATAATTTTGAGTATCGGCAAAAAATATCTCTGCGTCGATCTTGAAACTTTTCCAAAAAGCTTATTGATTGGGGGAGTCCGAATTTTTGAAAATTTCAAAAATTGGATAATTTCCATTGAATCGTGATGATCCTGCTCGTCACAATTATTCAACTCTTGCATTAATTTTTTTTCACTTTTCAGCATTCTCATTCTTTATTTGGCTGATTCTTTAATGTAAACCGTTTTTTTTTTTAAGTTTAAAACGTCAAAACTCTTCGAGAGAGGGGTCCGTTTAATCAAAATTTTTCTGGGTCTCACGACGAATCACAAATTTTTTGTGCGATATGAAGACGATATTGAAGCGCGTTCATCGGCGATCGGCTCATGGGCCTCGACACGACCGCCCCCGGCTGGTAGTCGGACTCGCTGTCACTTGACGAGTCCAAGCACTGCATAGCCTAAAAATCGTGTCAATGACAAATTGAGCGCTTTGGATCTCGCATCGAAATCGAGATTCGGAAGTCGGCAGCACTCGGCACCTCGCTCAACTCTTCAGCATTCAAGCTTTTCCCTGTTAGAAGCTTCTCCAGCAAAAAAGCTCTTGTTCAACATCGGTGTTTGGCGGCTTCGGTGGCTCTTTGCTCGCCATTTTCATTCGTCTCGCCGAAAAAATACGTTTTTTTTTTGAAATTTTTATTTTTGGCTTAATTTCAATTAAGATTCGGTAAGATTTCGAGCGGCTTCTTGCAACGAAAGCTCGCGCTCCTTCTCGCCAAGATTTGAAACTCGGGTGATGAATCTAGCTAAAGACGAATATCCGGAATTATCGTCGGGTCTCCACTCTATTTTTCTTTTTATTTTTTTTTTTATTTTTTATGGAATCGTTTCCATTACTCATCGACTCCTGAATTGGGGCTTAATTTTAGCTCTCTTATTTATTTACCTAATCGGCTGTCGCTGATTTTTACACTTTCATCGAGCTCGCAAATCCATTTTCGATTCGTTAACTTGATTGTGCAATCATTGGAACAAATAAAAATGGGCTGCGAAATTGTGGCGATTGAGTGGGCGGCGAGTCACATTTTTCATTGCGATTTCAATCTTTCGCTTGAAAAATTTCGAGATGTGTTGTTGAATTCTCGTTTTAAGGATATTGCTAATTGAAAATTAATATTAAAAAGTAAGCTTTTGCTAGAAAAAAAGATTTCTTCGTTTTCTTCACAGTTTACATTTTTTTTTTCGCAGTCGACAAAACGTGCGAATTTAAATATTAAATAGACCGCAATCACCGAAACGAAAAAATGCACATTTTTCAGAACCGTAATAAGAATAACTTATTCGTAATATGAGCATTATTCTCTTGTTTAATTAATTAATTAAATTGCAATTAAGGATAAAATTTGATTGATTAACTCGAGAGAATTATTCTGCTGCCGACAAGATCAATCATACAAAACTAAAAAACGAGACCAAAAACTATTTTTATTTTTTGAATTGATGCATGATTTCCATCCGTTTCCAGGTAGTATCCCGAAAAAAAAATGAAATTAGTTGACGCCAAAGGAACTATTATTATTACGCGATTTTACGAGCACTCATAATGCGATTTCGTGTGCGTTATTCGCGATTCGGCTTCCAGCATGTCGACAAATCTCAACATTGAGAATACGACGATTCAATGCCATCCGCCTAGCGATCAATTATTCTCATTGGTAGCGATTTATATAGTTCAAGGTGACCGCGAAGCATGTCCGCAGATGAGAATCAATTTCAGGTGTCTACGGATTCCTATCGATAGCGGTTTATTGTCTCAACATTCGCGCGTTGTATCGCCAACGGAATTATCATGACAAGACATTTCGACTCCTCTACACCTACTGTGCAGCATTTGTATCAAATTCAAGTCAATTTCAGCGTTATAAATTCGGATTGTGTTCAGAGTATCACATATTTCCTCGATCACTATTTGATACGAAGATTCGTGAAGCTCGGCTTCTTCTGCGAGGAAATCTTATATCTATTCTCCGAGCCTAATTATATTCTCAATCCTTACAAAAAATTGGCGTCATATTGCCCATTAGCGATTCTAGTATTCCACACGTTCATTGCGGTCCATCGATTCTCGATTGTGTTCCGACCGACGAAGGCCTTGCAGTTATATGAGATGAATCTGTATCAATGAGTGGGGCTGAGGTGAAATGGAACGGATGTCAAGAAATTTTCCCAAAATCCCTTTTTTTTTTCTTTTTTAATTATTCAAACTTTCCAAAAATGGCCATATAAGAAGATTTTAGAAAAGTCAATTTTAAAAATTTCAAAATCTATTATCGGTTCCAAATGATTGATCGGAATTTGAAACAAAAAAAAATTGCTGAAGCATCATGGTGTCTCGAGGCGAAGAGAATTGAGCGAAACTGCTTTTAATGTTCAGTCATCGCTGAATTCACAAAATTCGCCGATTTTCACTGATTTTTGAGTTCCCGCCATCAATTTGTCGTTTGAAACCGACAATAGAGGTATAGAAATTCCAACTGTTTCAATTCAAATTTGAATTGCCGCTTCGAAAAAGTGCGATGGTCCACATTTACATAAGGTGCTCAATATGTATACTGGTAATAGTTGGATTTTTCGCGGATTTTCTTCGAAATCGGCTTGAGACGTCCAATTCTTTAATATCGTCCAAAAGTGATAATTTTGCATTTGGCTGAATTGAATGAAAAAAATTGCGTTTGGAATTTTTCTAAATTATAAACATCTGCGGACATTCTACGAGGTTTCCACTAGTCCATTTTCATGTGAAATTAACGATCGAACAAGGGACCATCATATTATTCAAAATTCTGAGAATTTTGGATATTTTTAGATTTTTAAAGGTTGCTGTAGGTTTTTGAAACTTGATTGAATTTGCTTGACAAGAAAAAGACCCCCCCCACATCCTTATTTAATTTTGCTCTCATGATTTTCTTTATGCACATTATGAGCATTTAATAAAATTTGTCTCGTTGCAATTGTCGGAAAATTGGCCTACTCGTTCTCAAAATCGTATTATTTATGTTGTTTATTCTCAGTTCTGGGAGAAGAGCCTCAATGGAATTGTGATCATCGGTGTATCAATCCCACTGATATTCATGTGGTTCATGGTCCCAACGAGAAGCTACGCGAAACTCGACAAAGAATCCGACGGCGGTTTGGATATTGAGTATAAAAAAGTGTTCAATGTATAGAAATACAAAAATTAAAATTGGGATAATTCGAGTTTCAGTTCAGATCAGCTCATCGCTGTTCGCGTGCATCGCCGCCGTCATATTCGGCATGATCACGCTGATATGCACAATTTTGATGATTCTCTACCTGCTGAAATCGAATGTGAGAAAGTTGCGACTCAACGAAATTCGCATGATTATCTTCGAAATTTTTATGGCTATTTTCACTTTTATTTATGCATTTGTGCAGGTTTCGAAAAGAGACGAAAAAATTCGAGTTTGATGAGTTTTCTAGGGTTTCCTTTATTATTCAATTCATATGGTCAAAGATTTAGCTCTCAAAGCGGTAATTATTCAATTTCGAACATTCGCCATTGATATTTTCATTTTGCCACAAGCATGGACGTTGCTCATTTTGAGCCCTATGGTATAATTTTCTTTTTTTTCTGGGCGAAAAACAGCGGTGCTCCTGTTAGTAAAAATTCTCAATAGAGCGCACTTGCACCATGTGCAATTTTTTTTCTTTTCTCAATTCTAAAAGCCGTCATATCGATCCACGTGGCATATTCATCCAAAATAAAGCTAAAATAGACCTATTAGTTGATTTCTAAAAAAAAGAACATTCAGAAAAAAATTGACGCGTTGCGGTTCGCGTGCGGTCACATGACTCTTTTTTTTTATTTTAAAGATTTTTTTTCACTCACTCAGGCAAATCAAATAAAATATTTTGAGAATCAAATATTCAATAATAAACTCTAAAATCATTTGAGAAATTCTAAAGTTGATTGATACTTTGTAAAACTTATTGAGAATCGCAAAAATTTTTTTTTCTATCTTATAAGATTTTCTAAAATTTATTGAGCAAATTCGAAATTATCTCAATAAATTCTAAAATCTTATAATAATTGATTCAGGAAAAAAATGTATATATAAATATTATAGAGACACGTTAGTTTCTCAATGAATCTCAAAATATTTTATTCGATTTTCCTCATTTCAATCACATCTAAAAATTGTAACAATGATAACTGGAATCAATTTATGCTGGAATTGAGCTCAAATTTTGAAATGCGTTTTTTTTTGCGAAATCTTATGACCGCGTTTTTTCCAGACCGATTTTCCATAGAATTTCAATTTTTTTTTCAGATTCGCTCATACACGTTCAAATTCATGTCAAACAAATCTTCTAGCCTCCACCATCCAAGCAACATTGAGAACAGTCACAGCGGAAAATCTACTATCTCTCGGCCAACAACTGTTGTTTAACGGGATGCCTTAAAAGCTCAATAAATCGGTTCTTTTTCAAATGTTGTTCTTCAAGTTTGTAATTCTGAAATATAGTGGAATTTTTGACCATTTTCAAGAATTTTGTCATTCACTTTTTGAGAGTTGAAATTCGTTGCTGTAATTGCACGTTTTCCCTAATACGATATTTCCATGGGGGGGGATTTGAACTAGCGAAATGGTCCGCAAACAACCGGGATGATAATCTAGTCCGGAAAATTGTTATATCAGCTATTAAGCTTGAAAAATCCTCCGCTACAATTTAAAGGCGCATTAGATTGCACCTTTCGATGACTAAAAAAATCAATCCAAAATTCTAGCCAGTTCGAAATTGGCAATTCGCCAAACACGCTCCGCCCCTCAAAATAACAAGAAGGCATCAATTTTGTCACATTTGGGCTAGTAAAATTGGTGATGACGTTGGGAGTCCCAATAAGGAGTCCCAACTTGGGACCCAACTTCAATCCATATAAGAGAACAGTAGACTTTCAGTATAAAAAAGTGTTTCAGGTAAAAAATGCAATATCCTATAAGGATTCTAATGAATTTAATATTTTGTTGAAGCCTAAACTCTTCTTGGCATTCAACAACTGTGGCTATTTTTCTTCGGCTTCATCCCTCTAATAGCAATTCTACTAATTATGCTTTGAAATGGAAATTGGGCAAGTTGAATATATCTGATTATCATATGATTTTATTAGAGACTATAATGACAATTGGCACATTTGTTTACACATTTGTTCAGATTCGCCGAAATTCAGCAATTGTGCTGAAACTAGACTAGTTTCAGTGTATGTTTCGACTCTTCGGAAAATTTCTGTTGATGGTTGAATCGTGCAGCGGAAAATTGGAATTGTCGAGCAGCTTAAAATCAATTTCATACGTCCCATTTTGAATCATCACAAAAAAAAACGTTTTTTTAGAAACCCCATCAAGCCGACGCCGCCGCTTAATTTCCGCCACCACGGTAATTCCACTTCTCCGCCACCGCCACCACCGCCGCCCACTTCATTTTCGGTCTCGAAATTGAGTGGCGCTAAACACGGATTACCCCCTTAATTGCCGCCTATACGATAGTTCTGTTTGTTATCGCCCAATGGTGTCATTTTTTTTCTAGCTGTTTCCATTCTTCTTGAGCGTCATTCCGATTTGTTTATAACCTGATCGGCTCTCCATAAAACCGATAAATGCTATTACCAATTTGGGCGCAAAAAAATATGAAATGTTTCGATACTCACGTGTGATTGCAAAGGTTCCGCAAAGTCCACATTAACATTATTTAATTGTTGACTTTATTATTGGTTCTACGGTGATTTTTTTTCTGAAACATATTCCTTGCTCACCAAAATTTGATCCAGTCATGACTTTCTACATTTTTGCGGATTTTCCAAATTTTTTTCCTTTGATACTTTCAAAATTCTTACCAATTTTGACCCCTTGCGTCGATTCATTCGGGCGGCCGCCAAACGCCCGCGGCCGCGAATTATCCGGCCATGCCCCATTTCACGCCATTATTTCAAATTTTTTTATTTATTATATGAATTTTTATAGGTTTTTTTTTTTAGAATATTTCGCCGATTTCTATTAAAAAAACATTGAATATGTGCAAAATGATTAAACAAATTGATGAAATCAAGAAAATTGCGAGAATTTTGTTGCAGACCGATGAATTTGAAGATTTTCAACGTATCATTTTGCTACCGATCATAGCATTTAAAATTCGCGTTTTCATTTTATGCCTTTAAGAATTCATTCATTTATCCTTTTTCCATACGAGACTCAAGCGGCAATTCAAACATTCAGCAATGGTGGCTCGAATTGTATCGTCCACGAAAATCCTATTTTTTATTTTATAATGCGGGCTGGCATTTTTGCCGCCCGAACGCCCTACACGTGAATGCACCTTTAAAACTGGTCTTAACGTTGTTACAGTGTCTTCCAGACACCTACACCCGCATTCCAACAACTTTCTCTCAAGTCCCACAGCAACCAAGATTCAAGTAATCCATGTAAAAATCAGTTCAACAATAAAAAGAGCACACTGTGTTGATTCGATGTTGAAAAATGCTGGCCAGAATTTTAATTCAATATTTTAAGCGGCATTTGAAAAAAAAATGACAAGAGCATGTTTACACAATTATGAATGGCATTTCGGTTGGCTTAATTGCATGTTTCAGAGTTTTCCGCTTAAAACTGATCTTTGGCAATATTTGAGAAATCCGAAAATTTTTTGACATTTCTTGATGGCTTATATTTTCCAACGATTTTGGTCTTCAAATACGGTAGACGTATTTTTTCGTGACGAGACCTGTTGTATGAATAAAGGAGATTCACGAGGGTGGTTTGAATTTGTAGGCGTGGTATGAAATCAGAAAAATTCAATAATTAATCATTAATCCTCACTAATTAGAAAATAGTATGTAGAAGTCTTGAGAAACGCTAAGCTTGATATGAATTAAACTCTATAGAAGTTTAAAGGCGCATTGCAGTTTAGGGCAAACTGTATGAGTAGTCAGTTTTTGAAAGAAAAGGCACCTGTGAGAATCCGGCGAAAAACTCAACGTCTTCAAAAAATATGTCTTCAACTTTCCGAAACTCCTCAAGTTTTAATTTTTAAGAACACTGATTGCACACAGGTAAGCTGTGGTGGGCTCATAATGGACCCACACGGGCTCTATACATGTCACCTCAGCTTCTTTGGTCCCACAATGGATGTTGCGTCGGTAGCATATTTTTTTTGTAAGTGTTCTCTACGTGGTTTCTCGTGATTATAAAATGATAGCTTGATAATTTCATGAATCATTTTATCTCCTAAATTGGATGGAAGCATCTATGAGTCCCGTGGACACTTTATGTGTTTGCCGCAATTTACCTGAGCCCAGTTTTTTGAGTTTTTGTCAGTTTTTTTCCTTTTCAATTATTTTAATTATTTGATTTTAAACTATTTCTTGAAAAAAATGAGTCAGCTCAATTCAATCGCGAAATTGAAATAAATACAAAATTCGATTAAAGGCTCATAATCTGGAAATGTATTGGGTCTTGTGACTGATTCCGGAAGCTGTTTTTTTATAAATTCACTAATCGCCAATTGTTGTAGATGGATGCTTTCTGGAAGAAAAAGAAGGGGAGCGTAAAAAATGTTATTCTCGATTTGGCTGCGTATCAAACATACGTCAAGCTACAGTATACATCAAAGGAGCATAATAAAAATGTGTTATAATCGCGCCAAGAAGCAAAATTTCAAATTTTTCGTAGAAAAGAATTTTCCTTGAAACTCGGGTCATCAACGAAAAATAAAATCTGAAAAAAAGATTTTAAGTTTCTTATTTTGGGCGTCAAACGGATGAAGAGAGGCGGGGCCTTCAAATTCGCGAAATTAGTGTCGATTTAAATTTTTCGTTGACTGAATATTCAATGCGCGTACATTATAATGCAATGTACGCAGTCCCGCTGCCTCGAGGCGCATTGGCACGTAGCCAATAATTTTTTTAATTTCGTTCTGTCGTTTGACTCCGACAATACAAGATAGTTCTCTTGCATGCGTTTTTAAGGATTTAGTTTTTTTTTGGTGGCTAAATCTGAATAGTATCAAAAATTATCAAAAATATAGTGGTAATTCGATTAATGTCTTTTTAAATACTCGATTAAAGTCTTTTTTAATTGCTTCTAAATTTACAAACAATTTCGGTTAATTATCCTACCTGCGAATTTGCAGAAGAAAATTTTAATGAAAAATACCAAGTGTGTTTTTATGGAAAAATACAAATAAACCGATTTCACGATGTGCATTCATGCAAAGCTTAACTCTACGGACTTGCACTTAATTTTACGCGCACAAAAGTTACGGGTGGCATTTGAGTTAGCACACTGTTCAGACACACCGATGGCTCAATTTTTTCTTTCAACTGTCCGCAGCTCATTATTATTATCATTTCAAGCTTATTCCGTGTTCCGCAAAAAAAGTGAATTTCAGTATAAAAACCGAAAAAGATTTGGGAAAAAATGTTTTTGTGCGTTACGGTAGCGAAGTCCGCAATGGACATTACGCAAAAGTGAACAGATTTTTTAAAATGCGTTCCTATACTTCGACGTATTTCTGCTCGCTGTTCATCCGCATCCAACCCATGATTAAAACCGAGCTTCTCTCCCAAAAAAAATGAGGGGGAGCAGCGCCGAAAAAGACTATTGACATCTCGTGTTTTATGGCTAAATATAATGTGATTTTCCTGCATCGAATGTTTGCTGCAATCATGTTTCAGCGTATTTCTCGAAATGTCCGACAATAATTCTGAAAGTATTCCTTGTCATCCGCCGCCCGACGAGCTGCCGACGTTGATCGCCATCTACGTGAGTCAAGGTAAATGGGGGACGCTTGAAGGTTGGGTCTCAGGAATTTTGCCAGCAAAATATTGCCAAAAATTGGCCGAATGCCATCTGCTCCTTTAATCAATCCATATTAATATTGAACCTGGTCATTGTTTTTTTAAAGCCAAATTTACGCAGTCGATAAGAGTTTAAAAAAAATGGAAACCTTAAAAGAAACAATGGAATTTCAGAATTTGGAGTTTTCATTGCAATCATTTTTTTTTACATTCTGAAACCCTAGGTTTATGAGATTCGATTTTCCGGCCTCCTCGTAGAGAGAAAAATATTTACATCGCTAAAAAAAGAAATGAGCGGCCTGTGTCGATTAACAATAGTTAGATTCGCAGGCTATCTGAATTACGGTACCCAAATTCCCACAACGAAAAATTCAAATTTAAATTACCGACTTGAAAAAAGAATATGCGATGGTCCACAATTAGTCAAAGTGCTCGTTTTTTATCCCTTGAAAATTTGCTTTCAATCACCTAAAAATCAAGCAAAATTTTCACAATGTTAAAATCTCTTCGAGGAATCGTGTCGAGACCATTAATCATTTCTAGGAATCTACGGGATATTATCCATTGTCATTTACATTCTCAACATCAAGGCCCTTCATCGCCAACGGAATTACCATGACAAGACGTTTCGGCTCCTCTACACCTATTGTGCAATTTTTGTAACGCCACTTCCGGCCGCGTTTTGATTTCTCGAATATTCCAGAGTGTCTCCTATTTCGTCGCTCAATATTGCACTCGACGATTCGTCAAAATCGGCCTCTTCTGCGAGGACATCCTTCGAATTTTCGGCGAGCCCACATATATTCTGAATCCGCCGAAAACCGTAAGCGCCTATTGCCCGATCGCCATTCTCGTGTTCCACACGCTCATCGCGCTCCATCGATTCTCGCTGGTGTTCAGCCCGATTCGATCGGTTCAAGTAATCAATTCGATGAGCCCGACTATTATTGACATTGTTGATATTCCAGCTTTGGGAGAAGTATATGAATTGGGTGGCGATTGCCGGCATATTGATTCCCCTCTATTTCATGTGGTTTTTAATACCAGCGAAAAGCTACGCGGAATTCGAACCCTATGAGCATACAATGGATTTACAGTACAAAAAAGTGTTTCAGGTATGTTCGCAAATCATATAATAAAGAAGTCCAACAATCAAGCTCCTCAAATGTTGAGCGTATAAATGTGAAACCATGTGCGGACACACAACCGGGTTGCGGTTTTCAGATCAGCTCATCGCTCTATTCGACAATTGCTGCTGGATTATTCGGGACCATCACACTTCTTCTCACCGTCCTCATGCTCCTTCTTTTATTCAAAACGCATGTGCGCAAATTGAAGCGCTCCGATTATCGAATGATCATTTTCGAGATATTTATGGCATTCACCACGTTCGTCTACGCGTTTACCCAGGTTGAAATGATTGCTGAAACAATTCAAATAAGAGCGAAAATCTTAGGGCATCCTCTATTATTCAATTTATATTGCTAAAGATTTGGCAATGCGAGCCACAATAATGCGATATCGAAATTTTGCCATCGACATTTTCATATTACCCCAAGCATGGACATTGCTGATTTTGAGCCCGAAGGTACTTCAAACCTTCTTTTATTCAGTCCCACTGATCATTCAGATCCGATCCTACACAATCGGCTTCATCTTGGACCGAGTGTCAAGCATCGATGCTCAAAGCAAATTGGATAACATTAGTAATCCAAAGACAGTCGCATTCATAAGGCCCAAAAATGGGCGAGGCTAGGAGAATGAAAAACAAATTCGTGTAGTTTCTTTTCAATAAGCAATTCTATTCTGAAATTGCACATTTTGATTTCTTTTTGTTTTTTGTCATGACAGCAGTATATCAAAATAATTGGATAGCATCGAATAAAAATCATATTGTCGCGTTTTATGTGATGTCGTAAGCTCGAGGTATATTTCATCATGTCTGTTGTGCACTGTGAGCCGCCTGTCGAGCTTCAATTCCGAATCATTGCGATTTATGTGATTCAAGGCAAAATCGCAGCAAATGCAGCATGGTGATCGAATTCGAAACTTTCAGGGATCTACGGGTTCATTTCAATCGGCATTTATATTATGAACGTCAAGGCTTTACACCGACAGCGCAATTATCATGACAAGACATTTCGGCTCCTCTACACCTATTGTGCAATTTTTGTAAAATCTCCACCCTTCTAGAACCTTGAACACCCGATTTTTTAGAGTATCATCTTTTTCCTCAACCACTACCTGTTTCGACGATTCGTAAGACTCGGCCTATTCTGCGAGGACATCCTACGGATCTTCGGAACCCCAAATTATTGGCTCAACCCATTCAAGACGATGCGAGCTTATTGCCCGATCGCGGTGCTCGTCTTTCACACCTTAATCGCCGTTCATCGATGCTCGATCGTGTTTAAACCGACCAAAGCAATTCATGTGAAAATGGCGCACCAATCATTTCTTATCAGATTCTCGAAATCATTTCAGATTTGGGAGAGCCGTCTCAAGCCAATTGTCACGATCGCCCTATTCCTTCCAATCCCTTTCATGTGGTATGTGATTCCAGCCAAAAGCTACGCGTATTATGATGATTATCAAGACACAATGGATGTTCAATACGAAAGAACCTTCAAGGTATGCGTTCAAGTAGAATCACTGAAACCGCTTAATTCAATTTCCAGTATCCTGAATCGTTTTATACAACGATCGCGGCCCTTCTATTCGGATTTGTGACATTAGTAGCCACGATTCTCATGATCATATTCCTGATGAAATCCAATGTTCGCGCATTGAAATCAACCGAGATTCGCATGATCATTTTTGAGATTTTTATGGCGATTACCACATTTATTTATGCGCTTCCTCATGTCAATCAAATGCGTTTGATTTTCGCGAAATAAATGATAAACATTTAAGGCATTCGTCTATTATTTCGGAACTGTCGTCGGCGATCTCGAATTGGAAGCGATCGCGTTGGAGTTTCGCAGCTATGCCATCGATATTCTCGTATTACCGCAAGCATGGACATTGCTGATTTTGAGCCCGAAGGTACTTCACACCGTTTTTCATTTGGCTCAAATATCGATTCAGATCCGATCCTACACAATCAGCTTCATTTTGGATCGAGTGTCAAGCGGTGAATCTCAAAACAAGTCGGAGAATAGCAGCAATCCGAAGGGCATTGCGACGATTCGGCCGAGAAACGAGAACACTTCTTGAGACAATTCTTTTAAGGTTTAATTCGTGAATAAAATTTTTTTAGCCTTCTGAAAATATGTGAAAAATTAGAATGTATTAAAAATCGGAAATCTACTTGAGATCGTACACCGCTACTCGCCGCAACATACGTGTGGCCTAGAAAAAATTCTACAAAATTAGGTTCGGCCACGGCCACGGCCACATTTGATGAATTTGTTAATTTAATTAAGTTGAACTAAATGAATATGTAATTTAAAAACCAAGTAAAAAAGTAAAAGTCACATTTAATGGAATTAAAAGAAAATTGTGATTAAGCAATTACCTATTATTTTAAAAATTAGCCTGTGGCGCGCCGCACTTGCATTTTTCGATTTTGAAAGCGTCGACCAATTTTTTCTAGACCGCACGTACGTTGCAGCAAGTCATGAATAAATCAAATATGAAAATAATTGAATACCATCGAATAATAAAAGAAACCGTCTAATATCTTAAAATGGAGGTCTTTACGTTTCATATTTTCACTGTCATTCAATATTTTCGCGTATAACTTTGCTCATTTTGTTTGACAATAGTATTCGAACAATTGAAAACAAGCCACAGAGATTCTGAAATATTGATCCTTCACCCCATTTCACAATTGTTTTCAAGTTTCAAAAAATTCTATTAACGTTCTTGGCGTTGCTAGTATATATCGTGATGATTCAAACACTTTGAACAATGTTATAATTGATACACAACATGTTTAATTCTTTTGCAAAATTGTTTTTGGAAAACTGTAATACGCTGATATATTGCGGTTGCCGCAAATGGCCCGCGCGGGCCCCTCGCATTTGATGGCCTCGCGAGAGTCCTTAGAGAGCCCCGCTTACGGCCCGCAGTTGCCCCTGAGAAACCCGCATTATTTTCACCCGCGCGGGCCCCTCCATTCCCATTGAACGCAAACCACCGGCGCGAGCCCTTCTGAGATATTCACCGGCGCGGGGCCCGCAGGTATGACCCGCGCGGGACCAAATAGCCGTTTGGGCCCGCGCGGGGCATAATTTGGAGTCGCGCTGGCCCCGCGCGGGTCCAACCACCCATTTCCACCCCGCGCGGGGCCCGCCAATTTTCACCGAGTTATTATTTGATTTTCTTCTTCAGATGCCCCAAAAACTCAAGAGTGAATTTACTATTAAGCAATTCGATCTGCGGACAATTTTCGGGAACGGGAATGGGTTGAAGCTTCGTTGTTTCAAATTGGATTATTGAGCGACAAAATTCTCAAAAAAAAAAGACAATTGGAAATAAGCCATGTCAAAACAATCGCATTATTCCAGAATAATTGCTAACAATTTAATTTCTGGTCCGTCAGGACCACATTCGAAGCTGATTTACTATGTTGTTTATGTGTTCTCTTTTTCATCTTGTCGACGAAAATTGGCTATTCAAAAAAAAAACCAATCAAAAATGTCTTGGCGTACGGTATACATTAACCTACCACTTTAAATGATTTCTTTAGTTTTCTATTCAATATGCGATTTCGTTTATGCATTTGCAAAAAAAACCTTGAAAAAATTAGTCATATCATAATTTTTAGAAATTATAAAATCCATTAGTCATATTTTTTGGTACGCAGTACACCGAGCGGTTTACCGTAATCTGCAAAATAGTTTTTTTTTAATTTTAATTTTTATTCGTTTCCGCTGCCGTCAGACAGATTACTCAATTATTCGATTTCGGCTTAATTCAATAAAAAAGTTTGCATTTAAATATGTAAGTGATAGATTTTCAGAATTGGTTGCTTTAATTAATATCACTTATTTTTGATTGAATCATTAAATTATTTAAGATTCGAATTTCACATTATTGTTTTTCTAATAAAACTTCAATTGGGGTAAAAATTTGAAAATCGCACTTCCGCCTCGCAATAATCTAGATTTGGCTGGGTATTCAACATGTTATACAAATCTAATTTCTTAATTTTCAGAATAACTTTTTAAATGAGCACCAATATTAATAAGCGTTTTCAGTGTAAAGAACTGGAAAAGCGGAAATTCTGAAAAACGCAACATTCAAATTCAAATTATTTATTACTATTTAATTTTACTTTGAGAGTTTATTAAAATTGGTCCTCATTAAAAAAATGCTCAAAAATATACATTATGGCGAATTTTCAATTTTTTTTTCTAGTCAAAAAAGCCAATGAAAATCCTATTTTTCCTTGTCAACCGCATTTTTCAGCTTTTCCATGCTCAATGAAATTTCTGTTCAGAAAAAAAAACCTGCTCACTTTATTCTTAATTGCCCCAAATTCTCCATTCCCTTTGCAAATTATCGCTATTTATTTTCTCTACAATCGCCATTTCCCGATTTTCGACGTTTTAGAGGCCACCCATGTCTGAAAATGTCATTCAATGTCATCCGCCAAGCGATGAAATTGTCTTTCTAGTGGCTGTTTATGTAATTCAAGGTATTTTCATTAAAAAAATGTTCCAACTTTGAGCAGCTCATCCTATAAAATTATAAATTTCAAAGGAATTTATGGATTTTTGTCGATTGCTGTTTATATATTAAATGTTCGAGCATTATATCGACAACGGAATTACCATGATCCGACATTTCGACTGCTCTACACTTATTGTGCTACAATTGTGATTAAATGTGTGATTTGATCTTTAAGAAAAACCTTTAAAAATTACAGAGCTCTGTGTATTTTTTTGACCATTACTGTACTAGAAGATTCGTGAAACTCGGCTTCTTCTGCGAGCATATTCTAAGACTACTATCCGAGCCGAATTATTGGCTCAACCCATTGAAAACCATTCGTGCCTATTCTCCAATCCTTCTGTTAGCATTTCACACATTGATAGCTTTTCACCGATTTTCTATAGTATTCTGGCCAATTTCATCAATAAAAGTGAGATTTAAACAATTTCTGATTGCGCATTTCCGAAACTGTTGTGTTGCGGGACAGCTCGAGTGTAATGTCTTTATTAGCGAATAAATAACGGCAAAGAAGAGAACCAAAAGTGCGTGAGGGCGATCCTTATATAGCGCTCCTATATCTTGATAAGGCCGTCGGTCACGTTGCAATATCTTTGGTCGTGGCGCTAACATCTCCCCCGCAAAGTGTTGATGTCAAAGGTAGGACTTTTGACGAGGGTCCAATATGAGGCGTCTTGGTTCCCGAGTGTTCCGCGATGATCGGCGAAGTGGTGGTCCTTGAGTTGTCCTGGTGTGTACTGGTGGTATAGTAGGAGTTGATGGTGCACGTTCTTGATTTCCTGTTGAAGCGACCGTTGGTTGAGTTGGAACGGTTGTCGGTGTCGATGGACGGCGTATCGGCATCGGCAGATCAAAGTCAATATGCAGCGGCAGACGTTGATTCTGGTGATCCCGGCGCCTTAACTGATTTGCGTGTCGATGCCATTGATTCCCTTGGCAGTTCACTATGTAGGTTACCGCTCCTAAACGTCGAATGATGATTCCGGGGCTCCAAGTCTGCTTTGAGCGATAGTCCTTGACGAAGACAGCGTCTCCGACTTCGTAGGCTCGGTGTCTGGCTCCGTGATGACGGTCAAACTGGGCTTTCATCGATTTATTCCGTTCGTCTTTGTCCGGCGGCGTAGTCGGCAGCATGAGGCTCATCACGGTGTTCATTTTTCTACCGATGAAGTTTTCGGCAGGCGATAGTTCGTTCGTTGCACTTGAACATGGTGTAGATCGATAAGTCATCAAGAATGATTGGAGAGCTTCTTGCGTCGTTTCCTCCCCTCTCATTTTGATCATTGCCCTTTTGAAGGTGTCAACGAACCGTTCGGCTTGACCATTGCTTTGTGGGTGGAACGGTGGTGATCGGATGTGGTGGATGCCTCGATAAGTGCAGAAGTTCGCAAATTGCGACGAGGTGAATTGCGTTCCATTATCCGATACGACGATTTTCGGGTTTCCGTATCTGGCGAAGATCGGAGTCAGTAACTCGATTGTTGTTTGAGTTGTGATGGTCCGAGTTGGCAAAATTTCGGGCCATTTGGAGAAGGCATCTACGATGACGAGGTAGTAGATGTTGTTGATCGGTCCTGCGTAATCTATGTGGACCCGTTCAAATGGTGTGGTTGCGGCAGGCCAGGGTTCCAGTGTTGTCTTGACTGGATTTTTGGCAGCGGCTTGGCAGTTGGCACAATTCCTAACCAGCCTCTCGATATCCTTGTCGATTAGCGGCCAGTATACAAAACTGCGAGCGAGTTTCTTCATCCGCTCCGTTCCCGGATGGCCTTTATGCACTGTGTCCAGGACTCGCTGGCGTAGGCAAGTTGGAATGACGATCCGGTGCCCAAACATAAGAGTTCCGTCGATGATTGAGAGGTCATTGCGGCGGTTGTAGTAGTTCCAAACTGGTGACGCTCTGTCGATTTTCGGCCAGTTTCCCGATTTGACATAATCCAAAACGATTGACGTGGTTGGGTCTGTGAGCACTGAGTTGCGGATTGTCCTAGCTGTGACAGGGAAGGTGCCGGCATTTCGTTGATTGCGTTGGTTTTGGTCGGGTCTGGGCCTCTCCCGTGTTCGTCGACGATGAATCCCAGGAACTTGATTTGCGGCTGCAGGAACGAGCATTTTTCGGCCTTGACACGGAATCCGAAGTCTTCAATCCTCCTGAGCAATTTGTGTAGTCTGTTATTGTGTTCTTCGATAGTCGCCCCCGAAATGATGATATCGTCCATGTACGCGGCAACACCAGCGAGGCCAGAGATCATGGTGTCCATGATTTGTTGAAATATTGCTGGCGCGGTTTTCACTCCGAATGGTAGTCGATTATAGTAGAATAGTCCTTTGTGCGTGTTGATCGTGAGCATCTTCTTGGACTTTTCCTCGACTTCGACTTGCAGATAAGCTTCGGCAAGGTCCAACTGTGTAAAAAATTTCCCTCCGTTGAGGGTTGAGAATACATCCTCTGTGGTCGGGAGAGGATGTTGATGTTTCTCCAGGGCATCGTTCAGTCCGGTCGAGTAATCGGCGCACATCCTGATTGCTCCGTCTTTCTTCTCGACGACGACGATGGGTGTAGCGAAATCGGAGTAGTCCGTCGGTGATAAAACTCCTTGAGCGACGAGTCGATCCAATTCTTGGCTGACTTTTGGTAGAGTAGCGTATGGTACTGGGCGTGCCTTCCGGAATGTTGGCGTGGATCCCGGCTTGAGATGAAGTGAGGCTTTTGTCTTGGTGCAGCGACCAAGTCCTGGTCGAAAAACGGTTTCGAATGATGATTGCAGTTCCTTTTCGAGGGTGTTTCGTTGGGCGGCTAACGTTGTTGACGATGTCGAGATCGCGTTGGTTGTCCCGACTAGTTGGTTGTAGAGTTTCCTGTCCTGGGAAATCCATTCCATTCCGAGTAATGTTGACGTGTTCGTGACATAGCAGATTCCTGTTCCGTGTTGACCGTTCATTGTGAAGTTGCATTTGAACTGTCCTTGAACGTGGATTTCCTCGTGGGTTGCTGACCGCAGTTTCCGCGTTGGTGGGCTCAGCTTCGGTCGGTTGAGTTTGATCCAATCGTCACGATTAAGCAATGTAACTTCTGCTCCAGTATCCAGCTGCATCTTGATCGGTGTTCCATTAATCGAAACTGTTGTGTAGATTCGGTTCTTGGTTTCCGTGGACGATTGTGCGATGAAGACGGCGTTGTTCGAGCGTGGTTGCCTCTGGCGACATACTTTCGAGAGATGTCCTGTCTTTTGACAGCTGTGGCAGATTGTTTCCTGTGGCAGCTTGCAATCCCGTTTCCAGTGTGATCCTCCACATCTCGAACACTGCGACGGTGGTGAAGTTGCAGAAGTGCGCGGAGAAGTCGGCGTTCTCGCGTTCTTTGATCGTGATCCTCCTCGGAATTTGGGCTTGGGTTTGCTGGCTTGTCGGTGAATGGCGTGGATGTCGTGAGATCCACCTCCGATGAAGTCTGCATCGGCGCGAAGTGAGATAACTTGATCCAATCGGTCCGTGAGCTCCGTTAGTTTCATTTCCGGATTCAGTTCGAGTTCGCGAAGTGCCCGAATTCGCAAATCCAGATGTTCTGAGGCATGGAGTCCGATGATCCATAGCAGGCATTCAGCTTGGTCCGACGAAAGCTGATTCCATTGAGCGGCGGCAAACCGGCGTTTGACAAGGGCTGTGTAATCCTTGCGATCGACCCCATCGAATTTTACCGAGAAAAGTTCATAACGGAGTCTCGCCAGCGACTTCGTCTGGTTGAAAAGTTTCTTCAACGTAGCAATGGTGTCGTTGAAGTTGACGTCGGCAGGTGTCTTCGGCAGAATGAAGCTTCTGAACTGTTCGGCTTCTTTGTTCTCTAGCTTGGATACGACTATGCGTGTGCGGGTAGCGTCGTCGAGGTCCTTGCCGTCGATTTCGATGATATCATGGTATCGACCAAACCAGGCATCGAAGGTTTCCCCGTCATCCGGACAGTAGTGAAACGTCGAAATTCGGTTTGACAATGAGTTGATGATGTTGGTAACGTCCGGCTGCTGCTTCTGCGTAGTGAACGCAGCACTGATCGCCTTGAGAAACTCTTGCTGTTGTTGTTGAAATTGTTGTTGTTGTTGTTGGAAAATCCTCTGCTGCTCGGCTTGTTGCTTCAGGAATTGTGTGATAGTTTCCTTGTCCATGGCTGATAGCAGATATCTTGTTGTTGTTGTCCTTTATCCTGATCGCCAGTTGTTGTGTTGCGGGACAGCTCGAGTGTAATGTCTTTATTAGCGAATAAATAACGGCAAAGAAGAGAACCAAAAGTGCGTGAGGGCGATCCTTATATAGCGCTCCTATATCTTGATAAGGCCGTCGGTCACGTTGCAATATCTTTGGTCGTGGCGCTAACAGAAACTAATTTAGATATGGGAGAAGAATCGAAAATTGATTGTGTGCTTTGGGCTACTCCTACCACTTCCTTTCATGTGGTTCATCATTCCAGCGAAAAGTTATGCATTTATTGATAATCGCGGTTACATGGACTTGGAATACCAAAAAGTCTTCAATGTGAGCTTTAAAATTTCCATAGCAGGCAAAAAATCTGAAATTTTTCAGCTAAGCTCCTCATTTCTAGCAAGTATTGCTGCTCTAATCTTCGGCATGATCACATTGACTTTAACGATTCCTATTGCAATTTTCCTAATGAAATCCAATTTGAAAGTTTCTCAAATTCGACTCATAATTTTCGAGATTTTTATGGCAATTTTCACTTTTATTTATGCATCTGTTCAGGTATTTTCCTGTTTTGCAAATTGGTTTTTTTTATTTCGCTTATAGGGTACTTTGTATTATTCACTTTACGTCACAAGTGATATGAAGTTAAGGGACAGTGTTATGGATATTCGCACATATGCAATTGATATTTTTATTTTGCCACAAGCGTGGACTTTGCTTGCATTAAGTCCAATGGTATTTTGTGGATAATTATGTAAATAATTTGTGAATTCAATTGTTCAGATTCGATCGTATACTTTCAAATTTGTTACCAATCAGATATCCAGCTTTGAGAGCAATGTGGAGCACAGTAATATGGCATTTATAAAACGCAAATAGTCGAATGAATATCACAATTGGTGGTTTAAGTGACGTATTAAATATAAATTACCCGAATGATTAATTTAGTCGTTCTTTTTCTCTTCCATATTTTTAAAGCTGAAATTCGCGCCGGATTTTGGAGTAGTCGTTGATGGCTGGAATCCGCAATAATGAGAAAATCGCGATAGTTTGGAAATTTTACCGGTTCGATATCTTCGCCCATATCCATACTTTTGATGACAAAGTAAAGATCTGCGAAGAAGACGATGGTGGCGGGAACGAGGCCGATGATGAAGCGAGTAGCGAGATCAAGCTTCAGATGGGGATAGGCATATGTGACACCTGAGACATAGGAAATATTCTCAAAAATGAGCTTTTAATAATACCAGAAAAGCCGAAAAAGAATGCTCCAACTACTGTGATGATCACATTGACTACCGACATCACTTGCCGATTGACTGTCCGCATTTCTGCTCCGAAATTCTGCATATTTAGCATATCAATTATAAAAGTGAATTTCTTTAAAAAAAAACCTCCATGTGATCTGTTCTTCCATACTTTTGCAAAGGATCTACTGAACGAACAAGTCTTCTATAGGAATCTTGCTCTTGTTGAATTTTCAGCTCTTCTGTCTTTTTGCGGAATTCTTCGGATGCTTTATAGGTGTGATCTTCATAACTTAATTTCAATTTATTGAAGAAAACGCAAACTGGAACATCGTCGGGCAATTTGTTCTGCAATAATTATTTTGAAATAAAGTGTTTCGAAATGAATTACCTTGATGTTTGTGATGTCTTCAAAAGTTAAAACTGTTTTTTTGGTTATTTCTTTAATAGCGCTTGCAGTTTTTGCAGGAACCGAATTTTCTGTTAGAAGTTTGTTCAGGATTTTGCGATTTTCATCGGTTAATGTCCATTGAGCCATTTGAGTTGCTGAAAATTATGACAATGAGGCATAAAATTAGTTTTTGATCGAAAATCGGTCTTCGTATTTCTACCCGAAATCTATGTGCCGAATTGCAAAACACCAAGCCGCACTGAATGGCCGCCGATTTCTAGGCCATATCAATTTATATTGCTCGGCCAGTCGTTTATTTTTCCAATCTTTGGTCGATTTTTTTCGTTTTAGATGGATTTGAGGGTACTGTTTTGCTCTATTGTATTGCTGCTTGCTTTAGTCGAATGCTCTCAGAAGAAGAAAAAGGATCTTACTAGTTATACGTATGTTTTTATTGAGATGACAAACAATTTAAGTAAATTGAAATCTTTCAGAGATGCTGATCTTGAAAGATTGTACGAAGAATGGGAAGAGAATGATGACGATCTGCTAGAGGAGGACGAGCTCCCAGAACATAAGAGAAAACCGAAACCGTTGGATTTAGATACAATGAAAGCTAAAGTTTTAATTATATTTATATATTAATTTCCATTAATTAGGGTTTTTTTATTAATTATAGGCAAAAAATCCAGAAGATCTAATGATGATGTCCAAAAAAGGCCAAACGTTAATGATTTTTGTGTCCTTGGTGGATCCCTCACAGCCGAAACGGAAAGATATCAGACCGTTTACTGAAAAATGGACAGCTCTTTGGCAATCTCAACTTTACAACAATCATATTGACGTCCAAGTCTTTGTGATTGATGATAACCGCGTCATTTTCATGTTCAAAGACGGATCGCAAGCAGTAGAAGCGAAATCATTCCTTCTCAAACAGGAATACGTGTCGGAAGTCATGATCGAAGGACAATCTTTTCATGGTCCCGCGTGGCAGTCCGATGAGAAAAAGGAGTTGTGACGAAATCATTTCATTTTGAAGCATTTTTATACATTTACGAGGTTGCTTAAATCACTTCCAGTCAATATGTGCCTTTGATAATTTATTGCATTCATAATAAATATTTGAATAGTTTAGCAAGCTCTGTATTTTTATTGAATAGTTTTAAACTAAGAATATTATTTTATAATTATATTTTGTTCAAAGAGACCTATCAATCTTAGGATGAGTACTCTGGATATAGACGTCGAAGCGACTGCCTATGATCAGGTCACTTCTCTTCTTCAGAGGCCAGATCAGTTAGAGAAGTTGCCGGAACTGAAGAAAAGAGCTGATAGGAAAAAGGTGAGATTTTTTAGCTTTTTTCCTGAAAATCTCTTAATTTCAGCTTGCCGTGGAAGCAATGCTCCGAACTGGCGTTCAAGGCCAATTAGAAGGTGTTCGCACCGCAATCGCTCATCTTCAAACCGCTTCTGAAGACGTCACAGTGGTTGCACAAGGGTAACACTTAAATATATCAATATTTGAGATTTTAATTGTGCAAAATTCCAGTGTTGAAGGAATTCGAGAACGTTTAAAACCATTTCCGCAACTCAAGGTTTCACCCCTCCGATTTCGGTATTGTTGTGTATTTTCAGGAGAAAATGAGAGAGCTTCGAGACGCGAATGCGCGCCATAGTCAGTACGCGGCCGCGATGGAAAACTTGAAGCACATATTCAATATAAACTCGACACTTCAAGAAATTCGCGACGCTTTGAATGATGAAAAGTCTGGCGGCAACTTGCTTCTCGCACATAAACAGTGAGAAATTATAATGGTTTTGTTTTCAAATTTCGAATTATTTTTAGTATAATGGATTTGGAGAGAGCTCGAGATGAATTGCTGTCGGAAGTTCATAAAATGCGAAGCGCAAATACTGAATATGAAAAGAATGTGAGTATATTCCTTATTTTTATTGAAATCTATCAGAAAGTAAAAAAAACTTCACGCGTCTTTAATTATTCTTAATGTTTTTGGAGATATTTCGTTATGAAAAAGAAGAAAAACAAAATGATTCCGAAAATTTTTCAATTTTTCTGTGGAAAAAGAGAACAAAATATTATCGGAATCTTAAGGCTCTGAAGGCGGAAATAATGTTTGGTCTTGTTGCGATCGATTCTAATTTTCAATTTGTTTTGTTTAGCACGTAATATATTTTATCGAACAGAGACAGTTTCAATTAATCCGTTGAGCACTTTTCGGTCATATTTCAGCTTCTCATCAATTTCTTCAAAGGCGTCGACGATGTTGTGAAGGAACTCGCGAGGAACATGTGGTTCATAATGGGCAGAACACTCGAAATGGTCAAGGTAGATTCCTCTCTCTCTCTCTCTCTCTCTCTCTCTCTCTCTCTCTTTATTTTGGTCTACACACCATGATGAACTTTTTGAATATTTACATGATCTTGGCGTCTCCTGACGTGTTATTTTTTCTTGAAATGTGCTACAACGCGTAGGCGTCTATCGAAAATTTTGAAATAAAAAAAATTGAAGGGAAATGAATCCGGCGGTGGTCCGCAACAAGTGGTGACATGTATGCGAATTGTCGAACGAGAAGAAAGGTTACTCGCCTCGAATCAATTTTCATTCTTTTTTTTCGCATTGATGTGTTTCAGAATCGATAGATTTTATATGGAAAATAGGCGAGCTTCAGCGAATGCGTTCGTCCCCCCAGGACGACCGCGAAAGTGGAAGGAGAAGGCGCTTCAGGTACTTGAGAAGACTGTGGAGTCTCGAATCGAAGGCAATCAGCTCGAGGATCGGAGTTTGAACAAAGCATGGTTGGCAAGGTTTCGCGTAGAATTGCATAGTTGATGATTGTGACGCATAATTGATTCAGATATCTCGAAGTTTGCCGAAATGTGATAATTGATGATTTGACGTTGGCCAAGGCGGCGATTCCATGCTTCCCGCCCGAATATCAGATCTATGATCGACTTGTCTCAATGTACCATAATGCTGTTTGTGCTAGAGTATGGATATCTCTCATTTTTAACATTTGTGTTGTTGTTGTATTTTTTTTCTCGTTTAGCTCCGAGAAATTGCTCAAGATGATTTGGAGAAGAGCGAACTCGTTCAATTGATGAGCTGGATCAAATTATATGGGTACGATCGGAACCCGTTGGCGAATTTTTTTGAAAAATTCGAAATTCCAAAGACGAAAAACAAAAACTCGTTGAATTATTTAAAACGCTCTTTTGAGTACCGTATTTAATTTTTTTGCGTCTCGCCGACAAAAAAAAACGAAATTTTTATTCGCTTACGATTTTTTTTTGTTCAGAAGTGAGGAAATGCTCGCCCATCCAAAGTTCAAGCTCAACGCGGCGGCCCTATTACAAGATGCTCCAGTTCTTCCGAGGACGACCCTCAATGATCTTTGCGATGCGTAAGTGGCTTCATACGTTTTTTTGGTGATGTTGAACGCTTTAATTTTGATGTTTAGGTTTGTTGAAATGTCCCGAAAAGATTTGCAACTATGGCTCAAGAATACGGTATCCCATGAGAAGGATGTAAGCTTAAATCGATTGAGTGTAATTGTGTTGAAGAGATTTGTAGGATTGGTATAAGAATGTGCGGCCCAGCGAGGATAACAATGGATATTTCTATACTGATTTGCCGAATACGGTGTTTGGGATGCTCAAGGATACGGTAGGTCGAAAAGTGCATTCAAGGGTGGGGGTAATCGTTGATATAAATGAACGAAATGACATCAGCCTCATCCGGCTCCCCACTCGTGAGTATTCTCTGCAAAAATATTGTGCAACGAGAGGAAAAAAAATCAGGAATGTTCGATGTTGGGTCTCAATTTTCGTCTAGAAATATGAGTTGTGGTGGGGCACACTATTTAATGACTAATGAGGTGAACTAACTAATAATGGATGGACGACGGCGTATTCGTAACCGCCGAGTGCCATAATTGGCTTCATACCAGACAAAGAAAGAAAAAAAAAGATAAAGTTCGACTTGCTCCATTTTCAGAGTTTGTCTGACGTCATAAGTCTCTCTCTCTCTCTTTTTGTTGGCCAACCGGGACGCTTTTAATTTTTTGATTTCAGTTAGTCCTTAGTTGAAACTAACACTCGTCATAATTCAATAACGTGAATGGAAGTGTATATGTATGTGTGTGTGCGTGTGAGTGGGAGAGATATATTAATAGAATTATCACATCCCATTTCTCGCCATATTTCGAAATTGCATTTTCTTGAAATGATTGAGCCTTTGAGTACTATGGACTTTCGGGAAAGCAAAGAATGCCGAGCTATTAATACTTATGGAATATTCATGCTAAGAAAAATGCATTTGCTGACAAATTTGCGGAAATTCCATGAAAATTTTTCGAACAGTAACATAAAATATCTGAATGCGCCTTTAATATGTATATTATAATTTCAAATTGAAGGGAGAGTACCATAGCGATTGGTGGGGGATTTTGACACGAAATGAGTGGCTTACTGTAGCGGTATAGTATCCCATTTTTGCCTCGTCTTCAAGCAAATATCGGTTACTGTAGCAATTGTTGACGGTGTGTAATGTGTCTTGAGCATTAACTTCAACTTTATGCAGCATTCTTATAATCACACAGAAATGGACAAAAAAAAAGGGAATAAAACGATTTTATCAACAATAAGCAGCAAGAGTCCCCACAAAACAAATGAAAAGAAAAAGAAGAGTATATAATCATTAAATAAATGCGATGATGCTCTCATTTTATACGTGTTTTATTTTTGCCTTCTGCGTTCATCGGAATTGGGAAAAACACACACATTTTCCCCCCTAATGAATGCATTAAATTAGTGGGATAATAATGGAAACGGTGATAAATGAATCTTTTGTGGAGGGGGTCGGGGGAAATGGGATTGTGGAGGGGGGGGGGTACGCACATTTCACATGTACCCCTCTCAAAAATAAAACCGGTAAAGCGCAACTAAATGAATTTGAGGAACGTGGAGAGAATGAGGAAGAGGTTTGAAACGAATGGTACAATATGAGTGATTGCGATGCAATTGAGATTGAATTACAAGAAAAATGGTTTGGTTTTTTTTTCGCTCGTCGGGGACGCCAGATTTCCAAATTTTTAGCATTGTTTCTATGTTTTTTTTTTGGGTTGTTGAATTTTTTTCTCTCTCTCTCTCTCTGTGTTTTTTTTTTGAAATTTTTTTATCGACGTTTTGTTTTTTACGGAGGAGGGATTGGATTCTCTCTTTACAACGATTTATTGATTGTTGGTGAAGGGGGCTTTTTTTTCTTGTGTTTTCGTGATTGTTCGCTCTTGCTCTACTTGCGTGTCAGACACTCGAGAGTGCACAGTTTGTGGCGGCATGGGCACACGTAGCTGCTCGCTGCTGATCGTCGGTGAACATTTGCTGAAATTTTTGGGATGGCGGTTGATTGAAGCAGCGATCGATCGCATCTTACATTTCGTCTCATCCAGCCGATGTAGTGCCCGTTGTGCAATCTCGTCGGCGATTAGCGATTTCAGAATGCTTCGATCATTTTGAGCGCTCCTGCTCGTCCCGACTGACTGCTCGTTGAATGCGTCGAATCTTGACGGGATGAACTGCAAACAGAAAAAACAAAACTAAATGACGCAAGCCTCTTGCAAGTAATTAGCAAGTTTCATTTTTTTTTTGTTCCGAGAACCACTATTATTATCTCATTTGTGCTTCTTGGGTTTGGGAAACGCCCGAAAATAGTCGAAATTATGCACCTCTTGTGGGAATTGCTGTTTATTTTTGAAATATAATTTACGTCTTCTTCCCTTCTTTCATCCGTTTTTTTTTACTTTAAGTATTTGTTTCCCATAATGACGTGCGTTGGACTTTTTTTCTAATCGGAGAACGAAAATTGTTGGTTGGTTAGAAGTTGGCATGGTTTGGAAAGAGACTGATCATGATCAAGCGCGATCAGATGAATCAGTCAGTAGGAGTAAAAGAAATGCGGCGGTTTCGTTTTTTCATTAAATTCTTAGAAATCCGAAATAAAGCATTCCGCATTTATTTTGCACCGACCTTATATGGAATAAATGATATGAGTTAGAATTATTATTATTATTTTCGCTCATCGTATAGAATATGTATATATGAGTTATATGAGCATATTGTGTGGGAGTTAGCTCTTCGTGGTCCATCACAATTATATTTTTGTTTTCAAACAGAACCACGAAAAAAATGAGAATTGAAAAAGTTATCTTGTTATTCGAATGGGGGCGGATCGGGAGGCTTGTTTTATTTATATATTTTTTTTTCGAATTTTACCGCACTGCAATCCATACTCAGAGAATGAATGGGGGGGGGGCTCTATGAACTTGTTTTTTGGCATTGACGATGATGAGAGAATTTGAAATTAGCGCTTCTTTTCTCCATTATTGTCCTGCTCCGGCTCACCCGACAAAGTTTAGTTTCTCATTTTGCGGTTGTCGCTGATGTTGTCGGTGTTGTCATAATTATTCAAGTAAAATTGGCGGAACCGATTGGCTCATTGCCGAATTAGTTGGATGGGGAAACGAAAAACTGACCAGTAGGAATGAATGAGCTGAAGCGGCGAACAAGGCGAATGAAAAGAGAATTGAGATAAGCTGCATGGTAACGAGTCGTACTGTTTGTGTGTGTGTACCTCGTAAAAGGTTGGCTCCGTTCGAAAGCACGCGTGCAATGAAGGGGCGAAATAAGAATAGAGGCTCTCCGGGCGGGCCGTGCGGCGCGCGCATTTTTTTGCTTCAATTAATGGGCGGAGTCGGAGGGCGTTTTCCCTTCTTCGTTGCCGCACCACAGCCCTCCCACACCATTGAGCAGTAGCAGCGAAAGCAGGAGCACCGTAGAAGCGCGCACACCTCACCGAACGTTCGCGAGAGTTTTTTGACTGTGGGTGGTGGTGGTGGTGGAAATGAAGCCATCAAATTTCAACGTTCTTTTTTTTTTGATTGGTGCTCAAGCGAATCGGAATTCAATCAGATGGTTGAATGGGTGGAAATGACGAATCGGTGGTGAAGTTTAGCATTTTGGGGGACGTTGAAACTCATTTTTGAGAATGATCCGATGCTTGAAGACTGTTGAACACTGAATATGACGAATTCCTCAAAATAATTAACATTTTGAAAAAAAAATTGTTAATTTTAAAACGTTTCGAATTCGATAGGCATAATTTGAGAGTTTTCAATTCTGGTGGTATCCTTTTTTTAATCCTTTTCGTTAATTCATGATTTTTAATTTTTGTCTTACTCATCATTTTTTTTGTTAAATTATTCTTCCGCCTCTTTCTAGATCTTCGTCGATTTCTGTCAAATTCGTATCGTTTTTTTTTTCTCGAGAAAGACTAACGACTCAAACCAAATCAAAAATTTGAACTGAATAGGTCATAATTTGCGACGAGATGCTTTAAAGGTGCATACGCGGTTTCGAAGGGGAATCACTTGAATGGATTATGCATGTTTAACCAGACTAACGCTTTGAATATTCAGCCTTCGGTGGGGCTTGTGAAGGAGGCGTCGATCATTTTGGTTTATTTTTTTTTCTGCAGAAAATGCATCACAATGTGTTTTAGTCATGCACATCGTAGTCATCATCATCATCATCATTCTGCAGCAAATTAGAAAATCTGAGCGCCCACATAAAGTGGTTCGGTGCTTTCAATTTATTTTTGATTGAACCTCGTCATTCTGCTATTAAGATAATGGAGTAGATTAATATATTCTACAGTATTCGACTAGGCAGCCGACATTGGATTATTCATGATCAATCCGAATCCAATTTGTTGTCGGTCCATTAAGTGAGCGCGAACGAATTGCTCAACGATTGTGGTGGGAGAGAGTTTTTTTTTGCTGGTCGCGTTTTCGACGTTTCGGAAACCTGCAAAAATTTCGTCGTGTGCGTAGGTTGTAGCTTTTCGGCCTCTTCAAGCACCCGACAGACGTTCCCACGAGGGTGTTTGAGATTTGAATTTGCTTGTCGTCGCGGGGTTTTTTTTGTTGCGTCCGCCGGTGTGTCAGTAACGAATAATTGAATGTACGTCGTCGTTGTTCATTGAGACCCGCTAGTAGACGAACTTTGACTCGAAATGGACGGATCGAGTGAGTGCCAATTAAAAACGCTTAGTCGTTGGACTATTAATGAAGGCGGATGTTTAATTGGTAGATGTTCTATGGCGAAAAGCTTGAATTGCCAATTTTACACCCAAATATGGTTTTATGGTAGATGTGGAGAATCTTGTGATTAGAAAGTTCAGAAGATTGATGAAATCTAGCGGTTAGAATTTTGCCGTTTTCCCAATTCTATGAGCCAACTTCACTTGTTCTTTGTTTTAAGCTAATTTCAAGAAGAGTTTTGATAATGGGAACTCGACGAGTCTCATTAGAAGTTGATTTAGGCATCAGCTGGGAGTTTTGAACATTTTTGGACTGGGGCTCAAAATGTTGCCGGTGCGAAACATGTTGGCGCATGGGAATGTTCCCTCGTTAGTCAAACCACTTGGTCGTCGAATTTGAGAGACAAACGCCCCTAAATTGGTTATATTAGTCTTATTTTTGGAAACAAGCAGACGGCTTCGAATGGAAATGTCGAAGATATAAAAAGAACAACAACAATAATAATTGTAAAAATAATAATAATAATAATAAGAAAACGAAGAAGCGGATGGGTTGCTGAACAAAAAAGAAATAAGTGCGGGATGAGATGACGTTGAGAAAGAATGACGAATCGAGCCCGCTCTAATAATTTCTTTTATTGGCGTTTTAAATTAGTTGAAGTATTTTTTGCTTTTGCGGATATTTTGAAACAAAAATCGACTCGCGACGACGAAATTTTGATGTTGAATTATAGTTTTTCAACACGAATATTGTATTTGTTATTTTTTTTTGCAATCCAAACATCTGACTTGATTTTCAGATTTTATCGGATCGGGAGTGGGGATTTATTTAGTAAACCCCCAAGTATTGTATAAAACGGGTGGAAAAGTTGAAAATCGCGGAATATTTTTTATAATGGTCCCATAATACTCAGGCAAATGGAAAAATTTTATAAAAACGTATCTTCATAATATTTTAGATTTTTCTTACTTTCTTATTTTTAAAACTTTATAAAATATTTTGTAATAAGTTATTGGGGTCTCAATGGGTATTACGAAGTATCAAATAACTTTTCTCATAATAGAATTTTTAATTTAATATTTTTTCCCAAAATAATTTTTTTCATTTGCCGAGTACAATAGGAGTTTGAAAATACAAAACACTCTTCGAAAATTTTTGCGGCAATTCAAATTATAATGACCCTATTCATGGAATGTAGTTTTTTTACCAAAAAATGTTTTTAAAAATTTCATTTATTTCGAATTTTGTAGAGCCGCATTGAAAATTTTTTATTGGGTCCATAAAACAATCACACGCAAAATTTGTGCGCCGTCGACAATAGTTCTTGAAAATGCAAAAATACCTAACTGAATCATTGAAGAGCTGCTCGCATTTTTAAGTTTTCCGCTGGAAATACCCAGTTCGAAAAGTGCTTTTAAGATATTTTTGTAAGAATCTTGAAAATTTGTTAAAGGTGCTGAAGCTTGAAATATCCAGTTGCTGAATTTTTGAAACTGTTCTGAAGCGCTTTCATTTCTTTATTTCCAGGTCGCGCTTGCCAAAGAAGTTAGTGTTGAGGTTATTCCGAGCATCATCAACTTGACGATTTGCGAATTCAACGATCTCGCCGGACAGTACAAAGGTTTGCATTGGAATCATCATAGAATTAAAAATATTTTGTTTGACTTTTTTTTCAGATGCTTTCACTGCGTTCAAATTGAAGTATTTTGAGAATCGCAACAATTTCCGCGAATTCACATCGAATATGGTATTTTATCGCAGAATGACCTTATTTTTTGGATTTATTTTAGATCGCCGTCGCCAACAATCTACACACATGCATTGAATCGACCGAAAAATACATGCAACAGGTGATTTTTGGTGTAAATTTAAAGGGAAAATCGAATTAAATATAAACGGCAACTTGGCGGGGCGTAAAAGCCGACATTTACGTAGAACCCGCTCGTAATACAATCATAGTTGAATTTTTGACACGATTGCAGATTCGATTATCGATGGAGGGAGAGCAGAGCGGTGTGGTGAACAGCGGCCGACGGACGATGGTCTCGCAACAGGAAATTATTGAGAATATGGACGCGTTGAATACGCGATGGCGAAACGCGATTTCGAACGCGTAAGCACCACTTTCTGGATTGCCATTATTGGATTCATTTATTTCAGTGTGAATTACTTGAGAGAGGAAGTTATTGTGGACATCAATCCACATTTGAGCGAGTTGTTCTCCAAGAATTGGTATTTTGAACGCGTCTTTGCGTTTTTTTTTAACGCATTTGAGTTTGTCTGTTGTAGGCTGATGGGATGCGCTTCACTTGAGACGATCTGCATGACGATCACTGATTATCATAATGATCATCGGCATTTGAGACCGGTTACGAGATCGGTGTTGTTGATGGATTTGCAATTTAGGATTGTTAGCGAGTACTTGAAGGCGATTGAGCAGCGGTGAGTTGAATGTGCCTTCAAACACGGCTTCTGAAAGAGGAATGAAATTCGTGGCTCTGATTTGGAAATTCAGCGAAACGAATACATTAAAGCAGTCTGTTTTTTGAATTATGGCGATGTGCAGTTTTTGAAAACAAATTTTAATTCGAAAATACTTTTTACCAGTTTTTGAAAATTGTTGAAGAAACTTTTAAAAAATTTAAAAAAGAGAAAATTCAAGTTATGAAAAAAAAAACACTTCGAGATCTTATAAGAAATTGCGTTTAGGCGGCTTGTCTTGACTTGCTATGAAGATCGTCTCGCCGCTGGAAAACGTATGAAGGATGATGTGACGAAAATCAACGCGATGTTCGCCGAATTCACATCCTACTTTGATATGAATGATCAGCTCACCATCCTCACATCGATCATCTCGAGCGCCGCCGATGTGATCGCGCTCAAGGATAAATCGATATTGGCGCTGGAAGCGACGTCGTTTGCGCGCAACTTTCCGAATTGTCCCGCCGGCCTGCTAGCGGCGATTCTGGCGACCAGAGATGACGTTGGACGAAATGAAGCGAGGTTCAGCGCTTTTTATACTTAATCGTTTTGTTTTTTTTTTGAGAACGCAAGCCGAAGAGGTCCTGCAACATGTGCAATTCCATCCAAAGGATCCGATTTTCGATCAGCTGTTCTCGCTGCGCCAACAAGAAAGCAAGGAATGGCTTCCGAGTATTGGCATGGCGAACGTGTTCACGAATTTCATCAAAAAGGACTTTAAGATGTGATAATGTAAATATTTATAAAATATTTATTTTTCTGTTAACCAATTTTTCATAAATATAGGTTCTACCCGCCTTTTTTCAAAATGTTTTTTTAATAGAGCTTTTGACAAAAAAAAATCGCCGAATTGTGAAAGATGGAAGCAGCACCGAAAAAAGGATTGGGGGCTGGGGCACCTTCTCATCGAAGAGAGTATCGGAAGTTTCGGAAACCGGCAAAACCCAATCCGCAAGTTTCTTGTAAATTTTTCATGACGCCCGATGGATGCAAATTTGGAGAGAAATGCAGGTTTGGGCACGATCAGAGAATTGATAATGTTGAAGGAATTGAGAATTTGAGCCTGGAGGAGGTGGGTTTTGAGAAAAGTACACTGGAAAGTGATATTCCAAAAAAAAATTGGACTATTTTTTCTTAGAAAATTGAATAAAATTTAGATTTGAACGTAACATAAGGGACCATGTTGTATTTTTGATATTGAAGCGAAATTGTTGATGCAAAAATTATTTAGTTAAAGATTTCATCGGTTTTGTTTTTTGCATTTTGCAGAAAAAAAAAAACAAATTATTTCGAATTGAATCATTTATTTATTGTTCAAAGATGCGTGACATCACTTTTGCTCTTTTTGACCCTTCTAATTTTTTGCCGTAATGGGGACTTTGTAGAAGCCGAGCTCATCTGTTGGCATTTTTTATCCGCCGGTGGTCACACAACCGCAAAAGGCAGCGATTCCTCCTATTTTGAAATTGACAAAAGCGGAATTGGGAAGTGAGCAGCAGAAAAACTTGCGGGATGCCGAAATAGCGTTTTTCAAAAAACGGTATGGAGATTGTGAAGAGGAATTTATCAATAGTTTTTGATTATTTTTAAGATATCGCCACTGCAAAATTGAGAATAATGAAACTGGAACCACAATATCGTTTAAATACGAAACTACTGATCCTGAATGGGTGATTTTCTGCAAATTTTCATTAAAAAATGGATTTCGTTTTAGATTTTTGAGCTCAAGACCATCCATTTTTCGATTCATTTGCAATATTCACATCCGATCGAGCCACCATTTGCTTTTCTGCCGGAAGAATCCAATAATTGCATTCCGGAAATTGCCAGGGAATATATTTCGCAAATAGTTAATGAGGCGTTCAAGGTTTTGATAGGCGTATTTCATAAATGCATAAAAAATTTTGCATTTTTTAAGGAGAAATATGAGCTTTTCGCGAAACGAGACGCGTTTGAGAATATTGGAAAAAATTTGATAAAATGGCTTGATCACTCGCTTTTTGAGATTTTCGTTGCGGGACTCAAACAAACAAAATTTACGATACAGGTTGGCGAGAGAGAGAGAAAATAGAAAATTTATTGCAAACTGATATTAGTGTTCCAGGCGGAAGCCATTGGAATGAAGCTGTACATGCCTAAAAAGGCGGCTGAACCTGTAACCGAGAAGCAAGAAGAGCGAATTAGCGAAGAAAACGAATCTCAAAATCAGAAGAATAATGAAAATTCGAAATCTGAAGCTGAAAATAATAAAGGGACTGATGAGAAGTCTCCATTTATCCCAGTTGATCACCTTCCAATTGATGTGGTTCTCAACTGGAAAAATTTGAGGTAAATATTAAAAATTCCGTCAAAAATTGAATAATTTAGTGGAAATGTTGGAACTATCAAGCCAGTTTGTCTGAAAATTATTACCAAATGTTTGAGATGTTCAACGGAACGTGACACTGAGGTATCTAATTCATTTAATTTGTTCAATTTATCATTTGATGGTTTTTCGATTGGTGTCAATGATAAACCGAATGGATGGAGGTGCTCCAAGTGCTCGCAAGCCGAAAGTATAAGACTGCGTGGGGAAATTGTCCACGAGAACTCGAATATTTTGTGTAAATTGGATGCAAAAGGATGTAAACCGATTGATTGTATACTAATGGACTCAAAAATGACACTAAATTGTCTCGCGTGTGGCCGAGACGAGCAGCTTCAGGTATTTCGTCCAACGTTTTCCTCAAACTGAAAATTGCACATAGAAAATCAATTATGGCGAACATCACAAATCATGGTGTCATGAATGTCATGCGTTGATTGAACTGTCGATTGCGACGATTCGATTCCGCGGCAACATCGATGAATGCTTTGGAGAAGATCGTCAAATCGCCGCGTCGATTCCGAAGCCCAAGAAACTTGTTGAAACGCGAAGTCATATTCAAGAAGGTCAATCTCTTCCCGATCTTGGCGCGTGTGAACACTATAAAAAGAGCTATCGATGGTTCAGGTATTTTCGTTTTTGACATTTGTTTATGTTTTATCAATCAATACATGCCGTTGCAGGTTTCCGTGCTGCGGAAAATTGTACCCGTGTGACACTTGTCATGAAAAGGCGACGAATGGCGAGCACGAGATGAAAGTTGCGAATCGAATCGTTTGCGGGCACTGCAGCAAAGAGCAGGTTTGATTGGATTCGATTCGATGTCAAGTGAATGCGTCGAATTTAGGCGTTTGTCAAGAACCAGCCGTGCGCCGGTTGCGGTGAAGGCACGACACGAAAGAAGACATCGTTTTGGGAAGGCGGCAAAGGGTGCCGAGATCCAACGAGAATGAACAAGTATGCTAGATTTGATTCACCTTTTGTTAGTATAGTATTATCTTTTAAAGAAACGACGCGCATAAATTTGTGAACAGCAAGAAGAAGACGGTGCCAAAATCGAAGGTGTCGGAACTCGTCACGAAAAAATAATTTTTGATTGGGTTTCTCCTCTTTTCTTTGTATTTTTTGCAACACAATCATCTTTTTTCTTTTCTTTCTTAATACGCCGGCCACCAGAGTTGAGGGCAACACTTGGGAGAATGCGGTGGATGTTGGTATTAAGTCCCTTGGCGCAACCGAAGTGGCCGTGGCCGACTTGGAGGTGGCCTTGGTTGACTCGGGCCGGTGTACTCTACCCGGAGGAATAATTGATTGTTCTCTTTTTGCACCGCCCATCCTATTTATTCGTTCCCACACTGTCAAAATCAATTTTATTCATAATTATTTAATTCCTATACACACTTTTCGTCTTATACTTGATTATCTTGCTCTCCGCGCGTAGAAATAAGATATTATTCTATTTAAGAAGTTAAAAGCCCATATTGCAATCGTTGTCTTGTCTGTTGTTCGGTTTCAGTTTTGTCATTTTTTATCGGTGTCAATGAGATTTAATTATCCAAGTTTGAGAATAAACAACTTGGCTAGCAAACTGTTTTGTGGAACGGTTTTAAGCAACGCATTAACTGGATGATGTTCGATGCGTGTTTTGCAGAATAACACATAAATTGTCGTCGACGGCTGCCGGGGTGGTCTAGCGTCAACAACGACGCTCTCTTTCTTTCTTTTTTCCAGACGAACACTTATTGTTATCGTAATCAGAGCCGAAGTGGGCGGAGCCTGCCAGCGGCGCCATATATAAAAGAGGCGATTTGGAAGGCGCCGGCGCTCTCCATATTTCTTGTGCCTTTTTGAGATGTTCCATATTTGGGTGCTCATCAAGCGTTCATCAAGCCGTCCGACGTCTCCGAGATTCTCCGATGAGCGCAAGAAAGATGAGAGCAGCTCGGAATCGGACGATGCCGACGACAACAACCATGGTAACGCCATCGGTGGAGCGAATCAAGAGCAGAATGCGGTCATCGATAGTCTCAGTGTTGTCGACAACAAACATTAATTGACGTCGGTTATATTTCGAATAAATGAAATGCAATATGTTGGTTTATCACAAAAAAGAAAGAAGCACATGAAACGAAAGACAATGAGGAAGAAAGAATGATAGAGAGGCTTATATATGTATATATATATATATATATAGCACACTGGAAAACGATGGCAACCCGTAACATGCAATTTTCTTCGAAATTTCGAAAAGACCGGAAAAGACTCTAATTAGGGGATAAATTAGCGGTAGATCAGATCGAGACAGGTGACAGACAGCAAATGAGCAAAACTAAGCGCGCGACGATTCTCGTTGTTGCGGCTCCTCTTTCTTTGGCATCGGACCAGCTTCGTGAGATTCGATCGCGTGGATCTCCTTCTTCTTGGGACCCGTCGTTTTGTTGAACGGCAACGCGGCAAACACCACCGGCAGCACGATAAGGCCGTGTATCATTCCGAGGAAGATGACGAGAACGACGACCTGGAATTATCGGAATCTCATTGGCTAGCAATTCGGATTGAATGAAGCTTGCCTTCACGAAAACTTGGACCATGTAAGCGTGAACGAGCGCGAGAACCGATATCGACATCATTGTTGAAGTGCCGGCTTGGAACATCGGCCACGCGATTCCGGCGAGCGCATGTCGGATGCGGGCGCGTTTCGACTGAAACCCGCGCGAGATTGGTTTCAGCAAATTTTCAAATATCTCCACGTCCCGAGACCCCATCAATTCCTTTGTTCGAAAAATATGGAACGCCATTTGTTTTTTTGTTCGCCCTCCCAAATTTTCGCATTGATAATTGTCCCATAAAACTGTCTACATGTAAGCTTATTGTCTTCGAAAAGAAAAACCAACAAATAACGATTCGGCGGAACTAAATTACAGTTTTTTGTTTCGGATTTACGTCAATCTTTCGGTGTTTTCCAACCCCCTACATTTTGCGGGTACAAAATTAGCGATTTGTGCTCGATTTTGAGCGAATATAAGGAATAGCATGATAATACTATAATCGGGCGAAACACGTGAACAGGAGCATTACCTGGAATTCGCCTTTGTAATAGTGCCACGTGACATGGGCGACAAAGTCCACCGAGAAGCCGATGGCCATCAGAAGGGTGGTCATCTGAAAATACGCGAATCGATCAAGCGAACTCTAATAAGGCGTTGATACCGAAATTGGGTCCAGGTCGATGTTCATGTACACCAGGCATCCGAAGACTCCTGAAAATTGGAGTCGATCCAAGCTCGACCGTAACACTCACCTATGTTGATTGAGAGAACTGCCGCTGTCGACGTCACAATGGTGACAGGTGAAGGTGTGAACAGTGTGAGAATGAGGATCATACAGAAGAGAGCGCAGAGCACTGTGGACTGGGTGACTGGCACGATGGTGAGGAGCTGGAAAAGGATGATGGGGAGGTGATGAAGCTCATTTGTCGATTAGAGTATACCTGATCGGAGTACATGCTGAAATCCTCGTAGATTGTCAAATTCAAATGTTGGTATTCTGATGCCATCTGACGCCAATTCTCAAGAAGCGCCAGACGATCCGTCCAGGAGACGGCGTCGTGAAAGCCGGTGGAAAACACGAACTTCTGAAGGCACGACGGCTTCTCGGCGTGACAATCTCTGAAAGTTTGGAATCTCGTCGATTTTCGCCTTCCTCCAACAAATTACTGATGGTTTCCGAGATTCACGAAATGGCTCCAACGTCGATATTCCATGAGCTTGAAAAACTCGGGCAAATAACGATATTTGAATTCGATGGAGCCGTGCTCTTGCTCGCCGACGTATGGTAGGTAGGGCAGCAGCCACATATGTGTGCTAGCAGCGCCCACGCTATTATTAGTGGTCTCGAAGCGACTGTAAAATTCGCGTTGAACGAAAAACAAAGAGATATTGAGAAATGCGATCTACCGTAATATCCTCATGATCTCGGGAACCGCTTCAGGCTGACTCATATTGCCGGGATTGTTGACGAACACCGCAACCTGGCCGCCCTCCTTGAAGATCACATTCGTCTGTAGTCGCACCAACGGCAAAAGCGGGGAATCGTCGAGGAAAAGCTTCTCCGACGAGAGGCCGACTTCGATTTGAAGCACACCGCGCACCATGAACACCCAATAAGTGAGCATGACGACGCTCACAATCAATTTACTCCATTTCGCCATGATCACATCTACCCAGACGTCGAGAATTTTGCGAAGCGCATCGTTGACGAACGTCATGAATTTGCCGGGCTTCTCGTTGGCCGAACTCTCCGACAACGGCACGCGTTTCCACCAGAAATAGGCGTTCACGCGTTTTTCTTCGCGCTCGCCGCCGAGCACCAACACCGCCGAGAAGAAGAAGATCTGATAGAAGTAGTCGTAGACGACGGCGGTCGAGATGAACACGCAGAATGTCTGAAATGCGGATGTTTGCAAAAAAAATTTTTTTTAATAATTGCATAATAGAATTCAAATTTTTGCAATCATAAGTCATCATGGGAATGATTTCATTTTCCCATTGAATAAATGGTCGTGTGAAGGCTACAATGAAAATTCCATGATTTTTCTTTGCAATTCCAAAGGACCATGATCGTCTATATCCTTATTATCACATTGTGAGCCGTTTCAAAGCAATATGAGGTGTAGTGGATCTATTTGAATTGCCGCCATGGGTCTCGTATGGAAAAACAATTAGAAGCGAGTTTTCAACATGTGAATGGCGTAATTTTTAAGAATATGAGCTGTTCTTTAATTCAGCATTAATATTCATAAGATCAGATTTGATTTTAAAAAAGGCACGATATAAAAATGTTGAAGTTCACTGAAGAAAAATTCAAATTGTCGTAATAGTGTGCAAACACACGCACGCAAAATTACACACATTTGGTTATTTTCACTGAGCTCTCTTTCAAATATTAATTTTTTTCACGGAGAAAAATAATTGAATTATTACGTATAGATAATATTTTAAAATTGATGTGTTTAAAAACTCACTCAAATTTTACAAATTGATTCAACGAAACTATTAAAAGAAAAAATCGAAAAAGTTGAAAATTGAATTAAACTCACATAAATGGCTGGAGTTGGTGTGAAAATTCCGATTCCGAATGACAATAGATTGGTTAGCGATGTAATTGAGATCGATGGTCCCGCATCTGCCAATGTCTCCGCCATCCGATCACGAACCGAATGTCTGCAATCAATGTCATCGAATCAATGGTATATCAATATATTATACTTGGTTGGAGTTCGATGCCAAGCATGAATAAAAATGAAGACGTCATCGACACCAATCGAAAGTATTAAAAATGGCACGACGGTGACAATCGGAAGGTATTCGAATCCCATCTGAAAATTTGAGTTTTAATTATTCTTGCTTCAAATTTCGCCAAATAATCACCCAAAACAGGTGTCCAAATGAGGCGCAAAGTGAGAGAAGTGGGCAGATGACTCCCAAGAACGATTCGAATGGCTTCGACATCACCGGATCTTTTTTGAGTGTCGTCAGCACGGTGAACACCAAAATGATCAAGAACGTGACGCCCATCAATGGCATCGCCAGAATTCCAGTGCGTCGGACTTCTTCGGAGACCAAACCCTCGCTGGTCACATAAACCCGAATGAGGGGGTCATTGATAGTGGTGAGCGAGTAATCGAAAAGCTTCTGCAATTTGAATTCAATGATATTCGAAATTCGCCTAGTTCGTCGCACCTTCTCCCACTGTCTCATTATCTCGAACATTGTGTCGTTGTTGTAAATCGCATGAAAATTGATCGCCACCAATTTCGAGCCCTCGACAATACTCGACCGATTGTTGACTTGCACTTGGAAGATGTTGTTGGCGAGATAGATGCGATGGCCGAACACGTCCATCGACGGATAGGTGAGCTTCACATGGGCCGTCTTGTTCACTTGCTGATCGCGAAACATCGTCAAGAAGATATTAACAGCGTCGGAGGTCTCGCATTGGGTTCCGCAAAAGTCGGAATACGCATAGCTGCGATTGTCGAGTTCCGCTTTGAGTTTGTATTGAAGGAAGTCCTCGATTTCAAGAGCCTTGTCGATATATCTGAAATTTTGGCCAATGATCGAACCAAATGCGTGTGTCAATATCGTGGAAATGACGCGCCGAAATAATTTAATAATCGCGCAAGCGGAAAAAATTAAATGGTGGAAATTCTAATAATCGAGACTTATAATTATGAATGTTTATCGCAAACAAAAAAAATTCTGTTTGCCATTTTCCCGCCCAATCCGGCAATTAACCGCCCCGGCCGCGAGCAAAAGTTTGCTCAGAGGCGGTCTGTTGCCCCCCGTCTTACACACGCACATTGGAACCAGCCAGGTGCAATTCAATTCAATTATTATTATTATAAAAAACGCGTCCCCCCCCGCCCTATTGGAGATATTCGGCTTATGCTGGCCGACGTCGGCGAGAACCTTCTCACCATGATCATCCTATTCATCTATAATCTCGAGGTTATCGCCATCTACATTTATTTGCGTTTCATTTTCATCGTGTTGCGCACAATTCATGTTGACGTCAAAGTAATTTTTCGGCGAATCAAAAAAACGAGACTAATTAAAGTGCAAATTTTCCGAATCCCTATTTTCCGATTTGGTTCACAATGATCGTATTAACCGGCATCGCGCTACTTCTCACGATATTCCTAACGGTTTTTCCGGTGTTCGTCTGGGAACTTGATGGTTAGTGGTTTTGATCAGGTGACGGCGAGAAATTCAATTTCGCCCCATCACTGCCGATTGTGAAAAATACGCGTTCGAGGCAAATATTAAATGCGCGTACAATAAAATGCCGAGTACGCAGACACGCACAGTCATCAAGGCTCTTAAAAAAAAGCGACTAATAAAAACTTTCGCTGCGAGACCTTGTACGGTTCACGTGGGAATTTCGAATGAAAAAAGAAAAAAAAATTGAAATTGAGGACATATATAGCTCAATTTTTTTTTAACTTTAATATTTGAACGATTAGAACTGTTTTAAATTATAACTTTGATGACGAGAAATGTCCGCAGATGCGAATTCATATCATTGTAAAAATCATTATGCCTCATAAACGTTCTCCTTTTTTAAACGACTGGCGCTCACCGCGCAAATCAGTTTTGAGTTTCATGTAGTAAGAAAATCGCATACTTTTTTTTAAATGTGAAGTTTAAAAAAAGCAAATTTAATGTAATTTTTACAGTTTTGGTTTGAAAAAATCAAATATTTAATAAATTGGTCCGCACGCTCAAAGTAATCTCATAGTCAATAGTCCCATTAAAAAACTGTTCTCCAGACCCACTTTCCCAAATTTGGCAAACTCGATTTCTAATAATCGAGTTCTGTTTTTTGGATTATTTAAATAGCCATGGTGGTCCTTTCATGGCTAAATCGAAGAAACTCCACTTCCGCCTGCCTTTTCTCGAAGCATTCGACACTCACAAAAAAAAAACGAAATGACGCTAGCGCGCAGGTGGTTTACTTGGTCAGAGATTTCAGAAATGCCTCAACTCTATTTGATTGCCATGATTCTCATCTTTCAACATCCATCATTAATCGCGCTTCTCGATTTTCTATTATGCGTTCATCGCCTATCAGTGGTGTTCTGCGAGTGCAAGTTCTTCACCCAATACTTTCGATGGTACGGGGACTCTGATTGAAATTCAAGTGGGACCCACGACGTTTCAGGACGGGACCACTACTATTTCTAATAATTGCTCCGCTCATGCTCATAGCCACTCTAATTGCGTCGACAGCATTAAGCATACATTCCGATGGAAGTGTGTCGGATTATTTCGTGAGGGTTGGGAGGCGTTCGGTTCCCAAAAACGGGTTGCAAATCAAATTTCAGATTCAAACCGGCTTGAAGGCAGCTCTAAGCGTTCTGACATTCTCGGGCTACAGTCTGATTCTAATAAAATCGCGATCGAAACAAACAACCAATGCGAATCGCAGGGATTACAGTGTCATCTTAAGGCAGGCATTGCCAATCGCCAGCTTCCAATGGGTTCGTTTTCGAGGCAACACACAATCAATAACCGGTTTTCCGTGCTTTTTTTACAGTGTTCCGTTATTATATTAGGCATCACACAGATTCCTTTTGAAGATTTCGAGGTGACAAACGTTCAAATTTTTATGATCAATATTGCCCTCTCCTGCATGTTTTGTAAGTTTTTGCAATAGAGAAAAAGTTAAAAAAAAAATGATTTCAATTTTTCGATTTTTTTTCTTCAAATTTTCATTTTTATGCCATTTTTATTCTTCCAAAATTTGGAAATTTTTCGCCAAACGCAAAATGAAGAAAAAAAATTGAATTTTTTTGCCCCTGATGAATCTATTGAATTACTTTTGAAATCACGGAAATTTTTTTTCGAAAAATGTTGAAAAATTAATTTTGATTTCGATAAATAAAAAATTTTCACACAAAAATCCAAAATCAGTGCTTTCTTTTTTATCAAAGCAAATTTGATGAGTTTTCTAATTTCTGAAAAAAAAAATTCGAGACAGCTTTTTTTAAAGGCACATACAGTTTCTTTTTTGCTGAAACACGTTTTTCCAGAAACAGACTACTGTATATCTGAATAATACAATTTGACTTAACTGTGATGCGCCTTTAAACTTCAGAAAATGCAATGCTTATTTGTACAGGGTGCGGCAAAATTACGGGTGCATAACTTTGGCGCAAGCTCATAGTGCACTGTCGTATTTTTTGTGCAGTTTTATGTTTTTATTTTATTTTCTATGACGTTTTAATCATTTTCTGAAAGTTTCATGAAAATCCGTTTCGTATTACAAAAATGACAGCTGATTCTATTCATCGTGCGGCCATCATCGACTTGAAAAAAAAGGAACATCGTTCAAAATGATTTCTATAAACCTTGGAGTTCACCACAACACCGTACAAACAACTTGGAAACGTTTTGATGAGGTAGGAGGACTCTCTAGCTGTCTTAGAAGAGGAAGAAAATATTCTTTAATAACACCGGAGCGAGTCAAGGTCACCAGGGAACGAGTTCGTCGAAATCCAGATCGTAACATCAGAAAGATGGCGTCAGAAGTCCATGTGAGTCCGAGATGGTGGGAAGAATAGTCAAAGATGAGCTGAACCTGATACCTTATCGTGTCAGAAAGGCCGCCATTCTAACCCAAAAAAATAAAGCAGGTCGAATGAAAAAGTGCAAATCACTCCTAGCAGGCACGCGGCAAGGAAAGCACCTAACGACTTTCGTCATGGATGAGAAGCTGTTTACGGTAGAAGCTGCTTTCAATCTCCAAAACCACAGAGTGATCGCCAGAAGGTCTGAGGAAGCTATGAACAAAGGCAGAACCATTCATCGTGTTTTCCATCCACAGCAGATCATGGTATTCGGTGGTATCTGCGCTGACGGCAAGACACCACTGATTTCGTTGATCCCGGAGTGAAGATTGATCAAAATGACTATCTTAATGAGATTCTGAAGAAGAATGTCCTTTCCTGGTCCCAATCTCACTTCGGAAATCGGTCGTGGACTTTTCAACAAGACTTAGCGCCTGCACAACGAGCCAATATCGTTCAAGACGGGTGCGGCAGCCATTTTCCATCATTTATCAAGTCAACGGATTGATCCGCTTCGTCGCCCGACCTGAACCCCATGGACTATTCTGTCTGGGGGGTCTTGCAAGAGAAGGTGTCAGCTTTCCCACACCCAAATACGAACTCATGGAAAGCTGCCCTTCTGAAGGAATGGGACAAATTGGACCCCAAATACCTGCGTGCCACCGTCGACGCCTATCCGAAGCGTCTGAAGGAATTTATCAAGAATCGTGGTGGAAGAATCGAACAACGATAATTAATTTGTGATTGTTATGTGTTGAATAAATTTTGGTATTAATTTGAAAGAGTTTTGTTGATTTTTAAAAAAGTTATTTCGTTTTATTGATGCACCCGTAATTTTGCCGCACCCTGTATAATGTCACTCTCGAGAGAAACCAAACCGGGTCTTGTAACGATGCGCCTTTAAAATCCAATACAAACTAATTAAGCTATCAGACTAGCGCGATGCACCTTTAAGTTCGTAGAAATCCATTAGGTATATCAAAATCAGACAATTACCATCCCATGACTAATTGTGGACCATCGCACTTTTTTAAGGCGGGAATTCAAATTCCAAATTAAACAGTGGGAATTTGGGTACCACACTTTAGATACAACGACCCCCCCACCCCACCCCCCGTTTCTAGCTTATAATTCTCTTCGCGATTACAGACATCGTCGTTCCGATATCGATAATCGTTGGGAACAACACGAAGCGTCGCCTATTCCTCAATTCGTTTTGTTGTTTTTCGATCGGCAACTCGAGCGATTCGCGCGCGGCCATCTATACGACGGAAGCGGCGCGGCGACGCGGCGTCTAACTCAACTCACTTGGGTCGCAACAGACTGCCGCCATCGGTGGCCTGCATGGCGACGACGACGTGAAACGGGCTGCCGAGCTCCTGGAAGAACTCGCGAGCGACACGATACTCATAACGCGACGGCGAATTCTCGGCGCTACAATCAATCAATCAATTAATTAATTAATTAATTTGAGCTCATCATTTGATCTACCTGAAATGATCACGAACATTGTTGACTTCCTTGAATCGAACGGCTCCAGCGCACATCAAAAGAGCCCATATTGTTCTGCAATATTATTATTATTATTACTATGCGTGTGTTCACTTAATGATCTCTAATTGGTGATTACTCATGTATTGTTGAACTCATCTGGCACAATTTTCAATTTTTGGTGATATCAATTTAATTTTTCAGGCGTTCGCTGAATCAAGCCAAAACCTTGAAATGCTCTTTGAGAAAAATAATTATACTCAGGGAATATGTAGAATTTTTGAGAAAATTCAATATGAATCCAAAATTTTTCATTTTTCACGACCATGAATTATTTTTTTTTTTAATTTTATTAATTAATGAATGGATGCTCTAGAATTTCAAAGTTTAGAATCGATTTTCTTGAAAATCGTCTTTTTAATGAAAATGTAGGCTAATTTTTATCGGAGTATATAAATAAAAAGATCTGGTCGATTCGAATTGGGTCTCAACGGGAAAAAAATCAGTAAATGATTAATTGCAAAAAAAAGAAGAAAATTTCATATTTTTCATTGCTTTTTTTCTTTTTTTGCTCAAAATGTTCAAATTCGTCCGCCCAAAACAATATTTGAAACGATATCGCAATTTTTTTTCGAATTATTAACAAAATCGCCGGCCAACTTTGTCCGTCAGCTTTTTGACACTAAAAACGGATTTCATTTTGCATAAAATTTATATTCCCTGTTTGAAACGGGAAATTCGTATTCGAAAAATTGTTTCGTGAAACTTTGAGCAAATTTCGATTATAAAATTTACAAAAAAAGCGAGTAATTGTGGACCATCGCACATTTTTTTTTCAAGGCGGCAATTCAAATTTCAATTTACACGATGGAAATTTTGGTACCGAACTAATCTCATCGCAAATCTGCGCTTTTTTTGTGTTAATTTTGTTTTAAATTCAGTTGGCGCGAAATCAAAAAAAAAATTTGCATGCGCCTTTGAATGCTGAATTTTTGATACCCAGCTGAATAGTTTTTCCCAAAAAAATGGTACCATAATTTTTCGCCACAAGACCCCCGCGATTATATGTACAGCGAAATTTTCCTGATTGAAAAAAAATTCGGGCGACTATATAGTCCGTTTCACAGAAAAGAAACCGGCTACTGTAATTATTCAATGTCGCCAGCGTTGCGGTTCGCGTGCGCTTCCTGTTCATTTTTTTTCAAAATTCTCAATATCAAAGTGAACCGCAACACGTCTGAACTATAAGGTCTCGCAACGAAAAATTCTGACAGCCGCGTTTTTTTTTGGAACCCACTGTTTTTATCGTTTTAGAATTAACATATTTCTTTCTATAAAAAATTCTTCCGTCTTCAATTCTATTTTAAAATCTTCCAGACGAAATGTTCAAGTGTCTTGCATAATAATTCAAAAGTCAAGTGTCTTCGAGAAGGGAATGCGAAAAGTGTTCTTCATATACATCAATTTTGATCACAAACATTCCGAAATGAGTGTTCGATGGTTCTTTCATTGTGTTTCTCAGCTTGTGCTTAAAGGCAGCCAAAAGCATACATAATCGAAACATGGGGGAATTGGAGAAGCAAAACGCCACACGAACGAAGCCAAGAAACAGAAAAAAACCGTAGAAAACCGGTTGTTTATCGCGTGTGGACGGATTCGGACAGCTAGCTGAATGTCAACTATCCCGTTTTTTTTTGCGATGACGGCCACAAGAAGAAGCCGCTGTTTCAATACATTTATATATGTTTCTCGCTTACGTCACAAGAAGGGTTATCCTGGGCCAATCGGCGATTTTGAGGCCGAGCCAATAGAAGATGTCGTGCGTCTGCTGCTCGACCCATTGCGAGACAGCGGCGGTGGCGCGCGAGCACGAATTCATTGGACGCCGACGTCGTCTTGTGTTCCTCTTCGGCTCAATCCCTATAATTATTATAATATATATTATGTATAGTATATCTACGATCAAGATCGTGTCCAATGATTTTTTGCTGGCATTCATACAGATTGTATGCGTTTGCGCTTTTTTTTTTGCTGACCGCTTGGGATGGAACAGTGATGATGATGATGATGAATAAGAAGGGATGAGGAGATGAAATAAATCGGCAGGAATATGAAACAGAAGGCAATTGACGTTTTGATTTAATGCCAAAACGTATCTGCGGACACATTTCATATTTTGAGAGATGGCCGGCTTTGTTGCGTCATCAATCGGCGTGAGACCATAAAAAATCGCAATGAATCCCGTTTCGGAAGAGGCGGATTCAGAAGGTATTGATGATAACGTGTCAGAACTCAATTCTAGAAGAATTGACACAGAAACGAGGGCAATTGAGAACAGAATTTGCATATTCAATGAATCATTGATCACATCGAATTCGATTTGGAGAAGCATGTGGGCGGTCTATGAAAATACTCCAGAATCGACCTTACGCAATCATCATCATCGTCTTAATGAATGTCATAATATCGACGGGAGTCGGATTCGCAGAAATCAAATTAATGAAGTGGGTGAAAAGAAAATGAATCGGAATGGAAAACACAAACATAAACCTGATTTCGTGGACCACAAAATGCCAAAAAAAAATTGTAAAAGGGCCATCAAGACGGTTGGTGTGGGGGGTTTTCTGGGAAGGCCGGTTTTGTTCAGGAATCAAAGTTGGCAGGACGACAATGAGATTGTCTTTGCATTCGAAAAGGATCTTCTAAACGGTTGAAAAACGACGAGGACGATGGTGGTGGTGGTGGGGGGGCAAAGAAAGAAACATGTGAAATTCATAAGACACGCTTCAAATCCTTCCACCATCGGCGCGAAACTGTTTTCGGTCAATTGGAATGAAACTGGTAGACAGTCAACATTGGCAGCGCGCATATCTGTGCAAAAAATCGCTGAGACCATTTCCGGGAGAAGTTGGTTCCCTCGAGGAAACGAGGGAGAGGAAAGGAGAAGCCTTTTGACCTACTTTGGATGAACAAAAGAAACATTGGCGCGCAAGCGGACGGTTAAGCCTACGGCAAAAGCTAAATGCTTCGAAGGGGGAGGTTGAATGAATTGCGAATTCGTAGACACACAGACAATCCGCACCCTTTTCCCGCAGCCCGCAAAATGATTAAAGCTTTTCTTTTTCGATCGGCGAGGAAAGGCAGGAGAATGCGATCGAGGAGAAGGTGGAGAAGAAGAAATAAGAAGAAGCATATCAAGTTTTGTGGAAAAAGGAAACGACGATTTTTGCGTGGTTCGACCCTTTTATTATTTTCGATTCCGCACCCCAGGTGTCCTATGATGAGGGGGGATTTGCGGGTCAGACGCCTCCCCTCCCCCTTCCTGTTCAAAATTGGAGTTCAATTAGCGCAATTGTACGACGTTACAGCGGGCGAATCTTGCTTGTTCGGCTGATTGAAGAAGCAGTAATATAGTACGGGTGAAACCCATTATAAGTGGGATTTGATGGCGAATAGGGAAGAAGCTAATTGAATAAATGAATGGATTAATTATGTTGTTGCATGTATGTGTATGTATTGACGTGAACGAACGACACAGGAAAAAAAAATGAAGGAAAACCGACTGAATGGCATCGAGCGTCTGGGCGCTTTTGCTGCCGCCCATCGCCATAATCGCATTGCTGGCGGAAAACGGGAATTTTGTGAAGCGTCTGGCTGATAGTGCGCACCGAGTGATCGATGAAAAATGCTGGTGGCTTCGCATTCCACGCATGGTTGGTCGATCTCAGCAAAATTCAAATTCATCGAATACAAATGAGATATTTGGCGATATACAGAAAACGAAATGTATTTGATAACAAAAGTGCACTGGATTGTTTTTATGCATTTCGGCTTTGAATCGCGAGAAATTAATTATATTTTCAATTGAACGTTTGCAGAAAAAATATATTGGATCGCGGGAACGTATGGGAACTCGATTTTCTCCTCAATTCCATAAATCATCACTTTCAAATTGCGTTTTCTCCCGTTTCTTGACAAAATTGCAGGTCGTGTAAATTTCAAAATTTTCTCTAACACTCTGCGCCTCGTTTTTTCTTCATACACCGTCACGTACAGTTGCACAATTTGCATAAGACCCTACCTACGAACAATGGGTTCAAAATTTAGGATTCATATTTTTAATTTTCTTGAATTTAAATTTAGCATTATTGATTTTCATCTTATTTTTCAATATAGAAATTTTACAAATGTTGCGTTTTTTTCATTATTTGAGATTCGCGAGTGAGTATTTCTCACACATGATTTGAAATATGCCCATTTTGACCTACAGTTTTGTTCTAAATTTTTGTCTTCGACAAATTTTATAGTTTAGTGCCTTGTTCGCTCATGAATTATATTGATTTCCACGACAAGTTGGTTCGAAAGCGGTCAATCAATATTGCTGCGGAATGACAGTTGAAACCTTCCGCAAGAAGGTCCATGATCCATCATCAGATGAAGAATGGTGTCCAAAACGTAAAATAGTAAGTTGAAATTAATTTCATGAAATATTTAAAATTTAAATTTAGAAAAAACTTTCACCACAAGTTTCGTGTGTGTCACCAAGCTCTGCACAATTAGCATTGAATAATCCTGAAATTGTCTCCAAAGTTTGCGATTATTTGCTCAATGGTAATAAAGTTGTGCACTTTATTGATCTTAGGGTAAGAATTTCTTTGGATGTATAAAAAAGGTATTTGTTAATTTAGAGAATCAACCGAACCTTCGATTTCACAGTTCTCCATTTTGTGCGTAAAGCGTTCCGCCATTTGCAGATTGTCGACACCAATACCAATAATTTTGAGCTTGAAATCAATGAAATCGATATAAAATTGGTGCTAGTGCCTTCATTTTTCCAGTAGCCGCTCGACATGATCAAACGCTTAGAAACAAATATTGCATTCAGGTTTTTAAGGAATGTCGCCAAAGTTAGAATAGAAACAATCGAGTTTGCTGGATTCTTAGATAGCAATAAAGAGGTTCATGATTGTATTCTTCGTGAGCTGTTCAGTTTTGATGGTGTGAATTTTCAAATTTGTTTTATCGACTTGTGAATTTTCAGTTATGCAAATCCGCAAGTTTGTTGGAGCTGAAGAGATTTGCGAACGAGGTTGTATGATGTGCCATGCATTGGCATCAATATCCAAAAGTTATGGGCCCATGCAGTGGCTCACCCTTCATCAGGGATTTTCATGTAAAAGAAACTTCACTCATCTGTTAATAACAGAAATGTAAATTAATATTCGAGTAGCATTCATTTGAATTTGTTTCGCGCAGATTACTAAATGAAATCGCGACCTATTGTACTTCAGAAGTTCTCGATTCAAATCATGCACTAAAAAAAATGGAGGTAATTCTTGGAATTTCTGTACACTTGAAAAAATATCCGTATTCAGGAAACTATTGGAACGAATGTTTCCTGTGAACTTCTGGAGATTGTCATTTCAGATCGCCTCATGTTTTCGGCAACGACCGGAACTCATCCAAGAAATGTTATTGATTGTATTATAAAACAGTGGAAGTATGAGATTATTACAATTCACTTCATTAAACTATTAACGGGTTTGCAGGCCGCAAATGGTGAAACTAAAATTTCTTACCGAGTTTTCGTCATGTGATGGCGAAGGATGGAAAACAAAACGCATTTTCGATGAACTTCAATTTGATTCGAATAGTGTTAAAAAGACATTAACCCTGCCAAGTGATAGGTAATTCCCGCAGTAATGTGCCTAATCGACGACTAATTCAGATTGAAATCGTTGGAAATTGAATTGATGGAAGCTGACGCGATTGCGGACTGTCTGATAGCAAAAGCGATGTGGAGCCAAGACATTCATATCGGCTACTCGTTGCAGAATGTCTGCGCGAACGTGAAACGGGTGTTTCCGTCGGATAGAGTATTTCTAACGTTGCCGCTCGGAATGCACGATTTGGCGGTTGGTTGAAATTTTGCGCGTCCTTGTGCAAGAACGTTTGAGGATTTCAGCGAGAGCGTTTTGGGGACTTTTGCGAAATTGTGGTGTCATTTGTGTGGAATGATGAGCTGAATGCGAGAAACTCAACATGTTTTGTTCGCGTTTATTGTTATGGAATCAAAACGCAAGATGTACAGAAATCTGTATTGGTGAGTTTGAATTTTTAAGAGCCTTTTTGTGAATCTAATGGGAAATTTTTTCATCAAATGTTCATTTTTAATGTCCGTCGTGAGAATAACTGAAAAAAAATGCGTGATTATCGTACGTCTTTAACCTTAGCCATTCATATTTGTTCTAAGCGATAACCTTTATTTGTTCTTCATTCAATAGTTCTACTAGTCATATTTCGCTAAGCACCAAAGAATGTGCAATATTATCAAATTGCAGCCGATGTATGAATTCAACGGTCGTCCGATCATTTCAAATGTCAACTCATTGGCGTTGGACGTTGAAATTCGCGGACTGCTCTCGAATTGGCACCACCACAGCAACATGCGCAACTTTTCGCCGATCGCCGTCGTCTCGTTGTACGATGTTCTCAACAAGTGCGCGATTCATATCCAAGTATGTGTCGACCCTGAATGAGCTGAGCAATTGTTCTTCTGTTAATAATATACATTACTTGCCACTAACATATCTTCTAATCGGCTCCTCACCCCTCCCCTCTCTTTCCTTCACCTCTCCCTTCCCTCCCTCTCCCCTCATCGCTCGGTCTCCACCCACTCCCTTTTATTTCAATTCTTCTGTAAGTAAAAATACTTTGATTATAATAAACTATTATAATGACACAATAAAAAGTACGAACGCTTGTTGACGCATGGTTTGCACGTGAATGGTGGAATATATGAAGATTGTGCATTTATTCAGAAATTCTTCCATCTTTTAGATTCTGCTTCATTCAGTATGTTCGCTGTTGTTAATTCGAACATCAATTTTATTCATCAGCAAGAAATATTATAAGTAAAAATATTAAGAAAAACCAGTAGAAGGAGCCAAATATACAGAATAGAAGAGAGTTAGCATGAAGACCGGAGCAAAATGTGATATGAGGTGTGATTAGAGGAAATCCAGAATTTTCTATTCAGAGAAAATAAAAAATGGACAAAATTACAATGCAAAAAATAATTACTAGAACATCTTTTCTGCATTGAATTTTTGTCATTTTTTTTCGTTTTTCTATTTTCGCTACATTAACTTCCATCACAATCAATCTCATTTGACCACAATTTCTGAGCGCTTCGTCCGAGATCCAGAAAAACTCTAAAAAGACGACTGAAGATTCATTGTTTCGAATTGAGATACTTTGCAATGAATCCGATATAATTAGCAAATGGCGGCGCCGGTCGGTAGATGTGATCATGAAGCTCAATATTCAGTGTCATCACATATTTGCCTTCGGTGAAAGTGTGTTTTCCAATTGTGATTTGAGTCATCTCGCCCATGTAATTTTCGTCGCCGCCGATTATAAACTGAAAAAAGAGGGTTTTCGCGATTGTAATTAATTAATTAATCCATCGAGTGTGGCCGTGGCCGAACCTAACAATGAGAAACTTTCTAGGCCACGCTTGGGGACAACCGTGCTACGGCACAACTTGCTGTGATTTTAAATTATGGTCGATGTCACGCGATTGCGGAAAATTGGCTAAATGCCAAAGAAATAATGGAAGTGGTCTTGGCGAAAAACTAAAAGAGTAGATTTGTGCTCTTACAAAGGAGGTCTTTTTGCTGTCCGTCTTAAAATTTTTTTTATTTTTTTCATACAGATTCTTTAGAAAATTTCCAATCGAATGAACTGGGTCCCTACATGCGCAAACTTCTAGTTGTCGAGACATGGACCTTCATAGTTGTAGCCCTTTCCCACGTGAATTTTGCATACAAATGTGCGGAAATTCGAAATGAAATAATGGGATGTCTTCTATCGCGCTTATATCCTAATTTGGTAAGCATTTGTGGTTCAGTGGAGAAGGTCCATATCTCGATAACTAGAAGTTTGCGCAGGTAGGGACCAAGTTCATTCGATTGGAATTTTTCTAAAGAATCTGTATCTTTTTTTTCTAAAGAATCTGTATAAGAATCTGTATGCAAATAATAAAAAAATTTTAAGACGGACAGCAAAATGACCTCCCTTGTTAGGAATAAGCGTAGGTTAATGGTGCCAAAACCTCTACTGAAATTTTTTTGGCATTTAGCCAAATTTCCGCAGTCGCGCGACATCGAAAATATGATAGAGGAAAAAAATCGGATATTTTAACTAAAGACGCAAATTTTTTTTGCGTAGGCTCACATGACGCTGGACGTTTCAAAGTTCAAAATCATTAGTCGAAATTTCCCTTTTTTTTAGAATCGTTGTTTGTTTTTTTCGATCTTTATTTTGAATTTTATATTTCTGCAATGTAATCGCCCAATCATGGAAGCTCTTAGATTTGCAACCTCTTCTGGATCGATTTTATTATGGAAGTGTAAAATTTGTATAATATTTTTTCTATTTTCATTCTTTCTTTCTGTCAAAGTATTTTCCGAAAAAATTGAATTTAAAAAAAAAGATTTTGGCAAAAAATATTATTTTAAAGGCGCATTGCATTTCTCGTCTTTTGCCTCTCGCTAGTGAATCAACACCAAAAAAGAAGAGATTTTCAAAATGATTTCACAATTTTTTTGTCTGAGGTTTCAGATTTGACCCATGGTTTCTTTTTCTTCACTTATACCGCGCGATGAGATTGCCGTGGCATTTGGCGAAATCAATCCTTCATCGCAACCATCCTACCGTCGATTGGAAGCAATTGTGAATAATCTCCAATGTCGCGAAAATTGTGTTACACTCTAGATCAGTTGCCAATCGATAGTATCCATGGTCCACAATTGTCTTGCCTATCGTCGGCTTCAAAAAAACATCTGCAATGAACTTTGTCGAATATAATCGCATTTCGAGTTACAATTGTTATCAACCAATCGAAATTCGGCGTTTGTGACCAGCTTTGAATTGCATGTCAAGTTTCCAGTGACCACAAAAATACGGTCAGCAGAAGCTCCAGCGAATAGAAGGGTCAACAGTACTATCATTAGTGTGATTGCAAACCATTTATTATTCAATCTGCTTTTTATACTACAACTCGTTATCGGTTACCTTTGAAGTACAAACATAATCCAAAACTGCGATAATTTTCTATTGATAGGCAAATTTGAGGAGAATTTTTGCGAGTAATTTTTATATGTAAATAATATAATGAACGAGAGGCTCACAATGAAGAAAAAAAGATGTTCAATGCGTTCCGGTTGCTGATAATTCACTAAGTAAACAATATTTGGGTAAAGGGAATTATGATAAATAAAATTTTTAATCCTCTACCGAAATTTTGATCATTTCTTATTTAATTATTTCTCAATTAATTTTGAGGTCCCGTGAAAAACATTGGGCACAGAACATCAATTTTCTGACTGGCCATGTTATGAGGAGCCGAAAACACGCTCATAATTTCGGGGAGTATACGGTACACACTGCGGTGTATGCACACCCACCCACTAGTTGACGCGCATGTACGGAGTTTGGCGTTTTATTAGTCATTGATTTGAGCGATTGCTATTCTTTATTGTGTTGTATTACAGATACGCTAGTGATAGTCTAACTGAATATTATTTGTTGTTGTTGTTGTTGGGGAATGTCCCACAAAATTCCATTTTTCATAATTATTACACGCAATGTCTGCGTCTCTGTCGACAACACGCTCTCTCACTTGTAAACACTGTCTTCTATTGTAGAAATCAGGGGGTGGGCGCATTTTTTCTTTCTTTTTCTTACTCATAGTTTAAATAAACTTTAATTACTTAACTACGTGTACGTCAATTCTCAACACCGCAACAGTTGTATTTTGAACTTACAAGGGATGTCTTTTTGCTGTCCGTCTTAATTTTTTTTATTTTTTGCATCCAGATTCTTTAGAAAATTTCCAATCGAATGAACTAGGTCCCTACATGCGCAAACTTCTAGTTGTCGAGACATGGACCTTCATAGTTTTAGCCCCTCCCCACGTGAATTTTGCGCACAAATGTGCGGAAACTCGAAATAAAATAATGGGATGTCTTCTATCGCGCTTATATCCTAATTTGGCAAGCATTTGTGGTTCAGTGGTGAAGGTCCATATCTCGATAACTAGAAGTTTGCGCAGGGACCAAGTTCATTCGAATGGAAATCTTCTAAAGAATCTGTATGCAAAAAATAAAAAAATTGTTGCCGTTTTCGGACTACTCTATGTAGTTGTTGTTTGTTTTCATTGCTTAAAAAACTATTGAGATAAATTCATATTTATTTATTTATTTTCGCGAGCGCGCATATTACAACAGGGCAAAAAATAAAAACGAGACAGTCTTTATTTTTAGTTTTTCTTTAACGAAAAATGGAACGCGAACGTGAATTATCGAAAGGATGATGAATATGCTTTAAAAATAATAATTTCTATAGGAGGTTCAATGAACTCAAACCTCCTTAATCGTCGTAAATGGGATTCTCGCCTGGCTTTTTTTATTCAGCAATGTCTTCATGTTGTTGTTTTTTTGAAAAGCAGAACTCCACGCGATGATGAAATGGTGGAGAATTTCTATTTTTCTAGTATATGCGTTTTTTTAATTGTCGTGGACCAAATTAATTTATCATCTGAATCCTTGGGTCTCAAATAGAAAAACCCCTTATAGTTGATGGTTTTGTTGAATATAACTATAGTGAGGTTTGTTGATTAAAAATGGCCGGGACCATCGGTACGGTTTTTCAGATTCGCTATAGTAGGGCCCGTGTTGAAATTGCCGCCACCGCATTATTTCAAAAAAAAAATAGGCGCCTGTGGCTTATCCCGGAAATTTTCCACAGATGTCAAATAACAAAATTGAGCATGATTTTTTAACAATTTTGATAAGTTGAAAGAGCACGATCTTTAATGGAGAAATTGAGGAAGAAAATTAACAGAAAAAACGAATTTTTGCACTTTGAAAAATAGAAAATAATAGTAAATTATAAATATTTCCCTTCCGTTTTCTTCTGCATTTTCCCTCAACATTGGCATTTCTTGAGCTTTTCGTCATTTTTATTGTAAAAAATTGAGTGAAAATCGAATCATATTCTATTTACGAGCAAATTTCTCCAATAGATAAACCTTGTTTCTTCAACATTTCAACGCTCGATTAAAAAATATCAAATTTATTCAATATTTACAAATAAATTTAAACCAACGCGCGCGCAAACGCGAACCCATTCAAAACAAAAAAAAAGAGAAGAAAATGAAAACGGTGCGCGCGAAAATCGCGGCAGAGAGAAGGACACGAAAACGCGATCCCAATGAAAATTCGTTTCGATCGATATGAGCATATTTATCCGTATCGATATACAAACGGTAGGTACACGGGCCAAAAAAGGAAAACATCAAATAAATAATAAGAGAAAAGAAAAATTTGTTGAGCAAAAAACATCTAGTTGGACCTAACGAATCGGAGCAGACGGAATAAGTGACACACTCACGCAGAGACAATGAAAATGAAGAATGAAGAAAAAAAAGGAACAATATCCACCCATAAGAAGAAGAAAAAAAGTCAGTTAACCGAGTATTATGAAATTATACAAGTCTGGTGACCAATAATAAACTTTGAGCACACACGCACGGGCTCTTTACTCAATTATTATACAAGTTGCTCTGAGAAGATTAAACAAAAGCATAAGTAGAGAGGGAAGGGAGGGGCGATTGTGTGTGTGTAACTAGACTGCTTATTTAACACTAATCAACTATGTGTGAATTTTGCTGTTGCTGTTATTATTATGACAAGGTGTATATATAATGCAATCTCAAATCTCATCCGCCGACGATCCTTGATCGGCCATCATTCGACTGCGCAGGCTCGTTCGCACAATTCTCGACTTTTTGATCGATGCCGTCCGTTGCTGCTGCTGCTGCTTGTTCTTTTCGCCGTCCAAAATATTGAAGTCGAGCACTGGCGCTCTCGGCACGTTCAACTTTCGCACACTTCGTAGTGGCGGGCACGAAAGCGGTCTAAAATTTATTTTGTTAATAATTTCTACCATATCAGAATGTAAGTCTTACGCAATCTTCATTCTTGGCGAAATCACTTCCGATATAACAGCGTCGTTGTCATCAGAATCCATGCAAGCCTCCATCTTCATCATTCTCTCATATTTCTCTCGTTGCCAAGTTTGCGGATCACAAACTTCAGTGTCAACTTCGGATCGCATTTGACGCATCTCATCATAATCACCATCGCCTTTATGTGCGGGCGGCACAAGCTGTCGAGCACTTTGAAGAGGTCTTCCTCTGAAAATCTCATTGAAGAAAAGGCTTCCAAAAAAAATCGACTTACTTCGGCAATCCTTTATTAACACGTCGTCTTGGACTCTCAAATAGCGGGCTGTCAGCAGTCGCTGGCGAAGATGTGCTGACTGTCGTCGAGTCGATTGTTGACGAGTTTGACGATGACGTCGGAACCTCGTCATCTTCGGCGTCATCCAGAGACCATCGCGGAATCGAGGCAAATTGCCGCCGTTGATAATCAACATTCTCATCATCGGAATAATCAAATGGCGTCGCCACCGACAACGGTCTTGCGAACACCTTATTCGCTTCCGGCGTGTGAATCGGAGTGCGCGGTTGCTGAAAAAAGTCGGGAAATCAGAAATCAGTCAATGAGAATCATTGCTTTTTTCTCACTACCTTGCTTATGGTGAGCGCACAAATCGAGCTTCTACGATTGCAGACCGCGGAAAACGCGACGAGCGGCGGATGCACGAGGAACGAGAAAAGAGCAATGACCCATGTGAATACAATAAACGAAGCGTTCGTTAGCCATTTGGACTGAAATCAACGAGTTCAGTTCACAAGTCAAATGCAATAATTCGCTTACCAATCCGATGAACGCGATGTAGGCGTTTCGTCTGAACAATCGCCTCTTGACGCACGGCTGTCTGAGAAGCTCGGAGGTTGTCGGACGTTCGGTAGGATCCGAAGACAACATCCATTCAATCAAGAACCGCATATTCTTCGAAATTCCTATAGAATTATTCAAAATTAGAAAAAGAAGAACAAATTTTTGTTGAATCTTACCAATGAAAAATCGATCAGGAATTTGACCATTTCGAATTTGATGCCAATTTTCGCCGTTTGACGGAATATCCAAATCGGTTGCCGCTTCAAGTATGGTCATTCCCAAACTGAATATGTCGCTGGCTTTGCTCGGCGAGCCGTTGAGCACCTCAGGCGCCAAGTATTTACTATCTCCTTCCTCGGCGGATTTTACATCGTTTGGCTAAAATTGAGAAAAATTATTTTCCATTTAAAAAAAAACGGATTATACGTTTTTGAGGTTAATCACTAGACCGAAGTCTCCTAATTTGCAAATTGAATGTGAGCTCAAAAAAATATTATCCGGCTTGATATCATCATGAATCATATCATTTGAATGTAAGTGATGAACTGCCTGCAAAAATTTGTACAATAAATATCAAGAAAATTCTTTAAAAAATAGATTTACATTCAATAAATCAATAAGAATATTCCAGATCTGCTCTTCTGGTATCGCATGATGCTCCATGCAATGCTGAAGAAGGCTCTTCTCACAGAGCTCTTGCTGAATATACAATCGACCACTGAAAAAAAAATGAAAATTGTAGTAAAAACTGCGAAATTTAACGATTACCCTTCCTCCCAGGCTTTCACAAATTCCACGAGATTAGGATGTTTTGGCAATCGCATGTGATTTTCAACCTCGCGATATTTGCTAATGCAATTTTGGCGAATTAATTGAATTGAGACTTTGACTGCATAACGCTGACTGTCTTCAAGCGATCGCACCGCGTAAACCTAGAAAATGCGTAAAACTCAAAATGAAACATGGCATAATTCAAAAAGTACCTCTCCGAAAGATCCTTTTCCGATTATGGCGTCGATCTTGAAACATTGCTCAAAATAGGTTTCCTTCTTTTCTTTATTGTAAATTGGGCTGCTTAGCGGCATTGTTGTTCCATTATAAGAAATAATTCTCGGGAATCGGCATTGCATTGCGGTATAAACGCTTTTCATTGGCGGCGCCGTTTTCGCCACTTTTGGAGCTGGGCGTCGAAATTGTGGTGTTCTTTCCAACTGCAATTGTTTCAATTTAAAATTAAATGAGAAAAAATAGAAAATATAATAACCTTTTCTCGTTTTGTCGATAATGGCGAGCTCCGCAATATCGGGATTCTCGGTGTGACAAAAACCGTTGGCGGAGAGCTCGGAGTGATGGAATCGCATGATTTATCGGAATCATCTACCATTTTGTGCTAAACCAACATGCTTTTGTATTAAAAACACCAAATAAAACGAGGAAATTGAGAAGAGTCATCGAACGAACCATGTTAAAAGAACGCGAATTCATTTGCAAACAAGAAGACGCCAAAAAAATCAGATAACAAAATAGTGGACAAACAAAATAAATGAGAATGCATTGCAAAAACACGCTGAAAATTGAAGTCAACACAATAATGCAATAGACAAATAAGGAAATGACTCGCGTATGAGCAAAAAACACGTAATGAGCACTCCGAAACGGACAAAAGGGGTGGTCCAAAAGAGGGCGTGCCAAATTTGAATTTCGCTGTTCCCGCGTGTTGTTTGTGCGGTGGAGCGCGTTTGCGCATGCGACGCCGGTTGGCAGGGTTGACATGATGTTGCGAAACACAGTTGTCTCTTCATATCAAAATTTTATTATTCAATAAAATTATAAAAACGCTAAAAAGTACCCGAAACTCTCTATTAAGATTCAAATTAGATAAAAACAATTAAAATTGTGAAAACAATTGAAGTGATGAGGGAGAAAGTTGATTGGCCGTTTGCCTTATACGCAAAATATTCCGGTTTGTAGTTCTTTGTAATACTATTGAAGACGTCTCGGGGTTCGACGAGTAACTCCAACGACGAAACTGTAATCGGTATCGGGATTTGCTTGAAGAATTGCTTCTTATAAATCAATATGGTGTCGGCGAGAGATCTCGCTTTTCGGCTAGCAGAGCAATTATCCACCTGAAACATTGTTTATATCAAAGGTGAAATTTGATCGATTGAATTACTGGGCACGATTCTGTCGGACTTTTTACGGTGAACTCAATCGAGCATTGAAAATATATCGAGTGTTTGTCAGCGAACTTGAAAGCTTTAGAAGTTGCGACAGCTCGAAGATGATGGTCGTTGTAGCGAATCGACGAGATCAGCTCATCGTCAACGACACATCTGGAAATTGAATTGAATTTTAAAAATATTACATTTTTCGTTGTAGACTTTTGGCCGAAAAACTATTCTATGATTTTTTTTTCTCAACAATTGATATTTTGAACTTTTTAACATGATTTACCCATTGTCATCGACGACTTGTATCTTTTCCTTGTCACCATCCTCAGCTATACAACTTCGCACCTATAAAACCAAATAAGGATTATCGAATGCCATTTTTCGCACTTTCATGCAGTAGACATCAGTTAGAGATTCCCCGGAGCATGACCAGACGTGTACAACGGGATCGCCAACACTAACCACAGGTGAGTTGCCAGAAATTGATGAGGTGACAACTCCTAAATTGTCACTTTATCGCATTATATTTCTATTGTTCAACAGTACCATCTTTTGATGATCCCGACGCAACTTCGACCTTGTATTCGCAGATTGGCATGTCCGGTTGTTCGGATAGGATTTTCGGTTTTGGTTCCCTAGAATTGTGTGAATATGGGATATTAACACATTACTCCGTCTAATAAATCTATGTATTTACCGGAAGTTAGATATTTGCTAAAATAAAGAATTAGTCCAATTAATAATTATTGGATTAACCTTAAAAGAACCAATGATGGTTATATATTGTTTAATTGGTCTTTTAAGTATACTTACGTTACATTGAGATGAGCGATGATTGGATTGTTCTCTTCTCGATAGAAACAATTGATTTGATAAGCGATATCTCGAAATGTGATGATTTTGCCATGATAGCTCACGAAGAGCACTGAAGACATTGTTAATCCACGGGTTGGGCTTATCTAAGAATAATCTTTTAAAAAATAATTTTAGAAGAGGAAATACCTCTCGTTTTCTTCTGCTTGAACATTCATCGAAGGAGAATTGAAACGAAATATTTTTGGTGGGATTTTCCGCAAAATCTGCTTTGCACGACTTTTTTGTTGAAGAGCCTCTGAACACGAACAGTATGATCATTTCAAATAAGAAATAAACTGGTACTTTAGATATAACGCGCCTTTAAACGGCTCGTCAAAGTCGAGAAAAACTTTAATTCCGCTGGAAGAGCATTTGACTTCTGGCGCTCCGACGATGGCGGAACTTGAAAATCGCACCAGAAATGGGATTAGGGTGACTAGTAGAGTTTTCATTGGCCGAATATGGAAGACGACTGGATGGACGCGATCTTCCTCTAATATAAACACTAATCAGTGCCTTCGGAATCTCGCAAAAAAGGTCATTTCATCGGAAGAAGTGTATGGTCCGTGAGGAGACGTCGACGCGATCCGCAGATGATGAGCCGAAGGTCAGATTGATATCGGGCGGCGAGGCATGGATTACCTGGAAGAAAACTCGCGCACTGACCAACCACGACTAAATCGATTATGTACAGTATGTCATCCCTGAACAATTCGCTTTGCAGAGCAAATGAAAAGCTGCGCGATTGTCGGTTTTATAGCGGAACATTCCCATAAAATTGCTCATAAATGGGACGTTTAATGGCTAGGTAAAAGTGCTCAAGACTGCAAAAAAAGTAGCCAACCAATATTATATCAGCATCTTGAGAATTATTTAAAAATGCCATAAATGGATTATCAACAATGCTATCTATTTTAACGCGCAAAATTATCGAAATTACTGATTTCTTCTGAATTTTCTGAATGTTTCAATTAAGTCTAAATTATAAACTATGATTTTATTGGAATAAAAACGAAAATTTAAGAAAAACAAATCCGTCATTTATATTCCAGAAAACAATTTTTAAAATAATGCACATCGAAATGTGTGCAAACTTTCGTGCATGTGTTTGCGGCTGATAATTGACCGTAACAATACCCAAAATTATTCCAATTTTCATTCAAATTAACAATAATAGTGCAGATTGCAACCCAAAAATATCCATCATACAAACCATGTTGTGTAACATTTTTGCAAGAAACATCGTCTCGGGACCCATTTAATGTGTTTTTCAAGTGCCCATTTTTTTCCGCTTAATTCCTGATTCCATGCATTCATTAAAGGACCACAGTTTTTTTTCTCATTTCCTTATTTTGAATTTCGATTATTTTCTTGGGGTTTTATTATGAGAATAGTAATAATTTAATAAAAGGGTGATATGAAAGAAGAAACCTCGAAGTTCAAGTATTGAAACGAACAGACGTCTGTGCGCAAGACATTCTCAAATTTCGCGTTTCAACATCCTTCACATCATAATGCGAAAATGTCTGCGTTGTTCTAAGACAGACGCGTTTTTTTTTGAAGAGATGTTGCGTTTTAACCGGTCGTCAGGCTGAAGAGCAGTCCGCCAGATTTTAGCCAAAAAAAATGATGGGAGAGGTGAAAATAAATAAAGAGGTAGGAGCTCAAACTACGGACTCCAAAGAACAATTTTTCATCTTTCTTTATTTGGTTCATTTTTTGGGCTTCTACGCTTAAAAATTAGTCTGACATTCATTTAAATCATAAATAGGTTCTTGCGTGCTCAATTTAATTAATCATATTTAGAACATCACGATAATCTTGATTGACATATTCAGAACGTCTTACGTAATCACATGCGTCTTCATTTTTTGGTGGTGGGGAGGTTGCAAACTCGGCAATACCGATTGGTCTGATTAATTTATACTGCAATGTGGAAATTTTTGAAAAAAAAAACTTCTTACTAAAATATTATGACTGTATAATTTTATGGAAAAACACCTTCCTCACAATTTGTCCAAAATTGAATTTGATGGTGATATTAGGAAAAGCTCAAGAAACCCGTAAGAATCAAGCAACAAATTTTTTTTGCTCAAAATCTGCGTTGTAATTTCTTTTTCCCCATATTCGTAATATTTCATGCTGCTGACAATTTCAGTCCATCCGTGAACGTCCACAGTAAAATCCAGGAAATTCGCAAATCAATATGACGATCCCAGTCAACGTCGAGAGTGTTGTCTAGCCGGTGTCATGTCCGCAGCAAAGTTCACAAGAGCCCCCCCGAATTCCATGGCAATCAAACACCAAACCAATCCGTATACATTTTTATCAACAAAACGCCTGTGGCCTGTTTGTATGTGTAAAACAATGCTCATGAAAAGGAAGATGGGACAAAAAAAAAAATAGAACCACCGAACGCGGGGACGTGTGTATATGTGTGTGTGAGAGAGAGCGAAGAGTTCACATGACGGCTGGCGTGTCGTGAATTTATAGTGCAACAGCCAGCCATCGTCACACCACTGGAAGTCTCCTCAGTTGCTCTCTCACTCTCCCCTCTCGAATACGAACGGCTTTCGATGTCTGCCCCGCTCAGACGCAACATTTTTTTTTATTCGCAACACACGCACACAAAACGGGGCGCCGGACGGCGACGACGACGAGCGAAAAAAAAATTGGCTGTGACTAGTGGCGCCTGTCATAAATTGCGTTGTTCTCTGCTCTCTTCTTGCCTCGGTTGGCGGCGAGCCCCGCGATTCGCAACATTCGCACTCAAGGAGCCCGCTCGACTGACCAAGAAATTAGGCAAACATTTGGGTCGGGTGTTCAAGCAGTCGTTTTTTTTTTTCATCTCTTCCTCCATTGAAGAGGAGCGAAGCGATTTTCGTGATGGGTGGCCTCGATCGTCAAACAATGCCGATCAGGGGGGGCCGCGCAGCCAAAAAAAAACCGCTGTGTTGCGACGACAACGATCGTTTTTTCCCCGTGGACGTCTCTCTCTCTCTACGTTCGATTCGCTAAAGATCAGATATTGATAACGAGAGAAAGCGGAATCCAGCGGCAGGGCAAAAATTAAATCGGGCACTGGAATTGCGTCAGCCTTCGTCGCGATGGCGCAAAAATGGACACCCTTCAGTTTTTTTTTTAATTTAATTCCGTTTTTCATATCGTTTAAATATGAGTGATTAAGCCAAACTGTACTGTATTAAGAAACTAGTAAATTCGAGATTTTTTTAATTGTAGCAGAGAAAAATGACGCTATAAAAAATGTTGTCAAAAATAAAAATAAAATTTTCTCCAGAAATTCTAATTTCGAAATCAACATTGCAAACGCGCAATTTTCGTCAATCCCGTTCGTGATGTGCCGAATGTCCCCGCGCACCAGAAAAAAAAACTCAATTTCAATGCGCCTCGTTAAATGTTTCAGGAATTCGCGTCCAATTGGGAAATAATAATAATTATTATTTAAGGCCACCCGTACCGTAAAACGTTTTCATCGTCCGACTCTCCCGTTTTCTAAATGTGTGTGTGTGTGTGTTTTTTCTGTCCCATTCTTCAGTGTCCTTCAAAATCGCGACGTCGCGCGCAGCCGTTTTTTTTGCTTCGTCCTCTCGATTCGCCGTTCGCTGCGTCTCATCGTATTCTATTGAAATTCTCCGATTTTAGTGTATGTGTGTGTGTGTGTTGCGAAAAGCCATTCAATTCGACGTTTGCACTATTCGTATGCTTCACAAGTACAATTTGCTCAAGGACAGTCGAAACGCGATGGAATCATGATAAGAATATTATTTTGGGCACGTCGGATGCTTGCCTCCACGTTTCCAACCACGGTATCGACCTCGCAACAATCTACAACATTCATTTCAACAAAAAAAAAGAAATAACGGCTGCGGACAAGTGAAAGTGTGATTTTGGATTACGGTAGCCCACACGGCTTATTCGATGTATGTAAATTCGAATTTGGTTATTGGTTCAGCTGAATGAGAGATTCCCGCCGATCAAAAAAAAAGGGTGCGAAATGTAAATACATTGAGTGTTGCAAGCTGGTATTGTCATCCGATCCCAAATTTTGTTGTCGAAAGTTCCAAGGTTCAATCATTTTATTCAGCGTCCCTTCCATCAGCAAACGCTGCCCAAATGCAACATTTATGGCATTCCTGATAAGGAATCACGAGGCGTAATCATACAAATTCATAGACTCGAGCAATTTTTATGCTTCATCTTCAGGAAACGATGAATTCGAATCATCAAGACACCTCGGATATTTCTATATTAGTGTTGTTGTTCAGGTGAAAAAATCATCCGTCTGCCATTTAATCTCTGATCCCCAAAATGAACGGCCAAAAATAGAGGAATAATAAAGCGCGAGGCGCTCTTCGCAACAATTTTCGACGTCGGTGGTCCCCACGGCCACCACCATTTTCGGCAATGTTGGTTGAGCCGACGCCATGTGAGAATGCTTAATCTAACAGGCGTCCGTCAAACACAAAATAGCATGGAGCAGAGAGTGTGAATGGCGGAGGCGAGAGCAACACAAAAAAAACGGCTGTCGGACGCGCAACATTCGGATGTCTTCCGCGTCCCGCCAATGCGCTTCTGCCTGACGAATTCAATTACTCTGATAAGCGCACGAGAATATTCGCCGTCGCATTGGTCAGTCGCCTCGTTGAAATTGCTTGAAAAAAAATACGAAAACAAGAAATCGCTGGCAATTATCATGAATGGATTTTGACGAGAAAATTGCAGACGAGGCGTACTGTAGGAAAGCACACACTTTCACGCGCAAATATCTTGGTGTTGAACCGAAATAATCAAACTCTTGAGACGATCGTCTAGACGCGCTCGATTTGTGAGCGAACGCGCGACCACACACGTCGGGAATTTCAACACACACAAAAAAAAATCGTCTGGCAACATATTATTTGAACAGAGATCAACGAGCACCGAGTGTCTGGCTGTCTCGGAGAATGAGCAGGTCCCTCAAATGCACCCGCTTGGGCTTTTCGTTGAACTTTGCTGTGGACAATTAATCAATCATTTGGGGGGACTTTCACTGATATTAAAAAAAAAACCGAAGAAACATTGTGATTTGTTCTTCGGACCACTATTCCGAGATTTTATTATTACACAATCATCGCCTCCGGGTTACGGTAACATTGATTTCCGATGTGTGCTGCCACCCATTGAATGATTGTGATCCCAACATTTTCAGCGAACACATGTATCAATTGGTAGACACAGATCAGCAAGAGATCAACCAAAAAACAACCTTTCGTCGCATTTTCGGCTAATCGTGAAAAAATCTGGGGATCGAGCTTCACTCGAGGCTGATTCACCTAATATGGTTGGCATTGTTGGGTTCGGCACTTGAGACGCCAATGTTTTTTCAGGCCACTTCAGACACTCCCTATATTCGCCTCAAATTGGATTATAACGGAACGCGGTTGAAAAATTGATGAGAAGCCCTCTGATGGCTTAATTGTTATGAAAATTAATGTCTGGCATCGTCAGAATCAGGAGCCAGAGGAATCAGAGTCAAGAGCTGGCAGAATGAGCCTAGAATCTACGTAATTCTAATGTGCTGAAATAAGTCAAGTTATGCTAAAGACAAAATAGTAGTCTTGACGAGAGATGCCACACAAAATAATATCCCATCAATCAGGAATCTCAAAATTGGGACGTGATCAGTACTGGTCGAAAACTCCCTTATTTTTGGAGCGATTCCGTCATGAAAAAAAAACGAAACAATATTCTCGCTTCATTAATGAGAAAATTTCATTTTCAACAACTGCGGACATTTTAGGGGAGCTCTTCGAGAGCCCTCAAATATTCTTCTTAAAAATTGGAAGGTTATAGAAATCTTAAAATCGACGTCAGCCATAATCTGAAACACATGTCAAGGCATTCGTCTTTCAACGTAATCGAACCCTTTTTCGTTTGAGTGAAAGCTGATAGTAGCATTAAAACGCCTCGCATGCAACATTTTTCATTCGTGTGTGGCAACTGCAAGTTTCGACCGGTTCATTTATCACCACACACAAAAAAAGACTAAAGAAGCCTGACACGGTTAACACCCCGCGATATGAAGGCGTTGATAATAAATTTCGGTTACACCGCGTCAATGAGGGTTACGGTATCAAAACTGATTATCAACGCCGTGATCGAACATATTCGACGGTGACGGTGCCTGTCGCAACATTTTAATTCGATTCGAAATCGATAAGGGAAGCCAATTACCGTAATTCGCATTCAGACAGTCGGCGATTCTTTTTTTGAAATTTTGAAACGAAGGAATGGCTTGGGTTCGTCGACTAAATTAGGAAATTGACCTGCGGACATCTCGCATGAAAAAAAAGGGAAGCGCGTTTCGGAATAATGGAACGATTATACGATCGTCATAAATAACCAATTGAGTTTGTCTGAGTGGCGATGAATATTAATTAGTGCGTCGGTGAATCTTAAATGTCGGCAGGCACCAATATTTCAGTTTAAAAGAAGCCTATACTAGAAATAAGAATTCTCAAGTTTCAAGACCATTCTTAAAGGAGCATTGACCCACAAAAGCGTAGGTGTATTGGAAGATTTTCAAAACTCCTGGAAATCAGCCGCTCAACACCAAAACTATGAACTAATGTAGTCGACTCGCGGAGCACATATTGCGTTGCTCGCCCCTGCCGGTTTTTGAGCATTGATTGACCACCATCAAAGTGCAAGATGACCGGAGACTCGCCCACGAAAATATGTATTGGGTGTTGTTAATGAGGGTGGGTGCAACTGCCCTAATAGTTCGCCATGATAATACTTAGAGAAAAATTTTTATATAATTTTTGATTTCATTCTAATTAGGCGATTATACGGTAAATGGCAACCCAAATATGTCCAAATTTATAATTTTTCTAAACTATTTAATCATGCCAATTGCCATTCTTAAAGGAGCATTTCCATGCGACTACTCCCCCCATATTCGGCAACATTTTGAGAATTAAACGTTCGTTGAAAAACGATGAAGCTGCTTTAAACGATCTCCTCCGCGTTAATTACCTCTGCTTTGTTTTTTTGGCTAGACAATTAATTGGGAAGGATGGGAAAATATTAGGCAATTAGTCGAAATTTTATCATCATCATCATCATTATCAGAAAATCGCGGTGTCGTTTGCGCAATCACCTTACTAGACCCCCCACCCCCTCTCTCTCTCTCTTTCAACTAATTTTGTTTCGCCTCGAATTGAATTCAAGATTTTGTGTAAAACAATTCTCGGGCCAATATCAATTTGTATTGGCGACATTTTGGTGTATTGTCGTCACGCGTACAAACCATTGCGAATGAATTCGGAAATTGTGTGAGCCGGTGGGGACGGAAAAAAAGAAGCACATGAGGGAGGCAAACGGAATAGAATGGGACGCGGGAGGCAGACGATCGATAACCGGCGAGAGCACGCAGTTGTTCTGAACCGATTGCCTATTATTTCTTTATTATTATTATTTGTTGAATGAACTAAATGGTAATTTTCTGGAAATCGAGTTAATTGAATAATTATAGCAATGGTTGAGGAAGCTTTGAGAGCCCGTCGGGTATTTTCAATTTTTGAAGGTTTTCTCTAAACGCAGATGTTGCAAAAAAACTTTTAATGGTATTTTGAAGCCTCAATAATTTGTTGAAAATTTCCGCACACTGAATTCTCAATGAATTTCAGGCATTCAATATATTCAATACAAATGGCAATGAGTTGGAGTAAAAATGAGCCGAGCGTTATCATTCACTAACGGCCCAATCGATGAGAACTACTAAATGGTGTTTCACGCTTTCGGGGTCGATTAATCGACCTTCGAATTGGAAGGGTTTCGACGTGAAAATGTTGCGCAATCGCGTCAATTGATCTCGTCATGATTTGAATGATGTTTGAAGCGTTTCGTATGTGTTGTATATTTCGCGATATGTCATAATCGATTCGCGAAACGATTCTCTATCGAATGGTGCAAATTTCAAAATTCTACAATTAACTGGCGATCAGTTATGAATTTTTGAAAATTCGCCGATTTCAAGTTCTCGCGATTTTTTGCGCATTTTTTCGACCCGAATGCCAAGGGTGCAACAAATATGGCGGAATGGTGCGATGGCGGCGGGTGCAACTCATAAAAAACAATGAAAATCTGCAATAAATTCTGAAGTGGGGGTTCGTCGCAACAAAAAAAAAAACAACACCAACCGACGCGAATTTGCCTGGGTGTCGCGAGAGAGTGCAAGCGACGCGAGAGACGCAGAGCGCGACATCAGCGTAGAGAGCGCGCGCGTCGATGAGAGCGCAGCGTTCGCGTTTACTGACTGGGTGGTCTCGCCCAAAAGCCAATCGTCGTCGCCGACTCCGCCCCCTCTCTCTTCTCAATTCCACTATGGGCCCCCAGCGGTTTTTGTTCGCGTCGTCCTCCCGTTCGCGCCCATAACGTTCGCTCCACATTTTTGTCGACGGAGGCCTTCCCCTCCCTTCCCCCCCCCCCGCGCCAACCTCGCTCTCCTCCCATTCGAAACGAAGGCGGAGCATAGGCGGGGACGCCTGGGCGGCAGCACATCAGGAGAAGGTCGCCTGATTTCGAACCGGCCTACGGCGCTTGCGCCATTCTATTGATACTCGGCTCAATTACATGATAGTAGGCTTCACAGCAACAATGCAAGGTTGGTTCCTCTGCTCTTCCTCCCCTCCTCCTCTTCACTTACCGAAGGAATGCCCTATCACCTCCAAAATGTACACTGATAGTCAATAATGCAACAGTCCCCAAGGCGCCCCCCTCTGAGCTTCTTCCCTTCTTCTTCTCGCTCACAAAATATCCGAGAGCTTGGCAACTTCATGTTGACCTCCAGTTCAAACCTACCGTAATCTATGACGGGAGTTTGAGAGAGAGAGAAAACTGAAATTGTACTCATGCAAATTCTTCCGGAAAAAAACGATGGCATCGTGGAAACTGGTCTTTCGATTCGCAACATTTAGTTTTCAGCCAATGCCTGCCTACTGTAAGCTACAGTAGTCAAGTGCTATCTCCAATCTCGAAAAAAAGTGCCTCTCGATTTTTTTCTGAAATGTTGCGAGTCTATCTCCCGTAAGATGGGATCCAGTTTTCAGCGAGATTCGGTGTCTTTCATCTGCGACGTCGAAATCCTCGTGTAAACGGATATGATTATCATAGAAGGGCAACGCTCCGCCCATTATTGTCACATCTCCCCCCTAACAAAAATTCCTATCGAATCCAATCATGAGTGATTGTTCAGAAGTGATCGACGTCGTCAGTTGTTCGCCGTCACCGTCGCCGGAAACCGGCGAACCCGATGAGAAGCCGTATTTCTGTCAGCGATGCCTCAATCACGGTGGATTCTATCCGCGAAAAGGCCACAAACCGCACTGCGAGTAAGAATATTCGTCTCGAAGAAGCCGAATTGGAGGCCAATTAAAAAAAGAAAATATTTTTCAGATATCTAACGTGTCAGTGCAATGATTGCGCGATGGTCGAACAACGCCGACGCCTCAACAGCGCGTTGAGTCGGCGAAAGGTAGGAAGAAGCATTCGGTGGCGATTCTCGAGCTTGATTGATATGTTGCAGAAGGAGCTGAACCCGCAGGCAACCGTCAAAGGCAAAAGGGTCCGCGATCCGCAGTGCGCTCGTTGCAGCACTCATGGGGTCAACGTTCCGCTTCGAGGCCACAAGAAAACCTCATGCCCGTTCAATAAATGCGAATGCGATATGGTAGGTTATTATTTCTACCGTAACCTGTCGATGCAACCTTGGCGGCGGCGGTGGTGAATAGTTATATATATGTATGTATATATGTGCGTGTGATTTTTATGCGTTGCTTCTTCGGTTCGGTTCAAAAGGTTGCGCGACGCGGATTACTGTAGTCGACAAGCGCCACCCGCAACATAGCACATCTAACCAAAAAAAAAAATCCCATTGCAGTGCGAGTTGGTCGAGGTTCGCCGCGGTCTGATGGCGAAGCAGATCAAGCTGCGTCGCCAACAGCAGCGTCTACGCAACGGCGGTGTGCCGAAAATCGCGCAGCCGAAGCCGATGAAGACGACGGCGGCGGCGACGAAGCGCGCCGAGCGAACGCGTCGCGCTTCAGGTGAGAGTCGATCATATCCCCCCGATCAACTCGTGCCAATTATTTCGTTTTCAGTATCGGCGCCATCATCGCCGGCCTCGTCGGACGTTTGCACACCGCCGCCAATGCTCCAAATGCCGATCGACACAATCACACCGCCGCCATTGGCGCCAACGAGCCCGATGCTGTTCGCGCCGATTCCAATGTTTCCATCGTTGCTCTCGCAGCCGCTCATGTTCCAGAATCCGCTATTCGCACAGCTTCTCATCCAGCAACTACAATTCCCGCCGCAACCGCAAATGCCCTACTTCAATGCGCTTCTTCCATGATGACCGAAATCCATTCGGAACCATTCTTCTTCGATTAACACACCACCTTAGCTTCTCCCAAACATTTGTTATTCTCCTTCTTTTCCGTTTCTTCACCCAGTGATCAGTTTCATAGGAGACCAAGTCTAACTCGTACCATCCCTCTAACATCGTTTCTCGTTTTGAGCAGAGCTCATCAACTCCATATTTATAATATATATGTATATGATATATATCCGCATTCAGCACATCGTGTTTGCTTCTCCTCTCCCAGCTTCTCCCCAACACTGTTGTTTTTTGTTCTTCTTCTAGTCCAATTTCTTCATTATCCCCCCACGCTCTCGGTATTCTCATATTTAAGCCACGCCCACCCCATCTCAAAGGATGCAATCCATGATTTTGACCCGGTGGTCCCTAAACCTTGTTACTTGTCCAGTAAATCACACTTCTCGGAGAGGAGTTTCGCATTACGTGTGTCTGCGATTATAGATTTTTTTCTATTATTATTATTTTTATGATTATTAATTATTATTGATAACTCTAATAAAGTAGTTGCTCGACAAAATTGAAATTCTGTATTCGGTTAATACACAACAATAACAGCGAAATTGAGAACACAACAGAACACAGTGTGAAACAAAGGAACCAACAAGGAAATTTATGGTAATGATGATTAGAGTCGTTCCGATCCGCGTGAGGCCATATTACGCAAATTACCGTATACTTTCGACGGGTTGGCGCCTGAAACAAAGTAATTATTACAATAAGTATCGTTCACTTTTTGATTAAATTTTCTAATTGCAAATACAAATTTCTTTGGAAATTCACAAGTCGCATTACGGACCAAATTCTATGCGTATCATGTAAAAGAATTTATTTTCCCAAAACTTCCATTCTCAACACGACAATTTAATTAATTTTTAAAGGAGCATCGAAATCACGCTACGAAAGACACACACACACACACACACAACTAAGAAATTGCTCTTGATTATTGGAACTCGCTGACAGCCAGCCAGCGCTCACAAACTACTACGTGAGTATTGTTGAATTCCTGAATGTCTCACAGTAATCGTTCCTAATTAGTTGATTATCTCGAATGATATAGGGGCCGCCACATTTCACCAAAGACCACCCGTGTCAAAATTTAACATTCAAACATTGCCGCCAATTAAGCCATAAATCAGGTAGTATCCAAATCGTCCAGGTCATTTCTCATTTATTCAAATGCTGTCGCCCCCCACCGACCGGCGACTCAATTCGAAACAACTCGCCCAATAAAACGCACGGCATTAAAAAAAAACGAAGAACTCGTCTTTATTGTTGTTGTTGTTGTTGTTTTTTTCTCATTTTCCTCGAAAATTCTACGTACGACCTTTCTCAATTTAATCTCGTCGTGCACTTATCTCGACGAGATCGCGATTTTGCAAAACTTTTTGACACCAGCCGAACACAACGATACCACCGGCGACGCCATTTATCATCCCCAATTACATTGCCTTTGCAATGTTGCGATTTTCAACGAGTTCCTAAGGCTTACACACACACACACACACACACACACACACACACACACACACACACACACACACACACACACACACACACACACACACACACACACACACACACACACACACACACACACACACACACACACACACACACACACACACACACACACACACACACACACACACACACACACACACACACACACACACACACACACACACACACACACACACACACACACACACACACACACACACACACACACACACACACAAACGGATATCCATGAACACTGCCACCAGCATTCGGCAACCGACCAGCAAAAAAAAAGATCACATGTTTTGCATTAAAACCGGAGGTCATATAACTAGGCGCATTATCGAAAAATGTCAGGAATATCGATTCCAGGTAGTTTTCGCGAATTTCGCAACGCCACCCGCTAGCTTGCCCCAATCATCGTGACATTTGTGTTGCATTGACGCTGGCGACGACGACGACGACAATCATTGCGTTCGGGCTTCGGCCCTCCCGAGTGCGATTGTGATGAGAGAGTGAAGACATCGTTTCGGGCAAGGAGCGCCTAGATGCCATTCAAACAACCGTCGACGACGATAAAAAACATCTGTGTGTGTGTGTGTGTGTGGTATGAGAAAAGCGAAAAGTGCAACCCTTTGGGGCGACAATTCGAATCCCCGCGCGCGCGCACAAGGCGAAAGTGATCCGAAGATTCGTGTTGGCAACATGTAATTTCGCACGTTGATGGCTCAAATATGGGCAACAAATTGGGCGTGCAAGTTGAAAGCCTCAATCAAAAAAAACACAAGCTTCCGAGGAATCAGTGAAACATTGGATGAAGGGGCCGGCATCTGCACAACTATTGAATTTGACTTACCCAAAATCAGACTTGACACCGCATTTCGCGCCAATCTCAAATTCTGATAAGCGCCAAGAATGTGGATTTTGGTGTTGGCAACCACTGAAATTTCTCAATTCTCATTCTCAAAACTCATATTCCACGTTAGACGCTACCAATTCTCGTTTTTGTGGTATTCTCGATGACCAATTTGGTGCGTCCATCTTTTCCGGCAATTCGACCGATCGCTCTGCTTACATGATCGCCTTTTAGCGACGATTTCACGTCAGCTACCTACAACGACGAAAAAATCGGGTGCGAATCTGTCACTAGTTGAATGAACGGTGATAAATCATTATTTTTTTGTGATCGAAATGACACGTTTTGCACTTCTTTTCGTCACATCTTTGAGATACAAATGTTGCTGGCTTGCGCGTCTAAAGACCACCGGGTACCGTAATCGCAAGAAGCGTGCGAGACGCGCGCGAACGCGAAGTGAAAAAAGGGGGGCGTGGTCGCGCGATGAGCGAAACGCGGTCTCGCGCTTACCTCGAATGTCTCCAGGAAGAGATGGTCCAAACGAATAAGGGCGATCGCATCATTCACATCGAATCCGAGAACGAACGCGCGCACGAAATCAGCAGCCTGTAAAGCATTAACAGTGAATTTCACATAGAGAGTTGAGGTTATAGAAAGATGAGCCAACCTTTTGCAAATCTGTGGTATCCTCGCGATCCTCTGGATTCCTAATCTCAACTCGTCTCTTTTTCAAATTGAACCTGAAAAAAAACCATTCAAGAAAAATATAACGGTAAAAAGTGCATCCATACCGCACTTGCAGTCCCAAATTTTTCACAATCGGTGTGAAAATGTTGACCCAGTTCTCTTTAAGTGGCGTATAGCGATGTTTTGGCACCGGAATCTGAAATTGTTCAGTTCGGATATTCATCCTCAACAAATTTCGATGTACATTTCGGAATTCGCCCTTCTGCCCTCTCGACCTCTTCGCCGATTTTGGAGCACCTTCGCCATCTTTCATCTCTTCGTTATTATCATCATCCTTCGAAACATCCTCCATTTCGACATCTTTCGTCGACTTTCTCTTGCGTTTAACCTAGAGAACAAAAAACAAGCATATATTTTGAATCGCCTTCCAATAGCTGAAAAGAAGGGAGAACCGCGACATCCATTAAAAATGCAATTCGAGTTCACCGAGATTGCTGCTCAAGATAACATGCTCGAGTTGTCGCGCACATCGCCATGTGCGGGCAACAGTAATCCAAGCACAGTTGCGCCCGCCCGAAACATCATCAGGATGGGTGGGCAATTCAACAGCACGAAAAAAAACGCCAGGCCTTTTTTTCGACGCGGCGGCCTCTTTTCAAAACCTACATCAAGTCGCTACAATGCGATGGATGGGGGGACGATGGTGAAAAGGAGAGGTTGCAACAACGCAACGAGACGAACACACACAAAGCACAGCATTTCAACAAAAAAAACTACTCGAATAGCGTCCGACGCGGCGAGGAAGAACGCCGCGGAAGGGAGGGAGCTGCACTAGATGTGGCGCGGCGGCGCATAAATTTTAAAACCTCCCAGTGTGCAAAAAACGGCTGATCTATCGTGTTTTATGGGGTTTTCTTTGACCCCTATCTGCGTACATTCATGCCATTTCATTGTTTCTTTTTCGAACACGAGGGATTCGAATATGCTAAACAGCCGATTTGTGGAAGATGGACAAACAATAAAAAAAAAACACCAACAAGTGTATGCACGAAAGCATGGTGGTCCCTTGAAGCGAATCGGGGAACATCGAGGCAACATTTTAGGGAGGAAAACGCCGGGATCAAAGGGATATAAATTTTGATGGAAGTTTTTGAAATTGACATCTCCTTTAACCGATATATCTTCGAAAATCTAGGCAACATTCCAGAAGGGATTCGAAATACGAAAATTTTCAAATCTCGAAATAAATTTTGGGGGGCATGTTAAACCTGCCCTCTGTTTTTAAAAATTCGAAGAAATTTGGCCAGATTGCTTCTAAAATTGAGCAAAAAAAGCGGCTCCAAAATGAATTCTATGAAAGTTTCTTTTTTTATATGAAATTTAAAGGAAATCTCGACGAATTTGGTTCGATGTTAATCGTGTGATACCAATTAAGGTTTCTCAGTATAAGATATCGTAGACTGTCTACCCAGAATTATTTACTTCATATATAAAAAGTTTACTTTCCATAGTTCAGTGAATTCCCGAGCATCAAAGAGAGCTTAAAGCGGTTTTTTAGTCTCATCACTTTCATTGCTCAATTCGCTTCGTAAAATCTATTTTCGCATTATTGACATTTGAAATTTTAAACTACTATACGAACAGTTTACCAACATCATCGCCCCATGACAATTGTGTTCATTCTCAATATCAAAAGGACCTCCACATAGATCGTAAAACGATTCAAAAGAAACCATAAAACCTCAAAAGCATTTAATTCGTTCTGAATCATCATTTTTACACGCACTCCGACCAAACAGCGCAAACAATCAATTTATGAACAGAAAAAAAACAGACACGAGCGAGTAGATGACCGACCTCCAGTTTAAGCGCAATAGTAAAACATTAAATTTCGGGGCATAAAACCGACGATGGCGGTCGTTGCGTATGTGTGTTCAGGGCAGTACCAGCACAAAAAACACATTTATTACCCATTGGTGTTCATTTTTATTTCCCATCTCGAACGCTTAATGACCAAAAATGTGAATCGATTTATAGATGAGGGGTACATTGACGTAGCTAATTGGGTAATTGTTGCGAACAATTTCATTTACTCATTTCTTGCAACAAACACTATTCTTGAAAATTTGTGAAGCATAACTAGTAGAAGTTTGTGCATTTCGCCATATTTAGAAAAAAATCCAAATTTTTAGACATTTTTTGAACAAAGGTATAGTCGGCGTCCGGCAACTTCTGTATGCGGATAGATTTACGAGGATGCGTCATTCTCTTGGTCTCGCGGGGACTATCTGGTTATTTTGAGACTTAATGGGTCGTTTCGATTTTTTTTCTAATCGGATGACATGGGAAATTCAAGAAATGCCAAATTTACTTTCAACAAATTTTTATTCAATTCTTCTAACTACGATTCAAATTATGTAAGACGCTGATGAATCTAATCTGTTTTGTAACGCATACTTTTAACTTTAAGGAGAATAGTCAGAGATAATCCGGAAAATTGTCGGTTGCATATATTAATTAAATACGTATTGAAAAATAGTACTACATTTACTGATGTTTGTTTAAACAAGTTTAATGCGTTATAAAAACTGAGTGTTTGGTGAAGATGAAGGGAAAATTTTTTAAAAATTTCGAAATAATGATAATGACCTTAAAAATAATGATAAATTTTCAGAAAAAAAGTTCACGACGTGCAAAAACAGGATATTTAGAAAGATTTTTTAATGAAAAAATTTTTATCGCGATCCCCCCCCCGGGAAAATATTTTTGACGTACCAATTTGAATTCCTCCTCGTCCTTCGGCGCCGTCTCCATATTCTGCTCTAGAAGCGATGGCAATTTCGATGGTACATCATCATCATCAATCAGTTCTGGCATTCCTAAAACAGCGAGTTCAAAATTACGAAGCTTCGAAAATCACGAACCTTCCTCCATCGGAAGATCGTCATCGAATGCACTGCTGCTAGCCATTTCAGTTTCTTCTCAATTAAGAAGAATTAAATAATGAAAAATTGAATTAAATTAAAGAAGAATAGAACCGAATTCAACGGTACAAACATTACAAAAAATTAAAAAAATCTCTATTTAAATCCAAATAACAAGAAATTCAACAAATTGAGATCCAAAAAAAGTTACAACAAAAACAAAAAAAAAACAACGGATAACAATTTTGGATATTCAAAAAATCTCTATGCAATTCTCATTTGTTTCCATATAAAATTCAACAAGTTCGCATCCTGTCGGACCCGATCCAATCGATCCATATGCCGTTTCGTATAAGGCAAAAACGATTCAATAATATTCCTGATATTCGGCCTTTGTAAAAACTCATCGGGCGGTATTGTCAAAAGAACATTATGCAACACTTGTTGAGCAGCTTGCGCAGTTTTGCTGTTCGTGTTCCATTGGGTCGCGAATTCCAATAAAATTTGAATTTTTCTATCGTCAAGTTTTTTAATCGCATCACCAAGCTGATCATTATCCATGAGAGCGTTCACCACCTAAAATAAATATTCTATTTTTTTTATTATACAATTAAAAATACCTTCAATGCGCAGTACGGCCTGACAAGATTTAAAGCGAATTCAAGAGCTTCCTGGAATCTCTCCTGTTGAAGTAGATTCGTCAAAGTCTGCTCTTGCTCGATTTTCTCTCTTCGCTTCTCATCCTCAATAAGCTGCTTCTCTTCAGTAACGTCTTTCCATATTACAATTCTTCCATCACTACCAGCACTCAAAAATTCTGATTCATCCGAATTTGCACTCAATGTCCAAATCTGAAAGCAAAAAGTTAGAGAGAGTAACGTTATTATTCGGCTTACCTTATCCGTGTGCCCATCAATGGTAGTTTCGCATTCACTATTTTTCAGCGTCCAAACTTTTATAATTCCAGCGCTATCAGCAGAAATCAATTGGTAATCATTGCTGACAAATAATGCCTTAAAATTCGCATAATTCAAAATAGTTCACTTTTTTTTTCAAAACAACAATACCCTAAAAACTGCACAAGTGTGCCCATTGAGAGTTTGCAAACAGGTTTTCTCAGTGACATTCCAAATTTTAATTGTCATATCTCCACTACACGAAGCCATTCTCTGAAATGGAAACATTTCAAACTTGAAAAAAAGATTAAAAAGGGTTACATGAGAGTTTTTTGCAAATCGAACATCACCAACTCCTCTTCTATGTCCGCTCAATGTTCCTCCGATGCCAATCTGCATTTTCTGAATGTCAATCTGCCAAAGCTTTACTAATTTGTCCATTCTGAAATACATAAATTTTTAAGTTTCAAATCTAAGCACCTACCCTCCAGTAGCAATGACGACATCTGATTCAGCAACATCCACGCAATTCACATCTTTTGCATGAGCCAGAATTGTAGAACTGCATGTCAATTTCGGCCTGAAAATCCAAGAATTCACGTTTTTCCTTTCAATTAAAAAAATATTACAGCTTCTCGGTGAAATCGGTAGCATCCAAGTCCAATTTCGGGATTTTAAACTTTGTCAATTCTTTAAGCGACCACAATTTCAGCATGCAATCGCTTGAAACGGAAACAATAAATGGCATTCGAGCAGTATTTGACATGCAAATTGAGGTAACCGAGTTGGCGTGTCCTGTCGCAATTGCAATCGGATGTAGTTGCGCTTTTTTGTCTAAAAAAGGCTGGATATATATTTAATTAAAAACGAATTTTTGGTAAGCGATTACTGTATCAATTGAATTGCCGCCTTGGGTCTTGTATAGAAACTCCTAGAAGCGGGTTTTTTTTCATTTAATGTGAAATGCACAATTTTTTGAAACAAATTTTAAGTAATTTGGTTTTCACAAAATTGTCAAATAATGGAGTACGATCTCATTTTCATTTTACGAAACTAATTAATTGACGGCTCGCAAAATAAAAATTTCGCACAGAATAGACTATACCTGTTTCGTTTTGCACAAATCTCCAAAACATGATAGAATTGTCTTTTGAACACGACGCAAGAAGATTAGAGTCCCAAGAAGGGGACACCACTGAGAGAACGCTTTCAGTGTGACCTGAAATAGAAAAATTCCAGACGATATTTTCCGATGGTGTGAATAACAAACCTCGAACAATGATACAATCCAAGGTTTCCGAATCGTATACACGAATATCGCTGGTATTGCAAGCAACCGCGATATGGGACTCGTTTTTACCAAAAAGGCAGCAAGAGTAAATCTACACAGAATCCAGGTTTCAAATTTGTATAATAATGGTAATACCTCATCATGGAATCCAACAATTTGTCGTGACAGCGAAAAATCATCAAAATTAATCACGAACAAATTCTCATCAGCGGAAACTGCCACGAATCGATTGCTGATCGGTTCATAACGAAGTTGGTCCAATGCGCTTCTAAAAATTTGGCTTTTTGAAACCGAATTCCTAATTTTTATAATGACTACCCCGATATCTTTTGCCTTCGCACAAGTTTCGCGGTTTCAACAACCCATTCTTTCAGTATTCCTTGCTCGCCAACAGTGAACAAATTTCCATTGTGTCCAATTGCTCCCGCTTCGATTGATTCGTACAAAGGCAACACTTTTAGTGTTTCATGTGTTTCCGTTTCATGAATCGACAATGTTTGATCTCGTGATAAAGCAATGATTTGCCGACTTGCTGGTATTTGTAATAAACAGGAAATATGACTAAACATTTTAAATTGAATTGAAATAAATATTAAAAAAAAATAACACCTGCTATGATTTTTCCACTCTTTGACCAATTTCTTTTGCGCTCCTCGCATGATGTTGAACAAATGCAGCTGAAAATCTACAATATATACCATACTCTTGAAGAAAAACGTCATACTTGTCCTTCAATATATCCGACTACAAGCTTCTCATTTTCTCCGAACAAAATGGCTGAAACCACAGAGGGTCCTTTCAAAGTGTGTATACATTGCTGAAGTTCCAAATTCCACACTTTTACAACATGATCGGCTGACCCAGTTGCTAGTAAAACTCCAGTGCTATCAAATTCCATTACGAGAACAGGAGCTGTGTGCATTGTTTTCCATGTTCTTGCCAATTCTGTTTTGTCATTTTGCTCAAAGGGCAGTGTGTACTCTCGAATCTGAAATTCGATTTAAATAAACGATACAAAATTTTAAGCGCTTACCACTTGATTATTATATGCGATTAAAAGTCTATTCCTATTTTGGTCTAATGTTATGCATGTGATTCTCAATTCATCATCGGAATCGCCGATTGTGAAACTGAACAGTCAGTTATTCATTTTTATATAAAATAATTGAAAATACCTTTCATTATTATTATCTAAATCAATCACTTTTACTACATTTGAGCATGTTGAGAAAAGACGTCGACCATTTGCGCTCCAGCGAACAATACCACCAGTATAAAACGCTTCCACTGCACGCTTTACGGCAATTTCCTTTATTAATTCTCGCATGATGCGTATCTGCAGCTTTGTTTAAAATATATTTTCATTTTATTATGCTATGACATTAGAAAACGTTTTATCATTGGAAAAATAGGAAAAATTACAGAAAATCCTCCGTAAATCAAAAATTTGCACATCTGAACTAGCGCTACAGTAGTCCTTCGCTGCAAAATATTGCAGATTCAAAGAGGTCTGCACCTTTATCGTCCCTAATAAGTCAATTTAAAAATTCAATAAAAACTGCGTTTCTTCTTGTTTTATCGTTTTTTAATTATAAAAGCAGAAATCAATTTAAATAATTAGGTTTTTGAACAAATGTTTGTGTGAAATTTTCAAATATTGATTTGTTTTTGTTACACAAACATCTTATAAATGAATCAAGACTCGCTTACCAATTTAAGAAATGCTTTCTATGATTTCTCTCCTTAAACGTCTAGACATTCTTCATTTAACATATATCTGTTCAAAATTGTTTTCATTTTGTCGTCAATATGGTTTTAATGTTGATATATTTTTAAAATTAATTTTTCAGACCCATCCTCCACTTGGTAATGTCTGGAACCGTGTTCCAGCCACAACGTCAACCCTACAATAATAGTAAGACCAACAACCAAAAGTACGAGTTCAGTGAATCGCCGACAAACAACATTCGTCCTTCCCAGCCGAACACCACGAGAACGACCCCAGATTCTGGACTGGGCGCCGACGATCAAAACAAGCACGAAAGAGCCCCACCGGGATTCGTATGTGTTTTGTGTTTATTTTCAATTAAATTAACTTCTCTTTCTGAAGGCTAATCAACAAACGACATATTACTCTGATCAGAGGAAAATGCGCGGACAACAACCGCCAGTTGGAGGCCCGAATAACACATACGAGCAACCGCCGCCTGGACCTGGCCCAATGCAGTATAGCCAGGAAGGTAATACCTTCGATTCGAGACCTCCACCGGATCAAGCGTATCCGCCATATGAAGGAGCAATGCCAGCAAGAGGAATGCAAAGAGTAGTAATTTTCATTCTTGCAAGGTTTAACATTATTTTTATAGTATCCGGGACAACAATATTCCATGGACAATAATACTGGATATGACGATCAGAATGGAAATGGCCAATATGTAAGAAAAAAATTGATACATTCACTTTTCAAATCATTTTCTTAGGTGATGCATCCACAAAACGAGGGGTACGATCATCCACAAAACTATGGTATTTATTTTTGCACGCATTTAAATTTTTTAAAATCTACTTATTTTCAGGCCCACAGTCAGGAAATGTTCCTATGCTGAATCCAACCTATGAGCAAAACCAAATGGATCCTAACCAAATGTATCCACATCCGCAGGGAGGCTATAATGGAATGACACGGCCACCACCACCGCCGCCACAGGCTTACCAACAGACAGTGTATGCTGGAACTCCGATGCAGCCCGGAGGACAATTTCCGCCTGGAGTAGAAAAATTCGCAACCAATTTATTTCCAATTAAATCTCTGATTTCAGCCAAATCAATTTCGTCAAGCGCCTCCACCTCAAATGCATCCGCAAGTCCATCCGATGAATATGCAAGTTCCTCAACAGCAAGCTCACGTGCCAAATCCGTATTACGTTCAGCAACCAGTATAAAAAAAACTTTCTCGAAATGAAAACGAAAAAAAAAAACATTTTTAAAGATAAGTGCGTATATGGCCCAACCGTCGCAAGCTTCAACACCAAACCTATTCATGCCGATGCCGATTCCAAGAGTATTCCGAGCTACAGATATTTCCTCTAGTTCAGGTCCGTCTGATAAAGATCGCGGTCAAAATTACGCAAAATCGAAGCGGAACACCAGATTCAGCGGTTTCTACAATTTGAAAAATCTAGAAAAATTGTTGTTTAGGATCACAGCAAAATGACAAAACACAGGAAATGACGCCGGATCAAGTCATCGGTCCGTATGAGCCACAACCAGCGCAACCTCCTCAACAGCAGCAAGCTAGTCAAGAGTTCGCTCCAAATATGCAAGCACAACAATACCAAGGCGGCCCGCAGCGGGTTATGGCTGCACCGATGGCCTACACTCCGCACGGATATCCTCAAGAACAGATGCAGATGCAGGTGGAATTGAGAAATAATGACCAAAGAAGCAAGATTTTTTTTGATTATAGCATGTTGCTGCGTATCCAGGTCAACCGAACTGTCCACCAGTCCAAGGAATGCCTATGCAGAATGTTCAAATGATCCCACCAAATGCCCAACAGAATGCTCCGTACCAGCAACATTATCCGAGCGCTCCAATACAAGGACCTGCAATGTACCAGCATCCCTATCAATCATCTGCTCCACAACCACTCATTAGCAACAATCCTATAATGCAAGGATATGCTCCGCGAGGCGGCCATGTCGCCATGAATCAGCAAGGATATGCGCCATTCGCTCGTGGAGGTCGTGGGCGTGGTCGTGGCAGCTACCGAGGAGATCATTCGTTCCATGTGAGTGGTTGAGCATGCCGACGGGCTTGTGAATCTTATCATTGACTTTATTGCTTTTAATATTAACATTCGTGCGCTCGTATTCCAATCAGAAAAGAGAATCATGTTATTGCGGCTGCACGTTGATAGGAAAATATTAGTTTGAGGGAGAAGCAGGAGATGAGATTAACTAGCGCGTGGACTTTTCGATTTTTACGCATAAACAACTTCTAATAAAAAAGATGAAATGGTTCTGGTAACCGATGAACGCAATATAATTCAATAGAGATGAATAGGAGCCTCGAGAAAACTAGAAGGATCACATGAAATATTATAATTATGTGTTTTATTTTTCAGTCACGACAGAATTCCAACCAGAGCTACGATGGAAGAGCCCACTATCAGAATACGAGCTATCGTCAGTATGTTGAGCCGACTCAGGAGCCTGTTCCGGATGAGGAAATTGCTATGCTATCGAATCGTGTGGAACGGCTTGAGCCGGCGTCGAATGCGCGCAAGGAGTCGCCAAACAAGCAGCTTCTAAAGCTGAATGGTATGTTGATTGTTTCAACTTGTATTTCTAAGTCGAATTTCCTAGAATCGAAAATGAAAGAGTCTCCAGAAACACCTGATATTGAGGAAGTTGCAAAGCCCGAAAACACATCTCCCGTGTCAGGTGAATATTTAAAAAAAATCTTTAAAGCAAAAATGGAATATTTTAGCTGATGAAGTGAAAGAGGAAGTAACGACGACTGAAGATGATGAGCAGAAGTTGCTACAGGAGCAAACGAAGAAATTAGGGAAGGAATTAGTATGTTACAAGTGTCTCAGCGAGAAAAAGCCGAAGAGCGTATACGAATCGCACACGTGAGTTTCCAAATTCCTTAAAATATTGATTATTTTGAACTTTAGTATTCGCAAACCGAATGGGGCCTGTTGGTGCCCGTCTCTGCGAGCGCAGGTTTGCGAAATTTGTGGCGCCACAGGCGACAATGCACATCCCAATATAATGTGTCCTGAGAAGAAAAGTATGAAGAAGTGACGAGCAGAAATTTATTTGATTATTTCAGCGGCTGAGAAACAAGAACCAGAAAATGTTCGCAGTGAATCGGCGAGTTCACGGGACTCTTCTCGCGTTCGAGACACGGATCCTCAAGATCCGATATCGTCGCGTCGAAATTCGGAGCGTGAATCACATAGTTATGAGTCGAGAGGACGGGGAAGAGGTGGTTCAAACGGTGGAAATCGCGGAGTATTCTCGTCGCGAGGCGGATATCGTGGTGGAAACCGGGGAAACAATAGTAGAGGCGGTGGAAAGGGTGGATATGACGTAAGTATTCGTTGAAAAAATTGTCAACACAAGTTAAAATATTGTTCGCTTCAGAATCGAAAACATTAAGCGTTTGAGGATCTCCAACTCGGACATAATAAAAAACGACATCGAGTACATAATCAAGCTTTAATCCATTCCTTATTTCCAATGTTCTCTATATCTCCATCAATCGCTATTAGTTACATTCGGGACGCCATCAACCAAAAAAGAATGAAGTAACTTGTATTTTTGATTGTTTGCTTTTGTTTTCCTCCTCCTCCTCCTCCTCCTCACCTCATACATTGCAGCCAATTCTTCATTTCTTTCCTACTTCCTTTTTTTTGTATCACCAATAACCACATCGTTTTGAATGAGTCCTTCACTCGATTTGCTCCAAGCGTTTCATCCTCCTTCTTTCGTTTTGAGAGTCGTGCGAAAATCGAATATCAATCACGTTATTTTGAAAACGATAAGTGTGTTGATATTCGATTTTCGAAATGATTTCTTTTCGCGTGTGTGTATGTGTGTGTTGAATGTTCTCAAAAAAACTTTAACGTTCATATAGTTATTGTTGTTTTTGTTTTGTTTGTTTACGTTTAACTCCTCCTATGATTCTTTCATTTTTGAATTGGAATAATTTCCGGTCATATTTGGATTTGTAATTTTCCAGTTTAGAAATGCTTCCAGGTTTCAACCAGTTTGTGCTTCTAATTTTCATCTACCCCTTCTCCTTTCTCCTACTCCTCCTCTCCTTCCTTGTCTCTCCTCCCTTTTTTTTAACAAACATGCGTGCAAGTTTTCTCAGCCTGTAATGCATTAGTCTTTTGTATTATTATATATTTATTATGTAAACACGAAACTAATCACCATTACCCGAACATTCACCCGTAATATCACGCAAGCAACGTCAACAACGACAAGGAAATGAAAAAGGATGTAATTAAAGTCGGAGAAGAGCGGCGAGCAGCTGGTCATGATCCTTGATTTCGTTCTCGGTGAACTTGGTCTTCTTGAAGCCGGAAACGAATGTCTTGGTCTTGTGGTGACGATTATGTGGTAATGTCATTTTTCCGAAGTCGGAGAATGACATCAATGGGATTGGAACGCCATGATCGTCAATGAAAGCATTGTGCTGGCGGGTGCGAATCGGTTCGCCGCGAAACGATCCGACATAGTGGGCCTGGAATTGAAGAATTGCTAGATTTTGCTGACCAACACTCCTCACCGATCTCATTCCTGTGTCGGCGTCAGATGTTCTGAAGTCGGGAATCGATGTCCTGATATCCTGTCCGTTCACGCGGTCGAGAAGACTGAAACCGCGCACTTCTAAACCCAAGATGTTGATATAAATATTTTTGAAGAATCTCTATTATCAATGTGACACAAAATCAAACGATGGGGAATGATTGCGAATAACCGGTTCTCGATCTCTCTAATCTCGATTCTATTTTTTTAAATATAACTTTTAAAGGCGCATTTGAAAAACCGTGATGAAATAATTTGAAAAAAAAAGTGCTATCAAAATCTTCTAGAAGAAAAGCAAGAAACAAGGAAGTTCTCAAAAAAGAAATTTGAGTTATTTTCTTATTTGTCTGAAAAACGTTCAACGAATTATTGCGAATTGCAATTGTTTATCTATTTTCCATTTCAGTGAAGGAATTTTTGAAACGTTTCATACAAATTTGTACCCGATTCGAACCGACAGACACTATTACAATATAGTCTTTAAACTAAATGGCAATCGTTCGCAAAAAAACTGACCATGATTGCGTTCAAATAGCGATTGAGCTTCAAAATGAACCCGAGCACAATTTTGAGCAATTCGGGAAAATTGTGAAAGCACTCACCATTTATTTCAATTAACACGAGAAGCGCAATCGCGATCCTGATCATTTTAATATTGGCGTCAAAAAAAACGATCTGAAAATTCAGTATTTATATTTATATTAGGCATTTAATGGGGGGGGGTCTGAATCACATCATTTTACACTATTGAAAACCTGTTAAATATTTGAACAATAAACTATTAATATTTAAAAGGTTGATATATAAAAGTTGAAAGATATTTGTATAAAATAACAACGCAAATTCTTCCGCATGCCTATTTATAGGCGCATTCCGATAAATATCGTCGTGCGCGAGAGATTCAGACAAAAAGGGGCGGAGCTGATGGTGGGGGGTTTACAGAAATTTGATATGAACGCGGCACACGGAGTAGGTGGCGAATCATTCGATGATCGGTGGGAGGGGCCATCGCTACGATAAGTAGTGCAAGTGCTTCTTTGATTTTAGGCAGTTTGATTTCAGTTTCTTTTTCGCTTGCAATCAATTGAGATCACAATGTTGTTCGAATCCACTTTTTGTTGATTGCAAACAGCACGTAACCCTGCTGAATACGACTTTATGGCTGTCATAGTCCGGCTTTGAAGTTTGACACCCCCCCCCGGTTATCGCCGCCCATTGTAAAAACTGTGTAATACTATCACAGAAAAAAAGGTTTATTATTTTCCAACAATCTTCTCAAGGGCTTGAACGACGGCGCTCATGTTGCACCGGTTCTCCGGATCTGACACGAAAATTTTGTCGCTGACGAGTTTGCGAAGCGGCTCGGGCGCCATCTCATTCAACTTCAGAAATTGTTGCCGTTTCGTCTAAACGCGGCGATTCAACAAGAGAGAGAAAAAAATGAAACGTCAAATTGCAATTAGATACCAAATCTTTGATGGTTTGCGCGTTTTTCCCGTCATGTGGTTGAACGCCGTTTTCGAATATCTCCCACATGACCATGCCGAACGAGAAGACGTCGCTTTTCGGTGTGAACACGAACGTGTCAAGTGTCTCGGGAGCCAAATATCGTACGGGAATCTTGCACGTTTCCTTCATCTCGTATCTATCCGTGACTTTCGCCAATCCGAAATCGGACACCTTCGGCTGAAACGGGTTACGCGAGTGAAATGCAAAAACAATTGGTACCCATAAATAATGGAATACCGTTTTATCGTCGGTGAGGAGGACATTCCTCACGGCGAGATCGCGATGAATCAATCGCTGACTGTGCAGATACTCGACGCCTCGCGCCGAACCCAAACAGAATTGAAGGCGATCGTTCAGCGTGAGCGTTTTGGCGTTCTCACGGAGGTATTCTCGCAAAGCGCCACCTGGATTGAGGTGTGATTCAAATCAAAAACTCGAGCTCTTACATCCACACAATTCACTCATTAGGTATAGAGGCTCATGAAGAACAGCGACACCGTAAGACCTCAGGACGTTCTATGGGAATTCGAATAGATTGGCTGATTTCGATGAATACCTTATGATCCAAATATCGCATAACTCTTCCTTCGTGTAAGAGCTCTTGAACTTGGTCCCTGGTTACTGATTCTGCATTCTTCAACTAAAAAATTGAAAATTGAAAAAAGGAAAAGGTTTTAAATGATTTGCCATTTTCACAGCGACATTCACTGATTTCAGCAAGCCTCCTTCTTTCACTCGAATCGTTCCAACTCGCACTTCGCCAAACGCTCCTTCGCCGAGCTTCTTCTCGCTCAACTCGATCTCCTTGTGCCGAAACTCCCAACTCGTGAGGCCGATCGGTTGAAGCAATTGGAATTCGTGACCTTTGTATGTGCCCGTGTTGACCTTATAATGCGCGACGAGCTCGTTGAGCGTTCTGAACAGTTTGCCGGGCTCGATGCTCAATTTGCCATCGGTTCGTCGCAGGACCATGTTCTTGATGTGCGATATGGCGATTCGTTTCGATTTCTTGTCATCCTTATCATCGGATTTCTCTTTATTCGCCGTTTCCTTCTCCGCCTCTTTTTTCTTATCTATGAGCAATTATCGAATCCCCATTGATTCTGATCGACCTACTGCAATTCACAGCGATAACAAAATCTCGATTCGCCAGCAAAATATCCAATTTAGTAACCATTGATTTATTCTGAATAAAAACTCGTCAAAATTCGACAATCGTCATTTTTCTTCTCATTACAGCTTTCTCCCGAACAGTCTTCTTCTCTGCCGAGGCGGCGTGCACGGATATCCGGACGCAATAATCGCCATATTTCTTCAGAATTCCAATCAAATCCTCGCGACAAATGTATCCGTGATAGTATTCAAGTGGTGACATAATCTAAACGCAAATCACATGTCGAAACTCAATTGAATCCGAATCATAGGAAAAGCTCAATCGTTTCACGTCACCTCTTTACTATACTTTCGTCGTTTGTGCTTACGCTTCGGCGACGTTGGCACAATAACTGATGTTGCGTTGCGTCTGAAAATGATCGATCCTTTTCTTTGATTACCTCTTCCATTGCTTTAAAATCTTGAATTGTCGGCATTGACGTTACACTCCAATTCGGGCCGTATGTCGACGCCATCGAGTTCTCGCGAATGTCGTTAAGTCGATCGAGACTTCCGCCGCCGCCGGCCACATTCGGCGACGAACCGACGCGAATTCGACTCTTCTGAAGGTCCTGCAACGAAACGAAACGACAACTAACTGTTGCGAGTTGGTCCGGAGCGCCGAGAATTCCGACGATGGCCGTAGAGGTGTCAAACGCGAGAAGTTTGCCGAGGGAGACATGCGCGGTGTGAGCGCCATTGGTTCGAAGCTATTTTTGAAGCTCCCGCCATAACTCCAACTCCTACTACGACTTCGCGATCTACTTCTGCTATAGCTTTTACTTTGGTTTTTATTTGCAGCCTTCTCCATCGCGGAGAACTGATAAAAAATGGCGGGTTGATGTCGAAGTTTGGTCACGTGATATTATTTTTCAAATTTTTGAGAAAAATCACTTCATTTTAATTTTTTTTAACATTTTATATGTCTATGCGTTTTATTTCGTAACATTTCGTTGATCTCATGACAATATTTTGCAAAAAACGAAATGAAAAAGCTTAATCGAGTTCAAAAATTCGCCAAATGGCCGCATTGCCCGGTATCACATTAAAAAACTATTTTTCGTACTTATTACACTGGCCTTCGAACGCGGCCATAATTGAACCCCTTCACCATATCTGTCTATTTCCACTGAGAAATTTCGATACAACGTGACCAGAGGGGCGCGAGAGCAGAGGAAAGTGAAAGTGATATCAGAATTTGGAAGTGACGGTAAACTAGGGTTTCCTTTCAGGCCGACAGCTTTTAAGAATTTTTGTCCATACGAGACGCAAGGCGGCAATTCGAACATTTAATCATAAGCGGGCGGGCGGGCATTTTTGCCTGAATCGATCTCCAGATTTTGGAGGGCAGTATGGCTTTTCATAAATATTTGAAATTCCTAATGGTACTACATAGATTTTGAAAAAAAAAAAACGATATTCGAATTTTTTTTTGAAAATTAAGCGTAATTACAAACTCTGGTAAATCAAAACCAATTTGATCCGAATTCCACACGGACAACTACCCATCGGATCCCAAAATATTCAAAAAATCAATCGGATCCGGCAATTTATCAATCAGAATTACAATTCCGCTCCGGAATCAACCCGAATCCAATTGGTTTTGAGTTACCTGAGAAACGTGACCGACCTAAAAGATTAAAGGATCATTTCAAGTAAATTCTACAAATTTCTATCATAGCTGCAAAATGCACTCGAACGATGATCAGCTTCATATCATATCAATCAAAACTCTGAGTCAGCTTTTAAATGTTTGGTCTTGACTGGATCCTAATGCGCGTTCAATGATTAATGCCATCTTCATGTCGTTTTTGAACAATTCCAACTCTTACCAATATTCTTTGTTTCGATATTGCCTCATTGAATGGATCGGATGCCACACATACCGTCGTCCGCACGCTTTTCTTTTTCCCCTTTTGCCCGTCATAAGAAATTTTTGATTTTGATTGCATCGCCTATAGGATATTCGAAATAATCGCGTTTATTTTCCTCATTTTGCTCGTACCCTCGGCGATATAAAATTTTTCGATGTTTTTTTGACGAGTTCGTTCTCGTTTTCGCACTCGGTTTGAGTCATCATCAGTTTGCGCGCCTCGATTTCCTTCAATTCGCTTTCACTTTTCATTGGTCTCGAAACGATTTTCCAATTACTTGCTTGTTCATGTCTATTTGATAGATTTGAAGACTGTTTTGTAAATATTGGTAATTATGAAAAATGATAAAATAAAAAAAACAATAGGATGTTTGATGCGGCTGATTTCACGTATCGCGGAATGCATGATTTATATCTCATAAATATCATATATTTTTAAGTGATGATTTAGAAATCCTCCAAAAATGGAAAATGTGGATGATCGCCGTCGCGAGCAGTGAGGTCGACAATTCTCCAATTTTTGTTGACGCCATCGATTTCCTCAACTTCCTCTGTCGTCAACGAGAAATCGAAAATGTTGAAATTTTCCTTGATGCGAGCTGAAATGTTCGAAAATCGCTGTAACGCCTTTATTATTCTAACATAGAACATAAAGCATTGGACATATAGTTAGTTAATATTCCTCGTTGAATGGGAAGTGCGGATGATCTCCATCTCTTGGAGTCGGATCAACAAGTCTCCAATTTTTATTTTGCGCATCGATCTTTTTAATTTCATCATCATTCAATTTGAAATCAAAAATGTTAATATTCTGCTTGATTCTTGCTGAAATTGGCATGCAGACGGACACATTTGAAGCGCAAAAATACCTTCTGAAGTCGATTTCGGGATTACGATGACACCATGCTCGATGAACCATCTCAGCACAACTTGCGCGTTAGTCTTGCCATGCTTCTTTGCAATCTCGGCGATAACTTCGTTGCTGAGAACATCCGGATCGCCCGACTTGCGGAAGAACGCCGATCCAGGATTTCCGAGAGGGCTGTAAGCTGTGACAGCGATGTTCTTTTGGGCACAGAACTTGCGAAGCTTCTCTTGGTTGAAGAATGGATGCATCTCGATCTTAAAACAGTGTTATAGATTGCAGACAACGGAGAGATACTGGAATTTACCTGAAGAACTGATGGCTTAACACTAGCCGCGTTCCAGAGACGCTCGATTTGCTTATGATTGAAGTTCGAGATTCCAATCGATCGAACTTTTCCGTTATTATGAGCCTCTTCCAAAGCCTTCCAAGTATCAAGGTAATCCTCATTCGAATATCTCATTTTGTTGTTCTCTCCCAATGGGAAGATTTCACCACCCTCCTCGTAGCCTTGTGGCCAGTGGATGAGAAGCAAATCGATGTATTCAAGCTTCAACTCCTCAAGAATCATGTCGACGTTCTTGCGAGCCTGACCCAACGAGTGGAAGGTGTTCCAGATTTTCGAGGTGATAAAGATTTCCTCGCGCTGCAAAAAAATTTTGTTTTTAATTATTTTTGTGAAATCTTATTGAGTTTGAGGGACACAAACCTTAACTTTTCCGCTGGAGAAAAGCTCTGCAAGAACTTCTCCAATTTCCTTTTGGTTTTGGTAAGCGAACGCGCAATCGAAATGCCGGTATCCGGCTTCGATGGCGATTTTGATGGCAGCTCCAACCTCACCAGGCTTGCTTTGCCAAGTTCCCAAACCGAAAATCGGCATATCATGGCCGCTGCTCAGACGAACGTTTGGGACAGTCATGGCTGAATATGCGTTGTTTTGTAAGCGAGAAGGATATGTAATGAAAATAAGAACACTAGATGATCGAAGTGTTGGTAAACTAAAAAAGGCACGCGGCGAGAGAGCGCGTATGATGAAGAGACGGTAAGATGAGAAATATCGAAGTTGGGTCAATCGACTATGATAGATAATAGCGCTGATTAGGAAGTGTACATTGATGCCTCGTGGTGAATGATTTGTTTGAAAAAAATACAAAATAAGCGATTTTCAAATGTTATAGTATTATCGAATTTGAAAGGAGAGTACTGAAGATTTTTTTAAAATTGGTTTTTGAATCCTTCGATCACTTCAACACGATAATGTTTTTACAAACATGCTTGAGCTTTTTGAAAAATGGAGAAAAATATGAAAATTTTTACATTTTTATTAAAAAAATGTAAAAAAAAAACAAAAATATTTGAAGGCCGTGGCCTATGTTTTCTGAATATTCGGCCAGAGAAAAATTATCTTTTCGGATTACAATTATAACCACTCTGTACTTCCCGCGAGTTAATTATATTCTTATTAATAAGATATTGGTCCGTGACCGTGGCCGCGTTTGATTTTATTGAAAAATTTCTAGGCCATAAAAATGTTGCAATTTCGCTCCGATAGATTAACTTTGTTTAATATCAATTTCAGCAGCGATTAAAGTTTTTTTTTTCAGAAATGGTCTTTCGCAAATATCGGGCAGTTAAACAATGGGGAAAAATGGATACAAGGATCTTCAAGGAGATTTACAATGCACGGAATAAAAGAAAAATGCCGAGTTTCAAAATTCCTGAAGCTGTCCAGGTTTTTTCGATTATAAAGTCATAAATAAAATAAATTAATGGTTAAGGCAATTGGAGCAAAAGTTTATGAAACGAATGACCCATTTTTGTTCACCGAGCAGGCAAAAGAAAACAATGCATTTGATGAAGTCTTCGTAAGAAATTGAAATGTTAAACCGTTGATAATTCGGCTATTTCAGCAAAAAAGCTCCGATATTCAATATAATAGTTCGCTTCAAGACCATCCATTGTATCAAAACGAATTAGCCCATGTTTATGAGTCATCGGAAGCGTTAAGTGACGGAATTGCACAAGCATCGATTTTAACCAATAGTGTTACTCGAAATACGCTGCCAGAAGCAATTCTAAACCATTCACATCTGGAAATCGAAGAAGAGGCGGTAAGATTTTTATTTATAGCAGAATTCAATATATATTCGCAGGTTCGTGACGCCATCCTTCACGGTGAAAAATATGATCCAACATTAGAAAAGCTTCCGAAGCGATTTGATCCTGTCCTCTTCTGGGTGACTCATCCACGCGTTCATGGAACCCCAGTGATAAAAAGGAATAATATTATTTTAAATAATCTCATGCGACAAATCACGTTTGCTGGTCTTAGGTCGGGAATCTTGAAGAGCAATTTACAGTAAGTTTCATGAAAAAGTAATTATTAAAGTTATTTTTTATAGAATTAATAGAGATGAGCCTTTATCGGCAATTTTAAAGACAAATTCGTTCAAGCATCCATTGGTCATTCGAGGTCAACCGCATCTTACAATTCATTCAACAGATCCTATTGTTAACGCGCCTTGGGCTGGAAAAATCGACGTGAAAGAGGCATCGTATGTTTTGGAATTTTCGGATTTTTTAAAATTATCGATTGATTTTAGAGAAGAAAGTTTGCCGGATATTTATCCAATTTCTCCATTCATCGATCTCCAGAAGGAATCGATTTATAATCCGGAGAATCTGATTACAAGAAGCACACAGAACGTCAATTTGCACTCGATTCTTTGGGCGAGAGAACAGGACGCGAAATACCCGTGGACCCGCGAGCAGAATATGGCCAATGCGATTATGATGACCTATGCAGCTGCTGTCGCGAATGCCACCAGAAATGGAAATAAAACAATTGAGAAGCCAATGGTAATGCGATTTTTAATTTTTATTTTGTCTCAATTCTGAAATTCAGCTCGTACGAGGAGTTCAACTAGTAAACGGAAGATTAGACCTGGTGGCGATTCAACTGAACACCCTTGATACTGCCAATGGAGAAAATCCAACCAAGAATATTGTATGGTTCGAGAAAGGTATGAGCATTCGAGTCTTATTTCCTCAATTATCATCCTAGGTCTTCGTCTGTACAAACCAAAACCATACTACGAGCAAATGACGGAGGTTGAGAACCTCAATATGGATGTGTTCAAAAAATTGACGTCGCTGATGCTCGGATTTGGATCTCCTCATAATCATTGAATTTAGATTTTAGCTATCTAGAGAATAGTGTTGATTTTTTTTTCAATTTTTTGTTGTTGTTATTACAATATTATTTAAGATTTTCTAGAATATTTTGAAAATAATGGTTTGAAACCATTTTGATATCGATTTATTTTCAAAATTGACAATCCAGCAGAGATGGTAATTGAGTTTTTATTTAGAAGTGATCGCCAAATGAGCGATCTTTTTGACGAGAATAGTTTGAACAATTATTTGACGGAAAAGGCATTCAAAGGTGAGAATATTTCAAAAAGCTCTTCTTCGATTTCGATCTTAATTCGATTTTTAAGCGATTAACGACGGTGTCCCGCAACGATTGGAATTTGAAAAGCACGTGAAATTCCTAAAACGCCATTTGGCCGTTTATCCGGAAGCTTATAACTCATTGGATACAACAAGGTGAAGATTTCTGCTGCGCCTTTAAACGGGCCACCTTTAAAGGGGCATACGATCAGATTTATCGTGATTTTTCCAGAATCACTCTTCTTTTCTTCGCCATCTCCTCACTCGATCTTCTCGGCGAACTTAACAACGTTACCACACCAGAAGAGCGCAAAATCTACATTGATTGGATTTACAGCCTTCAATTATCCAAAGGTTCTCATTTTTGAATTTCTTCGGAACCGTACAGAATCAAGCCGTGTCATTGAAAAATTGTGATTATTATATTTTCTCCTGTTTTGTGTGTAACTTATGTGCGCCGCGTTGTATTGTGAGCCGAAAGGCCGCGATTTTGGTGTTGTTTCGTTCGGCCAACGAGGACTTGGCGGGTTGTTGTTGGACATTGATAATCCGGTGAAGGATGAGAAGTTCAATTGGATTCCACAGTATAATTTGCAAGCATTCTTCAGGTAATTTTTTAAAAATAAATTTTCATTCCAAATATTGAATTATTTGAATAGGAAAAAGATTGTGCCCCATCGTCTTGGATTATGGGAGCCCGTATTGCGGCCGAGATTTCGAAAAGTGAGATTTTGAAGAAAATTTGAGAGAAATTGTGGATTTCAGTCGAAATTCAACCGACTTCCTGGCCATTTTTTGCCGAACACACCCAGCTTTATGATGGATTCTCGAAATTTGCTCTGTGTCAAATATTTTGAAAATGATGGATTTGTGCGGGTATGGACGGTTAGTGAAAGATCGAGACGAAATTTTTTGGAGCGATTCGATGTCAAGGTATTTTTCTAGCTATGGTACTATGCAGATTTCGAAAAAAAAAACAGTAGAACAATACAGAAAAATATTGGAAAATTCCAATGCAACAGAAACGGAGAAGTAAAAAGAATCAATTTTTCTTTTTTACTGCATTGAAATTTATCTCTTCTTTTTCAAAATTGGTTCCTTAGAGAAAAATTCTAGGAAATTGCAGAAAAATCTATTTTAAATCGGTTTTTTTTTGAGTTTTTTTTTGTGAAATCTGAATAATACCATTAAAAACTCAGTTTTCATCCTTTTTTTCAAGATTCATCGTGATGGCTTCTTGGATTCGGAATCTTGCGAGTTATGGACCAACGAAGACAAAAAGAAAAATGGATGGAAAATGAAAGAAGACGCTTTTGAATTGAGAAGCTCTTTTATGGAATCGAATGAGGGAATGATATTCATACGAAGTGCTCATAGTTTGAAGTTCCAGAAAAGCGCTTCAGATGATATTGAACCGATTTTCAACGTAATTCTTTTGTAAATTTATCATTTGGCTCAGACATGTTTTCAATATTCAGAGTTCTGTCAAGAATTTCGCCGAAAGTCGAATAATGTCGGGTGAATTCGCAGTTGTCGACTACGATGGAATGTTGTGGATTGGCGACATTGACGAGGGACCACAAGCGACGGCGAGAGTCAAATGTAATGAAGCAAATGAAATTCTTGAGGTTTGATAAGCCAACCATTGGATCTCAGAGAGAATGTTGTTCTAGTTTGTCTCATTTTGCGATCACCCTCGAATGTTGGCCGTTGGCACGGCGACTGCAATTCGTACCATTGATTCGAGAATGATTGAGAATCGGGCCGCTTGCGAGTTGTTCAAAGTTCCCGAATTTGACACAAGAGTACTTATTTCATACAATAATATCAATGTATTTTATCTTGATTTCAGTTTGATAATGAACCCGAATATATTTCTACGGAGCCGCCGCGTCCTTGCAAAATTCGGCATATTCAAAATCTTGCATCAACTTCGAATAATTTTGTGATTGTTACCAACTATGCGATGCATTTGGTCGATGATCGATTTCCTGGATCATCGATTTTCACTCTACGCCATGCCATTCCAGACGGTGCTCATAAAATGCTGGTCTCAAATACGGTTATTGATCCATTAAAGGGCGGTGAGGTACGAATTCAACTAGAATTTAAAAAATCATTATTCAATATTTTATAGGTTACTTCTGTATTTATGCTCGATCACACGTTCGGTGATATTTATTTGTCGAAACTTTATCATCATAAGACGAAGGTGTGGTCGTCGACAGCGCCGTTTGTTCGCCTAGGTGGTCCGGAAGATTACAACAGGCTTCTGAAACGCGGGAAATATATTGATCGGAGAACGGTAGCTGGAAGATGAATTTCATGATAGCTCATATTAATTTTTATTTGAGATGATTGAGGAGCCTCTCAGAGCAATTGCGTTTGTTGAAGGAACATCGACGAATCAATTCCTTCTAACCCAGACGGATGATGGCGCGATTTGGTCGCTTCGATTCACTAGCAAAGATGATCCAAATCTTGATGCGGAAAGGGATTCGAGCATTGAGAGAATTGAAAAATACCTTGACGAACATGCTTTGAGTGATATCTATGCACCGGTTTATCTAACCAAAGTCTGTGATGAGCTCAAAGAGGATCCGAAGAAGAAAAGGTAATTATTAATTTCGGCTATTATAAAAGCTGAAACGGTAATTTTAAGGCAAATTGCGCTTTTTAATGGGATTTTGGATAAAAATATGGTTCGGGAATCTTGGAAACGAGCTGACGAAGAAGCGCGAAATGGAATTCAGTTAAGTTTTGAGCCAACATTGATTCAGGAAAGGTATCAAGCATGTTTTTACCTGCCTGCATTCAAGCTTTTCCTTACAGACTTGTTGCTGAGGAGACATGTCCTGAAGAATGTCTCTTCTCGAAAGCGACTATTGATGGTTATATGGAAGGATTAAAATATAAGATTCCACCACCTGAAGAGACTGGGATCGACGAAGTCGATGAGGAAGAAGACTCGAATGAAGAGATTCCAATTCCAATGGAGTTTTAGCATAATTACGGGATAATTTATGAATAACATGCTTTTGAGATTACGCGTTTGTGTTTCGTGATTCTGTACGGTCCCACAGACAAATATTTTTTCGCGATTAGTTTTTGATTTTCAATCGGTTTAACTTTCAGGCGATGTATGCGGATTCAGAGGGTCGTATTCATGCGATGAGAGCGATTATGATGCGGCGAATCTGGCGCAAACTTATAGGTAATCGGGATTTTGAGAAATGTTTCTTTTTTTTTTCTCATAAATGATTTATAGTGCTCTTTTGACGTTAACGATTCTTGGGGATGACTTGAGTCGCGTGAATCGAACCGCTATTCTCGAATCTGTGAAACGAGCGCAACGGAAGTGTGGAAGGTAATGAGATCCGATCCGTGCCGGAAGCCCGCCCAAATTATCTTATTGCAGTTTTTGGAGCCAAGCTTCTGGATCAGAGAGCGATATGCGATTTGTGTACTGCGCTGTCGCCATATGTCACATTTTGCACGACACTGATGCAATTGATTGGAAGAAACTGGGAGATTTCATCAAATCCAGCCTTAATATTGATGGTGGAATTGGACAAGGTCCAGGAGACGAAAGTCATGGTGAGTTTCTGAAAATTTCGAAATCGAGCACTTCATCTCACACCTCCAGGCGGCTCAACTTTCTGCGCTATCGCTTCTCTCGCGTTGGCGAATCGCCTTTGGAATGAGGAAGTCTTGACATTGAAGGAAATCGCGCGACTTGTCAAATGGGCACTTTGGAAGCAGTCGATGGGATTCCATGGAAGATCCCATAAAGCAGATGATAGTTGCTATGCGTTTTGGATTGGTGCCACACTCACGGTGAGATTAAGCTTCTTTTTTTTTAAAGAATCTTGAAATGATTCCAGATTCTCAATTCGTATAACCTTGTGAACACTGTGTACCTTCGCGAGTTCCTTATGATTGCCCAACATCCACATATAGGGGGATTCTGCAAACATCCAGAACCGGGATCGTATTCAGGTATTATAATATAGTTTGTTTCTTTTTTATTTTAAAGACTATCAGAATCGGTCGAGTCGCAATTACCGTATTCGAAAAACATTTTCTAACATTGAAAATTCTTCCAATTTTCTGAATAGCCACTAATTGCGTCGAATTTTAATTGATTTGAATATTTAGAAACCAATTTTGGAAATTGATCTTGTGATGACAGATTATGATAGCCGCTGTTTTTTTCTCAGAAGAGGGCTGTACAGATAGATGTAGATCTTTGTACTGATTCAAGAAATTTTCAGACCTTCTTCACACGTATTTCTCCATCGCCGCCCTTTCATTGATGCGCGAGCCGCCGATCAACGCGATCAATCCGGCGATGAACGTTTCTAGTCGTGCCTTCGAGCACATTGCCAAACTTCGATTTAACTGATAATTTTATTAAAAATTATTTTCCCCTTTTTCTATTGTTTTTTTTTTTTCTCGCGGCGGGTGATTGATGCTTGCTTTTAAATAAATTGTGCCCCTGAAATTAGTTTTGTTTTCTGATATTTTCGCGGTGTTGAAAATTCACGTCTCATACTCGACCATTTTCCGACAATTTTTTTTTCTTGCTTCAATTGAGTTTTAGGGTGTCAGCAGATGTATGGCGTCCATTTGGTGCAAGGTGACGTCAGCCTTGAGGAGACATTCTTTCAGGCCAATGAATGCCTATCGGCACTAGTACAGGTACACACTCTAGTAGGCTCGGCCCGGTCGGGTCGAGATTGCGCAGACGTTCGGCAGACTCCAATTAGCGCGTGAAGTCTGCGCCAACTCGACGATGACTTTCCCGAGTATTTCTAAAAATCAGAATGATTGATTCGAATTCTAGGTATCGGATCATATCTTTGATAGGGTTGAGAAGCGGATGGATTCGATCGAGGCACAATTAATCGATATAAATAATCGAACGAGTGTGATTGAAAAGAAGATCGAGATTTTGAAACAGGTAAAATTTTGAATTTCGCGGTAACTGACCACTTTTTTTGTTATAAAGTCAAATGCTGAAAATGGTCTTGTAAATTAAGATTTTTCACATTATGATGATTAAATTAAGCATAATTCGCTCAAGATTTTTCCAATACGAGATCTAAAGCCGAAATTCAAATGATAAATAGTTTGAATTCCAAGTTCGTCCGTTTTTGACAATTATTGATTATTGTTTATTATTATTATTATGAAAAAAATGCATTGTGATTTTAGACGCCAAATATAATTACTCTCACTCCTCCGATGTCGTATCCTGCGGCCGAATATCGTCCGACGCGCGCGTTGTTCTATCGATCGCCGTCGCTGCCGATATTCTCGCCGAAATTGCGCACCTACACCGACAGTCGAATTTTTGAGGCGAGCTCGTCGACAAATGCTGCCAACGTCGATATTAAGCGTGAGCTCGAGGAGCGCAAGAAAATGTACACGGAGAGTTCGGTGTTCGACGAATTGGAGAAGGAGCAAAAGCGGAGGAAGGTGAAAGGTAAATAGGAGAGGAACAAATTCGAAAATATCGTGTTTTTTTTTAATTTTGAGAACCGCGGAAATACGAGAAAGAGGTTGAGAATGTGGCGGAGATGTTCTTCTTCGGAACTTGCATTCCCGCCTATGATGGAATTCCGCAATTTGATGATTCGAGAGGTCATACGAGAAGCATGACATCTACAAAGTTGTTTCGAATTGAATTAAAATTTCAATAGAATTTGTTTCAGGAAAAGCCGTGATGATGATATGCACACTCTTGAAGCTTTATTGGAGGTTGACTGAATTCGATTCAATTTTAAAAATGCGAATTTTCCAGGATACCGCGTTGTCCGCGTTGAACAATGATCGATTTGGTGTTCGAGAGGATAATGATCCATTGGCGTTTCGTCCCGACGAATTTCGAACCGAGGAGCTCGATTTTCCCAAAGATATTCCCAATCTTTTCGGACTAACGACCCATATTGATTTGACCGAGCTCGGTTTGTCTGGAGATATGCTGCCGGATTTGGTTGAGGATGTGAAGCCGATGGAAAATTTTGTGAAGTCTGAGAGTAACGCGCTCGTCAAAGTACCCGCGAAATCTTCAGGTTTTCGGCAAAATCTGTATGATAGTCAAATTGGCGTTTTTTTTTCAGAAAATGTGAAGCCTGCTGAACCTTTTGCTTCACCACCGGCGCCTGTGGAAACTACTGCTCCTCCACCACCGCCGCCACCGCCTACAACTGCTCCAGCTCCTCTGACAGTCTCCCCTCCTCCTCCACCTCCTCCTCCTCCGCCTCCACCGCCGCCTCCACCAAGCGCCTCATTGCCCGTAAGTCCAACTTCGCAATCCGACGGTCGGGCGGATCTAATGGCAGCGATTCGAGCTGCCGGTGGAATTTCAAGACTTAAAAGTGTTGATTCAAAAGAGGTGTCGGCGAGTCGAAAAAAGAGATATGACGGGATTCTGGAGTCGTCGGCGTTGTCGCCAAATTCCGGAGATTCTGGCGGTGATCTAATGTCGGCTCTATCGAAAGCCTTGGATGCAAGACGGAAGGCGATCAGTGGTACGAAAGATTCGACGCCAAAGAGTAAGCACGAGAATGATGATGATGATTGGGATTAGTTGTGTGAATATATGTTGTCTTTTTTTTTGTTAATTTTTGCTTCATCGATTCTTGTCAAATTGTGATAACTTTTCATAGACTGTGATATAGCCTTTCTCTTGCCTATAAATTTATTCAAGTTCATCGTCAAACTGATGTTTCATCAATCAACGTATTTCAACGTTTTCGCCCACAATATTTTTATCCGACTATTCTCAACTAACAAGTTCTGTAGATTCTTCAGAATCTTGAATGTTAAAATCACCAAAGAAATCGGCGAAAAATCCATTGCCGTCTGAAGAAATCCATCTACCTGGACCGCATCCGGCAAGAGGTTCGCAAGCATTATCGAGAACCCTTTATTAATAATTATCCTTTTAGGCATCTACGGATTCGCTTTGTACATTACTGCTTGGTGCGGATTGGTGATCTACGTTCTCTGGGCGGTTCTTCCGGTTCAATTCCTAAATCGATTGGGTAGTTTCAGACGATTTTAAAAAATCATATCTGAAAAAAATTACGATTCTAGGCATCACATATTTCCCGTCGAAGCTTTGGGCGTTGATCATTGGATTCATTTTTCAATTCGCTGCGATTGCCTACGTCGTTGTCATATTTATTATAAATTGCATTCGGTTCGAAGGATACTCGGTTTTTGACAACGTCGAGGTAAATGTTGACGCCCATAGCTCAAAATCTGGACTTTCTTTTATTTATAGCTCGTCAACAACGATTTTGGCGATCGATCGATTTTGAAGAAGGAAAAAACAAACTAGAAATGCTGAAATTGCCGCAACCAACGTCATATTTGATTCGATTGCTGTCATCGCGTGCGGACATCAAAAAATCGTTGGAAAGTGTTCGGAAGACGAGCGTTAGTTTGTCGTCGAAAGTTGAGCAGATTCACAAACTCTACGCTGATTATGAACGAGCTCAGATGATGGGACGACGAGTTGAGGAGAAGAATGAGTATGAGACGGACTCGATGATGGCGGAAATCGCGCTCAAAAGACATCAAAGCTATGAGAAGGTGTTGGAGAAACGAATGGAAGCGCCGATGAATCCGAACACGGCTTTCATTGAGGAAAATGACGAGTCGAATTTTCCGCTTCGTAGCATTTCTATTGATTTTTCGCCGGAATGCTCCACCCAGCAAGAAGACGTTGAAGACGTCGAGCAGACAGATCGTGGATTATTCATTGAAGGCGATGCGCTTGTCGATGAGTACATCGCTGGAAGTTCGACGGATCTGGATCCCGGCGACGTCATGGTTTCATCTCGAAGCTATTATGGCATCGACGATGCCGTCGAGCATATTTCGTTTCAACTTCCTGGTCAACGAGCGTCTGCTGAGAATGCGGCCAACGATTTCGGCGACGGTGAACTCGAGCCGACGATGACTGGCACGATTGTCGAGGAATTGGAATCGAGCAAAGTGAAATGCACGGGTTGCGGAGCGAATTTTCACTGCAAAGATAGCTCACTGCCTGGATTTGTGCCGTTTGAAATTTTTGCGAAAATTGAGAGGAATGGGAAGCCTGTCAACGATAACTCGTTGTGCAAGCGATGCCACCTTCTTCATGAGCACAATTTTCTGGTAATAATTTGATTATTTTCCCTCTTCTGCATAATTCATTAAAATCCATTATTGTTAGCTCAACGTCAATGTTGTCGATGTTGATTACGCTTCAATGATGTCGGAACTTCGAAATCATCCCGAATCGTTGGTTCTCCTCGTGCTGGATGTCACAGATCTGCCTGGAAGTATCTATCCGAAGTTGGCCGAGATCATCGGATCGCGAAAGCCGATGATTGTGATCGGGAACAAGGTTGATCTACTTCCACCGGACGCACGAACCGGCTACATGTATCGATTCAAGAAGACCGTCGAGAGAGCTGTGGAGAAAGCTGGCTATCGGGAGAGGTACGGCAATTATTAATTACCAGAAATTTCGTAATGAGCAATCATTTTATAGCTTCAACATAATTCACACGGCTCTTGTCAGCGCTAAAACCGGATACGGTGTCGAGGATCTGATCACAGAGATCTATATGAAATATACGAATGTGAAGATGGGAATGCGTGGAAATATGTATCTGGTTGGTTGCACGAATGCGGGCAAATCGACAATGTTCAATGCGCTTTTGCAATCGGATTTGTGCAAAGTTCGAGCAGTGGATTTGGTCGATCGCGCGACGACTAGCATCTGGCCGGGAACTACGGTATTTTCTCATGAACAAAAGAAAGAAGAAATTTTTAATTATATTAGATCTCTCTTCTCAAGTTTCCGGTAATGAAACCATCGCCGTACAAACTTGAAATGCGTCGAAGACGCCTCATTGCTCACCGCGCTTGGACGAAAAAGGAGATGTTTGCGCGAAAATTGCTGCTCAATGAAACCGGTGATGATCGATTCGCCATTCCGACGGCTGTCATTCAGAATACTTTCAAAGAATCGGAGGATGGTCTTCAACCGATGGCGCTCAAAGAATTGAGTGCGAATGAGGAGGATAATGAGGAAAAGACGGGAAAACCGGCGTGGTCCCTCGATGATTCAATTTTTGCCAAGGGAAAATGGTGCTACGACACTCCCGGAACGGTTAATGAGAATCAAGTGCTCTCGTTGTTCACACTAGACGAGCTTATCAATGCGATTCCGCGAAAAATTCTTCGGCCGAGAACGGCGATTCTACGCGCTGGCGATAGTTTGTTGATCGGCGGAGTCGGAAGAATCGACGTTGAAGAAGCATCCGATAATGTTCTGGTATACATTGACGAATTCATTTCTATGTATTTTGAATTATGTTTATTCAGTTGACAACGTTCGCCAATGAGAAACTGCCGCTCAACGTGATGCCGATTAGCGAGGTCGATGAGTTCTTGACGAAATGGCTTGGAACGAAAGCGCTTGTGGTGCCATGTGGAGGAGCGAAAAGAATGGAAAATTGGCCGGGATTAGGTGATGGAAGAGAATTTCGAATTAGAGGAAATAAGGTTTAGAATCATTTGAAATGTTGAAAATTTCGAAATGTTAAGGATGAAGGATGTTGTGATATTGTGCTATCTTCAATCGGATGGGTGATGGTTAACAGCAAGAGTGATTTGAAAATAAAGTAGACCACATTTGTTGATGATATCACTCCATAATTTGGATTCAGAGCGTTCTCTCCTGATTCGAAAGGGCTCACAGCACGATTGCAGCCAATTTTGCCAAATTCCGCCGATCTTCGAGGCAAAAGAATTCCCGGAAGCAGATTCTATAAAGTGAAACCCATCGAGTTTCCAGTGAATGTTAAACGAAAGCGAGCGCAAGCTCGAAAAAGGCAAAGCTTGAAAAAAACTGAATGAATAGTTGTTTGTTGATTTTTTTGTTGTTAATAAATTGTTTTTCAAAGGATTTTGAGCTTCTCGTTTTCTTTCGAAGTTTTGCTTTTCTTCTGTTATACCTGATTTATTAGAAATTGTTTTTTTCAATGGTTTCATTATTTTTTTAGATGAAGAAAAATGCAACGGACAAGTAATTCCCGTGAATTGTCGCTTCCCTTATTAGGGGATGATGAGAGACTCCACATTGCCTCCGCCTCTTTTGCACTGTTTGCGGTTTGCTATGCCATTGGCATTAGGTAATATTCAAACCAGGGTGCTGCGCTGCGATCAGAATTTTCGGCAAATTGTCGACAATAAAAAATTATGCGATTCGACTATTTCCCGGATACAGAATATTATGGTTTTTAAAGCAAAAAATCAATTCGGTAAAGCTCGAAAAATTCTCGAAAATTTTGCACAGGCATTGAACAACTTCTAAATAAATAGACTTTCAAAGTTGCACAATGTTTTTTTTTTCTAAATTTGGAATTTTTCATTTATTAAAAAAAAACACATTTTTTTAGTTTGGTTTTTGTTTAGAAGTTGATCTGCGCGAAAATGCAAGGATTTCTCGAGTAGTTCCCTTGAAGTGCCGAAGATTTTGATCTTTGGCAACGGGAATCCCATTGCAGTACAGCCTTGATTCAAACCATGTCGTGTATCTTAACGATTCCAGCTTCTTCGCTATTCTATGCCTCATTGCATCGCTGGGACTCGGCGTTGCATTCTCGCATTGGATGTTCAAATCGGCAAATGGTGATATGATGTATGGTTGGGTTAATGGTGGAGAAGCGGCAGCGAGCAGGAGAGTCGTAAAGGAGAGGGCGGAGAATGAGAAGATTCGGAAGATGCCGTGGCAGGGACTTGATATCCCGTCATCACTGAATGATAGTCTCGAAATGTTTCTCAATGAAATTATCGATCAATATGTGAACACCTGGTATGGAGCATCGATCAGCAGAGATCGCGCATTTCTGAATGAAATACGGTAAGACCTATTGAAACGAGTTAACCTCAATCTCTTCGCGTTTAGGTATCAGCTACGATTTGCCACCGCGAATCTTGTTCGCTACATTCAAAGGATCGATCTTGCCAAATTTTCCGCAACTCATGCCGTTCCTTCGATCGCATTCCATATGACTCGTCTTTCCGAGCTTGAGCGTCATCTTCGCGAGAAGAACCTGGCACGTTCGGTGATTGAGACGAATATTGCGCAAAAGCTCGCTGATTGTCACATCGCGTTGGCTAGTCGAGAACACGAGCGTCACTACCTTCAACAGATCACCGAGTTCCTCATTCCGCGACTTCTCGATGATTCGAGGCTTGCTGGACGAGCGCATGATGACGACAGCCCGTTGAGATTGTACGGCAGCTGTAAAGTCGAGCAAACGTGGCCGTCGAAGTCAGTTAGGCATTTCCTTCGCGAGATTCTTACCAATGCGGTACTTATTCCTTCAATCGATTCTCTCACCCAACCAGATATGATCAATTACTGGCTAATTCTGCTATTCGACGACGGAAATGCTGGAGTCGTTCCTCCTGCTGTCGATACATCGTTGGTTGAGCTGCTCGAAGGATTCCAAATCGATGCGCCGACCAATGTTCCCGACTCGCTACTGCAGCTGAAATTGACCGAAATTCTGAGGGACTCGCGACTTTACGCGATATTCCGAATGTATTTGCAAGACATTCGCGGACCAGTCAATGAGCTCCAATTTCTATGCGAAGCGACGAGAATTCATGAAAGCATTCAGCGAAGTTCGGAATCGGCGAGTCAAATCGGTTATGACGTCTGGCAATTGTACACTCAGTTTGTTCATGAATCGACGCCCGATCGAGTTGAGCTCGATAAAACGGTAATTGGTGGAAATTTGTGTGACAAGATAAGCTCTCTTTCAGATTGTTACTCAATTCGAAGAAGCCGTTAAAAGCAAAAATTTGAAAGATTTGGATGTGATCATTGAAACTGTGAGATTCTTGCTAAGTTTGATCTTAAATTCCAACCGATGATTTTCAGTCGTATCAAACTGTTTACAATCGAATGCAATCCGAGCACGTTATCACGTTCTGTCAATCGGAATGTTTTCTGGGGTATGATTCTAGAACTCAATATCATTGTGTTTCTTTCTTTTGTTTCAGACAACTTTGCGGCTCACCACCAGTTACTATCAATGAGCTAATTGATCGTGAGACACAGGAGAAGCGGAAGCATCAAACCGTCGAGAAGACATTTTCACTATCACAACTTCGCGATCGTGTTCGCAAAGCGCTCACATCATTCAGCGAGGACGATGATGATAATTATTCGAAAAACGACGACATCCCAACCGAATCGTTCGATTTGTCAAATTCGAGCTCGTTTGTGAATGTGCCTTCGATTGATATTCTGACCGAAGAAGAGAATAAATCGTCGGAAGAGGAGGAAGTGATGAATGAACAAGAGGCGAATACGCTCATCATGGATCCGGACGCGAAAGATTTGAATAAATGGAAGGTTAATGTGTCCAAAGTTGCGCCGATTAGGGATTCGTATTCAGGTGAGCCTTGATTTTAACGAATTCCTAGCATTGAAGCTGATTTTAAGGTCGTACTGGCTATGTATTTGTGATCGAGGTGGTGAGACCTGAGGCAAAAGAGCATGAAACGAAACGATGGGAGATTCATCGATCATTTAGTGAATTCTACGCGTTGGAAACGAAATTGAACGAGTTTCATGGCGATTCGCTGAGATTCGCTGCTCTTCCTCCAAGGAAGGCCTTTGTGACGCGAGATAGGCCGTTTATGGAGCAGCATCGTTTGATATTCGACACGTTCATTTCGACACTGTGCAAACAAGTAGGTCATCGACGACCCAACATTTTGTCATAATTCGAATTTTAGAAGCTCTTGAACCGATCGGAGCTGCTGCTCTCATTTCTGACGAGCAACGAGGAAGTTCGCGACACACTTCTGCTCAGCGATCTGAATCCATGGAAGGTCGTCAAAAAGATGCCCGGCAAACTCTCGCGAGAGAAGGGCCAAAATCTGAGGCCGTTTTTGCTGAAATCGCTAGCGACGATACTTGCCCGAGATCCGCCGCGAAGTGTCGAGTCGGCGAAAGATCCGGAAACGACGAGCATGGATTTCGGCTCGAGCATCAATAATTATTCGCTGTCGACGAATGCGATCTACTCGTCCGTCTACGGCAACAATTTCGAGGGAATTGTGGATTTCGAGAAGGTTCGCAATCGAATTATTGGCATCGGCGAAGCTCTATGGTCGCATAGCGCATTTGACTCGGCACTTTTATTTTTGTGGGCCTTCATCAAGCGACACTCAATTTGGCTCGCGAATTTGGTATCATCTTTCCGATCGCTTTGTCGTCATACCGCCGATTCGGCGATTGACAATATTCTGAAAGGTGTGTTCAAGCAATGCCTATCCGTCGACAAATTGGTGCTGTTGGTGCAACACCTACAGTACACCATATTCTGCAATGACAATTATGCGTGGCCGACCGAGAACGAGATGCAAATGAGGGAGGAGCTCGCCAAGCGGCGAACATTGGAATATTTTCAGAATTTGGTTTGAGCCGTCGCACACCATTGAGGAGAACATTGAAATTTCAGGTTGACGCTCGCGCTGAACGATTCATCGGTCGGGAGAACGTGAAAGATGTCGTCGGAAGCGCGCTGGAGATCCTCCAATACCCCCGTTTGAACAAACAACTTGCATATGTGTTATTAGATCAGCTACTAGTCGAAGTATTTGCTGAATTGAATGATAGTGGTGCTCACCCCCTTCAGTAGTAGTCAAACATTCCATAATCACATTCCTTCAAGTCGATTGTTTTCATTCAAAATTGGAATAAACTCAATTTTTCTCTTTGGTATTCGTGTTAGTGTTAGTGGTGTTGCCGTCAACGGTTCCCTCCGCGTCTAGCTTCGCCGTCAAATCTTCTAAGCGAGCCCGCAACTCGGTGGCTGTTGGTCGCTTGTTGGGATTGTGATGCCAAGCGTCTTCCATGATCGCCACCATTCCTTCAGGCATTGATGGATGAGGTTGCATTCGATAGCCGCTTCGCACCTTTTGCTGAAATGAGATTAGCCGCGAATGGACGTGAAACGCTTTTGAAGGCCAACTTTCACGGTATAGGCCTTCCATTCGGAATAGGGCGATCGATAAGGATCCTCAAACATCTCCCAAATCATCACGCCGAATGCATAAATGTCAGTGTTGAATTTGGTTTCGCCATTGTCCCAAACTTCTGGAGCCAGCCAGCGAACGTTCAACGGCTTCGTTAAATCCACTTTGTAGACGGACGTCGCCCTACACATTCCGAAATCGGCCATTTTGACGATGCCGCGATGAATTAGACAATTTCTTGTCGCAATGTCTCGATGAATGCAACTGGATTTTTTTTTTTTTTTGATTTTTCGTTTCGGCTTGATTGTAATTGATTACTTCTTTTTGTGTAGGTACTCTAATCCGCAGGAAGCTTGCGTTGTCATAGTCACTCGAGCGGGAACACTCGTTTTCTGAAAATTTGTGAATTTCTATAATTGGAAAGATTTGGCTGTGCGAAAAATTTTAATCCGGAATCTCTTCATAAAGGTCAATGAAGAAAAATTTTTAAAAAACAGAATGTAACCATTTTCCTTTTTTAATTTTTCTTCTCTGCATTTCCCTATAAGCAAATTGAAATTAAAAATTGATACATGCGGTTTATCTCTCAGCCGATCCTCCACAGACCCGCCATTACAATATTCAAGAACCAGAAGATAGGGCTGCTCATCGAGAATGAATCCATAGAATTTGACAATATTCGGATGATCATAGAGTTGCATCACGCGAGCTTCCTTCATCATTTCCACAAGTCCGTCCTCATCGGCTCCTTCGGCGTCAAGCTTCTTCACAGCCACCACTTTATTGCTCTTGACGAGCCGTCCTCGGTAGACGGTTCCGTAAGCTCCAGAACCGATCTGAATGCGCATATAAATTGGAATAATGAATTGACATCAAGCCTTCTTTTTAAAAATCACATCTCGATGCATCAATTGGAATTTTCCTTTGGGAATCGCCCGTTTCAATTGCACTTTTTCGCCTTTAATCTCCAATGATTCTTTCGCGATGATCTCGATCAGCTTCCCGATGTTCGCGCCGCTCTTGCCGCCCAATTTCGCGCTCGTCGACGTTCGTTTGATCTCGTATCGCCGAATGCCTTTCTTCGTTCTCACCGCTAGATAATACTGCTGAAATTGTGACATTTTGGGTTAAACATTTTTTGGAAGATATCCAATGTTCGTCTGTTGACCATTTTATTTAGTTCCGACATGAATTTGGTAACGACGAGGTAGTCGCCCTCGTTCTGAAACAAAAAACAATCGCATCACATCGGGGTTTGAATCGTCTCAAACGACGGGCGAGACAACAATTACCACAAGTAGCTGATCCGAGTCCTGATCCATCAGGGCTCCGTGAAAATAAGCCAAATTTAAATCATCTTCTGCAACTCTGAAAATTGTGTCGCGTCGAGACCACACCCAACTAAATTAAACTTTTCTGTTGGCGCCATTTTTGTATTCCAAACGAATTTCTGAGAAAATCGTTCCAATTAGTTTATTGCCCTTCAATTACCAGGTGGCGATGGAGAATTGATTTAAAATGTCACCAGTGAATGATCTTATAAATAAAAGAAATAATGCAAAATTTGTTCGACTCGCTTCAACAAATCGATCACGCACTTTTCATATTTTATTATGCTACTATTTAAATAATAATAATACAATTAATAAAAAATAATATCGTTATTATCATATTTTAAAGGATTTGTTTTATGGAATCAATTCGTTTGAGATCAATCGATGTTGGACTCATAGAGAAAGTTTCTGGGATCGGTTAGTGTGAATGAGAAAAATAAATCATCTAAATTATTATATTTACAATTTTCCATTTTTTTCCGCTATTTAGCTCCTCTCTCTCAGCGTATATTTTCCGCAACGCTGCTCGGGAGCCTGCTCATCTCGCAATGAAGTGAACACACCGCGAAATGTTCGTTCGCAAGTGGCACATTCGCATCGCTCATTTTTGTCGCCAAAAAACTCATCTCCATAATAGCAAGTTATCTCATCGCCAGGCTTCATATCCCGAAGAACCTACAAATAATTTTTATTGATGGTGCGGTTTGAGGTAAAAAAAAAATGTCGTCACAATTTACCCTTATATGAGCGGTCGAATTGTGTGAAACAAACTCGCAGGTTGGTTTGCAATCATGGTTTATATAAGCGCCAGGTCCAAGCCATAATTGAGCACAACGCTTTCTACAAAATGATTCCGATGTCAATATTGTAGTTTTAGAGTTACCTTGTACTGAACATCACGGAGAAATCATTAACGCCAGCGACAAGAATCTCATTTTCCTCGTCATTATTCATTGCGCATATCACACCACACAATCTCTCAATTTTGTCGCCGCGACACCAATGTTTCGTTGCGACTAGTTTGGCGCCAATGTTATTCTCAGCCGAATATCGATCACATCGTCGAATTGTGAATCCCGACAACTCGTCGCAGAACATATTCAAAAAGCGGACAATCTGAAACAAAGTTTATTTTTTCTTTTTTGCCCCCCTATGACATACATGGTCTCGAAACTCGATTTGTTTCACAAATGTGTGTTGTGCAAGGAATGCAGTTATACTGCGAAGTTTCAAGACGGCGGCGATCGCACGCGAAAAATCATGATCGTCGCGGAAGTTTCGCATTATGGCACGTGCTGCACTTCGCTCGTCCTGCTTCACGTATCGCTTTCTGAAACCAAAAAGAAGACGTTGCTGAATAAAAAATGACTTGAAGCTTAATGACCTTGCAAACATTTTATGTGTAGTGAATTCCAAAACCGAGTCGACTATTAAAGTTGTCGCAAAATCATCAAAAGTGCATAAATCCATTGGCGACATTGTGTGCTCCGATGGCGGTAGTGATTTGAACGACAACGATAATTCTTCTATTTTGACCTGAATCACAAATCACAATTGATTTCACATTGGGCAATTTCGATTGTTTTACAACACCTGGTCATTGAAATCTATGCTATCACACATTTCTCGCCGATTGAACATATTCGACGATTTCATCTGCAAAAAAATTATATGTGAAGACGAGAGGCGTCGGGGCAAAATATTGTGTTATAGGAGCGAAAGAGCGAGAGTAAATTCGAGTGCATTGTGTGTTCCTTAGAAGGGAAAAAAACTAACTGCATAATGCCACACTCGAAGAAAATGAAACTAATTTTCTCGTCTTATGATATTGACGCCTCCTTATGAATAATTAAGCGTATCTTGGCACAAAATTTATCATTACATTGCTAAATTTCATTCTTATTAATAATTTGTTTTCTTTTTCTAATTATTTACTTGCAATGAGAAAATATTGATGAGAAAGTTGTCAATTTTCGAGCACCGTTAAAAAAACAACAGCGTGCATTCAATATGCGCAAAATTGCGGGTTTACTGACGCTTTTGTGGTGCTCAATGTATGTGAGGGTCCGACAGGCTCAAGTATATATCGATACAGCGTCTATAAATATGAAGGAAATATTTTATCGCAAATAAAAAAAAACATTCATCTGAAATCATATTTAAATAGATTCAATAATTTTTGCACTTCGACCGGATCATGCGACTTTAAAATTATTATTTTTAATAAAATATGTTTACTTTAAATATTTTTCGCGTTCGTCATCTCATCGGACAAATAAGAATATTGAAAATGAGCTGAGAAAATCAGAAATTTAAAAAAAATTTGTGTGCAATTATGCGTAAAGCCGCAAAGAAATTCAAAGCGACCGTAACCTGGAGCAAAATAAATGAATTTTTAATTTTTTATGCATATTACGCTTAATTTTGTTGAAATGTTAAAATATTACAAATTGAATTTATTACAGCATTGGTGTCCGACATCCCATACTATCCATGGCACTATGAATTCGGAAGTGCAGCTTGTTTTCAAGCGAATATCCTTTATAACTTCTCGCCACATTCAACAATTTCTCTCCATCGGTGTGAAAGCCCTCATTAATTCGAATAAGCGCCATTTCATAGGTGGCGTTGGGCGGAAGATAGGTGAAAGCATCGATGTGTTGCTCATTATCGATCACTTTTTGCAAGTTGGCCTCAGCTTGAGCGTAATGTTTCATATGACGAAGGCAGACCCCCTTGAGGAAATAATATAAACATTCGTCATCAATGTCGCCTAAAAAATCAAATAGGCTTAAATTGAAGAAGAAAATGGTCTACAGGTGTCCTTTCTCTTCTCCCAAGTCCGATCCAAATCATCCAAAATCGGCGGCAACAGTTTCGGGCTTTTACAAACGATATCAAATCCATTCCAAAAATAAATAAATTCCTAGAAGCTAATTTTCGGCCAAATTTTTCAGGTGCAATCTCACATAATGCGCGAAAATCAGCGAGTTTGTTGTTGCGAATCGTTTCGCCTTCCTTCCGCAATATTTCTCAACGGGTATCGATTTTCCGGCAATTCGCATTCGCAATTTGTCGACTTTGCTCGCCAACACGCCAATCGTCTCATTTCGCTTTTTCTCGCCAACCGTCTCATCGGCAGCGAAGAAGATGCACAACAGATAAGTGTACACACAACGACTCCATTTCGATTCGACTGAAAGCTTCTTGGCGTAATTTGCCGCGTGCGACCAACGCCGCTGGAATCCATGAGCAAATCTGGAACCTCAATTATATTCAGTGACCATCGGCCAATGTCTAATGATTTTTCACTATCGTTTTTTGCTGCCCAATGTTCAATTTGGTAGCCCTTGGATCCCAATTCCTTCTAGTAAACGGACCCATAGAAAATTCAGCCGAAAGACGAGTATAAGAAAATTGATAGTGAAAAATCATTGGCACTGGGTATAAAAAATTTCCTACAAAAGTTCCCAATAGCATGCATGATGGAATTGCTCGTAAACCGATTGCGAATCAATCGACTTGTTATAATAGAAAATTGCCGAATCGATGTCGCCGGACACCAACAGAAGGCGAGCTCTCATGAACAACGTGATCGCGCCATTCTTCCACATATGAGTGATACTGGGCATCAACTGATTACACACTTTTAGGTCAGGCTGGCCTGTTCCCAGAACGAAGCAAGCTGTAGAGTAGGAAGTTGATTATCACGATTTCGAAATTGAGAAATTTCCTACCAACGAGATGCCATGTGAGTAAGATGAGTTTCGCCAGTGGCGAATACAGGGTGTTGGTCATTGAAGCGACATGGTGAAGATCGCGCATTCCGGCGCCCTGATAATCAATAATTATTTTTTTTGGACGTTGACTTTGATGGCAACCTTGTCTCCAGAGAATCCGACAACTTCTAGAAGTCGCAAAACTTTCGATGGAAGTGTTGAAAGCATCAAGGCGAACGTGCCGAGGCCCATTTGAACGCCGCTTTCGAATTGTCGCTTCACCCGCTCGTTTCGTCCCACCCAAATGCTTTGCTCTTTCATTAGACGCTCGCAATACCTATCATGTCAACATTATATTTTAATTGCAGCATAAATGTTTAATTATGTTACTTGTATGTCTGATAGCACGTCCTAATATTCAACGCGCCTTTGATAAAGCTTGCAAAATTGTCGTCATGGAAAAATGTGAGAATTGCGCGGAGGAGAAGGATTTGAGCGTAGCATAGTTCGGCGTGCAGCTCTTCTAAAAAAGACTGAGAAAAGAAATAACCGAATCATGAAAGAAGAGAATCGAACCATCGGTAAGTTTTTTGCCCTTTGCGGTAGCGCCAAATATGGATTCCGTCAAGCTTCGCCTCGCTCGAAACTTCTCAATAACATCGCATGAAACCCGACACGCTTCTACAGCCTTCTCCATTTCTTTTTTATCAACTGTCATTACCGCTTTGATGAATAAAATGCACGTATATCCCATCGAATGGTACATGCTTCGGTCATATCTGAAATAAATAATTGAATGAGCTTCTTGGGGGTGATTGCTCTAACAATTCGGCCATTCGTTCTTCAGCGAGTGCGAATTTATTATTCATAAAGAGATTCAGTGTGATCTGAGTTTCAGAAATTGTGTCTAGCAGTTCGAGGGAGTCGCTACTGAAATAATATCATTGGGTGATTACAGACAACGCAAAAACTCACTAGGTGACATGATCGAACGCGTCTTGATACTCGGCATCGCTGTTCACAGTGATTCCGGACAACGATCTCGGCCTGTCGACCATTCCGGCCTGAAATCAAATACAAGACTGATTACTGATATGATCCGATGAAGAAGCGACACGTTCGTAATAATCACATGTCTCGATGTGGACACAGTTTCATAATTGAGTTGTCGTGTAATGCCGCACTGATAATGAGACGAATTTATGCCGAGTTTTTTTTTCTTCTGATTTCGTCTTATCTCGAAAAATTGTGTCTTTGCTGGGCGTCTTTTTTAGGCGGAGAAAACGGGAAAAAAGATCGAATGATTATGAAACAAATCAAATGCAACGATTATTTTCGCAGACGTTACCGAAAAAAATGTAGTCCTACAAAACTTAAAAAAAAAGAACATAAATCATCTAGCTACTTTAAATGACTTCAAAATAAAACTGACGGAAATCTACAAAAAAAACAAGACTTGAAAGAATTAAGCGTAAATTAAATGTAAAGTCCGTAGAGTTTTTGCGGCGTGATTACACATTATATAGAAATTGTGCAATCACGTCGCATGAGTTCTACGGACTTCCTAGTTTACGCCTAAATATTTCAAAGTCTGTGCAAAAGTTGCCAACTTTTTTCCGTCTTTAACATTTGGGATGAGGAACTTCCCGATTTGTCTCGTGAGACGATCCAAACCTAATGTTGTGTGTTGGATTCGATCTGGAGAACTTGTAAAATATAATTGTTCCCCTATATTTGGTTTACTTCTTTTAAGTTTCTGTAACCTGACTTCTTTGGAAATCAATGACAAATTGACTAATTTCAAAAATAATTTGGAAAATCATTGCTTTTCATTTTCATTTCGTTAAAAACCACTCCGAACCGATTTTTGTTGGCGGATCAAATAATATGTGAACAATTCCGTTTATCATTTTCTCTATTGGTATTTCCAATTGACACCGATACTAAAAATCAATTCATTCTTAAAATTAAATTTTCTCAGGTTGAAACAACTCTGCCAAACTAAATTAAGAACGTTCACCTACCTTCAGCATTGTAGTACAATATGTCAAAAATGTTTTCATGGCAAGTTTCCGAAAAAGAAAAACTCGTGAATACAAAACCAAAAACTACAAAATTCAAAGTGCCGAGTTGAAAAATTTGCATTTTGTTTTCAAATCGATAAGCGAACAAAAAAGAAAGAGTAAAGTTGTGATGTTAAGTTTTTGAGGCACTCAATCATCTGTGCGGCGTTGCTATAGCGATTGTTGCTCAAATTACCTTTATCACCAATGCTGCTTTTAGCCTGATGTATGAATATTATTCATTTTTCACACATGAAAAAATTTAATAATAGTTTATTATTATCACAGCGAGTTTGTTGATTATGTTAAAGCAAAATTTGTCAACCCGTAATAAAAAACGTTTGGAGATCATTGTTGTATCAAATAGGCCATATAGGAGGTTCAGACTAATGTTGAATATCTACGACTGGAATTTGTTGAAGCTGAAGAATCGTCCGATTCGCTACTGCTGACGTCGTCTCTTCTCGGCAACGCCCTTCTAGGCGATTGTAGGTAATTCTCAAGGATTGGTGGCTCTCCGATCGGCTGCCTTAAAGGGTCATCCCGCGAGAAGTTGAGCTTCGGAATTATATGAATCGTGGGACTTCGAGACTGCTCGATCGCGGCGTCCAGATTCTCAATGTTGCTTTCCAATGTGGATGTTTGAGTTCGAGGATCCACCGGTGTGGTAGTATTGATTCGGAATTTTTGCCGTGGTGCCCCTCTTCTAGAATTTCAGAACCGTATGAGTAAACAAGAAATTTGAAGGACCAACTTTTTGAAGCATTCAATGTATGGATGATAAATTGCGGTTGTCAATGGAAACGCAATGAAGTAGAGAATGACGATGACATCAAATATGTACAATAATATTGTGCTAACAATGTCGCCAAGGGAATCCTGAAAATCATTAAATTGGAAAAAAATTCCCGTTTAATTGGTTCTCAGCATTGCCAACAAATTTTCTAGATTTTTGAGTGGATAAATTCGGAATTTTTTCATTCCTACCTGAATTCCAACCATATAGAAAATGATGGCACAATTGATCAAAGCACAAACCGCATAACATACTGAAAACATCAAAATTTGCATAAAACAGTATCAAAAATTGATAATTCTTACTAAAAACGCGATACATGGTTGTCGCGATCAAATTGCGAATGAATTGCGCGAATTCGACGCGTCGCGCCGCCTGTTGGCTGTCTCGTGGATTCTCCGACGTTTTCGTCCATTTCTCCGAAATTGTTAGCCCGAAAAAGCACATGAGCTGAAAAATTGCGATTCCGATGAATGCGCATATCGAAACACCATAATGGAAACCATCCTTTCCTAAAATATTGATTATAAATTACTTCATTTAATCTAAAAAAAAAATGATCTCACCAATTTTTCGATTGGCTTTTCCTTCGCATGGCGGATGAAAAACCAAATGCTCGGGCACCAAAATAGACGTTAACCGAAAATATAAATACTCTGTGAAGCCTGCTAGATACTGTAGTGAAAAAAAATGTCATTTTTATCCAAATTTTTTCCATACCGCTATTATGACAATTGTGTAGGCGATTGTGTAATAATGACGGTGTATAACAACATTTTCTTCATGACTATCTTGTTCTTGACTATCATAAGATGTTGATTGAAGATTCCTTAAGAATTGATTTAAAAAAAAAAAAACATTTTGAAAAATTTGGATAATTAAAAAAATACGGCCGCGGCCGAGATTTCCCCCGTTTGCGGCCATTCATTTAAAATTTCTTTTTAAGACGAGAAAAAGAAAAAATTGAAGTGCTTACTTGTTTCTGTTTCTTATACTTATAGTTTCTATAGAATTCCGATATATTTCTCGATTTGGTCTAGGAGGCGCCCTCGGTGTATTCGCGTCATCCTCGCCGATCCTTTGCAAACTTTGCGATGTCTGAAGCCGCTTCTGAACACCTTCGCCAATCTCTCGGAGCGATTTCTTCGTGTCGCTGGCTCGTTTCGAAATCGATGATTGCATTCTAAATCGCACACACATTGTCAAACGTGCTCATTTTGTGGAAATCTTCAAAGCTACCTACCTCGCGCCGTCGCGGCGCTCATCAAAATTTCGATGATCGTCGCAATTCTCGAGGTCGGGAAGCATTTTCTGTAAAACGAGACGAAGTATTGCGATGTGCGAAATATATGGCGGGTAGTAGAAAGTCGGAAAACACAAAGGGGAAAAAGTTGATCGGATTAAAAAAATTTTATGATGCGCCACTCCTATTGTGTTATTTACTCGCCGCTCACTGTATATTCGAAATCAACAATAACTATTTTCTTTTGGAGTGCAATTTTAACGGCCCATTCTGATAATATCTCTTAGCACGAAAAACTTTCCGCCGATGCGCGTTTTAATAAACCAAAAATTCAAGAAAATTTTTTCACTTTCAAAATCGGCAAAATATTCAATCGAAAAAAAAATATTATTTTGAAATTTCAAATATGGAATAAGTCATCCCTATTTTCAAAGAGAATTCACAAATTTTTAAATCATATCTAATTTAATTTTATTATTTTTTAGAGTCTGGCTCGCTTCGTAAATAAGGGGAGTTTCTGTGCATTTTCAAAAATTAAACATTAAAACGGTGCTTCAAAAATTGATAATATAAATACCATTGATAATTGCATTTTTTACAGCGTAAATTAATTTTTTAAAGGTGGTGGGGCAACAATTTTCTTGAAATTTGAGAATCAAAGAAAAATATTTTTTTTTTCTTCAAAAGCAATTTTTAACAATAAATTTTAATGCTCCAATCTGATAACTATTCAGTTCGCTTGTAGGACATCAGAGAACTGTTTTTTTTTTTGCAAAATTCATATTTTTGATTAAAAAAAAACATTAATTTGGTCCCATTTTGTTAACTTCACATTCGAGAGCCCAAAATTGGACCATATTGTGTTTTGATCCCATTTTATTCAAAATTTGTTCGATTTAGACGAATTGCAATTAACAATAACGATTCTTAATTAATAAAATTTAAGGAAAAAAAGGGTTGCTTGATAAATTTGATGAAAATAAATAAATCGAATCGTTCCGATGAAATATAATTCGGCGCGCAAATAATAAAATCTGATTCGCCCCAATATCAATAAAAATGTGCATTTTGCTTCGTTCGACATACCTCGAATTCATCTCGTCTAGAGTTCATTTTGTTTTATTTTTTTTTGGGTTTGCAGCTTTCTAGTATTATGGTTATAATAGTATTGGTGTCGGCCGTAGAAACATGAATAGGCACAAATAAGAGGAGATAAGAGATGGAAGAGACGGCAGGCGGGTTGAAGCGAAAAGCAGACCCGACCGGAGAGCGTACAAAAGCCCGAATATTGACATTGGAATTTGTCGAAACAAAAGCAAGGCAGCGTGCCGAAAAAATATGTATGTATATGAGTCATTTTATGGCGCGTCAATTTTTTTTCTGCCTTCAAACCATCGAACAACATGAATCGATATACACACGACAGTGTTCGCAAAGTGCATGAAAACAGAATATCGGCGTATTGTGTATTCAAGAATCAATAAATGCATTATTTCGGAAGGCGGAGGGGGGGGGGCAGCAAAAGCCGTTTTGTACAGAAATTGAATGATGATAGACGGGAAGAAGAAGGCGAAGGGAATGAGCGGCGTCGAATAAATTGAGGTCATCTGGGCGAACGGGTGGTGGAAATAATTATTTTCTACTCTCATTTCGAAGGTCGTGGATTCTCTAGAGGTTCAACTATGTAAGTTTGATGGTCTCGCAGCGAAATGGTGAGCTATTCATTTTCTATGAAATCTCAGAAGTCGAACGGTAGGTGAATATTTTTGAAGAAAATTTCTGGAATTGACGTACCACAAACATTTTTTTGTGGGGGAGGACGAGTTTCTCGAGAATAGCAAAATAACACAAAACAGATTGCGATGGAAGAATGGTAGTTGGAACTGGTTCTTTTCAAGCGAAAGCTCTCAACCATTTACTGGTAAAGACAAATACGAATGAAATTTCGAAAAAAAACACACACACACACATACAATTGACAACCAAATTGGGAATGTATAAATGAATGAGTCATACTTTATCGCAGTATTTTTGAAAAGCATTCAATACTATTGAAACTGATAAGATGAAACTTGTCAAATGTGAGTTTCCTCCTTATTTTTTTTGGGGGGGTTATGAAATACTTGAGGAAAAATGAAACACTCCAAGAATTGCGACGTCGTGAGCATGAGTTGTGGCGTTTCCTTGGCAACGAATCAAGAATTATTATTATTTGACAACAATGCAATTTTTCGGCGTGCCACATGATTTTGCCAGCTTTTTCTCGAATTTGGAAGGATTGACTGGACGGGAATGAATGGGAAAATCTAAGCCATTTCATTATGTTGATGTCCGTATCCGTGAAAAGCCTTCTTGCGTCACAGCCGACAATTTGTTGTTTTCGTGATTTATTGCCCGGCTCATGCATGGTTTGAATTTTGATCGCCGAACAAGAGAAGCTTGCGTATGCACTACAAATTTTCTTGGACATTTTGTTCGACAAACAGTTCGCGTTTTTATTTTTTGAAAAAATTGGAATTTTTCGGAAATTTTGTGCACTTTTGCGTGTCGGTGAACGCACAAAGTCGACACAACCGCAACTGAGATGTTGCGCAAAATTTTTCAAAAATCGCCCTTTTTTGAAGCACAATAAAAATAATTGTTGATTTTAAAGGTACATGCGGAAAATCCCAAAAATTATCCAGTAGCCAAAAATAATGGTGGTTCGGATTTTGTTCATGTTTGCGGATGCTCTAGAGAGCTACCGATCTGGTCCAATCATATATTGGCTTTCGGGTTTCTAGATTTTTCATATTTTTTGCCAACAATTAACTTTGAACCGGGGTAACCCGAAAAAGGGTGGTTTTCCTCTGACACGTTTCGTTTTGGGGATCACTACGAGAGTACCAGCTGGGGACAGTAGTCATATGGCAATCCACCTCAGTCAAGTTCCCGAAAACATGGAAAGCTGTGGTTCGAGCCAACATCGAACCGACTATAAAATTAAGTAGGTAAGTTTCAGAAGAAAATTCAACGAGTTTGAAGGGTTTCAAAATTTTGCTGAAATCAAATCACGATTGGATATTTATACAAATACCTTCTAGAGCTCGCGGCTCGCTTTATACTATGTGTTTATAAATAATTTAATTTGTAGCACGCTCTTCTTGAATAGTAAATCGATGGTTCAGTTGTCGAATTTGTCATGTCGCTGCCAATTTGGAATTAATGGTCTGAAACCATTGCTATCGAGTCTAATTTGTTCGTTGAGAAAAATTCGTCAAAATGAAGAGTAGTCATTAATTAATATCAATTTCGACAAATGAAATCCACGTGGATAATATACAATTTTGGAATTTTTATCGATTTATTTAAATTAGCCTTTCATTCGATATATTCGACATCAAAAGTCGTATAAATATTTTTAAGTTGCCAAATTTTAATAAGCTAGGAAAAAAGTAATAAATGAATAAATTCGTTTATCTAAATTCCGTGAGTCTCTCTGTCTATTCTGGCATCAGAATCCATTTCTTTGTCTGACAGGTGGACGGATCGATTTGAAAAAAATTTAGCCTACTAGTTATCATTAAAGCATCTTTATATGATGATTTAATGTTAAAAAATTTTTTTCAGTCCAAATTTTAAAAAGCGAATACTCGGGAAAATCTCAACGTTCGATTTTTACGTCAAAATATGATTATCACAGATTCTTCCCAATGTACTCATAATTATCAATAATTTTGTCGGTTAGCAATTGAGTACTGATAGTTAGCTAATTCTATAATGCATAAAACCTTTTAATAGTGCTGATGTTAAAATTACCCTAAACGGATGAATTCGTCATCATTTTGATAGCAAATAATTTCAATAAAATGTAACCTTTAAGAAGTGATAATATTCAAATTACCCTAAATAGATGAATTTGTTAACTGATAGCAGGGTTGGTAAATTGAAGCCGGGGCCGAAAGCCGGCCGGCCGGCCCGGCTTTCGGCTTTTTTTTTTGAATTCCCGCTTCGGCCGTGCGGCCGTAAACAACGGAGTCGGGGGCCGAATCGCGGGCCGAAAATTTGACAGCGAAAAAAGCCGGCCGAAAGCCGGCCTCAGGCCGGCTTTCGGCCGGCCGGGCCCAAAATTTAACAACCCTGACTGATAGCAAAAAATTTTATAATTTTCATTTTTCTTCCCATTTTTATCAACTTCCAAACGATTTTTCAGAGGAATGCCGATTTTAAAAATTTACCAGACACAAGGAAGGCGAAGCCTTCAAATTCGTCAAATTTATCGTTGACTCGTTGAATATTAAATGCGCGTGCGATATAATGCATTGTACGCAGTCTCGAGCCACATTGGCACATAGCCAATAATTTTTTATTTCGTTCAATTGTTAAACGCACGACAATAATATATTATGGGGTTTTCTCCAGATCATTTATTCTTGGTCATTGTCAATTGTTAGTTGGATTTCACAAAATTCAATTTCTACAAGGGTTTGTGACAATAAAATTACATTTCTTGTTGAAAACAGTCGATAAATTACATTTAGCCAGATTTCCAGGCGTTCAAAACCACTTCTGGACGTTTAGTCTGAACATCATTCTTTCCATTTTTGGTGATCTCAGTTCCATCATCTTTGACAACAACCAACGCGGGAATTCCCGAAACACCATATTTGGTGGCCAATTCTCTGCAAAATTGCTATAAATTCGAACGCGCGTCGCCTCAAAATCCTACTTGATTTTGTCGGATCCGAACGGAATATGATACCAGTCGCCATGGCACTCGGCCATGTACTTCTTGAGATCCTCATCGGAACGATCGAACGAGACGAACACGATTTCGATTTTGCCATCGACAGCATCGTCCTCGTAGAAATCCTTGAGAATCGGGGTGAACGCGCGGCACGGTGGGCACCAATGCGCCGAGAAGTACAACGCGACAACTTTTCCCTAGAATAATTTGTTTTCAAAAAAAAAACATGACTGCGTGCATTCACTGTGTTTTCTCGTCTCGCTTTTGTCTTATTATCAATAACAAAATTTCTAATGATGTGCGTTAAGCTTCAAACAAAAATATAGATATGCGAGTCAGAAAAACACGAAAAGAAGCCGTGACGAGACAATTTCCGCTTCGTGCTAATTTTAGAATTAATTTCATCAACAAGAAATCCGCTTTTGCAATTTTTTGCAAAAAATAAACAGCAGATTAGAGGTGTTTGCTCTCAATTTCTCGAAAAAGAAAACTATTATGACTCATTTCTCTTTTCAAAAATTTCCCTCAACAAAATCAGCGGACACTTGATTATCGCAATACTATTTATTGATTTTGAGTCCAAAAATTGAAAATGTCATCATTTTTCGCCTTTCATGAATTATTTAATCCTCATAGGGGTATTTTAAACAAACCTGAAGCGCTTCGGCAGCATCGACGGTAGTCTTGTCGAGCTTCTCAATCTTGGTACCAGCGAGGAACGACATTCTAAAATGTTCGAGATGAATTCGAAATTGCCGGGGACAAAAAAAAATAAAGAACACAAGCGTGTACGACGGGCAGTGGAGTCGATATGGCGCCGATTGGTTACCAAGGCGGAGAGGCGAGAGAGCGAGAGGGTGTCAGAGAAGCAGAGAGACGAGATATGGAGAACCAGGCGGAAATATCATGACGCATAATTGCGAAATACAGCATTTATTATTTTCTGGTGAGCAATACAAGAAAACAAACGGAAAACGAGTTGAGCATAGATTACAATTGTGTGTAAAGCTTAAGCCGATTTCCACTTGGCAACGACAGCTTTGGGTTTGCTTCCGCTCTGAAAACAAAAAACGCAAATTTCATCCATTTTTTCTCGTTTTTTTTTTCGACAATTCCCCCCTCCCCATCAAAATATCGTACATTCGTCGGGTATTCTACAAATGTTTATATTAAAGGTAAACCTATGGGCCACTCCACAAACAACGGGCCGACGTGTGAATGGGAGATGATCGAGGAGAAGAGGAAAAAGGTCGCTTGGCAAACAGCCAAAATAAAGAAAAACCACCAATTAGAATTCGAATTCGGCGGGAATTCGGCCGACGCAAAAACGAAATTAATGACCGCAAGCGCGAGCGAAAAGAAACATTCAAATCTGGCCAAGGGTAAAAACTGCAGGAAAAAAAAACGTTGGATGAAATCAACGGGGATCCGCTCAAACAAAACATTGGCAATTTGAAAAAAATTTTTCACTAATGCTACTATGCACATTTCGCCAAAAAAAACTAGTAAAAACCGTAAAAAATACGTTTTTTTTTAGTTTTTGCAAAATCTGCATACTATTAATACCATAATGTGCCAATTTCATTGAAAAAGGAAATATTAAAAAAAAATTACTGTAGTTAAAGACTCATAAGGAATTTACGTTGGGTCTCGGCGCGAATCGAATCTAAATTCAAAATTTTTCTTCAATCCCCCCATAAATTAGTGACCTACTTTTCGATGGAAAATCAAATAATTTAAGAAGTTCATTTTTTTAGCAAAGATCCTACCGTGACGTCATCACGACCATTTTTGGTGATAACTTCGCCATTCTCCTTGACGATGATCAACGCCGGAATTCCGGAAACACCATAGGCCTGCGAGAGTTTCCTATAATCAAAAAACCATTTTCTTTCTAATTTTGTCTTATTAAATTATTTACTTGATGTCAGCCGATCCAAATGGAATATGATACCAATCTCCATGACATTCTCTCATGTACGATTTCAAGTCCGTCTCGGATCGGTCCATCGACACAAAAATGATCTCCAACTCGCCGCCAACCTCTTCATAGAAATCCTGAAAATTGGGCGAATTTTTTTGGGCGATTCGAAATTCAGCATTTTGATAAAACCTTAAGAATTGGTGTGAATTGGCGGCATGGTGGGCACCAATGAGCCGAGAAGTACAACGCGATCACCTTGCCTTCAAGCGCCGTTTTTCCATCAACTTTCGTCTTGTCAAGTTTCTCGAGTTGAAGGCTATTCAAGCAAATCGACACTACAAAAAACAATGATCCGTTTGATTTGATTCATTTTCAAAATTTTATTTATTTTTTAATCAAATCATATTTTTCTCATAACTATAACACTGTGAAAAGCGAAAAAAACAAAATTGATGGCTATAAAAGGTATGACAGAATAAACTCGTTCAAGAAACGCGTTACAGTCATTGGTATTACAATTGACGGATCTGCTTTCAAGAATCCAACTACAATTTATCGAAAGGAGACAAAATTCTGGCGCGTAATAATTATCACTGGTCATACACTAATTTACGCGTTGTCTACATATCGAGCAAAACTACATTAGACATTAAAGGCGCAAACTCAACTTGATCAAATATATTGAATTTTCCAACGGTTATCAACAACAATTTAAAGGAGCATACGTCAATACTGTTCAGGTCAAGTTTTTTTAACGTTAAAATTTCTTTTATAAAGTTTCCTTGGTGGCAAATTGTTCTTAATGAAAAAAAAATCGATTCCGAAAATCTACATTTTGAAACCGAAAAATAAATTAATATATATATAACAATATATTTTTTCTTCTATTTTTATCATTTCAATTTTCCCTCAAAACGTAAAAAGTCCATAAATCCGAGCTTCTGGTATAGATTCCTCACTAGAAAAAAAGAATGTTCCTTTAAACGACGCACTTCCACGCCCATTACAGTAAAAACCGTTCTAGTCAAGTCGGATGTTTAAAAAACCCGGAGACCACGAACACTCCACAATTTTCGGGTTCGCAGAGAAACACGAAAAATTCGTAGGGGGAAAAAAATGAAAGAAAGAGAGAGAGAGAGAGAGAGCGCAATCATTACAAAATAAATCTCATCGTCACCGAAACATTTTCATTTTCAATTCGCGAGACGAGACCCGACCGATCATCATTTTTCAATGTTTACAATTTTTTTCATCGAAATAAAATTTTTTTCGGTTTTCTTCTTCTTCTTTTTTTCGCGCTGTGCGCCACCGACCGCCTCTAAATATTGAAAATAAAAATATCTCAGCAGCGGTTGCGCGCGCGCGCGCAATCAGCATTTTCACATTCAAACGCCTACAATCTTCATTTTGCCTAAAATTCTCGTTTTGTCACATTAATCATTTTCTATTGACAAATGGCACGCGTCACGGATCTCTGACATCGGAGCTCAACCATAACCAATCCCAATCATTAAGAAATACCCGTCAAGGCGGGCGCGTGGATTCCGATACGAGGAGAAACTTTAAATGCAGAAGAACAATTATTATTTTTCTGCATTGAAATTTTGTTTTCTTTTTATTATTTTTATTTCCTCTGTACCTTTAATGGAACGATTCCGTTATGAAAGAAAAAAATGATTCAAAAAAAGAAAAAAAGAAAACAAATGCTTTTTTCCCCAATGGAATCGCTCCATATTGAAAAAAATTAAAATTTTTTGTTGATTCATTTTTTTCCATTTCCACTTTAAGAAATTCTAAAACTCCCTCAATCCAAACACATAGTGACCACTCAAATGAGCACCCTCGTTATCATAATGTGAGGTATCATCTAATTCAAGACCGGCAATACAATAGTCCAATCAAATACTAAATATACATACATTCATACATTTATTAATGGAAAACCCTGTGGGCTTTGTGGGCCCCGCCGCCTCAAGGCTATCATTTTTGACAGACACCCGCGCAATGAAACATCTCTGTGGCCACCGTGATCGTCGTCGTCGTCGCCACCAACAAAAATCGCTCGCGGGCGACCCTCACCCCGACCTGCGCGCGCGCTCTCGGGGAGGTCTGTCTGCCTGCGTCGCCGCGCATTTCTCGCACTTTATTGACTTTCTTTTCTTTACTTTCTTCTATTTCCCGTCCACAATCGCCGGTCACGATATCAAATATTTCAACGCGCGCGCGCGTAACGTACGTACATATATATATATATATATATATATATATATATATATATATATATATATATATATATATATATATATATATATATATATATATATATATATATATATATATATATATATATATATATATATATATATCATATATATGTATATATATATGTATGTATATATATATATGTATGCTGGCTGGTATGTGTAGGTCTCTTCGGTATATGTGTGTGTGTGTGTGTGTGGTGGCGGTAGTGGTGCTGCGTGCCTTTGTGTGCGAGGGAGTGTCAGTGTGCGCCTCTCGGTATGGTATGTTTGTATTCCAATCAATTCCCGCGGGTCAGCACAAAAATTTGATTAAGAAACAAACTATGCAAAATTTTTCGCAATTCATTCTACCAAAACTCTCGGGCGATGTCGACGAACCCCCCAAAAAAAAAAGTCCCACCCGAGAGAGAGATGATCAGCGGCGGCAATTTGATTCGAAATGAGATGATGAGGAGAAGGAGAAGACGAAGAAAATCAAAAATTCTGCCCGTTTTCCAATTTTCTTTCAATTTCATTCTGATTCTTCTCCATCTTCGCATGTTTGAGAAAACGAATTCATTTCTTCTTTTCTTCTCCTTTTGATGAAAGTGTGGAGGACACAAAAACAGGTCCTGCTGCCTGTACAACCCCACACACACACATTTACACGCACACACACATATACGCACACTCGCACACGTTCGCACATCTTTCCATCGCTTTATTGACTTTCTTATCGTTTCTTCAATGCCCCGTTTTTATATCATCAATAGTTTTGAGTCGACTCAGCGTCGCCGCTCGTCGCCAACCGTCCGCCTCACAACCGTTTTCCAGGCGCTTCTTCGCACCATCCGACGACGAATCATTTTTTTTTGTCAAAACGCGATCGCCTCGATTCTGTAGAATGACCGACGCCGCCACAATGGAGGACTTCTTGGTGAGTTTTTACGAGCATTTGAAATACGTCGCCGATTTCGTCGAGTTACCAACAAACCTCGCGCAACAACAACAAATCCCAACCAAAATTCAACAAGGAGAACGCGAAATTCTGGTAAAAATTGTCCGATTCAATGGTATCATTGCCCCCCTTCAGCAAAAAAAAAACTAGTTTCTAGAGCAATTTCGGAAATTCAAAGTTTTTTTTTCGCATTTTCTGTCTTTATATGTAATTTTGAATTGTTTTTTTTTTGCTGAAAAAAATGCAAAACTATCCCCCGCCAGAAAAAAAAACAACAATTTCCTCAAAATCCTCATTATTCTAGGGTTTATTGGACCGTTTCGCCGGCGAGCAAAAACGACGAATGGGCCGTCCCGCCAAAATACCGCCCTTCTCAAACTATATCGAATACAAGCCAGCCGATTTGGAATATTTCATATCGCTAGTCGAAGGCGACGAGCTTCTCTATGATGCCTGTGATTCGAATGTCTATCTAAACGAGCATCGCAGTAAACGTTTCGATCAAATCGAGCGGAAGTGCTCACATTTTTTAGCGATGCGAAAAGGTAAGCTCAAAAAAATAAAAGAAAACTCTGATCCGATCCAATCATTTCTAGGCAAAAACGCTCAAAAACTTTGGCAGACGCTATATCTCGATTTCGAGAAGGAATACAAACGCAAGTGCCGCGAAAATGATAACGATTATCAGTTCAAGTATTACAAAGAAATGGAATTTCTTGCACATCACTTTGAGAATCCAGTAAAGAGGCAGTAAGAAATTTTTTGCTCAATGAAAAAATACCATCAATTGAAATTATTTCAGAATACTAGCTAATTTGGTAATACCCACTACCCAGAATGAAGTGAAAAGCGATGAGCAAGACGATGGTCAAAGTGCGTCAAAGAGGGTGAAGCTGGAGACATCTGAGCAAGGTGAGGCTTCGGCGGAAAAAGGTATATCATTAATTAATACTGTAGTCAAGCCAATATTGCTTTTTGTTCTTAAAAAAATGAGTTGGAATAATATTGACATAACCTTGCGAGCACGTTGAAAAAACCTAAAGAGATGTTTGGGAGAATTAAAATTTTGTAAAAAAAAAACAATAAGCGAAAATTTGAAGCTGAGAACTAATTTATTCAAAAGTCTCACCAAACCATCAAAATCAATTTTCCAGATGATTGGTTCCTAAAAGTCCTCGAAACTGTCACAAAGTCCTCAGAAAACCATGAGACATCACCACCGCCGCCGTCGCTCGCACACAAAAACTCGACAACGACGACGACCTCGACGACGACAGCGGATACGATTCGCTACGAGACGCCGACGACGACAACAACGCCAAATCTGAGCCAAAAACATTCGGATATAATTTCGTGTGTGACCGGCTATCTCGACAATGTGCCAACCGATCAGCTGATGCTCGCCAAAGTGCGGCTATTCCAATTTCTCGAATCCGAAAAGGAGAAACTGAAAACTGATGAGCCAACGTCATCTCAATGAGCCTTCGAGCGTTTCTTATATACTCCAACCAACCGAAAAAAAATGGGTCAGAATCTCAAATGAACACTCCTGTCATGAGTTTACTTAACTAAATATTTGCAACTCAATCGAATCCAGTAATTGTACATATCGAGCCTCAGAATCTTGTGCCTTTTCCTGATGAATTCCCAAATCTACTTCACTATTTAATTACTAATAGTATTAATAATAATAATGTTTTTGCTAATAATTTGTTTCTTTCGTTCTCTACTCGATAAAGTATTTATTATAATAAATTATTCTCAAAATTTGTGGTTTGTTTATTAAAAAAAAATCGTTTTTTTTTCGCGCAAACTGGTTTTTTCGCCAATGAATCGTCATTTCAAATTTCTCAATAATTTTGATTATTGTTACCTGTCTCACCGGCATCATTGTTTTGAGACGATTGCGTGAGACCCATTCTGCTGAAAATCAATCGAATAATAATAATAATGGGAAAGGAAAGGAAAAAAAACGTTGAAACGAATGTTTTGTTAAAAAAAAAAACGAGAAATATCGAGGAGAGGTCACGCGGGCCGAAAAATATTCTTCGTGAAATTCCGGAAATTTGCCAATTAATTAGATTGCGCATACATTAACGAAATTGATTTTTCCAAAAAAGGAAGGGCATTTTTAAATGGGAAAAATCGAATTGTCTTGCCTAAAACCCGATGATTCGCCTTTTATACGGACAATTTGACTCATCTTTAAAAAAAATGATGTGTTGAAGTATGAAACAATGTTTGTTCAAAACTCGAACTAACATTTAGTATTTGATTTTAGCCCATGAGGAAAGTTTGAAAATATTTACTGCGTGCGATAAAAATGTTGGAAAACCTTACAACGTATGGATGAAATTCAATTGAACATGTAACAAAGGCCATTTGCATTGTATATTTTAATTAAAAAATAAATATTTATACAATTTCGAGCGATTATATATAAATATATATGAAATTATACATTTAGTAGTACTAACTAATCGATTATTCATATTGACTTAAAATAGATAGTTAACCATTCGAAATGATACCAACGGCCTCATATGATTAAAAAGCGTCGATAACATTTCAGCTTGCTCCATTTGTCTTTATATGTATGCCAAAAATGAACCAATCAGATCTGAGAAAGAACTATCTTTTTACTCCGATCACAACAATTATCAATAAGTTTTGTTAGCGCCACGACCAAAGATATTGCAACGTGACCGACGGCCTTATCAAGATATAGGAGCGCTATATAAGGATCGCCCTCACGCACTTTTGGTTCTCTTCTTTGCCGTTATTTATTCGCTAATAAAGACATTACACTCGAGCTGTCCCGCAACACAACAACTGGCGATCAGGATAAAGGACAACAACAAGATATCTGCTATCAGCCATGGACAAGGAAACTATCACACAATTCCTGAAGCAACAAGCCGAGCATCAGAGGATTTTCCAACAACAACAACAATTTCAACAACAACAGCAAGAGTTTCTCAAGGCGATCAGTGCTGCGTTCACTACGCAGAAGCAGCAGCCGGACGTTACCAACATCATCAACTCATTGTCAAACCGAATTTCGACGTTTCACTACTGTCCGGATGACGGGGAAACCTTCGATGCCTGGTTTGGTCGATACCATGATATCATCGAAATCGACGGCAAGGACCTCGACGACGCTACCCGCACACGCATAGTCGTATCCAAGCTAGAGAACAAAGAAGCCGAACAGTTCAGAAGCTTCATTCTGCCGAAGACGCCTGCCGACGTCAACTTCAACGACACCATTGCTACGTTGAAGAAACTTTTCAACCAGACGAAGTCGCTGGCGAGACTCCGTTATGAACTTTTCTCGGTAAAATTCGATGGGGTCGATCGCAAGGATTACACAGCCCTTGTCAAACGCCGGTTTGCCGCGCCTGCTATGGATCATCGGACTCCATGCCTCAGAACATCTGGATTTGCGAATTCGGGCACTTCGCGAACTCGAACTGAATCCGGAAATGAAACTAACGGAGCTCACGAACCGATTGGATCAAGTTATCTCACTTCGCGCCGATGCAGACTTCATCGGAGGTGGATCTCACGACATCCACGCCATTCACCGACAAGCCAACAAACTCAAGCCCAAATTCCAAGGAGGATCACGATCAAAGAACGCGAGAACGCCGACTTCTCCGCGCACTTCTGCAACTTCACCACCGTCGCCGTGTTCGAGATGTGGAGGATCACACTGGAAACGGGATTGCAAGCTGCCACAGGAAACAATCTGCCACAGCTGTCAAAAGACGGGACATCTCTCGAAAGTATGTCGCCAGGGGCAACCTCGCTCGAACAACGCCGTCTTCATCGCACAATCGTCCACGGAAACCATGAACCGAATCTACACAACAGTTTCGATTAATGGAACACCGATCAAGATGCAGCTGGATACTGGAGCAGAAGTTACATTGCTTAATCGTGACGATTGGATCAAACTCAACCGACCGAAGCTGAGCCCACCAACCCGGAAACTGTGGTCAGCAACCCACGAGGAAATCCACGTTCAAGGACAGTTCAAATGCATCTTCACAATGAACGGTCAACACGGAACAGGAATCTGCTATGTCACGAACACGTCAACATTACTCGGAATGGAATGGATTTCCCAGGACAGGAAACTCTACAACCAACTAGTCGGGACAACCAACGCGATCTCGACATCGTCAACAACGTTAGCCGCCCAACGAAGCACCCTCGAAAAGGAACTGCAATCATCATTCGAAACCGTTTTTCGACCAGGACTTGGTCGCTGCACCAAGACAAAAGCCTCACTTCATCTCAAGCCGGGATCCACGCCAACATTCCGGAAGGCACGCCCAGTACCATACGCTGCTCTACCAAAAGTCAGCCAAGAATTAGATCGACTTGTCGCTCAAGGAGTTTTATCACCTACGGACTACTCCGATCTTCACTACAACCATCGTCGTCGTCGAGGGAAAAGACGGAGCAATCAAGATGTGCGCCGATTACTCGACCGGACTGAACGATGCCATGGAGAAACATCAACATCCTCTCCCGACCACAGAGGATGTATTCTCAACCCTCGACGGAGGGAATATTTTTACACGATTGGACATCGCCGAACCTTATTTGCACGTCGAAGGCGAGGAAGAGTCCACGAAAAGGCTCACGATCAACACGCGCAAAGGACGCCGTCCATCGACACCGACGAGCGTTCCAACTCAACCAACGGTCGCTTCAACAGGAAATCAAGAACGTGCACCATCAATTCCTACTATACCACCAGTACACACCAGGACAACTCAAGGACCACCACTTCGCCGGTCATCACGAAACACTCGGGAACCAAGACGCCTCATATTGGACCCTCGTCAAAAGTCCTACCTTTGACATCAACACTTCGCGGGGGAGATGTTAGCGCCACGACCAAAGATATTGCAACGTGACCGACGGCCTTATCAAGATATAGGAGCGCTATATAAGGATCGCCCTCACGCACTTTTGGTTCTCTTCTTTGCCGTTATTTATTCGCTAATAAAGACATTACACTCGAGCTGTCCCGCAACACAACAAGTTTCAAACTAATAGGATCGACAAAATTGGAATCCGGAATCAACCTTAACCGATTTAGTCGGATTGAAAAACTAAAACAAAACGGATTCAAATAATAACCAATCGGAAAGGATTTGAAAATACCAAAAAGAAACCAATGAGATCCGACAATTTCACAATCTTATCCGTAGAATTACCAATCGGATAAGCTTGATTCCGGATTTTGTCGGATCCGATTGGTTTTGAGTCACCAGAGTTATAACAATTTTTGAATTATTTTTATATTCAAATTACAGGTAATGGTTTAGATTACGTATTTATGGTATCCTTATGCTCCTACGCTATGAATTGGTGAGCTCGTATTATACCATCGCAAAAAAAACGAGCACACTGAGCCGAATTACAACGACTTAGCTTCACAGGTTATCCAGAAAACGGCATCTTAATTTCCACTGTTTATGGCCCACAATTACTGAGGGGGTCCTTTTTTTGCGATGATAATAGAAATTCGAGCGGCATCCCTTATTTTAAAAAATGGAAATTCTAGTGGGCTCAAATCGCTGAAGACAAAATAATGTTATCAAAATTATCTTCGATTTTATTTTTTCCCCGAAATTCGAATAAAAGGTCTTAAGCAAACTTTAAAATACGATAATGTCCATAAAGGGCCATTTTTTTTTTCAAAATGAATTTCTTCGAGGGAAAATTGAGAAAGAATATTGGAAAAAATGGAAAACACAACGAAGCAACCTTCAAGAAGTTCGTCACAAGACTAAAACCGAAAATCGAATGAGAATCAAGATCGCCGGCAAAACCTTCATTCGTTCATTTTTCTTTGAGAAAACAACCTTCAAATTTACCTTTTCGAATTTGTCGGCTACTTCAAAACGGAAAAAATTAAATTCGAATTTCTGATCACTAAATTCGATCTCTTCAAAATTGCCAAAATCATTCCTTTATCACAATTCTCCTCAATCCTTTCGCCATCAAGGTCATACCGCTTCTCAAAAAAAAATTGCATGGATTATCGGAACCGAATTTCGAAGCGATGCCGCAAAAACAAAATTCAGACTTGTTTATTCAGTATATTGAAAGCAAAAGACGAACATATTGGAGACATCAGTTTACAACGTATTTACACAATTCGAGACGAATTATAGCAAACAGTGCGAATGGAAATACACAAAATAGAGTGATTAAAAGTAAAATAGGAAAAAGAAGAAAAAACACACATTTTTAGTGAGATTTTTTGCAGAAGTTTCAGTAATTTTTTGTGTTAGATTGGATTATTCATGTGAAAACTTTATACAAATTTACAAATTGTGACTAAATGATTATGAAAAAGATGGTAGGTGATTCGCTATCGCATTAGTCACATTGTCCGCATTTACTGCTTCTCAGCGATCTCAGATCCTCCGTAGACGCTCTCATCGCTGTAGGCGATGTAGAGGAAAAGATCCTCTTCATGATGGTCCTGAAGAACAGCGAAACTCGATTTCTAGACGATTTCGCAATGTCTTTTTACCTGGTAGAGCTGTCCCATGGTGGTCATCGTTTGTGGAATGACATTGTTGACAAAGAAGAAGAGCGCATCTTCCGGACGGAGATGGATTCTCTTGCGAATCAAAAAGTAGAATTGTCCAACGGTCAAGTCCGATGGTACCAAGTATTTCTTCTTGTCGAGATCACGAAGACGCGATTTTGGCGCCTTTTCAACAATGACCTGAAAAAAACAATCGATAATTAAGTCATGAGAGCCTAATTACGCTACCGGTATGCGGTCTGGGTACTTCCTTCTGATCTTGTCGCCTTCGGCGCGTCTCTTCTCAAAATTGTTCTCCTCTTTGTAAGCCCACTTCATTATGATCTGGAATAATAAAAAAAAAATTAAGAACTAGATTTCATTACACGAAAGTCAAATTGAACATGACGGTATTGGGAATATCAAATGAATGAGGAAAGATGGGCGGAAGAGAGGTGGGCACCGAGGGACAGTGTTGTCATCGATAAATATCACGTGTTTCGCTACAATAGATAAAAGAAACTAAAAACTGATTTACCAGTTTTGGTCGCCAATTTAAAACAACAGTAAATGAAAGGGAAATTGACAAAGCCAGCGACGATCGGCAGCAGGCCGACGAGCGATTGGTAAATGGCAGTAAGAAAGCACAGCGTCTGAGGTGAACACGCGCTACTCGACCACCCCCTACGTCTCGCGCACCAGAGAATCATGCCAGCCACAAAGCATCGTTCGCGAAAGTGAGAGCGGCAGAGAAGAAGAGCAATGCCAGATGGTAGACCTCGGCGAAATAGTATTGGGTCTCGTCGCGACGCAGAGGGACACCCCAGACGCTCACATGACTTGAAAACGAATGAGAGAGACAGAAAGAGTGAGAAAGAACGTGTGACTCGTTGTCTTGATCATATGTGTATGCATGCTAGACGAGAGATGCCACAATTCCTTGTTTACTTTAATAGGGTGCCAGGCGGCGAGGCTGCGAAAGTGACGAAAACCAATGAGTTGAGTTTTATTTGTTAGATAGTTTTGTGGATTGTGAAACAAGTTGGAAGGCATCATTCAAAATTCGCGTTCGATCGACGCTTATCATTATTGCTTGATAAATTTCTTTAGACGAAAAATATTTTGGTGGCGAGAATGGAAAACGTGCCAAGAAAGTGAATACTCGATCGATATTCGTACTAAATTTGTTGCATAGCGACTAATCCAGTCGCGCGCTGCAAATCCCATTAAAAGATATTGCGACAAAGATTACAGAATCTTAATCCACACGCAAACGAGAACTGAACCTTTTCAAAAAAAAAGAACAATTCAAATTTCAAGCAAGAAATCGTTTGTGTAAAAATTTCAAAAGCATGACGAAATTCATCTCTGGCCATGTGTTATTTCGATTCAATATATTTATACTATTTGAATTTCGTAATAGAGAAATAAGGACAGATAAGGGAAATTTGCGAAAGTGAAAGTTCTAATATCATTCAACTTATCAAAAAGAAACACTGTAAATTTAAGCAACGTGGTTGGCCACATGATTTCATTCAGCGACAAAGAGAATTCTCAAGTTTCACATGCGTATTGGACGGGCGCAGAGTTCATGCAAACTTGCGCAAACAATTTGAAAACTAGAACGAGCAAATTTGCAAAAAAAAACGGGTGTGCTATGAAAGTGGCTTTTAAAATGTGAAACAAACACTAATAGGTTTAAAATTGACAAATGAACAAAATGCCGAAATTATCGTAATTATTTCACATGATCGCGATTCGCGATGAGATATTTCAATAAAAATTGAACGCGTCTTCAATTATCACATTGCTTCTATTATATTGCATTTTTTCGTGTTTTTCTTAAATGTAGGTTGTGATTATAAATATTATTTAGTTATATCTGAAAGTTTAAGATAGAGAATATCCAAATAAATTGGGAAAAATGTTTTTGACTAATAATTAGTAATGAGGATGAAACAAATGTGTAGTAATTAAATTATTATTTAATTAAATGATTATTTACGCGCAATCTTGGTGAAAAAAGTGAAAACAATAAAAACTATAGTACAGAACCTACTAAAAAATACGAAAATACATCAGTTTTTAATTAATCGATATTGAAGCTTTTTTTTTGAAATATTTCGAAATAAACGACGAAAATTTCGGGATAATGCCCATTTTCGTGTTTTTGAAAATTTTGCAATAGCCTGAACATGTCCAAAATCTGAAAAATAACCGCCGAAGATTTATTATTTCCGAATTATAAAACGAAAGATGTCGAAACATATGTAGTGCAATAAAGCGTTATATTTTCGCAGACAGACAATGCATACCGTAATCATTTTTTTTTTGAAAAATTTGAAAAAACCAGATTTGACATAAAACTAGAAAATTTTCACAAGGAATTCATTGATTTCCTATAAAATTGTAGAATTTCTTATTTAACATTGGAGATGAAAATAGAGTACAAAAAAAGACCAGTAAACAACATTGAAACAATGAGTTATGTGAAAAACACAAATCTAGTTTTCAAAATTACACCATACAAAGAAAATTTTCACATTGATAGCGGTAAAATAATTATAATATGATTATAACGAAAATAATGAAATGAAAGGAAAGGATGCGGTTAGGATACGGTCAACACATGAATTAGGAAAAAACGGAGATTTTATGAGAGCTAGTAGTTTCGTCGCCTTCTTCGCGGAGGAGTATAACTAGAACTGCTAGCAGCCTTCTTCTTCTTCTTCTCAGGCTCTAATAATTAATCTGATCGTTTATTTTTTCAAATATTTAAAACGTATTCAAACCTTCATATCTTCGTAATCGCTTTCGGAGACGCGTTGAACTCGTCGATGGCTGATCAGCGCTGGAAAACAATCAAGAGAAAACGTGGCATTTTTGCAGAAAATCATGGATTACCTATCATCATCGTCAACCTCCTCTACATCGTTCGATGGCTCTTCATTCTCAGCTGGTGGAATGAGCGAGTCGATCGCCTAAAAACAAACAATTCTTGACAAATTCTGAATAGTTGATTGACGCGTCGAACCTTCATCAAATATTCCCTTCCATTTGTGCCAGACAAATGAAATTCGACGCAGAGTTGCCGAACGCGGCTCCTCAACTTCGCCTCTTGCGCTGTCGTCAGGAAGCATTGAGTCGCCCTCACCGGCGTATCATCCAGCGTTATCGTTTCATTCGCATCCTCGCCTTCGGACAACGTGACAATTTCCACATTGAAATCGTGATCACCATCGATGTTGATGTCGTCGTCGTCGTCGTCATCACCGATCGCGATCACCTCGTCCGGATCATTATTCTCATAATCAATCGTGTCGATGCGAACGACTGGCTGAGACGAAACTCCGGGAGGTTGAGATTGCGCCCTAGATGTTATTAGTGGTGGTGGTGTTAGAGATGCAATAGTTGGTGATGCTTGTGGTTCAGGCTGCACTGTTAGATTTTGAGGTTGTGATTGTTGAGCACCAGAGAGCAAGGCTTGAGTTTGCGTTGTTGGAAGATTCATGAGACTTGTCAACGCTGACCAGCTATAGTCCGAAGCGTTGCTGCTGGAGGTTGGCAGAGCTAAAAAAGCATTCACCACTGAATACGAATTATTGAAATAAATACCACTACTGCTTCCCACTGCGCCAATATTCATGCCAGAATTTAAACTATTGATAAAGTGACTGGCTGAAAAAAAATCCCATTTTTTTCTGCAACAAAAAATGATTTCGCTTACCTGACAACAAGTTTCTTGACGTTACGTACGGAAATGTCGCTGCAGACAGAGCCATCGAAGCGGTAGATGCTGTAGAAATGCGGGTTAGAGTAATATAAGCTGAAACACTACCATTATTTCGATTTGAATGGCGATTCGAGATGATTGGCCAAATATTTGCTGGAATAACTGCAAAATTCATTCAATAAAAATCTGAGGAGTCAAATAGAGAATACCGCTTGAAACAGTTTCGCGTTCAATTTCATATCTTGTCTCGTTGCAAAACTCCAAAAACGATTTGCGGCTCGCGATGAGCCCATAAATCTGCCGCAACAGTGTCTCTGCATTTACATTGCTGATATTCAACTTCTTTATCAAATACTCCTAAAGCGAAAATTGGGCACCTAGTCTAAAAATTATAAACTAACCTTCAAGCTGACAGTATTCCCAAGATCACAAATCACATCGTAGAGATTGTTGACAAACTCTGAATCGATGTGAATAGCTGAGCTCACGTAAGTCACCACGCGATCCATGTAGCTCGCCGGCTTTTTATTGGCCACCGGCACCGCTTTCAGCTCTTCGGTGAGAAATTGGACCACCACCGAACGGAAATGCTCTCGATTTTCCCTCAATTGTTGATCTATAAAATAAATTCAACGAATTTCCCGTAATTCAACTAACCGCTCAGAAAGGTCCAAGTCGATCGGCCAAGCATTTTCACAGGTATAATTCCACTGTATAAAATCATTCGAAATTCGAGCTTCGATAAAATAAAATTCCTTAATTTTTTTAAAATTTATTTTATACTCTTAATAGTTTCCCTACTTCGGAACTCCCGATGAAACATCTTCCTTGAGCATGTGAAGTCCGTTTACCTGCCCGACGAGGAATCGTTTCGATTCCTCGAGTTTCTGTAGTGCTTGCGAGTTTCTGCGACGAACTCCACTTTCCATCTTATCTCTAAAACAATTATTCTTTGAAAAAAACTATGTATTTGTTAAAATATTTTACATTTCAATGTCGACTTCTGCCAACGATCTTCTATAGGCTCTTAGAGCGACATTTATGACTCTGAAACATTACATTGATCAATATTTTCACACAATCAATTTGATTAGATACCGTTTCTCGCTGACGATCGGCGTTGCTCCTGTATTCAGAGGCCGCACTGATCTCTTCAAAGACTCCACCGTCGTCGTCAACGGCGTGTCGGTATCCAATTTGTGCGTGATCATCGTAACTTTCGCCTTGCACATTGGACAAAGCGCAGTCGATCCTTGCGAACACCAGCGTGATATGCATTCGAAGCAGAACTCATGAGAGCAGCCGTCAAGCCTTGAACAGTCCAGAATTCTGAAAATGGACCCGTCATTAATGGATAATAGCCTAATGCTTACTCTCCGCGACAAATAGCGCATTCATCATCTTCCTTTGCATTGCTCGACGTCGATGCAACATCGCCAGTAAGGGATTTCAAAGAATCATCGTCGTTGATTTCCATTTTCTCCTTCGCCTCGTTGACCGACGTCGTTGGGGAGTCTTCAAAGACGATTGGTGTACCAGCGTTTTCTGGGCTCTCGTTTTCTTCGGAACTCATTTTTCTAAAAATAAATAAATCGTTCCCCAGAGAAATTTTGACTGAATAGAATACATCAACTTTTGATCGATTTACTGGTTTATTAAATGCTATATTCTTATCACTAAGATATTTATAAAGAAGATTAGTTCACAAATTTTGCGGCACTTTAAATATTGGATGGAGATTTAGTAAGAATATATTGGAAGAAAATGCGGGCAGATAACGATCCTAAAACTAGTGAATATCGCTGGGGCGTATTTGCACGTTGTTAGGTGTATGGAATCAGCATAAGATTTTCGATTTTTTCGGAAAAATATTTGCCAAAATTTGCAGATAACATTCGGAAGATATATATATATATATATATATCGATCGATAAATTTGAAAAAAAAAAAAGAAAGTACTGAGGCACACATTTGTTTTTTCGCACATTTTTTAGCTTTTACGAAAAGAAAAATAAAAAGGAGAACCATTTTTTACAACTTCAACTGAAATTCTAAAATTAAATTTGGAAATCACGAATATTTCGGAGATAGCGACTACGAAACACTGACCACAAACATTTCAACATTTTTGGGAATGCGCTAATGGCCGAAAAATTTCCAGTCCATGGAGAAAAACAAATTCTAGGCCATGATTGTACTTCAAAAATTTTTGCGAGAATTAAAAACCAATTTCGAAATCGATTATGTGAAACCTGACATAAATTTTTCTCACTTAGTAGTAAACGTTAAAAAAAAATCATTTTGCAATATTTAAACGTTTATTTTTTTTAACTAAAAAAAGCTTACTACTTTTTCAGCTATATAATTTGAAAGTGAATTAATTTTTCTATAAAAAAACGAGAAAATATTTTGGTTAGATATATTGGGGAAGGAAAAATTAGATTGAAAATGAATGGGGTGCAAATGGTGGTGAATTTGTCATCTACATGTTTGAAGTCATAGCAACGCTTAATGTCGAACAGCCAATGCCTTTCGACCCATCTTACCAAAAATTATGGTGAAAGCAAGTTGATTACCTCTTTGGGAAGCTTCCCGCCCGGGAAATTTAGGCCCTACCTCCCTTTTCCCAGGTAAAACGGAGAAATTTCCAAAAAAAAAGAGCCGAGAAGTTTCAAGTACATTCATAATATGAACATTCTCATCGCAATTTTAGAAAAATCAAAAATCTTTATTGTAAACTTGAATGTATTGATTTATCCTTGGAATGTTGATCGTTTGACAATCTCCGTTGTAAAATTTGCTTTTCGATTCACATATTTTGCAAACGCCTCAGCTTGATTAATCTGCAAAATTTTAAACTTCAAATCTGAGAGTTCAAAATTTCAAACTTCAGGCTTAATGTCTAATAAGAGCCGTAGCTTCTTATTCGGAAATCCGATGGTTTTCTCAAAGAATAACCTGAAAGCGACATGATTCAAACCATCATCAGTCGCACGAAGTCCCAACGATTCTTTCCAATAATTCGAATAGCTGCTGAAAAACGATGGCCAGTAGGAAACTGTGTTTTGTTCGGAGAAATTTGGGTGTTGAAATCGTCTCGCCAAAAACTGAAATCATATGGTATCAATGCGAATCGTTGCAAAACACACCTCGCGCATCGAAAACGCGCAAGTCTCATCCAAACAGAACACTATCTCTGAATTAAATCTTCGCGGATCCGATTGAAGGCCAAAAAATGATTTTTCAACGATTGCCGCCAAATTGCCGGCATAAATCTGAAAATTCACATAATCACAATTGAAATTCCATCGAAATTCCTACAAATTGATGCAATCCTCGTCGATCTCCGCTAATATATGGCACTTTTCCATGTGCAATGAGCTTCTTCAGACATTCAAACTTTCGACTTCGTCCTTGTCCATAAATGAACGTAGGCCGAAGGAATATAGCGTCAATGGTTCCTAACCATTGAAGATAATAGCAATGATTTCGTGAAAATGATTCTACCAACCTTTTTTGGCCGCTTTTCTGGCGTACATCTCTGCTCGTGTTCTCGACTCACCATAAGAATCAAGCATATAATTCTTCGGATAGTCCCTACAAATTGACAACGATCGAAAATAGCGCTTCAAAGGTTTACATGAAAGAATCCTGTGTAAGTCCGAAATTGTCCTCGTTTGGAATCGGACAATATGCGCATCCGACGTTGACAAGCGTTCGGATTTTCAGCAACTCCATTGTGTCGATGACAGCCTCGGTAGCTGGAATTCTATTGTTTAGATTAAACAAAAATTCGAATATTTTCAGCTTTTCGTAATTATTAATATTGTATTAATGATATTCTCTTTTAGATCCTCTAGTATCTCAAAACCAATTGGATCCGAATTGTTCAAATTTTGCGATCCGATTAAAATAAAATCGAACCCAAAAATAATCTATCGAATACGATAATTTTAGAATTTAAGATCGAGTCGACTCCGAAGCCGAGTTTCGTCGAATTCAATTGGCTTGAGCTATCAAACGAGTTTCAAGATCAAAAAATTTTAAAGGTTCCCAGAAAAATCTTACCGTCTAAATTATCCTTCCACATCTCTTTCAGTTCATCCTTATTTTTTGGGTATAACACCGGAAAAGTTGAATGTGCACAGTGAATGACACCGTCAGTTCCTGTTAAAACGGTTTTCAGTGAGGCTCGATCGTTCAAATCAAAATCGAAACATCGAACCCGATTGTGTTCTGAAAGAGGACCTTCTCAGAAAAAAATGGTTTTCGAAACAAACCAAATGGTATCAAATTCTTATCGATCACTCGGATTTCGGCGATCTGCTCATTTTCGAGAAGCCGCTTGACGATGTACCTACCGGCGAGACCGCTGCCGCCGGTCACAACAACGGTGAACATTGTTCTGGAATTTGGTAGAAGTTTGGAAACATCGAATGAATGATGATTGGAGGGCATGGGAACCGGAATTCGCGAAAAGGACGTGCCATTTTGAGAAACAGATGGGTCGAGAGATAACCCATGTAGGCTATACTTTCCAAAGTCCGACGTGAAAAAAAACAAGAACTTTGGCATATTCGAAGGGCTTCGAGAAAAAGGTCATTGAACTGATTTGAAAAAAGAAAACAAAAACATCAAAGAACGTTTGATTTAGAAAAAAAACGAATTCAAATGGGGCTCAGAGTCTTCGAATTCTTTGGTGGATACGTGTCGATTTCCGAAATTACCTCAAGAATCGGGGCCGTATCCCTCCGAACACCTTGCATCTTATCTACATCTCTGCATCCTTTCGTCTATTGCGAATATCCGCTATTCGGTCTTGTTCCATTTTCCGTGAAGGCCGCCGAGTGTCGGTCAGTCCGGTACAGCCAGACGAAAACGTTTACGATGAAATCGTTGTACACGGTTTGGATTTTTTTTGTGGGTCAACAAAACACTCTTACTTTTATCGCACATTTATTAATGAATATCATAAAAGTCATATGTTTGGTTACGTTTGAAAGAGCGAAACCCATGGCGGAATAATTGGAGCCGGATTTTGAAGATAGCTCATCACAATCGCTGATACTGAGAGCATGAAGCTGCTCACTATTTGCTTGGCGTCGTCGGAGCTGCGCGTGTTGGCGAATGAAATGCATGAGCAAAGAATTGCGAGCCAGGAGCACCATTTCATCTGAAAATTTATTATGAAGCTAATTTGAAAGCCTTTATATAAGTTAAATGTTAATAAGTTCTGAGTAGTTGAAACTATACAACTATATTTTTCTATACATATTTAAATTTTTTAAAGAATGTGTACTTTAAATATTCATTAATTTAATTTTTATTTAAATGATTTAATTCATACTCTGATCATCAATCCGCACATGCTAAAAATCATTCCCAACACATTCATGTATTCTGGGAGGGGATCTTCGGCAACAGCAGCCTGCTGACTTGTTTGAGAATCAACCGGTTTGAAACTGAAATTGGTTTTCTAATAATTCGAACATATTATTTACGATTTTTCTTACCGGATGATTTTGTTTGGCCTTTTCGGGTCGCCGTTTTGCTGCATATTCTATTAAATACAAGTTTGAACGATCTGCAAAATATAATTTATCAAAATCAGTTTTCTATATTAACGAGACACCGAAATAAGATTCAGAAAAGTAGGAAGAATGTTATTGTTAACGCATAGTTCAACATTCTAAAATTAAAGTATACTTTCTACGGAGCACAAAAAGGCAGGAGACCAATATCGTGAAATGCGCAAGCGCGGAGAGAACTGACGCAAAAGTTGTTGAGGATAAAATTTCAAAAAAAAAAGTTAATTTTGATATTCTTTGTAATCTTTAAAGGTATGGAATCTTCGTTGAAAAACGTTCTTACAAATTTAACTATACAAAAAAGAAGAAATTTTGAAAATTTATTAAATCAAATTTATAAAGCCCAAATTAATCCAAGAATGCTTCCTTAAATAATTATTTTCAAAACCTAGAAAGTTGAATTGAAAATCGGTTAGATTTCCACTCCATTGTTTCAAGCAAGATTCTTTATCTCGCTTGTTTCATAATAGGTTATTTACATAGCATGTCAAGAGGACCACTGTGAGGTTATGCAAACTTTTCCGCTAAAACCAGTTGTTTGTACAGAGTGGCCATCAATCACTAATTAGCAACTAATCGCTTATACAATGGAATTTGTTTATCTAAAAGCTGGCGGTTAGAATAATTCAAATATTTGAATGATATCTAATATGTCATTTAAACAACAAAAGGTCGAACATTTCGAGCCAAATGTGCATATTATCGTCAGACAATTTATTTCAATTGTTTCTCGCCGAATTTCCAATTCATATTTTTCTCATTTTTATTCAAAAATCGCCCATTTCAAATGTGTTCGCCGCACTAATTCCAATGCCCATCGCATTTCATTCATTAGTATTCCCGCCGCAAATTGATGAATGACAGTAACATGACAATGACAACACATTAATCATTTTCAAATAAAAAAATGGGATAAAGAAGAAGAACCGTCGAATCTATGTACACACGCACGCGGTAATCCGAATCCAACCGCTTTTTTATGCAAAAACAAGTGCCGCCATAGAGCACTCGCTCAGCGCGTGTTCCTCATCCATAAATAAATCATTAGCATTCAAATGAAGAATACAAGTCCGTTTGAATGGATCCCCCTCCAATCCAATGATACAATAGACATTAAATTGACTGCCAATGTCATATAAGGGAGAATAGTTAATTTCGACCTTCAGATTCATATTATGAATTGTGATTTACGCAAGTTCAATCTTCTTTTTAGAAATCATAGTAATTTGCGATTTTTTTTTAATTTTTCAATAATTTCAATCAAAAGGCTTAAATCAACAGTGTCCTCGCGATATTCTCATGAGTATTTGAATTGCGTCTCGAATGGAACAATTTTATAAAAATGCATAATTTTTAATAAATTTGAAATGATTGCCGAAGATCAAAGATTTCAATTCGAAATTGTGGAAACACACAAGATGGTCCCCGCAATAATTTTCGAAATTATGCAAAAATACAGTATGTCTCAAAGGCGCATTCAAAAATTGTCAATTTCGCGCCAAGAAACAAATCCGCATTCGCTCTAAATTCTTTGAAATTCCGACAGTTGTCTGTCTTGGCAATATTTTTGGCATGTGTCTATTTTGTTTTAAGGGACCCATTAAACAATGTGGGACCGAAACTGATTCTGGTCAAGTTCGAAAATTGAAATCCTTGCATTTTTTTTAATCATAAAATGGTGGGATGTTTTCTAAAAAAAACCACTTTCATTTTCGTTTTTCTCGCTTTTTGCACTTTTCGTTTTCTTGTGTGTGTTTTTTTTGCTCCGAGCGCGCTCGCGCATTATTCAAATCGAAACGCAATTTCCTGAAAAAAAAAACAATCGAAAATTGTGTGGTGTCCACCAACACCATCACCGGACATACACCAAAACCAAGCGAATTCACAAAATCCGCCTGTTCCTCCACGCCGTCAGTGGTGTCTAGAGCGGCGATTCGGGGGAAGATGGATGGATGAGGGGAGGGGAGGGGAGAGGATCGCGCATACACAATGTGCTCGGAAGAAAAAAAAGACATTGTTAGTGACGAGTGGGAAAAAAAACCAAGTGCTACCGTACTCGAATGCTTGACCACTGGCGTGTATATGTTGCAACAAGAATTGCGCAAGTTCGAGTAGCACACAAAAGTGGTGGGGATTAAGCATTGACACCTGTAAATTAGACGAGATCCGATTGTGCAATATCAATGTTATGTGAGAGATTCGATTATTAATATCCATATAGTAAGAAAGTTTATTTGATTTTTTTTTTGAATTTTCAACAAAAACGAGGAAATGCTTTTTTTGCAGAAATTTTTCTGATATCCTTAATTGGCAATAATGTCATTTTTGTCGCAAACTTGGATTTTAAATTCCTCCTAAAACGATAAAGAAAATTGATTTATAATGAAAGATTAAAAAAAAAGTATTTTTGCTCATTTTTAAAACATCGCTGAATACAAAAAAAGTTTTCAATTTTGCAAAATAGGCCCATTATTTTTATGAACAAATTTAAAAAATATTGATGATCTTTTTCATTCTGAAATTCCATTTCTTAGAGGTTTTGAAAGCAAAAAGTTTTTTTTAATTAAATAATTTTCTCTTTTTTTTCAAAAAGAATTATCGTTCCCAAACCTACAGTAACCTACAGTACCCTTAAATTATTTGGGGGGGGGGGGAGAAAATCGTTGGAATCTTTAATGAAAATTGATGATTATCTAGTGTTTCATTGATTTTCCTGCAAAATTCAGATTCCTCAATTGAAAGTTGAGGATTCCTTTAGATAACCAGCTAGTTTCGAAATTCTCCTATTAAATTATGTCCCGTTGGAAACATTTTCAAATTTCCGCTTATATAAATTAATTTTGCATAATTCGAAAATTTTTGAGGAAGACCCCTTAAAATGGTAAATGCAGAAAAAAAATAACGAAATTTCTTTTTTTTAATGCATTTTTAGGCACGATTTGAAGCTTCTCCTTTTTTTATGGATGTGATCAAGTGCCATCGCAGGTGTTCGACGATCATGAATAGGCGCGTGCGAGGCGTTTTGTTTTTTTCCCTCCAAAAACCCCATTAAAGGTCGTTAAAACTTTTTTTCGCGCACACACCACCAGGTGTTGCTGAATGCGGGTATCGGCATCGAAATATTTATTGAATCGAGAAGAGAAAAAAAAATAGAAGAGAGATCAGGTGGTTTTGAAACAATTGAGAGAAGAATATGGTTAGAAATGCACCCGTATGGTGGATACAAAATTAGGTAATTAGGGAGCAATAAATTAAATTTCGATAAATGAAATACATAATAAATTTTGGGGACCGGTATGAATGGGGGAAAAGCTAAATAAGGGGGACTATTGAGCATAATGCTCATCGTAAATACTCGAACAATCACTGTAAAAGCTCGAACCTGGCGAGTTTTGAGCGTGAGCTGCTTGATTTGGCGTCGGATAGAATGGCGAGATATTGTAGTCGTATTGCATGTGGTAGCCATTGGCGCTCATCGGCGGCGGAAAGCTCGGCGAGCAATCGGGCGTCGGCGGAAGCGACTTCGACGATTTTTGAGCTTCCGTGACGCCCAGCAGCATTTGAAGATGCTCGATGTACTTGCAAGCGCTGCGAAGGGTCTCAACCTGACGGAAAAAACCATTGAAATTGATTTGAAAAAAAATAGAAATGAGAAAAATGGTACCTTTGAGAGCTTGTTTTTGCATCCGGGATTCTTTGGAACATAACTGCGAAGCTTGTTGAAACCCTGATTCACCTGTACAACATATATAAATTAGCATAATCTAACATTGGTTGATGGTTTACCTGATCGACTCGTCGCCGCTCTCTCTCATTTCGCCGCAATTTCTGCGGCACCATTTTCGGCGGTGCCGTCGACGACGCGCTGGTAGCAATCGGGCAACTCGCGCTTGTCGTGGCCTTCTTGGCAACCATGTTTTTCGTGAAACTGAATTCGACAATGAGCTAGTTATGGGCTGAGATGGGAACTGTGCGTGTGGGTCGTTGCACTCAATGAGAATGAGTGTGTGTGTGTGTGTGTGTGTGCGCGAGATGATGATGATGAAGGGGGGGGGGAGTGCCCAAAAATTGTGGGCGTGGTCACGGGAAGCGCGCACCGGCCGAATGGTGGGTGGGTGGGTGGTGCGCCAAATTATGGCCAAAGCACACGCACACACACACACAAAAAGTAGGAAATTTGAGTAATTGAGTCAATCCGGGTCAATTAGAGGAAAAGGGCAGGTGAAGAGCAGAGTCCACGGATTTCACATCCTCGAAATGAACTTTTTTTTTGAAAATTCAAAAAATTGAAAAAATAAACCATTAGAATTTTAGACGATTCATTGGCTTTAAAAAGTTTTAATTAAAAAAAAATTAATTTTACCTAAAAAAAAGGTTACTGTAGTATGATATTGATGCAATGTGTGCAATCACCGACGCAAGCGATGCAGAAAGTTTTACGCAGCGAATTTTTTTTTGAATATTTTTATCGTCAATTTCGCATTGTTTGGCGCATACTCTTGGATTAGGAGTGTCCGATTTTGTGGGATGGATTTATATGTATGACGAATCGTAACAACAAATCTCCCACGTTAATACCATCTCATTGTTTTGACAACAACAATGCCTGGCTGAGGTGCGATTCTCATCCCTTTTATGATGCGCGCATAAAATCATCGTAATCATCAACAAAACAAACATTTTTCGAAATCGCCACGACACACCGTTTTCGCGTCGCGTGTCGCCGACTAGTTAAAAATTGCCGAGGCGGTGCCAGGGCCGGTCAATTTCGAATGAATTGAGTGATCATGAGGATGAGACAGAGGATGGCGAATGAGGAGCGGGAATTCGAAAATGACCTTTTTTTGCGCGGCATCGAAAGAGGATTGACACATAGAGGGCAATGGATGGTTTAATTAAAGAAAATCAAGCTCCCTTTGAAGGAAGGTAATCCTCGCGGATCAACGCGCGGATCGTATTCATAGACACCCAGCTGTTCTCATTATGATTGGCGGCGCGTGTTTTTCAAGGTGCCGTCAATATGCGGCACTCAATAAGCAATCAGTGCCACAAATTATATGAGCACGAGATTGGGGGGACGGGAGGCTATTGTGAGCAACCAGCCATTAAAGGCACAATGTGATCCAATCGGACCCTAATAAATAATGACCAAATAATAGGAATATTCGAATTTGACGTGAAACCGATTCCCACCAATATTCGCGGATCCCACGTGTGTCAACTTGGAGAATGTTTGCACCATTGTGCAAACAACTCGTTCTCATGGCTGTCCACCCTCGCCGAGGAATCATCTCGATGACTTCCTTCAAGCACCATTCCATCACACCATTGAAGACAATGCGCCCATTGAACTTGTCTCTAATTGCCAACTACCATTTTTCCGCTTTTTTTCTATGCTGTCCGTTTCGGGCAGCCCTCGTCGATAATTGCTAGTTTCATTGAAAAATGCAGGTGTGACACTAAACAATGAATGGCCATCCTGGATGAAGAAGAAGAAGAAAAAAAAATAACCACCGTATTAATGCACATACATGGTAGTTATGACCAAGTTCGGACTGAAACATGAAACTAATCAAGGATTACGGTAATGGAGGTCAGACGAGCGGATTATGAGGACGACGAATTCGAATCGACGTCGCTGCAGGGCGTCGATTTAATGATTGATATTTACGTATTATGGGTTGGGACGAATTGAGTTGATAAAATTGAATGAATCTACAGTATTTCATGCAAAGGGTCTTGCCGCGTAAATTTCGCTTTTGATAGCCGCTGACACGTTTAAAGTTTGAATCACAAAGATTGCGATGCGTATTAATTTATGAATTGCGTTACTGTAATATGTGCATGTGCGGCAAATGTGTGCAATCATCGTGACGCAAATATTAACCACAATCAATAATTTTAAGAATATTTTAATTTTCCACAACTCATTTTGAAGTCGTGATTCCTAATTTCGAATAGGGTTTTCCTTTTTACTATGTATATTAGGCCGCCCGTCGACAATATGTATGTATTCCATCTGCAATTCCACTTCCGTCTTGTTAATCTCTAAATAAGTATGTGTATATAATATAATTGCAATTACGCAATTCCGTGGCTGGCAATTATGCGCTTTAAATATGGTAGCAATTTGAATGGCGCGCTGCCCTTGCTCCGTTTACAGTTTAGCAAGACAAATAAGGGGGGAAATTGTGTGTGTGTGTGCATACACACGTTTTGCACCTGTTTTATGATTAATTAATTTATGCGGGTCATGTAGCAATTCGGGCGGTGAGCACAAGATTGGCGGAAGGAGCCGCGGTGAATATTTGGGATTTTCAATACTGGTCTCGGTTTCTTATTGCGTCTTTTAAAATCAACTTGAAATTTTTCGGAATGGAATAGCCAAAAGTTTATTTTTTGGATTTTCATTTACGTTTTTTGTTCATTTCGAGAAATTGTAAAGTTTAAAGTATATTTAACAACATATAAGAAAGGTATAATTTAAAAAAAAAAGTATCAAAATTAATTATAATATGAAAGCTCCCACTGATTTTGCGAAATTGCTTCCGATCAGCGAAACCACCGATATAGACGCTTCCCGGACGAATTTGAAATTTTTAGATCTGAACAATGCAACTTTAAATTCCAAAAATTATTCTTTTTCACATAATGATTTGCTAGAAAATCGAAAATTCACTTCTATTTCCATACGAGACCCAAGGCGGAAATTCGAGTTATTTAACAATCGCCATCCACGCCAATAATCATATTTCTGGTTTCATTGAATTTTGACGTGAACCATTATGATGATTCCAACTAAACATTGTGAAGGCCGTCATGACAAACGGATCAATGAGAAGTAAGGAATAGTCGAGAATGATTTTGTCAGAATTCCAGATTATGAGGAATATTTCACACCACCAACACCACAATCAATACCAAGACCTCTTGTAATTGACGGTTGCAATATTGGAAGGAGTGCTTCAGGCTTCTCGAGAACGTATTCAACTCATTTTTTCTTAATCTCTCGCCAATTTTTCTTTATAGCCACGTGGATTGCGCTGGTCTCGTCGCGGTTGTCCGTTGGCTAGTCAACAAGAAGTTCGACGTACTTTCAGATTTGAATTCTTTTTTTTTAGTTGAAAATTTGCAGGTGACTGTATTCTTGCCAGTCGTTTATAACAATGCCAACAATTATAATGCAAGAAACGCGGAGTTGTTGCACGTAAAAAAATGAAAAAAAACTCGGATTCAATTTAAATTTGATATTTAGAAGCTTGAAAACCTCGGAATTGTCACATTCACCCCGGCGAGAAGCGGGCGTGGAATGAGAAAGTTGATTTTGTTAAACATTTTTTTATTGAACATGTTTCTTCAGAGCTTTCATCAATTATGATGATTTGTATGTGGTTTCTTATGCGGCTAGACATGGCGGTTGCATATTGAGTGGCGACAAATTCAAGGATATCCTTCATCAATCGTGTTATAGGTAATTTTCCGATTCGATCATTCCACATTTTGTCAACTTCAGCGATTTCCATGAAGTCATTCGGAATCGAACGATTGATATCAAATTTCGACCGCTTAGTTTGGACTTTGTACGGACGAGCACCAATATGTTCTACAGGCACGCTCCAGAATTGTTCATTTGTAATCGAATTTTTCCTCACGTTTCTCTCTCTCTCTCTCTCACGATTCCCTTCTATTATCAGATGAGAATTCGAATGTGAGATACCGCGCGATTCAGCGTCGTCTTTACGTGGAGCCGCAAGATGAGGATTTCCATTTGGTTCGAGCGCACGCTCGTCTCACCTCACCCGAACAACGCGAATTTTTGTGCTCTCAATTGGATTCCCTCCTCGTTTCGATGAGTTTTTCCGCTGGAAAAGAGTTTCGCGATGTTGATGAGTTGCCGTATACGGATTCGGTAGATCACAGTTTACGATGAATTGTGAAACATTTGATTTCAGCTTTCATCTGTTGAAATGAAAATTGAAGATATTGTTTCTCCAAGTCTCGCAAAGAAATTTTATGAAAAATATTCGAATTACGAGCAAAAAGTGGATGCCTTAAATGTAAAAATGTTTTTTTTTTTTGAATTTTTCGCCATCAATAATTTACAGCCTTACGTAATGCAGCCAACAATTGATGTTGCGGATCGTATCGAGCCACGGCGTGCCAGCTCGCCCGAAAAAACATGTGCTCTAATCAATCTGTCGAGCGACTCGAGCTCGGAGTCTTTAAGGAGTCGACCGATCACTGAACACATCGCACCGCATCCAGATCTCACCGAGATCCAATTGAAACCGCCGCTTCCCGAAAATCTATCGAGCCACGCGCTTCTCGAATGGTTCAACAAGGCCGGCGAACTCAAGATTTGATTTCTTGTTTCTATTTTGTTGCTGCAAATAAAAATTGATGAACAACTGTTGTGTTAAACAGCTCGCTTCGCTCATAGATAAGATACGACCAGGAAAAACAGAGATGCTGAGGTCATTTCGCCTCGTGAGTAGAACAAACCGACTAGTGATCTTTTAACGCTGCCCGTATTTTACAATTGATTTTGATCTCTCGCTTGACACGTTAATTAAGAAATTTCGAATTTTATTTCACATTTCCACTTGTAGGGTTGGTTACTCGCGATGGCTCAGTTTGACGGTGTTGAAACTGCTTTGGCTGAAAAACTCGAGGGAACTTCGCTGGACGAGGTTACTCGAATTCTCTACGGCCGCAAATATCCGTAAGATTTTTGGATTTTTAATTAGAACAATGAAAATGTTTTAAATCAAATTTTTGAAAAGTGCATTTTCGTGAGCAGCCAGTCTGTGCAATAGTGCGTAATGTGTATCTGCACATTGACTATTGTGATTACCGTAATCAACTTTTATTTTCAGTCGCCTCGAAATTCCAGCGGCTATTGAAAAGCTTGCTGACGATGGTAATTTCCAAATTGCTGGGTATTCCATCAGTGCTCAGCCAGAGCAGACAAGAGCTCCGCGCTTGGTAAATTGAATTTGTCCATAAAAATGAAACGTTTTTTTTGAATTTCAGGTTCGTGTCTGTGCCATTCAGAATGCAATTGTGGCCCCAACTACCGAACCGGTTGTTGAGCAACGCGACGCAATTCATCAACGCGTTGGCCTAATGATTGAAGCCGCTGCTAATGCTGGTGCAAACGTGATTTGTCTTCAGGAAGCATGGAGTAAGAATCGAAATGCGGAGAAAAAAAGATATTGGCAAAATTTCAATGCAGAAAAAAATGGAAAAAAATGATTCTTTTTTTTCTTCTTTTTTTTAAATTTTCTCTGCATTGCCCCATAACATACGGAAAATTTAAATATTATAGCAATGCCGTTCGCATTCTGCACCCGCGAGCGTCTTCCATGGACCGAATTCGCCGAATCCGTCTATACGGGACCAACGACAATTTTCCTTTCGAAACTCGCCAAAAAATACGGAATTGTGATCATCTCGCCAATTTTGGAACGCGATGAGGAGAAAGATGATGTCATCTGGAATACCGCTGTCGTAATCTCACACACTGGAAATGTTTTGGGCAGGTCTCGCAAGAATCATATTCCAAGAGTTGGCGATTTCAATGAGGTTGAAATTTTTAAACAATTTTTATCATTTTTTTATGTCTTGCAGTCGACTTATTATATGGAATCGACTTTGGGCCATCCAGTTTTCGAGACCAAATTCGGACGAATTGCTATCAATATCTGCTATGGCCGTCATCACCCTCAAAACTGGATGATGTATGCGTTGAACGGCGCCGAAATCATTTTCAACCCATCTGCCACCGTTGGAGCTCTTAGCGAGCCGCTTTGGAGCATTGAAGCTCGAAACGCCGCCATTGCAAACCATGTCTTTACTGTGGCAATCAATCGTGTTGGAACTGAAATATTCCCAAATGAGTTCACGAGTGGAAACGGGCAACCAGCTCATAAGGACTTTGGGCACTTTTATGGTAGTAGTTACATCGCCGCACCTGATGGTAGCAGAACTCCAGTATGCTTTTTTTATTTTGTTTTAAATTAAACTTAAAAATTGAGAATTATAGGCCCTTTCTCGTGTTCGCGAAGGTGTATTGATTGCCGAGTTGGATTTGAACTTGTGTCGTCAAACCAAGGACGCTTGGGGTTTCCGAGTATGCGACAAAATCCTCATAAATACATTTTGTAAAAAACACGTGATTTAGATGACTAATCGGCTAGACATGTATGCCGAGAAATTCACCGAAGCTGCTGATCCAGAATTTCGTCCGGATATCCGAAAAGAGTATTAAACTACTCAATTAATTTTGCAGAAAAATAAATAAATGATTCATTTTTAATTATCAAGACTGAAGGACTTGTCATCGACTTGTACCCGTCGCACACTTGAAGTGTTTGTTTCAAGACTAAATGTCCGCGTGCTCGTATTGATGGAGCGGTTTTCCGCTAACGATGCCACCGAGGAAGAGGAAGAAGATGTGACGATGTTTACCGAAGAGGTCACAGATGATTTCCGTCTTCAACGTTGTATTGCGTTTAAATTGATAACAATTGTTTTGTTTTACCGTTCTTCCTCTTCGAAGTTATAAATAAGCGAGATTGCTGGGGTGTGTGGACGCGGATAGATGTCTGTGACGCAATCATCGTTACTCACAACGATTTCTGGAATCTCTGATGCCACCGTTGAAATGCTGAAAATTATTTTTATTATTCATATTTATGTTAAATACGACTTGAATACAAAAATTTGTGACCAGAAAACGGATAAAAAAAATTTCAAATAATTCCGCATTTTGATGTCTATGTGTTTGCGTACTTCACAGAAAACCGTAAACAAGTTAAATTTTAAAAAATTCAACCTTTGATTTTGTCGCTGCCTTGGTTTCTCATCCTTCCACTCATTTTCCTTTCGAACAACAACTGGTGGTTTTTCGGAATTGTTATTTTGTGTGCGATTCAGCCAAGCGGTCACTTTCGTCTTCGCCTTCATCAGCCTTCTTCGTTGGCGATCCCGAATATCAAGCTCCTCGCGAAATCTCATAGCATCCAAAAGAGCGTCCATCTAAATTTAAAAAAAGACGCTTGCGAATGAAAATGTCGAATTACAAACCTCGACAGTAGAGTGTGTTCTTCGGATAGATCTAATCATTAACAAAATGATAACAAATGAGAACATGAGTAGAATTGAAATAGTATATAACATTCTGCCAAAATCACTTTCATATGAATGTGTGTGGTCAGGAAGAGGATTCAGAAACACGCTGAAAACAGAATTGGCTAAAAGGCAAAAGAAAAATCGCAGACGTTGGTTCGCAAGAATTGCGCAACATTGAACAAGCCTCTCTGATTCCCTCTTGGCATTTTTCGGTAAAATCCACCCGATCCATTTCTGGAAAAAATTGGTTGGCTTAAAAGACGAGCAAAGATGTCGATGAGCACGAAATTGAATGCACACAAAACGTGAGAAATGGCAGGCGAAAACAATCATATTGAAGAACTTTTGCGTTGAGCTTTAGAGTTATTAATTAATAGAAATCCGGTTGAAAGCTCGCGTTGTTGGCTCACGCGCGCACATTCCCATAGCAGCCGAAATAGGCAGAAAAACGGGCGGCCTGCTGGACGGGCTCGGCGTGAAAAAAAAAAACAACACAACATAATATAACGAAAATGATTGGGAGAGGCGAGCAGAGAGAATAGACGAGCACAAGACGTCTTGAATTCTATAGTTTTTTTTTCTCTCTACTTGGCCAGCTGCAAATGAGCAAATAAATCGGATAGACGGGATTAAACTACGTAATTTATATCTTGCCGAAAACAGTGAATATATACTTCATCAAATGCCATGGGTACTTTATTTCTAACGGATTTATATAATATTCTTTTTGGCTAGACATGATCATTCGGTTATCTAGGGATTCCATGTACATTCATTTTTTAGACATGTGAGCTTCGCATGAAACAGCCTTCATTGTAATATTTATTTGCGGAATTTGAGGGTTTTATAGAGATTTTCGAAATTCATGAAATTCAATTCAAAAGTTTTTATAATGATTAATCGTTTATAACAAATTGCAAAATAAGAATTTCGAGGTTGCTTCAATATTTCAAAAAAAAAAAGGGTTATCAACTAATTTGGAAAACCACAAACACCTGCAGATGTTTGATGAGTCAAAATGTTTTTTATAATATTTTCTATGAAAATTTCCCTTAAGGGATTATGCATCTCTTCCAGAAGAATGAAGGTAGAATTTCAAAGCAAAATTTTGCACAAAAATTTCTTTAAAAAACAAACTTTCAATTTGGATTAAACGTGTTGTGACACGAGGGAATTTACTGGTTTCTTGAAGAAGGTTAGATTTAAAAATAATATTGTAGGCGTCGCGCGACTGCGGAAAATTGGCCGAATGCCAAAAAAAGCAATTGCAATGGTCTTGGCTTAAAACTGAAAGTGTAGATTTACGGACCTATGCATAATGATAGGTTAAAGGCACACCGCGCAGTGAGACCCCACTTTTAAAATTTTTGGCATTTTGCCAATTTTCAGCAGTCTCGCGACGTCGACGATATGTATTTATAGAAGAAGGCAATGACGTCGACATATTCTGACCATGATCTTTTTTGCATATCCAGACGTTGGCTAGGACGGTATTTGGTGGTCCCAGGATTTCCGACCTGCTGCAAAGAGCTTGTAAGCCTTACGAAGGGTAGAGTGGATTCTCAACAGGGCGAAATCTTTACGAATCATCCGATGAAAAACTATGGAGCTATGAAAATCTTAACAGCAAAATTTCATTATTGTGAGTTTTTAGAACGTTCTATCGTTTTTAGGTTTTCTTCTCTCTCTCTCTCTCTCTCTCTCTCTCTCTCTCTCTCTCTCTCTCTCTCTCTCCTTTTCGCGCTACGATCACAATACTGTCTTGTATGAAATATTTCGTAAGAAATCTTCAAAATTTTCTGTTGCTTAAAATGACGTCAAATCAAGAAGAGGCCTTCGTACTAAGAGACCACGACAACGACGCACACAGCTAAGTGTCATCCGAACCGAAAAGTTCAAAAATAGAAAAGTCACAAACAATTTCCCGCAAATCATGCGTAATTTTATGAAATCATCTGATTGAGGACTCCATTTTTTCCGCTTTTGATTGATAAACAATTGATTGATTAAAACAATCTTTTTTGTAAGAGAGAATAAATTATGAGAATCTTAGAATGACTATCATATTGAAAATCTGCAACTTTTTCGAATTCAAATCAATATCATTTTTTGAGAATTAATTTCGAAACGTTTAAGAGATTTGTGGAATGAATCGAAATCAGCAAATTCTGAGCAAATCAAGTATATAAATCTTCAATAGTATGGTATAATGAAGGTTTTGAAGTTTTTTTTTTTTTAAAAAAAAACTAAAAATAGATTTCATATAGCTTTTAAAAATGTTTAATAGGGTTTTCCGGTTCCGTTGTTTTAAGGAAAAATACAAAAAAATTTTGTAATCACACAAAATTTTTATGTAGAAAAAAATAATCAGTTTTTAATATTTTCAGGTTCTTTATTTTTTGATTTTCGAGTTTCAAGATGTTCTCTCGCAATTCTTAAAACCAATGCGATCAGCGTTGCACAAAGATCATTTTATTTGTTCACCGAATATCGGGAAACTGAATGCCATGGAAAACGCGATTACCATGTCCTTATGGTAGTTCTCAAAACAATTAACCATATATAGACGGACCACTTTCAACATGGGTAGTTCAAAACTTGATTAGAATTGTCTTGGTTGGCATCGATAATTGTAATAATGAGGGATTCCAACATTTGTGGTCCCTCTTTGAAATTTCGCAATAAATGATCTCCTCCTTTCCGACTTCATAATCGATTAGATATCGGAGTCGGCGAGAATCGTGGGCATCTCCCCCCCATCGGTTACGGCTGTCGTTGTAACACTCTGCGTTTCCGACGTCGCATCAGAATCTCGCCGGCTTCATTGCTGCACACACACACACACACGCGAACACCCCCTCAGACTTCTCTGGAATCAGACATTAGTCGAATATTGCGTTTTCCATTGTTCATCATTATCATCCGATTCTCGATTTCAGACAAATGGGAACCGAAGGATTCTGGCTTTTCGAGGGTCTCGAAGAGGAGCCCTATGGTCTTCTGCCACTTCAAAATCTTAGCGGAAAAGTGACCTTCATCGCCAATTCATTTCTCAATTATCCCAATTATTTTTTAGGGTGGTCCAACTAGCACCAAATATGTCGATCGCGTTGGATCATATCAATGGTATTTGAACGACGAGACGCCGACAATTCTGATTCCTGGAATGCCGGTCGAATCGTTTTATTGGCCTGGCGGCAAACTTCAGCAAGATCATGGTGTTGTCATCTATGATGTCAATCATATGAAAGTAACAATTTCTACTTGAAGCTCAAAATTTCAATTTGAAATTTTTTCCCACAAAAATCATTTCAGATTCGCGATGGCTCGCTTGACGCTATTATAATTGCGGCTCGAGCGCTCAGCGAGAAAAAGAAGAAGCCCATCGATTTTTCGCAATTCCAATTCATCACAGACGCCGTCAATCTTCAAAAGATTTTCGCGTTTTGTAATGTAAGCCGCCAAAATTTTTTTTAGTTGGGAGGTTTGCGATTTCAATTTTTCCAAATTCAGGAAGCTGGTGAAGGATTGTTCCGAATCGATTGCGAACGCGTTGGAAAGACGGTTCTGATGACGAGGTTTGTGAAGCAATGATGAGCGAGGCGAATTGCTTGAATGCATTTTAGAATGGAAGCATCGGATCTGATGGAAATCGGGCATGTGACGTTCGATCAGAATTTGAAGGCGAAAATGACGCGGCCACGCGGCGCACACTCAACGGGTCCATTTTTCCAAGTACGGAGTTATTAGCAATGCTTGCTGCCGACATTTTTCCGGTTTCGATTTTCAGCTTGTTGCCTACCAATTTGGAAATTTCCGAATGCTGGTGAGATACGAGGTTGATTGCGCCGATTATGCGGCCGTCAAATGTGTTCCGTAAGCCGGCGATGAAATCGAAACATTCGATAGTCTCTTATAGGGTTCCTGTCGACAAATCGGAAGCGCTTCCGGAGCGCAAACAAAGCGATTTGAATCCGAACGTGAAGCTCGTCAACTACGGCGAAGTGCCTCATGATGTACCGCTTCAATTGCTAACCACTTATCCGCAAGGTGCCGGCTTCCCATATTTCACGTGGGCTCATCTCATGTTCACGAACGCTAACAATGTAAGTTCGTCTGCGTCTCTGACTTGATCAGAATCGTGTGCGTGGGGAAATGATCAAACGACAACAACAGGTTTGAACTTTACACGTGACAACTGGTATTGTTGTTTCGAACAAAAGAGAATAAATTTGGCCGAGCTAACCTTAACCATTAGATCTATACATTTTCCCATTTTTTGGCAATTTTGAGCAGACGGTCGACGCCGATAAGAAACTTATAGCAAAAAATTGGACGTTTAGTTTTTTTATTTCTCGGCCACGGCCATATTATTCAAGTTGCCAAAATGAAGGCAATTTTTGATTCGAAACAAAATTATGATTTTGGATTGTAACAAAGCCACCACACAAACGTGTTTTCGATAATTGCTTCATAAAATTAGTGTTGGCGGTAATTCAAAAAGTAACCTTACAAAGTCCCCGCCCTTGAGGGACTAATATTCTCAATGATTAATAATATTGTCAGTCAAATGAAAAAAATTATTTTGATAATTAAATATTCTGAAATAGTATTTAAAATATTATGAGAAAAATTATTTGATACTTCGTAATACTTATTGAAACTCAATAAACATCTCAGCCAAATCAAACAGAATATTTTGGGAATCGATAAACTTAAAAATACTTTTAAAATTCTTATATAAGATTTTCCAAAATTTATAGAACAAATTCAAAGTTATCTAGGTGTCGTGGGATCCTGCGTTTTGTACGCAATGCGATGAGCCAGTTACCGTAATCCTCGCAGCGATTTACGGAGTTTTTTTTAAATTTTTTTTTCAATTTTTTTGCTGTGTTTTCTTATTTTCTTTAGAAATCTTTTATTTAAAACCTGTAGAAACCAAGTTTAGTTATTTATTTTTCCGAATATGCACTTTTCCATTTGTCCAGTTGAGCTGGGAATTAATGTAAAGATTTTGTCGCTCTAAAAATTATTTTGAAAATGAAGAATACAAAAACAAGATAATAGAAACGCATACAAAAAGCAAAACCCGTAAAAATTATTTTACTAACGACAAAAATGTTTTCTTTTAAATCTCTGCTGTTTTTACCAATAAAAATATCGTTTAAAAGTGCTTATTCTGCTAAATAAATTATTAAACTCGATTTCTGCAAAATTTAAATAACAAAATTTCGAAAGGAAATACGAAAATTGAACGAAAAACAAAAAAATGAATATTCGAAATTAAAAAAAAAAGGTCCCCGTAAATCGCTGCTAGGATTACGGTAACCGTCTCTTAGAATTGCGTACAAAACGCAGGATCATACGACACCTGGATACATGTGCCATTTTTCAACAATATAATAATTTCTAAAGTTCATTGAAAAAAAATCTAAAATATTATAGAGACACGTTAGTTTTTCAAGTAATCTCAAAATATTTTATTTGATTTTACTGAATCGATAGAATTTTTTTATTCAAATCTTTTTTATTTCAACCCTATAATGCAATGTACGCAATATTGCATACTTCTCGCTGTGGCGAGACGAATTGACACATAGCCAATCATTATTTTTAATTCGTTGAGTTGTTTAATTACTTAAATGAATTAATATACTTGGTATTATAAAGAATATTAGAGAAGTTTCATCCGCGGACAATTTTCTGTGTGTATTTCAGGAGCTTCTCGGTTGGTTCAAAGGAAATGGAGATTTCGGCAAACCGGCGCCATACACACTTCAAGATGTTTCCAAAATGATCAAGCCGCTTCCATTGGTCTCATTATGCAAAGGTTTGTGTGAATTATTGGTAAAATTGAAAAGTTTGTCGAATTCCAGTGCACGATTGTCTCGACAAGATCTACAAATTCCTGACGAAAAATGATCCAATGTTCCGTTGCGCGCTTGTTTGGAAAGGAAAAGTGAGCAAGCATTTTCTTTTTTGTGAAATTGCAGAAAATCGCCGATTTCAGCCTCACTTGGAAATTTTCGCGAAACACGAGGACACCGACGGCGGCGTGACGAAAGGTGTTCGCGATTTTCTCGCCACTCAATGCAAAGATGACGAAGAACCGAGCGCTGAATAAGGAAAATCTATTTTCTTCTTCTTCTTCTTCTTCTTGTTTTTTCCATCCGCCCTCCAAAATTTTTTTGTAAAATAAACTGATTCAATCAATCATTTCTCGAACAACGAGAAACCAGTATGAGCGGAACTAGAAATTTGCATTGTCTATAAAAGGTGAACAAGATTAATTGTGCAAAAATGGCCCAAATGCTTATTACCAGTATAATTTTACTATGTGTAAGTTTGAAATAGCACGAATTATTTAAACAAACGTACAGGGTTTGGGCGCCGTTTTATGCATTCATGTTACTCATGTAAGCGATTGCGGAACAGCGAGAGGCTGCTGGAGGTTCGTTGAAGATATCAGAAATTGCCACAAAAAAAAAACACCCTGAAAATATGCATCTAGAATGCCGATCGGATGCAACGACGCCAGCGATTGCGAGACGATGATCACATGGAAGCATGAGCATCGCCATTTGATTTTGGAAATCGAATCGAAGAACGTGGCGCCCGGACAATGGCTGGGTGTTGGCTTCTCGAAAGACACAATGATGGGAAACGATACAGTGTTCGAATGCCATTTCCCGAATGATCCCACCAAATATGGTCAGGTATTTCTGTCACACAATTCCGCCAAGAATAATGTGCTTCTGGAAACGGTTTGAATCGCGCAGAAATCATTTTCAAAAAACAAATCTCAACTTCTAGGCTTCACAGCTTCTCATTCGCGATGGGTATGCGGAGATCGTTGACGGAAAGGTGATGTGCGGTGGAGAATGGATTCTAGACAACATTCATCTTGACACCACCGAAAGGAGCTTGGTACTGTACATAACATTCATCAACACAAAAAACTTCACCTTCAGATGCACGTCATCTCCTCCGGCCGCTATCATCTCTTCTTCGCATTCGGTGATATTGATAATGGTGTGAAGAAGATGCATTCAATGGCCGGAAAGAATGCGCCATGGAAGACCACCGATGACGTCCGCTTCTGCCAAAGGTGCTCCAGCTCATTCGCCAACGTCGACTTGAAGCCCGACTTTAAATCCTAACTTCATTTTATCATAAAACGCGGGTAGATTCTTGAAACATTTATCGATAAAATAACGGACTAGTCACTCGAACAGAAATTTTATTAAGGCATACAAAAATTATGCGAAATTCGGAACCCGAGTATCAAATTAACTGTAATTTAGCTTTGCTTTGTTGGGCAATTAAGTGAATAATTATACAAAAAATGAGCTATCACATGTAGATGAATTCAGCAATATCGGGTTGGTGGAGTTCAGCGCGCGCAAGAATCGCGTTGAACATCGCGTCGCTACTCAAATCTAGCGCCTTTCGGCATTCGCTTAAATTGAATTGTCGCGATCTCGTGCCGCATTCCTTCTCATCAATCTTCGGTCGGCTCGAATCTCTCACGTACGATATGAATGCATCAGCCATATTATCGATATATAGCATCAGCTGCGAGCAGAATCCTGATCGAATTCCTTCATCCATCGGAAGCAAATCGATTCGTTTTAGAAACGTGCTGACCGCTTCTATCGTTCGACACGTCGATAATTCTCTATAATTTCTCAATTTTAATTGATTTGCCTTTTTATTGTGTTCGTACAATTGGGATTGACTTGACAATTTTGAAGATGACATTACGCCAGAATGTTCCAGAATCAGGCGAACACCTCTCGAATCGTTGCGTGCCCTAAAATTGCAATTTGACTAATTACTAGCAAATGGATTACCTCAATATTCTGTGCCTTTGATAACTGGCCGACATGCAAACCGCAGTTTTGTCAGTGTCGATAATGCAAACCGGCCATGGACACGAACCTCCGCTGTTGATTACCGTCGGAAGTTCAGCCTGAACGAATCGCAATCATAAAATCAGTTTGAACGTTTCTCTAACCCTTCGGACGGCTTGAATTCGAAAATACGGGCTATACTTGTGCCGATAAGGTCTCAAGCAGCACCATCGGAGATTCTCCGGAATAAAGAACGCGAGAGTGTTGAGAAGCTGAAATAATAATATTTTCGTTGGAAAATCGCTTTTTAGACACAAACCTTCGCAACAAATTGATGATCCGATCCAACAATGATAGTATATCCTTGACTTTGAAGGCATCCTGATATCGCCTTCTCCAGGAATCGATTACCCGCAAGATTGACTCCTTTCTCAGCTAATAGGGTGTTTTTGATCTAATTTAATTGATTAATTGGATTAATTGATCAGATGATACCATTAGAGTTCTATCCAGACTAAACAGAGAGTATCTTTCTAGCGCTGATAACAAAGCCATGAGTCTTGTGAGCTCCGATGTTACACGGACGAGAACATCATCGGCGTCTTCTGAGAACAACGAAGCCTTCATCTTGGGCACCGATTCACCGACCATCTTCTCAAACCAACTTTGCCGATCCAAATACCATTCTTGCCTGGAAATTGGCTGAATGGCTCAAACTAAGGGAGAATGCTCGTTCAAACTTCTCATCATTCATGAGAAACGAAATCGCGTGCGTCACAACACTTCCGCGTTTGCTCTGCGCCGAGAATATGAACGCCGCCACGAGTAGATGCCTCGACGGCGAAACGATCAGCTTGTGTTGTAGCGGACATCGAGAATGCGGCACACTGAAAATATCATCTAAAAATTATGCGTTTAAACAAAGACGATAATTTACTTGCAAATGAGCTCTGCTAGAACGCATTTCGCCACAAAATTCTCATCGGCAACATAGGTCTCGTTGAAATCGACTTCATCATCGAAAAGCTCGAAGATATCACGCGGCGGCGGTGTTGACGATGTGACCGGGCTGAATTGATTGTGATAGTATTAGCCAGAGCTGCACGGAATTCCGTATTCTGTTACTTTTTTACTGTTTAGTGTTACGCTTGGTGTATTTTGAAGTCCAGCGAAAATCATTTCCAACAGTTTTTTGTTCAATATTATTTTGTGCGTTATGGTAGTACGGAAGTCCGCAAACAGCCAATATTACGCAAAAATTAACTTTTTTTTAAATTTTCGAAATTAGCTTTTTGCTTATTTATATTATCCCGCCTTTCGATTTTCGTCTTTCAAAAAATTCAAGTGCCATCCAGCTCAGCCGGCATATAACAAATACCTTGTATGTGATTGGGACCATTTGGTAGTCGATGAAAACGAATCATTGACTCGTTCTTCGCCATTCGGCGGAGTTCGACACAACGCTGATAAATTGCTATGGGTCGAGAGTCCGACTCCAGAATCCATACACGATCTTCTGGATTCTACAATAATTGCAATTGGTAATACTTCAAGAATTATCGTTACCGTCTTCAGGATTCAATATCGGCGAAATTCGATCAAGCTCATAATGTTCAGATAAATGAGCGACACATTCTCGAGTTTCACTTTTTGCTGATGACATTCTAAAAAAAACTCCTTTTCAACGGCTCCAACAAGCTTCAGACTTTTCTCTAAGCAATTCCGCTAGCTCTCGGTCCTCCTCCGATGGATACTTATTGGCAAGAAGTTTCCCAAGAACTCCAACTTCATTCGGCGACATGGATTCATGAAAAGTTCCACACGGCGAGAGCTTCTGTAATATCTCTGATTATCAATCCTATTTGGAATCTCATTACTAACATCATCACATGGAACTGGTCGAAAGCGCTCCCCGCAGAAGTGTTCAATGCCCTCATCGCGTAATGACCTTCCACTACTTCCAGGGCTTTCCTTTAAACACTACGGCTAATTATTTCGCATAATATGTAATTGCATACAATTATCCTCGAATCGTCCATTGTTAAGGTTTTAGTGCTCGATGTCCCACATGTCACCGTACTCTCCGTCATATAATCATCAAGATACTTTCTTGTCTAAAAAGGGAGAAAATAGAGAAGAAGAAAATTATGGTTACCTTATAATCGCCATCCATTTCCGAATAATTATATCTGCTATCTTCCAGCTCTTCAAAGATAGTGAGCTCGGTCTGAAATTATACATTAAATATCTCATTCAATTATCGATTCCCACCTTTAAAGGATCATCAATCTCCTCAAACGAGACTGATTGATTGGATCCGCTGGAATCGATTAAACTTTCAGCATCCGCAATCGATCCATCTTCACACAAGTTCACCGGCGAGATCGACGTCGACGGTGTGACGTCCCAGACGAACTTGAGTTCGGGACCAGTCATAAAGTCGAATTGCGACCACACGATTTTGTTGATTCCGCAATTCTCGCTGGTTTTCAGCGGCAATTGTTTTCGGGCCGCGTGCTCATTTTTCCGCTGCTGCTGCAAATTCATGCTACTTATCAGCGAACAATCCGGCAAATCTCTTTTTGACTGCCATCAATGATAAAATGATTTTATGGTCTTTTATTTTATTTTTAATTTTTAGCCGCCAATTTTTTCAGAATAATCTTGAAAATTTTTTATAACGGAATCGCTTCATAATAAATTAATTAAATGGCGGCATATCGTATTATTATACCAATTCAAATTTTCAAAATTCGTTTGCCTACGATATCTCATTAATCGAAATTTCACCACAAAATTTCATCCAAGTACCAATAAAAGACTAAGACATTCGAAAAAAAAAGTAAATTCTTGAACTTTTGAGCTTCCAAATATGCAAACTAATACTTATTGGAAAGAAAATTTCTGCAAAATAAAATTCGTGCTTAAAATGGGGATTTTCTAGATGGCTTTCATTTCTTAATCTAAAAATGAGATATTTTAACCTAGCAAAAAAATGCCAACCAAACTCACATCTTTGAGGGCATCATATGTGGAGAAGTATTCATCAGCCTCCATTCGATTTCAGATCCCGTTTGGCTCAATGCTAGCAGAATAATAGGAACAGGAGCTGGTAAAAAAAACCAGAACAATTGCGAAAACGACACACACACACACACAGTAAATAGAGTGCGTGTGCCTTGTTCAACCCGACAGAATGTAAACGCGGCCTGCGGCAAACAAGGTGCCTATTCGTAGGATATCGCTGCGTCTTCCACTTTCTATTTCTACAAACCCCATTGAAAAAAAAAAACACAGAAACAATTATTTAATTAGTCAACTAATCAATAGGTACATTTGCGTTTGACATTCGTACAAACTGTGTTATTACCATAACGACAATAATTAAAAATCTTTATAAATATTATTAAGGCTAACAATAAGCAACCTATTAAAACTCATACTACTGCCTATCATGACCAATTACAACGAGAAAAAAACAACAACAACAATAGCACCGGCTGTTTTAGAAAATCCACCATGATCTTGACTTCCCTTTGTTTAAATCTTTCTCGAGATCTCGCAGAAATGTTCCAGTGTACTTCTGAAGGCGTTCATCGGAGCTTCGACTCAATTGGAATGCTTTTCGTGCGTATTCGAGAGCTTCTTCCTACAATTTTCTCTATGAGCCGCTGTTTTTCTTATCGATCTGTTCGGCATTTTTCAAATTTGACACGAAAAACTAATAATTCGACTGGTTTGCATATAGCTTACCTTGTTGCCAGTGTGAAAGAGCGCCTCCGCGTAATTACAATAATAACCAGGAAGAAGGTTGGCGCACTCGTTCACGTATAGGATTCGATCAATTCCAATCGCCAAGTACTTCCGAGCAAGTTCGAATCTACAAAAAAAAACATCATAAATAATAAAATTGAAAATCTCATGCCAAACCGATTTTTTAGCACAAGTAATGCTCCAAAATTGTTGAGCAAATTGATCGAATGAACTGAGCTAGCGCCGTATATTTGATAAGAAATCTGAATTTTCGACTTTTCATTTGTGAAATCAAATGATGAAGCTCACTTTGAGCACCTCATCCATATATTCTTCAGCTTCCGGTAATTTCGACTCATCTCGATACGTAATCTACAAAAATGGAATTCAGCAATTCAAAATTTGCAAGCTTCCTACCAAAAAATTCGCATACGCCTCCAACGCCATTCCGAACAAGGCAAGAGGATCGGTGAAGACGTACCCATAAGTATCAACAGTGTGTCGATCTTCAATCAATGCTCCATGAGCAACACTAAATTTCTTCATGTGCTCCTCAACAACCTCAAAACCACACATAATGAATGTTGATATGAAATTGAACAAATGCTCACTTTCATCTGCCTCCTAACACAATGTTTGAATCCGCTTTCGGCATTATCGAGTTGGCCGCGGCTCGCAAGAATATCGGCCAATTTCAGCGAGACTCCAATGAATTCTGGATCGAAATCCTTTTTGCCATGAAGCTCAACAAGTCTGAAAATTTAAGTTAATGCAAATAACTAGTTAAAAAATCAAACCGTTGAATTACAATCCGAAAATGCTTATCAGCTTCTTCCAAATCCCCTTTTTCGTAATAAGTATTCGCCAGTTCGTCAATCACTCTAAATGAAGAAATTTTACAAACTTTTGTGAGAAACGTGAAATCAAAAGTCGCGCTTTTCCCGCAAAATTACCTTGTTATCGGCAACTCCTCCTTTCGCTCTTGAGCTTCTTCCAAAGCAATCTCCAAAACCTGAATCGCTTCTTGGTATTGCCGTCGTTTTCGATATAACCACGACTAAAAAATTGAATTAAAATTGGCAAAACACACAGCGTTTTGAATAACCTGTTTCACTTTCTCCTTCAATGGATCATCGTCTAGTTGAATTTTCTCGATTCCCAGCACATCTTTAATCGTCGTCATCCACGATAATGCAAGGACTGTCGAGGAACCCGTACCAACAGTAAAGAATGACTTCCTGAAATTGGCATGCCGATTAAAAATGCATCACATTACACAATTTTCTTTCAGCAAAGAAATTCCATACGAGACCACTTACCAATAATTATTTTTCTGGTGACTTTGATACTGTTTTCTATAATTGTACTGATTTCGTCTGGTTCGTTGCCTTCCAGAAATGGTTGAAACACACGCCGAAGATGGCACCGTCATCGATTTGCGCGCGCAAAATCGCGAAAATGACGGCAACATCTGAATTTGAGCATCGAAAATTGAGCTCGTCTCACAAATTTCAAAGATATTCAAGGTTATTGAACCAAGAAAAAAAAAACAGAAATAAACAAAATTAAATTAAAAAGAAAAGAAACATCGGCAGTTATATTTTATCTAAAGCATCGACTAGCGTCCTATTACAAGTTCATTTTATTTTCGACGGAAATTAATCCATTTTCAGCGAGAAACTGGAACCACACGAGCAGCCTTTCTCGGCGACCGGATTATTAACCACGCGAAATGAGGATTTCATAAGGTCCTCGACAAAATCAATTGTCGCTCCTTTAATATATTCAAGAGATATCTGAAAATGATTGAAATTGATTTGTTTCAGCTGCGGACAATTCCGCCCAACCTCATCAACTACTATTTGAGCACCATTTTTACACGTCCATATTAAGTCATCATCATTAATTTTCGAATCTAGTCGGATTTTGTACTCGAATCCTGAGCAACCGCCACCATCAACTTCGATTCGCAATCGCTCCGAATCCTCGACAATCTCCTGAATTCAAAAAAAGCGTGTTCTTATTAATCGATTACTAAGCTTCTCGTACCTTGAGACGTTGCTCGGCGCGCTCGCTAACCTTGATCTGTTGCGCCGTCAATTTTCGAAGTGTCGACACCATTCGGACGGGCCCTAGGCAATTCGGAGCAAAATTCGACGCGCCACTACATGATGGAATTCTGTACAAATGTCTGAGGTGCTGAAAAATCCGATGCGAATTCATTCAACTATCGCATAAATGTCTAAAAAGATTGACTGGGTTTTTTTCCGGTTTTCGACATTCAAAATAATCACTATGACGATTTGACATAGTTTCGCGAAACATCTGGAATTAAAGACTCAAATTTATACATAGGAAAAAACCGACAAAAAATGGCATTATTGAATTGCATGGCAAAAAGCGTTACAGGCGAAAACTGAAAAGGTTGCTGAGTGGGTGAGAACTGGAAAACATAGAAAGAATTTGTTATTTTAAAGCATTTGCATGGTTAGAGATTTTCTTCGGGAAAAACTGATTATTTACATGAAGCACTTCTAGGAGATCATTTTTCGGCGGATGACGACGGTATTGGCAATTGAGGGCTTTGCTGATTCGATCGGAGTCGTTGTCGTTCGAATCGTCGCTCCATTTCATCGAGAAGCTTCGGCGTGTATCTCACAACGAGTTTCACAGAGCCAACCGCAGATTTCAAAAGGTCGACGGCTTTTTCATGACACTCGCTTTCGACATTCTAGAAAAAATGCAAAGCCATCAAGATTATAACGAAGGCAACTTACTATTCCATTAACTGCAATCAATTGATCTCCTCGTTTCAAATCACCATGACGGTCAGCAACACCACCAGGGATTATCCTTTAAAAATTATTTCACACATTATTTTTTATCTGTAGACGATTTTAAACCCTACCTAGAGATATAAATCGGCGAGTTTTGCTCTTTTCCGCCCATCACATTGAATCCCAGTCCTTGATCTGTTTTTGGCAATTCGACTATTCTTGGATGCGCGTGTCCTTCAGCGGCGGCAAATGCTGCTACCGTAGCCTTGGCAGTAGCTGCAGCTTTCACCTGGAAACAAATACTTATTTTTAGAATCGAAGTTGTACTAATGATCAACCTCAGGAGATCCATCAACATCGATCGTTTCATAAACGGTTTCGTAGACTTCTCGAACAACATTGAAAAAATCGGAACGCAAGGCATTTTGTAGCGACGCGATCTTGGGATTCGACACCTCGCCAGTTTTCTGGACATGCTCGATGAGCTCTAGAATTCGTTGAACGTCTCGTTCGATGTTTGGACCTTCAGCGTTCGCATCCATCTTTAGGCCTATATTTGGAATATTTTAAGGTTCTAATTTTTTTAAAGAAACCTCGAACAGAAATAAGAATTGGATGCTTCAGCAACCAATATTACTATAAACTACAAAATTTGAGAAAAATATTTATACAGAAAACAATCGTGGAAAAAAAAAACAATAATAACAAACAGAAACTAAATCTAGCCTATAAATTAAAGTTTAAATTTCGTGTCGCAACTCATGAGTGTTCGACATTTTAAACGGGACCACGTTAAATGTGAGCTTGTAGAGATCCACGTCTTTCCTGTACTCGTATACTTTCATTTCTGGAAGGTTGAAATCCGGATTGCATTTTTCTCGACTAATCCGAACAACGCCGTCGCATTTCGCTCGTAGTAGCTTTTCACCGCGATCGTTTTCGTAATATACCTTTAAAAATTTTAAACTAATGACTTTATTGTAAATTTTGACATTTTTTAATATTACATCATCACACGTTAAAAATTCTATAATTTTTTTTAGCAGATTTTATACAATAATGGGCACTTCAATGTTATTTGCGACTTATTTTCAACTGCTAATTTAAATTTAGAACTTTAATATATTTAAAATTCAATACTTACATTCATTCCCGGGTGATAATTCATTTTAAATTGATTCACAATAATGTCCCCTTGTCTAATTACTTCTCCGTCTTTCCTAAAATCGTATGATTAATACATAATAATATTAAATATATTTTATTTATTACCTATAAACACCTCGAAATGGTAAATTTTTTGGCGGTCGAAGCAAACCGCGACATTGTTGAAAATTTATCACTTTAGCAGTCGGTCCAATTATTTGTTTGAAGTTCATCTAAATTATAGTTTATAAAATTAACTCTTAATAAAGAAAAAAGAGAAAACAAGCGGAATTTTGAAACGGTTATCTCAAAATAAGCAAAAATAAATGGACGAGCAATAATTTTTGAGAGAGTACGGTGTTATCGGAAGTCCGCAATTGCGGACTTGGCCGGATTTTTGAATACCGTACTTTTGCACGCCTGCGAGTCTAACTAGCGTCCACTATTTTTATTTGCATTTTCGAAATTCGTTTTTTTCCCTCGATTTTTACCCGTTTTTCCCATTTTTGTTCATAATTTTTGCTTAATATAACGTTAAATTTCGCTATAGAAAGAAAACCTTCATAAAATGGGAAAGCGAAAGTCGAAGAGAAAGCCACCACCGAAAGTCAAGGCTGTTATGCCACTGGAAACGCAGTTCAACTGCCCATTCTGCAATCACGAGCGTGCTTGTGAAGTAAGAATGTAAGTTTATGTATTTTTATTGCTTCGAAGGCAAAAAATTAATAAATTCTGAGAAAAGAATCTCGTAAAAATGAAAAAATTAATTAATCCTTCCACAGTCCATAGAAATAATACATATTGATTTTTTTGGACTGAAATCGTGTTAAACAGTCTATCCTTTTTTTCAAGCCTAATTTTAGTCATTTATTCACGGAAATCAATATTTATTACTTCGATATCACTATTGATTGTTAAAATCGATGCGTGATATTTTTTGTCTGCAGGAAAAAAAGTTTTTTAACCGGTTTTTCGCAAAAATTGCTGATATTGACTAATTTTTGTGTTGAAAAAAATGTATCGCAAAGAAAATGTACAAAATCGCATTTTTTTAACTTGAGAGAAAAAACTTCAAAAAATGTTTTAAATCAAAATTTTTGCCAGTTAATTACCAAAAAATTGTTGATAATATTTCGGATATATTTGATTGTAAAAATGTTATTTAATATGTCACGTAATCTGAAAATCGATCTTGATAGAGATTTTTCCGTTCTGAAAATACAAATTCCACTACATTTGAATGCTAGAATTATTTATTTCAGGGATCGCGAGAAGAACGTTGGCTTCATCTCTTGCCGAGTTTGTTCCGAAGACTTCCAAACAGTTATCAACTACCTCTCCGAGCCGATCGACGTCTATTCCGACTGGGTGGACGCGTGCGAGGCGGCCAACGCGCAGGCCTAATTTTGACAAATTTCGGCAAATTTTGAAAATTTTCTTCCAACAAATGATCTCCGCTCAAATTTTGCAACAAAAACCGAATGTTTCGCAAAACACATAAAATTGTAATATACCGAGAAACACCTTTTTTGGAATTTTAAAATTGTACATGGTTAATTGTTAATTGTTTTCTCGCGATTCAATAAATTAAACGCTATTTATGGCATTAATAGAAAAAATTATCACAATCTATTTTTAAGTTATGGCAAGCTATAAAAATCTAAAAGAAAATTATGGAATTATTGTTAAATTTGGTTCAATTTCGCGCAGACTTCGATGAGACATCCAACACTCCAAGCTTGAGCTTCACAACTTCCATGACATGCCGCCCCATTCTCATTCGTCAGTTCCGGCAGCGATCTCCACGGGCTGTTCATAATGTGCTGATAGCAGGCTCCAAGGCGCGACTGTACTTGCTTCATCGCATACTTCAGACGGTCTCCTCCGAGACGCTGACCAACCGTCAAACGGGCGTTCAAATAGTAAGCCGCCACCCAAAGCCATTCCTGAAATATGCGAATAGTTGAAACGAACAAATCCATCAAGAAGCGCGTACCGGCCCCTGATGATAGTTCCAGCCTTTGGCAATCTTCTTATCGCAACTATCGTCGTCATTATTATAGAATCCATTGTAAGCCCAATCACTAGAAATGAACACTCTCGTCATCTAACACTGTTGGGAAGCTTTACCTTGGATCCAATGTCTTGATTCCCAATGGTCCTAAAAGGACTTCAGCGGTGTCCAAAGCGTTCCACGCTTTTTCGGCATCGAGAAGATCAGGTGCCTGAAATCGCAACAGCTCAACTCTCTTGTTGAAATTTCTCTAGAAATACCGTAGCCAACGCGATGGCGAAATTGCATCTCAACTGGTAATCGGTGTACTTGTGCGTACTTCCTACCGTGTCCTTAACAATCCGACGGCGATTCACAAACTGATCCTGACAATTCTCGTCGATATAGAACTTCGACTCAAAATTGTCTTTTATCTTTTGCGCCCACGCCTTCCACGTCCACGAGCCATCCGAATTGACCGACTCCGCCGAGATGAGGCCTTGCTCGTGCCACGAGCCAAGTGCGACGAGCGTCTCAAAAGCCAACGCCTGAATCTCGACGGCGGCTCCGTCGCGCGGTGTCGCCGGCTCTCCCTTGTTTCCCGCCTTCTCGCTCGATCCCATTTTGTCCATCCACGTTCCACAATTCCATTGATTGCCGCCGTAGATGAATCCGGTGTCTCGATCGACGCCAACATTCACATCAAATCCTTCATACCTCATCTGCTCATCGATGCTATGGCCAGCATTACGCTCGCGATACGAGATTCCATCAAAGTGTCGATTAAGGGCTTCATAGATGGTCTCAATCAATGGTTGCTCCTGCAAGACGAAAATGTCGATGATCATCGTAATAATCATTCCCTACCACTTGATCCTCCCCATAAATGGTGTCGTCATTCGGATAAATTCTGAGCACATTCTCTCGCAGTATCTGCTCTCCATTCGGCGCGAGTTCGACATACTTGACAATCGAGTGCAGCCAGAACCATACAGCATCGCGGCAATTGTATCTGGCGCCTATAATAAGCCCCCCACTATCAGATAGCTACTATTGAAAACTAATACCGATTCCTTCAGCGAGAAGATTCGGAATGAGCCCATGCCTCATCGAGCCTCCGAACGATAGAATGATATTCCTAAGCAATCAATTATTATAATAAGATTAGCATGAGAAGTCACTTGGCATCTTGATATCTTCCAGTTAGCAGGAGACAACCTGGCAATGCGATGAATGTGTCCCTTCCCCAATTCCTCCAAATCCCAACTGAAAAGTGTGGAAGGCCGGCGGAAAGACTTGATGGCTTCTCATCTTCCAACGGCAAACTCGACGGCAATGGGGCTAGTACAGCTCCCGGAACACATCCAACGAACGACACGGTGGAGACCGACAGCCAGCGGTACAGTGAGGATGAGTTGACAACGTCTCTTAAAAAAACAACAACAACGGTCAAGCTCATGAGTGTGAGATTTTACGATGACAGTTTCTTCAACAATGCTGCTCTTGACTTTCTGTACAAATATGAGATGATCGCTTCAAAGTAGCACGGTCGGAGGTAATATGGCACATTGCCAAGAGGTTTAAGTACATCGTCAAAAATGTTCGCAATCTCATCGAGACCTCGGAATTGTCGAAGACGACCGACAATGTAGTCGCACAACCAGGTGCCATCTCGCAAATTCTGGCAAAGCGGATGACCGAGATCGTTGTTGTGGCGAATCTCGTCGAGAACCGGTATCAAACCTTGCAGACCGCAATAGACGAATTTCCCAAAATTCGGCACCTCATAGCCGCCTTGATTGATCGTGGCCCATTCTTCGGATTCGCATGAGAAGAGCAGATGGTTGAAGTTCTGAAGGGTGATGCGGTTCAGCGCCGAATCAATATCTAGAAAAAAACCCGAATTAATTATTTAATTACCCTTGAAAATTGACAAATGTACCAGTTGAGATTGGGCTCGAATCGGAGACTAGATTTTGAATGACTTTGAAAGCTTCAGCGGCACTATCAGATGGTCGGATTCTGCAAATTTGTCGGCTACACCTTTCTCAATGCAAATGCTCACTTAAATCCAACAACTGCTCCAGATGGGAAATCAGTCAACTCAATATAGCCTTCGGGTCCACCATGAAGCCTAAACATGCTTGCTTCCTCAATATCAACTTCCTCATTCAATCCGAGAAGATAGTTCGACAATCCCACAAGACATTCCTTATTCTCGGGCTCCCATTCGGGACTCGTTTCGATCACCTTCATCTCGAATAGCGCGCGTTCGAGAATTCCACCAATCGGAATATGCTTTAATCCATATTTTCTTGGTACATAGTGTTTTGAGAAGGCGGTATGTGAGACGACAACGATCGTCTCATGGCTTATCGGATTGTGACGAGTGATTCCGACGATATCAGCGTCCATTTGATCAACGAACACCTAAAACACGATATAAGAGACATCGAAATTGATTCTGTACTTGATTATAGCCATGCTCGGCCATATAAGCATGCAAATCGTTGAGCACTTTTCGCCCACGAATGATTCCTTTAAGCGGACACACGTGTTTGGGGTTCGACCAGCTCGCGTATGGTCGTTTCTCGTCTACAACGTGCACCTAAAATAGCCATATTTAGTAAGGAATCAAATAAAGCTGGAATACATGATCTCTGAGAAGCTCATCATAACCACGAGTAGATCCAATTGAGCACGAAGCCATCGTGAGCATTGCGGCAGTTGGAAGAAGGTCAAGAGCACTTCGGGCCTCAAAACATTCACAGTTTCATCTTTAAGAATCACTTATTAAATACCTTGATAGGCGACGGATTATCATGAGATTGGTCAAGGAAAAGGCCATGAGCGATCGAACATGGAGCCAATCGCACATTCTTTTGGAGGAGGGCTCCAACACAATCCCCGCCATATCTAACAAAAATAGAAAATTCGATTAAAAATCAAATCCTAACACTCTACCTGTACACCAATCTTCCTTGTTCATGACTGTCATGAGCCGCTTGAGCTTCTGAATCAGGCAAGATTAGTTTTTTTTTCAGTATTCAATGATTATACCTCGGATCAGCGATGAGATTCCAAGACGATTGACAAACATATTGTCGAGATGTTCGCTACCTGTGAATAATTCGGCGAACACATAAATATCGGGACGGACGGCTCTCGCACATTTCAATAGTTTTTCAGCGACATGAATTGGAGTTCCGTGGGCATTGTCAATGCGAAGGCCATGGAAAATGCCAGCCATTTGCTCACTGTAAACAGATTCTCATTTGAATACTCGACCATCGAGCCTTACGTATATTCCTTCATGTACTTCCATAAGAATGGGCTGTCCTCTTCCTTCTCGCCGTAGTTCAATTTGACCGAATCTCCCCAGCAAACGAGTTGTCGTCGGAGATAAACCTAGCACACATCAAAATTTCGAAGAAAAAATGATAAAATAAATACTTGTGAGGTTTTAAGTGCAAAATTCTCTAATGGATTGCTCGACATCACCCAACCATTGAATGCCATCAGATATTTGGATTTTTCTGGATCATAAGCAAGTTTCTCCTCATCATCCCAAGTCGTGTCCGGTTCAATGTGAAGGAAGTAGCTAAAAGAGCAATTACAAATTTTCAGATATGAGTTTGAAGCTCACTCAGTGGTCAAAGTACTGTCCGGAGAGACCAATCCCTTTCTCGGACCATGCCCAGCAACTCGTTCATATGATATATGGCCGATGACGGCATTCAATCCATCCATTATAATTCCCCACGAAAATTCGCCTTGTTTCAAGTTGGCGTGTTCAAGATGTCCGCGGAGTGATCCAATGCATTTCCGGATACGATCCTCCTCGTCAGAAGCGTCTCCACTAAAATGAAAAGCTCAAATTCAAATCACAAATCGGTTAAATACCGCGGTTTGTTGAAAATCCGCAAAGCTTTTTGGTAATCAATTTCCGATCCAAATCGTCTCCATTCGGGATCCTGCAGAATCTCCAAGAATTCGTCAAGAGGCTCTAAAAAAATAATATTTTAAAGGGACTTTCTGAATCGTTTGAACCTTGTGTAGGCCCGTTCGCCTCTCTGATCAATTTCTCGAATTTCGCGACGACCGCATTTACGTCAACTTGGAAGAATTCGTGCAATTTGGCTTTTGGGAGGACTTCCGATCTCAGAATATATTCAATTGTCTAAAATAATCAATCTCAAAATTAGGACTAACTTATTCATTTACATTCAAATGATGGATGTTGTCGACAACCGGCGGAATTCCGCGATGCGTCCAGACACCTTCGCCGACTTGTTTGCCGAAATGGTGATAAATGCGATCAATGACATAGGCGGGCCGCAAATGCGGACTGTTGTGGCAGTTGTAGCTTGAGTCGGGGTTCTCCTAAACAGATAGGAATGACCAAACACAAGTTCACGTGAAATTCCGAAAAAAAAAACACTGATATTGGAAACATCAAAGAACACCATTTTTTTCTCAATAACCCACTATGGAAAAGGAACAAAATGAAAGCTTACTTCCTAGGCTAATAATTCCAATTCGGGGCCAATTCCTTCGAAAAAATCGCATTCCTTACCAAAAGCCATTTTGAATTTTTGGCGGCGTGATTCCAGACGACATCTTGAACTGTCAACATGTTCCATTCTTTCTCAATTTCCTTGACAAGGTTGTGAACATCTTGGAAAGTTGCTTGTTTGGTGGATGAGTGGATTGTTTTAATAAGGTCATGGTGATTGCTAATCGAGTAACTGCTGTTCGAAATTCCGAGCTCATGAATTGGAGTCAGATGGATCATGTTATAACCGCTCTCTTTTGCGACTTGAAGACGAGACTTCCACTCAGACAATTGCCCTAAAATTTCTATAATCGAATGTTTCAGTGTTATTCAAAACCTAGCAGCTTGGTAATGTAAGTTTGACAAGTAATTCCATCAAGCGGCTGAGGTTTTCCATTAATCTTTAATTCTGGCATCACTAGAATATATCCACTTCCAGCTTCTTCGCTGCTAAAAGAAATCCACAAATTTTTGACAATAAGTGACTGTTAGTTTCCTGCCTTCCATCAACGTTGAAATGATAACGGAATGAGCCCGCTGTTGCGCAAACGACGTCACAAAACACCGAAAGATGATCATTTCCACTAGACCATTGGAGCGGATTTGTTGGGTCGAATGTGGTCCGAACTTCGACATTCTTTCCCAGTAACGAGGAACCGCGTTTGAAGCGTACAATCCAGCCTAAAACGGCAATGCTATGTCAACAAATAAACATTTTAGTGTGAATTTCCCTCGCTTCGATGGGAACAAGCTTTCACCTTTTTCAACCTTCCTTATAATGCTCTCCTGATGTTGGCCATCTTCAAGAATTATTATTCGAACTTGCTGGTCAACACCGCCCATCTGAAGATTTCAAAATAATATAATATTTGAAGAGAGCTGAATTATTTAAAAGAGAACGCTCGGAGAGTGGAGACACAAGCACACAAATAAACTGGATATCAAATTTTGCTCGGTAAATCACAGCGGACGCCGCGCGAACGGCTTTCTAAAGAAAAAATTGGCGAACGCCGCGCGGACGTTGTAGCGGACCATATCGTCCGACGGACGCTTAGCGGACGCACAGCGGACGCCGCGCGGACGCTGTAATTTACCGAGTTTGTGTACTCCACAACCAAGAAAAAATAACTAAAATTAAAACTGACAACGATTGTTTGATCGAAACAACTAGCCATTAAAAATTTTCAAAACTGAAGACCAATGAGAAAAATGTGAGATAAACAAAAACATGTTTGCAAAGAGAGAAATGATTTCACACAGCCAGAAAGAAGTTATGGAGACGCAAAGAAAGTCGTCGCTCTCTTTCTATTGCAAAAACGTGCATTTTGAGAGATGTTTTTTTTGTTGGATGGAGCTTTGAGAATACTCAATTGTCCCAGCTTCGTCGATTTCGATTTATTTCGACTTGACGACCAACGCCGAGAATAAAGCCATAACCTGTTGATCAGCAGACGAACAAAACTTGAGTTTTGAGAATTGTTGAATTCTGAAATGTCGGGTCACGTGAAGAAAATTGAAAGTGCGTTAAGCGCGTAGCGGGGATTTTTCTCGACGGCTTTTGCCACGGAAAAATTAAAAATCCAAAGATCAATAGACCAGAAATCTGATAATGTTCACTTATTATCAATGTACCATTCAGGATCGAATGTTATGAGGATTCAAATGTTGGAAACAGATTTTTTAGGGGCCTATGCAAAGGAAATAAAACCTGAAAAATGAGTTAAATTTCAATGTATTTAGCGAAAAAAAAATTTAAAAAAAAAGGAAAAAATGTGATAATCTTCCTTTTTTCCCTTTTTACTTTATTGTCATAAAAACATTATCGATCAATATTAATATTAGATGCTTATGGCCGAACAATTAGGCGTCCATTTTTTTGGAAAATATTTCATTTAAATGAAAATAATCTTTATGAACTTTATTGATTTTGCTCACGCGTGTGCAACCGTTTTCAAATTTATATTTTTATTTTCGCAAAATTATATTCGGAATACTTACGATTTTTGAAATGTATTCTGTAATTTTCACTTTCCAAATGTTTACTAGTAATTTTATTTTATTGAATTTCAATTCTTCAGATATATATTGCAAAACGTCGATGAATAGAGATTTCGATGAAACGCGAGTGAATGAGAGAGGGCGTGATTTTGAGAGACGGAGACATTTATTTCTTACCGAATCTTGTGATTGTCCTCCGATTTTCTGAGATATCCCCTAGAGCTTTTCCAGCATTATCTTTTAATTTATTTGCAACAAACCCGAGGCATTTTCTATAACTATCGACGTGCAAGTGCGCTCTAATGCGCGGTCTTGCCCCTCTCTCTCAATTTACCACAACCAATAATTTGAATCGTGTTTTACAGCTTTCATCTTTTATTTTACGGTCTTTCAGATACTTTAAATATTTCAGAAATTAATTATAAACCAAGTTCGATTCATCACATGGTCTCAACAATAATTTAAAATGGCTTCAATTCAAATGGTAATTCGGTATTCATATTAGATAAAATAAAAAATTTTTTTCCAGAATCCGTTTAATTTAAATAATGGCGCAGTTAAATCGACAATGGGTAGTGTGACACTGACGATACAGCCATCAACTTCTGGACTTCAAAATCCGAGGGCTGGGCGATATCAGGCAAATCAGGCTCAAGCGGTATTCAAATTGAGAGAATTACCTATAGATAATGTTTTTTTCAGTTTCAAATGGGCATTTCTGATTTTATGGGTGATGGACCAGGAAGAAGATTAAGAAAAAATGTGGCAAACGTTAGAAGGCATGTAGATTATGTTTCAACGGTTTTAAATTATACAGAGGTAGGCTAAAATTGCACAAAATCGTATAAAGTAGTTTAATGTTTAGGCAAGATTGTGGCAATACGGGCGAAGGCAACGAATCCTTCAGCAACCGGACGAATTATATCAGAATACGGCTTTGCCCGTTCATTGCACTCCAGATGTACCGGTGGATTGTGTGTTAACGAAATTTATCAGAGCGGCAATGAATAAAATCAAATGTCCAGTGTATTCGTTATGCGTGCGTTTTGAAAAACAAAATAATCTTCTTAGAATATATTTTTAGTGGTCGCCGGAAGGTAAACGGTTAATTACGGGTACTCAAACGGGAGAATTTACACTATGGAACGGAACTGCCTTCAATTTTGAGACAATTCTTCAGGTAAATTTATTTCATTAGGATTTTTTCACAAAAAATAGCAATTCGAGTCGGACATTGATGGTTTTAGGCTCACGATACTGCTATTCGTGCCCTTAAATGGTCCTATAACGAACAATGGCTTTTAAGTGCCGACCAAGACGGTTATGTGAAATATTGGCAACCGAATATGAATAATGCGCATATGTTCTCAGCACACAAAGATGAAGCTGTGCGAGGAATTGCGTAAGTATTTCTGAAATTGCCCAAGACATTTTATATGCGGCGCGCGTTTTTTGCAGATTTTCACCAACGGATTTGAAATTCGCCACGGCCTCTGATGATGGTACTGCTCGCATATGGGATTTTGCGCGTTATTCGGAAGATCGAATTCTTCGAGGTCATGGATCGGAAGTTCGGTGCATTGATTGGCATCCATCCAAAGGATTACTAGTGACAGGATCGAGAGATACTCAGCAGCCAGTGAAGTTGTGGGATCCGAAGGCAGGAACTTGTTTGGCTACATTGTAAGAATTCTCGAAAGTCTCCGGTTCAAAAATGAGTTTGATATTCAGACAAGAGCACAAGAGTAGTGTAATGGCAGTAGAATTCAACAAGAATGGAAATTGGCTTCTAACCGGTGGAAGAGATCATCTCATCAAAATGTATGACATACGGGTGATGAAAGAACTCCAAACTTATCGGGCTCATAAGAAGGAAGTCATTTGTAAGAGAATTAAAGACAATTCTTCTTCAGTGATACTTTATAATTTAAGCATTGGCTTGGCATCCAATCCATGAAGGACTCTTCGTATCTGGCGGAGGCGATGGTTCGATCGTTTACTGGTTAGTCGATAATCCGAAGGAGATTGGATTATTGGAACATGCTCATGATCAAGCAATCTGGGCAATGAAATGGCATCCGTTGGGACATATTTTGGCAACTGGTAGTTTAATTTCCAAGGCGATTGGCGTATTTTGACGAATTCTAGGATCAAATGACAATAATACAAAGTTTTGGGCTCGGAATCGGCCGGGCGACACTGTTGAAGACATTTTTGGACTTTCTGCAGCGACTATGGTAATTTTGTTTTTTTTTTTGAATTTCAATTTTCTCATTAAAAATTATTAATTCAGGTTGGTCATTTGGATAAGGAGCGTGAGCCAAAGGCTGTGAGCACGAAATCGACGCTGAACGACGTATTCAACAACAAACCTGATATTTACATTCCTGGAATGGGTCTTGATGAAGCCCTCTACGAGCAGATCAACAAGGATGTCGAGTCGACAATGACGCCGCTTCTTGTTCCCGATGATTTGACTCGTGTGTCGAGCGGGCCGATGATTGGCGCGAAGAAGACGCTTATCAAGCAGCCGCCGGCGAAAAAAGCGCAACGGCAATTCGAGAGAATGTGGAATAACTCGAAGGGAATTGGAGCCGGTACTGATGACTTCTCGGCGGTTCTCGGCGGAATGGGAAGGGAGGATCAGGCGGCGGCGATGGAGAATGGAAGGATGCAAAAGAGCTTACTCGGAGCGCCGCCGACACCTTCGTTTCTTGGAAAACCATCGTCATCGCTGATGGGACCACCGCCGGTGAATCCGTCGCTTCTAAGTCGGCCACCGGATTTTGGTGTGAAACCATCATCATGGCGGCCTCAACCATTCCACGATGATCGGCAGAATGAATCAAGCATCAAGTTTGATAAGAACGGAGTCCCGATTCTCCCGCCGGGTCTTCCGCCGCATTTGTGGCCGATGCCGCCGGGAATGTCGAAGCCGATGATGTCGAATACCGGAGTAGGATTACCTCGTTGGCCCTCATTGACTAATTGCTTTTGATTTTCAGGGTGACATTGATTATCGGAATGCGCCGCCAGGACCATCGCCGTCGAAAAACACGGATATCGATCTGCGAAGCATTCCTTCTCAGAATCCTGTAACGGATTCTTGGAGGACGACGGCGCCGCAGCAGTCGACGAGTATGCAGCCGCCTGTGCAAGATCCAAGATCTGATCCAAGGCTTCAAAAGGTTGGCATTATTTAGATAGAAAAAATATTTCCGCGAGTTCTCCGAATGAGTTAAATGTATTAGAATAAACTTAATATGAAATTTCAATTTTGAATATGAGCTGAAATTATAAATTTTTAGGATGATTCCCGACGAGACACACCACCGCCATCTCAACAATCTGGATTGAATGCTTGGATGCCGCAATTCGACCAGCAAAAACCGCCTTCTCAATTTTCGCCGTCATCACAGAATAATAGGAACGGTGGTCCGATTCATGGGAACCCGGATAATTGGTCGCATCGCGGGCGAGGCCGTAGGCCCCCTTATTAGTATCTTTTTTTTTCGTTCACAATTTCTTCCCTTTACCACATAATTTAATTTTTATCGATTTTCTGTAAATGAGAATCATCGAATCGTTAATATGTATAATTTTCTGTTGGTTTGTTTCGTTATCAATTTCATCTCTTCATAAAATTAATCCTTAATTGATATCATTAATTATGTGGCAATAATTAGCCTAATGAGATCCGGATCCGAACCTCTCGTTGCTTCTTATTTAATGTCGAAGTCGGCCAAGGTTATTCGTCGGTGTTCGCGCGCAACACCATCATCATCTTTTTGTGTTTCTCTAATCCTCTCCGCAGTCACCGCGCCTTTTTTGCAGCGAACAACCAAATATTTCCGAGAAATGCTCAATATTCTTGAGCCCGAAGATGTGTCGGAATTGTCAAGCTTCGAGATCAAAATCAGAAAATCGCTGTCGTTGCTATTCCGATTCGCGCTAGCCGTCTTCACCATTTCGCACACGTTCGAGTTTCTGTTCTCCAGGTTTGAGTTGATTGTGTTTCAAATGAAATGAAAATATGAGATTCAGCATCTGGATGCATGGCTATATATGGTGTCTGAATCTACCAATTGATTTGGATATGACTGATAAGCCGGCTGGTCTGATTGTCAAGCATCAATTGGACGAGGTGAGCTTGAATGCATCATGCGCCTTTAAATTGTTTTTAATTGTTAAAATAAATACTCAAAAATTAATAAGTAGCGCAATTCATTATTGCGATCAATCCAATCTAACCATAACCAAAAAATTACCATTCGGATCCTAAAAAATTTGGTTCAGGAATCAATCCGATCTGACGCGTAATTTTACGGATAAGATTGGATTTGTGATTCTTTTTTTGTTCAAATCGGATAAGATTGGTTTCGATCTACCAAGGACCATGTAGTGAATGAAAAATAAATAATTATTGTAAGAAATAGAAATTTCTGGGCACGAGTTTCATGATTTTTTATTATTTTTTCAGAGAATATTGATTATCAGCAAAAATTGGTCCATTAGATAGTAGGAAATTAAAATCTTCTTCGAGAAAATTTATATTCAGTTTCCTATTTTCCTAATTATTCTATGTCGCCAGACCCGCAGCGCGTCTGACCATCAAGGTCTAGCAGCGAAAAATTCTGGTAGCAATTTTTTTTAGGAAACACACTTACTTTCTTACTTAGGCGGTTCGTTCTTGGCCTGCTGAGGCGCGAACCACATCATTCCAAGCTTTTCGGTTCTTAATTTTTTAAAGAGAATTTATTTATATAATGGAAAATTCCGAAAAAAAAAACAATTCAATGCAGGAAAAAAACATGGAAAATGTTTTTTTTTTTCTAAAAATAAAATGTGTGCAATTTTGCGTGCCTTTGTACTATCTTATCTGACAGAACGCCGGCCGAGCTTCACCATTTTTTTTTGGAAATATCCACGTCTCGCCGCGGCCTTGGATAAATTGTCCCAAAAAATAAGGTTCGGCCACGGCCACACTTGATAGACTAATTAATTTAATTAAGTAGAACTAAACGAATATGTAAATATTTTGTGTGCTTATGATTTCAAAAACCAAATATCAAAATAAAAATCGTAATTTAATGGAAATAAAAGAAAATCGTGGTCATTACACATAATTTAAAAAATTAGCCCATAGTAAACCAAAAAGGGTCCGCTGTTCGATCTCATCGAATTCCTGATAAATTATTATTTTTAGGTGCACTTAAGCGAGCGACTAATTCATTCAATCTTGGTTGTCATTGCAATCGTCATGCTCCTTTTGTAAGCGTTTTCGATGACTTTGTCACATCGTCTATTTTAGCGCAACCGGCTTCAATAGTCATCCCGGCAAACGCGTGTGGTACCTTTTGAAGCTCGCCATGTCGCTTGGCCTAGTTTGCAGTCTGGCTAGGCCACTTCAAATGAAGCAGCGATTCTTTTCTAGTCTCCACGAGGGATTCTATTGCTACTTTGCTTTTTTCATTGTCGGCTTTTTGATGACCTATCGACATGCTGAGAAATTCCCGAAATAAATTCTTGAGCTTTATTATTATTATTATTATTATTATTAAGTCCTGCGCAAACAGGGTCTTGCAACGAAAAAGGTATGATAATTACACGCATCAAGTTCGAGAAAACGAAAACAACAAAATAGTGGGCATTTACTTGCGACCGTAGCCTGAATAGCCGCCACGTGGCGAAATGCTCTCGTCGGCGGCGTCGCCTTGAATTCGCGGTTGTGGTCCCGGATTGATGAGAAGGATGCTGTCGACGTTCTGGCAGACGCACACGCCCGGCTCTCCTGGTGGTCCTTGTCCTCCCATCGGTCCTTCGGGTCCCGGATATCCTGGCTCTCCTGGCTCACCGGAGACTCCTGGCCATCCGCGTTCACCTTGCGATCCCGTCAATCCGTTGCGTCCTGGAAGTCCTGGCATTCCCGGGGCACCGACTGGTCCTGGTGGTCCCTCGTCTCCTGGCGGTCCCTCTTTCAAGTCTCCTTCTGGTGTCGGTCCCTTGTCTCCCGGCGCGCCGGGTCCTCCACGATATCCCGGCGGTCCTATTGGTCCGGTTTCGCCAGGCGCTCCATCCTCGCCGTCAAGTCCTTTGAGTCCCGGCGGTCCCGGTGGTCCAACGTCTCCCGGGAATCCCGGCCATCCTTTGATTCCCGGTGGTCCGCGCGGGCACGGACGACACGGTGGCGGCTCGCGAACCTGATTGATCGGGCACGTCTGATTCGGCGTGACGCCCGGGAAGCCCGGCTTTCCAGCGAGTCCCGGCATTCCCGGCTTGCCCGGAGCCCCAGAGCCACCACGTGGTCCCGGCGGTCCCGGAATACAGCATCCCGGACACTCGGTCTCCAAAGGAGCGCCGGTGATCTCATCGCCGAACGCCGACGCTCGGAATCCATGCGAAGCTCCTGAGCCATAAGCGCCGCGAGCTGTACGATTTCCAGCCAGCCGCAATTTGCCATATTCGAGCTCAATGAGCGCCTCGCTGTTGGATCGCTGCAAGAACTGATCAAATTTGGAGAATTTTCAATGAAGCGCGCACCTCGCAGAACGCCATTTCCCGATCGACATACTCGATGGTGGTCTGCACGTGATTATACATCATCGGAAGGACAATGCAAACAACGAGAAGTGAGGATAAGCTGAAGATGGATATTAGGACAGCGTCGCATTGGATTCAATAGTACCTGAAGGCGATTTGAAGACCGGTGATGATTTGATAGATTCTACGCTGTGAGAGGTCCGTCGATGGCGAGAACGTTCGACAACTGCAATTCGACGAATTGAGAAGGGAAGGCAAAAAAAAAAGCAAACCCGTCGTTTTCTGTATTCTTCATGTTTGGCTTGTGGCGAACGTCCAAAAACGTTCTTCCCGAAGATCTTCTTCTTCTGCTTCTCTGGGTTGGCGGTGAGGTCTTCTACAGAGAACGTGTACGACGCCTTTCGGCCGCCTTTGAAAATGTTCGGCTTTTCGATGGGAATGCAAAAAAGGCAAAACGCGCGCTTCGGGATGACCTCGCTGAAAGCAAAAAAAAAATATGATTCGACAAACCTCGAACTCACTTCTGATTCTCGTCTTTGGCTAGCTTCGACTTCTTCGCGACTTCAACACACTTCTTCGGCGATGTTGCTTCCTGTAAAAAGCGACAAAACGAATGCCTGCGTTGGGTGTTGTTGGGAAAAATGAGAGTGCGATGAGAGGATGATGATTAGATCATTCGCGCAAAACTCAACCTAGATGAAATCGAAAGGAACAGAGAGAGAGACAACCGCCAAATTCTAAGGTAATCGCGCGCCTCCCTCAAAATTAGGTCATCAGTGTTATCAGAAGTCGACCCGGTTTTCCGAAAGCGACATATATATCAAATACCTTATTGTATGAAACTAATTCGTTTTGCGACGGCACCAGCCGGCACTTCGAACCGAAAAGTGCATCAAGCGGAATGTGCGTTGATTGACTTACTTGAATCTCGGCTTGATCAGATTTCATGAATGAATCGGCACACTTTGAGAATCGGAAATGATTGGAAGCGACGACGACGACGAACCTACCTGGAGGCGCGTGAAAATATGCAAATGTGATATTTGGCGGTGGGCGACTTGCAATAAACGAGTCCGATGACCTTTTTGCCGCCGCGAAACGACATACATATATACTATAAACAACGGAATAGAAGATAGCGAACGTCGGATCGCATAATTAACGAATTTCGAGATTCTGCGTGAAATTCAGATCGCCGAGTATATCGAAATGGAGCTGCGGACAATTTCAAGAAGGGTCATTCTTTCTTTGCAATGGTTGAACACATCGAATTGAATTTGAATTTTTATTAATTTCATTATTATTATTATTATTATTATTATTATTATTATTACAGGCATTATTAAAAAAAATATATCACAACAAAGCGACCCTTATAAATTTGGTTTGAGAATTTTTGAGCATCTTCGATTCAATTATTTCCTCAGCATTTGACGATATCTCTTCAAATGATAGTAGCCACCGTTGTCGTTTGCTTGGTGACGCTCGTCGGAGAATGTGTGCGCGGTTCCGTAGCTGAAATTCCGAATTTGGAAAAACAAAAACGGTCAATTGAATTCTTACCCATCGTTCTGATCTGCTGCAACGTTGGCGGTTGATGACTTCGGCTCGTATGATCCTCCGGTGGCTTGCATGGCGACCTATTAATCCCAAACCTATTCGAATTAAGCTTGTCTGCAACTCACGTTGTCCCTCGGCGCCGGAATTCTTCCCTTCTCATCGTTCATCACAATTTCGGTGTCCTGGCAGACGCACGTTCCCGGTGTCCCGGCCGGTCCCTCCTCTCCCGGCGGTCCGTTTGGTCCTGGTGGTCCCATTGGTCCTGGCGCTCCTGGCGGTCCTGGCCATCCTTTCTCGCCCGGCGTTCCTGGATATCCGTTCTCTCCCGGCATTCCCGGACTTCCCGGTGGTCCCCATGGTCCTGGTGGTCCGACGTCTCCCGGCGGGCCTGGAATGACGTGAGCCTCCGGTGTGCGTCCTTTGTCTCCAATTGGTCCCGGCTCTCCTGGCGGTCCGTTTGGTCCCGGTGGTCCTGGCTCTCCCGGCTTTCCCGGCATTCCATCGGATCCCGGACGTCCCGGGATGCCGCTCTCTCCTGGATCGCCTGGGAATCCCGGATGTCCGGGAACACCGCGTGGGCCTTGCGGGCACGGCAAGCACGGTGGCGGCTCGAAGACGCGCTCCGGAATGCAGGTGGCGTTTGGCGTGGTGCCCGGCCGTCCCGGCGCCCCATCAGGTCCTGGAGCGCCTGGAAGCGCTGGAAGCCCTGGATCGCCCGGCGGTCCCCGCTCTCCTGGAATGCAGCACGCCGGACACTCCTGGAATTGCGGCGAGTCCTGCGCGAGCATCGACGGATTGTAAGCCTGTCCATATCCGGCCGCTCTCCTCGTCAAATTGCGATTCTAAACGACGAGTTTCGCGACTAGCCGAAAGCGCGAGCAAACCTTTCCGACGAGCTCGCGGAACGTGACCATCTCCTGCTCGAGATCATCGGCCGACTCCTGACAATAGGCGAAATCTTTGCGCGAGAATATCGACACATTATCGACATAATTGTAGATTGACGGCACGAATAAGACTAAAATGAGCAGCGAGGCGATCGAGAAAACACCGGAAACTGCAATAATGACACGGTAGCCTTGTTCACGAATCTAGAAGAAGCCGTGTGGAAGGAATCGGATGCAAATTTGATGGATACCTCTTCATTGTGTTGTGGGTCGCACCCACCAGCCTCGTGCTTCATCCGAGCAGCAAGCCTACCTGCAAACAATATTTGTGGCGCAATAGCGGGGCGTGAGAATTGGTGTTGTCGAAAATGAGGAGCGTTTTTTTTTCTTGGTTGGGTATAATGTGGATGAATGAAACTAAAAGTGAAGATAACAACAATGGATGGCCGGTCGGACGAAACTCGGGGAATCGAGAGGGAACGAGATGCGAAAAGAGTAGCGAGCGATAAACTGACCGACATGGAAATAGGTCATTTACCTATGAATCCTTTTCTCTCTTCCCCTCTCCTCCTCCCTTCGATTTCACTTAACAATTAGCAAACGATGATGGTGATAATGAAATGAAACTAACAGCGACATGATCCAATAAGAGAGATTAGCCCATTTTCTTTTTTTTTGGGAATTCGTCGGGACGTCGCCGATGTGAAAATTTACGCAACATTCCAATCGCGCGAATCACCATTGCGAGTTTTCCGGAGAATCTATCTTTGACCTCTGCAGGGGCGTTGTGATGGGTAGATTTACGGGCGCCGAGGTCTCACGCGGACTAATAGCTTATTTCGATAATGTTTAATTTACAAATTGAACAGGAAGGAAGAAATCATGAAAATAAGCATTTAGGTGAGACCGCAGAGTCCGTAAATCGACCCCCAGACGGGCAAACCTCGGAATTCTCCACAGTTCAGATAAGCAAATATGAATTAGTTTTTGGCGCCAACTTCGAAAAGCTTGATACGCAGCCAAATCCTGAAGAACTTTTATACGCCACGCTAAAAGGGAAGAAAGAAAAGAAAAAAAGGAAGAAAAAAGAAAAAAAGGAATAGAAAGATACGTGAGTTTCGTTGAAAAGGGCACCGGTCTTAAACGGTGTTTTTAAAGACGCATGCCTTTTATTTATGCAATGGTTCTCGACGCGAATCCAACGAAAACACGCGAATCTTCAATTCTTTTTTTGCCTGCATCGCATTTTAATTATTATTTTTTCTTTTTTCTTAATTTTTTCGCATTGCCCCAAAAGAAAAACACAGTTTTTTTTTAAATTTTTGGGCGCTGAAAATTTAAGAGAAATCGATGACAGAGTTTGACACGATTATAAAAAAAAGTTTTTTTTTAAATCTCGAAACATCGATTATATGTTAATGAGAACGAAAAATATTAGCGCCACTCGTCTTGTATTCATTTTCAAGTTCATCGAATATAAAACGAATTGAAAACTACAGTGGGTTATTATTAAAGGCGCATAATAACATACGTGGAATTCGCGGTGAGATTAAAGAATTGGTAAATGGGTTTGATCGTTGAAAATTTTGAAGCTCGTCCGTCTTCGAGGTGCATTTTTTAAGAAATATTGAAATCAGCGTCTTATTGAAGAAAAAATCAATTCGGATTTGAAGCGGACAATTTTTTGAAATTACCAATCCGATGTTTGAATTCCGCCCAAAATTCTAATCGGATCGACTTGATTCCGGAGCCGAATTTTGTCGGATTCGATTGAGTATCGAATTCTCCAAATGATGAGCACTTTTGTTTCAAATCGATCATGCATATGAGGTCCCCAAAAGGACCCCCTTCTTCTTCACTCTGGGGACCATTGTTGATTCCCTCATCTGCAGGACCATTGAAAAAATTTTACACATCACATCATTGCACAAAATCATGCAAAATCAAACAAAAACATGCCAAGCTTATTTTCAGGATTCACCTCAAACTTCTTCTTCTCATCGAAAATGATTTTTCTGAAAATTCCTGCAAAACCCAATTTTTGAGTGTTTAAATAATATGTGATGGGAATTTGCTTTCGGTTTCAACATTCCTCTCGGGATTTCCACAAACGTCCTTGACCGACTCGTGTCCTTATTATCAATTTCATCCCAAACATTTCTATCCCTTATTAGAGTCTTTTGAACTCATCCGGCCAATCAGACAGACGATCCAGGGATTCTTTGCGGCAAAAATTAAATGCATTGGTTGAATTGAATTGAAATGATTTTTTTTTTCAAAAATACAATGTGAATATTGAATTGCGATTAGAAGAAATATGCCGAATTGGGTAGTTTCGCGTACCGGTGATCATGAGTGTAACATCAATCAATAATGCTATCAATCAACATTTTTCTATTCATTTGTCTAGTTTTTTCTGGAATCTCTGTAGGTGAGTTCGAAATTGACAAAATTTCCTAACTAATTTTTTTTAATATTCGGCGGACGTGCTGCAATTTTTACTATATTATTGAATTCTGAGAAAAAAATTTTCCCTTAAATTTCCAATGTTGAAAAATACTTTTTAAACGTAAAAATTGCGTAATTTTTTTTGCCCATTGTAATATTTATTGGTTTTATTTCGGTATTATTTTTTTGCAAAAATCAAAAATATTTAAAACCGGTTCATTATGTCGTGATTCACTCAAAAAATGAAAAATTTTTACAAATTAAAACACAAAAATTATTTTGGTCTGCGCCTTTAAGAATGAATTAAGAATAATTGCGTCATGTCGCCTCATTTTTTTTTCCAACATTCGCGCATAGAAAATTTAAAGGGACATAACCTTATTTGATGAAAAGCAGATAAGAAATCGAAAAAAAAACGAAAAATTCTACATTAATTCGTCTCTGAGAAAATTGAACGCGAAATAAACAATCTGTGTATTGTCGACAAATAAAATGCACAAGTCCGCAATTTTCCGCTATATTTCAACGTTTTCATTGGTGTCATTCCTTATCTAACAAACCTGAATAGGGGCATTTGTGACAAAAAAAAACAGCAATTGGGATAAAAATTTCCATAAATGAGCATGTCGCGTGTTTACACCTAATGCATTTGATTCGACGACTATATGTAATGTGTAATGTGTAATTTTCACGTGATTGAGCATTTTGAATTCCCAATTGTTGGTATTTCGAGGTCTCAGAGAAGAATACTGTGGAAGGTTCCACAAAATTCCATATTTTCATGATTATTATACCGACTGCCTGCGTCTCCGTCCACCGCACGCTCTGTCACTCTCACTCTCTCGATGTCTGCGCTCTCTTAATTGTAATCACTGTCTACCTTAATAGAAATTGGACGAGTTTTCTAAAAGCACGTCAACTCAGTATATAAGGGCACGAATTTCGTGACGGCCTCTCTCTCTCTCCCTCTCTCTCTCTCTCTCTCTCTCTTTCTGCTCCTTTATTGGGCTTCAAATGAAACCCTATCACTCAAGTGTACGTGTTCTCACGCCATCAGTCGCAATCATCAACACTGCGACGAGTACAAATGAAAATTGCCCAAGAATAAAACAAGTGAAAATGAAATCATTGCGGACTATGCATAATATTCGACGACAGTACGCACAATTTTCGTAAAAAATGATTTTTTTTTTCCATTTCTTTGTATATCCTGGAATTTCAGTAAAGTCACGAACACTGGAAGAAGTGGTGTGCTCTGTGAATCCAGCGAAATGCAAACCGCAGCTCTCTGTTGTTCCCGTAAAAAAGTCAAGGTAAACTATTTTTGGAAATTCTGGTAACTCAAAACCAATCGGATCCGACAAAAATCGGCTCCGGAATCAACCTGATCCGATTCGAAAAAACAAAACGGATTCGAATAGTAATCCGGCGATTTACCAATGGGATCCGACAAATATCCAATCGGATCCAAAAATTGCACAAGAAATTGAATCCGACAATTTTCCAATCTTATTCGTAGAATTACCAATCGGATCAGGTTGATTCCGGAGCCGAATTTTGTCGGATCCGATTGGTTTTGAATTACCAGAAAATGAAGGCTTCATTCATCAGAATTTCGTTTTTAGAACGAGATCCTCAGTGAAGCCTTATGGCGGACCATCGAGAGAGGAATTCCAACGTTGGCAGACGTATGAGGAAACCGCACAGGGTACCGGTTTTCTGCACGACATGTCGGGAAACAATCCCGTACCATATGGGCCGGGACTCGGAAACATCGGCATATTTTCGAATGTCGATGTCAACTACGGAATCGGCTCGTTCAATTATCAACGCGATTTCGGGATCTCGATGGGCGGAAACGGTCGGATTGGCGGAATTCCGGTCGGCTGGGGCAATGGCGGCACGAGATCGCTGGGATCGGCATGGTGGATGCATGAATAGCTTCGACACATTCCCAATCGTTTTTTTTGCGCCTTCTTTGTACAATTTTTTTTAACCGAGATTTTTCGTTTCATCCGATTAAATTCAACAATTTGCGCATCAAT